CCTCAGTCTGGCACGTTCGAAGGTAACTTTCTTGCTTGCCCCGTGCGCGTTACCCATGGAAAATACGCACACTTGCTCCCCCAACACCGTACGGGTGGAATGTCGATGGATCGCAGGACGCGGGTTCAACGATGAATCTAAAAAACAAAAAAAGGGCGCCACACTACTCCGTACCCAGGGCAGAGGGAGGTGTCTCCGCGTGACTGATCTTCCCTGGGTGCCCAGCGGCGCTTCCAGCTTCCCAATTACGGTATAGAGGGTCGCTGCTTAATCTGATACAGGAGCCCCTTTAAGATTTACTAGTCGTCTTTTTCCCGCAGACTATCTTCTGTTACGGGTAGGCGTACCTTGCCGACAACGCTCCTTTACCTTCGACACAAAATCGAGTTATCATAACCGCGGAAGCAAAAGGGAGATGATCAGCCACTTCGCCTCGGGGGTCGTGGAAAGACGACGCGATCTAGCTCGCCGTCTCTTGCCCCTTCGGAGACATCAAATCAACGCAGGCCGCCGTGGCCACCAGGGCCTAGAGTGTAATCGATTCGGACTCCTTTGATGAGCACAAACGATTTTATAATTGGTCAAGGCTAGCTATGGAATCATGATGCATATTATTAGCATGTATCCGTACGGAGTACATGTCAAACGAAATAAAGGGGTAAAACCTCACCTGGATTGTCCAATTTCCCCAGGGATTATTCTATTGCAGGCATACGGAGTATTCACGAACTACTATCGATTGCCTATCGATCGCCTATCGATCGTCTATCGATTAAATATAATCGATCAGTCTATTCCCATTGCGTTTCCGTTTCCAGGCCTAGCAAAAAGGAGAGACGCAGGAGCAAGGCACAGCCGTGGTGGCCAAATCCCGCTACCCGTGTTGAACCACCGGAGGAACAGAAGCGATACACGATGATTCCCTTGCTTCATACCATACCCGACGCTAGGCCACACTATCTCGAACCTTGAGAGGCTGTGAGTAATTCTGGCTGCGTCCACGAAGCACGCTGTGCAGAATTACATGCACAGTTTGGAGTTGACTTTCTCAGTACATCACAATACATGATATTTGATGGCGTATATTCTCCGCCCACGTCACACAGGAAAAAAAGCGTCCTGAGCGCGGATAGGATAGAACTCGGGTTAAAAAAGGAATTACGCGGAAAGAACTCATGTCTGTCTTGAACGCTAAAGTAAAGACCAACGCAAGCAAGCTTGAAACAGGAACGAACCGTGGGACTCGCCCTCACTCTTCGTTCCTACCTGGCCTCATCTTTTTGCCTTCTGTATTTCTTTCTAGCCATTGGGGGAGAGGGGGCGTAAAAAAAGAAAAGTGAGGCTTTGGGAAGGAAACGCCGGCATTTTGGCTGGCTCACCCAATCAATGAATTGAGGAAGACGTACAAGGTGGCGTCGCTTGGATATCTATCCATCAATTCGCCTCCAGATCGGGGTACCGAGATCGATGATCTTCACCAGAAGACCAAGGCAAAAGACATCTACTGCAAGGCTTTGCATTAGGCGCTGATATCCCGTGTCGAGTACGGAGTTATGTTCCTCAGTATTGCCATCATGTTCTCACAAATGAGACTGAATACGAAGGCTGTACACCCGGTGGATGACCGTGATCATGATACTCCTTTTTTTTCATTTCATCTGCGCGGGATTCCCTTTAGAGATACGAAGGAGAGGAACGGGATATATGCACCGGCTGCATGCATATTGCATATTGCATGTCCTCCTGCCATCCAGGCTCCTGGTTTACCTGTTAACTTCCCCCAAATAATAAGAAACCATAAATGGACTTCCGCTGCTGCATACTTCGGCTATTTGGTGAAGGAGCAAGCTAGCTAACCCTCCTCCTCTGCCACGTCGAAGAAACCCCTCAACGCTTGACATGCAGTCAGTCACTTAGTCTAGCTCACGGCATGCTATATACTGTAATAGCCGTCACTTCGTGCGGAGAATGGATACTGTCCGTTCGGCACTGACTCCCGCAAGCGAGGGGGACTAGCAATTGCCTGGCCTCCTCTATCTTGTCATTATCTTGGTGGAACCTCTCTGGTGTTACAATCCACGAATTAAACCGTACATTTTTGGAGAGACTGCATTCACCTCATCACAAGAATCTTCAAATGGTCTACAGGTATGCCAAAACAAAAAGGGGGAGCAGTCGTGGGTGATATCATGCTGTGATACCTGTTGTGCCGCCTCCCCATACAGCGTGATAGGCCGGGGGGCCCTTTGATGTTATCTCCGTCCAACACTTCCACTGAAATCCCAGCTTTGTCCTTTTAAATACCAAGTTGCATTTGATTACAAGACTCTTCCTACATTCCGGTAGTATTTGATATATTCTATCGGCCCTAGAGGCCGTCACATCTAACCCTCAGCTGGGTATGCATCTGCGGCAGCTTCGTCCCACGTAGGAACCGGATGGGATATCACCAAGTAGTCATTTGGAGACGGGAGATGGACACCGAGACACATACAGCCTACGACTGACCACTGGTTCCTCCCGCTCATGTCGCGCTACTCGCCTTTGTTGGCAGGTATTTTGAAGACCTGGTCCCGTATGATGGTCTAGACAGCCGGTATGGTGGACTAGATAGCAACATCAACGGAGAATGATGGGTGTCTCTATCTACATGACAGCGGGAAAGAGAGCCCTCTCTTGTGATCGTAGACAATCCCGTGAGAGTATAGTATTCTATCCGCAAGAATGCGGACGAATATACGTATATGCATGCTCACCCCAAAACAGACTACCTGCGAAATTTTTATAGTTAAAGAGCTGAGATATGAAAATACGTATCCAATCATCAAGTTGCACCATGGAAAGAGAGGCCGGTTCGAAATCTATGTATCACTAGAGCTGACCCAGCTAGGCATCGAGAGGTCGTATGTACGCGGCCTGGTCTCGATTATCAGGGCGTCCTATGCTCTTTCATCTCCAGTCACGGATGTAATCCAGAATAATGGAAAATAGAACCCAAGGGTGAATATGAGGTTGCACCTCCCAATCCCATATTTTCGTGTCTGTGGACAGCCGTATACATGATAGTAGGCTTGAAATATTTCTGAAATTATAACAAATATTCACTCCTGCTGCATTGTCTCGGAATCTGGACCTAGGAACACTTGGGAAGTAATGTAACGTTGTTTCAAGGTAGAACTGGTGTCCTCAGGGAGCAGGGATATGCCGCTAGATCTACTCCGTATGATATGGCAGGATATATCCACACACATTCAAAGGCTAGCTAATGCAGCCTAGGTCCCTTCAAGGACTCGTATAACTCGAGGGTTCGAGGCACGAACAGCTATACGGCAGGCAGCTTTCCTGTTCCTGTCCAGCTAGCAAAAGTTGGAATGTTGTAGCATAGGTGATAAGGCTTTTATCGGGTTGCAGGCATGCCAGAATACCAACACGATTTGATATTCTAGGAAACAGATCTTCTCTCCTTCGTTCCGTACAGAAGCGTTATTCCCTTTTTCAATACACGGCCTAGGCTGCCTTCAGTGGCTGCTTGCGTTGATTGCATATAATACATCAATTTGGGCTCGGAGGCTCCTGGAAACAACCTCGATCAGCTAGGCAAGGGAGGGAGTAGTCGAGCATAGCTCTAGTGAACTCCCGTGATGCCAAAACCATAATAGCCATACCGTTCTCGTGGTAGAAAAGTAAGAGAAATGGGCGGGCTTAAGGACTATGGTATTGGCCCTCTATAGCAAATCCTGGTAGACCAACACATAATCAGATACGAGATATCAAAGCTTGAGAATTAAACAGGGTATCTAGTAAAGTGCTCGTTTTCCAACAATGCTTTAGTTTATTCGTTCTCATTAAGTTTGCAGTAATGGTTGATAGAAGACACGGATACCTTTGGCCCGCATAGCAGGTAGATAGCCGAATTAAATTGATCCCGAAAGAATCACCAGTCTAGAACAGATATTGGTTTAAATGAGAAAGGGAATAAAACGGCATGATCCTGATCCACATATATAATCAATCACGTGGAATCATTTCTCAAATGGATGTCCATCCATTATTTATTGGCAAAGATGGTTTTATATCACTTCACCTCCTGATGATATCTCAACCAACACACTCATTACCCCCTTAAATGACAAATATAGAAATGAAACCATTAATTTTGCCCTAAATGACATACGAGAATGAATGCAAACCAGAAAGGTATAAGAAACTACAACCCAAAAGAACAATTAAAAGATGAGAAAGGGATAAAACGGAATAGATGAAATAAACAAAATAAACAACACCACCCGCATTCCTGCCATAGACACTATACCATAGCATGCCATGATTTTGAATCCCATTTACTCCCTGTCCTGCCTTCGACTTGGCTGCTCTCCGCCTCATTATCTGCCTCCCGGCCACTCTGATCCAGGGTCGAGTTGATAAAAGTAGACACAAGGGCAAGGAAAGATATGTGGCTGAAGGTATCAAACAAATAAAATAGAATCAAGCCAAGGCACAAGACAGCCGTAACTTTGGACAGCCGTAACTTTGATAGAAATAGCAGCAGGAGAGGGAAGATGGAGAGATGGCCAGTCTTCGATAAATCCCAGCTGTTTTTTTTGTTTAGAAAACGAACGCAATGTGGATATTTTCCTCCAATAAGAGAAACCGAGAGGCAGTGGGTATGATACGAGTAGACATAGACAGATAAGTAGATTGACGCAAAGAAGTAAGACTCCATGAGATCAAGTCGAGATAAGACAAGATGAAAGATAAGAATCGTTTTTCATTTTTTTCATTTCCATTGCCGCGAAGGGGCATAGACAGATAGGCAGACAGGTAAAAAGGAGGCCAACAAGCACAGGGACAAAACTAGAACAGAAACAAGGTAGATAAACAGGTTGGGAAAGATAACGGATGGGGACGAGAATGGCGCCATTATTCTAAAGGTGTAAGCTGTTAGGGATGAGTGAGTTTGGTTGCTGGAGAGAAAGGGTGATATGGGAGATTGAAGTAATCTATCGGCGGTTATTCCATGATGAGTAGCTATGTGAATTATCTGTTAGCAACCAGGCAACGTAATGGTTTAATGAAGTAGGGTGGCACTAACCTCCAGATTCTAGCACGCATGTCTCCACTTCCAGTCGCAAAGAGCTGGCCAGTCGGGCTTGGAGCAACGGAGATAACTAGTAAGATATGATTAGCCAACATCCAGAAAATAGTCGACAAGAGAGAAAAAGGAGAAAATACCTGAATTTTTATGGCCTTGCAACATCATTTGGGCATTACCAGTTGCAGGATCCCAGAACTGAACTCCTCTATCCTTCGAACCACTCATGACCCAGTGTCCGTCAGGTGTTAGACAGACACTAAGCACGAAGTCCTACAAAAAATAAATTAGTATGAACGGCATATAAACGAAAGAAAGAATGCATGAAGTATCGGTGAGTGACTTACCTTGTGTCCCTCAAAGGTGCGCACACATTTCCCTCCCTTTGGTCCTGTACCGGGGACCATTCCTCGTGGGGGTGTAAGTTCCCACATCTTGATAGTCTTATCCAAACTGCCGCTAACAAGATCCCTTCCATTTGGCGCAAAAGCAACACTGTAAACGCTGTCCCTATGGCCGTCTGGGCTCTCGAGTCGCTCCACCAAGTATCCAGTGGTAGTATCCCAGACACGAACGCTCTTATCGAGAGATCCAGCAGCCACATAGCGGCCGTCCGGAGAGATGGCAACGGTGGTAACGCCGTCTTCAATGCTGAGGATGAGTTCCTGTTTACCGTCAACAATGTCCCAGAGACGGACAGTCTTATCACCACTTCCAGAGGCGATGTAACGTCCGTTGCGGGCAAAGTCGAGAGAGTAGATGTCTTGTTCGTGGCCGGAGAAAATGTTTTTGATTGTGCGGCTGGCAATGTCCCAGACCTATTGAGGGGGTTAGTTGGCTCAATATAAAATCTCAATATGGTGAGTATAGACGTACCCTAATCTGCTTATCCTCCGCACCGGTAGCGAGGTACCTTCCATCAGGACTGAAGCAGACACTGCGAATGTACAAGTCGCCGTCCTTGTCGACCGAGTCATCCTGTAGCGTGCTCACAAGCAAACCGGTGCTGACTTCGAAAATCTGAGCGGAACGGTTACATCCCGTAGCCACGTGTTTACCATCCGCGCTGAATCGAACGCAGCAGACAACACTGTCGTGGACGAGGTTGTGAACGAGGTCGACGTCAAGGACACGCGGGATCTCTGGGTTGAAGACAGCGTACCAATCGCTGCTTTCTTTCTTTTGGCTAGGTGGGAGCTTATCTGGGTCGAGTTCGGCAAGGGTGTTTCCCACGGTACGGTAAGGAGCCACAGCCTGTTGGCTGACGGCAGTCTGGAGAGGCATCTGGGGCGATGGGCGGGCTTCTGAGAATGCCATTTGCTGGTTTTGTTGAGGGGTTGCAGGACCGGCGGGAGCGCGAGCGTTGCGACCTTTTCCAGGACCAGGAGATGCTGTGGGAGCAGGTGGCCCGAATGCTACACAGATATTAATATGTGGCTATAATTGGGGTTATATAAGGAATTTGTGAAGTGCATACCGGAGCCATTCACGCCAGAGCCCTGCTGGTAGCCGGCAAAGGCGCCCTGGGGAGGCTGTGGTGGGCCCTGCGCATTAGGAGGGTTCTGCAGTGAGTGTTGGGCGCCCTGTTGCTGGTCCTGTGGTGGAGGTGGGGGGGCGAGAGCAGGCGCACCGCCTCCCTGGTTGGCCATGATGCCTCCAAAGAGGTTACTAGGACCATGTCCGAGGGCTGGAGGAGGAGCCTGGGAGGGGCCTCCGTGTGGTGGTGGTCCGCCAACGTGTGATGGAGGGACGTGGATGCCGCGAGATTCGAGTTCCATGCGCAGTGTGCGGATTTCAGCTTCGTAGCTAGACTGACGGTTAGCTATGAACTGGTTCTAGACATGGCGGTGAAGAAGAGTCGACGTACTCTTGCTTCATCTTGAGCTGGGACTGCTCCAGCTGGTAGACCTTCTGCCGGATCATCTCCATCTCCTGGAGCTGGCCAGTCACTAAAGAGATCGTCTCATTGTCAGTCTATACAACGGTCTCGCCGCAACGAATCAGGGGAGCATACACTGATGTTCGAACTCGCCGGTGCTGCGCGACTGGTTATCGAACTCCTGTCGTAGCTGGTCGAGCAGCTCTGTCAGGCGCGTGTTGGGCGGCGCGGTGACCATGGCTCGATGAGACCCATACATGGCGGCGGTATTTCGTGTATCTCGTGACGTTGGTTTTGTATTAAGAAGAGAGAGGCGATTTGTATCTTTGAGGGAGGTGTTAGTGAGGGTTTATCAATTGTGGTTTAAAAAAGATATAAAAGTCAATAAGGAACACACGCTGGCGGTCTGCTATGGGGCACGGACTAGCAAAATGGGGGAAATGAGGCTGAAATTGGCGCAATAGAAAAAGAAAGAAAGAAGCAGAAACGGTAGACGGTAGACGGATAGACGATGGGGGGTTTGGTTGGTTCCTGATATACCTGGCGATGGTCGCGAGATCAATATCTGCGGGATGGACGAGCTAGGTCGTGGGTTAGGATCGCGATGCGCTAATCGAGAGAGCCGGCCACCGCGAGACGGAGCGGGAAAAAAGGAAGAAAAGGAAGAAAAGAAAGAGAACGGCAAGAGGCGACCTCTATCTGGCAGCAGAGACGTGATGCTGATGCGTGGGAGCTGGCTGTTGATGCCGGAGATGCTTTGGCTGCTCGGAGATGAGGCTAGGAAGGAAGAGGCAAGCAAGGAGGAATGGCGAGGTGTTGAAGGGGAGAGGAAAAGAAAGTTTGACGACGCCGGCAGAGTGGATGCAGCGCTGCTTCTGGGGGTTTCAGCTTACCTCGCTTCGCCCTCTGTTCTCTCGCTGACAGATGTCCCTGGATGGTCGTCCCGGCGTCTTCTGTATAGACGATGTTGATGATGTCGTTGATGTTGTCGTTCCATCTAACTTCTTTCTTCTATTTTTCCTCCCTGCTTTCTTCTTCCGGACGCCAAGACTTCGACATGCATAGGTTAGATTATGTAAGCAGCCACCCCGGCTTAGTCAAGGTGCACAGACCAGTACTTACTAAGAGATGACTCAGCTACTTATTAATATGGTCACATGATCGGGATGTTTATTATTCCGTCTCCGGGTATCTTCGGCTTACTAAGCTTCCATGATATTCCGTTATCTGATCCGATCTCTCTTCCCTTTTTCTCCTCCCCCTGCGTCCTTTCGTCCTCCTCCTCTCCTTCATCTTCATCCCTTTCCTGCGCACATAGTCGAGGACCCACGCTCGTTGACCCTTCCATCGCATCTCGCAGTCCGCCTCTCCAGCGCGTCGTTCGCATTACGCGCCAGCCCAGACACGTCGAGCTTAAAGCTTTGGAAACTTTTTATCCGCCTCCTTGGCCGTACCTGCATAAGCATATAAATACAAATTCTTAGAGACAGCCGCCATGGACGTCGTTCTCGAGGTCTTCGATACCTTTGTCTTTGACTTCCTATACGCGACCGCTCTCCCGCTCTCCGCGGCATCCAGTGACGTCGTGTCCAATGTCTTCAACGGTGTCAACTCGACCGCTGCATCGGCCATCGCGCAGGTCAATGGCAAGGGCAATGGATTCGTCTATACCCCGTCGACGGAGTATTTCTCTCTAGAGCCCTTCCAGTCGGCGTACCAGTCTTCCCTGCCTCGAGATAACGGCTTTCGTCAGGTCTTCAGTCTCTTCTTGATCACATGGTATAGTCACCCAAACACACATCCCATGCATCAATGCGCATCGAATTTATCTAACGTTACAATAGGGTCTTCGGTCTCGTGCTGTACTTCACCGTTGCATCGCTCTCCTATGTCTTCGTCTTCGATAAAACCGCATTCAACCATCCAAAGTACCTCAAGAACCAAATCTCCCAGGAGATCGGACAGGCCATGCACTCCATGCCGCTCATGGCTGTCCTGACTGCTCCCATCTTCCTCATCGAAATAAAGGGCTACTCCAAGATATATGATACCCTCGAGGAGGCTCCCTTCCCAATGTACAATTACCTCCAGTTCCCGCTCTTCCTCCTATTTACCGACTTCTGCATCTACTGGATTCACCGTGGCCTGCATCACCCGCTCGTCTACAAGAAGGTGCACAAACCACACCACAAATGGATCATGCCGACTCCCTACGCCAGCCACGCCTTCCACCCTCTCGACGGCTGGAGCCAGGGTCTCCCGTACCACATCTTCCCATTCATCTTCCCGCTGCAGAAATTCGCCTACGTTCTTCTCTTTGTCGCAATCAATGTCTGGACCGTCATGATCCACGACGGTGAATATGTTGCCAACAGCCCCATCCTGAACGGCGCTGCATGCCATACCATGCACCATCTATACTTCAACTACAACTATGGCCAATTCACCACCCTCTGGGATAGACTGGGTAACAGCTACCGTAAACCAAATGACGAGCTGTTCCGTCGCGAGACCAAGATGGGACAGGACGAGTGGAACCGACAGGCCAAGGAGATGGAGGAGATGGTCAAGCAGGTCGAGGGTAGCGATGATCGAACCTATGATAGCGGAGAGACCAAGAAGGATCTCTAGTCATCCCATCTACGCCTACGTCTACATCTACATCTTCGCCAAACTGACTGCATCTGCCGGTCAGATAAAATAGTCATATTTCTGCATATATTGGATATACACGAGCACACCCTGCCGACAAGCAGCAACTTGGATGCCCTATGCGATGTTATTACAACTTTTGTCTTATCCTTAGTCGCCTTTTAATCACCCACCCACTTCCACACTTTATCCTATCAATTGACCGATTGATGACCCATCTTGACATTCTGCCTTCTTTTTTATTTATTTTACCGTGCACACACGCCCTCCCATTTCTTCTTATGCCCTATGCCCCTATCGTACGTTTTCCATGATACACATACACACCCACACACTACCGAAAGAGCCCAGAAAAGAAAGATGGATAGGAGATGTTAAACATAATAATAATATTAATATTTTCTTTCTCTTGGCTTTCCCGTTCGATTCTAGATCTAGATGGAGGACGAGGACAGTGGCAGACTCCTCTCGCATGTCCTCCTGTATTTCTGCTCTCTTACCCCTTATTTTTCTTCTGATACTTGCTGTACATACTGCTCTTCTACCCTTCCCCCGTTAATTGTTTACACTGGATTAAACAAAATTCATTCTCGCGACTTTCTCTTCATCTACTTGACGTAAACGAAATAAGTCGTAAATACTCTGACCCTACTTGATTTGTATTGAAGTTGAACAAAAACTAATAACACATAGATTTGAACTCACACAAAAGATTGTAACTTTCCAGAGATAAAACGACAAAATAGAACCATAAAGTACACGTAGAGGTACAGACCGTCAGAAAGATAAGGTAGGTAGAAAGGAACAAATATGACACAACCTAATCAATTTCAGCATAGTCATGCATCTCCTCGACATCCATAGCTGGCTCCTCAAGCGTCTTCGTCTCCTCCACCTTTTCATCCACACCCAGAGGCGGTGCTGGAGGAGCCATCGTCCCAACGGCCGGCGCCGAGCTCATTGCCTCATCAATAAACGCCCTTTCAACCGCGGCCTTGCGTCTAAAGACATTCAACCACCTACTTCCCCACTGCTGAATAATCGCATTCTCAGGCTGTAGTGTATCATCCTCTGTCCGCTCCATCATGGCGTCACTGTATCCGCCTGCCACGGGAACCAGCGAATCCTCAATAAGCTGAAACATTGACAGCATCTCGGCTTTTTCCTTGGCGAGTGTTTCCTCCAATATGCTAAGCTGTGGCTCATAGAGAGTTGGTTGTATTCTAGCCGCTACGATCTGGCGCATACGGTTTGTCACCTTGCGCATGGTTGCGGATATCATTTCGAAGATATGTGGTTTTGCTAACGTTGAGCCTGCAGCAAGGTTATCGACAAGTGCCCATTCGAGGACGGAGAGAGGGGTGAGAATCGTATAGTTTAGTAGCTTGTCGATGATGTTGATGCCGATTCCGGGCTGGTCGGTCCAGTATTCCATGACAGAGTTGATGATTTGACGGCGTGCAGCGGCCGATTGTGGGCCGATGGCGAGGAGTCGGTCCTTGCAGCGTTCAATGCAGGAGAGGAAATGGGAGAGAGATTTAGATCCCACGTAACAAATGGAGGTCATGTAAACGTCTGTAGACGCGATGAGTGGGTCATTCAATCCATGGGTTTTGGCCTGTTCCTCGATGGAGGTGATGACAGCTTCAATTTCTTCGTCTGGTGATTTTTGGCGGATGAGTTTCATAAGCTCTTGTCCTTCCTTTGAATATGGAGTCGCTGATCGAGATGTTAGTATTTAATTAAGTGGCCACATAATGGGTACAAACATACTCTCTAGTGAAAATTTGAAATCTGGTGTATCCTTCTCCTTGCCTTCGGTGATCAGCTCATGGTAAGGGTCAGGGAGTGTTCCCCTAATTCGCTGCGCGAAGCTCAGTCGAATCTCCTTGTCTATGGCGCCGATAATGAATGCCTTCTTGGGATGCACATCTGGCAGCTCAAGGTCAGGAATCCTATAAGTGGTTAGCATGTGAGACTATGCCGTCAACTGCGCTAGACTTACCACTCAGTCCACTTCCACGTAAATCCAAAATTACTCAAATGATGGGTAAACCAATCCAAGAACCTGTATGCAAGCGAAAGATCCAACTTGTCAATGTTTCGATACACAAATCGAATTGCACGGCCCAAGCTAGGCGCAATCGCCGCGGGGGCAATTTTACAGGCCTCTGTCAGAACGGAATGATAATACACCAGCTTATGTTCTGGAACGGGCAATTGCAGGAGCTGCGAGAAGGCAGCATCGACAGCGATATCTTCTGGTTTCCAAGTTGACCCCTCGTGGGATGGGGTATCGCGGAGCTTGTCGAGGGGGATAGCGCGTTTGACAAACGTTTCCGGCGTGAAGTAGCAGTCCACATCAATAAGGAATTTGGCCGTTGCGTTTCGGTTAAAGTCTAAAACATTGATTGTATCAATCAATGCATCACGGACCAATGAAGATGCAATATCAGACGTTGGGGGAACTGTATCGATTTCCTGGTCGGAATAGACGGAGAAATAAATCTCAGGGAAAATAGCCCTCGGACCATTTTTGACTGGATTCGGCACCGTAACCTCTGGGAAAGCATGTTTGGTAGGAGCTTTAGATGCCTCCTCGGCCTCATTTTTCTCCTCCTCTCCATTGCTTTCTTTTGGTTCTTTTGGAGCGGCAATTTCTTTCCATGGTCGTGGAACGCACGAGAGCTTCCACGCCTGGGCAGATTCATCCTGTAGCTGTTTCTGAATCAGACCCAGTGCACTTAATCTAGTTCCTTCCTCTTCTCCCTTGGTCGATGGGAACGGATCAACGATCGCCTCTAGGGTATGCGGAGTCGAAGCAATGACGTCCGTCTTTTCCAATAGCGCAGCAGCGTGAGACTCGAACCCCGTGGCGGACGAGGCCATAACGTAGGGAATCGTGTAGAGAATAATCTTGACGAGCTCTAAACCGAGAGAGTCCTCTGACGAGCCGGTTTGAAGGACAACGGCACGCGAGAATAGCTCCTCAAGCACAGGAAATATACCCTCGCCTTCGAACATGCCTTGTAAACATCCGAGGAATCGTAGCATAAGTTTGACATTTCGCCAATGCCCTTCCGCGATAAACGAAGCAGCTTGTTCTCCACCCTTTGCGATAATCGGGGCTGCAGCTTCTGGCTTAAGGGAGTTGAGTGCTAGGACAACGGCAGCGACGAAGGGAATTTTCATTGGCTGTTCGACGATCCTATCATGCACCGTTAGCTATTAATCGTGAACGGAAAGGTTTGGGGGTAGGAGGCCACCTACAGCTGTAAAACCAGCTCTTCGAAGGCTGCCTTCATTGCCTCGTCCGAGTAATTATCTGCGACCGTCTTTGCAATTTGGGCAACGTCATCCTCGGGTCTTTTCGCAGTCTAGTTCCACATAGAAAATAAAACTCGTTAGATAAACTGACAAGAACACTCAAGATCCTCGAGATGAATGGACTCTTGTGGTCTGACTTACCGGTTCTGCAATATTTAACAGCTGCCTCCTGACAACTGCAGCAAGTGGCTCCTCATATCTCCTGCGCTGCTGTCGATAACGATCACCTCCCTCGTCATCTAACCGGCAAAGAGCGTTAGCACCAATTCCTAGCAACGGCTCATGATCAAGCGGACAAACCTCTATATCTTCTCTTCCTATTGAAGCCCCCTCCATACCCCTGTCTGCGCTGTTCGTGTTCCACCATTATCTCCAATGTAGCTCTCGAAGCTTTGACGTCGGGTTTGCTTTGCGCGGGGCCTTCGTTATTCCAATTCTTCTCAGTAAGGAGCTAGATCACCGATGCGCCAGGCAATATAGCAAGACGTCCAATATGTCTTATCCTGTCTTCGGTATGCGCGCGACCTCAATGGGGAGAGAAGCTAGCAATAAGCTATATCCTCGACACGCTGCAAGACAACCGCCCAGCAAGCCAGGCGATTCAACAGCTGTCAGGTAAGAGTAGACAAGCCGAATGATGAGTTACAAGCTTATTTGTCGCGTCTTCTGCAGTGAATCTGCTATTACCAGCAGCTGGAGGACAGTGAAGGTGTCAAAGAGCTGCTGAATGAATTGTTTACGCAGAAGTTCAAGGTCTCTCGCTTTTTCTTTTTTCCGATATCCATGTCACGTGGTAGACATCTGACCAGAAAGATGAAGAAGAAGAAGATGATGAAGAAGATGATGAAGAAGAAGATGAAGATGATAATGATGAGAAGAAGATGAAGATGATAATGATGACGAAGAGAAGAGATGAGATGAAGGTGTATATATGTATATTGGGCAAGTAGGCTTCATTGGTATCGAATACAATCCTCGACAACGACAACGCCGTCATCACCATCAAATCAACCAGCAGAATCAACAGGAGAAGCAGAACCATCAACCAGACGAACAGGCATCGTATCATATCATATAAACTCCCCATTCTCACTCTCATTCTCAGTCTCAAGCACTCTTCTCTATTCCCAACCTCTCCCCACGCCGTATCCGTCTGCAGGCTGAATTCCATCCATATCCATGCATCATCACTCTATGTGCCACCCACCACGCCATGCCATATCATCCCCGTTGCATGGCATGTATACGACCACCACACCCTATAGATATGATGGATGCCATGCCATGCCATTTGTGCGTGTGCGCGCCTATTCATTCGGGTCTTGCCTTGTCTTCTTTTCCGTCCTTCCCTCAAGGCGAGTGCGAGCCAACCCCCATGATAACATAGAAGTAAAAAAGGATCAAGTCGAAGGCGGAGGAGGAGGAGAGTATAAAAGGGAGGATAAAAAGAAGGTAAGAAAAGAGGAAAACGAGGAAAAGAAAGTCGGAAGTGGAATCAGAAGTAGAAGTAGTAGTAGAAGAAAAGCCTCGCCTATCTCGCTTTGTGCTGCTTTGCTTTGCCATGCGAGGGTGTGAGTGTGTGTATCTCTCTCTAGCTATCCCTATCCCTAATCCTAATCCTATTCCTATCCTATTCCCGCTCCCACTCCCACTTGGAATCGGAATCCGAACCGAACCGAACCGAACCGGGTGAATAGTTCATTCAATCAATTGTCATGTCATGGTTCCATCGAATCGAATCCGTTAAAATAAAAAAGTGAAAATGAGACATGAAAGCTGAAAGTTAAAAAAAGAGAAGAAGAAAAAAACATGTAAAAGGCAAACCCGCATCCGTCCTCATGAGTAAAATAAAAAGAGAAAGAAAAAAAAAGAAGGGGAAAAGAGTGGGAAACTCAACTACCGGAAAGAGGAAGAAAAAAGGAGGTAAAGGAGGTAAAGAAGGTAAAGTAAAGTGGTATCATGCAAGCAAATCCCCCCCAAAGAGCAAGCACACAGCACACACAGCACAGCACAGCATAGTAAACCCTCTCCCTATAATAGGTTACAGTGGTTTGATATTATGTGTGCATGGGCATGTGTGAAGTATGTATGTCTTTCTTTTCACCTGTAAACTCTCGAGGTTATTCACAGAAACCATTTCCCTAATTCCCCCTTGTCTTTTTTTTTTTACTTTTTCTCCCCTTTTCGCCTTTTTCATTTGTTCAATGGAGTCATGATTCATCAAGTGTGGTGGTACGTGGTTGCTTGGGCTCCCGTCCGGTCATATGGTGGTATCGAGGTGGAAGTGGTTATTTTTTTTTGGGTATTTTGTGGTTTTGTTGTATAGATGCATCGCGTCGTCGTACCCCAGGCCAAGACACAAAGGCCAGACCAGACCAGACCAGACCAGATCTAAGATATGTTGTTGCTATGTTATGTTATGCTTAACGAATCCTCGGGAAAGAAAAAGGTAACAAGGCAGGCGGATCGACGTGAAAACTTTGGAATTTTGGAAACTTGGGGAGGCATATCGCGAAGTCGGACGGGAGTGGAAATAGACTGATGGACGGATGGGCGGATTGATGGACGGACGGACGGGAAGGGAGGGTCGCGAGCCGTGCAATGAAAACCACTTCAAGTAAGGACATGTATCATCGTAAATACGTTAACCTTGGACATGAGTGCCTGATCAATCAAGACGAGCCATCATCTCCTCTTTTTTAAGAGGAGTGAAGTTGTCGATGTCGAGGCCTTGGGCTTGGAGCTCAACCTTGGCGTGTGGTGGGACCAAACGGTGGTTCATCGAGGGAGCGATCGACAACTCTGTGATAGGTTAGCATGCTCTTATATATATACATAGAAAGACTGGCTTACCGTGACGAGTGAAGTTGAACAGCTTGGGCATGTCACGGTGAGGAGCGTTTGGATGACGGGAGTCTGGGAGACGGGTGTTTGGATCACGGAGCTCGTCGAAGAATGGGTGGCAGAGAGCCTCGATGGAGGAGAGACGCTGGGTAGGGGTGTACTCCAAGAGCGCAGTGATCAAGTCGATAGCCTCGTGGGAAGCCTTGCGGAAGACCTGCGCGGAGACGAGTCAGTATGGCCATTCAGCAAACCGGCAGCACGATACATACCTTGTTGAATGGGTGTGGTTTGATCTGGGGGAACTTGTGCTCCATGTAGTTTGGGTTCATGGTGCGAATCTGCTCGCGGGTGGGAGTTCCCAGGATCTTGATAATCTCAACCAACTGGTCGATGCCAGACTCTCCCTGGAAAAGGGGTTGGCCGAGCATCAACTCGCCCATCACGCATCCAGTGGACCAGACATCTATATATGTTAGTACAGGTAGAAGTAAAGTAGGTATAGTAAAGAATGACGTACCAATCTTGGTGGTGTAGTTGGTAGCACCGAATATCAGCTCTGGAGCACGGTAATAACGCGAGCAGATGTAAGAGACGTTTGGCTCATTCTCGACAAGGATTTTGGCGCTGCCGAAGTCGCAGAGCTTAAGGATTCCAGTGCTGGGGTCGAGGAGGAGGTTCTGAGGTTTGATGTCTCGGTGGCAGATGCCCTGTGAGTGGATGTATGCGAGGGAGCGGAAGAGCTGGTAGGTGTACAGCTTGACCTCGAGGAGAGGCATGGTAGTCTTCAGCTTGTTGAAGTACCGCGAGGCACGGTAGACGGTCTCTGGGACATATTCAAGCACCAAGTTGAGGTAGACCTCGTCCTTCTGGAAAGTCGTCGTTCAGTTAGCGAGGGGTCGTCAACAACCACCCACCCTCTCAGCAACCCACAACACCACCAGCAGCACCAACAGAACCGCACCAGCTCTGGTTCGGCTCAAGGTGAGAAAGGACTTACCCTATCACCGTTCGAGTAGTAGAAAGCTTTCAGCTCGACGATATTGGGATGGCGGACTATGCGCATGATTTGGAGTTCACGGTTCTAGCTCAAAGGTCAGTTGTACACTCTGGACAAGATTCTCAAGTGAGCTCACCTTGAAGCGTTTATCTTGGAGAACGCGTTTGATGGCGGCGTCTTCGCCTCCGGGAGACAGTTTGGTCTGAAAGACGATACCGAAAGAGCCATTGCCCACGATCTTGCACTGGGTGTATTGCATATCACGAGTCTCTCCAGTGATGCCATCCTGGACCTTTTCACGAATCACCTCTGCCGCCAGTCAGTACGAAAGTGAAAGTGAACGTGAAGCTAGGCAGCCACGAGCAGCACGAGACACAGCAAGAGAGAGAGAGACTTACCGCCCATACGCAGGCTGGAAAACATCCCAGTCCTATTCTGTGACATCTTGCTTGTGGCCAACACACGGAGCTGGTGGTATTCAAGCGGTTAGAGGGAAGATTCCTCGACGAATCGACTTGGTCTGGAGTGTTTTGGAGGGGAAAGTATCGCGTGTTTCCTGCGAATTGGGAGAGGATTTCGAGGTCTGAGCAAGAAAACCGCACACAACAGGTTAGCGAGACTGTCCCGATGAGTCAAAAGTGAGATGAAGCAGGGCGAGTGCCAGTTGACAGCGGCTCGAGAGCTCACGTATTGAAAACGACCTGTTCGCGGTCCGGGTTTCTTCAATCTCGCTTCTTCGTTTTTCGAGCCTTCTACGAACGGAGAGAGGGAAAGCTGAGGGAGGCTGCAGAGAAGACGAAGGGTAGAAGAAGGAGACCAGAGGGAGGAAGTGAAGGAGGAAGTCAAGTGAGGTGCAGAGAGGAACACAGAACGGCATGCGGCGTGAAGGTGAAGAAGGGAGGACGCCGCGGGGGAGGTTGGTGGTTGGTAGGAGAGCGAGAGTTTCTGGGCTCCACCACTCACACTCAGATACGGAGGACAAGAAGACAAGCAAGAAGACAGATGAAGGGAAGAAGAGAAGATGAAGAAAGAGATGGAGATAGAGACAAGAAGAAGAGAAAGAGAGAGAAGAAGAGAAAGAGAGAGAAGAAGAGAAAGAGAGAGAAGAAGAGAAAGAGAGATGGGAGATACGGTGGAAGGACAGCTAGGGCCAGTACTTACTGTGAGCACCGTATAGCTGTTGCCGTATCTGGTTGACGTTGATGCTGTGAATATACGATGTATGAGGTCGATGTGATGTCGATGTCGATGGATAAGCAGCTACTGCCTGCTGACTGCGTACTCCGTATGCTAACTGCTATGCTATGCTGGCAGGCGTGGGATGGGTGGGGGAAGGGAAGAAGGGAAGAAGGGAGCGAGGAAGAAGGGAGGGAGGGAGGAGGAGGAGGAGAGGAAGTGGTAGTGGAAGTCCTTCTCTCGACCTTCACTCTCTAACTCCCTCTACGCAAAAAGCAAACCGCCAGACAGCTGCCACTAAGATAACTACGACAAGCTACAAAGTACAAGCTACAAGCTATCGATACGGTGACTGCATGGTACGGGATACTTGCCTCCCTCCTTTCGTCCTCCTCTCAGGGACAGCTTCACCGGCTTGACTTGCTACGACTCCTCCTCCTCCGACGTCAGGAGTCCCATCCATCTACTCCGTCTCCGTACAGAAAAAAAAAAGCAGTCACGAGAGAAGCTCAAGGATGGAGATCCGGCGTGGGTGTAGTGGAAATAGCGCTGCGAAGAAGGGGAGTATCGAGACCGGTTGATGCTTGGGATGTTTCTCCTTGCTAACGGGATGATCCTGCACTTAGGTTGCGGCATGGGAGAGCTACGAGAGACGAGACAAGACCAAAAGGGCCCCGTACCTACATGCGGCCGGTGGCATGGTCTTGGTCAATTGACGAACCATCCGCCATCGTCATCGCCATCGTCATCGCCATCGCCGTCGCCGACCAAGCCACGACCACGATACTCTCTCCTACCACCCCCAAGTATGGAATATATCGTGTGCTGGGCTGCATTGTCGGGTGACCAATTGCAATTTTCACCTGGAGCCAGGATAAGCTGTCGGAAGTCACAGGATCGCGTATCCACCGGGCTTGTTCTTGTACCAGCCCGTATACGCCGTAGCTCTGTGCTCGCTGCCATCCTCTCGCCACTATCAGCGCTCGAGGCACAAGCAGCAGCAGACACTCTGTACGGAGCCCGTCAATATATCGAAAAAAAAAAATAAAGACTGCACTTGGACCGAATAACGGCGGCGTCTAGTGAATGGGCGTATTGATAAAATACCGAATGTCCACAGAAAGCCGATTTAGCGGCCCGCTTGGCGGACGACAAGATGAAGTCATCAGCATGGGAGTACCTCTCTCTCTCTCGTCCCTCTTTGGACTCCTCTGTCCGTCCCGCCGTGCGTGCCTGCGTGCCTGTGTGCGTGTGTGCTGCAATTGACTTCCCTCCACCATTGCACAGCGCGTCAGATGGACGGGACGCCGTCACATCATCTAGGTTACCCATCATCAGCAGCAGCAGGAGGAGCAGCAGGAGCAGCAACGGCAGCAGCTTCGGACTCCATATATCATGTCTCTAGTATACACCTAGTGGTAGTGGCGTCCGATCGGCCTAGATCAACCCTTGTCATCCCTTCGTTGCGGGAAGAGCATTGTAAGACACTGCGTCTACACGCGCCAACATATACATCTACTTCCCGGAGAGGACCAAGCCAGGAGAGACGGAGGTCCTTGCCAGCCTGGTCTATAATGCCGGCCGTCTTACCTCCCTGCACATATATATGTCCTATGCGGGAAACGGGAAACGGGAAGCGGAAAACTCATGTCGCCAGATGAGATGACATGCATAACATCTATATCATACATACACTATCAGCAGCCATGGCCTTCTCGCATGTACAAAATGGCCAGGCCAACGGCTCATGGCCTTCTCCAAAACTGACGGGCGGACCGTCGTCTCCCTTCCGTCTCCGATAACCCTGCATACATGTCTGTGCCATCCTATACCATACCTCTCTCATGACTCGGGAGTCAGGACGGGGGGGAGAGAGAGAGTGCAATAAGTATGAGGCCAAGGACGTGTAACCTGGCCATGCATGTCCGTTCCCTTCGAGGGCCGTTACGTTGCCCGGGCCGTGTAACTCCCTTCCCCCTCGCCCCTTTCCCGATCACCACACCACCACACCACCATCACCTACTCACAGACAGGTCCAACAACGCTTGACGCCTGATGCTTGGGTTACTGGGTAGGCTAGCTAAGCTCTCTGCAGGCTAAGTTGTCGAGTGAGTGGCCGGTCTCGGTTTCAGGAACACAGCAAATCAAGGGCAACCGATAGCTTCAGCTGCCGCATCAATCTTAACATCATCGTGCATATAACAACGGGGCTATAAATCCGTTGACTATGATCTCCTACGCCTATATTTCTCTTGGATTTTTGTAACGTAGATCGTCCCCGAGGCAGTGCTACATACACTGCCTGTGTGCAAGTTAAAGCAGCCCATCCCTTGCACCGTCTACGCCGTCATATACTACAGGAGTATACTCCGTACCAGCACAGGTGTAAACAAAGACGATGGCGAGAGCGTGGGATATCCTCCGCGCATAGCACAGTCCAGCCACAAACCAAATCAGAGGAGCTATCGATATTGCCCATCCCTCGACACGCCACATGCACGCACTCAGCCAGCTTCTCAACGTTTACGAGATAGAATGACATCTTCTCGCCTCTTATCCAGGAAATCTACAGCCGACGAGACGTCCAGATGACAATTATCACAGCCTTATGAAACACCGCACGATCCTACTCCCGCAGAAACCCTGCTCATTGGCCTGATACGTTGCCTTCTCGACGACCATCCGCCATCCCCGGCGTGATAACTATGGAAGCTCCGAGCCCGCCTGTCGGGTCAAATACGATCTATTCATAAGCTCGAGCTTGAGCTCTAGTTCCATCCTGCCAACTTCACGCCACGATATCGTATATACATGCATCACGCCTGCGTCATGGCGTGGCCATCCAGCCTGACCTGACACTGACCTGACATGGCCTGACATGACCTGCCCTTGCCGACCTGAGCTACTGCACTGCACAGGTACAGGATACAGGATACAGGTACAAGGTGGAGCACAAGCGAGCCATTTTTCCTTTCCAAACGATTGCACGGATTATTAATAGCTCTGCGGTCTCGGTCTCGGTCTCGCCTTGTCTTGCCTCGTCTTGCTTCAAACGAGGGACACACTGACGTTGACCTCTCTTCCTTTACGCTTCAACTTCGGTTTCTCACTGCTCAGGTGATCGCTTTAGGCCCGAGAGAACGACAGAGCTAGCGCAGAGCCATGCACACAGACAGCTTAAGAAATGGGACCCCCCTTCTTATATTTTCCCACTTAACCTTGTGCTCCATCCGTACCTTGACCTTGTGCCAGAGTCAGAGCAGAGGTACCGACCGGGTTCAAGCCCTTGTTACGCCGATGAAACGGACGAACGGACCAGCAGGAGACGAGGACGAAGACCAGGAGGAGAAACGAAAGAACAAGCATGGCAGGTGGACAGATACGAAACGGGCCTTTCGAGACGCCGGTTTATCTGCATAATGCACCTAACACCAAACGGCCATCTATGTAATGCATCTGCAGCTTCATGTCGTATTTCTTTTGCGCTTTCTCATCCGACGACCATCTCGCAGCATACTAACCAGCCTCGCCCTACTTCCAAACCACAGGAAAGAAGCGAGACGAAAACTCAATTCCTTTGTTCGGCTCGTGCGCTGCTATTCCTTTTTTTTTTCCTTTTCGTTTCTCCTGGCCTGGCTCTCCTCGTTCTTGCTGGTGATCGATGGGGGCGCGGTAGGATGGGAGGGCAAGACCGCTTTGCTTTTTACATCCATAGCTTACCACGAGCTAGGTTCCATGGGTCAGCTTGAAGAAGCTGAGATGGTCAGGAACTGGACCACGCAAGGCCTATATTTATAACCCAGCCGTGTCACGGAGGGGAGAATTAAAGAAGCATTAAAAAAAGAAATGTAGGCAGTAAAAGGGCAAATAGATGTTGATAAGGGTGGGCTTCAATACCCGCAGGTGGTTCCCCCCCCAGTCGAGTCCAAGTCTGCCGCCCCAAACTAATCGTCTTACTATAATGTTAAGTTATAGGCAATAGTTGGGGCCATAACGATGCATCATCGTCTCTAGACAACGACCACAGCAAAAGTATCTGGTACAGAAATCCTCCCCCGTATAAAGTAACCTCATGTATACGATGAACGACAAAGTACTGTTCGAATTGTCCCTTTCGGCCCGTATGCCGCCAAGTGGTGATGATGCAATGTAAATCAACAATTAATTGCTCAAGGGAAGCTAGATGTGTCAGATGATGGCATCGAGCTGTCAGGCCACTCCCCTGTCCCTGTCGTCTCTATGCAATAACGTGGTACATAATATAGGTACATTCATGCACGATCGGGGCTAGGGGTGAGCTGATTTATCGAAATCGCCGTGTATATGCTGTTCCGTGTCCATTGCCTTTCGTTATCTCAGCAGGAAGGGGGAAGGGCGTATAGCATAAACCCGTATATCCATGACATGACCGGTCTATATGCAATGTCGATAGTGGGACATGCAGTGCGCTTGTTCCTCTCTCTGGAAGCCAAGTACATTGCATAGCCACGTATATATTGTCTAGTATGGAGATGGAGACCTTTTTGCTAACTGCCCAGCAGCATTGGGTAGATTCCATTATCCGAATTGGGAGCAGGAATGTTAATTAGAGTGCATCCCACGACGCATTGGATGCCAGGGACAGGGACGGGGCCGTCTTGCGCTTCGGGTTGGCTTTGGAAAGGGGTATACGGCCCGAGGTATTCGAGTTACTTGAGGCCTCAGGGCAGGCCAGGGTTGCGGGGTTGATGTTAACAGTTGATTGAAAATGGTAGCGGATCGTCTGTATCTTGTTGGACGGGGTCGTGTGCATGGTGATAGGGAGCTACAATCGTTGACCCGGGGATTCACAGAGATATATATATATATATGATATATTAGCTGGTAATCGATTTATCTGAAACCTCCATTCACGCAGCGCTTCAAGTGGAAGAATCAACGCATACAAACAAACAAAAATCAAGTCATGTTATTTTACATTCCTTCCTTCTAAGTTTTCGAGACAAGAACAACCCCGGAGGAAAGACAAAGACAAAAGGGAGAGAGACAAGAGGAAAAGAAAAACAGCCTCAGCACACCACAATCCGTTCCCATCTGATTTGAACCTCATATCCCATCCCCTATCCGCACACAACACAGGCGGTAGATAGGCCAGCGCAGGAAAAACACGATATCGTACGTCAGGAATAAAAATAATAGTTACCATTAAAGAGTAACGTGGTAAAAGTGGTTTTGTTAAGACAGGAGAGTAAAAAGAGAAGAGAAAACGAAAACAAGGGAAGAGCTCTATACAAGATGAAGTTCCATACACCTGAATATAACTGCCTGGACATTTATGCATGGGAATGAGAGAAAGGGATCTTCGAGGGTTCATGGAGATGGGTAAACCAGAGGGCCTGGATATGTTCTCATGGAGCGAATACCACGGGGGAAAAAGAGGCTGTCATGGTAGAGATATTAGAATGGGTATGTGCGGTATATGGTCGTCATGAATGGCTGATGGTTGAATGCGGTCTTGTTGGGCGTTTAGGAAGGACTCAGGAGCTGGAGCGAGGTTAGGAGAGGCGAGGTTGGATGGAGTTCCCTGACTTATATTTAGAAAGGTGGTGAGACGCTAGATAGCTCGCCGCTCTCTTGCTGTTCCATCAACTGCTCTGAAGCCATCTCGAAGGAGACAGCAAGACCAATCTTGGCAGTTTGCTATACAAATAAGAGGTTAGTGACCCGCAACACAAAGCGATTATTATTGTTTAGATAGACTCCTTACCTTGACTTGGTCTATTTCACCAGCAAAGGTGAGAGAAATTGGCATGGCAACCCTCTTCTCCAGTAGACAGCTCAGCTTTCCAGCGCTGTCAATCTGGGCCCTGAAGGTAGATGCTCTGAACTCATACTTGGCTCCGACGGCCGTGGTTCCCTCTCTCTGCACACCACCGCCCATCATTGGGTTGCCGCTTGGGGTGAATTGAAGGTTCATGTCCACACCGGCCTCGACTTTATCGGACAGCTTCTTCCAGAACGAGGCGTTGAGGGTGCCTTGGGCCTGTAGCTGGGCACTGGCAATCCAATCCATTCCCTTGTATCGTGCACAGTATGATAGGGCGGTTTCTGGTCGGGCACCGAGCCCGGCACGCTGCCACATGGCCTCAACTCCCAAAGCCAAACCAGGGGTGATGGACTGCAAGTAGCTTCCAATGTAGATACCCGTGAGGCCACCCTCCAGAATCGATGGGTTGAAGGCCTTGAGCGATGCCGAGAAGTCAGCTCCGGCGTATTCATTATCAAGCTGCATGAGTCCCTGTGCGGCACCGGGCATTATCTGGACGTTGGCTTTACTGATCAAGGACGGGGTCCAACGGTAATTGGCAACTGCGGCGAGAGCTCCGTCGCTGCCAATGTTTCCCTGCATAAGGACCTACAGACATATAGAGGTTAACTCGAGTTCCGCGGCGCTGCTTGGGGAATGCACTTCAAAGGACGACTTACATCGGAGGTGCCAAACATCGTGGAGAAGGCATATGGGGGCAGATTGCCCTGAGAGCCCATGGTAAACGCATGGGAGACTCGGAAAAGAGGCGAAACTCCAAAGACCTTGGTCAAATCGGCGCGGAGGCCTGTGAACATGAAATTGGAAAGTAGGACTTCCTTCTGGACTTCACGAGCAACCATCTCGACAGTGCCGGGATTCGATAGCCCAAGGTCCTCTCTCCGCCGGGAAAAGGCATCGTATGAATCTTGTATGGCTGCCACGGCAGGGTTATCGATCAGAAATGAGAGGGAAGAAGCGAAGTCGGCCATGTTGACGGCTTGAAGACGACAAGGGAACAGGAACTGGCACGGTGTTTAAAGACAGAAAAGTCGCTGAGTGCAAATTAATAAAGAAAGACGCAGTCCTGAACGAGAGATGTTCGTCACGGCCTGTCGGACTGTCGGATGGCAATTGGCGATCGGGCTCCGGGTCTGCTTCGTTGCAAGCTCGTCGGTGTTGAAGATGAAAAATGAGGTTTTGTTGAAACTTCTTTTTCTGCGTATCCAAGGCCTGCCAAGACTCGATGCGCACTAGCTTCTTTGGGCATCCTGACGTTCTGCTCTTTACTTCCACCTTGCGAACTTCACGACAACCAACTGAGGACTCTGTCGAGAGATAGGACGCTGGCAGGCTTCTAGCTGGATCGTCGGCTTACAGAACTGCTGTTGTTTGCGTGCCGAGTGCGCTGGGGTTGCTGTTCCTCGTTACTTGCTACCCTGGACCCCCGCATGTTTCCTAGTTGACCTGCTATCAAGTCCGACTTCCCTCTGATATTAATCTTGCAGCAGTTGCCTTCGAGGATAGATTTTTCTCGCGTTGAACTATTCAAGCGCATAAACTATAGAGCATAGCTGTGTGGCATCGCCATGGATACCCTACTGTACGTCTCCCGGTCTCGGTCTCAGATGCATATGCTGGGGATGATATCTACCACTGGAATGACATATTGGCTTTGACCGCTGCATGTCTAACGATGCATAGAACCGCCGATGTCGTTGCGAGCGCACCTCGTTTTCGGCGGAAGTCGTCAACTTTCGTTGATGCTATCCATGATATGCCAGAGAAGCCAGCACTTGCACCGGCGCAACTATACAGCACGGAGTCCGGCCGTCTCTTTCATTCTGGGCGGATTGTGATCATTACGGTTGGACTGCCAGCTCGGGGCAAAACGTCAGATACCCTCGATACTCCTTCTAGTGACAACTCATGCTAAGACGTTCATCTTCTAGTCATATATCAGTGGCTCTTGCTAGATATCTTCGATGGTATGTATATCGAAGCCTAGTAGCTTGAAAACGTGATAACTGCTTCTGGCTTACTCCTGAATATAGGCTAGGAGTTAAAACTCGCATATTTCATCTTGGAGACTACAGACGGGCGACGGTTGGCCCGGGTGGCGAACTACCTGAGGACTATTTCTTTGCAAATGGTGAGCGTAGTTTGTCCTCGGGCTCTGAGAAAGATCATTCTAACGACTCACGCAGCATCTGCTTCGTCTGTACTCCTCCGACAGAAGATCGTCAAGAGATGCCGTGAAGATATATACAGGTTTTTGAACCACGAGAACGGCCAGATTGCTATATACGACGCCGTTAATCCGCTTGCTGCAGGTAGAATATCTCTCTCAAGAGAGTTCGCAAAGCAAGATATAGAGGTATGATGACATCCATGAGTTTTGGAAAAGGAAAGCTAATTATGTAGACATTATTTATTGAATCGTCATGCAGTGACGAGCGTATCATTGAAGAGAACGTACGAAGAGTGAAAATTTCATCTCCTGATGTATGGGCAATCCACCGGATTCTCTCTCTAAGGTCACTTGACTTACTTTTAAATTCTAGTATGTGGGATGGAACTCTCAGGATGCTGTAAAGGATTATCTAGCTCGAATTTCTGCGAGGATCCCCCTCTTTGAAACAATGCAAGAAATAGAATTAAACTACATTAAGGTACTTCATCATCCAATGCCCATATCTGAACTGAAACTGACAGTTTGATAGATGTTCAATGCTGGTGAGAGGATGATGATAAACAACCGTGGATTCGGTTACCTCCACCATCGGATCGTTTTCTACCTTTTGAACCTACATATCAAAAATCGCCGCACGTACTTTGTCAGGGTATGGTTTTTTTAGCCTCTTGCTATCCTTAGTCACCTACTTACTTATTCAATAGGCGGGGACTTCTATGGAGGCAGACTCTTACAAAGCAGATTCACCACTCTCGTCGATAGGGGAAGACTATGCCCGCAAGATGACCGACACCCTCCTTCGACATCGTGAGGAGGAGAGAAAAGTGTTGTTAGAGCAAGGCGAACCCGACCCGCAACTCCGACCCCTCATCATTTGGTCCTCGACTCGGCGCAGAACCGTACAGACGGCCCAATTCCTTCGTCTGCAGGGTTATAAAGTCCGCCATCGGTCGCAAATGAGCCAGTTAAACCCTGGAGTATGCGAGAAGATGTCTGAGGCACGGATCCGACGGGAATATCCAGACGAAGTTGAGATGCATGACTTGGACCCGTATCATCATAGATATCCTAGAGCCGAGGTAAGTGGTTTATAGAGCTATACGGCGTCGATTATATATACTGACACAGATATAGTCATATCACGATTTGGCAGTGAGGCTTGAGCCTGTAATTCTTGAACTGGAACGTGAGCAGAACGATCTCCTTATTATTGCACACGAGAGTGTTTTAAGGGTGCTTTACGGTTATTTGATGGCGTGCAACTCCACCGATATCCCGTTCCTGTCTTTCCCACGAGACCAGATTATAGAGGTAAGGGACATGCATTTCAACCCGTTGATTCATTCATAAAGCATCTCACCAACGACTCTATATAGATAATTCCCGCCAGTTATAATAACCAGGCGAAGCGTATACATATTCCCGACCTTCCGCCAGAGATCATTCCAGGATCACCAGAGGACATTAAAATCCCCGTCCCACCGAGCGGTGTCGTCTCACCGATGCCTGGTGGCAATCTGGATGGCTCTTTCGAAAGAGGAGCAACTCCGCAAGCCGGCTTTAGGACGCTCAAGGACCCAGAAAAGATTTCCCAGCATCATGCTGAAGATGTTGTCTGAGAGTAATGTCGATCGCCCTCCGTTTATACATCAGACCATGTATGGGTTAGACAAATTTCATCCTTTCCATCTTATTGTTATACCTTTCTTTCAATGAAACTGCACACATGGCCTTTCTATGAAGTTGATATCTCCATACCAACAATTACCCTCCATGAAGAGTAGATACGAATAGAATGTTATCTCCCTTTTGAATCTCATATGCGTCCTCTCCTTCCAATTCCCAATCGGCGTCGTTTATCAACACCAAGATGCCGGGTCGTCTAAACCATGATTTGAGAAAGAATGTCAGTAAAATGATCATGCTAGAAGTTTTAGCCATCACAAGGAGTGCCGAGTACTAACACTGCGTCATCGACCACGAAAAGCTCCTTTCTCTGGTCTTTCATCACATTCTCGATTAAGTATTTCACCAGGTAGCTAATGTTTGCAGGTGCACCATTGAAATCCTGGGGCGGTAACGCAATTTTATGAGTGCGTTCATTCGAAAACAACATCTCGAGGCCACCGCTATAGTAGTTTCGTAAAAGCGAGTCAGTTCATACTTCATTGGTAGAGACATGCGATTCACTTGGGAAGGACGAACGTGAACTCTACTGTGATATCGAGAGAAGTTTTGCTCTCGACATGGTTGACATCATCAGCTGGAATCGAACCCATGATTATTGACTAAGATGAAAAAGTGCTATCCGCGAATATATACGCTCTTGAGATGGGTTGCAACTGGTTGATGCGATGCCATGGCGGGGAGATAGAAAATCTCTTATCGATAAGGTGGGATTAGTTTAGCTTGGGTCGTTGATAAACTTTAGTTACTTTCGTGATCGCAATAATTTCAGGATAACAACCACCTACCCTGGGGGATACCAGAGTGAAACCATTTATCTGATATTTTAGAAAGGGTTTTAGGGCCAATTCGCCATTCATGGTATCCATTACAACGGATTTCATCAGCGCCGGAGGCAACAGGAACCCAGAGGCAGCAGACTGGCACCATCAGTCTGGGTTACTAGCCTTCGGTGCGAACAATAATGTTGCTATTTGGAATCCTTCAGTAAGTATATGGTTACTGTTTCTTTAAGAGATAAATGACCGGAAAGCTAACTCATGACTGGCACTTTAGGACCAACATGACAGAGGTGTATATACACTGCTTGTGGGCCACACGGACAAAGTAAACGCTGTCAAATTTTATACATCTCCCACCAATGGATCGATCCTACTCATTACAGGCGGTAGTGATCACACTATACGAGTATGGAAACCGGACACTTCGACTCCGCCTAACTTCTCACAAGTGGCGGTCGTGGAAGGTCAACATAAAGGCTCTCTCAACTGTATCGAGGTTGCAACTGGATCGGATATCTTTGTTTCTGGCGCCGCAGATGGGACAGTCAAGGTATGGAAGATGGTTGAGGAGGGAAACAACGTACAATGCAAGCTATTACAGAGCATTTCATTGAAACCTCGATATTTCCCATTGGCTATGGCACTGAAGCTACTATCCAGCCAGGGTTCCGTTGAAAAATCAGATGGAATGGTATTGGCGGTTGGAGGGACCAGGGCTTCTGTTCAAATCTACTCTGCGCAGGATACCAATGATCTCAAATTCGAGCTGAACGCTACTCTAACTGGTCACGAAAGCTGGATCCGTTCCCTTGCATTTTCGCCTGGAAGTGGTAGCGTGGGCGCTGAGGGAGAGCCCACAAAGTCACGAGATTTCTTACTTGCGTCATGCAGTCAGGATAAATATATTCGTTTATGGAGAGTGAGCCCTGGAGAAGGTGCAGCTCCAGCTGTACCAAGGAACGTGGAAGATCAGCTCTTGGCCGGTGCAGAAGGGGCAACGTTGACCCCGAAGGCACATCGATTTGATATGAACGGTGCCAAATACTCAATCACATTTGAAGCTCTCCTTTTTGGCCATGAAGATTGGGTTTATACCGTAGCCTGGAACCCGGATCCTCTCCACCCACAGCTCCTATCCGCTTCCGCTGATAATTCTCTAGTTATCTGGGAGCGGGATCCAATTGCAGGTGTCTGGTTTTCATTGTCGAGAATGGGAGAAATTAGCTCCTTAAAGGGGTCTACTACCGCAACTGGTAGTGCTGGTGGGTTTTGGATTGGTCTTTGGTCTCCATCTGGAGATGTTGTTGTCTGCCTAGGCCGGACAGGGAGTTGGAGGTCATGGCGACATGATGCTGCGGCAGATGCATGGCTACCCATACCAGGGATTACTGGGCATGTTAGGGCAGTTGGGGACATTGCATGGGAGCCTAGTGGGGGATATCTTCTATCTACCAGCGGCGACCAAACGACGAGGCTCTATGCTGAGTGGAAGAAGGGCAGCCATCACTCGTGGCATGAGTTTTCACGACCCCAAATACATGGTTATGACCTAAACTGCCTTGCACCACTAGGTCCATCTAGATTTGTCTCCGGTGCAGACGAAAAACTTCTACGAGTCTTTAATGAAACGAAAGCAATTGCTAACTTACTTACACGGCTGAGCGGGTTAGCCCAACCTTCTGATAATGAGGACATGCCGGAAGCTGCCAGTATTCCAGTCTTGGGCTTGTCTAATAAAGCTATGGATGAGGAAGTTGCTGGAGACGAAGAAATGAATGAAGCAGGAGGGCAAGGGGAACAACAACCAGCACAATCAGAGGTGTACAATCTGGAGATCGACCATCCACCGTTGGAGGACCATCTAGCTAGACATACCCTTTGGCCTGAACATGAGAAACTGTACGGCCATGGATACGAAATTTCGGCCGTTGCTGCGAGCCACGATCGATCAATCGTCGCAACTGCCTGTAAAGCCAGCTCTATCGACCATGCAGTCATTCGTCTGTATGACACCTCGACGTGGAATGAAATACGGCCTCCCCTAACCGCACACTCGCTGACGATAACATCTTTACGATTCTCTGCTGATGATAAGTATCTCCTGAGCGTCGGGCGTGATCGACAATGGGCAGTGTTTGAACGAGATCCGGTCGACAAATTATTATTCAAATTATTAACTTCTAACCCCAAGGGTCATTCGAGGATGGTACTAAGTGCAAGCTGGGCACCGCATCCAACAGCTACGGTATTTGCTACTGGTGGCCGTGACAAGTCAGTCAAGATATGGTCTCAGGAAGGAACCTCGTTCGTCGCGAAAACTACGATCCCTGTTACTCACCCCGTTACTGCTATCGATTTCCTGCCTATCACGGCGCATGACGCTCTTTATCTCGCCATCGGAGAAGATTCTGGCCGGATAAGCATTCGTAGGATCGAGTTAGAAAGCCTAGAGGCAGGAGCAACGATCGTGATCCCGGAAGAAGAATGTCCATCCAAGTCCATTACCCGGGTGGCATGGAGGCCAGTGAAAGGACTATTAGACGTGCATGGAGAGGATGTTGCAGCTGCCGGCAGGAAACCTGGATGCCAACTTGCAGTTGCAAGTGAAGATGCTTCGGTTCGTATATATAATGTTGATAGCCTTCCAACGTAGGTTATCTGGCATCTTTGTACAAAAGAGGGTGATTATCTACAATCGTGAAAAGAAAGACAATGTTCTAGAGAGAATCAAAAGAAAGGAAGGAGAAAAAAGACCCTGATATCTATGGCGTTGAGGCCGCGCCTATGCTCGAATGCAACCACCCAAAGGCATTAATAGCAGAAAATAAGAAAATTCGTCTCACCGTTAAGGGTTGAGGTATTTATCTTCCTCGAATCGCAACCATCCCCCCAATGTGCGGGCATATACCTGCTCATTCGTTCCTCGTTATTGTTTTAGCCTCTGCTGGTCTACCAGGGCGAGGTCCACGCTCGCTCATATCCTTCCTCAGCCATTCGATGACCAGTTCACCCAGCTGACTGTTCTCCGACATGCGAGGGCGGTTGTTATAGAACTTCTCCATGGAGCCCCAGTCTCTTACCTTGCCCATGTGCATATGGACCAAATGAGTAGGCCACTGGGCAAGGTTGTCTAGGATATGCGTAGCGTAGACGATAGTACAAGGCCTCCTTTCCGTCTCCCGTTTTAGAAAATCCAGGAAGTTGCTTCGACTCAACAGATCCAGATCAACCGTGATTTCGTCTAGCAAGAGTAGATTCCATGGTCTCAATAGGCCCATGGCAAGCTGGACACGCCGCCTTTCTCCATCTGACACTGCATGCATGTGCCATGACATATCGATATCGAGTATGTCAATCAGTTCATCCCTCCGTTCTGTGTAGTAATCTCCTCCGACGGATGCGAGTAAAGTCGGCACATCGATATCACTTCGAACGATAGGGTTAAGGACCCATTCGGTACCGAGATATGTAACACCTTCGAGACCCTCTTTGAACGGGTCGACACCCCCGATGACGATGGAACCGTTTGGCGCGAGCCGTTTGCCTGAAAGGAGCCTGAGGAGCGTACTTTTACCTGCGCCATTGGCTAGATAAAGAGAAGCAAGAACAGAGCAAAGATCGTTTAGAAATGGTTATGAAGTACTTGTCTCGATAAACGGTTTATTGAGGGAAGAAGGCGACAAAAACAAGGTTGGACATGCTAGGGGATTGAGAGGGAACGGGAAAGGGAATCTGCTTTACCGCCAATCAAGAGGGTTCGACTACTCTGAGGGAGGTCAAGAGAGAGGTGTGAAAGTCCTGTCGAGCCATCGGGGAATAGGTAATTGAGGTCGCTGACCTTGATAGTGGTGTCCGGAGCGGCGGAAGGAGACATTGTATGAAGAGGACGCTGGGTCTGCGTGTGTATAGTCCTAATAAAGAATCTACAACGACAATCGGGAATTTCTCTTCCAAACTTGAGAGCAGATATCTGGGAATGACTGTATTTATACCTCTTCTCCCTCTTCGACGTTTTGATTAATTGCTTCCACCTTCAAGGGCGAGATTGAGAGACACGTGAGGAGATTTATAATCACCGTCGAGGGGCTGTTGTTTCAACTTGCAACTTTCATCCTCGACCGAGAGCGAACTTGTCTTCGTGTTTTTGATAGTGAGACAGCTAGGGGTAGTAAGGGCATCGACAGAAAAAGAACCGATTTCAACATAGAAATATATTGAGCTGCCGAGAGTTGAACGAGCATATAATATATCCTGGAAGTCCAAGACGCTCTTTAAACATCGTCTACAGTATAAATATAATGATATAGAAACTTGAGCTTGCTAAGCAGAGCGTCTCTGGTTGCAGAACTCTCGAGAAGACTTGAAAAGACATTTATATGCCGTTAACCAGGCGTATTACCATTGTTACTACTCTAAAAGTCGAATATGTAATTTATTTTACAGCCTCAATACGTTAGTTTAAAAAATACAGGCCAGGCTTTTTTCACCTAAAAATGTTTTGCATATCAAGGTAAATTATCATCAATTTGCATTTTTTTTTGTAGCCTTTAGGGGACGGGCAAGTTGTTAATACCGTTATGCTAGCCCTCCTTCGATCATTCATGGCGTCTCCAAAACCGCCAGTGAGGCCTCTAATTGCCGTTGTTGGTGCTACCGGCACAGGAAAATCCAAGGTAAGTAACGATGAGTTGCCCATTCAACTGCTATAGTGTATAGCAAGAGTTTACTGAACTCTGAATAGTTAGCAGTTGAACTTGCAGTCCGATTTAATGGAGAGATAATCAATGCAGATGCAATGCAAATGTACAACGGCCTCCCAATCACCACTAATCAAATACCCGTTGAAGAAAGACATGGGATTCCACATCACTTGATCGCATGTGTAAACCTGGACCAGAGCCCTTGGAGAGTTGGCCGATTTAAGAAAGAAAGTCTGAAAATTATCGATGAGATTCGGTCAAGGGGGAAGCTACCAATACTCGTTGGTGGGACTCATTATTATACCCAGTCTGTCCTGTTCCACGAACCATTACTCGACGAAGGTGACTCGGACGATGAGATTTCGAAAAAATTGGAGCGATCGCAAATCGATGATACTTCGGTAATAGATCCTGCAAGTAAGGCCGAGTTTTCAATTCTAGATGCTACTCCGGAGGAAATTTACGAGAAATTACGGGAGGTTGACCCTGTAATGGCAAATCGTTGGCATCGTAACGAAAAGAGAAAGATTCGTCGATCCTTGGAAATTTACCTACAAACCGGGCGACCCGCTTCAAAGATATACGAGGAACAGAAAAGGAGAATTAGACAGGTCGCGCCACAGGAAGATGATCTCGGCCTGAGAGCCGAAGAATCAGACTCAGATCCAGACTCTCAGCTTGGACAAGCCAGGTTTCCCATTCTTGTCTTCTGGGTGCATACCGAAAAGGAGGAATTACGAAAACGGTTGGATGGGCGTGTCTACGGAATGATAGACCAAGGTCTACTCGAAGAAGCTCGGCATATGTTTAAATATTTACAGGATAGGGCATCGGAAGGGGTGGAGGTTGATCGAACGCGTGGAATTTGGATGTCTATCGGCTTCAAGGAATTAGAGCCTTATATCAAGGGCTTGCTTTCAGCCAAGGAGGAATCAAATCCTGAACTTGACGCATTGAAGGACGAATGCATCGAATCAATCCAGTCTGCCACAAAACTATATGCTAAAGAACAGCTGAGATATATAAGGAACAAACTTTGGAAAGCTCTGGGAACTGCCGGTATAACCGATCGTCTATATATCGTCGATTCAACAGAAGTGAAGGATTGGGATACTATTGTTCGCCAGCCTGCTGAAGATATTGCCTCGAAATTTCTTTCTGGGAACACGCTCCCTAATCAAAGTGAGACTTCGATCGCTGCAAAGGAGTTCTTCGCGTCGACAGATGTCACAAATCGCTTTGAGGTTGATGATATCCCCCAGCGGATGCAATGCGAGACATGCAACACTACTATCGCCGGGGGGGATGCTTGGTCTGCCCATCTTACAGGGAGGAGACACAAGAGGGCGTTAAAATCGGTTAAAAAGAGAAAGCACCGAGATGAATATCTTAAGAGGCTCCGGGATGAGTCTAATGACACGTCTTCTCTGACCGTAAAAAACCAACTGTCTTCCGGGGTTATGGATCCGGAATCTAGCGATACCAGTTTGCCTTTATAATGTCACAAGGCTCAGTATCTCCCAAGATTGAAAAAGATCATCAATAAACTCTTAATTCTGCGACCTCCACTCGATAAATTCTGGAGTAAGAATATTTCCGTGGCCAGTTTCTTGAACTTTACAAACCTCAATATGGTTAGACTTTGCTGCCTTTCGAATAGTCCATACTCCATCCGAGTTCACGATGGTCTTCAACCCTGCATTATGCATTATTTGCATTAGCTAGCATGCCTCAAAAGGGGGGGAATTATTGGATATACCACATACAAGCTAGAAACTGGGATGCAAAATTGATACATATGTTTGCATCCCAGGTACGTGCCCCTCTCTTAGGGATATTTGGGATTTCGTCCGTGGCGTACTCCTCCAGCGCTAGAAGAAATCCATCCTGGTCCCGGCGCCCAACTATTATTTTTGGAACTCCAAGGAGGAACGACTGGACCCAGAACTTGAGAAGCTTGCGCTCAAAGTTCATAGCATCATTTGCATGGCGGATTGTTGCAGATGTCTTGAGCTCTACCCAGTTGATTGGATCGTCCTTTTTGTCTGGCTTGCAGTCCCACACTGCGACGTAATCATATCTATGTGAACATATTGCATCGTATAGGAAGGGAAACAAGGGTCCGGGTTGTGTTCATACCTGCATCAACCTCCCCGGCAAGGAGCATTCTGATGTTTCCGATACCAGTGCGGGCAAGGGAACAGTATTGAGGATTGTTATTGACAACCTCACTTTCCCGAGCCTCAATGGTTTCTCGTGAAGCTGCATCCCAGGGCTCAGAAAGTACGGAAACAGTTTCGAACTTGTACCCTAATTGTCAAATCTTGAGTAGCCCGAACGATAATGGTTATTATAGGGGTTAACCGGCAACACATACCCCAGTAAGACATCATATCAGACGAATGTGCTCCAGGACGCACTCTTCTATTCCCCTGTTCTTTAAGTCGTTCAAGGTGGTAAGAGTGAGACTCTTCAATAAAACTATCACCTCGAAAAGAGTTTAATTAGTAACTTTGATATGGATAATTTAGTTAGTGGGATCTTACATTTGGCCCTTCAAAAATACAAGAACATCAGCCGAGTTCTACTGTAAGCTGCCCAACTACAACGAGAGGGGGTTTATGTTGGCCCACTTGAAAACAGGTAGCATTCATTTCGAATCTAATGTAAAAATAGAATAGTTGATTAGTTCTTCAGTTCAGCAATATCCAAGAGGTGTTATATTACCCATCCATGGTATCATAAGGAGCGATGAATATCTTTAAACAAGTTTATTAGTATTTCGTTTGTATGATGATAATGCAGATCGACTTACCTTGGTCATCATTCCTCTCCAGGTAACAAAATCCATATCATACTTTCTCTCTTTCTCCTTCTCCGTTGCGATGATTGTGTCAAGAAGGGCATTAAGATGTTTATCATCAGACTCATCACGTTGAATAAAAGTATCGAACCCTGCCTTGAGATCTACCGGCAGTTTCGGGGGGTAATAGTAACGAAGGGCCGAATCATCGAGACGAAAACGGTGCCATTCATCATAGGAGAAACACGCAATCTCCTAGGCGTAATGTAAACGAGATATCTAGTTAGCCCAATGCAAGGCATAGGGAACAAAATAATACGCATTATCGTACTCTTGGTCGTTTCAAGGGTTCTGATATCCCATTGAATCTTTCGATGGGTTGGATCTCAAAAACTGCAGCCATGTTGGAACTGTTGCAAGGATGTTAGAACTGACACAACGATAATAAACAGCCTAATATGACTATTCGACTGACACTTATCTTGGGCTGTTCCATCTAAGGGATATCTTCTATTTAATATTTGGCTTCCGGATGAGGCATGAACCATCGGCTGGAAATAGCTATAGTAAGCTGTGTTTGTTACCCAGATCACGATAACGCATCCGGCATGCCCGTAAATAAAGGTATACTCTGTATAGAATAATACCTTGAAGTTATTGTTTACTTAGCTGTTCAAATATCGCCGGCGTTGAAAGAGCTCCAAAAGGTGCAAAACACGTGCTGATTGGCTGTGCTGACGACACTTTTTTGGATGCTTCTTTAACATCTTGTATAAATATGACGAGAGAAACCCGCATCTTCTCCTCCAGGCATCCTTTATCCCCTGTTTAATATTTAATTATTTTGAAAACATTGGATTCAATAACTTTTTCTTGCTTTTGTATCCCTAAGACGCCCTTCTAGCTCTTCTGAGGCGCCCTGAGCTACCCCACATCCGAAGGCGACAGGACAGAGGGAGGCCACCATGACCTCTCGAATTGACAAGACCATTGCCCGGCAGCAAGAAAAGTATGGTTAACTCTTTGAATTGCTATTGGTTTAATCCTATCTTCAAATAGGACCTGTATCGGCCATTGCTGACTGCTCTGTTTCAAATAGGATCGCCGCCGGAGCTTACTATGAATCCCACCAACAGCTCCGTGTGATCGCAGCACGGTACATAAAACAGTCGAATTACGATGCCGCTGCAAATATACTATCTGGTGGAGCGAAGGCCCTGCTACAGGCCGGAGCCCAGCAGGGAGCTTCTGCCAGTGGGGGTGATCTAGCAATCATGCTGGTACTTGAAGTTTACAACAAGGCAGAGTGGGAGGTGGCCGATGACGAGACTGGAAAGGAGAGAAAACGTGCGGCCCCTTGGTCTCTCGTACGGGATGTGTTTAGAAGCTCTAGCTGACCTGTGTTGTTTAGAACGACTCATTGAATTGCTCCAAGAGTTTCCGCCAGAGGAACCAACCAGGAAGAGATATATAAACGAAATTATTTCGTGGAGTTCAAAGTTTGGCGATCTTGAGAGGGGTGATCCGGAGTTGCACCACGCGATCGGGTCAATCCACGCCCAAGGTAGGCCATTTTGTCGTATATTCTTCGAGTTCTGGTTACAAGGTCGAGGATCTGACGGAGGGTGTTTTCCTAGAAAATGAGCCATATGATGCGGAACGGCACTTTGCTTTCGGGACTGTCGAATCTGCCGAGGCTCTTGCATGTCTGGAGTATAATTGGTATACCTACGATGCAATGCACACTGCCGGGATATACTGTTGTCGCGCAGTATTCCCATATCTACTTACGGGTAATATTCTCAATGCGAACAAGGCATTTTTGGTATTTACACGACGACTATCCACATCAGAGTCCGGAAGCGCCCTCAGCGTACAGGAAGTAAGCAGTAAGCAGAATGATGTTCGTATGTACCCGTCTCTGCCACTGCTTAACTTCACAAACCTACTCCTTCTTGCTATCCAACGGGGTACTCCTGATTTATTCAGGCAGCTTCTCAAGCAGTATGAGCCACATATTAAGGAGGCTGGTGGATGGGACCATGCATTGGCCCATATTGGAGAGCTATATTTCGGCATAAAGATACCGAAACAGTCGAACCCTTTGATGGATATGATGGGGATGTTTTTCGGCGGACCACCTGGCCAATCCAACCAGCCCAAGTCCGGCGAGCAGTCCAAAGCGCCAAAAAGGGTGGAGGCCCCGCCATCATTAGACTTAGATTAAGCCCTTGGAGACAAATGATAGATATTATTAGTTTCCTGTTTGTGCAAAATTGCGCCAATTAGTGACCCACCCCTTGTAGGCTGATTTTTCCAGACAGAAATTGGCATCAGGGTGCTAGAGTTTGATTTCCTCATCGACCTCGAACATCCATTTGTCCTCATCAAGTCCTAGTACTCTGTCCCTTAGGTTTTGCTGAACTAATAGAAAAACCTCTAGAGTGACCGTCAGTTTATGTTATGCGCGGTTTACCTCCTCAGCTTTTCGTGAAGCTGCCCTTATAGAAACCACTCGCGTCGTGGCTAGCAGGGATGTTGATTAGGGGAGGTAGTATCACAGAAGATAGCACTTACCAGAGGGTTCACCATTGACATGTCGGCTCCTGTTGTGACGCATCATTTCAACAAAGCTGGCATCGATTTCTGCATCTTCCGTCAGACTTAGATTCTATAGTCAAATAGCTCGGCGTTTCAAACCGGTAGAGTGGCATATGCATGTAGGGGTATATCCGTACTTTCTTTATCCCTTCCCGCAAGCTCGCCTCCCTCTTCAATTGGCATCTCTGCACCCCCTGAATGTTCTATCCCTTCCATTGAATCACCACCCTCACCTTCTTCTCCAAACACGCCGGGCGGTAAGATCGGGATATCCACTTTGTAACACCCATTCTTGTCACGCGCAACAATATCACCACTATCTAAAGAAGATGCGGATAAAGATGTGCCAAGTTTAGATATCGATTTGGATGGCCTGTTTCCTCCAAGAGCGTTTGAGCTTCCATTCGAGCTTGTGGCTGTATCCGTTGGCATGGAAGAGTGGTTATCCGTCGCGGTAGAGGAAGAGGTAGTCGACGCTGGCCGCCGGCTTGTATGAGTGCTTCCGGAGTTGAAAAGTGTCCTTCGTACTGAAGGGAGGGCAGAGGAGGGCTGTGAGGGAGCCATCCTGTGGGCATTCAGTGCCTGTACTGTTGTAGACGCCGTTGACGCGGTGGTTTGTGTCGTGGTAGCGCTACCAGAAGACGGAATGCGTCTGTGTCGGTGTCGCGATGTCATGGTGGGCGCATGTTTTCGTAAGTCACTAGGCGCCGCGATCTAGGAATGTGGCTTCAAGATTTGTGTAACATTAGGAATATTAGGGCGTACTAAGGTAGATCGTCGTAGTAATATTTAGGAGCCGAATTAAAGGAATGGAGGGATAACAGGGTCTCGGGCTAGGAATATATCTAGATGTTTGATATCAAAACGCTCTTCCAACGTCGTAGTTTTTGGCTGTGATAACGTTGAATCACGTGATGATATCTTCTACATGAACTCGAGAATATTATAGTTTAGAGTTAACCCCTTTTTTAGCCTATAGAGCAGACTTTACTATATATATATATAGGGTAGATCCTACTCTTACGAGGAATCGCGAGAAACGCGAACAATAAAGAAACTTTTGTTATATGACTGTATATATTGAATACCCTTTGCCCTTGGGCCTTGATCAGATCAACGAAACTCGAGCCATGCTTGAAACTGGGAGATAACCTCGCTGTAGTATTCTATCTAGCCTTGGTATCGATTCGTCTTCTGCAACGCTTCACCATCAGCCAAGCTTCCTATAAGATCCTCCTGGAAGACTTACGTCAGGTCTGAACCTCTGAATGCCTTTTGGGATCAAGGAGGACCGCAAGCTTGTAGCACTCACGTGGTAAATGTACCGATACTTTCTGGCTGTACAAGCCGTAAGTGATAAACCTATAGAGATTCCGCGATATACGAAGACACTATGTATTGAAAGAATCTGACAGTATTTCATTATTAGGTTATCAATACTTGGCGAGAATCCTTCATGCTCCACTTCAGCCTTGTCTGATCACCCCGGCGGTGTAAGTAAGTACTTATACGCCGTACTTGATCCTACGAAAGCGCATAACAAAACCCTGGAGCAAAGATTTTTGCAAGGGTCGAGTCATATAACTTTCTTAACCTATGTACGGAGTATAAATATTCAGTATCATGCATCTTGGCTACATACATTTGGGCTCTAATACGAGAAATGGGCCGCAACTGCATATACTCTGCTCCTTACATATTGCTAGTAATATCGTATTCTTCCGCGGCTAAAAGAAGTAGTAATAAATACCCCTGCCCTTCTTTGCCTGCACAAATAAATATATCTATCAACTTGTTTATTAAATCAACCGAGCCCACCAGAGCTTCGTGAGTTTGAAGCTCCTGAAACCCAACTCACGGAACTGAGCCAGAAGCTCTGCCCTTGACATTTCGCAAAGATGTCGGTATTGACAATACGACCTAAGGTCTCGATAATGACTGTGCTACTTCTACTGTTGAACGGAGATTCGGTGTAATACTGCCTGATCGTACGAAACACGTTAGTCAACTACGCCGTTTCATTAAATATCAGTGTCAGCTCTCCATCATCGAACAAATGCTACGCCCGGCGTTTTAACGCCTGTTTCAGCTGTAGCTGGCATCTCCGCGATGGCAAGATACATGGCCGTATGAGGAACATAAATAGGAGCTCAATATCGTGTATTTAGATGATCAGTGCTTGATAGATTGAAATCTCATAGATTGCTCCAGACCCACCTGACCAATCAAATCAATCAAATATCTCGTATCTCAGATCTACTGTTAGTCGCAGTGCCAACCGCAGCTCGATCAGCAAACCAATATCGAAGGTTCTTTCCAGCATGGAACGACTACTTGCTTAACATCATCAACAATCACTGCCAGAAGGAACGCGACGAATACTTCGATCTCTCCAATAACAAAAAAGGGCTATCCGCTAACTTGGCCAATTGTCTACTCGGTGGTATGGAGGAATATAGCAAAACCGAGATGGGTATAACTGCTGTGATTTTCGGCCTTCTTCCTACCATGCAGCAGATTTTTGGCCCGACAGTCGCAGAGGTGAGCATCCTCGCCAGCCGCCGCCCACTGCTCTCCCTCCTGCTTGGTATTGCCATGCCATCGGTCAGCACGGGCGGACCACTAGCCAATCCTGCAGAGTCCTTGCGGCGCGCGAGCGACTTCCGTATTTGCTCTCTCATTCCCCCTAAAGCAAGATGGCTCTGGCTGTTGATATCCGCAGCTGAATATCTAATCGGCGCCGCCGCCGCTGCCAATGTGTTATATCAGATATACCAGCTGGCCTACTGGACCATTTCCGTCTCAGCAATTGCGGTGGATAGTGGGCCATTATCAGAGACGTATACGCTCTTTCTCTGGCTTATCCTCCTTGCCCCCCTTCATATTCTTGGCTTTTGGCGCTTTAAGGTACGGTATAGGGTATCTAAAGAGGCTGGGGACCACGAGAAGCTCACAGAACGCAAGTCATGGCTCCAGGTTATTAAAAGCGAGTTTGTGCCTTGCGCTTTGGGCAATCCAATGTTCCTAACAAAGGTAGATAAAGGGCCTCTGTCTATTGCCGTTCAGTGGCTCGCAGACATAGCGGTAACTGTTGTATTTATTTTCAGCACCGTGGCTATGTCAGGCCAAATCTTCATCGGCATGGGCGACGCAGTTCCGGTCATAGCCCGGTTTCTGATGGGCACTTTGGTCAGCCGGCTCATTTTGCTGTTCGAGCTTCATGGACTCAGAGAAGTGACGAGCCAGTCACAAAATAAAGATGTTGTACATGGTGGTTACGAGTCGGTTTGCGGACCGGATGGGAAGTGCGTTCCCACAGAACCTGGACTCTGCTAACTGTCCAATCGTGCCGGCCGATAAGGGGGAGGGTGTACGAGAACAAGACGACGCAGAGAGTGCAGGCGAGGCAAGGCGAGACAAGACGAGACAGGACGGCAGATAGGGAAAATATGAGTATATGTAGAGGAGGAGAGGGAAGAGGAAGTTCGTGTGCGATGGAGGTCGACGGGATTTATATAGATATGAAATGACGTGATGGCAGTTTGATAGAGTCCAAAGGGAGTGTGTTTTCGCCTACTGATTAGCAAGTAAGAAGAGGGAATGTGAGTAAGTAATATAAGGTGACTTACTAGGTGTAGCCATATCTCAATGGATATAGCCAGTCAGCTTTTAAGATGCACTGGCGAGCAACGCTGAGTAAGTGTGAGGCTCCAATGCCTCTCAGGCCGGCCTGCCAGTATCTGTATGAGCTGCAGCCGCAGCTACAGCGTACGTATGAGTGTAGATAGAAGAGGAAAGATGATGCTTGATTGTTGTGCGGGCGATGCCTATACTATTATAGCGGGAAACGAGGCATAAGACGAGGCGTATAACTAACTAGTCGCTAAAGGAAAATAGTGCATCTACACTTCTTCGCTTCCTTTTCTCTCTTAAAACAAAGTGGCTGCACCCTTGAGCAATCGGTGCCAGTCAGGCTTCTCTGCACTGAGAGCAAAGCTGACTTCAGCCATCCTAATGCTAATTCTATCTTTACTGTTCACCACCGGGTCGTCAGCGAGCAACAAGAATGGCCATCCCCGAAGCTTCCGCACTACCGAACCATCTAGCTCATCGATGGTCCTCATCCGTGAAGACTGGGGTGCCGCATAAACCCAGCGGGCTACGCCGGGAGATTTTTCCTGGAGACCTGGGGACTGGTCTCACGAGCATCCACGGCAGTTCGTCAGTAAATGAGCAGAAGAAGCCCAGGCTCAAAAAACGCCGCTCCATTGCACGTCGTTGCAAAGTCTTCGCGATGAAGCACACATGGACGATTCCCCTGGTGCCTTTGTTTGCCTTCCTCTCTCTCTACCTCATCAATCCGACTGAGTCAAATATCATTTCCCGATTCATCTTCCTCTCTTACAAACAGCCGGCTCTGGAAGCGGGCTTGCCTCCGCAATATGGCAAAGGCATATGGGACGTCGCTTTTGTGTTATTCTACGTCATTGTCCTTTCCTTTACGCGCGAGTTAATCATGCAAGAAATGTTGCGGCCTCTGGCACGTCTGGGTGGCATCAAGTCGCGTGGGAAACAGCTACGGTTCATGGAGCAGATGTACACAGCGGTCTACTTCATGATCATAGGGCCTGCGGGCTTGTATGTGATGCGGCAATCGCCAGTCTGGTACTTCAACACTCGGGGCATGTACGAACTCTTCCCCCATCGGACTCATAATACCTACTTCAAATTTTACTACCTGTTTCAGGCTGCATATTGGGCACAGCAGGCTCTTGTCATGATTCTAGGCTTAGAGAAGCCGCGCAAAGACTATAAGGAACTTGTAGCACATCATATTATTACTCTAGCCTTGATTGGTCTAAGCTACCGGTTCCACTTCACCTATATCGGCATCGCCGTATATATAACCCATGATATCAGTGACTTGTTCCTAGCAGTAAGTTAGAACTAAGTTCTTTGACGATATCTCTCGCCTTCTTCAGGGGCTATCTAGACAGGCTATTAACGCAAGATTATTCCAAGTAGATATCGAAATCACTGAATTACGTCGATAGTCCCCTAGCACCACTATCCCTCGCAGGTTGCATAGGGGTGTGGGTTTACATGCGTCACTATCTGAATCTGCGTATTATCTTGTCACTTCTGACCGAGTTTCGGACCGTAGGCCCCTACGAACTCAACTTGGAGACGCAGCAATATAAATGCTGGATCTCTAACATCATCACGCTCGGTTTATTGTCAACTCTCCAAGCTCTCAACATATCCTGGTTGTTCTGCCTTTTGCGCGTGGTATACGGATACCTTGTGTATAAGGTCGCGAAAGATGATCGATCTGAAGCAGAGGAGTCGGAAGTTGAGGAACAAAAGGAGGGGGCAGAAAAAAGCGCCCAAAAATCACTCTCCCTACAGAGTAATAGAAGTATTAATGGCAGTGCAGATGGTGTGGCCAAAGCCACTGCGAACGGAACTGCGTCATCAACTACAAAGAGAAGAAGTGCTTGGTAAGGGTCCAGTATTTTTGTGCTGGCCACCCTATGACGATCAAGATTATACCACAAGTCATCCGTGGTGGTGAGATGGAGTTAAGAGCCAATTGCGCCTCTTTACCGCCGTGTCTGATCCTATAGACCATATTAACATGAGCTTACAAACACTAGTAACTGGTCGCAGTACATACCTTCAATGATTGTTTAGAGGTCGAGCGTCGAGGGAGAGCAAGAGGATTCAACTTATCACAGAACGATATCGTTTTGGTCAAGTTGGCAGAGGAAGTAGAGTGCTAGGTTATCTATCTTCCCGGCCTATAATTTTTAATCATAATACAATATAGTAATGAGATATTCTAACGCCTCGTCTCATTCTTCATAAGATAGGGAGTAGATTGTGTTTAAGCAGTGCTTCAAGCGATAATAACTTATTCCTTGGGTATTAGAAATCTCATCTTAAATACCACCATCGCAATAAGTCGGACAATTAATCATTCATAAAATAGTTAATTCATCTGTTCCCCGGTTCAAAGGAGATGCGAACCACAGGATACAAATAAGAACCTACCCGTTTTTCCAGGAATAGAAGAAGAGAAAGAGGGAGGGCGATTATATCATTTAGCTGTCATCCTGGTAACAAACCAAGGGGCTAGTATAAATCTGGAGTTTAGAGCAACTGATAGCGAGCTTTCGGCTTTTTCGATCCACCAATTGCACAGGACGGAGATATATAGCTTTGCCGTTAGGGAAGTTAAAAGATCCCGTGGTTCTAGAGAAACAACTATCAATTACTCATCCCCCTCAGCATGGGAAAGACTCTTTGCCGTTGCTCTTATATTTATAGCATGGGAATAAGATACCGGCGGACTTCCCTGTTTGAGTCGAATAATGAGGGAATCTTGAAACCACAACATGGCAATCGTACGCCGAAGCCGGAAGACCCGCGAGAGATCATTTACGGTATGTTTTCTAACCCCCAGCTTAGAGTACATTGTAAGTCTGATTTGAACTAGGGTTGCTGGAAGTGCCGTGCTCGCAAGGTTAAGGTACAGCGTCAATATGCCAATAATATGACCATAATTATGAGACGAGCAATCGGTCTGAAACTTGTTTAGTGTGACGAGAAGAAACCGCAATGCTCAGCTTGCCAGAAGCTTGGGCTGCCCTGCGATAGCGACAGCCCGAGATTGGTCTGGGTTGATGGAGATTGGAAGACGTACAAGTCCGAAGGCAGACGGTACCTCGCTTGTGGTTCGTTTGCTACCTATGCATTCATTCTATCCTCGGGCATGAAACGGACTTCAATTAACTTAACTGATTAGAGAAGACATGGGGTGATATCCCAGTTCTACCCTCGGATATTGTTGATTGCTTGATATTCCAATGCGACCAACAGGATGCTGATGCTGGTACCTTTCAGCATATAACTGGAGAAAGCACTCCCTATAACCCATTCACGGTATTTCAAACGAGGCAGTTTCAGACTCCATACCCGCTCTCTTCTTCACAGAAACTACTAAACGATGCGTTACCGGGCTCTCATATGGACGATAAGGGACTCTTCAGCCATTACGCCAATTATGTTTCCTTCGTGATGATGCCGTTTGAACATCCATCCAATCCATGGCGGCTTTACTACCCAGCAGTGGCCATGCAATATAGCTCTTGTGAAGAAAAAGCTCTTTATAATGGCCTTCTTGCCCATTCTGCTTTTAATATGGCAGACCTTGGAGTGCAGAAAGAGAAGATGATAGCACTTGGTATAAAATATTATAATCTAGCCATTAGGCAACTCAAATATTGTTTACGCAGCCCAACCAAGAATTTCGGTCAAACATTTGCTGCTATTTTGACCCTTATGATGGCCGAAGTGAGTGCTCCCTACCTTTTTTTGCTCCTGTTATGTCCGCCACTAGAGCTGAAATTATATAGATCTACAGCGGAAAGCCCAAAAATTGGAGATATCATTTTACTGGCGCATGGGCACTACTACTTGATTATGAACATGGAGAGCCTTGGAGAGCTTCAAACTTTGCTTGTTTCTCCGCACAGAGCCTGTATATCATCAGGATAATAAGCGACACCTCCCTAAGGGGATTTAACGAGCTGAAATTTCCAAACCAACTACCTGACAAAGTGTCGGAAGGGGTTCGCGATTCCGAATGCTCAGGGCCATCTTCCCAACCAAGCCTGATTCACAACCTTCAGGAGTGAGCGGAGAAGTAAGCGTGGCCGCTTCCATCTCTTCGACGGCTAATTTTGGTTTCACAATCGGAGCGAAAAGAGGAATCCTAGAATGCATATCTACCATCACCAGCTTGAGTAAAGAAACGAAGCAAGGCTCGCAGTGGGATCCTGAGGACCGAGAGAGAATATCTAAAATAATATCTGATATTCAGAGCTACGAGGCCCAATCCAGTATTGTCGACCAATCCGGCGTCGATCAGGATGTCAGCTCGGACTGTCGTCTTCATATCTATGAGCAATACCAACATAACGCATTTATATTTGCAACATATATATATTATTTCAGGATGTTGTTTAACGTCCCACCAAGGGAGGTTGCTCACTATGTCTCGCCAGTCTTGTTTAATGTTTTGGCCTTCTATACCCAGTGTGAGGGTAGCTTTTCTATATGGCCCGCCTTCATCGCGGCTGTTGAAGCATACACAGATGAAGACATGGCATCGGCAAGGCGCTGGTTAGAGAAAACGCTACGGTTTGGTCTCGGAAATAGGAATTCTGTGAAACCCATTGTGGAATCGGTTTGGAACAGGCGGCACGAGCTATCGAAGCAACTTGGAATTGAGCCTGGACTGGTAGCCGTGGACTGGAGAGAAGTTATGGCAGACTTGAATTTGGATATACTGCTTATATGACCTCAGCAACTGGTTTGAATATTTACGACTCATTTCTACTCCATAAAGTGATGCTATTGACATTCTTGAGATTTACATGCGAGTCGAAGTGAATGACATGTATTGTCGTATCTCATGAAGAGTTGCCAGTATGGATGCATTAGCTGTTATAAACCAAGACGACCGCCTGGAACTTACAGCATAAGTTGCATTTCAATAATGTATGCTCCTTCACGCGCCAAATTTCCGATGAGCATGCAAAAACAGGATTGTAGCTCGCAACGAGGTTAAAAGAAGACAAGGAGTTTATGAAGCATGGAGGATAACCGGTAATGATAATGAGTGAAATTCTAGGTATGTATTATGTATATATTCACCATCTTATTTACGAGCTGATATTCTCAAGTTTCAAAACACGGGAACAATAGTCCAAACTCTTCTGTTGGGCTTCTGCGTACAATGCCATGCTGTCAAGTGTTTTGCTACCCAAGCACTCTTCAAATCCCTTCTTAACCTCCTTAATCCTCACACTCGGATTTTCACCACCCCCTTTTCCGAGATTCGATCTGAATATACCGGCTGCAGAGAACGGGAGAAAATCTTCATAGGTCAATGGCTCAAAATCTATAAAGCCTTGATCAAGAAGCTCGCTCATTGAGGTTGAAAACGCTGTCGTTTTATTTGGTGCTGTTTCGAGGGCTCTATGAGTTGGCTGATAAGAGCAGAATACAAGCCCTTGTTCACGGAGAGTTTCTCTGTCATCTGGAAACGCAGCAAAGACTTCCTTTAAGGTGCGGTCATAAGCCTTTGCGTCTGCCTTCACACTGCCTACTTCGAGATTGACCTTCGTAAGAAGCTTATCATACAACTCCCGGCCTTTATGGGTCAATGCAGCGCCCCTTTGCTCGATCTCCCCGAATCGGGCTGCGTGTATACCCTGTACCATCCCGTTCTTGGGAGATTTGAACCGAACTTTCTCATGGATGGCTTTAAAGCTAGTCTGTCGGAGGAGGATTGCGTGTTTTCTAGATGGCGGCCCTTCAATCCGTTCCTTTGCTTCCAATCCACGTAATCCCATGACAATCTGTGCTTGATCAATATCAAGTGTTCGGGGTGTGAGGTGATTGATATGGGCGCTCCGAAACGATGCAATATCCGCTAAAAGAGGGTGCTCCTCGTTCAGTCGTTGGTAGTCCTCGTGGCTTGTTGCGGTGATATCATGCCACCGAAATACTTCCAGTGTCTCCTTAACAAATTCGTCTGCAAGTTTAAGCTCAACACCGCCCTTCCTTTCAGCCTCCTCGAGGAGTGCTAGCAGTCGATCAGGGAAGATATTACGTTTGCTCAATATATCCTTCGCGAGGTCTCGAGCTTCCTTCCTTAATAGATCCGGTCTAAATAACGTTGTGAACACCCGGAAGGGGTTCCTCTCCAATGTTTCAGCATCAGTGGGCCGGAATGCAGTGGCATGTAATGGTAATCCGGCCACGCTGAGATCGTAATACCCCACAGGATACATACCGAACTGCGAGAACAAACGTCGAATTATTGAAAGTTCGAAAGGAGTTCCAAGTCGGATTGCCCCATGCCGCTCAAGCGTCAACCTATGGATATTATGGATATCAGACAAGCCATTTCTCGATCCTGTGCTTGGAGAGGTTTGAGACACAACTGCGGAGTTGATTTCTGTCACAATATCGATTAACTCCGCATAAGAAGGCACTTCCTGCTTGTACATGTCTGACATGGCTGTTGAAAACTTCGTGCGCAAGGCATCTCGGTCGCAAAATGTTGTTACCATAGTTGTGGTGGTCATGGCTTATGGCTTTGGTCTCACTCATCTGATACCCAGCTGAAGCCATAGGGGTATCATATATAAACCATAGCTCTGACTAGAAGGTCCAGCTGACCGAGATTCCGTATTACCCGGCGCGAAGCGTTAGAGCTGGAGCTATCTCCACCCTTGGTAAAATGGGCGAAACAAGTCGGTTATCTAACCTCTTCGACGCCCTATTGCATCTGTTAGGTTCGCTGAGCGAATCATTTCGACACGGAAGTCGCCCTAACCTAGCTACTACTTAGGAGGTTGGTGGGACTAATTTCTCATAGTTAACATCTTCAATATGCTTTTAAAGAGAGGAGATAGGGCCATTATAGGTACCTAAGTAGTCGCGAGAATATACTATCTTGATAGAAGCAAGTATCAGCATCACCCGTTACTCCACAGTGTGGATGCTGCTCGTATTCGGACTTCACGCTCATCTTCCTTTGGATCTGAAGCAACGGCGATAATAACCTGACTTTCACGCCTGGAGGCATAGTGTGCACCAAATGACTAGGTATATAACGAGGTGTTATCATTTATAAAGCCCAATAACAAATTGGCAATCTGTAGGGAGCATTCTGGCCTATGGAATGTTAATGCCGAAGGGCTAGTTCAAGTCGGCGTTTTGCCGATTGCCGACGGGAGATTTTGCCGGCCCAACGATTTTTCTCCAAACTCTGCGGGGAAGTAATTGACTATAACATCATCCACGATATGAGCATTCTCAAAAAAGTAGAGATAGCTCTATATATGATGGCTATTGGATTAAAAGTATATTATTGTATCGATGGACGTATATATCCCGATAAATATTGAAAGGAATCAATGCTGCAAAAAGATCATCACCAACCCTTCCGCAAGGGCGTAAGGAATATTAGTCTAATTCTCGCATAGCCCGGGCACTAGTTTCGCCTTCTCACCCACAAGGCCATCAAAGTAAGCCAACAAGGTTGAGGCGGGAACCATATCCAATAGGCCAAGGGCTGGGTTAGAGCTGCGCATGATCTGCCCACTGAACAAAACACGCACGTAGTACTCCTTCTCGCGGTTTGATGCATCTTTATTCTTGGAGTAGAGCTCAAACACGACCTCGGAGCCCATACCAGGCCAAACCATAACATCCAATTGCAGAATTGATAGTAGCCTGGAGACGCTTCCGTCATGGGCGACGTTATGTCTATACAACATCTTCCCGTCCTTGCCAGCTATTTGATCGCGGAGGTGCTGGGCTAGTTCCGCAATCCAGACACCCAAGCTGGCCGTGCTAGCTGGAAGAGAGCTTTTGGCATCGCGATACATGTATGAGTACTCGAATTGACCTAGTCGGAAGACCTTGTCCGCTTGTGCTCGGGTGATACATTTGGATGGATCCTTGATGTTGCATGGGAGAGGTTTTGCGTGACAAAGACGAGCCGAAAGATTATCGAAATAGTGGTCGAAATTCGAGTGCCAGCCCGAATCAGATGGAGATACACCGGAGATGGCATCTAGTTCTGCTACAAATTCCTTTGTGCGGGTCAAATGATCAGCCCAAGGCGTATTTGGTTCATCCTTTGCGCTTGAGAAGAGAGCACTGGATTTTGGGCATGAATATTTAGGCTCAAGCGAGTCAGTTTGCGGAGACTGTTGCAAATTGGTTAATTGGAGAGAACAACACAATTTATAGGGGTAGTCTTTTGTGCCCATGCATACCTCAACATTAAGAGGGGCGTCTCCGCTAACACCATACATCCCATTGATGAGCATTCCAGCAACCTGGCTCGTGATCACATTGTTGGTCACCCTGAATGAAACTCTTTCCTGGTCCAGCCATAATGGAAGGAAATGCAGAAGTTTATGATAAACAGCATAAAGATCACGGCCATGCTGCCACGAGTCGTCAAGACCTTCCTTTGAGATTTGGGGAAAGCTACAAGTGCCTTTGAAACCTGAGGGCTGGAATGGGTTTATCGGGTTTTGATAGCCCTTCCAGTAGGTTTTGGCGCTGTCTCGGCCAGGCTTTGGTTCTCCATAATAAAAGAGGCCTTCGTCGTCACAGTTCCATGGATATGATTCCTGTGGAAAGGTGTTGGACTGGTAAGGCGTACGTTTGTGGTGTCGATGTATCTGACGAATTGTTCAGCAGCAGTACGAATCATTTTTCTGTGTATGGAACGTATGGGGGATACATACTACTTCCACATATTGCAGTTTATAGCCCTTTGGAGCTTTTGGATATTCCCTAGGGCGTACGTGTGGCATATTACACCAGTTGTACTTGCCATAATCCTTGTCTGGCGTCTGAGAGGAGTCAAAGATGAAGCCATAAACGCCATCGCTGCTCAAGACCTTGTCGAGGTTATTGATTGCAGTAGCATTAGGAGCATGCCATGAAACATCAGCCGACAACACTTGCTGTGCTCCAAGCAGAGCGAGGAGCGCCAGAGGAGACTTGATACCGGGCATTGTATCGGTCGTCGACGTGGCTGTATAGATCCCTGTAGACCCTCCGAGTTGGATGTAAATGAGTGTGGCAGTTGGTACTAGGAAGATAAAGCAACAGAGAGACAGCCACCACCGAGAGGAGAGCATCGGCTATATATATATGTATATATAGAGAGATCCCCAAGCCCGAGTAGCCTCTAATTAGTCTCTAAATTGAGCGTGTATATTAGCCGGAGGTTAGCTGCAATAGGCAAGAGAATAGAGAAGAGTCCTCTTTGGGCCTAGCGCTGGAGCCACGGGCCGCCACGTGCGCGCTTCCCAGGACCGCGTTTATTCCGACCCAAAAGGGTAATCTTTGTTCTCATGTCCGACGGCTAACATATATACGAGTATACGAGTTAACTCTTGCATGGATAGTCCGGTGTCCGGTGTCTGATGGGCGAGAGTAAAATACTTGTACTGGTGTAGAATCCGATGCTGAAGTTGTACCGAGTATCGTGGGAAGAGTGAAATGCAGGTGGGATAAATGCTTACCTAAACTTAAATCACGTGTTGATAAGAGATAAGACAAAACGCGATCGCGTCGTTGAATGTTAATTGATCTCAAACCTCAAGCCAAAGAAGTATTTACAGCGTTGATACTCGCTACACCTCAAAAATGGCACAAGCAGAGTCGTCAACGGCGGCTTCCAAGGATAGTTTGCGCGCCAACGTTTCAGGGGCGCCTGTCAATTATGAATTGCCGTGGTAAGTAAACAAACGACGTGCCGTACCAAAAAAAAAAGCAGAATTCAAGGAGGGGAACCGTGTGATGGAGATAAATCAGCAAAGTGGCTGACTGCGATTTAATTGTTTCTATAGGGTGGAGAAATATCGACCTGTATTTCTAGACGACGTTGTTGGAAATACCGAAACCATAGAGCGGTTAAAGATCATCGCCCGTGATGGAAACATGCCCCATGTTATCATATCTGGCATGCCAGGAATAGGGAAGACGACCTCGATTCTCTGTCTAGCAAGACAAATGCTAGGAGATACATATAAGGAGGCCGTATTGGAGCTTAATGCCAGTGACGAGCGAGGTATAACATTCGATTCGTTGGGAGTCGAATTTACAGTGCTAACCTGTTAATCTAGGTATCGACGTTGTCCGAAATAGGATAAAAGGGTTTGCGCAAAAGAAAGTCACACTGCCCCCTGGTAGACATAAGCTTGTCATCCTCGATGAAGCAGATAGGTGCGTCAGGCTTTTAACCTGGAAAGTCGCATGTCCCTTCCATCTAACCTTTGACCAGTATGACATCTGGTGCTCAACAAGCTCTTCGACGTACCATGGAGATCTTCTCTACCACCACCCGCTTTGCCTTTGCATGCAATCAATCTAATAAGATCATTGAGCCCTTGCAATCTCGTTGCGCAATTCTCCGGTATTCGCGTTTAACCGATGCACAGGTCGTCAAGCGATTGATGCAAATCTGCGAAGCGGAGAATGTTAAACACTCTGAAGATGGCATTGCAGCTCTCGTATTTAGTGCCGAAGGTGACATGCGTCAGGCAATCAACAACCTGCAGAGTACATGGGCTGGATTCGGATTTGTGAGTGGTGACAACGTCTTCCGAGTTGTAGATAGCCCACATCCGGTGAAGGTGCAGGCGATGATCAAGGCATGTTGGGAAGGGAAAGTTGATATCGCGTTGGATACTTTGAATGAATTATGGTATGTTCGTTTCCTTTCATTTATACGGACTCGCCTACTTACCCATTTTCTAGGGACCTGGGGTACTCTGCCCACGATATCATATCGACCATGTTCCGCGTAACCAAGACTATTCCTAACCTCTCTGAACATTCAAAACTAGAGTTTATCAAGGAGATCGGGTTTACTCACATGAGGATCCTGGAGGGGCTGCAGACCCTAGTCCAGCTCAGCGGGTGTATCGCCAAATTATGCAAAATCAACATGAAACCAGAGCTGTATAAGCCGCAAAAGTCGTGATATATATATGCCTCTTTCTTACAGTTAATTGATAGCGTTACGCGCATGAGCCCTACTCAAACGGTTTGCCTGTGTCTAGTATTTCATCCGATATGTGAGATTTCTTCTAAACTGTTACGATGATTTATGACCGCTCGGTGTCTCATTACTTCGCTCTTAAAGAATATACTACGCCCAGGATGAATACCGTATTACTAGGCAGTTAATACTAAATAGAACTTGAGTGCCTTTGAGGTATTCGATGCCAGAGCAAGAAATATGCGGTCACCTGACCACAGAAACTGGGCTGAAATTATTTTCGGGCATCTCCATCTTGTCCTTGACAAGTTCATCCCAGAATATCGACCTGTCTATGGGAGATATACGATGGAAGGAGGTTCTCGTGCACTTCATCTACACGCTCCCCTGCGGCTCGTCGTTATATAGCTATCGATTAAGATCAAGGGTTTCTGTGACTACTTGGCGCGCCAATCGCTGCTAACTGCAAGGTCGTTCCTTTTATATCGGCGCAAACAGTTGGTGGAGCCCGGGTTATTACATACATGCAGGCACAGCAGGGCATCCTGGGAGCCGTCCCATCGTCAACTCCCATGCTGGAACTTCCCGCAGACGTCAAGTTGACTTATCTGGCTGAAGGAGCTGCGAATATTGTCTACAAAATCAATTGTCCGAGGCCAAATATCTCAAATACCAAAGCAGGGGAGTTATCAAAATCTGCTTATGCTGGAAAGCTTCTCCGCCTTAGGAAGGATATTACTTCAGGAACAACTTATGCTGAAATCGCTCGGAAATTCAACACCGAGATAAGGACCTTATTTCGAGATGACGAGTTGGTGGCCCAGGACCTCGTCAAGCTACCAAAGGAACTTACAGCTTCATGCAATGAAATATTAAAGAGAGAGGAAGCGTGCGGCAAACGACCAAAGCGACGACATGGGGTGTATCTATGCACCGAGGAGCCGTTTGGGTTACTTATCATGGACATGACTACCGCGCCTGGCTCTGATGCTACGCTATGGGAACTGAAGCCCAAATGGCTAACCCAGTCACCCTCCGCGCCCCCAGATGCTAAACGATGCCGCACATGTGCTCTACGGGAGATGAGAAATTATGAGGCAAACCAAAAGGCTACGAAGGAAGGCAAGGATCATCATACGAAAAGATCATTCTGTCCTTTTAACTTGGTCTCGAATGACCTCATGGATGTACTGTCCGCAATAATGTTCCTTGGTGACACCCCAGATGCTCACCGAGTTGCCGCCTTCATGCATCATAACCCTACCTTGCTGAGACTTCGCGATAGACAACGCCAGATGGATGCTGTTGGGTTGGCGGGGATTCATGCAACGAGCGAGGAAAGAGCAATTTCGATGACCTTAAGAGATTGCACAATGTTTGTTAAGGTAAGAATATATTCGGCCCTTTGCAAATCTATGAGTTACCGGATGTCACTCCCTACTCGAAACCTCAAACCAAAGCTATCAATTTTTGTCTGACAAACCAAACACTTGCAGGTACCACATAAACCAAACGAACCTTTTGAGCTTAGGCTAGGTGATCTTGATTTTAAGAGCGAAGACGGGGGCAAGCTTCAGTATTGGCAGGACACTGAAACTAGGTTGATTGAAGAAGGGTGGTACTTGGGAGTCCACAAGGGACAGGGAGGCAGTGAATGCGTTGTAAGCCACTAGTGCATGCCTATCCCGGTTTCTAAGGCCAACTGACCGCGCACTTCTATCAGAGGCTTAGTTAAATCTACAATAAATATAATAGGGCGTGGCCTTAGTCATAAGGAGTATTATTTATTACCATGTTCGTTCGCGAGGGAGCAGATATCCTCGCTTTTTGAGGATAGCTTGGAAATCCCCTGATTCGAAGAGCTGATTAACGCCCGATATGCGTCCACGTCATAATAAGGATAACTTGGTGGTTACCCATTGTTTGATCGTTGCCTAGCCCTCCACCAGACTCAATCTTGATGTGCCGTCAAATAACGAGTAACGCTTCGGTTGGTACCTCGCCGTAAATGTAGCCCTAGCTCTTGGTGACATTTGATTACAGGTAAATATATCTAGGATTAGCCCCCTGGCAAGTGACAACCGGCAGAAAGCCTGCGTTTGGGCACGTTAAACGAATAATACTATCATGTTGGTCCTCCTAACGATGCCCGGTCAAGTCGTTAATGATGGCCCGTGTCAGCTAGACCGTTCAACACTTGTTCCGCCGTGTATAAAACTTGACACGATTTTCAAGCTGACCCCATTGCCGAGCTGGGTTGCCTACCGCCGGGAGAAGAGTCGCCCGGGGCAGTTAATAAACATAGGGATCTTGTTCGTCAGTCGGAGGAATAAGATATATGAACCATTTGCAGATGGTTTCCCCCTATCTCTTCTTTTGAAGAAGGCTGGTACCTTCAGTTTCCTTCAGGCCTGCAAGTACGCGTTCCCTCTCCAGCAGCTTTGCCTTTTCCTCCTTTAGAATTCTTTCAACCACTTTGGTTGCCTCCGTTATTCTGTCAAGTTCTTTTGATTCGGTCTTTTGACTATACGGGTTCTTGGGGCTATCGGAGTGAGGTATCTCGGCCGTTCGACCGCCCGCTGCAGCCGAGTGTTGCAGGGCCTGCTTCCCTTTAGTAGACTTCCCCTTTGCCTGTTGTTGCGCAAAGCCCGTCCCCCCTGTAAGCAAGTCGTAGAATTGTTCAACTGGCTCGTTAAACAGCACCTCCTCATAGTTTTGACTGATAACGGGGTCCCTCCTGGCCTTCTTCCCTTCAATATCTGCGCCATACGGATGTAATTTCAGGCTGTGCCATAACGTTTGTGGCTTCTCCATCGACTCCGGGACAAAGTACAATTTAATCTGAATTTCGAATTCTCCCCATCCCGTTTCTGTGACTTCAAAGGGTGGGGCTTCTATTGTTCGGACACACTGCGCGTAGGTTTCATGCAGTTTAAATTGGACTTTTTTAAGCCAGTAGGATATGTCTTCGCCATTTATGCCTCTGACGAATACACGCCATTGGTGAGTGTGGTCTTCCGCTGCGCCCTCGGGCCGTTTGTTAGGGTCAAAAGGGTAGGCTTCGCTGCCAAACACTAAACAGTGCAATACTTCAAGTTAGCAAGCCGTGCACCACTCATTCTTGCGCGCATCGATGGATAGTCTAGCTGCGCACCAAAAGGCCGATATATTTGAGTTCCCTATAGTTGTGGTCGTTAGCTTTTGAACCAGCGTATATAGATCAGCAAATAACCTTACCCGAACGCGCTTTGTGCCTGCTGGAGCTGGCATGTTTAATCCGTATGCCTTGAACGAGTTTGCTCTGACTGTTCGCAAGTATGTTATGTTATGTTCTGGACATCTTGAAGCTCCCGACATAAAAAGAGATTGTTTACATAATCCGGTGATAGTCATCTATCACGTGACACGATAAGCTTCCCTGATTGTTTTTGGCCATGGAAGCTCGGGAAAAGAATATCAGCGGGCGCGGAACAGCTCTTCATCGTGTGATCACATAATTTCTGCTTGGATATTCGTTACATTCAAACTAACGGCCTGATTGTATGCCATGGCAACGGCAACTGCTGCTACTAGAATTGTTGTCGCGGGAGGAAGTGGATTTCTTGGTGAGAATACTGCCAATCTATACAAAGTCGCCTTAAAGCTTTAATAAGGGGGAATTGAGGCTCTTGTAAGCTAATATTGCGTCTTTAGGGGCCAGAATATGCCAATCAGCGGTAGCTAGAGGATGGGAAGTCGTGTCTTTAAGGTGCGCCTCTCTCCGCAAACCCGTCATCCAGCTCTATGTTTTCGACATAACGGCCTAACTGACGTGCAACAACACAGTCGACATGGTGAACCAGCATGGGATACAGTTAGCCCTTCCGGCCAGGCGCCACGATGGGCGCAGAAAGTTGAATGGGCAAAAGCAGACCTCCTAGACCCCAGTTCATACGGTCAACATCTCAAGAATGCCTCTGCTGTCGTCCATTCGATGGGCATTCTCCTCGAAGCCGATTACAAGGGCATCTTGCAGGGCAAGGAATCTCCTATCACGGGACTACAGAAAGTTGTTGGGTCCTTCGCGGGTGTGACTGGGTCAAATAAGGGCCAGATGACATATCGAATGATGAATACGGAATCAGGTAAGAGAGTGTGCCTGGATGTGGCAATGGTGTTTGCTAATACATAAGTCATGACCCAATAGCTATCTCCCTAGCTAAGAAGACGTCCGAAGAAAATATTTCAACATTCGTCTATATATCCGCCTCCTCTGGAGCTCCAGTAATACCACAAGGCTATATCGCCTCAAAAAGGGAAGCCGAATCTTCCATACTATCAATGTTTCCAGAGCTGCGGAGTATATTTGTGAGACCAACGTTTATGTACGACTCGTCTCGGAAGTTATCTCTCCCTATTGCGCTGGGCGGTATGATAGCTTCAGAAATTAATTTGTTGACGGGAGGGAAGCTCTCGGTTCTGGGGTCGATGGCTGAAAAGCCCCTTAAAGTTAGCGTTGTTGGAGAGGCGGTGGTGGAGTCCATTGATGATGGTGAAGTGAATGGTGTCGTCAGTCCAAGGAAGATTGAGGATCTGGCAACCAAAGGCTGGAGAAAGACGATGCTCTAAAAAGATTTATCCCTATCCCCATGTGCGAATGATCACAGGCAGCAGCTCTTATGACCTGGTTACCAGTGTATTTTCCCACTGTACATTATTATCGCTTTGATAATTAGCGTTGAACACCTGTAAAATATAAATTTCATCTCTCATTCCGCTTGGTTATATCATCGTCCCTCGCTCAAAGCTGTCACGAATCTCCGCAGTATACTATTGAGATGACTTGTTAGCTGGTTCCTTGATTCAACCATATTATACGGACGTGCATACCTTGTTGTAAAACCTTGCCAGTTTCTGGTTAAAGCGTTTGTTTTTGTCATTGATGTACGTAACATCTGCCTCGTCATCTCCTTGGCCGCGCTCTCTCCGTTTCTTTAGACGTGTCTCCTCGGCCTTCTGCATATCAGCAACTAGCCTGTCGACGGCTGCTCGCTCTGGTCGGTTCTCCACAAAATCCGTGGAATCAGCAGTTGAGTAAAAGGTCCCGTTTTTATCGATCGCAACAATATCCCCATTTTCGTCCTCGACTATCTCAAGTCCACCATTCGCAGCTGCACGCTGGACAGCGGCCGCTTTCTCGTTTTCATAGGCCTCCAAGTCTGGTTGCATCCGTCGTAGCTGTCTCTTGTAGTTCTTGTGCGCATCTTGACGATAGTCCTGGAAAGCAACATTCTCCCGGTGTTTTTGCTTCTTGTCCATTCGTCTATCCCACTTCTCCGACTCCTCTACTGTCCAGTCCCATGCTCGTTTTCGCTCGAAATCTTCGCCCGCGGCTTCTATATCAGCTTTAAGTAGGCTGTGAGACGCAAATGCGTGTTTTCGTGAAATGGAGGATAGGGCGTTAGGATCGACGGATAGACGGTGTGCTTCTGCTGCGGTTTCTTTCAAGTTACTTTTGGTAGCAGTTTTCTATTTACTTAGTTAGCTGTCATCAAGACAAGGCGATGTAGGAAGCAAGGAGGATTAACTTACTGCTCTTGCCTGGAGGGCCTTGAATCTCTGAAGTCTGTCCTGGTTTTTGGATGCAGGGTCCTGTTTATTATCTTCCGCCTGTTTATCGGATTCCGATTCGGGGCTTTCTTTCTTCGAATCAGACTCGTGCTCAGGGTCCTGTCGCGGTTCTTCGGTTCTATCGTCCAGAGGCGAAGATGTGTCGTCGCCAGCAGGTTTCGCCATATCGGCGACTTCGGCAAGCATCACTAGCTACTATGCGCAGGGTATCTTCGTTTATAAATAAGACAGTACGTCCCTTTTGAACTGGTGGCAGGATGGTTGTGTTGATTGATGATGGAAAGATGGAGGTCGCGAAGATTATCGGCTCCATGCAACCATTTATCGCTGATTACGTAATCTATGTTCTCTTTCGCTGCTTTAGCTTCACGAAGGACTTTAAAAGCAGTCAAATACACACTCCAAGCAACGCATGGAGTGAACTGACTGTTGTCTCAATGCGCTCTTTGACGCTTGATGGCTGCTGGCTTGTGAAAGAGCGCTGCAGCCCTCTAACGGCTACGCAATTTAGCACATTACGGAGGTATCCTCGAAACTCATCGGCAAAGCACCAACTGCAACCATCTCCGGCACAACTTCTTCGCTTTGCCCTCACTGGCACCACATGCAGCGGAAACGGCGACAATCTCGATACGAGGCTTGATGAACGCTTAACATTACAATTTCAGAAGAACTGGCTACCGAGAAGATCAAAAGCCATTGATACGGCTTCACAATCCTTGCCGAATAACCTTGCCCTTCCCAAGTTCACGAAAGGAGATGGATTATCAAGATTACGGGCGGACATCGAAACCTTTGTTAATTCGGAAAAGGCTGGAATCAAGCTGCTAAGTCAGATCCAACCACTCCAAAATGCGTTCAGTCAGTGCCAAACCAAGGTGGAGAGGGAGGATTTAATAGCGACAGTCAACGGTCTTCTGGCAAGATTACGGCGATTGGGAGTTAAAGATACACACCAGTTACTCATTTTGGGTATGAGCTATGCGGCAGAGAACTTTTCGTCAGATTCGTTAGCCCATTACGTACGGCAGTACTCCAGGGAAGGGTATGGCCTACTACCGCAGCCCGTCGGTGTCGCCCTGGTGAAATCGCTTTCGAATGGTTTAGAGCGCCGCTCTTGGGAAGACCCCACCACTGACAAGTCCAAGATGCTAAGTGTGGTTGCGGGCTCTGACGATGAACGGTCTGGTGCAGAAACCTTGCGTTCACTCCTAGATATCTCGAACATTCGGGAGAACGAGCTAGTCCCCAAATATTTGCTGTTACTAAGTGAATTAAAAGGCGAACAAGCGGTTTCCGAACTCTGGCCTAAGATCCAAGCTGAACTTGAGGCTGGACCGAATACGGTGGTGACGGGAGCTGCTATTGCTTCCATCGAGGCTTTCTTAAAGCTAGATAATCCAGAGCGTGCTCTCACTGTTGCTCAGCAGTGTTCAAAGCATATCGACCTAAATGAACATCTTTCGGTGAAAACGTGGAAGGCACTATTGGAATACGATTCACAAGGGCTTCTTCGGACCCTAGTGGATCCAAAGACGACTATATCCATGCTTCAACACGATCTTCGTTCCCTTGAATTAGTATTGGGCGCTACTTGGATTAAGGAGGGGGACGGTCACCACCTTCATCCGTATGGTATAGGGCATAGCTTGGGCACTAATAAGCCCGACAGTGCCTACGAATCCAACTCCGAATCTTCAAAATTCACATCTGGCGTCAGCTTGGCTCGACAAATACAGGCAGCAACCCAGGTAGATGGCTGTTCTAGATCCCGGATGGGCCTAACAATGATTTCTGACCTTTTGAACGAGCACGAAGGAATTGAAATTCCACTCAGAATAAAAACGCTGGACAACTCGGAGCTTTTGGATTATGCGTGGTTCCCCTGTTGTTCACCGCTTGAATTCGCTGGTAATCTCCCCTCAACGGGGCGTGACATGTATCAACCGCTCTCCACGGCATCACTCGGTTTGATTAGTGTACGTGTTGATGGGAATGGGATACCTGTCAGAAGCCTTGGGGATGTTCGATTGATGCAGTTGGGGTATATTGGAGTTCGTGCCTCGCGGTCCTGCAATGATAGTGACATCTCAGAGGAGCCTACAGAGAGGTGGAGAAACACAGGGCATATAGTTGCCTTGGACAGGCAGAGTGGGGAGCTGGTCATACTATGGGCTGGGGAAGGCAGCGGCGTAATTAATCCTGGGCTGGTGAAGCCGGCACCGCCGCCAGAGCTCCCATATATATTCGGAAACGTTACACTCGACGCATCCGAGACACTTGTGTTGTCCCAGCGTGACAATATAGGGGCCCTTAATCACGAGCAGTCTTACTGGGTTGACGTTGACTCTGGCAGTGATATAATATCATAATTACCTGATATGATATTGTATCTTGAATTGACAGTTCATTGATTCCCTCGATATGGAGCACCTTGTTGCTAAGGAGATAACGGGCCTCACACGACGTCGGGAAACGGAAGCCACTGCTTGATTTACCTGCTCTAATAACCAAATCCGTCACCCCCCTTGGTATATGAATGCGAATTATCAATGGAAGCTGGCTGCAGTGCAGGCTGTGGAAGGTTGTACGAATTAAAATTATTCTAGATTTTTTGTATTTTTATCCTTATTAAAATATATGTACAATATATGTGGTAAATCATGACCCATACTCTATATAGGATGGAGAAGAGTATACCCTCATTTTTCGCGATTTGTGGCATAAAACGGGGTGCTAACCGCAGCATCGGATTCTGTGGCTATCGTGTTAAGATGGCGGCAGTATTAAGCGGCTTATCCTGTGACCTGGATAGCGACATGGTATGCCGGGCTTGATTATATATACAGAGTTAATCCAATTCTGCATTGTGTCACGGGTATTTATGAGATGTGACTTAGAGATGCACGGTAGACTATATCCTAGCCTAGGGATACCCGTGGAGATATAGCAGGTTAAATTTGCACCATAGCACTCTGCATAATAAAATCTTTGAGCATGGAGACCATCTGTAGAGCTTTCAACCTTTTGGTTGGCCCAAGACTGTATTATTCCGCCCTTTTCCTTGCCATTTGTGGCCAAAATCCATGGCTTTGAAAGGGCGACGGCGTGGGTTGACAAGTTTATCCATGTTTGACCCGAATTCAGAAAATAATGGCATTCCCCATACACTTTCAGCATCCGTTATGATCTTCTCTAAAGTCCATGGATTGGCCTTCCGAAGTAAGAGGTTACTCTTCCGATTTGATGGATGGCCGTCACCAAAAAGCGTCGCAAGACGTACTCGGCATTCTCTTTGAACCGTGGCTGTTTGAACGTGGACACCCTTCTCCTTCAATCTTCTCAGCAAAATGAGGCCACAAATCCATAGAACTACAGGTTCGGGTGTTGGGCTATATGGGTTCATGGTCGGCGCTCCTGAAAAGTTGAATTCTGGCTTTCGTAAGAACCCGCAAGCAATAATTGCTCTTTGAAACTCCGCGCTAAATATGATGCGCAAAGGACATTGTGGGTGGGATGCGGGTAGCTGGGTGTTTTTGATATCTGAGTCTGGGAGGTTGTTTTTGGGAGAATATGCTTCAGCAAGCCAAAGGCACAGCCTTTCAACTTCAGACCATCGATGACTGGTAATGAGCTGTTTCAGCCCAGCTTTCCAGGATTCAGGAGGAATATGCCCTCCGTATTTAATGACATACTGAAAAATTCCGAAGAGACGTAGGACGGCTTCCCGGGAAGCTTTATCTAAGATGGGCCGAGTTCCGATGCGATGGGACGGTAGCATATTCCAAATCATCCACTTTATGGTTTTGGTTGAGGGAGAAATGCGTTTGTTCTTCATTTTGTCGAGTGTCTCAGTAATCAGCCTCTTATCATCGAGCTTCAGTGCATTGCGTAACTGTACATTATAGGAATGGGGATCTTCACGGGACAAGAAAGAAAGCACTGTGAGAGTTAAGTTTGCTCGACGCCAGTCATGAGATAGAGAATAATGGTGAAGAAGCGATTCCTGTGTCTCTAGGCTCTCCAGCACATCCGGATGTTGGTCGCTATGAATGAGGTCCTGGAGCGATCGTTGATCTTTGCGCGATATTAAGTGATCAAAAACTTTGGCAAAAACCGAATTCCCAGTCGATATGCCGGCCTCTCTCATTGCAGATAGGTGATGCTGTATTTCGGTGATGTCGGCTGCTCTCAGTGCCATCTCCCGTAAAGTCAAGGGGCCAATAGCCCGAACCCCAAACACCTTAAGGCCTCCAAGAATTAAGTCGAATGTAAAGGTCTTTGTGGCAAATAGGCGGGCTCCGAAGTCATCTTTCACCGTCGGTGTTTCCGCGTCGATAATGTCAGCGGTGTTTGCCTTATTCTGCGATAAGTACCAACGGGGGTCATCTAATGTGGCACCTGGAGGTAAAGTCCCAGCTTTGATAAGCCCGCTTATGAAGTGAGACTGCTGTTGACTCGTGCTATATTTCTCGACATGTAGCATTAGAGGCTGGACGTCCTTGAGGGACGGAACGTCTCCCCTCCGCATCAAAAAATCATGCATCACAAGCGCTGACTGAATGTTATTTTGTTTCCAAAGAAGTGGTATCACAGATGCATATATTCTATGGTCATCGGTCAATTGGCAAAGCTCTTGGAAAATCTCAAGGCCCTCCCTAGTGGCCATCGCATTCTCGAAGACACACAGTATGGCCTTCGGGCCATCCAGGTGAGGATCCTTGAGTGCCTGATGCCATACCAACGCCTGCGACTGATTTCCCATCCTCACAAACGCGCCTATAACGCGCTCGTAGAAGAACCCCCATCTGGTTCCCTTATCATTCCATATGGTTTCCGCATGGGCTTGTAGCTCTCGTAACATCCAGTCTTCTTTCAGCGCCACAGCAACGAAAGCTTCCCATAAGAAGTCGGCAACCTTCCCCTCCGTAGGAAGAACAACGCCTGAGCATCTCCTGGTCAAGCCTTTCCAAACATGGATAACTCCGTCGTCCCCATAGTGTCGCTGGCGGTATAAGAGAAGCTCCTTCCAAAGGGTAAAATCTCGAGAATACCGTGCGTCGTCCACCAATTTGCTTCCTATATTTTTGTTGTGTCCAACATCCGACTCCAGCTCAAGCTGCTGTGGGTTTAGCTGCCACGTCTGCGGACGACGCCCCGAGGGATCTAAAGGTCCTGGCTTTTGCGTAGGTGTAGCCTGATCTGTACTTATCGACTGTTCCTGTGTCTCTCGTGGCGATGAGAAGTAGTTAGACAACAGGTTCTGGGGCTCCCCAATCAATCGCAAATTATAATCCAAGCCAATCTCGGTCGTTTCTCTGCCGGACGTCTCATCGTATTCGTCCACCTCGTGCTCGACAGATCGCTCCGGGATGCAGGCTGCCTGGGCACTGGTCGACGAAAAGGGTGCAGGTCCGCAGACGGGTTTGCGGTGGAATGGAGTGTTAACGGCGCCGATATAGGTCGGCGCAACAGGCCTTTGGATGCGTACCTGCAACAACCTGAGCTGTCTTGCGAGCATAAACAGCATTAGTTGGACGGCGAAAAAGCCCAGGCGGCAGGACGACGGGCATTTATAACCATGAACTCATCACATATCCGAATATCGAGACGACTCCCTCGCGATCCCGTCCAGAATGCTGTTGAAGAGAAATATTATACCACCCAAGATTTCCATTGGTAGAAGTGACAGAGCTTTATATCACGTGATTAAAGGAAACAGGCAAAACATCTCACCACTTCCGACATCAAGTCCAACCCAATATTCCATCCACAGAACAATTGACCTCGCCTTGCGTCTCAATTACCCTTGATTTGCGCAGCCATGGTTTCCCGCACGCTTCCCCGAATGGCCGGGTATGTTTATTCCGAATTTCCCTGACAATCGACGTGTTCCGGCCAGAGAACATCGCCCTCTTCCTCCCAGAGTCATTCAAGCTCGCTAACCTCAACGCTTCTCTATCCTTAGGTTCGTCTTCCGAGAGAACCGCGTTCCTTACTACCAGCGTCTGTTCCAGAACAATGACGGCGTTCGCCAGTGGAAGAAGGTCCGTTGAACTATTCCCATCATAGCCGCTTGCGAACGCATTGAAGTCCAGTCGGAAGAAACTCTAACAAATGGTTATTCGCGAAACAGACCAGCCGAAGCCCATACCTTCTATATCCATTCTACGTATCCCTCTATGGCACCACCATTGGTATGACATACCCAGCTACTCGACCTGCTATATGACAATTTTCCTGAGGTGGGACTGTTGCTAATCCATGATATTACTTATAGCCACCATGTACGCCATGGGCAGAATCGTTCTCGTAAGCAACACCAATTACTTATTTATCCATTTCCAATTTAATGACCCTTTCCCACAAATGGGCTACAATGGGTTCAACCATTGCGAAGGACGCAAATGCTAACACTCATAAATAGGGACACAAGGACTGGTTCTAGATTCGCGGCCAACCTCCAGTTGCACACGGTAAACTGGGTTGATGGGGATTGTACGTGGCTTTAGATGAACTGATATTGTGTAAATAGTCATAATGGAGCTTCAAACTACAACACGCTTTGAACCGGCTCGGACTACTAAAGCCAATTACATTCCGTTGTACATTTAACATTGCAAATTATCATTATACAGAGTATAAAGTGACATTTTACTGTCCCACACAGCATTAACCGGGCTGACGTTCATAATTATTTGCATTGCCAAATAGGTAGTATACATGAATTTTAAATAGAGGTTAGGAAACATGGTTCTTTTGGCAATTAAGAGATTATATTCATCTCTGAATAGATCATATAACAGTGAAAGTTGAATTCGGATGTAAGAGCAAAGAGGTCACATAAATACTTGCTGCGGAGAGCGCGTACTCGCTGATATGAGAGCGTTGCTGTGACGTCAATGGTCAGAATACACTTATCCTTTTCGTGTCTGTCTCTTCATCTCCCGCTTTTGCTCTCTTTCTTTCTCCTTCGCGAGGAATTTCTTTTGCTCGTCAGCTGACATATTGCGTAGGAGACGATCGCGTTCTTCCTTCTTGATCTTCTCAGCATTCGTTTTCCTTTCCTCGGCCTTTTCTTCCAGGTCAGCACGCTTCATTCTCTTAGTCTCTTCCTCACGAGTGTTGCGGAGCTTGCGGGTCACTTCTGGCCTGAAGTGAGCGACAGACACTAGACGATCAGAGAGGCGGATGAAAGCTTTCAACATGTTAGACGAAGATACATAATCAGCAGCGTCCGAGGAAGATGGAACACGGAGAGAGAGAATTGTCCGTTTCCGAGGAGTAGCCTCTTCAATACTAGATTTCGTATGAGTGTAAGCAGGCAGCTATATGGATGATATTCATGGGAAAGAGGTGATCTCATGTAAAGTACATACGTTGTGGGTTTCTCCATAGGCTGGTCAGTCACGACCAGATAGTCAAACAAGTCGCCAGCTTCCTCGATAGCTTTGATGAGCTCGGGGGCGAGCATCAAATCCGTGATCTCAGCACTTTCGCTCATGACGGTCAGCCAGCTGGGAAGCTTAGCGTTTTCCTTGGTGAATGTCAATGAAACATCATAGCGATTTTCTCTTAGGCGGCGCATAGCATTCTTGTGTACCACAGCGAATACGAAACCATCATATGTTGAAGGTGCTGACTTTGATTTCTTATCCACTTCCAAATCCAACGGAGTGGGGGGAACAAGGTCCTTCTCCTTGCCATCGAATGGGTATGCAATAACCTCTACGTTTTCAGTAGACGGAGCCATGGCGTCGAAAAATAGCCCAAGAAGCATTTCGCCAAAAAGTAGCAGCGGGTTGTAACGCTTCAACATCGTGATCGTGACGTCGACGAAGGCGATATTCTGACGGCCCGTAGCGTAGGTGGTGAACTCATTGATGGCCTTTTCCTTGAATATCTTGCCATCGATCTTGATGTCCTCATTAGAGCTGGGACTCCGTGGCACGCCACTATATCCAACAACAGCGAATTCGTCGCAGAGCACCGGGATATTTGCTTGAGCCCATGTCTTCGCCTTGCGTCTGTTTTTGCCAGCTCCCCACATGTGCAATACGGCAATTATAATGATAAACGGAATGATGAATGCTTCCTGGGCGAAATCCTTTGGCGAAGTACGCTCCCATACCCGGTACCATTTTGTATATGGGACGTCGCTCACAGCCCCAACTTGAGGCCCAGATCCTGCACCAGATGGAGGCGAGAAGTCGGGAAAGTCTAGTTAATAGAGAGATAAGTAAATGTTAGCCCTCATGATAACTGAATCGTTCGAATTCCATTGCGACATCAACGCAACGTAGGTAGCCTGGTTGTCACAAACCTCCATCCGCCTTTTTCGGAGCTCCCGCGGTATTTCCGCCAAAAAGACCTTTAAGGAGTCCGTCCATCTTCGATAAGGAGAAATCCGGATTGGCCCAATCGGCCGGGTAAATCGCGTATTATTTGCTGCTGTTGTTGCAGTTGATGAAATAGTCGACAGCGAGCTTGTGTTTGGTGTTAGCAACTTGCGCCAGAAAGGCCAAGAGTTCTGTTGTGGACGGATCCAAAAGTTAAATCCTAGTCCAATATTTCGTTTCCTCTCCATACACAACACGACGGGAGTTCTATATTATAGAATCAACCCGTTCATAAGTTAACCGTAATGGTACATGGATTGATATTACATAGTCTACCTACAGACCCACGCTGCTGTTGGGCCTGTAACGAGGACGTAGCAGAATGTATAAATTGTTACGCAGAGGGCAATATAAATAAATCGGAATGTAAATTGAAATTGATGAGCCCGATTATCCTTGTTTATACATGTAGATACCATAAAAACACAATTCAACCAGGCGGCCATAAAGGCTGTTCCGCACAACCCTCATGCGCCTCCTATTGAAAAACCTCAACCCGCATTTTTGACCCAAGCCGACTCCAAAAAAATATAGTACTGGTAGAAAAGAAGTGGTATCCAAAACAGTCGTCGTCAGAACAAGGAAGAGCAATAATAACACACAAAACTTACAGAGGTAAAGGGAGAAAACGGGAACATAGGGAAGTGACATAGGGAATATAGGTACAATTCCAACCGACTGACGCCTTGCAAACGCACAAAGTCAAGCAAGATTGGGAGTGGCGATTATAATATGGCAAGGGTTGTTGCTAGAAAGCAACGTTTAGTGACATCACTGTCCATAAGCTGGGGGTGGCGAGGGATCTCGGGTTTGACGGCCGCAGTAGTTGCTGGTGCCAACACTTCCTGGACCTTTGCCCTCTTGGATTCTGCGACTGATTTCGTTCGCTAGCTTCATCATCCAGGCCTGTTCTAGGATGCTTCGATCCGGGTTCGCGGCCACGAATGACAACATGCTGGGTGGAACTCCATTGAAGGACGTAATGTTATCGTCAGCCTTTTCATGGGCCGCAAAGATAGGGGTGTTTTGACGTGGGATGGTCGAGGGCTCTCCGGCTCTAAGAGCCTGTTTCTCAGCTTCAACTGTAGGAGTTGTCTGACCAGCTTTGGCCGTTATGGATGGGCCGAGGCTTTGCAATACTGGAACTCGCGAGTGATCTTTAACCTTGATGGTGGCATCTGGGGAGATTGGCGGAGTAATAGGGTCATCCGTTTTCTCCTCGGCTCGGACAGATGACGAGAAGACCGTTGATGCATCGGTAGAGACCGTATATTCGCTATCTGTGCAAGTGCTTGAGGTGTCGTCTGATTTTTTGGGCTTTCGCAAGTCCACAACGCGTCGTTTATGTTTCCTGGACGGGCGTGTTCTTGGATGGCGACCAGCGCCCATGGAAAGACCGCATCCAACCAGTGGAGAACCTAGAGCAGGTTTATTCATAGATGACTCTTGTAAGGAGTGCAGAGACGCAACGTGGGAGTGAGTTCTGGAAAGAGGAGGACTGGCAGGTGAAATTAAGCCTCCATGGTACTCCGATTGCTCCATGGCTCCAGTTAACGCCCTAAAGACAACGTCGTGGATTGTGGGGGTAAACAATGAGAGAGTTCGTTGAGAGTCGGTCAAAGTGGCCAGTCGTAGTAAATTCCGCTGCGAGAATAAAGAGTGCATTTCAACCCCAGAGTCAAGTGATAGAGACGCGATCTGGGAGACGCTCAGAACGTTTCCAGACGCATCCACAGGATCTTGGGGAGGACTAAGTAGAGGATCTTGGCCTGGACCTGCCTCTTCATCAGCCTCAACCTCAATATCATGTCCTCGATGCTCTGGTACCCATAGCCGAAGGGACAGCCTATGGATAATAGCAGGAAGTTCGTCCATGAATAGTAAACGCAGTTGGCCCTCGATTGTCTTCTGTAAATAATCGCGAACGAATGGGATGGAATCAAAGGTTGATGAGACCTTTAATGACTCCAGAGGGTCATTCCGGAAGACCAGGGTAATTCCTTTTTGTTTAGAAAAAACCAGGACTACAAAGCCAGAAAGTTTAATATCTGATAGAGTTATTTGCAGTGGAATGGTCAGGCCATGACTATCAGGACTCCCCGTTAGCAACTCATCACCCGCACCATAAAAACGAATGGGAAAGAGAGAGGGGCCATGACTTACTCCGCGGCAAGTGGACATGGGGAAGTGAACGAAGGACGAGTCACCATATACGTATTCAGCGAATTCGCCTGTACGCGGGTTTTTAGGGTGAGATATGCGTCTCCAGAGTAAGACATCTTGAATATTCCACGGAACCGGTCATCTGCCAGATCCCCTATCTCCAAAATTTCAAGCTCTGGTGGTATTGATCCCAAATTCAGCTCTGTAACCGTGATGTCGCCCACGATGATCGGAGGCTTTGGCGACTTGTTCAGCGCGGCTGTGAGCAAATCCTGGGCGCGAGTATAGAATCCAGCATCCGCCATCAGGGGCGACCAGTTGAAGTTGAACGCCATCTCTGGTGTCGGGCGGCGCGAGCGCCTAGGGGAAAGTGAGCCAAAATCGATATGTTGGCGGCCTCTGGCGAATCTGTGTGTTTATATCCGGCGAAATTCGGTGGAAGAGTTTGATCACAACCCGTGGTTTGACGTCGGGTCGCGTGCCATGTGATGGTACCTGTGTGATGCTCCGCGGGGTCCGGCGGATATCGACCTCGGACGACACGAGAGCAGCGATCGGGGCGCTGGGTGTGAAGCCTCGTTCTCCGGGAACCTCCTCATCAACGTCCCTTGATGAAATCCGGCGTCCTGGTGATGCCGTTTGCTGCTGAAACCTGGAAATTATAAAAATATTTCCTTATGGGTCCGCGGCAGGAATAGGAGTGGAGTCACATGATCTCGTTATCGATTTTCTCCGTGCTTAGTCATTATTCTTATCTAAGCTGGCACGTGCGCTTGCCGTGGTAACGGCGGGAGCTAGTCCGCTTTGGGCAATATATAAATAAAGGTTTATTTCTGGACGTTTTACTCCCTACAACGGACAGCCAAAATCAAACAGAACAATTATACACAGCCCAGCCCTCAACTTCTTGGGAAATGGTTACGTTAATTGAAGATCCTGCCGCTGGGCAACAGACCACTACCGACCAGCAGCCGTCACACTCATTGAGAACTAGAACCTCGTCCGCGAAACCGAAGAAGAACGCCTTGAAGAACGTTTACAAGAAGAAAAATGCCAGCACAACGGGAACAGTTTTAGAAGCTGACGAAAAGGATATCAAAACAAAATTAATATCTACTACATCAGCGTCTACTCCGGAAGATGCAGAGTCCTTGATTGATGCGGTTCGAGAACAGCTGTCCCAAATAGCCATCCAAGGAAGTTCCTCGCACAAGTCGAACAAGAATGAAAGACACGAGTCGACGGAAGAAGGAAACAGCTGCGCCTCTATCAGCCTATTACCGGACAAGACCGCCTACGAAGTTACAGATAACGACCCGACACCTACCCAGCCCATAACACAGCAACTAGATGAACAACTAAAAGACATAGAAGAGAAAAGAGAACCTGCAAAGCCGTCCAAGCCTCGGGCGGCCACAAGACAAAAGGGAGACACAAAATCACAGCAAACATATGTCAATGACCAGACGAGAACATCATACGTGCAACCTATTCTCAACGAAGGGATGTCAACTAGGTCGTCTCGAGGAATCCAACACTTTGATAAATGGGCGAATAGGGCCGTGGGGTTTTTCGATGTGAGGAAAATTGCAGAAGGGTCATATGGAGAGGTCTATGAATTATGTGCAAAAGACGGGGTATCAAAAGCAAGCCTGTCAAGCAGTCGATCATCGAAACTACAAGCATATATGGACGGCGTTTTCAAAATAGTCCCTCTATGTGCACAACGGGGACCTGGTTCGAAGAAATTCACCACCGTTCAGGAAATCGTTGCCGAAGTCCAGCTACTGAAACTTCTTGATCCGATACCTGGGTTTGCACGATTTCGGGAGATACATGTTGTTCAAGGTAGATTTCCTCCATCCTACCAGGATGCGTGGAATCTGTATAGCCAGACAAAGGATGACTGCTTTAACCCCGACCCAAGTAAGAAGAAATCATACCCAGACAATCAGCTATGGGCGATCCTGGAAATGGAAAACGCAGGGTTTGAGCTCGAAAAATTCAAGTTCTCCTCTGTCTTCCAGGTGTATGACATATTTTGGGGTGTCGCGTTGGCGCTGGCAAGGGCAGAGCAGTATGCTTCTTTTGAGGTACCATTCAGCCCTCTGTATAATCCTTATCTATATGCGGCTAACACTCACATAGCATCGTGATTTGCACCTTGGAAACGTGTGTGTGAAGCAAAAACAACCTCCACAGAAGGTAGTACGGAGACGGAAATCCTCAGACGACGATGCAGTTGTCGAGTTTTCAGCATGTCTGGGCACAAGTGGTCTAGAAACGACCATTATTGACTACTCCTTATCCCGTGCTGAGCTTCCATTATATGAAACTCCAGAGGCCGCTCCCACTTGTGAAACGGTGGCCTGGTCAGACCTTGAGAAAAAAGATATATTCGATGCCGTGGGTAGAGATGAAGAGGAGAAGTTCCTTCGCGACACATACAGGATGTAAGTATAATTGCAAATGATGGGTGGGATGGTTCAATTGCTAATATTAAATACTGCAGGATGCGTTCTGAGGTCTTTTCTAGCCCCAGTTCCAATACTGAACAATGGAAAAGTTACAGGCCAAGGACAAACCTAATCTGGCTCTCCTTTATCCTCACGACCCTCGTAAATAAATGTCACTCCGAAAAGCTGGTCCCGACACATCGGCAACCCCTCGGGCAGCGGTCAGCAAACAGTAACCTTCAGCCCAAAAGTTCGAATACCAAGGCGAAACAAGCAAAAAATATCAAGGGAAAGCAAGATGTTGAAGAGTCGAAACTAAGCGATGAAATGCAGCAGGTATTATTTGAACGGCTTGAGACTGTGCAGGACCTACTTGAGCTAGAAGATGAATATGAGAATCTGTCTTGCGCTGGAGACTTGGTAGCTATTGCCATTGGGTCCCAGTGGTTAGCGGAATCAGATTTCTTATGTTAAATGATTAACGGTACTGACTTTTTGTTCCGTTCACGCTGCATATATATATCTACTCACGGCTGCCATCGCTCTTTTTTAGGCCACATGTTATATATACCCATATTTTGTTTCTATTGCATATCGATGATAGCGTTATGACTATGGCATTTGGGGTTGCGTCGAAATTTATGCTTTAATTACAATGGATAGGCATGATAAGTTGTTAAGTGTGGAAATATGAAATTCCAACTATTAGTCGGTCTTTGGTAATTCTATATCCACCAACCACGGTAACTGAAACCGATGCCGCCCACGACCTTTTATGGAAGCATTTATAGCCAGCGTCTGCTTCCCTTGTTGAATTGGGTTTGGGTCACCGGTACAATGGCTCGTGGCGTAGTAACCTTCGTGCTGGTGGGCTTTTAACTCATCCATCAGCTCCTCCGAGCCCTGTGACCCCTTCAGGCTGTTTATTATAACTGATTTTTTCTCGTCAACAGATGTGGAATAAGAAGATTCCACGTTAGTGTCCTGCCATGCAACAAGTTTTGCACCCCATGCCTCATGTATATGGCCAAAACAATGTATCTTGGGCCGTGCTTGGGCAATAGCTCCAAAGAGGTTCGTACATCCCGCTTCATTGCCCCGATAAGTTTCGTCCAGAATCCCCCTTGGTGGGCCATGGGTCATGACGACGTCTGCTCCCGTAATATCGAACTCATGTCCTTGTTCCCGAGGATACTGAAACCCCCAGTACCCAAATATAGGTGTGTGTGGACTGGCATACACGGATAGAGAGGCACCGTTCTGCAGTCTAAAGTGGTGGGTTCCCTCGTCTAGTAATGTAATTCCAGCAGTTTCCAAAAGACGCCTTGCTTCGCCAACGTCACCGTACTCCTTTTTAAAATACTTCTGTTGTGCTGGCGATGCCTGGTCAAATCTCTGTTTATATAATGGTGTGTCGAGGGTGAAATCGTGATTTCCACCAATAGCAAGTTTGATTGGTGCACTCACCCCCTCGAGAAGCTGTATGGCAGACCGGAATTCGTCGAGCGTGGATTTTTCAGTTAGGTCGCCGCAATGTAGAGCCACATCCGCATATTGTTGCGGTGCTGTATATGCCGTGGCATGGGTATCTGAGAGTATAAGGAATCGGGTTTCCATCACAGCACTGGGGAGCGAGCTACTTCCCTGCCAAGATGAGAGATGATGAAGTGCTGGGAGAGCTGGCTTGTTGATGGGTTTGGATAGCTGCCTGGGGGAAGCCATTCTGACGTAATAATGCCTACCCTAATAAATCGAGGCTCCAACGGCCCAAACATGGAAGCGTCTTGTGCATAAGACGGAAACCTCAGCGATATATGTATAGGTATAGACAACATCCGCTTGATGCATTATATATATCGATTCTTGAATCCGAAAGGAGAGAAAGGCGAATAACCAACTTGAGGCTCTTTTGCCTTCTTATATAAGCATATGTATAAATGCTACACACGTGACCTTTCTTATAACCCCCGGTATAGGGTTGGCCCTCCCATATATGTTTATATATATATATATATAGAGGGGGGGGGAGGGAGAAGCTGCATTTAGTCATTCATCATTTATGCCCATTTGTTACCCTTTCCTGTAGTATCTGGGTTTTACTCCATCTTGTTACTCTTTTGTAGAGACGCCATTAGTCAGCCATTCACGCGTGTAATTACCCTATCACCGTCTCCGGCTGTCTGGGCGGACCAATGAACAACTTGCAAAGCCGCGGCAACCGCGCCAGACTAGAAAACAACAACTGATGAAATATCTCAATCATCAACACAACAGTTACAGTTGTTTGCTGCAATTAGCAACGCCCATAATTAAAAGGGGCCTTTCGCTGTCCATGATATCTCTATATAAAAATCGGCCTTTTTGGCTCTTTGGTCCTACAAATTATTTACTACAATTAAACACGTGATGATATATGTGATCCATGGATGCGATTTCCTTAGTAGCTATTTTCATCTTAAGAGTGAATGTGTTTCTGGTAGTGGCCATGGAGGGTTTATCGTGTCTTGTGTACTCGATATTTGGAGTTGACGCATCTTGGTTCATCCAGTACTGTCAACTGTTGTCCTACGAGCGCCCCCTTACATACCTTGACTTCTATAACTAGATCCGACTACCACTCAAGTCTATAGAGATGCCACCCCCCCGGCGAGAAAACCCACCAGAAATGGAGGAAAACACGCAGGGTAGCATAGGCCAAATAATTCTTGGGAGCGCGCTACCCGTTCAACAGCATCAGGCAGTCCGTGAGTTTGTAATAAGATCTTGATCTTATATGAGAGCTTCCAACTGACACAAAGCATAGATATTAATACACAGTCACACCAGGATATGTCCCCGAGTATGATCAACAGTGTACTGGAAGATTCACCGCCAGGCAATCCTGTAATAGTAGCCCCTGCTGTTCTTCATACGGGCAACCAAGAGAATCCAGCTCTAGCAACTTCTAGTGCCAGCTCTCACTTACATCCGCCAAACACAGGGTTGGGGCTTGAGCCAGGGTTGCCATATCTCCTGCCAGATCAAGCGCAGAATTTTTTTGTTCCGCCTCCACCACTCACTCAGCTATCTGTCGAAGATAAAGATGAAATTTCCAACAAGCTATCCAGCTTCATGTCGGTTCTGGCTCTAGATTTTGAGCTACCCTCGCATCATGACCTTTCAGAATACATTACCGGGTATTTCAACGCGTTCCACCCACATTTACCGTTTCTTCATATGCCTACTATGGCTGTTCGCACCTCTGCCGCCGAACTCATCTTAGCTATAGCGGCTGCTGGTTCACATTACCGTCTCAAGCACGAGACAGGGGAAATGTTATTCCATGCAAGCCTAGCGATCGTGGCGGAGCGGTTCAAACGAAGGGATACAGAGAAGTTTATTTTTCCTCAGCTTGATGGGCATCCCTTTCCTTCGTCAGCCACGAGCCTTGAAAATGATTCCGACCCTGTAAGCCCATCTCCATTCCCATCTTCGTTAAACTTCGTTGACCCTGGATCACAGTTATCGTACTCAGCCTTGCAGACTGCTGATGGCTCAAAGGACCCGATACAGCTTGCACAGTGTTTGTTGATCCTAATTAACTTGGCCGCCTTGCGCAAGGACCATGAAATACACCATGAAGGGTTCTCCATAGAAAGGAGACTAGCAGCTCTAATCCAAGAATATGGACTTGAGCAAGAGCCTATGAAGCCTGATGTGTCCTGGGAACAATGGATCCAGTTAGAGACGGCAAAGAGAACCAAGCTGATGGCTTATTGTTTTCTCAATCTTCGTTGCATCGTGTATAATAGCCTGCCAATCATTCCTAGCTCGGATATCAACATGTCCTTGCCGAGCACAGCTGATGAATTCAACGCAAATACACGCGCCAAGTGGGCGGAAGCACATAGCATTTCTCCTCCAGAATCTAGCTTCCGAGGCGGTTTAGATCGCTTGTTTGTTCTGCAGGCCGGTGACGCGGACTGGGTTAATACTTCACTAGGGGATTATGTCCTCAGCCACGCAATGATTGAACACATCTATTTCCTTCGTCAGGCTTCCAGGTCTCAACATGACGGAACTAGGAAAGTGTCGGCTGAAGTCATGGCTCCATCGGAAGTTGCGCTGAATAATTGGTACGCGGGTTGGAGGAGGTCCCCAGAATCATCAATTGACCCTCTAGCACCCACAGGGCCCATTCCATTTGTTTCAGCAACACTATTCCTTATGGCATATACCCGGCTAAATAGTAATTTCAGGCTTGGCCAGGCACTGGCTACTAACGATCCTGTTCAGGTTGGGGCCGCATTGCTTGCAGTACCGCCCATGCAACGCACACTCAAAAATTCTGGAGTCTTGAAAATTTGTGCAGCGGGCTTGAAAATCCCGGCTATGATGGGCATTCAAAAGGCACAGCCATTCATACGGTCCATATATTTAGCTCTGTTTTCACTCGAGAGCGCATTTCTCTTGACCAAATGGATCGACGCACTATCAGTAGCTCCAGCTGGCTTTCCGGTGTGTGTCGAAGAAATAGAGGTTCACACCCTGATAAAGCAGACGCTGAAGGATACTGAATTTGCCATTGAAGCAAACAGCGTTATAGGAAACGTTGTGCAGCTTCGTCGGATGAATGTAGGCGTCATACGTCTATGGGCAAAACTATTCAAGAGAGCCGAAGCCCCGGGCATTGTTGGCCTTATTGGTAGGTCCTTGGAGATGTTTGCTGCCATAGTTGAATGAGTCGACCCATGACTGTTGGAGGACGTGGATGTATTATTGCGAGCATCAGGTTATTGGCAGTAGCGTCAAGGAGGATAAGAATTGTATGCATATAATATTTCTGATGCTGATGCTGATGCTGATGTTGAGCTGATGTTGATGCTGATGTTTTCGTCCCCATGACTTGGTCAGCGTCATCCGCGCCAAGCATCCTCGGAGCTCCCCAGCTCGTCCGCGGCCCGACGAACGACCTTCTATATCTAAGAGACCGCGAAGAGATGGGCCCTCGGCCTTTTGATATACTTGCAAGTATGATGTGACCGTGCAGATAATATACTTATCTCATATCTCTTGCGTTTGCCAGCTTCTTGAATCTCTAGAAGGGCCTGCTGGATCTTCGCAACCATGCTTCGGGACCAGCTCAATCGCTTCTTTGCTCCGAGAGACGGGCGACAGCAGGCGTACAAACGGGTGGATGAAGATGAGAGAGACACTAGCGAAGAAGATACGGAGACATCCGCATATGATGTCTCGCCGACTCAGGAATTCTCATGGACGGTTTATTGTATCTTCGTGTGGATGGGGATGGCCATGCTCTGGGGATGGTAAATAACCCCCCAAAGCCCGCGAGACCACTATATATCTCCAGCTAGCTAACCTGAGAGTATTATTCCCTCATAGGAATTCATTCCTTGCCGCGGCACCTTACTTTCAACTTCGCTTTGCAGACAATGACTGGGTCCGAGACAACTCCCAGTCGTCGATAACATCCGTATTCTGCGTCACTGGTCTGGTTGCGCACTTTATTCTGCTCAAGCTCCAGAAGAATGCGTCCTACCCACGAAGAGTTATGGTATCGCTTATGCTCATAGCATCGGTATTTACCATGCTCACTATATCAACGGTTGCTGCCCGTGGGCTCTCTGCGGGTGCCCTCTTCTCCTTCGTACTTCTTATGGTATTCGTATCTTCGCTATCCGGCTCGATGAATCAGAATGGACTATTCGCATATGTGTCTGGCTTTGCTCAACCTGCCTATACGCAGGGGATCCTGACTGGACAGGCTCTCTCCGGAGTTTTGCCGTGTATCGTACAGCTTATCTCGGTCCTAGCAGTGGCTGATGGTGGTGAACATGAGGCTGATAAGGTATTGAATGCAGCCAAATCAGCATTTGGGTTTTTTGCTACTGCGGTAGCCGTCAGCGGGGCCGCGTTGCTTGCCTTCCTCTATCTCTATCGATTTCAGGACAAGCGGCAAGGCGCACGCTACCCTCAGGATGAGGATAACAGTACTTCGAGCTCACCACCAGTTAAAAAGGCAGTTCCTTTATTAACGTTATTCCGGAAAACCCGATGGCTATCTCTTGCAATCTTTTTCTGCTTTTGCATCACCATGGCTTTCCCCGTTTTCGCATCCCAGGTCCAGAGTGTGAATAAGGAACAACCTCCTCCTCGCTATACGCAACCGGGTGTATTCATTGCACTCGCTCTTCTATTCTGGAATTCCGGGGACTTGCTTGGTCGTATGCTGGTCTTGCTACCGTTACCAGGGGGCTTCAAACCGTCTCCATTCATGCTGTTTATACTCACACTATCCCGCATTGTCTTCATCCCGTTGTTCCTAATGTGCAATGTACGGGGGAGAGGCGCGAGCATCAATAGTGACTTTGTGTATCTTGTCCTTATTCAGGGTTTGTTTGGAGTTACAAACGGTTATCTTTGTGTTTCCACTATGGTTGGTGCTACAGAATTGGTCGATGAGGATGAGAGAGAACCAGCTGGTGCGTTTATGGGTATGTTACTGGTTGCTGGTTTGGCGGCTGGGAGCGTGTTGAGTTTTTTCATTGGTGCTATTTGATGCCTTGGTGTCCTAATGTTTGATGCATGTCTTCTGAGACATATATTTCCTTCCATGTTAGCCTGCTTTGCCTTTAGACAATTAGTATACATCTTGAAAATGACATGTAAACCAATATATGTGTATTTGCATCCTTTTTAAAGAACCATTGCGTACATTTAACCATACGCATGGTAGCAGGTTCTAGATATTAATAAGACATAAAGACCAGGTAATGCTGATATGATACAAGCTGAGAGATGATAGAAAGGAGAGGAATGTAACCAAAGAAAATCTATAGTAGGAACAGTACAGGGTACCATATAGCCTATACACCGAAAATATAGGCGTTGACAAAAGAGGGCGAAATATATATATATATCGTTGAGTATTCATTTCATATGTATTAATTGAAACGGGGAGGTCTAGAGTGGGGGGATGCGCTGTTGAATATGATAACGCGAGCAATCAACAGGGGATATTTCAGGGCGGTAAAGATTATAAGGGGAAAATGGATAGTTAGGTCATGATAGCGGCTCGGGTTGTTGATCGGAGGGAGCATGTAAAGTCGATGAAAGACAACGCCTATTTCTTGATGTTTGTTTCAACTTTAACGGCCGCACCAGCAGCAGCGCTAGTGGATGAAGGCTCATCCTCAGTTTCGACTTCATCGACTTCATCGTATTCTTCGTCTTCACCCTCGTGTAGCAACTGTTGCAGGTGTTCTGTTTCCGACGGTGGCCCTCGGATTGTTAGTTTGCCATTGACAGGGACCGCAACGCCTTCGCCACCACTGAGCTGCCATGCCATCAGCTTCGTGAAAGCGCCATCTGGCCTTGAATTGAGGTCATTGTAAGATCCCATTTCTGCAACTCGGCCCTCCGAGTCTAGCACAATGATAGTATCGGACCGTTTAATTGTTGATAAGCGATGAGCGATGCTGATGGTAGTATTGTTTTCGCGAAGTAGGGCAGCGAGAGCACTGTTGACGAGGGTTTCGGACTCAGCATCAAGCGCAGACGTGGCTTCGTCAAGAATGAGAATATCCGGGTTCTTAATAAGAGCACGAGCAATAGCGATTCTCTGCTTTTGGCCACCGGATAACTGTGCTCCCTTGGGGCCTACGGAAGTGTCCAACCCATCGGGCTAAGAAAAATGCAAGGTTAGTACCATAATAAAATAAATACCGGGCCAGTTGATAGATAGGATATATGGATTGAACTTACGAAGTCACCGATAAATTGGCAGTTCGCCTTGCGTGCTGCAGCAATAATCTCAGATCTTGTGGCATCAGGTCTCCCGTAACTAATGTTTTCCGCAATAGAGCCAGAGAATAATACTGGCTCTTGTGCAACAATTCCAATCTTCCTACGGAGAGACTTTGCATTCATGGTTGAAACGTCTTTTCCGTTAATGAAAACCTGGCCCTGGGTTGGGCTGTAGAATCGAAGCAACAAAGACGCAATGGTAGACTTCCCGCCTCCCGAGGGTCCGACAATTGCCACGTTACTGCCCTGGGGAATTTCGAAGTCCAGGTCCTTAAAAATTGTAACGGCAGGTCGAGTAGGGTAGCTGAATTCAACATTTTTGAACCTAATTGGGCCGCGAGCGGACACGACCTTATCACCCACAGTAGGGGAAATTTTAGGTCTGCGGTCTTGGAGCTCGAACAGACGACTAGCCGCACCCGCACCCTTCATGAGCTCGGAGTAGAAACTTGAGAGTCCAAAAAGACTGGATCCAGCGTAGGCGGTATACATCAAAAACGAAGTGAGTTCTCCGATCGAAATAGCCGATGATTGAACCATTCCGCCGCCAACATAAAGGAGAGCCAGGATCGTCATATTACCCATCAGGCTTGTACCGCTGAAGAATGTCGCGCTGATAAATGACTCTTTCTTCCCAAGTTCGAAAATCCGCTTGACCTGTCGATTATATCGGTGGACCTCCAAGATCTCTCCAGCAAAAGACTGACTCGTTTTCACGTTACCAAGTCGTTCTTCCGCAATTTTGGTCAATGTGCCGACATTCTTTTGTATCTTTCGGCTAAGGTTCCGGATTGCACGCCCATAGAAGAAAGCCGCAATAGCAATCGGCGGGAATAATATCGCCAAAACACTCGACAGTTTCAAGCTGACGTATGCCATCATGCCAAACCCGGCTGCACCGCTGACGGCTGCTCGTAATCCATCTGAAAGATTCTGTGTAATACTCTTTCCCACAATGATGGTATCGGAACTAAGCCGGGAGATCAGGTCACCAACACGGTTTGCATCGAAAAATTCAGCATCTTGAACAAAGGTGTTTCTGAAGAGCTTCGATCGTAGTCTAGCAACAATCCGTTCGCCAACAATTCGCAGTATGATAATCCTTGAGTAGTTTGCCGCAGCTCCTACTAAAATAATTCCACCGAGCGCCGTGTAAAATACGGGAAGACTGATCCCGAGGAAATCGTTCAGAGCATCGGGGTTCGAACTGGTGGCAAAGTCGAGGATTTTTCCAATGGAGAAGGGAATAGACATGGATACTGCTGAGGAGACGAGTAGAAGCACAAATGCAACGGACAACACTTTGGCCTCTGGACGCGCGATTTTGACCAATCTCCATATCTCTCGGGCGCCAGACTTCTTCCCATGGGCCAGGCCATCCTTTGCCAATCTCGCACTCAGGTTTATCTGAGCAGCTTGAGACGCCTTCTCTGACCGTTCAAACGCTTGACTTATTTCTTCCTCAACGACCTCTTTCACGGCCGGTATCGCACCATCCTGAGGCTTCGCGGGTTCGTTCGTGTCGGGCGAGCTCTTCCCGGTCGCAAAACGGAGCTGCTGAAATATAGGATTCGAAAATTGAGAAAGAGCGCCGGTTCGTGGGAGGTTACCGAGGATATTTGGACGGGTTGTAGAGGTGAAAATGCCACAATTTTGGAGTCTGCTTCCACCGAGCACTGGCTGAGAAACCGCATGATTCTGTTTGACGAAGGCTCCGGCGTTTATCAACGGCGTCCGGCTGTCGGTAGAGAAGCATCGCGACGACAGACTGAGTCCCAGAGGAATGCGGCGTAAGGGATCTCGAGAGCCAGCCGCCGTCTGGAGAAGGACCCTTGATCCGCGCATCGCGAGTTGTTTTGGCGAAGTTGCGCCCCGCTCACCACTACTGAGCACCCCAGGAAAAGGAAAATGGCATTCAAGGCACGAATGGCATAGTGAGATCAGTACTGAAGCTGCATTAGACCATGATCTTTGCGTAGGCAGGTTGGTTTTGTTGAGGGAGGAAGATGGACAGGCAGGCCGGAGATACAGGCGGCCGGAACAAATTTTAGTCATTCAACTCCGATCCGCCTCCGGAGATTCTAAGGTTCTTAGAGATTCTATACAACACCGACTTATAAAAAGGGCCAAACAGGGAGAGTGAAGAACTTGATATCTACACCAGTACAACTTGCACCGTCCCAGTTGGTGGAATCGGAGCCAGAGCTCTATATCGACGGTCGCCTTACGATAGCTCGAAGAACTGTTGGTACGTCCTTTTGCTGCTCTACATAGGCCTTGGTGGGGTAGCTTGCTCTAACGAAACAACAATATAGATATATTCTCTGAAAAGATGGTCCTGGACTATAGCAAATGGGATGCTCTCGAGCTTTCGGACGATTCAGATATAGAGGTCCATCCCAATGTTGACAAGCAGTCCTTTATCCGTGCAAAGCAGAACCAAATCCACCAGCAACGACAGCAACGCCGCCACGAAATCGCGACTCTAGGATACGAGAGAATTATAAACGACGGATTATTGAAGCGAATCGATGGCCTCCTGAACGTTCTTAAGAAGCATGGCAGCGACTCCAGGAACCCCGAAGAGCTGGTTTTCCAGGCTCTGATCGAGTCCGCTGGTGACCCAAAGGAGGACCAGCCACCAGCCCCGCCCGAGAATGTCCATACGCGCGAGGCTCAGCCCAAATATTCTCAGATGATGGGATCGCTAGTGGATCAGGTCAAGAAGGAGATAGATGGGTCGAAGCCGGAAGATCGATACCAAGCGTTTATCACCGGAGTGGAGGGCCATAAGAACAAGGTGCTTAGCTTGCAACAGGAGCTCCTCGAGAAGCTCGCCGAGCTGGAGAAGGAAGAAGGACGAAAGATCACCAGTGACAGTATACACACTGGTTTTGACAGCTCCTTTGTGTCAGCATCCAAGGCCAAGCCCGAGCCCAAGAAGACCAAGGAGTCGTCAGTTGAGCTTCTGAACCCTGGAAGTGCAGATAACATGGAGGCCGTGTCCTCGGGTGCGGAAGCTGATATTGAAGATGGCGAAGGGGATGAAGAGAATATAACGGTCAAACCTATGACGAAACGATTTGCGAAGCTTAAAACTGGCGACTACCGTGAATTGTTCGCCTTCATCACCGATCATCCTGATATAATGACTGAGAAGAAGACGGATGAGCTGTTGATGGAAGCCTTTAATGCCCAGATAGCCGGTGATGAAGCATATGCTCGCCAGTGTGTTCATCACGGGCTCCTCTTGCAATACTGCCGTTCTCTAGGCAAAGACGGCGTTGCTCTCTTTTTCAAACGGTTGGTTACTCCCAATTTTTGAACGACTGTAAAGGGGCTTTCAACTTGACTGACATTTACTTTATAATAGTATCACTACGAAGGATCACCGTGCTGGTGTCATGTTCCGTGACGATGTTAATGATACGTATAATCGTATCAAGATCCGTGCAAAGGAGCTTGCCAAATCGTCCAACGAGGGCCCGTCAGAGGTTGAACAAATCCAACTTCACGCGGTTGACCCGTCGACTCAGCTCAACATCTCCATCCCCCCTGCCGACAGCCAGGATGCAGCCCATATTGCTGCTCGTGAAATCTTCGACCGCTTCCCACCAGGCCTTCAGAAAGCTTTGGAGTCTGAAAGCCTGGATGAGGTGAACAAGGTGCTGGGCAAGATGAGTGTAGAAGAGGCAGAGGATGTTGTTGAAAAGCTTGGGGAAAGTGGTATTTTGACAGTCGAACAAGGAATCGTCGATGCAACTACTGAAGAGGGCAAACAGTGGTTGGAGGAGCTAGAGGCAGAGGGTAAAGCAGCAGGAAAGGCCGCTGAGCCGGAAAAGAAAGAAGAAATCGGCGACCCTGAGTGAACAAAGAGGTAAGTGTCAAGCGAGCAAGATCATCGCCGGTATTCCTTTATCACACTCGAAAGTGCTTCTATTCGAAATACTTCGCCCAAAAATAGTCATATTCTCATCCGTATTTCTTCCCTACCACGGAGAAAGAAAAACCAGTATATCGGAGGAAAAGAAGGTCAAGGACAGTCTAGCCTTCAACCACTGCCTTAGCGTATTGAAATAAATTCAAGCCATCTACATACTTCCCGTCTACATACTTTCTCCAGAAAGCTCAGCCCTCATCCAGACGTAGGCCATCTCGCCTAGCGAACGCATGTATCAACTACCTCCCTCCGTTGTACCCCCCTCGGGGGCCCGACTAGAGGTATAGAACATGCAGGTATCGCGGCGTACAAACATCTAATAGACGGATGCAGCCATGCTATATTTATCCTGCAACCATAGCCGACTTCGATAAAAGGTTGTACGTGTCTTACCACACTAACTCGTATGCATATGGCGCGGCCCCAGGTTTCTGACCGTTGGCGCGAGGGAGCAGACGCAGGAGGGTAAGACATGTGGCGCTTAAGATATAGGCGAAAGGCCAGAGCTTCGGTTAGTAGATAGTTTGTTTTGAGTCTCTGGACGACGATTCATCGTGGCTGAGGTGCTATCTCGATATCTGAGAGGTGGGATGCTGGACGTTTGACTTTGGAAAGCAGTTACGTAGCTATGGGTGTTACGTATGTACTCCGTATAGAGGACGCTATCAAACCGTTCTATATTCGCTCCAAACTTAGTAGTTATGCACTTGGTTTTGCTATATGAAATCTTGGACATCCAACATCGACCTTCTGATAGAGCGGCCTCGCCTAACGTAACAATGAAAAATGAAGGCACAGTATAGAGGTAGTCATTAGAGATAGAAGGGCTTCATAGAAACTAGAATATATATATGATTAGCTACAGTAAACGATGTCGGCTTAGGCCATGTCGTGAATAAACTTCCGGATTTTTTGACAGAGCTTTGGCTGCTCATCCCAAGGGGTGAAGTTCATTTCCAGCTGACATGAAGTCTCCTCCAAAGCTTTCCATAGCCGTTTTTCAATATCAGAACCAACGCGGTGAACCGAGTCCTTAGCTGCCCCCCACATGCGTCGAGGCTGCCCATCAGCAGTCCATGCAAGCCCGCCTTCTCCAAAAACCCGGACCGGATCTAGTTTAGGTAAATTCGCATGGAAGGTTAGGAATGCGTTAGAAGGCGCGGCAGGTTTCCCTTTCCATCCATAATTTCGATCTGGTCTTGATACGGCTTCCCACGTTGGATCGGCCTGGATTATAACACCTCCCTCCCAGTGCCCACCCTTATTTGTGTATCCAAACACCTCTGGGCGAGTAGAAACAGCATAAAATGGAAGGTCTAGGATCATCGAGGGTGCGATGAATGTTTCTTTATCACCTTCCCCTGGATGGCCCTGGGAAAGCAAAGGGTAGTAGTATGACGGGCCGTAGAAGTTGTAGTACGCCGAGAGCAGGAGTAGCTTGGAATGAGACCGTTTGGAGAGCAGCAACTGGCCGGATTCGGTGGACGGGATCGGGAAGCTTGTAGGTGGCCGTTGAGAAGTTATCTCAAAAAACCAAGGATGATACGTAATTTGCCAAAAGTCCGGCCAAGTCACCATTCCAGTTGAGGTGAACGGCTTCGAGGTAAATAGACGGCTAGGATCACGTATCGGAAACGCATCCGCATCAAGAAAGAGAACTTCTTCAAATGAAGAAAAGAGAAGAGAAAATATTTTGAATTGATACTTTCTCAGCCCTTCTTTCAAGGGTGAGAAGGAAAGTATATCATCCAGAATTATGCAGCGGGCATTCAGGGACCGGAACAACAGACCGCAAGTGAAAGCATCATACTCACGCCTGTCTGCAATAAATATCTCAACAGGAAGTTTTAATCCGGTAACCCGTAGCATATATATGGATGTAACTAGTGTCGGAAGCATCGATTTACTGGCGGTTGAGACAATGCCTCGAGTCCTTTGTTGAAAGGGTAGTACTGGCCCGTCCGGCGGAGCGAGTAACCTGAGGAACCGAGCATGAGCAAGCTTCAGTTTTCTCTTATCCTCTTCCTCTAGCATGAGATTCTGCGGCAAAGTGATATTTCCAATGACATCCGGATGGAATTCAAGCGGTTCCGGGCGTTCCTCGAGCTTCATGGGTCCTTTGCAGCCTGGTGCAGTAGCCTTTATTATCGCGTGGAAGACATGCCAGAACCGTCTCTGGTCATCGATCGATGGTGCAGGTCCTGGCCGGGTCGAGTAGCTGCTGACACTCTTGTGAGATACCAGCAGAATCAGAGACAGAATAAGAATCAACACAAGGCTCCTCCGGAACGAGCTGCGGCCTGTAGCCATGCTTTGGAGACGCAGATGGGACCACGGGATAGCTAAGGTAGAGACTCCTAAGACAGTATATGAATCGGCCAAGGCATCCGTATCTTTTCAGTTGATTTCTCGAGGAAACCAACATTTGCATCATCATCCATGGAATGGACGTTTGATATCACGTGTCGGCCTGATCGGGAAGTAAGAGCATCCATGGATCCCAGAAATTCATGGCCATTTTGTCCTTGCTCTCAGCGACAATGCCAGAGCCTGATTCGACATCGACCACGACTGTGAATATCGCCAGCATGGAGGGCCAGCAAATAGTGCACTGGATAGGGTGAGAATACGGGGTACAAGAGACACTCCGTACTCTCGACACCATTTCGACACCACTTCGACACCATCTCGTTTCTGATATCGCGGCCAAGTCCGGCAACCTGGCGACATTAGTATATACACGGATACGGATATTCGGAAGCTATATATGACATCCAACGAGCTAGTCAAAAGCGATGTGGTATTAGAATGCCTTGCTCAGACAAAACGATCTAACCCGGGGACCTATCGCCGAACGATGCAATATCCAAAGGCAAACCGGAGAGTGGCAAGATCTCCAGTACTATTAATTTCGGTGCCATCACACAAACCACCCCTCCCCGGAGGAACGTAGCATCTGCTTCATAGCTGGTTACGGACAACTTATGATGTACGGGGTGCGGATACTATGGGGTACAAATGACGAAGGGGCTCCGTTAACGATATCGCAAGAGATAAAACGCACCCACCTCTCCCTTCGACAGGCGCTCTTCACCCCTTGCCGTTCGGTCGACCCTGGCCCCCTTTACATGCTCTATTGGCTACTGAGGCAGCGGGTATGCCGTATAACAGGAGTCAGGACGGAACGGCGGTTGGACAAGAACAGGATGAAACATCGCGTCAGGAGATATGCCAAGGCCAGCGGAGCCACCGCCAAGATGAGATCCCTGAGGATGGATGTATGGCTTGTGGAGATGGAGGAGCCGGAGACCAAGGCCAACTCTTTGCCAATGGAAGGACGGTTTGCGCTTCGACCTCGCTCTCCTGGGCCGGAGGACGGAATATCGACTGCCGAGTACCGTGTATGGAGTACTTCTCAGGAGGTACCAGGGACAAGGAGTACAACAATTTTACACAGGACGGATGGCGTACAGAAATTGTCCAGTGCTCGCAAGGTTATGGCCGGCGTCTGCGAGGGGAAAGCGGGATTGGCGATCAACAGGTCTTTATCAGGAAATCGAGGCAAGGATAGGATACGATATGTAACGGCAAAATATGGCGAGCTCCATACCAAGAGTGATAATCCCAGATGATCACGCACTGCCAGTTCAGATATTGGATAACGGACAAGGCACGCTGAGAACTCGATACCAGCCACGTACGTACCTTGCCTGGTTGATGCTGGGCTCAGACGGATACATAAAGGAGGAGGCGAACGCAAAAAAGCAATATTGTCCCGAACCTCTCTTATGCCTGGTACCTTTTAGTAGCGTTTCCCAGTCATGTGATAGGGCTGTTTGGGAGCAACTTGAAATCGCAGCACCCATCTCGATTTAATCTGGTCAACGCGAGTCTTTCGCTCAGCTGCCTTCTACCTGGCTTCTTTCGCTAATTCGCCTTTTCTTGTTGGTCCTTGTTTGGACAGTACCGTCATTTTGCATTTTATATACTCAGCATTATATTTATATCATTGCTCTTTCGGCATTCGGCGTCTTGGTGCTCGTTCTCGTCTGCTTTTTAATATAACTTATCCAGCGCCTGTGGATAGCAATCTATCGTTGGTATTGGATCCGTTTCCTCTGGGAGGATAGGATGAGGCTTGGTTAGGTCGACATTTAATTCTTACCGTGTTCGGACAATCGTTTTTTTTTGAGTCGTTCGTTACTCCTCGAAAAGAGCCATGGCTCCCGCCAGAAAGAGAGACGATAACTGGGTTGATGTAGGTGTTTCCTAGATACGGCAATTTGATTCCACTTTCATTGACATCTCTATCTTAGGGTCTGCGTGGTGTCGCCTCCTTCATCGTCGTCACCGGTCATTTATGCACCGCCTTCGTTCCTTATCTCCATGACCCAGCACTATCAGATGGTGGACCGTCCAGCATCTTCCAGCTACCCTTTCTCCGATTATGCGTCGGTGGTCGAGGCTCTGTCGCCATCTTCTTCATCATTACCGGCTTCGTCAATTCAATTAATCCCGTCAAGAACGCCCGTGCCGATAACACCTATGTCGGACTCACCAATCTCGCCAAAAGCACATTTACCCGATCGGGCCGTTTGATGGTTCCTACAGCTATTGCTACAACAATTGCGTGGGCGCTATGCCATATGGGTGCATTTAGCATCTCGCAGCGAGCCGATGCTAGTTGGATCCGTGCTACAACTCCTGCTCCAAGTGCGAACTTTGCCGAAGCATTTGCGAATTTACTCAAGACCTTGGTACTCTTCTGGCATACTGGATCATCCGTATACGATGGAACACACTGGACTCTTAAATTCTTCCTCAGTGGCTCGTTTAGAACGTACCTTACGCTTCTGGCCTTGACCTTGGTTAAGCGACGCTATTGGTACATGATAACTGGGCTCTTGTGGGCTTATGCCTGGCTTGTCAACGATCGTGAGTACTTGCTTCTCGTACCTCCTCCATACTTTAATTTTTTATGCTATACATTCAAAGCTCTGTTTTAACCATTTCACAACTATAGATCTCGTTGGCATCAATATCTTCCCAGGTATCCTTTTAGCCCAACTACAGGTCGACTATGGATCTCGTGCCACTTCGATGCTCCCCAGAGCTATCCCCAGCATTCTTATCACAATTGGACTGTTGCTATGGGGCTTCCCCCAAAACAACCAAAATTGGGCGTGGTGGTCCGCAGCAATGCGTGCGTTCATTGTTGGAATCACTCCCGAGGGTGCAGATCACAGTCGCTATGCTTCATCCCTTGGAACATGCATTTTGATGCTAGGAATATTCTTCTCAAGGAACGCAAGACGTGTCTTGACTCTACCACTCTTTAACTTCCTCGGACGCGTTTCTTTCCCAGTTTACCTACTGCATAACATCCTTATTCGAACTATCTTGTCCTGGATGGTGTATGGCCAAAGTGCGGCCAGAACCCCCGTGAGAAACGCAAAGGGCGAGCTCCTCCAATTAGGCAGAGCCAGTCCGATGGCCTTCATCTTCATATTGCCCGTCTTTTACGCAGTGCTCTATGTAGTTGCGCATATGTGGGGTACGTATGTTGACCCCCAGTGCGGCCATGTGGTGAACTGGATGAGGGACAAAATGTTCAAGGAGCAACCAGAATCACAAGAAAAGCTCCTCCCATTACCAAACGGCGGTTCAACGACGAGCTAATATCTGTGCCCTATCTTTTTCTCTTCTGGATACCATTTGGAAGTCTCCATCGGCTTGGAGGCTGAGTTATATTATATACCCAAACTGCATACATTCTTTGTACTATGTCTACTAACCATTTCCTTTATCATTTTCTCCCTTTTTACCACCAATATCTTTTTATCCATTGGTTTTCCTTATTTGTGTGTGTTTTTTTTTTTTTTTTGCTATAGAACTCATGAAATGGGTGTCACCGATTGCTGTGGACAGCATTCAATTAAGACATAAAAATGTATACTGAACCGGTTTTGCTTGCATATATGATGACAGGTTTTGGTTTACTTCGGCAATTGTACACGGGGGATGAAGTGCCTTGTTGGATATTTTGGGGGTATATATATACGTCTGCCTTCCTTAGCCGCATAGTCACATATCAACGACCTACTTTTACTCATTTTCTCCAGCATGACATGCAGTCCCTTGACAACTAGAAAATCTTCTAGATTATGAAAAAAAAAAAGCTATTAAGACATCAGATGGAATAGGGTAGGATGTAAGCAATAGCCGGTTTCCGCGTTTTTGTTGTCAGCCCTTCCTTTCAGCGCCAGCTGGAAGGTGTCATATAAAAAAAGAATATGTGGGCTCAGAGCGGAAACAGATGGGAGGAAATCGTGTCCTCATTGCTCATAAATGAAGTTTGGTTGGTCGGCGGTGAGATAGAATATCTAATCTAAACTCCAGATGCGCCAGGAGCTTTCTCGTCCTTCTTAAGTTCCAGCAGCATTTCTCTGAACCGTTCTTTGCCAGACCCGCTCGCTCCGCCCTTGACTCCCTTTCCGCTAACATCGACAAGTTTGGCAATACGTTCCCAGCTTGTACCTCCAGCAGCTGTGTCTTCTCGGTTTGCGAGGAACTCTTCAGCTTCGGTGCGGGTGCGCTCCCGGGCCTTGTCGGTACGTTTGTTGTAGGATTCGTAATAGTCATCTATATCTTGCTGAGCTTTGGAGACGGTCGCCGCCTTCTTCTCAGACGAGGCTTCTGCTCGACGGGATAGTTCGGCGTCTCGCTTTTGTCGCCATTCACTAGATCGGGAAAATCAGTTTCTTGCATTTCTCCTTAAGTTAAATTTGCAAAAAGAATAAAAGGAGAATTTACCGGACAGCCTCGGATTCCTCCTCGGGCTCCTGGTTATTGGGGGAATATGATGATTGGAATGGTGTGTCCACCCCGGTGATTGTGCCGCCTGGAGCCATATTCTATCATAGAACCAGCGATATCAGTTTAGGATCCCGAATAAGTGGCATATAGTGTGTGATGCCTACCTCGTTTTGCGATTCAATAGCTGGGTAGCTCGACTCGAATCCGGAGTTGTTATCATGGGTCATCATATCATCTCCTCCTCCTCCAAGCAGGTCGTCATCATCTTCAACTGTGACGGAAGGCCTGTTATTATCGCCAGCTGAAATAAACTGATCGGCATCATCTCCTAATGCCGCACGCTCACGAGCAAGGAAATCACTGTCGTCCTCGCCGGCGTTGTTGCCTGGGCCTGGCGATGGGACCGGTTCATCTGGAATGTCCAGTGCTGTCAGCTATATATCACGTCTAGCAGGTAGAATACCCTCTTACCCCCGGTGATATCGTCAAGGGCGGGAAATCTGTCTGCCATTGCGAGATGTGAGGTGTGTGTATTAATTAGATAGAGCGAAGAGCGATGCTGGGGCGTAAGAGATCCGTGTAAATCGTAAAATAAAGCAGAAAACAGCGGCTTCAGCAGACAATTCTCATTCTAAACTCTCGAGATATGCTGCCCCTTGGTTGTGCTTGTCCGCTCTCTTCGTCTGTGGTGCTGGATTTACTTGTTTGTATAGCCGCAGTGATGAGCTCGCCGCAATTAGTTGTTCACTTAGGGGGCCAATGGGCGGCCGTATCGGGCAGGCGGTGACAGGCCGCAGTTAATCTGCCAATATATCACAAAACAAACAAAGCTTCAACTCTTCGCAACTCGCCCACGAAACAACTCGCGAAAGGACCTCGATCTCTGCTTCACTCTGCTCTTGTACGAAGCAGGCTTTGTACTCTCCGTGCGCCTGATCGTCCAGTCGAAGCTCAGTCAGTAGATTTGCGGCGTGAAATCCATAGCAATGGCGTATACCGATGATGCAGTGAAGGCGAAGCTGTCGGCCCTCAATGAGACGCAGGAATCCATTGTCACTGTCGCCCAATGGATTATGTTCCATAGGTAAATTCCCTCCTACATGCTTCAAATATGCTACTAGCTGTCGAGGCTAACAGATATGCGACCTTGGAATAGACGACATGCAGACCGCACCGCTCAGCTCTGGCTAGAGAGACTACGCGATGCCAATCCGCCAAAGAGACTCAACCTTATCTATCTAGCTAATGGTACACACTTGCAGCCTATCTACAGCTCGAGGACTTGTCAGAAGCTAACACACTCCCTTCACAGAGGTCGCCCAGCAGTCAAAAGGAAGACGGAAGGAGGACTTTCTGATCGCATTTTCTCCGGTTGGTTTATTGCTCGGCCCAGTCATCACATTTTTGTATATCGAATGGTCAACTAATGGACAATACCTTAGATTATCGCAGATGCGACTGCGACGGCCTTCAAGGGTGCGTCTAACGATATTCAACAGAAGCTTAGGCGCGTGGTAGAAGTATGGAGACAGCGATCGATATTTGAGAAACCAATCCAAGAAGCTGTTGAAGCGCGAGTTGAAGGTTTGTCCGACTCTTGGAGCGCAAGACCGGTGTGGAATATACAGGTGAACTAATAATATGAACCATAGAGCTCGATAAATCCAAATCTGCCGGCAAGAAACCTCTCCTTGGAGGGTCCCTTTTCTCGGGTTCCCCAGGCTCGCTCCCCCAGGAACTCCAGCCTCTTGCCCCATTGCAAGTTGCAGCCTCGAAGGCCTCCGTTTCATCCAACGCTACTATCACGACCGCGAATGTAGAATATGATAAGTTAAACGGCCCGTCTGCTGAAATTCCCACACCTCCAGTCTACGCTGCTCGGCTAAGCACGCTCTTAAAGACACTTGCCAATGCCGAAAGCTCAGTGTCTGAGGTCATGAAATGTCGCCAATCGCTTATTGAGGGATTAGAAAAGGTCCTGGACACCAACCGAGCCGCCCTAGCAAAGGAGAAATCTCAAATCGAACAGTTAGCGTCCCGCAGGACGGAAACCGAGAGTAAGAAACGCGATGTTGAGGATGCAATAATGCGTGGACTGTCTGCAGATGATTCATCAGCACCACAGGGGAACGGTGATTCGGCCTGGAGTGGACATGACCACCACTCTTTTGGGAGCGAAGGGTTAGAAGCTCCAGCCGTCGAAGCTTTAACACCTCCGCCCGTCGAGGCATTGACTCCAGTTCAATCCCCTAAGTTAAACCCAAGCTCCGGTCAGGATAACCAACAGCCATCAACCATACCCAGCCACACGAAGCCAGCCGCAGTGGCTGAATTCGAAGCCCCAACCCAAATGCCATCAATTGACTTGAATGCCACCCTGTCAACCCTTCAAGCTGCCGCCAACCCATCTAATGATATCAATGAACTATCTAGCAAGAAGCGGAAAGTCGTTCACACTCAAGACATCTATCCCGAGTTTGAAGGGGGCGATGCAATGGCTGATTTAGATGCTGATGTAGCTGAGCTATTGAGACAAGAAAGCAGCAAGCACTAAGGGAAGCTAGTCTTAACCCTTGGGAGATTTATGTACGGTATTGCATGGGGGGTTTAACCGTTTTGCCATTTGTCAACTCTTTGAAAAATTCTGCAAAGTTAAGGGGGCTGTATTTTGTTTTGGTTCTTTGCATCTTTCCTTTCTTTCTTTCTGTACTCTACGCTGTATATGTAGGTTTCTACGATTTCTTTTCTTCAAGATTCTGGTCAGCAAGGGACGGGTTTAGTTAGCCTTTCAAGTCGTATAGAGACTGCTCTCACGTACGGTAGGATACTGAGAAAACAGAAGAGCAGTCAGGCCAACCTCCGAAGTTGATTGGTTATTCTAGATATGAACGTCATCACATATATATACAGTGGAACTTCGTACAAAACGCTAGGAAACGAACCAGACAGCAGAAACATTTCCTCCATATTCTAAGTCAGTGGGGAAAAGGGATATGGACTGGCTGGAAAAGAGGTTCAGGAATCGTGACAAAAGAATTAGTATTAATCAAAAGAATTATATTACGACGGTAGTGGGATCCCTGGTTCATCCCATATATCAATCAGGAGACTGTTGCGGGAGGTAGTCCGCCTCGGACCCCTTTTAAACGACACGTAGTTGTGCGGGAGGGATCTCCGAGGGGGTTGGTTTTGTCCTTCGGGTGGTGGGTTTTGTGGTGGTGCTTGGGGAGGAGGTTGAGGAGCTGGTTCAGGAGCAGCGTGTTTCTTTGGTTTGACGAGGAGTATGATGAACATGGCGACGACGAGGAGGGCTAGAAGGAGGAGTATTTTCCGTTTTGTTGTGCGTCTTTGGTAGTTTGTGGCCTGGGATCGTTGTTAGTTTCAAGGTTTATGGTGGCATTGCAATTGAACGCTACATACCACTTTCAATTCTTTCTCGGCACCTTTAACGTCAACCGTCATTCGTTCAACATTGAAGTCGATGCGATCTAGTAACGTTCCTTGGTCGATAATCATGGTCTGCAAATCACGGAAAATATCCGAGAGCTCAATAATGCCCTTTGCAATGTCGTTAATTTCTCGCTCTCGTTGTGCAATTGCTGCATCGTTACTGCCCAGCTGTTGCTGTTGCTGTGCCGCTTGTAGGAGGGTGGATTGAGAGTATGACTTGTCGGCGTCAGATTCTACTAGAGACGGGTCTGTGTATGGGTTTTGTATTGGGGAAGCAGATCGTTCGAGTGGTGAGACCATTCCGTCTATGCCTCGTAGCTCTGTTTGACAAGGGAAAAAAAACCATCGTTAGCTCGTAATCGTAACTACTGAATACTCCATTCCTCAACTCACTTTTCAAGTATGTGCTCTGCTTCTTTCTAAATCCAGCACTAGCTTCCTGCACCCGTGCCGCAAGAGAAATCTGCAGGTTCCTCGCCATCGTATCCTCACCCTTATTCACACCGGATCCTTGCTCTCGGGCATCTCGAGCCATTGCTTCGACTTTCTGTATTGATCTCTGGCAATCATGGAATCCCCTCGTGATATCTTGGGTCAGTTGTTCAATCATATCCTCCTCTTCTCTCCTGGCGGCCTCGTCCCCGAACCCTGGCAGTACATGCTTCTGGTGCAGCTTATCCAGCTGGGCGGACTTTCGGGAAATGTCTCGCAGGTACTCGGTAACTTCATCCTGTACGTCCATCCACCGAGGAGGCAGCAGGTCCATCTCTATGACAGCATCTCCGTCGTCCTCGAATCCACCGCCGGACATGAGCCCGCGGCGCTCTTCTGAGAGCCCCGTGCTGTCTGCATGGTCACTCCAGGCTCCTCCAATGTGACGTGGTTTTTTGGCCGGGTGGTGAGCGAAGGACTGGCGATAGGAGATGTAACTGGAAAAAAGCAAAGGCGAGGTTAGCTATGGGGGCTATGCGCAGTCTTCCACGGACATGTCAGCTTACAGGTTTGTTCGATCCCGCCACATGGTTAGGGGTGTTATGGGTGCAATGGAGCGGAGACTGTCAAGGCAGCAAACTATAGATCAGCGATCTGGGGTACGCCTGCGCATGATCATTGAGAAGAGACGCTCCCAGTGATCATAACCCCGGGAACAGGGGATTCGCCGCAGCCACAGTGCTGACGATGGCAGGCTGAGATATCTGCTCTCCGTTGCTGGCGGGCCGTCGGTTTGTCTGGTCTCTGTTGTTCAATTGTTGTATGAACAAGCAATCGCGAATGACATAAGGCTGTCTCTCGATGTCACGTGATATCTAAATATCAGGGGCCTACAAGCTGCTGTTCTATTCCTATCTGCTGTTAGACTACATATACACGTATACCTGGCGGTGAGGATGTCCTTAGTCGAAGATGTTACTGTAGACGCTCGTACTGTTGAGATGCTCTTATTGTTGGGATGCTCTCATTGTTTATTACAGCTGAGCCGTCCTTGTGCAGACGAACTGCGCCTCCAAGGCTCCCAAGGCGCATCTCAGACATCATATCCCGTTACTGTTCCGTACTTGCAGACCCTTGCTAGACCGTACTGGCTCTAGAGTAGGGTTGTTGATACTGATACTCCTTACTGATGTTGATATTGATATTGATAGTGTTACTTGGTAAGGCTGTATTACCGTAGGCTTGGCAAACGTGATCCTGTCGAGGGGTCAACTTCCACCACCAAACATTAACTACGCAACTTCGCTCCCTTTATATACAACGCTCTCGCCCTCTCCCTGCGCTCCTCCGATCCAGCGTCAACTCCGTCGATATACTTACCCAGCTCCTCTCCCTCAGACAGTTCTACTTGTGATACCCGCTCAGCAAGCATGGTGCGTGGGCCACTGCATCGGCGACCCCTTCTTCCAGCTCTCTCCTATTCTCCCTAGCCCAACCACCCCGGGGCTTCCTCAGCTAATCCCTTCGTCGTAACGCATACAGGCCGATTCTTTGACTGAAGAGCAGGTGTCCGAATACAAGGAAGCCTTTTCCTTGTTCGTAAGTCATTTCTACCCCTTGTTGTGCCCGGAGTTGCTTCGTCAAGGGTGCCCCGCCCTCGCAGTGTGTACGGTTTAGCTGACCGAGTATTCAACTGCCTAATAGGACAAAGACGGTGATGGTGAGTAATGGCTCTCAGAGGCTGCTTTGGCCGTCGAGACAGTTGGCCTAGCACCGTTGGTAGAGCCTCGCTCGCTGACATACCACCTCCATAGGCCAAATTACAACCAAGGAATTGGGAACCGTGATGCGATCATTGGGCCAGAACCCTTCTGAATCCGAGCTACAAGACATGATTAACGAGGTTGACGCCGATAACAACGGAACCATCGACTTCCCAGGTACGGTTTTTCATCTAGGGAGGAGGTCTTTTTTGCCGCTCACCTCGTACCCAATGAGCGCATCGATATATACTGGTGATAGAATCAGCTAATCGGTTTACTTAACAATACAGAATTCTTGACTATGATGGCCCGGAAAATGAAGGATACCGACTCCGAGGAGGAAATTCGAGAAGCCTTCAAGGTGTTCGATCGTGACAACAACGGTTTCATCTCTGCTGCGGAACTACGTCACGTCATGACCTCGATCGGCGAGAGATTGACCGATGACGAAGTTGATGAGATGATTCGTGAAGCTGACCAGGATGGTGATGGCAGAATCGATTGTAAGGCGTGCTCATATCTGCTACACTACTTCGAGAACAATATACTAACCACTGCCGCCCCCACAGATAACGAATTCGTTCAACTCATGATGCAGAAATAGGTTTCAAATTCAAATAGCAATCTAATCTCTATTCCGTAAAGATATCGGCGGGCCATGTTAATATTCTTACATTCCCCCATTTTTTGTGTCTATGATTTTGTCTTCTCGACTTCCCCATCGGTGGATGCTGGCAACAGCATTGTTGTATGGCCTTAATTATAGTAAGCAATTAGTTATCCTCTTGGCCGTCTTGCGATGTTCATCCTCGCCTGTATTACTCTATTCTCAATGAGAAATGATTGGTAAAAAATCAACTTCCTATGACATTCACTATGTCTACAAATAGGGGCTGGCTGAACGTGTTGAACGTTCTTGAGATATATGCCATCCAACTCCCGTGCCACCCAATCGTTACCCCTTTTGAATAAACGTGGACGCCACGAGGACATGCTTCGGTATATGCCAGTGTAAGATTAGGTTAGCTGGTAGTACATACTCGTTCGTTAGGTACATTCTAGCCAGCAAGTCTGAAAACATCATGTAGATTTCACTCATACCTAAACCAAATATATACCAAACGCCTTATATCCAAATAAATTCTACCGATAAAATTTGAAAACCTCCATATACTGCCTCGCAAGGTCAACTCCAACAATACTAGCCTTCTCCCGTGCGGAGTGTGCCGTAGCGCCTCCCTTCTCAAAATACCTCCGCCTCTCCATCCCTACCCCAGGGACCTGGATTGACTCCGTAGCACCGGGAATAGAGAAGTTCTCCCACAACTCCCGAATCAGCATCACTCCCAACTCCCAATCTTCATCCGTAGGGAGGTCCACCTCCCGATTCACTTGGTGTGGGAGGGGCGGCATCATGACCCCGTTCTCGTCGGGATCTTGAGCTAGATCTGATTGTCCTGGTTGCCTTTCTCCCGGACCACGGTATTCGATTTCCACGATTGCTCCACGGAGACGAGGCCGAGGCGTTGTCTGACGCACTTCACCTATCCGGACTCGGAAATCAGCTACTTCGTAGGCTTCTCCCGAGGTGACAACTACAGTATGTCGGTGGTTCCAGAGTGGTTGGCAGAATTTTGTAGTCATGGAGAAAAATGATAGGTATGCTTGTGGCTCAAGTGTAATCATCTTTATTGTATGGGCTTCGTCTTGGGATGAGGCCAGATTCTTTGGATCCGCCGGATGCTGTAGCTGCGTGGAAGGCGTAGGTGAAGAGGAGATGCCTTGCACTTGTGTTGGAAGGGATGCTGCCGGGCTCCCTTGATTTCCTGAGGCGGAGGGGTCTAGCGGGTCGATCTCGGGACGAGGTGATATTCGTATAAATCCATGGGTTTGGTAATGGCTAAGAGAAAGAAAGTGCATGTAACGTGGAGTTGGTACTTTACTGTTGGGAAAATTCGCTGCTGGCAAACATGATGCTGTGTCTCTCATGAGTTTGTACTCTAGTGCCCAGCGTCCGGCTCTGGCGGGTTGATGAATAGCTTTGAAGCGATCAAGGACAGTCCTTGTCGCTGTTGTTGGTAACTCTGGGTTACTGGGAATATAGTATACCCTAGATAAACTGTGAGCTTCGGTTTCATTCATCATAGGTGGATGTTTTGCTTACCCAGTCACCGACATGATAACTTTTTTGAATCTTAGCCCGTTTCCAATATGTATAAAATATAGCAAACTATCTCCGGGTTTGGGTGTACGGGGATGGCTGTATTTGGCTTTTTGCGAGCCGGCTGGTATATTTGAAGATGTTATCCGCTTCAGTTATTTGAAGATTATCAATTGTGAATACTCCGTAGAGTGATGGAGTTGGATAGGACTAGCCGAAGATTCTGGGTTGGCTGAACCACCCAGTGGTATTTTTCCCAATGCAAAAAAGTAGAAAACAGCCTATGGATAGGATTTCCAATAAGGATTTGAGAACACGATGGAATAAATATGGCTACCTTCTCGAGGTACCTATATATATCAAACTTGACTTTCCCAAAACAGAGACTTGAAGCCGACCAAAATATACACAAGATACCGCAGTAGTCCAAAAAAACAAATAGATATAAAGGTAGATTATAGACTCTATGGATTTCAACGGCTTGTGGTATCGGTCCTATAGTATATATTGCGATTCTTGATATTTGCGAGGACGGGAAGGTGGTAACTCTGGAAAGCGTTGGATCACGTGATATAACTACGACCGCTCCAGTGCTACCAAATATGAAGAACAAAACAGCTGTAGTATATAAATTGAGAGATGTCGGAGCATACATTTCATGAAAATATTCCTCTACTCTGCAAATCTTCATCGCTAGGTTTGTCTGCTACTTGATGCATTTACCCCCAACCACAGTGCCAGAGAATGAAGCTAGCAGATCTATGTATCATCCAGGTCACATATTCTCCCAACCGCGGATTCCCGGCTCTGGAAGTAATGTTAACAAGCCGAGTCGAGTGAGTCGAGAACAATCATGGATTTACTCCGTACAGAGAACTGTATCGGCGTTTCCTCCTGTCACGCATATACAGTTCCAGCTATCCGGCCTGTGATCAACCTCGCAGAAGGCTGCACAACGATTTGCTCCAGCTGGGCGCCGAGACCAATATCAAAAATTCGATTTGAATATCGCCGAAGATCTTGCCGAGAGGGAGACTTGGCCAAGGACAGGGCTGTACCTTCGTTTGATGGAACGGCGAACTTGCACGAGCCAGGCCGTCCAGCGAAACGACTCCCTGACTTCACTCGGCGAGCAGCATCAGGACGACGGCCATTTACCGAGACGAACGCAAGGAAAAGCAATTCAAACACTGCTGCCATATGCATGGGGCTAAAAATGCCGCAACTGGCTGCTCGATGCCCTTGTCGATCCACTTGAGTGCATGCATCATCGGCAGCTACTATATCTGATAGTCTAGCTAGGATGCTTATATATTACGCCTTTACATAGTGCACCACTGTATTTTTCATCGTTCATTTTCAACGGGTGGTTCCAACGAAGAAAGAAACATGGACGACAGCCATGGATGACAGCCAAATTCGTTGTATAAAGTCATTCGCTGCTAACCTTGGAGCTGATCCTTCCAGTGCGGGGAACATGTCTGGGGATAGTGCTACTAAGAACACTCAACGAGAAGCAGCTCTCTATTTCCAAGCGTCAGCTACCACTACAGGCTGATGAGAGAAGATACTTTGTTCAACTACTATGCTTTTATATTAAAAACCGTCAATCCATCGGCTCGGCGCCCGACGGCGATAGATCCATCCAGGGATTATTGGATGGGTTCCGCCGACTGGGGAATATGGAAGTAGATTATCCATTGTGTCTGGCCAAATAATGCATCCGTACGGAGTAACGTCTTGCTACAAAGAGCATAAGCCACGGTCTCGTTTCGTACTTGTGTCAGCCCAGACTTGGTCGCTCGTGTGGTTACAGGGTAGTCACGCAGACCCCCTGACAACGCTCCCCAGCCGAAACATGTCTTTAACCACTGGATCCTACCAGAATCAAACTACTCCGTACTAGTATAGTCCCGTCTACTCTTTCTTTTATGGTTTATGTCCCTTTTTCTCACGTTCTATCTGAGGCTTAGGTAATCTGATCTAATCTGATCCGCTGATTGATAATGGCGTGACTTTCTCGGTCCTCCAGCCAATCAGAGCTCGATCTGATATGAAACATGCGGAACGGGCGGTATTGTCATTTACACGCCCGTTACCCGATTAGCGGAAGGGTGAAATCTGGCATATGAAGCGCATCGACAGTGCATCCCGTGGGCCACGTCAAACAGCCTAAGGGGAGAGGAAGAACCAGGATCGAACGCGCTGGTGGGCTGCTCTGCAAACGGCGGGCCCTCGTAGAAACACCACAGATCGGACAAGACCTGCAGCTGTCCGCCTACTATCCGATGGACGGGGGTCGGGCAGGGCAGTTTTTGGTTCTGGTAATTACTGTACCCGTGTATTTTTCGCTCGGCAAGATCTGATAGGGATTTTCGCTCGGGGGAATTCGCCTCCCAAGCCAGGACGGCGCCCGACGATAAATATCAACCTCCTCGGCCTCCTTCATCCCCAGACTCCGCCATACCAGGTATTCTTACCCATTCACTCTCTTGCACAGCTGGTCGTCGCAATCACGCACGCATACGTAGCGGATTCCCTCAGTGAACCCCTAAAAGTGCAGACAAAACCTTCCCCCACTTATCAGATCAAAACTTGTCATCAAATCCACAGCCGGTATGGTTCCCCCTTGCCATGGCACCCGCGAACCAGGAATTCCCTATAAACACCATCTCTTTTCAATCTACACTCTATAATGTGCTACTTGGACTTGACTTGATACTGATTTTCCTTCTCCAGGGGCCCCAAACTCATCCCGGGCTCGTTCTCACTCACAATGTCCACCACCATAACATCTCTTCCCCGTGAAGAACCGGTCTCTATCCCACTTACTTCTACATCACATCCGGACGACCCTATCCCGGAAGAACCTACATCAATTCCTCATTTGACGATTCTACGACGCTCGATAACCGGCGCATCAGACTCTCAATCCTCGGCAACGTCCGTAACCGCTGCATCTGAGACCTCTGTGGACTCAGATGCCCCTCTCACACCCATAACAGAGCCTTCCAGTGACACTGCGCTAGACGAAGCGTTCGGTGATGGCAAAGAACTCGGAGCAGCGCCACAGCGTCGAAGGCGGGCATCGACCGTCTTAATATCCCAGAATTCAGAAGACGTTCAGAGGATACTCGGCGACATCCCGAGTGGGACCAATCTCTTAGGGAAGATATGTTGCGGAGGAGGATGCTGCAAGCTCGAACCACTGAAACATTTGATACCCTCCCTAGCAGTCAACCCTGTTCTTAGGCCCAAGAACGCTGCCTTTGAGAGCCTTCGACTCTACTTGGGCGAACTGTCTCTCGATAGCAAGCTTACCAAAGTGGCTCCCCTTCCGGAAAATACTGTTTCCTTCTCTTCCGTATCAATTGAGTCTGTAGGCAAAAAACTCGGGCCATCAGACCATCCTCCGCAATTCCTCCAACCACACGCGCCCTACGAAGTGTATCGTGCGCCGCTTCATCACGCACGAGAGCTGACCAGACCCGGGGCTGAAAAGCGAACGTACCATTTCGATATTGACGTTACAGACTACCCAGTTGAAGGTGGGAATGTCGACTTCGTTGTTGGGGGCGCAATTGGTGTTTGCCCAAGCAACCCTGAGAGCGTCGTCGACGGCGTGTTTAACCGTCTCGGTGTCCCCAAGTTCGTACGAGACAAAAAGATAACACTTCACACAACCCATGGACGATGGCCGACAATATGGGGAGACGAAAAGCCTCGAGACCTTTTGACTACCAGACGAGAACTACTCTCTTGGTGCTCAGACCTACAAAGTTACCCTCCAACAAAACCGCTCCTGCGACTACTGGCCGAATACGCTTCAGACGAGAACGAAAAGAAGATATTAATGTATCTCTGTTCTGCCCAGGGCCAGGGCGCATTCTGTGATCTCCGCACTGGCCCTTACACCACCGTCTTGCAGCTCCTCGATGCATTCCCTTCCTCCTATCCTCCCCTAGACCATCTTCTCTCTACCTTGAACACACTTATGCCACGCTTTTACTCCCTTTCCCAGGACCCTATGATCCAGCGTACCGTTGACGGAACGGAATCACGGCGTGTCATCGAGATTGCCGTCACCGTTCACGAGTGCCCTGACTGGCAAGGGGGCCACCGCACTGGCACTGGATCTGGCTTCTTAGAACGCATAGCTCGAAAGCTCTTAGCAGCCGAGAAAGAAGGAATTGATCCAGCCAGCCTGGACTTGCACGTCCCTATGTTCCGTGGGTTGATGTCCAACCCACTCGCAAGGAAGTTTGTATCAGACGGTCCCATGCTCCTGATCGGGGCTGGTGTCGGTGTTGCTCCATTCCGCGGCTTCGTTCAGAGTCGTCTCAGATCAGCCAACTGTGCAAACAAAGTCTGGGTACTCCAAGGAGTTCGCGACTCGTTGCTTGATGAACTGTACTCTGGGGAATGGGGAGTTCATGAGGACGAGGTCAAGAAGGTGGTTCAGAGCAGACGAGGCGAAGGCAGATATGTTCAAGAGGAAGTGCGGCATCAAGCTGACCTTGTCTGGTTCGTGATCAACTCCCTTGATGGCCGTGTGTTTGTCTGTGGAAGCAGCAAAGGGATGGGTGAAGGTGTTGAGGCTGCCTTAATCGACGTCGCAATTGCCAAAGGGAACTTGAACCCTGACCAGGCTAGGATATTCTGGGATGAGAAGAAGGAAGCTGGTCAATACATTGCGGTATGTCTTAGAGTTCTTTTTCTTCTATCTTCCACGTATGAATTTGCACTGACAACTCATAATAGGAGACATGGTGAACGGACCGTCTTTGAACTTTTCGAATGCAGTACCTTCTCATTAATCAGCTACCGCCTATAACTATTCTCGAATTGGTAGCTCAAAAACCCATTTCTCACTACTGCAATTCCGTTTCTCTATCACGGCGTCAGCGTCTGGCCTGTTCGAATCCACATTATTGATTCCGCCATTTTCCAACGTTACTTTTAGCATAGAATATATCATTAGCATTAGGAGCAATCCATTTCATCGCATGTACCCTTCCACAATTCACTCATTTATATATTTCCATGGCGCTTCGAACTGGCGAGAGCCGCCACCTTCCAGCTTGCAATATTACCATTGTCATAATCTCCTCTGTCCAGGCCTTCATGGATACTAAGTTCCCCCTAGGAAGCTTTTTCCGTTCTAATAATGAAGCCACTCGTAATAAGGCGCGAATCGAGGGAGGGAGAAACTCGATTTTGAGTGGTACACTTGTTGTTTTCTCGAGGGAGAATAATACATGTCATCTAGCAAACAAATATTGACGGCAGGTATTCTGTCCAATTTCAGCAATGCTTGGGACTGGCAGCAGCGGCTGTCCCGTTTATTTCTGATTGACCAGGGAAAACAGGAAACTGTATTTAACCTTGTTCAACCGCGCCTTGCCAGGATCCAGGAACCAGGAGATGAATGGCTTATTGATAAAAACGAAGGAGGACGGGTTATACAAGTAAGAGCATGCATGACAATGACGATGTTGGTTGGATTGACCCCTTTCCTGCCAAGTTGATCCCGTTGATATGGAAATCCAACGTACGGGACCTCCGTCTGGACCGAAGGATGCTGGGGGTTCTGGAACCATTTACTATCACTTTTGAACCAGGGAATGTCGTGCCCATAGACGCCACAGAGTGATCTACAGCGGGGTTGTACAGGATGCTGGCTCTCGAGAAATCTAGCCTGGGTTTTGATAGACGCGGGCATGTACACCAGCCGGCCACGTCCATCATCCAAGACGAATACGCCATCAAACAGAGAACCAAAGGGGAATCTGGGTATACGAAAGCCATTGTGGCAGGGTCGAGAAAGGAGGAAATGACATATTCCATAATTCCTGGGAGTTGAACCAGGAACTCGTGGTAATATCAAAAGACGATCACGGTCTTTGGTTTGCGCCCGTAGTCCCTACACTGTGCATGGAGTACGAGCACCTCGTATCTCCCTGGAAGTTGGATAACAAAGAACGCTGACTGCCAATCAGCTCTATTGGGGTCTTGCATCCCATCAAACGGTGCTAGTAAGAGAACGCTGGATGACGAGGGCTGCTGATATCAGTAAGAAATGGACGTTTATCGGCTGTCCACCCCGAATAGCATACCATAAGGGCCAAAAGTACGGAGTGGCTGGCCTCGAGACCTTTGTTCTGCTGGCTAAGCATTGGTCCAAGTGTGAATCGTCCCAGAAGGCGGTTCCAGCTTTCGACAGAGACTATATTTCATTTTCCGTCAAGAGTCAAGCGGCCTATTCTGGTCAAGCACACAGCAAAACCTTGACAACGTAGCATTGATTATATCCCCGTCGATCAGGCCTCCGATCTGTGTCTGTCTTACGTGCGGCCCGTCTATGGAGAAGAGACTTTGGGGGCTAGGCCATACAGAAGCTTGAGTGACAGAGTGATTGTGGCCGGATGGGGTAATGAAGTTTGTTTAGCATAGTACATGGACATCACACTATATGATGTGTGGGTAGCGTCTTTTCGGCTGATTTGTTTGCCATGGATGTGGATAGCTCGATCGGGGTCGCATGACGGAAAGGCGCATGCATATACGACGTCGACGTCCTCGATAGACGTTTTAGGCATCTCACGCAGACAGGGTCGATATTATGCGACGTGCTCGAGTCTTACACCCAGCAGTCACAGGGTGGGGTGACACCTTTAACAGGCTGAGATATCGCCCCGGGTCAATGTATATTTTGTACAGCGCATCGTCCTCACACAAACAGCTGGTGGAAGATGACAAAAGCATCGAAAATAGTGCGTGGGGAGGGGGATCAAATGTATGACAACCGCGCATACACGCATCGGCCATCGGGACCTGTGGCGGCGCCCCCTGGAATCCCGAGAGTTGCTCGTCTGTGCCGGAATATACAGACGGACTCCGTGCGCTGCATAAAAGGAGACAGAGACCAAAATCAGGGATGTGCTTGCTTTTTCTTGGTCGATTTATGATTTGTCACTTTGCCAATACACGATTCTAGGTGCGTTGGGCGCCTTTTTTGATCTCGTCCTTTTTCTCCGCATAGATATCAGTGCAGTTGCTTTCTGTCTTTCCTTTCTCTCCGGGGAAGAGGTTAATTCCTGTAGGTCATGAAAGTCCGGTAAGTCCTGTTGATCCTGTTGGTCAAACGTAACTGCACATCTGTGAGAGCAACCGGTTTGTCACACAGGGCAACGTTTCCTGGTTTGCCGGCGGGGGACGATTCCCTGAAGATTAATAGAGGAGGGTAACAGGTTGAGCTATTGTACAACCATCCGGTCGACCTCAAGTGGGAAGTGTGCATACGACTAGTTCGGGCTGCCATCCGGCAAGCGAACGGGCCTGTATCGATGCTCAGCAATAACTCTCCTGTCGTTCATGAGCAGGGTCCAAAAGATATTAGAGTTAATGTTATTTTTACTCTTTTGGGTGAAACGATCATTGCGTTATGCACATTATCCCATGGCCGGTAATCATCCCCCCCCCCTACTTTTGCAGAAGAGATACCGTGAGTCAGTTGCGAAAAGTAGGAGCAGCAAGCGAAACTGCATGGAGTGTCATTGGCAAGAGATAAGGGTCACCTGTCATTATATGCCACTGCATGTATGAGGTGCTTGTTATGCGCTGCCTGAGATTATGTGCATTGCATCACAGCATACGTTGTAAACCATCAGTATATGCGGGAAGCCAGCGAGTTAGCCAGTAATGTTTACCGCAAGTTGGTAGCATGGCATAAAGTAGGGATAAGGCGTCGAGCGAGGAGGTTGAGTGTCGAAGTATAGCAAACCGAGTTTATTCGTTCCTTTGCTTCTTGGGTTTGCTTTCTTTTTTTTATCTATCTTCCTAAATTAGATGAGCTGTCAACTATTTGCACTTTGGGAGTGTTTGCTTCTAACCCGTCATTGACTTTACTTGCCAGACAACCCATTTCCGCTGTGTTACACCTTCCTCCGCCCGGCCGTAACAGGAAATCATGGATATAACCCAGTAACCATCTCACTCGCTTCTTAGCCCTCTGATTATTGCTGAGACGGGGTCGTCGATATCTCTTTTCTCTCCCGCAAGCTTTCCAGTTTTTTTGCTAGAGAGCAACTAGCAGATCTGACGACAGCCCGACGTGGCAACGATCGATTTCATAAACAACCAGACTAGGGCCTACATATCCTTGTCTGCGCGCGGGGGGTGGGGGGAGAAACTTTGAAGAAAGAAATCACCACCGTATGGAGTATATTGGTATGGGGGAGAAAGATTTCCCAGTAATTTCGGTAGATCAGAGCCTTAAGGATATGCCCGTTGCTGTCAGATTCAGTCGTGATTGAAAGGACCAGGTATATATCGAGTAAGTTGAAGTCAATATTCCCACAATCCAGGTTTCGAGTCGTGTGGTTGGCCGATCGTTCGATCGTAAGCAAGCCATGTTTCGATTTAACCAAAAACCTTAGCAGAAGGCGATGTACTAGGGATTTGTGGATAGGCTGAATCATGCCAAAAAAAAAAAAACCTATTTCTCTTATTATACTGCAGCGAGTACAACCATCGTTTCCTCTCGGATGTTGTGTGACGGGCTGATGTTTGGTAGAACCAGTTGATATGCGTTTTTCAACCTTAAAAAACATCCCACAGAGCTCGAGGTCCAAGGAATCGGCTGCTTAGCGCTGAAGTACAGAGTACGATAAGGCCAGATTATTGGAAAGTCTTTTTTATTTTTGCGAAAAAGAAGGTGTTTTCGGTTCGCGCTTGTCACGTCCTTGAACCTGGCATTTCGTCTTCCCTTTCCCGTAGGGACGGTTGCAAGATGACCTGCTGAGCGCCTCAAAGCCCGGGCGCATGGATATCGTTTTCGTTTCTTTTTTCTTTTCTTTTTCTTTTTTGCTCTGGCGATTTTATCCAGCGAGCAAAAAACCTGAAGTTGCAAGTCGATAGTGGCTTTAGAACGAAGATTCGATCCCAGTTCAAGGTTTCTTGCCTCCGCAACGTAGAGCATTTTCCCACAGCCGCTTCTCCTTCTATCGATGTCAGACTATGGGATATCCGTAAAAAAAGAACGCGCATCCCTAAACCTGAGAGAGGTCCCGGGATATGCTGCTATTTCCCCACCCTGCCCAAGCCCACCCTGCCCATGGGTGGTGCCCATGGTGGTGCACATTGTAATCGCTGCCATGTGGACACGGAAGAGGCCCATAGAGGATGAGTGATGTGGTGTTTTTGTTATTCCTTTCTAGCCTCAGCGAGGGCCGCAAAGCCTGTCACCGGAAAGAAGCAAAAAACAAACATGCACGCCTCAGGATGGGGGAGGGAGGGCATATACCCCCTATCAGGACTAGACGGACTGGGGTTTTGGCGATATGTACTCATGGACAAGCCTGAAGAGGGCGTTAACTCGTCCTGAGTACGAAGTAGAGGCAAGCCCAATGTGTGGCGGGCGCTCTAGGAAATGCTAAAACGCCTCACCCTCGGGGATCGTACTCGATGATGCTCGAGATGCAGGCTTCTGGGTCCACCAGCCTCGATTGTCAGCACTGTTTAGGACATGTCAGAGAGCGTTCGGGGGGTCTGGTACTTGCTTCCTAGCACAGCATGAATTATATCGACGGCGATAGTCCTCCAGCTCGTTAGCTTCGGCCCCTGACCACTAGTTATTGGCTGTCCTAGTGAAAAGGGCCGAGCATCCAGAGTATCCAGCCAGTATCGACCAGCATCAACCAGCCAGCAGGCGGCGTTCGAAGGTGCCGGTGCTGGTGCTTGCTTGGGAACAAGCAGCAGGCCCATGGTTTCTTTTTCGTCCGGCCAGGCAAATCAGTCTGATGGGAGTTTTTCTGTCCGACTCGAGTTTGCTTTTTTGCCATACCCTCCTCCAACCCTCCACACATCGGACCAGATCAGGATAGGCCCTTTCAAGCGTCTTGCCCCTGTCATTCCTTCTTTTCTTTTCACTCGATCTCGCGGGCTTCGAAGGGTGGGTAGGATTTCCTTGGATCCACAGAGACCGATCGCCATGGGTTCAGGACGGCGGCCGCTGGACGATGCTCCATATCAGACGCGGCGGTGCCTTTCTCGATACATATAATACCCGTCTGCGTCTGCTCTTTAGTTGATCAGTTAAGACCAGAGCATCCAAGACTTTCCCCAGTCCTACAGATACCAGACATATCTAGTTGAAGATTCAAGCTGCCCGGCGTTGGATACCATACTCTCGCTCAACCGTTCTACCGGCCTGCCCCATCTTCACGGCTTAACGTCTTCAAGCTGTTGGATATACTCTTAACACATTACACATCACGCCTGGAGTAGACCTTGCATAGGAGGATAGCAACAATCCGGATCTCCCACAACCTGGATAACTAGAACAGTCAGAAAAACATGACTGTCGCATATTCAACAGTGCTAGCAGAGCATCGCCCTGAGAAGCTTCCGTCGTTCAGAGAGGTATGGAAATCCGCTAGACGGCCTGGTGTGACGCCTTCTTTTCTAACTTTCCACAGCTTCTACCTGATCATCTCCATGATGAAATAGAGGGCGGTGTGTTCTATGCGCAGTCCAACCAGCACTGGAGAGGCGGTTCGCTGCATGATGCTATGCCACCGCCGACTCAGCAGGCCGAGAGGCTTCCCTCCAGACTCTTTGCGAGAGATAGTCGGTTTGATGATGTCTCTCTGCGTCCAGATAGGTTCTCGGGCAACAGTGCCAAATCTCTCGAAAACCAGCAATCTCATATATCGGAATCCAAATCTACCACGCCTGCTTCCCACTCCCGCCCTAAACTGACTCTCACCGAGATCAACCGGTCGCTACCTCCTCCTATCCCATCTCCATCAAGGGAGTATTTCGTCAAGGTTTCGCCAAACGCCAACAGCACCACCATCTATGCCCCCCTGAACAGCAGGGGAAGAGCTGACGGAGAACTATCAAATTATTCGATATCCTCTCCCCGGAGCCAGTTTTCCTTTGATTCTTCCAGTCTTTCACATTCGTCTTCTCCAGTCAACATGATGCCTCCCTGCGACTGCCGGGATCCGCTATCGTATTCCCCATATGAGCATGCCCATGCCTGCGACAGAGGCTATCCGCAATCGTCATTCGGCCATTACAGGCCAGCTTCAGCATTTTGTCTCTCAGAATGTGACCTCGGTGACATGAGAGAAAAAAAAAGAAGGGGGAACTTGCCGAAGCCGGTAACAGACATGCTTCGTGCATGGCTATGGGAACATCTGGATCACCCATACCCCACCGAGGAAGACAAGCAGATATTTATGAGCCGGACAGGATTGACTATCAACCAGGTAAGCTCCTCTTTTAACCCTCGTTCGGTTCTTCGATAGCTAACATGATCTTAGATCAGTAACTGGTTCATTAATGCACGAAGGCGGCAGGTAGCTTCGTTGCGCAGTCAAGTCAAGGCACGCAACAACTCAGAGTCTGATAGCAACAGCAGTCGACGCAATAGCAGTCCCCGCCAGAGCGATGACGAGTCAGATTATCTGCCGACCCCATCTGAGAAGCACTCAAGCCTTCCTTAACGATCTTTCATAATAACCCTTTTTCCTTTCCTTCAACCACCATTTTTCTTTTCTTTCGCCCTAGCGTATTCTCCTTGGGAGATTCTAATCTCGAAATTCTATGTAATTTCTTAATGAACAACAACGACGTCTATTTGTCGTACCCCTATTTTTATCTCTTTTCCATCCGTACTCAGTATAATACAGGCAGTAGTTAGCGGGCAAGTCCCTTGCACGACGGGCTCAGCCCAAATATGTTAGTTACAGGCCACAGCCTGAGCCGTCCATCTGGTGCATAGTGGCTGGTTAGAAGCCTATCTGACTTACGAAACATAAGCTCCAAAATAAACCCACTCATAAAGTAAACTGGGGTAAGTATGGAGCAATGAGGGCCGTATTGAACAAGCTGGCGCAGTCCATCGCCACACTCTCTCGTAGGTTTCCTCTTCAAGCAATGCTGTCATCTTGACAGCCCAACCCCAGCCGTTAGCGGGTCAATGCGTGCCGCGGAGTTATTTGACCCAGGGACTCAGTTACCGGTATCTGAGTGGGACGATTTACCCATAGGTAGAGTTCAAAAGCAGAGTGTTATAATGTTGCACTCTAACCTTCTACTGTCTTGTACCAATCTCCCTACGGAGTACTACATTAGCAGAATATGGTCATTGAATTATCTCACGTAGATCGTATATCACCAATCCGTTTTCCTCGTTCGCGGCTCTGCCAGCTTTCTAAGGCTTCGAGATCACGAGTACTCCTCGAGATATATATATATATAGAAAAAGCAATTCAGTGATTGAGATTAGCGGTTGGATCTACGGAGGGATCAATCATGGTTGTGTGGCGTCCCTGTAGCCCTCCTAATCTGGACGCTCCCATATCGACGCTGAAGACCCTCATTCGACAACCGTAGGACTTAGTGCTTGTATTTCTGTCGGTATGTACTTCGTAATGTGCTCAATAAACGCAAGGGTTCTCGGCCCTAGATAGAATCAGAATGGCCACCGCGATCCGAGCACATAATTAATGCTCCACCCGTATGGTATATATCTCGTGTGGGAGGGACGCGGCCCCAATGTGGCATGTGCTTGGATCGCGGGTGTATGGCGTTAGGGGCACCGGTGGCTTTGGCAGCAGAGGCCACCCCACGTAAGGCATTCCCCATACGCTCGAGTGACAGGAAACCACAAGAACTCACAGGGAGTCAACGGCCCTGGCAGCGAACAAACCGGTGCTCATGAAGAAACTTGATATTTCTTGTCTCTTTGCAACTTGCGAGGTCGCGAAGTTGCATTAGAGTTTTGATATACTAAGATTATTCCATTTTAGGTCTAGTCTCATAGATTATGTAATCATGATACTTATGTCAATTTCTGCTTACTCAGCTTGTCCAAAAGTAGCACATTATTAGGGCTTAGGGCTTTTCCTCCATCATGGGCTTTGACATCATGTCGACTTTTATATCGAAGGCAGGGCAGAGTAGATGATAGCGGGCGAAGCGTCTATCACATCGCGACGCAAAAGTCGGGGCTTGCAAATTATCTAACGAACCCTGCTGACGGTGGGCAATACCAAATACGTGTGCCTCGTCGAACTTCCGTCCCTCGCCCGCCTTCGTGTTCTGTTAGAATACAATCACCAAACTCCACCCAATACCCTCAGCTCCCATGGGGACGACATTACAGAGTCTGAGCGCCCTCCTGCAGCGGAGCACGATCAACGACCACGAGGAAATTATCAAAGCATGCAACGTGATATTAAAGAAGTCTCGGAACGATGTCGAAGCACAGCATATTAAAACCATTGCGCTGATAAAGCTAGACCGATTCGATGATGCGATTCGTGTAATTGAGGAAGGAGGTGACACATTGAAGAAAAGGTTACCACTTGAACGGTCTTATGCGTTATATAAATCTGGGAAACTAGACGAGGCAACGGCCATTGCGACGTCTATCGGTTCCGGGAGAGGTGCAAAGCATGTTGAAGCTCAGGCGGTTCGTAACCAATTATTCCCCTTTATATATGCTCCAGCATCTATAATTTCCTTTATTGCGCCGTGGCAAGCCACTATAAGAAGGACTGACGTTTAATACCTTATATCTAGTCCTATCGGGCAGAATCCTTTGACCGAACCGGCAAGATATATCAAGATCTACTCAGGGACGAGACGGCTTCGACAGAGGAACTCACCGATTTGCAAATAAATATAACCGCAACTGAAGCACAGAGGATTTGGGCAGGCCAAAGCAGTTCTATAGGAGACTTGGTGCCGAAGAGGGAGAATTTAGACGTTTTTGAAACTGCCTACAACGTGGCATGTGAACATATAGCCAGGGGCCACTATGAGAAAGCTCGGATGCTTCTCAAGAGGTCAAAAGGTTAGATATGAAGAGTCGCGTGCTGCGGAGCGTTCTAAATATATACTAACACCAAAAATATAGCACTATGTCAAGCATCCGATGAACTCTCGCCAGAAGACAAGGAGGCAGAATTGCTACCCATTATAATCCAAGAAATATATGTTTATCTGCGACAAGGGAAGCTTGAAGAGGCAGATGCCCTCATTGGACCAATCAACCCTGCCGAGTAAGTCCCGCTTTGGGGTGGTTCCTGGTTCTATATGACTGATATATATATGCAGCATCACTGAATCTTCCACCAAGATCGTTGCTGAAAACCACGCTCTTCTAACAACCCATCGAAACTTGAATCCTTACTTGAAATACAAGAGCTTCAGCAGCACCTCCCGGCCAAATGATAATGATAAATTATTCTTTTACCAGAATGATATCTTGACTAGAAACGCTTATGTGATCGACCTTCTTGTCCAGAAATTTGACGGAGTTTCAAGGTCGACATCGAAAACTCTCTCACAGCACCCCTCCACTACCCTGTCCTCAGACACCAATTCACTGGCTGTGTTTAATGCCGCCGCGCACACCCAAGGAGCAGAAGGCAAGAGTGCGATAAAGAAGATATCGTCTCTTGTCGAGACGCGCCCTCACGATCTCGGCCTTATCTTTGTCCTTGTTCAGCTTCATGTTGCAAATGGAAACATCAATGCCGCAATATCGACTCTAGAGGAATTCTCGAAAAGAGTGGAAAGCACTAGCGATGACTCTAGCCTGAGGGTTCGATTCAGCCCCGGCTTGGTCAACATCTTAGTCACGCTCTATAAAACCCAGGGTCGCAAGCATCACATAAATTCTGAACTATCAAAGGCTGCCAAATACTGGCAGAAGAAGGATCCATCAAGCCAGCCAATCCAACTTCTCCGTGCGGCTGCAATCTCCCTATTTAACTCTCATGATTCATCAGATATATCTACCGCTGCTGAAATCTTCGCCCATCTCCATTCTATTGACGATACTGATCGCATAGCAACCGCGGGCTTCGTGGCTTCACACGCGATAACCTCCCCAGCCCTCGTTGAGTCCAGCGTAAAAACACTTTCACCTGTCCAACAGTTAATCGCTGATGTAAATGTCACCGCTTTGGAAGAAGCTGGTGTTCAATTGCCTACCAGCACGACCATTGCTTCTTTGAACCAAGGTCAAAAACGACGCGCGCCGGATGCGGAGACGAAGCGAAGCAAACGAGTCCGGAAGGCAAAGAACATGGATCCAAACGAGAAAGTGGACCCTGAAAGATGGCTGCCACTGAGAGATCGCTCCAGTTATCGACCGAGAGGGAAGAAGGGCAAGCAAAAGGCTGCTGATCGAACCCAAGGTGGTGTTGTCAATGAGAAGACCGAAGACGGCAACGGCTCGTCTACGCCTGCAAAAGGCGGCAGTCAAGTTATCGGAGGTGGCAGTGGCGCGAGGAAGAAAAAGGGAAAAGGGAAGAAGTAGATACTATGTACTTCTTTACGTTTCTTCATTCTCTGCTATTGGCTGCTTGGTCACCGGTGATTTGGAAAATATCATTATAGATCGTCAACTGCATCTACGAGAAATACATGCTACTTAATGAATAGGAAGGCACATTTTTATTGCCCCCACTATGTAAGCAACAAATATCTATCAGACCTTTATATAAATGCTATGTAGCTTCATATCAGCGATAAAGGAGGAGGAGTATATCACGTGATCAGTTCCTGTACCTGAAAAAAAAAATTCCCCGATTCGGCATTTTAGACAACATCCATAAATCGCGTTGTTCATACTAGATATTCGCCAATTGATATCACAGATATTCTCAAGGCGGACAATACCAAAGAGAATTCAAGATGGCACCATCCAAATCCTCAACACCTGCGTCGTCTCTCACACAAGCATATCTATTTCTCTACAACCTAGTATCTCTCGGACTATGGGGCACCCTCACATTCCGTCTATTTTCTTCCCTCTTCCAAATATACCAGGGTAGCCCCGATGGCCAAAGTGAGGCAGTGCCAGGGATCTTTATGAATCTCTTCCCACTCTTACAGACCACTCAATCTCTCGCTCTTCTGGAAATATTCCACTCTCTGTTCGGACTTGTTCGAGCTTCCGTGGTGACTACAGCCATGCAGGTAGCTAGCCGACTGCTGCTAGTCTGGGGAGTGATGTATGCCTTTTCTCCATTTAGCCCAATCCTGCCCATCTTCGAGTCTCAGGGCACGGCAGTGAATAAATATTTTCTCCTTGGGCATGGCATGAGATCCGCGCAACTGAGCGATTGGGGGTTCCTTGGGTGTCTGTTTGCTTGGGGGGTTACCGAGTGTATTAGATATGGCTTCTTTGTCTTCCAGATTATGGGACAGGGTATACCCAAGTTTATGCTTTGGCTGAGGTACGCATTAACCCGTCCGTTTATAAATGATTGGAATACTAATATTTTGAAAAATAAAGGTATAATACGTTCTTCATTCTATATCCTGTGGGAATTTCTAGCGAGTGTTTCCTGATCTATCTCACGGTGGTTAATGCAACGGGATTAACCTCGATACTCCGTTTGGCGTTCGTCGCTATTCTACTCATTTATATCCCTGGTATGGCTCTCTTCAGGATCATGGCATCGAAAACTCTGCTAACTTGGTACTCTAGGATCCTACATTTTGTTCACACATATGATGGCACAGAGAAGAAAGGTCATGAAGGCCGAGGGCAAGAAAAAGGCCAACTGAGAAGCACCTCCTACACAACAATGATAGACTACTTTCATTGGCCTTTCAAAGTCAACCTTCCCCATAAATTTATGCGGCATAGCCATTAGAAGAGGAGGCTACTCTAAAGCGTTTATATTAATTAATCATAATATCATATATCCTTCATAAGGTCCCTGATAGCCTTTGCAGCAAATTTCTTTCTTTCCTGCTCAGATAAATCTGTGCCCATGTCTTTTATGGCCTGCACTCTCAGCATGAGCCCTTCGAGTTGTTCAACTTCGAGGTCATCATCGCCCATGTTTTCAAATTCTTCATCCGCGTCCTCGTCATTAGCGTTGCTGTTGATAGCAAGCCGAAGACTAGCCATCTCCTTTTCGAGCTCATGTGCCTCTAGTGAAAATCCAGGCAGGCCTTCCTCATTCTCCTGAAGGTTCATCGACTCCAACTCATCATCTAGATCATCAGTGGTTGAAGATGACCATTGATGGGTCTCTAGTACTTCCAGCACTCTTGCCATACCCATAAGCTCTACAGGGACGAGTTAGCTAGTCATCGTTCCAGGGGTAACAGACAAGTACATTACCTCCATATTCATTCTTAGCCGAGGATGCTTCCTTGCCTTCCTTTGGATCCCAGCATACTACTTCAATTCCAGAGCCAGTCCCCAGATCACTGAGTTCTTCATCCCACCACATAGCCCCATACTCTATAGCACAAGTATGGCTATCCTCATCTTCACTTGCAGTAGAGGGTTTTCGTTCACCATCCTCTCCAATCAACATGATCAATCCGGGAACATCGCCTATCTCTCCTCTCTCTTCCTCTGCCAATGCCTTCACCTCTCCCACTGCACGAGTAATTTCTTTAACCCTGTCTACCGCATTCTGAAAAACAGTGCTGTATTTATTCTCGCTTCCATCAACTACTTTATCCTCACGCAACGCCGGGTCAGGCGGCTTTGGCCTCTGGACACACACGATTATCGCCCCGATGGCATCTCTAACCTCACGAGCTTCGGCACTAAGGAACTCGTTCCTCCATATGTCAGGGCTGCCAGCATTATCTTCATGCCCGGCAGGTAAAGCCGGCTTCGTTGACGATTCGGCTATCGAAATAGATGGAACTTCATCGACCCATATGGGTATCTCTGTGCTATAGTATTTTGTATTTATTTGTAACGGGGCGTGTGTTGTATATCCTGCAAACGATGCCGGAGGTGGGGTAGTAGATGTAACGCAGGAGGTATCAATTGTCGCATCACTGTCTAGAATAGGAGCTAGAATCAATATTCATACTCGATCCGACGGTTTCTCGGTTCTCAACAGGGGATTGCTAACTTGGCTGTTTCGAGTGCGTTTGTGGCGTGGGAGGGATGGCGGAATGGCCTGTCAAGCGGAGGAGAAAAGGCGGGATGATAGTTTGAGATTCTGTGCTCGGAGCTAGTATCAAGAGCCGGCGGGGGTTTGCGATGTGTTTCCCTTTTTCCTTTCCCCTCGCCGGAGGTGTAGATAGAAAAGACATGGTGGGTTAGTTTCATGCGGACGAGGTTGAAAAATGTAGCTTATCGCGACTGAGGAAGTATTTACAAGCCTGGAGAGATGACGAAATAGGCCACTCTTACAAATTTGACCACCATGAATAAATATACTATAATAATCATACGGATCGGCATTTCCGTTTTCCAACTGCTTAATTTATCATTTTTGAATTTCTGGTTGAAATCAGTCCCAGAGCCGCGCCCACACTGACTGATTGTGCTGCGTGGCTGGATAGATAATAGGCGGCCGTTGCATGAAGTGTAGTTCAGTAAATAGCGTTCACAAGCAGAATAAAAAAGACCAAATATAAAAACGCCAGCCCAGTAACTTCATCTCTATCGTCGGCCTTCTTCTCGGCTTTTTTACCCTCTTCGCTGACCCCTCGCCCTGTTGACCGTTGCTCTGCCTCTGGCCAAACCAACACCCCTTCCGCGCTGGCCTCTGGATCGGAACATGGGAGCATTTCTATAGGAGAAAGATATGTCAGTAATAAGTTCAACTCATCACGTATAATAAAGGACAAATGGCGCAGCTGCGATTGCTGCTGCTGGCGGTGGAAATGGCGCATACCTCAACATATCAGGAACAATAAAGAATTTGACATGACTTCCGCGAATGTATACTTGGTCTAAATGCGACACACGACCGTCTCGTGCTGTAACGGTGATATCTTTGAGTTGTACGTTCATGTTGTCCTCGGCTATAGTAGAAGGGTAAAGTGAGCAATGCCGTTCTTCACGGAAAGAGTAATCTACGGCAATAGAAAAGGCGACACGGAGGGAATGTGAATTGAATCGCGCGCACCTTCGAGGAGTTTCCCTCTGTAGACATGTCCAGATGTGATCTCGAGGGTAATGACATGGCCCTACAGATAGAGGAACGTTAGCCAAATGAACCCCCCGCAAAGAACCAAATGTCACAGCTAAAAAAGGACAGCAATGGTCTCGCCAGCCGTCAGTCCGCTTTCTCGAGGGGAATGCCGACCTGCGCTTCATTAAGAAGTTTGATAGGAATGCCGATGGTACTGGTTAATTTGCCCATGGTGGGCACTGCCGAATAGATAGAAGCGTGAGGAGGTGATAGGTATAGTAGATAAGCAAGGCAGCGGTACCGAAAAGATCACGACCTTAAGGCTATAGTGAGAGCGCGCGCGAGGGTAATCTGTGGCTTTTGGTGGGTGGTGATTTCGATATTTAAGATCGCAGAAGGAAGAAAGTTTGGCTTGGGAGCTTCCATGCACGGACCATCTTCAGTATATCCAACTTCATATACAAAAAAAAAACAAAGATAGAACATACGTCAAGTATAGCTGCAGATACAGGTGGTGATGACTACTATATAACCCCTTGACTGTTACAATAATTGACCAGAACTACTAAACTGCAAGGGACGAGACTAAAGACAAGCTACAATGCTGCCAAACACCAACCTCGCGGCCTTCAACCTCACGGTCTCTACACTTCTACGCAACCCATCCCACCTCGTACCGCATCTCACCATCTCAACCTTCCTACAGCTCCCTGAAGATCTATCTCACCATCTCCTTGACCCTTCTACCCCAGATGGAACCCGAGTGCCGGCCATTCGCGCCCTCGTCATCGATAAAGATAATACCCTAACACCTCCTCACCAAACTACGTTTCCGCAAGCATACAAGGACAAACTCCGTGCATTACGCACCAGCGAGACGTCACCGTTTAATATGAAGATCAATCCGGACGGGATACTCATTGTATCGAACACGGCAGGGTCGGATCCGCGGTCTAAACGCTACGAGGAGGATGCCCAGAAGATAGAAGAAGAGCTACACGATCTGAGAATTAAAGTGTATCGAGCACCTGAGAGAAAGCTGGGTGCAGCACCGATGAAGAAGCCGTTTTCGTATAATGGAGTGCTGGGATATCTGAAGGATCGAGGGGTGGTTGAGAGTGCGGAAGAAGTGGCTGTTGTGGGTGACCGGGTGGGGACGGATGTGATTATGGCTTCGATGATGGGAGCATGGAGTGTATGGACGAGAGACGGGGTGACGGAGGACCTGAATGGGAATAAAGGGAAGAATTATCGGGGGTTTTTGGCGAATTGTGAGAGGTATATGGTGAAGAAGTTACAGCGGAGTGGGGTGAAGCCTACGATGCCAGAGCCGTGGCGTCACGTTTGACATTACTATTTCATTAAAATATGGGCAAGTTTGGAGTCTGGCGTCTACGATGGATAGGAGATTGACAGTAAGTTTTAGTAATGTAACAATAAAAGCTATAATTCATATTGAAAACACTCTGAGAACCTAGGAAGAAAAGGGAAAGGGTTGGAGCCTACCTGCCTGCCACATCACATCTCCTGCCACACACATAGGGATAACACTGAGAAGAGAAAGAAAGCAGGATAACGGCAGGGGTAGGTCAGATGGGTCATGAGACGGGATACATAAAGTCAAGGATTGGATCGAGAGGAGGGGTTCAAGGGTAAAAATGATAGCTTTTTTTCGGTTTCCTCCCCGTACCATTTGCAGACGGTTCCTTGCCCGTGCTCACGGTAATTAGAAAGCAAAAGTTAATGTAAGATAGACTCGTAGTGAATAATGTAGGTAAGTAAGTTAGTGTGGGTTGGGCATCATTAACTCCCAAAGATATAAAAAAAGAGAAGAAGAAGGAGGAGAAGAAGGGTAAGGATAAGAAGGATAAGAAGGATAAGAAGAAGAAGGAGAAGAAGGAGAAGAAAGAAGAAGAAAAAGAAGAAGAAAAAGGAGAAGAAGGGGAAGGATAAGAAGAAGAGGAAGTAGAAGGGAGAAAAAACTAAGGTAAGAAGGGGCTATACGATATGGATAGCTCGTGAAGAAAGGGTGCTCATAAAAGTCAGTAAAGTAAAACAAAGGTAAGAATAGAAAGAGAAGTAAAAAGGTTAAGAAGATAAGTGAAAATTGCAACTGCAAGAACAAATGCACTGCAATGTAAAGAAGAAATAATATGAGAGCAAGGGGGGTCATCTACAGGCCCGGCCGTAGTCTCAAGAAGGGAAATATAAGTCAAATGAATCGAAAAAAAAGTAGCATATAAAGCCAATAGAGTTGGAGGTAAAAAGTGAAATAGAAAAAGGTAGAAGAAAAGATAAACAACTAACTCAGCCAAAATAAGGCAGGTAAATATGAAGAAATCAGTTCAATTGCAAAAGGTATCAAAATGAGTAGTGAACTAAGAAGGATTGGTCAATTTGGACAGGTAAGACAAAATAGAAAAGACGGTTTCACCCGTCCTATGGATCTATTCTTTGCATCCTACCGTCTAGCCTGCCCAGTAAAGGGAAGACGATCAATGATTCAGTCTAAGACTCGGCAGCAAGGCTACTTGGGTCCACTGTACCGCTGTCAAACCCCATGCCTATCATGCCGTGCCCGTGTCCATGGCCACGCATACCCTGGAACGTCATTGAAAAAGACTCATCCATTTCCATGCCTGGAGAGGAGATGGATCCGCTACACCCTAGGTTTTGTTTAGCGTAGAGGTCGCTTAGTAATATACCGTCGTCAACGCCCGCTGTTGTAACAGTGGAGGAACCAAACATGTTAGCAGGCGATGAACGTTGAGTGGAAGTTAACGGTGGTGAGTGAGCGTGCGTGTTTGACTGGTTGTGATGTTGCTGGGGAATGGTCAGAGGGTCGATGTCGATGTCAATATCGACAGCAGGCGAGGGCGAGAGGAAGGGTAGGCTGTACGGCGTACCCATCGACTGGGGTTGATCCGATGCACTGCTGAACAGCGGGGTGGATGCAAACTCCGTTGCAGGTGTGGCCGCAGAAGTGGTTGCTGAGGCGGGATACATACTGAACGACGGTGGTGGCTGCGTTGCGGATGTGTCGACGTGGAGGTCAGACTCCGTCATGTTCAATGGCAGATGGAATTGGGAGTGCGCAAGAGGCACTGGAGCGTAAATATCCTGTTGCTGGTGCTCATGATGGTGTGTAGCGCTTGGTTGGAAATGGCTTGTAGGCTGGAAATGGAACGCCGGCATGGCGTGTAAGGCTGCAAAGTCGACAGGGCCAGGAACAGATCTGCTACGTTGCCGTTTATGGCCTCTATTTGGGTGCAGGCCGACGGAAAGGTGATTGTCGACTGAGAGGCGGTTTTGGGCTCGCGAGAGGTGGTTGGGCTGCGATGCAGGACGATGTATCTGAACAAATTGAGGAGAGCCGTCTATAAATGGGGTGTTTGGTGTGAACGGGTAGGACTGTGCATGGCGGTTCTGGAAGGTCTCGAGGGAGACAAGCTTTGCGAGCTGGACACTTAGAACCTTTGGATGACCGCCTAGGTGGTGGATAAGCGATTTGGTAGCCTGCTGCTCCTCTGTGAAGTCGCCGCACTGATAGAAGCCGCCAGAGTTGGAGGAATCCATGTAGAAGTTTGGAGGGCGGTTTAGTTCGATAACTAGACCACCGGATCGAGGAAGGGCGCCATCCAGAGGTGGCACGGGATCGCCCGGCTCGAGGATGATGTTTTTAATATGCGAGAAAGGGTACTCGATCTTGTAGCCGGCCGAGTCGTTGTTGATGTAATACGTCATGCAAGCCTGGTCTGGAGAGTAGAAGATGACCAGGTCCATCGTGTTTTGGCCAACACGACGCCAAGTGCCAATGCGAAGGGAGCGGCACGCAAAATGCTGGATCACTGCAGTCTGTTAGCATTTGAAATTTACACACCACCAACAGTATTTGTTATAACGGGAAAAATGATTACGTACCGACTTTGGACGAGGTGGCGGAATGCATCATGGGCTCGTTCGAGGGATATCCCCCCGCACGGCCTAGCATATTTCGCGCGTTCGAGCCAGCAGGATCCAACTGCAGTGCAAGGTACCTGCGCATTGACTCGGGGACCGCATCGCAATCTTCTCCCGTTTCGATGCCCCGTTTCGCAATCATTTTGATTTTAGCGCGCCTATGAATAACATTAGTACATTGGCAAACGTCCATCTTGAAATCTATATAAATTTTAAGTTTAGCGTACCTGTTCTGGAACCAGATCTGCACTGAACGCTCGGTCATGTTGATGTTTTCGGCGATCTGCTCCCGGACGGCGGCTGTTGGAGTGGGATTCTTTTTGAATTCCATCTCGAGGGTGACTAGCTGGTCCTGAGTCGCGCGTTGGCGTTTGTGGTTCTTTTGTTGCTGTGTAAGTGTGCTTTTTCGCGGGGGACGGCGCGAGGCGGGGCGAGTAGACGGACTATCGCTGGCAGTGGCGTTCATACCGGTCATAGCGGCGGCAGTGGTGGTGGTAGTCGATGAGGAGGAGGATGAAACCTGGGAGGTGGCTGTTGGGGGAGGTGTAGCCATCGACATGGTATCCGTGGGCGTGGAGATGCCTCCGGAGGGCGCGAAGGGCGCATCAGACATCATTGAGGCGCTGTTGGGGGTGGAGGTGGTCGACATGGCTGTCGTAGTTGCGGTTGTGGTACTAACGTGCGATGTTTCCATGCCGTCAAATCATGCGTCAAGCAAGAGAGGGAGAAAAAAAAGGTGGAGCGAAGATAAGAGGTATTCAGATAAGACAAAGGACGTGTGAACGATCGTCGCGAGCCAGTCGACTAGGTGATGATGATGATAGAGATGATGGTGATGATGATGCGATGATCGTCAAGTCGTATAAACTCGAAACGTCAAGCTCGAGGGGAGTTTCGAAAGGGCAGTAAGGACGGTAGTAGAAGTGAAGGCCAGCAGCAGGCAAGTAGCTAGCTGGTATGTAAATGAGCGGAAGTAGCGCCAAGTTACCAGTGGCGCGTAGTAGATAGTCCTCTTTCCTGTGTGAAGTATCCAGACATCGATGAGGAGAGAGGGACGAAGATGGGGGCAAGTTGGTGAAGCCGAAGATTGGGCAGTGAATGAATGTAGAGCGAAGCGCGATGGAAGATGTCTCAGACACGTCAAGTCGAGACAGATATGGTGGAAGAAGCGAAGAAGGACGATAAGAAAAGCAGTAATGAATGTAGTCAAGCTGGTTGATGGAAGAAAAAAGGAGCGGATGCTGGACCAAGGCAGCGATCAAGGCGAAAGGCTAGCTGTGCCGTGAGTCTGCGACTGAACGAACGGTGAAGTTGGGCGGGAAGAAGAAAAGAAAGGATGAGCCGTAAAAGAGCGGACGGCGTTAGAACGCGAACAAAAAGGACGAAGAAGAAGAGGAGGAGGAAGAAGGGCGATGGAGGATGAGAAGGAGAGAGAGAAGAGAAGAGGAAGAAAGATGAAGATGAAGTCGAAGAAGTGAAGTCGAAAAGAGCCAAAAGAAGAAGCGAAGGAGGGTTACAGGCACGGTTTCAGCTGGGGTACTCGGCAGTACCTCCTCGACCGCCAAAACAAGGTAAAAATAGAAGTATCTTGAGGTACCAGCTCAGGTACCCGTCACGTGGAGCTGAGTCAGCGGTCGAGTCTCCGGAAGAGGAAACACGGAGAAAACACGAAGAAATATGTAAATATAGATATAGATATAAGATACTTGTCTCGAGACGACGATGACGATGACGACGATGATACTGACGACGAGGAGTCGAGGAGTCGAGGAGGCGCTGACGAGACGATGAGACGAGGACGAGACGAGAAGACGATAGATACTGTCGTAGGTCTACTCCGATGGCATGTATCCCGGCTCCTGCTTCTGGTAACCATGATCCTAGATCGATCCGGCCGTCGCCTTGTTGACGCTGCAATGCGATGCTCAGGAAATGCAAGGCATGGGAGGGGTCTGTTTCAGACACTGCTCCTGACCCGTCGCCCCTGTCCTCCTCCGGCGTGGCCAGGATGTCCCTAGTAGTGACACCGCATAAGCACTACACCATCCATCACACAACACACGCTGCACCAGCGCCAGCATCGCACTAAAACACGCCAGCATCGCACCAGGATGCCCTATATATGACGCCTGGTATCATCCTGCTATAGCTCGCACGGCTATAGCATGCTGACTTTCGGACTATATCAACGTCTATACATCAACGACTCGATGGAAATGGAACCTGATCCTCCTCCCCCCCCCCCCCCCCCCCCCCGATCTTGATCTTCATCGGCTCCCGATCGTGCCAGTCCAGTTTACGGATACTTGGTGCTAGCGCAAGCTCCGCCGCTTAAGTCCTGCGCAAGTACATAAGACATTAATTTAATTATAGCTATTAGTCCGGATCACCCGCTGCCTTGTCTTTGGGCGTGCATCGCGGCGTCGGTCCTGCATCCAACTGCACGAACGCACCTGATCTACCTATCCATCCCCGGGAAAGCCAATTCGGCTTCGCGAAGTATATCGGTAAAGTCTCTTCGTCATTGTCAATTCACGTTCGAACTCCGTAACTCCCCGTCTATGGAAAGCATGGTATATACAGGATATCCTGAAACGGCCGAAAAAAAAAAAAGAGTAAACCCGAGATAACAGCATAAAAAGGATCAAAAAAACAGACAAGACTCAAGAGACAAGAGACTTGACTGACAAGAGACGAGAGACGAAGAATCGAAAGGTGGTAGAAAGAGCTGGGAAGGGTGACGGATGGATCCTATCCTGCCCCTGCTATATTTTAACCTGGTATCAACTAAGTAGCACCGACAAACCTTAACCCGCGCCAACGCCGAAACATTTCAGCCCAGAAACAAGATGAAATCGTAAACATCGCGTGTTGATGAAAGCTGGTAAAAGAAAATAAAAGGTGGAAAGTGCAGATGATCATTTGATGTCCTGGCCACGGCGGATCGACCCAAAGCCCTTTGAGAACAGCTCATGCACATCCAACGATCGTCGAGCCTTGGCCACCACAATCTCGGCTCCCTCCTCACGGTACTCGTCCTGCTGGTGTTGTTGCGGTTGTTGCTCATCCTTGGTTCGCCGCTCAATCAGCTCCTGGACCTGCATCTCCTCTTCCACCTCCTCCACCCCGTCTTCCATCTCTTCAGGGCTGTTGCTTGCCCACCCCTGTGCCAACTCCGACGCAGCCGCCTCTTCAAACCGTCTCTTAACCTCATGATCTTTCTCGTATTCCTGGAACAGATCCACGTCTGTCGGCCACAGCGTTGCGCGCACTGTGGCAATTGTCACTTCAAACAGCAGCACGATGACCACGATGACCACCATCGTCGTCCACCAAAGTGCATTCTTCCCAGTCACGTGAATAAAGTTGTTGCGCACGTTATAGATCTCGGAGTACTTGTACTGCTCAGACAGGATGAGGTTCCATAGCCACCAGCCGCCGATAGATAGCACGAGGGGAATCAGTGTTAGGACCGTGTGATTGTGGATCTCGAGGAACTGCAGCTTTAGGTTGATCACGATCACGCAGACAGAGTAGGTAAGTAGGCCCATTGCAAAGATGCCGTTGTCTGCTGTGAATATTGCGTCGCCGAATAGGCGCAGCATGACAAAATATGCCATCATTGACTCGCAGGCTGCCATCGTCGCCCAGCCAAGATAGACGCGAATGTTGAATCCTTCGTTACGCTGGCCTTTGGTGTATAGTTCAGGAACGGCTAGAAGTGTACTTGCTGCAAGGTCTTTTTCGAAAGTGCCTAGGAATATCACCGGCAATGAAGTGAAGAGTGTGTTGAACATGCTTAGACTCCAGGGCTCGTACAAACTGGTGCCTGTGTATCCGTTCCAACGTTGGAAGAGCGCCTGTGTGAGATAGAAGAGCGTTTCCTTCCAGAACGTACCCAACGTATACTTGCACACACGCACATAGTTCCATCGCCCGTGGACCAGCAGCAGCTTGAGTAGGAATCGGAATTGCGCGATCGAATAGTCTGATATTCTGGCTGCTTGGAGACCTTCTTTACCAGTGATACCGATACCAACGTGTGCTTCCTGTATCATGGCAATGTCGTTCGCTCCATCGCCTATGGCGAGGGTGATTGCGCCGTTGACTCGTTTGCGAATCGAGCGGACTAGGAATGCCTTTTGCTTGGGACTCGCGCGGCAACAAATGACCGAATCCGCGCGGATGGCTAGCTCGAAGAATCGCTCTCTCAAGGCTTCATCATCTTCGATGACAGATAGCGTCTGCCCATCCACCACAATGACAGAATGTGCCACGCTGCCAGTTCTGATATCCTCTATGGTAGAGGCGATAGTCTGTCCTACCGTTCCCGTCTCATGATCCAGGATAATAACTGCCGAATAATCTTTAAGTAGTCGGCATGAATGTCCGATGTTAATCGCAGTCTCGCGCTTGTCACCCGTCAGCATCCAGAGCTTGATATTTGCTCGTCGCAATTTATCAATCGTTTCCGGCACCCCCTTTTGCAGTTTATCTTCTATGGCTGTGGCGCCGATCAATTCGAGCTCCGTCTCAAGCTGTTCGCCTGCATCGTCAATCTTTTCTTGTCGGTTGACCAAACTAACTGTCGCTTCTTTGTAGAGCTGTTTCCACTCAGCATACTCTGACTCCCCGACAAACCTGTACGCGTATAGAAGGGTACGTAGGCCTTCAGTTGCAAAGTCGTTGAGGTGCTGGAAACAACGTTCAAAGACCAACGGCTCATTGGTAACCAGAGATTCATCGACTAGGTCTTCATCTGCGCCACCGTCGTCGGTCTGGAATGACATCCGCATGCTTCCCCTATGGCCACCAATTTGCATCGACGGCCGCGGACTGTAATTGTGCTGCTCATTTTCATCAGGCCTAATGTCTATGCCTCCGTCCGTCTCGCGGTCACGTAGCCACATGTCAATACTCTGACGAATGGACGGGCCCTGTTTGCCCGAAACACTTGACCGTCGGCCTGCTGCGAAGCTGGGTCGATGGATGCTGAGACTCCTCTTCCCGCCGCGAGATATATGTTCACTATTTCGACGAATGATTTCCATCGACTCCATTGCCTTGCGCTTACTTGCACGGCGCTCAATTTCCTGCACCTTTTCGCTTGCCAGAGAGGCCTGTTTTAGCAGACGTGTGATAGTCGAATCCGCTCCCTTGGTGAACACGCAGATTCTTCCGTCTGGCAGGCGCACAACAACTGACATGCGTTTCCGCGAGCTAGTAAATTCAATGATATCTAGAATTTCGTAGGTTTCTTCAATGATCCCGTTGTCGTCACCCTCTAACCGTCGAAGGGTGATACTGTTCGGCTGCCTGTCAGAAACTAGAAATCCCAACTCCTTTGCGGCAGTGACAAGAGCAACCTCATCTGGGGACGCGGCCTGGAATGAATACTCGCCGTCCTGCCCTTGTTCTGGCAAACAGGTATGACACAGGGCCATGGCAATGATAAAAAACCGGACTCTCTTCGCGAACAGCGTGTGTGGTTTCTCCATAACGTAGCGCAACATCTCTGTCGTCTTGCCGCCATGGTACGAGCGGCCCTTTTTACTGGGTTTCCACGTCCCCGAGTCACGGTTAGTAGTCGCCAGGGAGACGCCGGACGGTCTGGATATTCCTGATGGTCGACCCATGCCGGTCTCTATTGACTTCCTGCGTGCACTTTTCTTGCCCTTGCTCTGTCTGCGGAGGAGTGATTTCTTGGTTGCCTCGTCGGCAGCCTCCTGAACCAGATCCGGGTCGTGCAGCCAAGCAGTTCCAGCAACACTCATTTTGCGAAAACGCATTGAGTTGTCGGTTAATGTGCCGGTTTTATCGGAAAATACGTAACTAAGACTTATTAGATATGACTCCATACAGAGACATTTTAAAAACCAAACGACATACCTAATCTGCCCAAGTTCTTCATTGATAGTTGACGTCCTAGCCTCCAGTGGCGTATTCGATGCCTCGTCATACATGTCGACATCATTGAGTAAAAACATCTGTGCAACCTTGACAATTTCCAAACTCACATAAAGTGAGATGGGGATCATTGTGTTAAGCATGATTAAGAAGGATGTGAATATCGGTCCGTAAGAAACATTTGCTCGTTCGAGATACCATGACGTACGCTCTGTGCTACGGGACCAGTATTTATATGCGATCGTACATGCACCAGCTAGAGCGACGACGAATACAACGATGACAGCCACGACGCGGTTGACCATTGTTTGGAGAGCTGGGGCTTTGATGCGTGGGTTCTTCGTGGCATTCATGCGGATCTTGCATTCTTCTCCAGTGTATATTACCATCCCGATAGTTTCGTGAGTGTTTCGGAGGATACTACCACGGTAGACGACCTCAGTGTTCGTCAGGGGCGCGGTCTCGTCTCCTACCTTGACGTTCCCTTCAAACTTGTAAAGGTCGATGTTTGGGTCCTCAAGGACAAAGTGTGTAGAGCGGTTGGTGACAATATCGTCTAGGGTCCTGAATGCCCTAGCAACAATGGGACATGGTTTCTTGCTCTTGAGATTTGTCTCGCCATCCAATGCCATGGTTTCGATATATGCTATTCCGTTGGGCTCGTCGGCATGTAGAAGTACAATGTCCGCAGGCACGGCCTGGTCACGTTCGAGCCTTATAATATCTCCGACCTGTATGTTGACCCATTTGACGTCCGTCCACAGCCGTTGTGAGCTATCCGCGGTATTCGATTGCACATCACTCGCCCCTTTTGGCAAGGATTCGTAACACTCATCCTGCATTCCTTGAGACGGACGCAACACGGAAGCTATGCGATTATTCTCTTCCTTGTCAAGCCTATATCTGCGGAAGTCATCGTATCCCTCTTTCCCAATAGAGATCCCCACAAAAATAATCAGCGGTACAAAGGTAGTAAAGGTGCCCGTGGTACTCAGGCCAGGTATCATTTGCAAGGTGGCAACGCAGAGGAAGTAGAAATTCGCAAGTTTCGAGAACTGCGCAATAAGTTGACGGGGAAAGAAACTCCATATACTATATCGACTTGAGCGAATGGTATTTGTGATATAGTGTTTCCCAGTACGGTCGTCCGTCCGAGGTTTAGTGCTATGAGCATCGAGGTCGACATGGCGTCCGTCAACACTTGGTGGAATCTCTTTTATACGTAGAACGTGTGTTTTGAATAAGGAAAGAAGAAGGAAAAGCCAGCTGTTTATGGTCCGGGTGACGGGCAAGTTCTTTGTCGGTTTCGTGGTTATGAGTGTGACTGCCGACTTGAATGTCTCCGTTGGATGTGGTAGGAGAGAATATTCATCCTTCTCCACGATGTGCTCTTTAGACAGGTCACCGCCGAGTGTCCGTTCATCCGTCTGCCCCGTTCCAGAGGCTTCATTGTGTTCCAAGTCGGATTCGCTCGGTGGTTTGGATATCAGGTTCCTGTTAAAGAGAGATCGACGAAGCGAGTACCCTCGGTTACGTCCAGTCGAAGGAGACGCCTTTGGCACGGCCGGAGTAGATGTCGTCGGAAAGGTATCTGAACCTGACGCCGTGGAACTCGCAGCTGACACAGCCTGCTCAGCTCGGTCAACGTCGGTTGAGAACCGCACTCGATGGTGAGAATGTCTTCGTGTGTCAACATCAGGCGCATCCTGCGGCGACTGCTCTCTTCCACTGGTATCCTGCAAAGCTATCCTTTCATATTCAACCATATTTTCATTTCCTCCGGCCCCATTTCCGCGCTCCTCTTCGACGCTCAGCTGTCTCAACGGGGACTGGGATGTCCGACGGAGCGAAGAATTGGATGGAGTCCTCGGCCCCAGTCCGCTTCCACCGACCATGTTATCGCTCTCCTCTTATCTCGAACAACCCCCAAAATGTGAATTCCCCCTCCTCTCAAACTAAGCAACTCTGTAGTTCGCGATCCGATAGTGGTTGTTGGGTGGTACTGATATGCCGAGCGGTTCACGGAAGCCACTGCCCGACCCTCATTCCGGGAGTTATCGAAAACGATCGCTATGCTGTCAACGAAAGCGATCCTGCGCTTCGTACTGATCCTGAACAGCAGGAGAAATTACCGCCGAACGAGGCTAGGAAAAGGACGCGGAACGAGGCGCAGGGAGAAAAAGTTGAATCACCTGGTAAAAACGTTATATCCCGGAGGCTTGTCCTATGGAACGGTAACACACCCCTCCATCCGTGAGAGGCGTTTCTTGTCAAAGGTCGCGAGTTAATCGGGTGTGACCTGTCCCAATTGCCAGGTCTGTCGGCGCCTGCACGTCTGAGCCTCGATATATGGGATGTGGACGCTGCTGCACTCCCCAGACAACCTCCTGGCATTCCGCCCGCTGCTCCCTCGCCTGAGACAAAAGGGCCAGAAGGAAGCCAACGAAAGCGTCTGACGTAACCCCGGCTGAGTCAGCATGACCTGGCACATGACAGAGACGCCAAGTGGGGCTTCCGCTGTCTCGGGGCCAATGAGAGCGCGCCGTTCCGAAAGGGTGCAGGGTTAGCGCGTGACGCCGGAAGCTTGCCGCCACATGCGCATTTGACTGGGTGAGCGCGCTTGACAGATCCTGGACGATACGTAAGACAGACGATAAGTAAGATACAGTAAGACAGAAGACAATTAAGATACGTTGAGAAGGCAGGGTTTATTCTGCATACGTAGACTTATATACATTCTCCTTGGACGCAGGTTTTTGGTAGATAGAATTGAAAGGGCAAGTCGAATTACAGATACGGACAAGAGATCAATAAGCCACATGCCATATTAAAGATCGAATCAGTGACTGAAGGACCTGAACGAAAAGAGAAAGCCAGGGTCTATCTAATAACGGCCTGGTGGTGGTGGGCCGCCATAGCCACCTTGTTGCGGGTAGCCGCCTGGTCCTCCCTGAGGAGGGCCCTGTGGAGGACGTCCATAGCCACCTTGCTGCTGCTGTGGTGGTGGTTGTCCGTAGCCGCCTTGCTGAGGTTGCTGGCCGTAGCCGCCACCGGGGTAGCCGCCTTGCTGAGGAGGCTGTTGGCCGTAGCCACCGCCGTATTGGCCTTGAGGTGGTGGTGCGCCATATTGACCAGGTGGTGGTGCTCCGCCAGGAGCCCGCTGGGTCTTCTCGTCCTTGGTGTCGTAGGAGGAGTCAATGGCGCCGAGCATCATTTTTGCAAGCTGTAGTTTGATGGTTAGCGCCTGGGCTTCAAACTTAGGTGTATTCTTTTAGTTAGCTTACCCAGAGCTCGGGAGTCAAGTCAACTGGTGGGTTGGCACGAGACATCTCGTCTTGTTCGACCTCAAAGTCTACAAGAATTAGTACGTGACTTCAACACTGGGGTATGGAATGGGGGTAGACGTACTGGAAGTACAATCGACAAGCTCTCCAATACCAGGCTCCTCATCAAGCTTGGAGAGGAACTCTCTGGCCTTCAAGTCATTTCCAACCTGGGCAAACTGGAAGGAGACGGCTCCACGGCCGTATCTTGGGTTGGACTGCAACTCTTGGACCGCACTGCGGATAGCGTCGAATACGGCGCCCTGGGCTTCTCCGGCAGGCTGACCATCTGTGATGGTAATGACCAAGACTGGTTTCCTGAGCTGACCAGCTCTGGCGGGAGCGAGGACCAATGGTTCCAAGACCTTGTTTTTCAAGCTGGTTCCCATGGGGGTGAGACCCTTGAACTGCATGCGCTGCATAAGAGCTTCGACCTGTCCCTCATTTCGGATGTTGTTACCTTGCTCATTGGAGTTCATAAATCGGACTTGAATACCATCGTCATCGAACAAGGAGGTGGCGAATGTCACGCGGGAGAGGATGAGCTTGAGATCTTTGATACGCTCGCCATTCTCTTCAAACTGCATAGAGCCACTGTCGTCGATGTACAGGACAACATCGAAAAGCGAGAGCTTGACGATATCCTGGCCAACCTCGCGAGGGACACGCCAAGTAGCGCAGAGTTGATCAACCTGGCCGCTAATTCTGCTCACCATCTGGTCAAGAGCTGGGGAGCCTGGTGGGTACATGCCCTGTAGCTGCTTCTCGTTGATACAGCTCTGGAGAACCTGCTTGTAAGCAGCCTGCATCTGGGGGTTTGGAGGGCCACCGAATTGCTGTTGGCCGGGTTGACCCTGTGGGTAGCCTGGAGCACCACCTTGGGGAGGATAGCCTTGTCCCTGTGGAGGGTATCCAGGCTGTTGGCCTGGACGGAATTGGCCGGGTGGGCCTTGTCCCTAGAGGAAGAAAGAATGGTTAAGGTAAAGAACACTCGGAATATAAAGCAAATGCGAAATCAACCAAGTACTGTGAAAAAAAATATATATATATGAAAACAGTCAAGTACGGTGAAAGAGAAAAGAAACGAACGTAATGAGCCTGGTTAGAGGGGTATTGCTGCCCGTAAGCTGGTTGCTGTGGTGGCGCTCCATAGGGTTGTTGCTGCTGTCCATAGGCAGGCTGGGGTTGACCATATGCTTGCTGTTGACCATAAGGTGCTTGTTGTTGACCATAGGCCGGCTGTTGGCCATAAGGAGTCTGTTGTTGCTGTGGTGGTGGTGGTTGTTGTTGGTTCCTATAGTAAGGATTTGGTGTTCCACTCTGCGGGGGAGGCGAGGCGCTCCAAGGAGGAGCTTGAGGCTGAGGACTGGCCTGAGAGCATCTTCGCGTTAGGTACATTTATGGGAGTTCGGATTTTGTTTGTATGGTCATGAACCAGGCCAGACAAGGCTTTTTTCAGTTGGCTCGCGATCAAAGCAATAGTATATAATTGATCCGAGGAACAGGTCCCATGACGTCACAAGCAAAGAGAAAAAAAAGTAAAACAGGTCGTGAGAACGCGTAGGCATCGCAGAAGCAAGAAACAAGTCACAGTGGAAGAGGTATAGACAAGCATCCCCCGTGGAAGGACAGGCGGTGCCGCAGTCAGGGGATTCAGTAGATTTCGGGGGGCGCTTACTTGAGGTGGAGGGCCTCCGGATCCAGGATAAGCTTGGTACTGTTGTTGTCCAGGCTGTTGAGCAGCGAGAGAGGTCAGTGGAATCCATTTCTATCAACCGGAACACCTTTATTCAAGATATAGGAGCGGTATCGAGGCGGCATATCACATACGTATGAAGGTGCACCACCAGGCGCCGGGGGGCCTCCTGGATAGGACGAGGGTGCGCCTTGGTTGGCAGCAGCCATTTTCGAAGCGAGCTATAAGATAAAGGGACAAAATTAAGTCCTACTGTCAGTCTGGAAGCGTAGAAGAAGAGGATGGTTGATGGTGGTGGTTTGAAGCTGGAGCCTTGGAGGGGCTCTTTTAATGGCGGGGTTTGTATAGAGCAACGCGCGGATTGGGGCTGAAGAGAAACTTACACCCATATCTGTAGTTAGACAGAGGAAGACGGAAGTGAAGAGGATACAGTGGAGATGTCAGGAGTGACGGAAGAGTTGGAAGGTGAAGGTGAAAGTTGAAGTTGAAGCTGAAGCTGAAGATGAAGATGAAGTTCCGGGGCGGAGCAAAGGATCCCCGCCAACTTTTGCATATTTACTATTTACATAGGCCAAGGCACTAATTCAGCATGAGAGCCGCAATACATCTTCATAGACGTGGTATATTTAAGAGCAGTAACATATATATATCAATAAATATCAATAAATAACAACTGTGCATGTATCATATGTACAACGCGATCATCGCCTAACATGCCAGTATCTCGTAGACCAGCTCATTCCTATGCAGGTTAGCCACAGCTCGACAGTACAAACTCAACGATTAGGATAGTTATGACGGGTAGGATAGTAAATACCTGTGAGAATTCTACGGTGTTGGAGGCAAAGTCTCCGTTCGCGCCGCCAGAAAGTTGGTCAAGATGGCCGGACACAACGTCCGCCTTGGACATGTTCCAGACGGCCTGCCAGAAACCTGTTGCCTGCACCGAGTACTTGTGGCCGCACTTGAGCTCGAGGGACTGGAAGGTGACGGTGGTCTCGATGGTCCCGTTGGCCTCGATCTCGACGAGGTCGCTCTCCTTCGCGGGGAGCTGTCGACGGACCATCATGATGTTCAGCTCCACGTCTTCGTTGGCAGTGAGGTCTCGCAGCTGGAAGACACCGAGAGAGGGCGCCAGAGTGTCGAGGACGGTGTTCCATTTGAGAAGGGTAACTGGCGAGTCGGACGGGTTCTCAACGGTCACCTTGACTTCGGGCTTCTGGTCCTTGGACACAGCATCGTGTGCTGGACGGATGGAGATCTGGGGGAGGGAGGTTGCCATTTTGTTGGAAGACGAAGCAGCGCGACTGGTAAGATGTTGGAGAGAGGTCGACAGAGTGTCACTGGCGAGATAGAGGATCAGAGCAAAGGCACAGATGCCAAAGATACTTGCTCGAGATGCGAGGTTGAGGCCTATCATTAGGTCTTAGGTCAATCAGGTCACTTAGGTCTCAGTGAGTTACTCCGTATGGTCAGTTAGGATAAGTTGGCGAGTGGTTGATGACGTTGATGCTGATGTGTCAAACTCGCTCCAACCAACAGGGAAGACTTCAACCTTCAACCTCCAACTGCGTCATCAAAAGACATCAAAAGACACACCACGACCAAGAACCCACTAAAGGAGGTAGCCTAACAACGGCGAGTCAGTTCCCGCATCCGAGTATAGCTACCATGCTATTAACTGTGTACCTCTTGGAGCCACAGCGCTGGGCGGCGGGAGTCTGCATACCCAGGCGTAGCCCTGCTGCAGGGAGATTCTTCAAACGACGGACTTCAGCCAGGATCGCGATCGAGCCGAATGACAGGCCGCAGAGCTGGCATCTTGGATTCCCCGGTGGACCTCTGAACCGCAGGACTGCTCTCTCCCTCTCTCGCTGCTTCAGATAGCCCACATATGTGCGGGTCGACGCCAGGGGTACGAAACGTCAAGTCGACCTAGCCATGCCATGCACCAAGCCTTAGGGAAAAAATATTTATATCTTATCATTGCTCTCTCCATCCTTTTCCGGCCCATGGCGATGGGGTCGACGGTGGGCTCGTCTAGCAATGACGGGGCTATGCTGTGATGCTATAGGAAGACATGATATTACGGAGGGATGTACCCCATAGATGGCGTGGACGTCTTCGGGGTATCGAGTTACTACGAGCTCTTGATATCGGAGTTATAGGATATTCGATGTTGTATGGGCGGGCTGGAGCTTTCTCGGAGCATAAACAATTTTCCTATGCCTATACGAACTCTGCAGTCGGAAAATATTTCGCCTGTTTCACCAATCGGTGGATTGATAGATTTGTCACCAGACAAGGAAGAATCGTTCCCAGCAGCAGATCTTCCGTGCGAGAGGCATTCACTGGTCAAGCATACGCCGGCGTAATGAGGCCGGATCAGCCAATTCATTTGGCAGCTGCCGTGATAGGAAATATATATGACGACCATGGTATACATGATCTACCGGCCTTAAGGCTTGGCTACAGCGTGCCTGCAGGAACCAGAACGTGGTACCGTACTTCTTCTCAACATCATCAGAGCTTGCTTCTCGGATTTACTGCGTTCATCCTTTTGAGATGTTCCCACAGGCCGGCGTGATGAAGGACTGGCGAGTGCCCCAGCCGGGGGAGAAGCCCCATGGAGGCTATGCCAGCTACAAAGGGTATGCTGGTTTTGGTGGATCTATTCTACCTTGGCGAACTCGCCTGGAAAAATGAAGAGCTCTATCGGTGGTTTGCGCCACGGAGTTCTTATTGGTCACTTTCAACTTCGACTGAAGGGACATACAGACAGAACATAAGGTCCTATTCCGGAGTCAGGGACAGAACGCACGCGCTATTACAGTGTCAATGCACGTAATCCAGATATACAATCTGACGCGGGGACAGGAGAGCCGCGCTAAAGAGCAAGGCCACTTAATCGACCTAACAGGCAGGATACGAGTTTGCGCGAAAAAACTTCATCCTTTCTCATACCGACTCCCAACGGACGACATTTTTCCGGCGTCCGGCCAAGCTAGGGGATGCGCCGGCGTCTCAGGAACATGATATCTGGAGACTCCGGTCAAGACTTCTGTTTTACCGCCTGAGTGCATGTTGCGGTTCCCATTTGGTGTGTGCCGCTGGGCATGGTGATGATCGTTGCTGCTGGGATATAGGATGTACAGAGAGATCGCCCAAGGCCCCTCTGATCGCCAGAATGATTCTTCGTCATTTACGCTTAAAGAAAGATTCGACCGAAACCGCTGTTTATTTCGGGAAAACAGGCCGTGGACCTCTCCAACATCCCGCATCCATCCCAATCTATGTTAGTCTGAGAGACGAGCCTTTGATAGGGCGTATACTCCGTGCCTCGGTATATGTCCGCCGTTTTCTTATCTCTGCTAGCACTACGACTCCTGACAAGGATCACTCATGCGTTGGCAACCAACGTCTCGATAAACCGTCAAACTCCGCCCTGTCGCCCTAGAAGATCAGCCTAGAACCCACTTTTAGGTTCTCCCGTCGGAACCAGCGTACCCTGTCGATGTTTACGAACAAACTCCGTTTAACTCGCTGCAGCACCCCGGCCCAGGCTCCAAGAGTCTTATCCTGTCTCTCTTCATGTGCTGCCATGATATGTCAAAGATTTCACCTGAATGTGTGCTTTATTCCAGCTTGGCAAGGTCACTTGGCAAGCAGATATCAGCCCATATCTTTACTGTAGGTGGATACCCGTATATCATATGTCTTATTTACTCATGGCCAGCCACGAGAAAATGCTTGTCTTCTCCGGCCGCTAATCCCGAGCCCGTTATGCATTGGACCCTTGTCTATACTGACATGAAAAATCTCTATGGAGCTTGGAGCTCTCTATTCCTTCCCCAAAAGGGGTACTCTCTCCTATTATAATAACACTCCGTTATTATAGGCAAGCCGGTATGGAGTACAGCCCCAACAGTGTTCCCATGGAAGGAATGGATATGGCCCCATCATGTTTGCTCCAAGGAGTGGCTTGATACCGATATTTTTCTAAGCAGGGGTATCTCTAGAAGAGATATATAAATCGGTCTTCGAACCGAGAAGATGAAGGCTTTTTGACAGCAACAGCAGACCATCTCAAACCATTTAGTTCCTAGTGAACTGTTCCATTCCTTTATTTCCTTTATTCATTCATTCACTCATTCACTTATTGATTAATTCATTCATTTATAAATCTATTCATTCCTTCAAACATCAACACTATGCAATTCATTACCGCCCTCGCTGCGGTTGGCGCCCTTGTGGCCCCCGCCCTTGCTTTCCCAACCCAAATGCCAATGAACGAGTCTCTCATTGACGTTAAACTCAGTGCTACTGGCAACTCCATGATCAAGGCTGTCATCACCAACAAGGGTGCCCGTGCCTTGAACCTGTTGAAGTTCAACACCATCATGGATGAGAACCCAACTGCCAAGGTCATGGTCTTCAACAAAGATGGTAGGTCAAACTCCAAGCTTCATACAATATTCTTATCTTAACTTGTTCCGCAGGCGTTGAGGTTGACTTCACCGGCATGCTCCCCCGCTACGACATGAACTCTCTCGCCTCCGAGTACTTTACCACCCTTGCCCCCAAGGGCAGCGTCGAGCACTCCTTCGACATTGCTGCCACCCACGACCTCAAGGAGGGTGGAAAGTACACCATCTCCGCTCACGGAGTCATCCCAACTGCTGAAGAGCACGGAACCACCATCACTGGACAGGCCTTCTATGAATCTAACGAACTCGAAATGGAAATTGACGCTGCTCAGGCTGCTATGGTCGCCAGAGCCTTTGAGGATGAGCTTGATGCCCACGTTGTTGGAACCGTCGACAAGCGCAGCGGAATCGTTTCCTCCTCTTGCAGTGCCTCTCAACTCCGTATCGTGAAGAATGCCCTCGCTAACTCCAGAATGCTTGCCCTCGGCGCTGCCAATGCTGCTCGGTCCAACCCCAGCAAGGTCAGGGAATACTTCGGTACCTCCGACCCCAGCGTTATGCAGAAGGTTGCCTCCCGCTTCATGTCTGTTGCCCGTGAATCTGGCTCTTCTACCGGCGGCCAAACCACTTATCACTGCACCGACAACCGTGGCAGCTGCAAGTCTGGTGTCCTCGCCTATACTCTCCCATCCAAGAACACCGTCTACAACTGCCCAAGCTACTACCGTGAGCCAGTCCTCACCAAACGCTGCCACGCCCAGGACCAAGCCACCACCACCCTCCACGAATTGACCCACAACCCAGCTGTTGTCAGCCCCTTCTGCAAGGACAACGGATACGGGTACAAACTCGCCACTGGCCTCCCAACCTCCAAGGCCCTCCAGAACGCTGACAACTACGCTCTCTTCGCCAACGGTATGTTTCTCTTCCCTTAAAATGATCTTGCTTCCTTAAATAACTGGTATATTTAATAGCTATCTACGCCGGCTGCTAAACGATGGTTCATCTCTGAAAAATCACAGCTTATCCAAGCTCTAATAGAGGATCACTGTATTGTTTTCCTTGTTCTGTCCTTTATTCCTTCAAATTGTTGAGTGAGACGGCCGGTTTCCCGGTCTCCTTTACCACTTGTCTGCTGCCCTTCGCTTCATGTATATAGATTCGCTCTCTTAAAAGACACATAGTTTATAGTACAATTAAGTTTTCTATGTTTCTAAGTTACTTTTTCCTCTTCGACTAAACAATATCCAAGCGTTGCCTTGAGACGCGTCGGGAATTAAAGGCGTGCCTTGCTTTTCCTGGAAATATTTTGAGGCTATTCGGGTCGACGAATAACGTCACTACTGCCTCTACAGATGCACGCCAGTTGGTCCATGGAGTTTTTTCACAATTCATATATTAGTGTTAAGTAAAAATTCATTAAGTATTATTAGTAGCTTTGTTCGTATCTCACATGCCACAAGGAACATAAGCCAAGCGACAAAGCCATACATCCTCAACAGCATATTCAAGAGTCGAGGAAATATAGCTTGTAATATGGCATTCCAGCTATCATTCTGCACTTAAATCGCGAGGCAAGGGGAACCGATATAAAAGACTTGAAACGTGACAAACATACAATAAAGCAAGAGCCTTGATTACCACTAAATTACCACTCGTAGCTTTTCAATCTCATTGAAGCCACCTTGAAAGCCCAAGCCAATCTCTGCGTCTAAGGATATCAAAAGCCAAATCTTTGACATCTCCAGACGACCGAAACCAACTGCTTTCCTAAAGCCTAATTTCAACCGAAAGTAACCTTGGTATCATTCAAAACAGTCAAACTAACAAAAGAAAATATATAGCACCCACAGAGAACATGGAGGGGAGAGAGTATTACTAGGGAAACTCCTTAAGCAAATCGCAAAGAACAGGCTGCAACACCTAGACGGACACTAGTATTGGGGGCCCCAAGTTTAGACCGGTGCGCTAGTTCCAGGAATGGTCATCAGCCCGTCAGCAAGGCCTGTCATCTTTGTAGGCATGACATGGGTGGGTTCTGGCACCGCCTCTAGTCTGGCGTGAGATTGGGCCATGGGTTGGGTCTGCTGCTGAACGCCGCCCATACCGCCCACACCACCCATGCCGCCTGCGCCTCCGCGGTTTCGGTACTTTCGCTTGATGGGGTTTAGTCGCGGAAGACCGGTTGTTGGAGCTGCAGTACCAACGCCAAACACAGGAGACTCCCATCTCTCGCCCTTAGCAGCAAGATCTTTATACTCGGTTGCTTTGGCAGAAATACCGCTAGGGAGGACGATGTTTTTGAACATGGTGTCGTATTGGTTGAAAGCGACGTTGACCTTGGTGTCTCTAGGAGCCTTGTCCTTCTTAGCCGCCTCAAGCCTTTGCTTGCGTGCGTCCATTTGCGACTTCAGAGCAGCACTGTAATGGGAGTATGCGTTTCGCTTGTCGTCAGGGTCATTCTTCGACAGCTCCATGGTGCGGTTCGCCTCTTGGTGGACTTGATAGGCGAATTTATCCGCCTTTGTAAAGTACTGTCGGATTTGCAGCTCTAGGACCTTTTGGATAGCGGGTCGAACCACCGACAAGAGCAAAGGTTTGAAGAGAGTAAAGAGCATCTTGTGCTTGGATTTCTTCAGCCTGATATCCAAGTTTTTGATATTGACAACGACCTTGTCAGCCTTAATGAAGTGTTGTTTATCCTTGCTATGTGCCGATGAACCCATGATTTTGAAGCTGAATCCATCGCCTCCCATGAAGATATCCATAACACCCGTATCTGAAACGTGTGGGAATCCTTGCTTTTTCTTGATGTAGTAACTCACGTCTAAGAAGGGTCCATGTTAGCTAGTTATTCAGGGTCGATAAAGGAATAAAATGATAGATATTACCTCTCCAGTCAGTTTGGATGCCCGTGGCAGAGATCATGGCCTAGAAATATGAATTAGCAGCTAAACAGTAAACTTGAGGTAATAAGTAAGGCACTCACTTTGTTGTCATTGTGGTTACCAATGTTCTTTCTGCCCCATCTCCAGTAGTTGTCACTGCTGAATTCCATGATATTAGGCATGAGGTTGTCGCATTGGATAGCCAAGTTCTCGATAACCTATACAACGAATCAGTCATTAGCATAGGGTAATCATTATTAACCTTCAGTATTTGTTTACATACCACGTCTACCATTGGATCAGACACTTCAATTCGGGGTACTGGGATATATCGGAGGTTGGTAAATATTCCTGGGAGAACAGTACTCATGAAATCTTTCAGAAGGGACTTCTGGAAAACGACATTTCCGCTAGTATCATGGCCAAGGTGATTAAAGAATTTCTTCAATGATTGACCGAACTCCCTGTTTAGTGGGTCTTGATCGAATTGGTTTGCCAAAAATTTACCCTCCTCCACGACTTCATCCGTGTCTTGCTTGTAGCGTTTGGTGAGCAAGAATCGACCTTCATCGTACAGTCTATTCCACTCCGCAGTTGATTCATCACGCAAAACAAACCCTTGTTCTTTGAGACATTTCCTATAATCATGTCAGCAAACGAGTCCTCAGAAGGCCGCACTTACCAGCCAGTTCTGGTTAAGAGGGGAGTAGTATACCGAATGAAGGTGTCTAGGTTCCGGAACCAATCTCTCAGTCGAGGGTCTTTGTCGGCGTTTCTGTAGAATTTCTTGATGGAATCAAATAAATCATCGGTCGAGGTGGAGTTCGCAAATCGTTCGATTACAGTCTTAAGACGAGTCAGTGAATCTTGATGCTCGTTCAGGGATCCTATTAACATACTCGAAGGTTAGATTCCAATTTCTCAGTATCCGAATGATCTCTTGCACCTTTTAAAGTTCCTGCCCCTTGCTTGGACAGGGACCTTGTGCGTTCACTGTATCCCTCTGCGATAGATAGAAGTGTCTCGATAGCTTGCTGGTCTATATCATATACACATTAGATTACCACATACGAAGTGAGGTGGAGTTAAGGATATACTCACAATCGGCGTGACCTTGGATTTCAACAATCATTTTCTTAATGCGCCAAATTGTCTGCTCTCGACGTTCCGGTGGCATCTTTTCGGCAAGGAACTTTTTGGTGCGCTCTGTTGCTTCCTTCGAACGTTGCTTAGCTTTGGAGGCAGCTTGGTCTTGAATTTCCGCGACATCATCGGTAGTGCCAGAAGTGCCAGTTTGCTGACCGGTGGGAACACCGTCCACTCCGTTGACACCATTGACACCATTAACACCGTTAGTAGCGTGCGATCCATTGACCCCATCAACGACTCCGTTACCCTGAGTCTTGTCCATCTTTGTTTTGTTTTTGAAACGTGACATGAAGGAATCCTTGGACATATCGGGGGATTCATGCCATACATTGTCATCGGCTGGCTGATCAATCTGGGCCATATGCTCCTCTGATGGCCTGATGGCGCCGGCTGCTTTTTGGGCGGTGTCGCTGGCCATATCGCGTATCAGGAGAGTTGCATCTTGCACTATAATTGTATGATATGAGTAAAGGTGTTTCGAATAGCGTCAATGAAAGTTGCTGGCACTTACGAAGCTTCCTAAATTGACCATTGGTGATCAATAGAGTGCCAAGGGTCTTGAGGCCAGCTGCTGTCTGTTGAGCATTCTGTTTGGCCGCCGTCTTTTCACCGGAAGTATCTGGGGCTTGAACATCTCCTGGGCCTTTGAAGTGCTCAGCATCCCATATAAATTCTTGGATCAAATTGCCCTCGTTCTTGACTAAAACGAGGTTCCTCGCGCTGATTATCACATGGCGAATATCTTCAATGATCCGTCGAGTTTCAGCTGAGAGCTCGGATGATGGACTAGACAGTGACTTCGAGGCGAGAACGCTATTTAAAGCAACGTCGATTTGTTTGTTCTGTAGCCAATGTGGTCAGCAACACGGCTGAAGAAATGAAGATATAATAGCCATATGAACCTACCGAAGGAGCTTTGCCATTAGAGAAAGCTGATTAGGTTGGAGTATTAGTTAGCAAAAAGAATCGCCCCGAATACCCTCAACTGGAATTCTGGTGGGCTCAAACCTGAGAAAATGCCGTAATACTGGAGCTTTTCGTTGATGTCCTATTGCAGCTGGTTAGTACCTCAAGTCGTTTCGCGAGAATATCCATCAACGTACTCTCTCCCTTTGCTCCGGGTTCACCGGAGTGTTGACCATTGCTTTGTTACTAGGCATGGTGACGGTTTAGAACGATGACATTTAGATGGAGGTGTCTGCAGATGAGCAATTGGAGAATTCTGGCGTGTTGATGGATAGATTAAATATATGGACAAGTAACGATTTCTTCAATTGATGCATTCAAATCCTGGAACAATCGAAACGGATGATCTGAGGAGACGGTGCCACCGCTATATAAAGGGGAATCCACGCACCTTGAGGAGCAAACTAAATCCACTCTTCCCAATAGCAGACGTTGTAAGTATGAAAAGATAAAACGAGCAAGAAGCGGATTAGCAGGGAGGAGGATATATCCCTGAATCTTGGTTAAGCTTTGACGTCATGGCCTTGCCGTTCCATTCTCCCACCAATCTCGGATGCATTTTCGCCTTCGGATTGGCGTCTAGCCACAGAGCGTAACGTTTCACGAGGGGATCACCATAACAATCCTGCTCGGTGGCCAATTATCATGAATGGCACGGGAAAATATCCCTGTGGAACTTGGTTTCCCCCCCGTATGCATATCGTAGTAAGCTGTCGATAGTTCTCCACTATGATGCGGGATTGCTGGCCTTGATTGTGAAAGCAGCTGTTCGTTACGTCATAACTCTCAAACACGCACGGCTGAGTAGACGCATTGAGAGGTGGTACTCCGTAGAGTTCAGCCATCCCCTAGCGAGCGGAGAGCACCTCTCGGCTTGGGCGTCTCAGGGATCAACGTTCTCATCCGTGTCGTAAACACAGCTCTGTCTCATGCAAATGCTGCGTTGTAGTTAAAAAAAGACGAGGTTGAAGTCAGATCGGACTTTGCTTAGGTAAGGAAAAACAGATCGTGATGCATGCTGATATAAGCCCGATCTATTATTACGTAATATAGATCGATCTACTTTCATCACGTGTTTTCGCGGGTTGAGAAACGCGCGCGTAGTGAGAGGAAGTCGGATATAACGACCTGATATAAACGACCTGATATATTAGATATCTCGGCTAACACCTACGCCAGGACACGATGGGCAGCTCTAATAGGGCTACTTGGTCCCGGAAACGGCAGACTACCCTAGCATTTGCGCCTATCGCCTCATCTTCATCGCCTACTGGAGAACGAAGCCCTGCCCGGGTGAAATATCAGAGTGCGTTTAGTTCTCCGCTACCTAAAGCGCCATCACTTACCGCGAAAAAATCTACTCCCACGCCTCAGGCGAAGCCATCACAGCCATCCTTTCTCCTTTCATCTGATGAAGAACCTATTCGTCTCCCTTCTAGCGCCAAGTCAAAAATGACGAAGCGGCGCATCTCAGATGTTAGTAAATCTAGCACTGAAGAGAGCGATGCTGTTATTCCCTCTTCACCTGTGAAGCGCAGGAGGACAAATGTGCAGGTTGTCATTCCCCAGGTCTCGAATTTTGTTGGTAAGCCAACAATAAGTCAAGACTCGGAGTCTGATATCGTTCGTTCATCTCCGCTACGAAAACGGAGGAAGACCCTAAAGTGTCGCCCTACAAGGAAAGATGATAAGGAAAGGTCCGAGAGTGACGAATTTGCAGGGAAGGGGAAAAGCAGGTCAAGGCAACATAAAATTGATCTGCAAGAGGACCTTGACGAGCTTCGTGATTCTGGTGAGAAAACCCACCCACTTCTAATTTTGCACATTCATGTATGAAGGTCTTGCCATATAACTTTGAATGTGGTATGGATCTACCTACACCCTTTGGCTATAGCCTAACAAGTTTCTAGATGTTATTGCGGGCCGGACAAGGGGAACACCCACTGTGTCAGCTGCAAAAGCAAGGAGGCAACAGCAGCTAGATCTCCTCAAACGTCGGCGTGCTGGGGGGAAGCATCACGAGCCGGTAGATGCTTCGGCCGAAAACGGCGACAAAGAAGAAAATAGTTCCGCCTTAGAGGACAAGGCTAAGAGCTCAGACGGATCGGATAACACCGACGATTCTGAAAACTCTTCATCGTCGGAGAACCCACAACTAGACGCGGATAGCGACATTGGACCACCTGTATTAGAAGATCTAGATAAATATGAAGACGACTTTATCATCGAAGATGATGATGATGAGTTGGGTGTGCCGGCAGATGAAGTTGAGGTTCCGTTTGAATTTACCAGACACCGGTACAAGAGACTCAAGGACCATTTTAAGGATGTCATTGAATGGATGGTTCACAACAAACTAAACCCGGCATTCCATCGGGGTGATGCTGTCTACGAAATGGCATTCAGGAAAGTTAAAGACGAGGTTACAGGGCTGGCTGGGTCTCAGTTCGTGTCTTCCGTCTGGAATAACGACTTCCTAAGCGCTCTCAAAGCCAGGCCACGGATAGTAGTGCTCCCCTATCCAATCACAGAGGGACATCCATGTGATGCGTGCAACAGATCAAAGCACCCGGCATCGTATGATGTCCGATTTGACGGGCCCCCATATATTCTTGAGACGCTAGAACCGGTATCTCCAGATGACAATAGTGAAGAAGACGAATCCCAGGAGGAAGACCGGGGCAACGTTGATAGTGAAGGGAACGTGATACCAAACGAGGACACGCACTTTTATCTAGGAAGGTATGTTACATCATGTCCTGGGTACTATCGGCCGCCCTTAATGCCATATCTCAACGATCCTAATCATCTTTCTATTAGGCACTGCCAGTCAAAAGCATCCATGGCTCATACTTTATTCCATTGGCGTTACCACCTTAATGAGTGGGTAGTTAGCTACCTGGAACATAAGGGTATCTTTGAGGATTCTGAGATTCTAAAACGAGAACATTGGAGCCACAAAAAACGCACAAAATATACCAATGAAGTTGTTGACAACATGGGGGAGGTCGGAGAGATAGATCGTTTGTGGAGGGACTTCAACCTTAATCTCAAGACCGCGCGAGCCTCAACGGTACGTGACTATCCATTTTTGTCTCAACCTTAAATTAGGACTGTCGTGCCCTGTTCAACATACTAATTGTTATATAGACGACGTCTCGATGGTAACGACCGAAGATATCATTGTGTCCAGTAGTGGCGCGTTGCTTATTTACCCGGATATTACTGAACATCGTCTCTCAACATACCTACTTCTTCCACTTACCCATGATATGATGATACCCCTGGAATATTGGTCGGACATATTGGTCCAGACATACGGAGTATTGGTCCAGGCATATTGGTCTTTACAGCTTGTACCTCTTGACGCCCAGGATCCTTTCCGTTTTTACATATATGCAGAAGACAACAACGTCAATTAGCCATTAACACGGATAGCTTGAAAATGGTTATAAAGTACACACGAGAAAAGGAAAATAGATGTCCGTTAGCAATATAAAGTACATGTTAAAAATTAAAGGAGAAGAGAAAAACGACAAGCGGGAGAAGTATATGTAGACAGTGATAGGAGGTCCGTTGGGAAAACACGCAATGTATAACCGAGTGCGTAGTAGACCAAAAAACCCAAAAAAACCAGGCAAAATGACAGAGTGTGCCGTCTCCTTAGATTCATCCATAGCGGCCACCAACCAACCGAACCCAACCTATGCTCCGTTTCTGGTGGGTAGAAATCCGCCGATAGATATCAATATTGCATGGCTCGCGTGTAAATGCTCAACAACTAATAGGTCGAAAGACATTTCAATGGTGTATTATGTTCACCATGGCACCAGGAACTTTTAACATATCGTATTCGCACGCCCACATAGCTCATCTCAAGTTTCATGTGTCAATTTACAAGGCTGGCTTACCCTCCACAGCGGTAGGATCAGATGCAGTAAGAGCGCTTGTAGCACCAGGGGTCAACATCTATGAGGTTAAATAAACCATGTTAGCTAACAAAGTCACGGAATAAAACATTCAAAGGGTCCTTTGGTGGCACAAACCTCGTTAGCTCCCTTAATCATCCCTTGCTCCCTTTCCATCTGAACGTATTGTTGTTCCTCTGCCAGGGCCAATGCCCATGGGACACCAAGCAAGAACGCACTTGTGCTTACAACCCATAGAGCGGATCCGCCGAAAGAAACAGTTGATTTCGCGAAAGAAGTGAGTGAAGAGAAGGTGCTAGAAATCTTGTGCCGGGATTGGGCAGGGATTATGTCTTGAAGAGCGCAGATTCGCTCGTACAGTGTCTCGTCTTCGAGGTTGTTGTCGAAGGAGTCTGTAGAAATTTCGGACTCTAATAATAGGAAATTACTAGTTAGTAAAGATAATGCTATATCCAACGCATTGAAGTTGTGGCTTGCAATATGAAGATGGAACGTGAAGGAGGCGATTTTTTTTCCAAGCGTGATGCCTACGCGTGGACGTAGAAATATACCGATAAAGGGATAGACATCGAAGAGGAGCTGTACATACCGGTATCAGTGTAGTCCTCGTCCTCGTCCTCGCTCAATAACAGGGCCTCGGTCTTTGATGATGTAGGCTTTTCCTTGAAATGTTCATCTTCGACTTCAGTGAGCTTGACCATTGTGACGGAGTAAGGAGGGTCGCAGATATAAACTAAAGGAAGAAGGCGAAGGGGATTTCGACTTTAAATGTTTTAAATAGCGGGATAGTCGGTCGGTTCGGAAGTGTTGGCTGGTATTGATGATTGATGAAGAGCAAGAAGTCCATCCAAACTTTTTCTCCCGTTGACTTTTTGAAATGCTTAGATAAGCCCGAGCAAGTCCGCAGCTATGATGGAATCAACAAGTTCAGCTTCAAGTTCGCGACAAACTGGGAAGACGTTTGGCTTCGACCCTTGTATGCCACCTGTTCATGGCCTTCCATGAACTGAGGCTCGCTCGCTACATCGGCCAAACTCCCTCTCGTCCTCGAAAACTGTGCCGCGAGAAGACAATACGGAATACACCAGGGGATCATGGCTACACCAGCAGGACCCGAATCGACTGAACATGTTGTCCCCTTTCCTGAACCAACAATTATTCCCCCGCGAAGCAAACATACGCACACCCTCATCCTTCTCCATGGCCGAGGCGGTGCTGGTCGTGAGTTCGGCGCTGAGATTATAACTACAGAACTATCTGCTCCAAGCCCTGATAACACTCTTCCCAAACGCTTTCCAGGACTAAAATTCATATTCCCATCTGCAAAGACGACCTATTCATCTCAGTGGGAGATATATCTCCCGCAATGGTTTGACCGAGGCCCAATTGGTTCAGCGGCCCAGAAGCATAATGATTTACTATACGCAGGGCTACGAGAATCGACAAGGTATCTAACGTCACTAATTGACGCCGAAGTTGAACTCGTTGGCGCGAGTAATGTGGTTATTGGAGGACTGAGCCAAGGTTGTGCGCAGATGTTTCATGTTTTACTTAGCTATGCGAACGACGAGCACCGCGCCTTGGGTGGACTGGTGGGTATGAGTGGATGGCTGCCCTTTAAGGAAGAAATAGCCAAACTCATACCTGGCAGCCAAACAGAACAGCAACATGAGGGTGGGAAAGAGGATGGCAAGTTGGATAAGGAATCGCGGCGTTCTGTAGCCCTGAAAGCTATGAATTTTGTTCGCGTATCAGTTTTGGATTTGCCTCCGGTTACAGAAGAAGCTGCTGAAGCTGCTCTATCAACTCCGATTTGGCTAGCCCATGGGGACATGGACAGCACAGTCAAGCCGGGACTAGGAGAAGCCGCATCGAATACATTTGAACGTCTCGGATGGGACGTGACATGGATGCTTTATGAGGAACTCGAACATTGGTTTGCTCCGTTCGAGTTGGAAGACATGGCTATCTTTTTGAGTACGAGAGCAGACATACCAGAGGCGGACTAGTAACATCAGTATCGGCTACGAAGTTATGAATGATAGGAAATACAAGTAATGATGAAATTGAAGAGTGTTTTTTGAAGTTCTCTTTGTCTTTGTACCAATGTCACAAGTATATATTTATCATAATGCTAGTATTACACCAACCAACCAGTCTTAATGTTACAATTCTTTAAACAAAATCCAAAGTGTAAGGCAATCGGTCCAATATCGATCATCTAGCCACTTTCAAGAAGAAAAAAATATCCATCACAATCACAGACGACCCAACCCCCATTTAGCAATTCGTTGCTGAATCTCAGCCCATTGTAGTGGCCCAAGTTTAGCGCCTTCCATCTCGCCTTCTTGTATAACGACAGTAGGTCTGCCGGTTCCTTGGCCACGGTTTTCGACCTTGCCCCCGAATACCATCTTAGCAACGCGTCGCAGGTCATCAACCGTGAGGCTTTCGATCTGTTTACACATTTCCTGGACACCGATCTTGCGGCCGTGGACTTGGACCTGTCGGCCTAGATCTTCGAGCTCAACCATACGCGATTCCAGGTTCATGAGTAGGGATGATCGAAGCTGGTTTTTGGCACGGTTGACCTCTTGTATCTGCAGGCCGGAGTAGCCTGAATCGAGCGTCAAGGCCTGGAGTTCGCGGCACATCACTTCAAGCATGTTAGCTATGCTGTTAGGGGCGCAGGAGGCTGAGATGCCAAATAGACCGCTATCGGTATAGCTGAGGTTAAAGGCCATGCAACTTTCTACCCAGCCATGTTGGTTTAGGACATTGGTGTATAATCGTGAATACATTCCTTTGCCAGGACCACCAGCAGAGAATGATCCACCGCCACCTAGCAGGGTCTGGAGTGTTGCGAGAGCATATATATCTGGAGAAGAGATGGGGAGAGCCTCAAAGGCTAGATGGATATGGCTGAGGCGAGGCATGGCGGGGTTTGCTGGAGGAGGTATGCGTGGGAGAGACATGAAGCCACCGGTATAATGGGCTGGTTGGTAGATGTCGATTTTGTCCGACTGGAGGAGAGAAGAGTTAAGCGGGGAAACGGTCGCTTGGTTTGAGGCGGAAGTAGAGAGGTTTTTAAAGAAGGGAATCTTGGAGAGGAGGCCGGGAGAGGAGGGAGACGAAGGTGGAGTTGATGAAGGAGTATGCGGTGCTGAGGAGTCGGGCGACTCGGTAGGAGTGGTAGAGGACGGCGAGAAGGCTGGGACTGTCGGGACTTCCTCTTCGCTTATTATGGACGACGTTTCTGATCCGACTTGGGCCAAAAGAGGAGAGTTCTGGTTCTTCATATCGCCAAAGTATTGCTCTGTCATCCTCACGGCGTCGAGATGAGGAACTCCGGCAAATGCAACCACCATTTTGTTCGGGTTAAAAAATGCACCCCTATATTTTTCCACAGTCGACTTGTTAATCTGATCCAGCCTCTCCCGAGGACAGAGCAATGGGTTTCCCAGAGTATTATCCTTGTAAGCAGCCATATTCACCAGCTCCGGCAATATCATCTCCGGCTTCGCCCAAAGTTCCGTAATTTCATACTCGGCAACAGCCAATTGTTGAGCAACCTCTTCGTCCGTAATTAGGGGGTCTCGGATAGTCTCTGCTAATAGACCAAGGGTCGTGGGTACGGTCGAGTTGAAGCTGGCAGACTGGTACATGAGAGACTCTCGTGACGAAGCGCACTGTATATTTCCGCCCAGGCTCTCTAGGGATTCGAGCATCTGGTCCGCATTCCGTTTCGACGTTGATTTGAATGCTAGCCTGTCGACAATATGGCTTACGCCACGGAGCTCGTTGTTTTCGTATCTCGATCCAGCGTCGATGTAGACCCCGACGCCAGCGAAGGGGCCTGGAAGAGACTCCGTGGCGACGCGCAGGCCATTGCTAAGAGTCGTTATCTGGTCTAGTTCAACGGGATCCTATCGTAAAAGCAGGCATTAGAATGCATTCAGCTTTTGGAGATGCGAGTAGAGTCGGAGCAGCTATACCTTAGTCTTTGAGTCTGCAGCGGTTGCAAAACTTCTAGGGGTAAGACGCGGTATGCAAGGCTTCTTAAACCTGCTTGCTCTCAATGCCAATCGATGCATAACGGACGGATGAGCTGCGTTATAAGTATTCAGGTGGTGATCCCTTGAATATAAGGAGTTGAAAAAGTATTTCTGATGCTGCGGGTCAGATAAAATCTAAGACTTGGCAGGCCAACTCCAAGGTTGCGAACTAGCGTCACCATTCCCCAACGAACAAAACCTCACGCGATAGAATCATTCTACTATACGGAGTACAATGCAATGAGTAGAAAAGCTGCAAAGGGCATGACGGATCGTTATAATATTATTTAAAACCTAAAGGTGGTATATAAACCAGCTAATCTACGTTGAAGTAAATAAGTCTAATGCTCAGCAGACCATTTGCGGTACCAGTCCAAACATGCAGCATTTGCAACACTGGCACCGGTCTTGATATTCAGCCCACAGAGAATCTGCTTCACTGCATTCTCAACCTTCTTGCCGTTAGATGTGACAGGAATCTCAGGGCAGGAGTCGACTATCGCCGGAACGTGTCTGGCGCTCAACTCCTTGCGGATGGCAGCTTGGATGCGAGTGATGAGTTCTTGTGGGAGGCTCTTTGGCTCCTCGATGACGATTGGCGTTGAGGTTCCAGAGGAAGCCGGGGTTGAACCCATTAATTTCACGAACAATACTACCGTTTCGTCTGTTTCGATTCCTTCGCGTCTTCTACCGATGCAGAGCGAATCTTCGATCTCGTCGGCGAAATGCTTGAGGATAACGTTATAGATCTCCGCGCTCCCGAAACGGACACCAGCTGGCTTCAACACGCCGTCGCTGCGTCCCAGCATGGCCAGCCCGCCGGACTGGGGGTTTATGCGGAGGAAGTCTCCGTGATGCCAGATCTTGGGCCCAAAGGTCTCGAAGTAGCTGGATCGGTACTTCTCTGCGCCGACGGGGCCTGGAGGCCAGAACATGACTGGCTGTGAAGGGAAGGCCTTGAGACAGACAAGATCACCGGCGTCGTCGGAGGCACCGATGTCGTTTCCGGCATAATCGTAGACGGAAACCGACATTCCGAGGCCACGGCATTGGATTTCACCGCGGTGAACGGGGAGGATGGGGCAGCTGGCACCGAAGAGGGAGATGATGTCTGTTCCTCCGGTGATAGAACCTAGCATTATGTCTGAGTGGATGGAGGAGTAGACATAGTCAAATGTTGAAGGGGCAAGGGACGACCCAGTGCTGAAGATAGCTCTCAGGGTCTTGAGAGTTACAGGTCTGAATGGGTGTTCCTTGGGGTTCAAGGAGTTCTGCTCCAGCACGGAGAGGTATTTCGCCGAGGTTCCAAAGTGTGTGATCTGGAGTTCGTCAATCAGACGGGGCATGGCCATGTCTCCCTTGCCGTTTTCAGGGTCAAGAGGACGGAATGGAGATCCGTCGTATAGCACTATACTTGTGCCGCTGGCGAGGGCGGAGACAAGCCAGTGCCACATCATCCACGTCGTGGTTGTGAAGTAAAACATGCGGTCACCCGGGCGCATGTCGCAGTGAAGAACATGTTCTTTCTTATGCTGTATCAGAGTACCGAGGGCTCCGTGGACAATGGGTTTCGGCGCTCCGGTTGTGCCTGAAGAGTAGAGAATGTAAACTGGGTGGTCGGGAGCGAGATATTTGAACTCCAGTGGCTTCGATAGGTCCTTTGCGGAAGATACAAAGTCCTGCAGCGTCACACACTTCCCCTTTGGAGACTTGGTTGTTGTAATATCAAATGGATAGTCCTTGACGGCATCGATAACGACAACCAGGTCCAGACAATCCAGATTAGCGGCCACCTCCGCAACCTTGGAGTGAGTTGGGTGGACTTTTCCGTTATACGCTGCTCCATTATCCACGAAAAGCACCTTGGGCTCGATCTGTCGCAGCCGTTCCAGAACTGCATGCACGCCCGTATCAGTCGACACACCGCTCCACAGCGCACCCAACGAGGTCGCAGCCAACATGGCAATCAAGGTGTTGGCATGATTTCCCACGAAACCCGCGACACGGTCCCCTTCAACGACACCGGCTGCTTCTAAAGCAAGAGCGCAAACACGCACTCGCTCACGAAGGTCCTTCCATGAGATACTCTCACGGGTGGACTCTGTGGCAGATATCACTGCGATATCGTCCTCGTTGGGGTTGCAAGTCGGGAAGAGCAGATTCTCTGCAAAGTTCAGCAACGAGCCTGGGAAGAACGACGGCCGTGGGAACAAAGGCGCGCTCTCATCGAATACCTTGATACAAGTCAGCTTTCTCCGTTCTACATCTTTCTTTTCTTTTTTTCCCTCTCCTTGTTACTCCTTTTTTTGGCGGGGCAATGCGTTGAGGATGTGAAAATCCCGCTTCAGATGCGCTCCAAACAAGACAATCGCTTAGATAAGGGCAGTCCAGACAGGGATACGTACGCTGTTATAAGATTTATGCGCCTTGACGCCGGTATAATGCCATATCTCCTCCCAGAAGAGGGCGGGGCTGCGGATGCTCCATTCCCATAAATCGTCGTAGTTCTGGAGCGAGAGGCCGTGTTTCTGGATTATGCGGTTTTTAAATTGATAGATCTGGGTCAGCTCAGGGTTCGAAGGACACCAGAGCTCCCTGGGTTCCATCAAGTGGCCGTTGCCATTGCCATTGCCATTGGTCTCGGGCTGATCCATGAACGGCATCACGATAACGATAACGACGGAGATAGCGATTGTATGATAATGATCAGTCGCCCAGCAGGCCGGAACTTGTACTTGCACTTGCAGAAGCACTGCAGAGAAGAGGCAAGCTGGGGATAGGTGCTCCGTATATTAAGTCTTCAATTGTCCCAACAGTTCCAGGATTAAGTAGTTTTTTACCCCCCTGGCCTAATATCCGATGGGATCAACTGAAAAAAGATCCATGGCCGCCTGGAAGGTTTTCCGCGTCCCAGGGGCCGTTTCCCGGGTATGTGGTTAGGTAAGCACGCCCGTCGGCCTAAAGCGCCGAGGGACATGGCCCAAAGAGGTAAGTGATCGGGAGGCAAAACGAGCAAACTTCCGCTTTCGGTTCAGGCACCATCTTTTCTGACTAAGCGGTAACCTATACCAGGTTGGTACAGCCCTAAATACGCATTTGATACGCTCATTTGCCGATCTTCCTTCGTCTTTCGGGTGGCCAATACGCTTAGTCATGGTCATGTACCGTCATGGCGGGCGGTGAACATCTTAATTTCGGTAACGGTACCAGCTGAGATGGCGTGAAATTTCAATAACCCCGATACGCTCGCCCACTGGCAGAAAACACTGGTAATCTATTTGCTGCTATTCTTCCTCCTCTCGGACCGCTGGCCCCTTTCGTCTATATAACACCAACCTCACTTCCCACACAGCACAGCTCGACGGCCTCACGACTCCTCTGCGTCTCCTCTGCTGGCTGCCATGGGCACTTCTGCAGCTCGCGTGTAGCTGGTTGACAGCATTGAACTCAGCCCACGGGCCACAGACGACCTGACTAGCTTCGTACCAGTTAATCCCGGCCCGCTCGGAGCCCCAAGGGTGCGTCTTCCCCCCTGATAGCAAACTCCTTTTCCATGCTTTCGCCAGCTCTATCTCTATTATGTTTTTGAAGGGCACAGTAAACTGACCTGCAGCTGTTCTTTCTAGGGATAATATAAGAGTTCCTCTTGCTCATCGCTCCTGCCTGTCTTTTTCTTGCTGGCTCCGTACATAAAAGGGGATACCTCCAGCCGCCGTTTTTTTTTTCTCTCTTTATAAACAGCCTCATAACCTGGGACCCTAAGCTCTTCAGCCTCGATACATACGCACTCTTGAGATGCCGCGTCAACCTACAGACTCACCTTCAGCTAATTTATCCGACCTACCGCCGTTTCCTTCCACTGCCGGGAGGGACGGTTCCGCCACTGCACGACCTATACCCTCGAAGCCGAGCAGATTCAGTCAGCTCTTTTCTACCTCTCCCAAGTCAAACAAGACATCCACGACGGACCAGCCTATATCACAGTCCCTACCTATGATTTCCGTATCCGGTGCCACTCCTGACGGCGCCGCCATGGACTCCTCTCCTAAGACGATCTTTCAGCCCCCTTCCTCCGAGGATGCGCGCCGCATAGCTAGACAGCATGCCCAATTCGGGCCCCTCGGCCATCCCAGCCACCGATACGTCTCCAAACATTACGGAGGCTCATTCCCTGAACCCGTCATGGACGAACCGCCCTACTACTACCTCCTCACAACATACATCAGTTACTTAATCTTAATAGCTTTCGGACACGTGCGTGATTTTTTCGGCAAGCGGTTCCAGAGCGAGAATTACCGACATCTGAAGCCACAGAACGGCTACGCTGCGCTGAACAGTGATTTTGATAACTTTTACGTGCGTCGTCTGAAGCTGCGAATTAACGACTGCTTTGAACGACCTGTCACAGGTGTGCCGGGACGGTTTATCACTCTGATCGACCGTGTCAGCGATGACCAGAATCGCCATTTCCGGTTCACCGGTACCTATACCGATACTTTGAATATGAGCTCGTACAATTACCTTGGTTTTGCGCAATCTGAGGGCCCCTGTGCGGATGCTGTGGAAGAGACCATTAAGAAGTACGGTATCAGCTCCGTCAGCACCAGAAGCGAGGTTGGTACCCAGGACCTTCACCTTGAAGTTGAGGACCTCGTCGCCAAGTTCGTCGGCAAGGAGTCAACCATGGTTTTCTCAATGGGCTTCGGCACCAATGCCAGCATCTTCTCGGCTCTCGTGTCAAAGGGATGTTTGATCATCTCTGACGAGTTGAACCACGCCTCAATCCGATTTGGTACCAGGTTGTCTGGCGCCTCCATCACCATGTTCAAGCACAACGATGTCAAGGCTCTGGAGAAGAGGCTTCGAGAGGCCATCTCTCAGGGTCAGCCTCGCACACACCGCCCATGGAAGAAGATTCTGGTCGTAGTCGAGGGTCTCTACTCGATGGAAGGCTCCCTATGCAACTTGCCTGGCGTACTTGCCCTCAAGAAAAAGTACAAGTTCAATCTTTTCATCGACGAAGCACACTCGATCGGCGCCATTGGTCCCCGCGGCCGCGGTATTTGCGATTTCTTTGGCATTGATACCAAGCACGTTGACATACTTATGGGTACTCTGACCAAATCGTTCGGTGCCAATGGAGGATACATTGCCGCCGACAAGGTAATAATCGACAAACTCCGAGCCACAAACCCTGCCGTATTCTATGGCGAGACCCCAACACCGCCAGTCCTTGCCCAGATCGCCTCCTCTCTCAAGATCATCACCGGAGAACTTATTCCTGGTCAAGGTGAAGAACGCCTTCAGCGATTGGCTTTCAACTCACGTTATCTCCGCCTGGGTTTGAAACGACTTGGTTTCATCGTATACGGAAATGACGATTCCCCTGTAATTCCGCTCCTCCTCTTCAACCCCGCGAAAATGCCTGCCTTCTCACATGAGATGTTGAGGCGAAAGATCTCCGTCGTCATCGTCGGATACCCTGCCACACCCCTTGTTTCTTCGCGAGCCAGATTCTGTGTTTCCGCTGCCCACACCAAGGACGATCTCGACCGATTACTCGCCGCCTGTGATGAGATTGGAAACGTTCTGCAGCTCAAATTTTCCAGCGGTGTTGCTGGTGGCGCCCTCCCAGCACCAGATGGCATGACACCCGAAATGGAAACCGAATGGTACCGCCAACAAGCTGCTTCTTTGAAGGGCCCGTCTTCTCCTCCACGATGGAGATACGAGGATGTCATCGCCAGAGGTGTCCAGGATTCCAAGCGCCCATTGCGATAGGTGCACAGCTTCTAGCTCTTCTCTCATGAGGGCGGCAGTCGCGCTGGGACAGTTAGTCCTGCATTGCATTGCATTGCATGTGCATCTGTCCAAAGCGAGATTCTGTTTTCGATGGCGTTATCTGCGTTCATTTTGGTTTGGCATATTCTGCACCATATCACGGCTTTCTGGTTTTTGTTTTTTACCTCACTTTACCTCATCGATTCCTTATCCCCCCTTTTTCTTCCTTCTTTTTCCCAGGATGGCTTCCCGCTTTCCATTCGCGTGTGAAAAAGGATGCCTTGAATTATCCTCCCTATGTACATTTGACCCCTTACCTACTTGCTTCCTTATCAGCTTCCCCTATACCTTGTTAATATCCCACAAAAGCAGTAGGAAGGAGGGAGATACAAAACCCAGGCATACCCGTCTCTGTCTATCAACCTGGCCTGACCTAGACTGGTCTGGCTGCTTTTAATCCTGTGGTATGTACGGTGCTTGTATGTGTGATGTGTGATTTGTGATCTGCTACTTGGAATGTGTCTATGAGTTGAGTGGGCGCGTGGGCGCATGGTGGAGGCATATAATAGTATTAATAGACTCATATTTTAATGATCCATCTTGTTATCTCCTTTACCTCGCTTGGTTGCTTTTTGGCGTCTTGCATGCACTCTCTATCCCCCGAAGAGCGACAACATACAGACATATAAATGCATGCATCTACCCACCCGCCGAGCACAGGCAGCCCTTAATTGAATTTCACCAGGCACACAGCAGCACACTCGACGACTGATCCCACCAACCAGGCTCCCTTTCTCCCGTCGATCCAGCTGGAAACCGATTTCTGCAGGCCAACCCGCCCAAAGCAAACAATGGACCATTCAGATAGCCTGATCTGGCGGGATGGAGCCGGCGCTATCATCCATGCATCGTCTTCGGCCATTTGCATACGGAGCAGGCCAGTTACAAATAGTTATCCATCGTCGAAATGTGAAGTGTCAACTACCTACTTACCAACTGCTAGTTGACTATTGAGAGGGTTGCATAGCTTCATTGGATGCCTTATACCCAGCCTTATTTTCATGGTCGACAAATATGCCATATCCAGGCGGACGAATAATAAGGTCTGAAGGGCTTGAATGGGATGTTATTACGAAAACTGACTCGAGATTATGTCTGGAGCTGCAGCTGATGAATATTGATCAAGCCTGCATTCCTGCACCCGAGTACTTTGATGCTGTAACATGAAGGGCATATTCTCGGTCGAGATCACTGAGGTAACTTGCCTTCCCGCCTTTTACGCCGCGAGGAAGCCTGCCCTGATGAAGCATAAATCTCATTCTTGAATACCAGGGAGGGGATGCTATCTTTGCTTCCCCTAATCTGTTTCGTGTGGTAGATTTACTTTCCAATCCCACTCCTATTTTAGAATATATGTGGCCTATATGTGAGCTTTAACCTCCTATCAGTCGGCTCTATTACGTTTTCGCATTAAGTAAACCCATGGACAAAGATACGTAATCCCCCGTTATCCATGCTGTCGTTTATCTTTGCCTGGCTTACGCCTATTGGGCTTCTCGCCTCTATCAATGTTTCCTTGTAGATAAAATAACTGCGCCCAATTACTACTCCTAACTTTAACTATCTACCTATCATAGCTCGTTATACAAGATAGTAAAACCGAGGAGGTTATCTAGGTGCAAACTCCCTGGTACTTTCAAGTTGTTCAATATCTATAGCCTAACCAAAAGCAAACAATTACATTAACAACTAATCCAAAGTCTTATCTTCATACGACGTCACACAATGCCGTTCATTCTACAGCAAGAAACTCGACGGGACGGCATCTTGACGTTGCAGATCACCATAAGAGGCTGTCATACATCCCAAGCCAACCATATCAGCTTCCATTCTTCACCTGCATAGATCTTCGTGCATCCCCGGAACACATCCCCGGAAGCATCAGGATATGTTGACATGTCTCCCTTATACCAACTCTCCTTCACCAATTGAACACCACAAGGCAGATGGAATTATATTAATTGTTTGCCCTTTGACACCTTGGGTATCTGCATGTTGCACATATCGCACACGCATGACATGGCAGGACTTATGGGGGTAATATCTCTTCTGTTTATGCTACGTCGGGCTTGCCGACGTAGCCAGGGCCTCGAGAGATTCTGCAGATAATGCTTTTAATGGTTCCAGTTGATCTACCGAGTACTACCGTTGATATCCCAGGTTGCAGATATATCCACTGCCTATTTAGAGACAATGAGACTTTGGCTGTCTTTTCCGCTTTGTACATATATGTACGGAGAGATGCGAGGTCAACCCTCAACATGCTGGAAGTGAAGATATTATTCTTATCTCAAAGGTTTTATAGTGAGTATTCAGTCTATATGTGTGATGTCTCACTTGGTTAATGTTTTATGTTCGTGGTATATGCCTATTAACTCCTTGCTCATGGTAGAGTTAGATATATGGTATCTCATTTATTCACACTCGACGCTTCCAAATCATGGACAGGAACTTCCCTTGAAAGGTTTGAGGTAGGCGTTCTTTGCTATATACTATCACTGTCTTATTCTAAACTAACAAACTGGCAAGACAGTGCTTCTTTAAAATATAGAGATTGTCATGCCTGTGAGAAAGGGGCTACCATCAGTTTGAAGATCACTAGGCTCTACTTAAATATTGACCAAGGGAACTGGATTGCTTTCACTGCAGTTTGTTCATAGGTTAATAAAGTAGTGTTGATCACACATTCTACCAGCGGTGACCTTTGGAGAACTCAACGCTTCACCGTCGGTTAAACCAAGCTGGTGCATCACTCAAGCTGGATCTGAAGGGGTATATATATCGTGGTCATTTCTTATGCTGCAGGAGCTTTCTATCTCCCATAGCATAAACCTCTGTCGAGCATCTTCTTGATCCATAAGAGATACCACTTGATATTGATAAAAAAATACCCTTTTCTGCCCCCAAAGCGTTCAAGGTGAGGATATTCCTGGCCCGAGATACTGAGGATAATTCTTGCTCATGCCCTGCAACCATAGACTTGCCGTCTACTCTATCTCCGCACCGCACTAAACCCAAGGTCAACCTTCACGGCCAACATGTGTCATCAAACCATACGCCAGTGCTCTTGTGGACATACCGAAGTGGGCGGATTCCACTCCTGTGCTCGTCGTGGGCACCCAGTCTTCCCATGCAAGCGAGTCACTAGAATTCCTACCAACTGGGGACCATGCCGCAGCTGTAGGGGGCGTTAGATTCGTGCTACCCTTTCCCCAAACAATACCGGTGGAGTTTCATTTGTTTTTCAGATATTTTTGCTCGGGGGATGGGCGTATGGACGGGAAAGAGAGAGGTATAGGGCATAGGCGTCAGGTCTGTCTTGGGATAAGATTTCTCCTCAACTGTTCTGGGCTTAGGCGAATAGGTTGACGCGTAGGACAAGATCCGATAATGTCATGACGTTAGGGGGTGAACCCCCGTACCCCATAAGCTCTGTTTTTGCCTCTGCAGGCGAGGCTTAAGGGAAGCTAGATTGATGGATCATATTCAAACTCGTATTCAAAAGAGATATCAACTTGCCATGTACATGGTAAACTGTAAAAATAGAGCCGACCCTGTATGGTATACCACTTCTATAAGGTACTTCGTAACCAAATAGACCACCCTTCCCCCGCATCTCCATGCCTGTACCAAAAGATCCCGAAAGATAGCAAATAAAATACAGCAAATAAGTACGAATGGTATAAATTGAACGCATAGATGGGGGATATTGTGTGATGTATACTGGAGAATCTCGTCGTCTAGGAAGGAAATGAAAAAGATCCAAGGTATATACGAAGGGGAATGTGCATGTAAGCAGGTAGAGTTCATGTGCTACCTGACAGAAAGCAAAGAAATATAAACTGAGTTCGATGCGAAAAAAAGGGCGAGGGGGTATTGGCTAGTCATCAATCACCAGGACAAAAGTCTGGAAAAGCAAAACGTCAAAAAGAACCATCGCTAATAAACCGTGTACCAAACATGCCAAACCATCTAATGGGTAAACGGCGCCAATAGAACAACACAATAAAGGGGAAAAAAAAGGACAGGTAGGGAAAGAAGTATATACTTATACGAATGTAGCGTCACGCTCAAACACTGCCGTATCTGTCGCCTTCGCAGGCAATGAGAGACTGTGTCTCACCGGCTTGTGCTTTCCGCTCTGGGGACATCGAAGGGATCCAGCCCTTCATAAAGCCAGTAACCTTGGTCCATCTGCGTCGGCCTCTCTCCTCACTGGGTATACGGGCAATAATCTGCCTACCATGTTCGCCGTATATCAGAAATTGGATACCCATGCACACATCAAGTAGAAGGACGCCAGTCGCCCCGAGCCAGAATGGAATGGCGAGCAGTATCCAGTTCAGTCGATCATTGCCATCTGGGCCGGCCCATCCGCCTCCACCATAGGGCGGGAAATCTGACCAACCGTTCGGGTTGGTGAGCATCGAGGTGGAGTAGAATGTGTTTCCACTAAAGGCGGCAATAAAGAGCAAGGGAGACAGACCCGCAGTACTCTTGCGCGTGTAGTTTTTGTATAGTTGTGGTAGTCGTGATCCAAGGTAAAGAAGAGCCGAAATCCAAGAGAATACTCGTCCCACAGCCTCAGCTGAATTTAATTGTGGCATCCTGAGTGGCTGTGACTGTGACATGTCAGGTGTTGGAACCGAGGTGGCGTTGGCGAGAACTGCACACAGCATTGAAACGAATAGAACAGCCTTTGGGGAAGTAAGCGAGCTTCCGCTTGTTCCTGCCTTGACGTAACGCTTGCCGCTGGCCGGCTGAGCCTTTTCGTCTGAGGCCCGTTTGCCTGCCATCTTCAACTCATCCGTTGGGCGAACAGAGGACGTATACTGGCTTGCAGGCAGTTGCTGACAAGAATCACAGTCTGAAGCTGGGAAGTTACTCCACATATCGCTGTCATCGTCATCACCGGATTTCACGCATCGAAGGCGGTTTGACTTCCATTTCTTGATGTGGGTGTACCAGTAGTGCTGGTATACCATGATAACATCAACAACCACATAGTATGCGGCAATCGTGACCTGCCAGCCAGCCTGTTTTGTGAGAACGGCGCCGGTAAAATTGGCAGTGTCCGCTAGAAGCCATTCGACGATGAAGAACACTGACAGGCCCGCGGTCGATTTTATCCTGTAATTCTTGTATATCTGCGGGAGCTGAGCGAAGAGCCAAGCAACGATACTCAGCATCCCCAGAGTGGAAGAAATAAGAGCAAGCGGTGTCGGTAGACATGTATGCAGAAGGGATGAGAGCTGCTCCAAGAAAGGAGATACCGGCCGGCAGTGCTCAGGAAGAGCAGGTTGATATGCGAGCCATACGGAGTGCATGGTGTGTGTGTTTTCTAGGCTAAAAGAAGCCAGATGTTCCCATTCCCAGTGCAGAGATCAAAGAACCGTTGAGCCGGTAGAACAGGGAGATAAAGAAGGCCGTTCTTGTGTGGCAAGCGGCGAGACTTGTTCAACTTATAGACCCGACTGAGGTGACACAGCCCAAACTTTGGCGTTCCCAGCCCGATTTGAGGTGTCCAAAAAAGTCGATGAGAGACCACCGTTGCCTCCAAAGGTGCGGTGTCAGTCGCCTTATATCCGGGGTCGTATGGGGTGGATCCGGAGAGTCACACGTGTCTCTCTATGCGGGGAGGATCTGAGAAGCAGCGGCTGCGGTCCGAGATTGGGTAGGAGACGAGCCTGAGGGTGTGATGACGAGGATGAAGAGGAAGAGGGAGAGGAAGAGAGAGGGAGGAGGAAGAGAGATGGTTGGAGGTGAGGATGGAGGGAATGACAAGGTCACGCCCGAAACGCCGTCACAAACCCGAGAAGGGAAAGGAGTCAGGCGCGGGAAGCTTATATAAGAACCTTATGTAAGATAAGAGATATGATCACGTGAAGATAAGAGATAAGATATCACTTGAGGTCACATGATGCCCTAAACGGGACAAGACACTTTGACTTAAGACTTAACACTTAGACTTATTCCCTGTCTAAGAGGATAAAGGATGGGAGACAGTGTCGGGCGAGATAACGGTTTCGATATGATAACGGTTCCAATATGCATGCGACATTCGGCAGGGTTTTCGTCCGCAAACGTTAGGGTGGGATACCGACTTCGGATAGATACAGTCTGCCTGCAGGGCCATCAAAGGGCTGTATCCGTCACCGGCGATATCTGCCTATCACTATGACTGGATAGCCAACATGGCGAAGGCAGCCGTCAAGGACCAGCCCATAACATGTATGCCAACGTGTACGCATCATGACGGCTTCAGTCTTCCGACAGACCCCATGCTAGCGTTGGCAGCATCGACATGCATATCCTGGATCACCACCATTCCATTACGTTCAGTATGTTCGCTTCGATATAACCCTCGACTCTCGCTGTGGGTATTTGGAGATATGTGTCCATGGTACAGCGCTGAACCCGAACCAAGGGTCATGATAACCTCTATGGAACCGCCGCGGCCCGGTAACCAGCAGCCATGAATATAACCTGTTACTGCTGGGTCAGTTCACAGCAACACCGCAAACAGAAATATGTTGAAGTGTCACATCTCGCCTCGCCGGCTGGGATGAGCTGTAGGCTATGGAGAACTACTGCTAACGGCAAGTTGGAGTTGGGTTGGCAACGTGGATGAGCGAAAACATCGATGCAGGTTGGGATACATGGGTCTCATTGGTGCCCGGAATTCTCGGGTACTCTCTATAACCTGTTTTATACCCCGGAACTCGGCTCCGGAATATAAAAATGTATTACCAGTAAGTGGCTTAGGGATGGCAGTTTGCACGTCGAGATATTCTCACGCTGGCGTTGACGGTTAGATTCAGTAGACCGATGTTAGTTTCTGATAGCCCATCATGACCTACAGAGTACTTGCGTGATGGTACATAGTAGACTGCATGCGTTCCTTGCCAAGTTACAAGCTATCAACTCGCCATCACTGCGTAACAGGTTCTTCGTCTACCTCTGCTGTTTCAAGATAAGTTACCCCAGCCTTTGTTTTTATGTGACAGGTCTCAATCCCCGAGGCCCCTGCAGAAGATGACAGCGCCCCTTTTTCCGTCGCCTTCTTTGTTGCGTGGTTGGTGACTGAACGCCACCAGGGCTGGTACCTTTACATTAGATAGTTCCGCCGATCCTCGCGTAGCTTGGGTTGATCGCAACAGTTAGGACGTTGACAGTTGCATGTCGCCATGTTATCCACGGAAAGCAGCAATGAATGAACACGAAGCCGTCATGTTGGATTAATGCGGATTCGTATTATTTCCGCGGCGAAGCATTACCTGTTGTACAATTCCCAGAGCTCTGGTACCACACCCGCGACATTACTCCAGTCTCTGTGCGTCTTGAGAAGACAAGGCTGTAATACGACGGCGAAGGATATCCAACAGGTGCATGGACCGGTGGAATCGATCTATCGATCCCGTCCCTTTATAACAGAGCAATCCTCCCCGTAGATGATAAACCTACTTCAATAGCTACCTATTCCCATCACTCCCAAATCACATACTCCATACCAGCCTAGCCAGCACCAAACATACCCAAATATCCTCTTCTCCACACATCCATTCAATCATGCAATTCAAGATCGTCGCCATTGCTATTTCAGCGCTCCTTGCTTCAACGGCAGCAGCTGGCGCGCTAGGGCTCCGCGCAGAACATGCAGCGGCTTCATGTTACCGTATGTCTCGAATATGTTGATGTTGATGATTTCTTATTAACCCATAATAGAGCCTGGCGTACACTGCTTGACCCACTGGCAGTGCTGCAGTAACCATTGCAGAGACGATGCCGGGAATGTGTGCGAGTAATTCTTGTAAGTGTCAACAAGCATCCATCTCAACCGGCATGGCCGTGTGTTTGGTTATTCATGCTAACCTGTCTTAGCTGGCCGTTATATCCATATTTCTTGATCCGGTTTGTTATCGGGATGAAGTTGAACGAGGCATTGAATCGATATGGCCGAAATGAGATGGAGAGAGCTTGTCTTTGGGGATGAATGATTTTCAATTTCTATGAGCAATGAAATTTCCTGAATAAATCAAACTGTCGCCCTCTAGCTCATGATATCACTGTTGCTGAACCATCGGTAGCCCTTAGCATAATAACAATGCGTTGAAGTTGCTGTCTTGTCGTATATGACTTTGGTTGAATGTTGGAAAGTTATCTGTATTATGGTTACATAATCAAGTTTCCCTGTTGGTGATGACATCATCCATGTTGATATCTCTCAAGGTGGCAGCCTGAAGTTGTTTACTTCCCTTTGTCACTCTCCTCTTCTACCTCAGAGGAGCCGGTTGACAGGAACGGCAGCTCGGATACGCGTATCTTGCAAAGATGAGCGTGGCAAAGCTAGAGGACCTCCCAGAGGATATCCTGGTCCTCATCTTCCCTTTCCTCAGTGTCCCAGACTTCCTCTCACTTTGCACTGTCAACAAGTATTTCCACGAAGTATTCTTGAAGAACCCCGAGTTCTGGCGCGAGAAGACCACCAAGTCGTTTCGAATACCTGTTCAACCAATTCTACGCGCCAATGGACCGCGATGGTACTGGCTGTATAAGAATCTTCGCAAGACCAGGGTTTATGAATGGGGAGGATCTGGTCGGGCGTTGCACAGCTCATCCGCTAGGGCGTGGCCAGCTAAGTCCCTGGCAACCGTCGGGATTGGGAATATTGTCGATTTACAGTGCGGGTCAGTTTGATACCATTGTCCCACCACGTACCAGCTTCTTATAAAACTATCCACGCTGACTATCATTTAAAGTGGCTGGTCAACTACTTGCTTAACATCTGACGGTGCACTGCACGTTTCTGGTCGGATAGATGGGTTGGAATTTGATTATGAAAGTATCCTTGGCTACAAACGTCTCTCCTTTAACCCCGAATACCCGGCCACTACAGCAGATTCATATCAAAAAGCAACGGCTATCAAGCAGTTTTCAGCTGGCAGACGTCATGTTCTTGCATTGTCAGATGAAGGTATTATATGGAGCTGGTTCCATCGGGACAAGGAAGCTAAACCTATCGAGTTTTCTTGCGCCAGAACGATCTTAAACTCGCAAGATCCCTCCACGCCAGGAACAGTCACAAGGGTCGTTGCTGGTTGGGATGTGAATTCCGTATTCATTGCAGGGACTGGAATCGTTTATTGGAAACTCCCAGCCCACCAATCCGCTCACGAAGGCGTTGACGGGAATATGGTCGCTGGTAAAATTGTCCCAGGTACCGGTTTCAACCGGTCAAAATCTGACAGGAAACAACTGGACGATGCAGATGTTGGGCCAGGGGAAGTTACTAACCATATAGTTCTTGAGCACCACATTGTTTTCATTACAGGCCTGAATAATGTGTACGCAATGAACATAAAGGAGGAGCAGGTGATTAAGTTGCCCAAGTTTAGCGCACCGGGCAGAATCCTGCAGGATATCCAGGGGGCTTTCCGCAATTTTGCAGTCTTTACCTCTGCAGGGGACGTGATGGTGGGAAATAGCAACCTTCTCAGTGCTTGGTTTGCCAACGCCAAAAATCCAGATAATGCACCGTCCCCAGAATTCCCTGCAGGACTACAACATAGCGGTGTAATATCGGTTTCGTTTGGCGACTATCACTACACTGCTCTCCACTCCGACGGCAAAATTTCTTCTTATGGGAGAGAGCCTAGAGGCTGCGGCGCACTTGGCCTAGGAAGTGTCATGGGGGGTATCCCTTTCAGGGGCCTCACAATGGACGATGAGGACCGTCGCTATAGCGATGCATACTTTTTCCCGTACGCCAGAGATAAAAGACATAATGTCTGGTTTGAGCCCGAGAAGCAGGAATGGCTCGTCCACTTATCCGATGTAGCCGTACCCCGGGATGGCAGTTCAGATTGGATTATGCCTCTGAGGGAGAATCGCCAGGGCATCATGAAGAAATACAGTACCTGCATAGAAAGGGCCGGGGACAACTGGGGCAACTTTCCAGATATCAAAGCCAGGGACCCGGATGGTCTGGGAGCTTATTTTGCACTCAGCGTCGCATCTGCGGGATGGCAAACCGCTGCTCTCGTCCTTGTGAATGACGAGCTAGCTGGAGCTGTTCGACGCAAGCATCTCATCGATCCCGAACAGAACGGTAATTTTTATGGTAAGTCCAAACTTGAGCATCCACAGCCCCATACCTATGCGAGTCACGTCACTGTGGGGTAAGGGAATTAACAATATTCTACCTTTAGCAAACTCACAAAACCCTCCTACATCCCCTGTATTCAAATGGGAACTTCAAACGTACCCCCCCTTACCAACAAAACCCAATGGGAAAATTGATTTTAGTCTGTACGACTTTGATACCTGGGTTTATGGACTACCCCCCAGTTGGGAATGATAGCGAGGACCCACCACCTACGAATCAATCAGTTTAATGAGGTTTATGTTCTTTACTAGTCCTAGTTGTTTGTCGTTGGAGGCTATGTTATGCGTGGTTTTGATATTTTAGGTCTTGACAATTCGGGTTTAATGATTCATGTATTTGGTAGCTGGTTTGAATTCATCAATGCAATTAATAGGAAATACGGTAGCCATGTTTGGCAAAGATAATTATTCCTATCTGAATAACTGATAGATAGGATGACCACAAACACTGTAGATGTTGTATACGAAGTTTATAAAAAAACGATGAAACTGGTCAAGAAAATGGCACCAGTCCGGGGAAAACACAATAGCTTGATGCCGGAAAATATCCAAGAACAAAGTCTCGGACGTGAATATGCGGAATCCCGAAATATGAAAGCTAGCGTAAGATGGAAAGCCCAAGAATATGGTAATGGAATAAAATGCCGCTCACTGGAACGCTGATATGCAGCCACCATACCATGGATTTAACATAGTTGTCCAGAGAAAAATAGTTTGAGTCTGGCAAAGTCCCCGCCTCATATGCGTGATAGATCGTAATAAAGCCAGCCAACGCAAAAAAAAGAAAACGAAATAAATAAAAGCTAATCAAAACAACGGTAGGTATCATGTGGATTTAAATGTGAAGTAATAAGTACAAGGCTAATCTGAACCGGGAAGATTGAAGCAATAAAGGAGAAACTGAGCTCGAATAAAGTTCGATGTTAACGTCCGATGTATGAAAGGATAGTCAATATCCAAGGCAGACTATGCATTGTATGTAGAGAAGGGGTATGTGCGGTCGTAAGGTCGTGGATTTCTTGCTCATGGTCTTAGAATAGGAATAGGAATAGGAATTGGTGTATAGGAGACGGGGTAAAGTTGAGGGTGCATTGGGGACGGGGATGATAGATGGAAATCTGACTGGCGTGCTCCCTATGCGGCGAGGGTGCTCTTCGCCAACCATGCATTCAACATGTCGTCCAAGCGGCTGGACATGTCGTTCAAGGCCTTGCTCTCCTCCCTGAAGAGGCTCCCAACCAGTGGGTGATCTGGGCCGGCAGCAGGCACATTGGACTTGTCGTGTACGATGGTTAGGAGATCACGGATATCACTGCCATCATCCATGTATGCGCGTAGTCCGCTGTCGTTCCATGCAGGGAGGATGCTTGCCGATGGTGATACAGAATGTGCTTGGCTTCTATCATCTTCGAGTGTGGGATCTTGTGAGAAAGCTGGGGAAACTGTGGGAGACGGGGAAACGGTGGGTTTGGTTGCATAGCGGTCTTTGCCGGAGGAAGTGTTGTGATCCTCGAAGCTATCGTCGTAACTGAAATCACGGTCTTGGTGGGTTGGGTCCGTATGCTGGGGTACGTTAGCTTGTTGTTTGTTTGGAGGTGCAGAGTAGTTAGATGCCTGTGTGGATGCGTATTGGTGCTGGGATCCTGTTGTTGGTGGGTGGATGGCAATGTCGGCAGGAGATTCCGAAGAAGTACGAGGCTCTTTGATAGGGGTGGCATTGGGTTCGGGTTTCTCTTGGATTGATCGATCTTGGATTTGTCGGTCTTGGATTTGTCGATCTTGTAGCGATCGGTCTTGCGGTGATCGATCTTGCATATTGGTAAGTGGCTTGAGTACTTCTGGAGACCGTACTCGTGTCTCCTGTGCGGAAGTAGATCGCGGCTGTGTCCGCTGGGATTGCTGCTGCTGCTGCTGCTGCTGAACATGAGCTGGAGAGTGTTGCTTAGCTCCCGTTGGCGATTGGGTTGCTGCAGTCTCCTGCCTCGCCACCGCTTGCGCATGTTCGTTCTTTGTGGTAGTGGCCTGTACTTCGCCAGGAGGAGGTTTCTGAAACTTGCTTGGGGTCCTTTGTAGAGTAGTCTGAGGTTTAGATCCTTCCTTGCCAAAGTCACTCGTGGTACTGGTTGGAGTTATCGATCTGATAGACTCTTCAGAAACCTTCTCTTGGTCTTCATCATCGTCCGTGGCCTTGGTCTTGCGGTCTCTCCTCTTGAATAAACCGCTAAGCATCCCGGGTTTCTTGTCCTTGCGCTTCTTGTCATCTTTGCCCTTGTCAGAGAGCGATGCCTTGTCGTATGATTCAAAACTTCCACGGACTCTTGCCTCTTTCTGTTCGGCTGATTGTTGGGTGCTGAGTGAATCGTCACGTAGGAGGTTCGGAGTGAGAGAGATTTTCTTTGTTTCAAGGGTATCGTCCTTGAAGAATGAATCTGTATTCCGGACCACCCCATTCCTAGATCGGCCGTGCGGAACATCTATATGAGGTGTTAGCTTAAGACTGTAGAGAATAACGGGGGATAGGATTCACCTTTACCGAGATCATCATTATACTGGTCCTCCATGCTTTCCCTTGGTTCAGGCTGATCTTCGTGCAGTGTGGCCAGCTCCTTCTGGTGTTGTTTCGGTCGTAGAGGTTCGACCGCCATGTCATCATCTTTCCTTGAGGCTTCTTGTTGCTGTTTGTTTGCACGCGCGGACTTCTCATGTACCTCGTCGTCCTCTTCTTCCTCCTCTTCCTCTTCCTCTTCCTCATCATCGTCTTCCAGGAATCGATCTTCTTCTTCCTCCGAGCCAGTTGAATAGTCAATCGGAACTTCTTCGGCCTCAAAGCAAAGTGGGTCATTGAAGGTGACCGTTTTGCCGTGTCTACGGCGCATGGCTATTCTCAGGGGGTTTTTCGACTTCTCAGCGTTGTCACCTAACATGGTGGCAGATAGCTGTAGGCATTCAAGTCAGCATCATATAACCCAACAACTCTATAGATGATCCACATACATCAATGTTACGATGTTTGTTGAGACGCGCCAGCCTCTCTGTCGGCGTCTCAATGTGTTCAGCGGGTAGATATCCTGTATTCGGGTCAGAATTGACGTTATAAGTATAGCTGGGGTTATTTGCCAAAATTACCTATGCTCCCGTCTTTGACAACTCGCACCAGCCACCAGTAGCTGTTGCTGTCGTCAAGAAGAACCATGGTGTCGCCCTTTGTGGCATTGGCCTGGCCTTCGACGGTTGCGATGAATGTATGCAAAGCATAGACGAATTCGAAGTCAATGTCCTCTATTCAGAGAAAGTATCAGTATTCCCGCGCTCCTTATCCAGCACTGCAGTAATGGTAGGAAGTCGTCATACGCACCATCGTCAATTGATGGAGAGCTCGATATCTTATCCATCATGTCATCGTCCAGGTCCTGATCGTCATCTTCCCCATCCATCTCATCTTCGGTCGAGCTTCCGTTCCTTGTCTCATGGGACATGTCGCCGTTCGCCAGACCATTGGACTTGCCTCCATCTGCCTCATCGTGCTCCCTGTATACCTCAAGACCGTCGCGGTGGGAATATATTTGAGGGTTCCCGTCGGAACCTAGCGGGCCCTTTGCCATCTCATCGTGTGCCTCCTGCTCAACCTTGCGTAGGGACTGGCCTTGGTGTGAGCCATGATGGCCATCAGTCACGGGCGAGAGGGTTGCTTTCCTCGAGTGGTCTTGGGCGGAGGGCGACTGATGGTTCTGCAGGTCATGGGTATCTAGAGAGACACATCCGTCAGCGATAACAAGGAAAAAGCGCAGCAAACGCCATCAATGCAGTAACGCGCTATGTATGTCTCACCTGCTCGGATCATCTGGGGTCGAGTCATGGTGATTTTGTCGTAGTCAAGGAGCGCAAGATTCAACCGTTCAAGATGGGCAGATAGAGTCTATGTATAGCTGTAGGATCCGGAGTGAACGGAGTAGTTGGATCAGGAATGCGACGTAAAATGTGCCAGCAACTTGAAACATCCGTCCCAAATATATGAAAGAGTCTGACGCAACAGCCGATTGAATGAAAACAGGCCTTCCAGCGAGCGTTTGAAGGGTGATCGCGAACAGGACGGGCTTAGGCGGAGCACTCTCGTTATACCGTGGCCAAATAGGTATGGTAGCAGCAAGAACCAAGGAAAGACCGCGCCGCAACAAAAAACCCCCTTTCACGCCAGGAGCAGGTCAACGCATCGCAATAATGGGGATCGAGGGTGTTAACATTCCATGTCCTTGTCGTAGAGCCGCCGTCCAATGAAGTCAGCCGAGAACTCTTTTACTCGTTATTTCAGGAGACTTTTGCCTTTTTTTCGTCTTCTTTTTGCCTCCAAAAAAGGAGCCGCGGCAAGAGGCTTGGCAGGGTTGCTGCTTAAGTAAGGTACCCCTGACTTAGGTAATACCTGACTCATCACATGACTAATATATGACTAAGTTGACGTCACATGCCATCACATGACTCTGACGTCAGTGGCTTGGCATCCCTGCCCGAATTGAGTAATGAAGACGCTCGGCGTTAGTCATAACCTGGTGAGAAAACCAAGGCTTGGCAACTGATAAGCGCAAGCTCGCGTTATCTCTGCCCTACCCTAGACCCAAAGGGGTATTATCGTGGCTGGTCCGACCTCCCGGGTTCTTCCGGGACCTTCTTTTTCGCCCTCGCAACCCCGGCCGGCGCGACAGACTTGCCTAACTGGGCCTATCTCCTTCGTCTCCGTTTCTTCGCTTCTTCTTCTTCTTCTTCTTCTCTTCTTCTCTTCCTTCACTCTGCTTCCTTTTTATACCACCTCGCCTCCCTCATACCCACTTCTTTTACTTCTCTCGATCATACAGCTTGCTCGACTTGCTCAACTTGCTCAACTTTACCTCCCAAGAGAGTACTTCTTGCGCATATCCCTGCTGCTCGTCTCGCCATATATGCCCGGCCGGCTGCTCGACTGGACATCAATCACACTGCAACACTCGATATTGCTCACAGGAAAGACTCAACAGACACGTTTGTAGAGACAGCTCGTCGTCAACACCTTCATACCCTCGTCTATCTCTCCCAAGCGGAGGGCATGGCCCATGCAAAGGCACTCGCAATTACAGAACTGAACATCGACGCTGATTTCACCTCGTCATCGCCCGTCTTGGACCACGAAGAGCATGGACCGATGTATCCCCTGGCTGGCAGCAACGGATTAGCCCGTCGACATTCCCCCAGCGGCCTCTCTGCTGCTACTGTTGCTGCTGCTGCTGCTGCGGCCAGGAAGGAAGAACTGGAACAGTCATGGACGCCACACGTTCCAACCCCACCCATCAGCGTCCCTTACCCAGAGGACAAACACCATGACCCCTCTGCCATCGACGAGGATATCGAGTATTCTCACGATCCTCGATATGAGAACCCCTCGCCCCTGGGCCGTCACTTTGGCCGGAAGCGAAGGCCCTCCATCAGCTTCAACCCCCAGGTAACATTGGAAACCGGTGACCAGGTTGGCCTGGAAGAACCCATCAGGAACCTCGGAAGGAAGAGCCAGCTGGGAGCCAGGTCTGCCTCTGGTCCTGGCTCGTCAGAGCTCCAACAGCTCTACGCCAAAGCTGCCCCTGGTCCTGCCCCTGAGCGAGGAATCCAGCCAGAGTCCAGCAATGAAGAGGATGACTACCACAATCAGAGTCATCGCCATCGTCACCATCACCAGGGCCGCCGTCGTAATGACAGCTCTGGTGACGAATTTTCCCAGGACAGCCATTCTCCTCGAGCCTCCCCGCTCTCAGAGGTCTTCTCCGCTGACTCTGACCTTCCACGCCCGACATCGTTGACCTCCCTCTCGACGGCATCCCCTATCTCGGATGAGCTACGAACGCCCCCAGACTCACGTCAGGGAAGCCTTACTTCCCCCTTTCTCTCCTCCCCGAACCTTCGTCGTCATGGTTCGATCGATAGCGAAGGTGACTCCTGGCCAAGCCTGAGCCGTCACCTCTACGGGAGCCTCACCGAGAGCTACTCCTTTGGTCGACGGGCCAGCAGCCTACGACAATCTATGCGACCTTACCCTCGCAAGTCTCCCAACATGAGCGGCAAGTCACCAGCCAGCGCTTTTCTCTCGACCATGAATCGTGAAGATGCTCCCGCTCCAAAGCCCGACGATGAAGGGCAGGTGGTTGGACAGGACTACGTTATTGGCAAGCAGATTGGATTTGGAGGCTTCAGCACCGTTAAGGAGGCATTCAAAGTCACCGACGAAGGCCAGACGATACGGCACGCGGTCAAGATTGTCAAGAAATACCTTTCAGGCAAAAGCGAAAGGGAAAACGACCAGGCCCAGGCTGAATTTGACCATGAAGTCCGCATCTGGCGATACCTAAACCACCCACACGTACTGCCGCTAGACGCGGTCTACGAAACCGACTACGCTACATTCTGCTTCACAAAACTGACCGAAGGAGGGTCTCTATTCGACCTGGTGAAGAAAAAACGCCAGGATATTCCCCTTTCTCATGCAAAACATTACGCCTACCAGCTGGCATGCGCTCTTAGATATCTACACGAGGATGCCCGGGTTGTTCACAGGGACATCAAGTTGGAGAACTGTCTTTTGGAGCCAAAGGGCTCAGACGAACTCCCGAGTCTGATCCTCTGTGATTTTGGCATGGCGGAATGGATGACAACCGACACATGCAGCTCTCCAGACCCTTACGACAACGCCGCCGATCGGCCTCCACCCAGAACTATCGGCCCCTCAGACACAAGTACCAGCGTGGCCGGCAGTCTAGAATACGCCTCCCCCGAACTTCTAATGGCCAACGTCGGAGTGCTTGACCCCGTCGTTGATATCTGGGCGTTTGGTGTCGTTGCCTACTCTCTCATCGTCGGCTCCCGGCCATTTCAGAGCTCCTTCCAGCCTCGCATCCAAACCAACATCTTAGCTGGAAAATGGGACCGCAACGCTGTCTTGGCCTCCTTGGACGAATCTGAAAAGGACGACCGCATGGACGCTCTCGAGATGATCGAGGGCTGCCTTGAAATGGACCCAATCAAACGATGGACGATCTCCGAGGTCCTTGCTTGCAGATGGTTTCAGAGCTGCACAGACACCTCTGAACTTGCCACCCGTCTCAATCGATGGGGTTTCTCTTCTACCTAAACAAAAGCGTCCCACTCTATGGACTGCCTTTCTTACTTGATTTACGTTCTGAACGTTAGCGTTTTTTAGCTTCTCTACTTCCGTCTCCGCTTCTGTCCATTTTGCTTTCGTCTGGTACATTGATAATCTCTACTTGTTCTTTTTTTTTTTTCTTGTTTACGCTTGTTGATGGGTTGGCTTATGCTTATGTCTTTTTTGTTCCTGTCTTATTTACGCTCTCATGACTGATACCCTGTACCCTCTCCGTCTTTCGCATTCTCGGCTACCTTTTTTGCCTATTGTTGTTCGTTGGCGGGGACACTGATGTGGGCTGGCTCATTTCTCGGATGTCATAACGTGGTGCGTTTCTACTCAGCTAATGGCGTTATGGTTTCTTTATGTCTTTCTTATGGCGGCTGATGGTGTGGTGGCATGGGCATGGGCATGGGCATGATATGGCATGGCGTGGCTTGGTATGGTGTGTACTTATCACTTGCATGTCCGGTCCCCTCCCTTCATCCATCACAAGCGATTTCGGGCCCTCTAAATTTGCCCTTGTTCTCTTCTCCATATAATCTGTATCCTCAATATGCGACCTTGTCCCTTATCTCCATCTTATTGCTTCTTAACTTCAGTGGGTGGAAATCGCATGTCATTGGTCTGTACTATGGTAGCGTCTGTGCCATTATTATACTTCTGCATCCTGCATCCTACCCATGTACGTATTAATTCATAGCAGGCAAGCTATCCTGTCCCTACCTGTCGCTTAGTACAATCCCTACCTTCGAGAGTGCTGTACTCCGCTAAATAATCCCTACCACGGATGGCGTGTGTGGCAAAGGCAACAGAGGTAGAAGATGCAACGAAATCCTGATATCCAACTGGCGATCGTTAAAGAGTACCAGAGGCGTATATCTGTCCGCCCCTCACCCCCTTCGGTCGCGGGAGAACTGACTTCCAATAGAGATGGAGATACTCGACTATACGTGGGGAGTTGGTTGCCCTGCATACGGAGTACGTTCGGCAACAAGGACTCTTGCGAACTCAAGCATCTTTTCACGCCTGTCATTGGGGGATCTGTTATCTTCCCCGTAATGCGGAGTATAATCCTCCTTTTGCTGACACTCTCGAGATTATCGATTATCCTGCACTGCAAGCATGTGTTATCTTCTTACTTGCCTGAGCCTGCATGTTAGACTTCGTGTATCCCGAGTGCGTCGACGGCTGGGACGAGGTGGTTCGCTGTCCAGGTCGCCCGCCGTCCTTTCGTCTGATGTGCATGCAGGCCTAGGCAGGGGCTGAAAATAAGCAAATACTGCTCGGCGCGTTGGGAACTGATAGCAAGTTTTTCTGTTAGGAATGATATTTAGTCATGGCTAAACGCTCGTCGAATCAGGTTCGGCCTTTTACTTCTTTTGATTACTTTTGCCCGGGGTAGACACGTGAAGGGTTAAAGTCAAGCATCAAAGGACACAACTCGTTTCCTATATGGAAATAGTATCTATAATATACAATCGGTACATCTTACATGAACGAACCCCAATCCGAGTATACATTCCATTTCAGAAAAAGAGGATAGCAAGAACAAGAAGAGTGAGAGTCAAGGGGTAAGGTAAAAGTATTAAACGGTGAAATGATAAGAACTCTACCAGACCCTATTCTCGGCAGACTTCTTAATAGCCTTCTTCGCCTTCTTCATTTCTGATGGCGGTGTGAAGAACAAACTGGGGGTGTCTCCCTGCTTGACCAAGTAGCTCAGGTATCCTCGATGGGCTGGATCACGGTAATACTCGATATCCTTTCGGCTAGACGGGTCAGGCAGACGGTACTGGAACCCACTGCCTTTGGAAAGCGGCCGATCGACTCCCATTCCGATCTTCTTCATGAGTTCGGTGTCGACGTTGGAGATGTCCTCGCCCTTCGCAGCGGCAGCGGCAAGTTTTTCCGAAGTATCCTTCCACGCAAGAGAGACGTATGGGTCGGTCTTCCCACTCATGATTCTCTTTATGGCGTATTTGGTGTAGTATCGGGTGGTGATGGAACCACCAGCCGCCTCGACGGCTTGGATGGCCCTGGCCGAGGCGCGCGAAACAATGATGGTGATGGGCTGTTTGAGAGCACCCTCTCCTCCACGTGAGAGTAGTTTGACTCCATCCTTTATCCCGTGAATACACCTGGTCTTCACTAGTTCTCGAAGTGTGATGGGCTGCGAGGGATCGATACGCCCTTGGTCGATCCAATCCTGAATACGGTCAAGGTTGACAGGAGATATTTTCAGGGAGAATCTATCATCATCATCAATTAGCCCGGAGCACATGTATAGCATCAATTGGAACCTCTGATCCACTCACATATTGTCAAACCCGCCCTCTCCGTGAACTACCTCGTTTGGTGTCTGTCCTCCATTGAAGGGTATCTTGCCGCCTTCAAAGAACGCCTTCTTCGTTCCTCGCTGTCCCTGACCTTTGTGACCACGACCGGCTGTCTTTCCCTTGCCGGATGCAGGACCGAGACCGCGTCGAATCCTCTTGCTATATGCTGCTGGATTGTCGGAGAGGGAGGCTAGAATGGATGCTGCACGGGTCTGGGTTTGGATGGACGGTAGGAGGAAGAGGAATGAAGGCGAGGCATGTGAGTGTAGGGAGGTCGAAATCGATGAAACCGATTGCGACAGCAGTCGCATCGGCAGTCTTGGAGGCATTGTGGTGGTTATTCGTTGTCGACCAACTTGTACAGCTACGCCTGAAAATCTTTGAAGATTCTGCTACTGAGGTCGTTGATATTGGTCACGTGATATAACATCTCTTTGCCCAACCACTTGTCCCTACTCCCTATGTCCCTAAGTCCCTACCAGGAACGACTTCGTATCGCGAGCACCGCTTGATCATCCCCGAAGACTAGAGTGATACAAACATGTACACGACCGACAAATTAATATAAATCGGGTCTGCATCCGTATTCCCCGCAGGATATTCATGGAACCCGGTTGGCGCGCAGACACGGTGTTTAAGATGCTTATCAGCATCCCTCCAACACACCACACCTGCATACGGCACATCCTCCTCCTCCTCCTCACCGGCTGCATATCAAGAGAGTCAGTGTTGACTACAAGGATCTTGAATTTCCCCTTTGTGACATGTTTGTAAAGGATTATTCCGTATTCAGTGGTCCTGATATACATGATTTCCCCTCAGTGACGACAGGGCCAACGGGTTCCTCCTCGTATTATCGAATCATGGTTCCTGGAGTACGTCAACCTGTGTAAGATAGGTACTTGTCGGCCGGGAATCTTTTGTGTACGGGAGTGAGGGGTTACAATGAAAATAGGATAGTCGGCACGACTAATTATCACCTTAGGACACCTGGGGTATTTACTATAGACAGGATTCTGTAATAATTCAACGTTCCGGCTAAGCATTTTCCGTATGCAGGACTTTAGGGAAGAGATAGTGGATAAAGATATTGATTGGTATATAATCCGTCTACTAAGGCGGGTGACTATGAATTGTGCAAAATGGTACATTGGGGGTAAAATATGCATAACTATGCTACAGCGCATGGGTCAAAAACGCCAAACAAAGACTCGAGTTCGTCAGTAAAACATAATTAATCGCCGCAAAAAAAATGTAATATGGGGTGGGCTGGGACAAGGGGGCGGCAATCATCAATTATATGGTATATAGAACTCCAGAATAAAAGGAAGATAACGAAAAAGATTATGGGATAAATGAAGATAGAAATAATCGAAACTCCGCTTAATAGGAGGACTGTCCACCGTGTGTCGAGTTTCGGTGGTGATACATGCTACCAGCATATTCGGAATTGGTATCAAGGTAAACAGTGGCCCTGCGTTCTTCTTCTGGTAGAAGCTCTTTGACTTCCCAGTTATTTTGCTTCAGGCCGACCGAGAACTCTAGATCCTCTTTGGTGATGGAGTCCCAGTACTATTGTAGATATAGTAGTTAGTATCAAGATAATTCGGCATAATAACAATAGAATAATCGTCTTACCTTATATATCATCATAACCGAGAGCAGGTTACAGAAGGTAACGAAAAACAGACCATCCAGGTAATGTTGAATGCCCTCGCAAACTACATCGCTGAAGACGTAGAGCACAACCTGGCCAGCAACGAAGAAGAAAACGCCGAATGAGATATGCCCCAATGGCCAACGATCCTGGAGAGTGTTGACAACAAGGATGATCTGCATAACCACATAGACGGCCAGGGATAAGGCGTTCAGGATGTAAAGAACGACAAACATGGCGACAGTATTCGTGGGCGAGAGGCCTGCCCACCCTTGGAAGGTCAAGAGGGAAATTGCTCCAGATACCAAGCCCATTCCCAACGAGGAGAATCGCAAAAGCCAAACAGACAATGTAGTCCCGTCTTCATATAGTTGGAATCCCACGAAACCGTTGATTAATAAACTGGTACACATCGCGGACGTCAGGCCATTCTGAACAGCGGCAAAGTATGGCATGACCGCGCTTCCTGGTGGGGTTACTCCGGTATCAAGGACGAGCGAGCAGACGGTAAGAGCCATATAGAGGTAGAAAAATGTTATGATTTCCTTCCGGCCTATCAAACAGATTTGCAATAATTAGCTATTACTCCGGTAAGAGTACCCTGGGGATTGATTGTGCTTACCGACTGCAGTAAACTTTGACCTGATATGGATAATCATGACTACTGCCATCCCAAGGGCCATGATGTGTATTATTCCTGCTGCACCCTGGAAAATGATCGTGTTGGCAACTTCAATGTTCCTTGCATAACAGTCTGGCAGTATCCCTCTCGTGCCTGCGAAGCCCGTCTTCGGCCCAACGAGGGCGCATAGCGGCAGCGCCGCCTTCCGGCATATTGCGTCAAAGTCTCCGAACCCCATGGCGCCCAAATGCTGTACACCCGTTGGGTGAGTGGTTATCGAACGAGCAAAACGCGCGCGGGGCAGTGGTTGTTCAAGATGAGGTAGGAGCCCCTAATCGGCGGAGAGAACACGGATAGAGCGCAAGACAGAAGCTGTCTGGATGCTATAAGGCCGTCTAAACCAAAAACGAGCGGATAGGTCAAAGGGCCATGTATATTATTAGCGAGCGCTGGGGGAGCAGGGGATATAAAAAATCGAGAGTTGATATTGACGTGAGACCTCTGGCTGGGATGGCCTGTCCCAAAGCGGAAAAGTGAGGTTGGCGTTTACTTTATCCTATTATAGGACTAGCGTGTGACCGGCTCTTATGTAATACACGCAACCATGGCAACTTCAACTTTTGATCTTGCTACAAGAACTCAAAGTTGTAGAACAAGTTTCATCTCCAGGCCGTGTGTTGAAAGTTGTATGCATCAATGATGGCAAATCATTATACGGCTCATACCCGGCCTATTATCACATTAATGGAGAGGATACGGCGATGATCGTGACTTGAATCGGCATCGCTAAGAGATTAGAGCATACTGCCGACTTGAACAACGCGGAATATGTGATGGCGGCTATGTGCTAAATTGCTATGGAGAATTACTTGTGCGGTTTTTTTATGCAACTGTAGCGGCCTCTTGTTTACCGGAACATAGGATATGCTACCAGGATAATCAATCCATTTCTATATCTTTCATGGTGCCTGTAACTTTCCATGCGCCGATAACGCAAAAAGATAGAATCACGTGATGATAACGAACTTTTTTATTTTATCGTCCACCAAGCGGCCAATTGTGAACCAATATTTTACACAGGTTAAGAAAGGAGTAGGCATTTAATACATCATGAAGTTGGATGCAAAGGCCTTGAGATATCTCACCGGAGAAGACTTCAGAGTACTCACTGGAGTAAGAAACTGCCACCTACTCCATCTATATACATCCATTAACAAGTCCACAGGTCGAGACTGGAAGCAGAAACCATGAGGTCGTTCCAACCCCGCTAATTATTCGACTTTCTGGGCTCCGCGGAGGCAGTGCGGTCCATAAGTCGATATCAAATCTTGCGAAATTAAATTTGATTGCTCGAGTGAAAAATGCGAAATGTATGCAACCACAAGTGGCGACCATAGGCAACTCGTGCGAAATATACTGATAACGAGATTCTACTAGATGATGGTTACCGACTTACGTACGGAGGCCTCGACTATCTCGCCCTTCATACGTACCAGAAACAACAAGTCGTGTACTCCGTAGGAAACCAAATTGGAGTTGGAAAAGAATCAGACATCATAGCTGTGGCAGAAGCTTCGGGGACACAACGGATATTGAAGATACACCGATTAGGCCGAATTTCTTTCCGCTCGATTAAAAATAACAGGGATTATTTGCGACATCGAAGCTCCGCATCATGGATGTACATGTCTCGATTGGCCGCGATAAAGGAATTCGCATTCATGAAGGCTCTAAAGGACCATGGATTTTCTGTTCCTGAACCGATTTCGCAAAATCGACACACCATTGTCATGAGCATGATCGACGCTTTCCCTCTCCGGCAAATATCCTCCGTCCCTAATCCAGCGGGATTATACGCTGAGTTAATTACCACGATTCTAGAATTGGCGAAATTCGGCTTGATACACGGTGATTATAACGAATTTAACATCTTAATAAAGGAGGAGGAAATACCGGCCGAAGCGAAAGACGATGAAAATAAAGAGAAAAAAGAGGATAATGTCAAACTCACACCCGTTGTGATTGACTTTCCCCAGATGGTATCGGTAGATCACACAAACGCTGAAATGTACTTTGACAGAGATGTCAACTGCATCAAGCGCTACTTCCAACGGCGATTTGGATTCGTTAGTGATGAACCTGGGCCTTTCTTCTCAGATGCACGAAAACTGGTGGGTACAGAAGGGGCTGCCAGGCTGGATGTGGCAGTCGAGGCTTCCGGCTTTTCCAAGAAGATGGCAAAGGAGCTGGAAGCGTATATGAAAGAAGTTGGCGTTGATGGTGATGCTAGGGGCGTTGAAGATGATGAGGGTGAGGATGGTGATGACGATCAAGATGACGACGAAGACCAAGACAATGACGATGATGAGCTAGAGCGAAGAGAAGAGCATGACCAGGACGATCCAAAACCAGCAGACGGAGCCCTAGAAGAGAAACCTGAAGCATCGCAAGCAGATGCAAAGATCGGGCTGGAAAAGCTCACCATATCTGAACCTTCGTGACCTCCACGAAAACAAAATTCTTTGTGTAATTAGATCAACTAACGATATATGATATCATGGCTATCTCAATTCCCATATGTAATTCATTCATACATGATAGAACGAAGCTATCTATTTTGTATCCTTGATCTCATCCCGATATAAACTTTTAAGCTTTCTCTAAAAAATTTACGGTGCGCGGGAGCGACCAACTGCGACTTTTCAACTTCAACCAGCAAAAAGTGCATCGAGCACCAAGCCATTAACCACGTCTTCGAATTGGGCGTTTTACTATCATCCACGCCTTTACCTGTTCTTTTCTAGTATTCTCTAAACTGCATTGAAGGAATACACTCCACGATGGCGTCAAAAATACCCAAGGCGATCCCTAAAAACCTGTACAAACCACTTCCGGTTGAGCAGCGGAAGCAAATATACCTGTCAGTCCATGAACCACAGCCCAGCCTACCATCCAAAGCATTCATAGCTTCTTGGATATGTTAATTTGAAACAATTTATACTGCGAAATTGCTAACCTACATTCAATTCCTAACACAGACCCGACTTCGTCCTTACCTTAATACGCACTCCATTCCTACCACCTCGATATGCCTCCTTCTGGGTTCCCCTCACGTTCAACAAGCTTGATATGAAAGACTACATGAAACGAGTATACAACGTTGATGTCCTCAAAGTACGAAGTTATGTCGAACAGCAGAAGGTTACGCGTGACCTTCCCCGAGGGAGACAAGGCTTCGGCCCCATGCGACGACAAATGGCAAAGAAGAAGATGACCATCGAAATGACGGAGCCATTCGTTTGGCCCAAGGAGCCAGAGGACTATGCGCCGTAAGTTCATGATATATCCACGTGGATACCTTGCGGGTTGAATAAAAAACCAAATTGTGCGAATAATTTTCTAACATGGTCCATAGATGGGAGAGAGACACGTTTTTCGAAGCCAAGAAGTTGCAGGAAGAGTTCCAGGAATCACATGCGCATGACGCGCCGATGAAAGCTCCAGAACACAAGCGAGAGTTATTAGCTGAACAGGCGAAGCAGATGCTGGACGGTAAAGAACAGTGGCAACCAACATGGCAGGCACTTGGCCTCAACCTCCAGAGACCCCAACTCAAGAAAGTAGAGTCCAAGGCGAACCAGCCACCGCAGGCATCGGAAACTTCACAGACATCGGAGAGATGAAACAGCGTATATCGATACGATCACAGGAGTGAAGCTATGGGCGTTTAACAAATTACCAGTGGTCAAGGACGTGAAAACTCCACAAGCGTGAATATTTGGGACACGCGTGTATTCTCGGCGCCTTCCTTTTGTTTAATATATTAGAGGGACACGTTTCCGCTATTCAACCAGCTATGAAGCATAAATGGGTTGGAAGATGGAATATCTGTACATTTAGACACTTTTTCTACTGCCATGTATTACCAGGTCATATTCTCATTGTCTGCATTTTCTTAAATTCCTTTCCCAAAAAAATATATATCAGAATCAAGAAACGTAGGGGTTCAAAAGTACGCAAAAGTATGATTTGAGTGTAAATTGATAATTTATGCAATTAATGTTCAAAATGCATTGCTAAATATACAAATGGGAAAAAGATAAAACGGATTAATCGCTGAAACGGGCGAAAAAAAAGAATAGAGGACCGAAATATGCCATGCAATCTTCATCTGATCATGATGAACCCCTGGGCGAATGTGCCAACTCCGTCCGTATATCGCCACTTGCTTACTCCATATACTCATACCACAAAGCTTGAAGCGGCAGTAGACCACCAACACCGAGCCGCCAAGTATAAATCTACAACCGACTCTCGAATACTGGATGACGCTGTTCGCCAGGCCAATGACCGTCTGGCCAAATCTGTTTGATGGCATCCCAGATATGCCTAGAAGTTGGAATCATGTTAGTAACAAATACCACTGAAAGATGGAAATGGGGGTGGTATAAAACATACATAACGTAGACAATGTTGAGGCCGTCTTGAACCTCTTTGGGAACATCCCTCACATCCTTAACGTTCTGCTGCGGCAATAGCACAGTCTTGACTCCCGCTCGATGAGCACCGATCAACTTCTCCTTGATTCCTCCAACGGGCATTACACGCCCGCGGAGAGAAACTTCACCAGTCATAGCAATCTCCGGCGGAACAGGCTTGCCAGCAAAAAGCGAAATCAAGGCAATGGTGTGGGCAAGGCCGGCAGACGGTCCATCCTTGGGGATAGCGCCCGATGGGCAGTGGACGTGCAAGCTGCGATGTTTCATGATATCCTCATTCGGATCTTGAGTCAGCCCAAGTTCATATGAGTGAGCCTTGACCCATGTAAGGGCCACTTCAACTGATTCTTTAAGAACATCACCTAGTGTTCCGGTGAGTTGAACACTTCCGCTTCCGGGCATGTCGGCCACTTCAATGAATAGGATACTGCCCTGGCCACCTGAAGAGTATGCAACGAGGCCAGTAACTATGCCTGGTCTGGCCAATTTCTCGGCGATTTCTTCATCGAAACGTTCAACGCCCAATATCTCATCAAGATCGTCGACAGACACATTAGGGTTATATGAATCAAGCTGAGAAGAGTCCTTGGCATCCGCAAACTGGACAGCTTTGAAGCGGCACACGGCGCCTATTTCGCGCTCAAGATTGCGTACTCCCGATTCACGAGTATAGGAAGTGATGATCTTGTCCATGACCTCATCCGTAACCTTGACCTGGCCATCAGAGAGACCGTTCGTTCGAACTTGTTTTGGAAGCAGGTGCTGCTTTGCAATATGTCTCTTCTCGACGGTAGTATAGCCTGACAGGTATATTGTTTCCATACGGTCAAGCAATGGTGGAGGAATAGTTTCCAATGAGTTCGCCGTGGCTATAAACAACACCTTGCTCAAGTCAATAGGGATATTGATATAATGGTCAGAGAATGTGTGATTTTGTTCAGGGTCAAGGACTTCCAGCATGGCAGCCGATGGGTCTCCATGGAAGTTTGCACCTCCAACCTTGTCAATTTCGTCAAGCAAGATGACTGGGTTAGAAACCCCGACCTTTTTGAGGCCGCTGACAATGAGTCCAGGCATGGCTGCAACGTAAGTCCTGCGGTGACCGCGGATTTCAGCCTCATCTCTGACACCACCTAGGGAGATGCGATGGAATTTGCGGCCAAGGGATGTAGCGATGGACTTTGCTAAACTAGTTTTACCAGTCCCAGGAGGGCCAACCAAAAGTAAGATCGGCGATTTATCAACCATACGCTTGGACTTGAGGAACTGTAGCTTGGTTTCAATAGCATCGCGTTCGGCAATCGAAGAGGAGTCGTCGTCATCTTCGGTAGCGTTATCCTTTGCAGTGAGATCGTTTGACAGTTCAGTGATCTGTGACTCGACATCGTTATTCAAAGATTGCTTCAGCTTTAGAACAGCAAGATATTCTAAAAGGCGTTTCTTTATCTTTTCCAATCCGTAATGGTCATTGTCCAACTGCTTTCTGGCCCGAGTGAGGGTTTCCGGGCCTAGTTGGTCTTCGGTGGCCTTAGACCAGGGAATCTCCGCAATATTTTCTAGATAGCTGCGGCAAACTCCGTACTCGGCGTTTGCTGGGTTCATCTTGCGAAGTCTTTTGATCTCTCGGTCTGCAACCTTCTGAGCCTCTGGACTCAACTGAGCTTCCTGAAGCTTTTGCTGGAGTTCGTCTATCTCGTTGGGTTCTTTCTCTTCTCCGTCCTCTCCACCACCGTTGCCTCGAGCACCAGGCATATTCATTTGCATACCCCGTTTAATAAAGAGTTCTCGCTGGCGAGGATCGAGCTGTTTGATATCAACTCCCATATTTGCAGGCAAAGTGGTGGTTGTGAATGTCGTCACCTTGATGTTGTTCCTCATCCCCTGGACCTCCTTTGTTAGTAGTTCGATAACACGCTCCAACCTCTCTTTCAACTCGACCGAGGCGAGAACCCGAAGTTTCTCCTCGAAGCCAGCATCGATCAGGTCAGCAATAACGTCAGCCAGTGCTCCAGCTTGTGATATATCCCGTTTAGCAATGAAGAGTTCAAATCGTCGAGCAATCAGGGGTGACATGTTCGACGAGGCAGAGAAAACGGAGGCGAGCCTCAGGACAGTTAGGAGTTCGCGAGAGAGCTGTTTAAGCTGCTGGAACAGTTCAGGAATTTCCGGGTCAATGGCATGTGGAACTATTTAAGAATACCCTCATTAGAAATGACTACCATGGATATTTTTGGTATAACAGGGGGGGTTTACATACCAGGCTCGTCGTATACCAACACCTCCGCTTCGAAGAACGGCTTCTCCTTCAGGATCTTCTGCACGGAAAACCGCTTTGCTCCCTCAACGAGCAAGAAGGGTTCAGCATTCGCCCTGCCTTGAACTCCAACCACCTTTGCAATCGTGCCATATCGGAACAGGTCGTTTACCCCGGCCGCTGCAGGGTTGAGTGGCTCGTCGTCTATCGACCGTGCTCTCTCCTTGTCCCCATCGCTCAACAGAAGTTGTCCGTCTTTCGATAGGAAGGGCGAGCTCATGGGGATACAGCCCACGAGGATCGGGGTAGTGTTCTGTCGCTGCTTTGCATGTCTGCTGAACAAGGCCGTCAGAAGGGTCGGGATATCTGGGCGATCGGAGAGCGGGATTCGCAGGTTGACATTGGGCAGAAGGACCGAGTCTCTACCCAGAGGTATCAAGGGCACCTTCATCGTCCGTCTACCGCTGCTGGAGGCCATCCCTTCGGTCCACCGGTACTAACAAGCTACGGCACGAAGGGGGTTGTTGTTTTGATCAAGTCCCAGCAAGTTGTTCTATTCCGCCGCCCTAATATCAAGATATAAACGATAACAAGAGAAAACTAATATCGAATAGGATCAACTAAAGGCCGGTACGCAACCGGGAGATGCCACTCTTTCTCAAGTATACCGGCGTCAAGGGCGTCCTGTTCGTCTTATGGGCCAAGTTCTTCTTCCCTTCCTTGGGGGTTTTTGAGGGCCAGAAAAAAGATGCCGAGGTTACCTGCCAAGCCGAGCTTCCCTTTTCGGCGTTGAAGATATTCACGTGATGAGCTGCTGAGTAAGCACGTCACATGTCACGGGAGGAGCAGAAGAAACATCGAGCAAGCCATGAAATTCATTATTCAGCTAACGGTCGAGCTATTTAGTTACGTGGCTTGGAGGTTTGTGAGCTCAGAGCAGGCTGGACGGCCAGCTGGGCCGTTTGTGAGAGTCGAGGTGGGCGACAGGGACAGGGGCTGGTGGTTTTTATATACTTCGAAGTATGTTCCCAAACCTTGAGGCGGCAACGGTTGGCAGAAACTTATCGATCTTTCGCCTTTTGTATATCTATCTCTTTAAACAGCTCTTGACCGGATAGCAGTATCTAGTACGGAGTATATCTAGCAGCATCACTCCTTATATTAGCAGCTTTTTATATAGATAGAAGAGCTTCCCGTCTGGTGTCCGCCTCATTACTCTCTTTTACTTTTCATCCCCCGCTTTGACGCTCGATACAATATGGACTCCGCGCGCAAGACGTTCACTATCGGGACGCGCAAGTCAAACTTGGCTGTGGTGCAGACAGAGCTCGTCCGGACAGCATTGGTCGCGAGATGGCCGGACTGCGAGTTTAATGTCCATACTCGCGATGCTGCTGGCGATTTGAACAAGATTACCCCGCTTCGCGAGTTCACGTCGAAGAATCTCTGGACGGAAGAGCTCGAGGAGATGCTACTAGCGAAACAGCTAGATCTCGTAGTGCATTCTCTAAAAGGTACGTAACGATCCCTTCCATTCTAGCAGTGGCCCAGTCTACATGAGAATCTGACATGGCTTACACCCGTCTCTCTCAATGCGGAAAAGATGTCCCCACGCAGATTCCAGAGAGCTGCGTCCTGAGCGCGATCATGAAGCGTGAGGATCCGAGGGACGCCCTGGTCGTCAAGAAAGGCCAGCCAAAGACGACACTTGCGGAGCTGCCTGCAGGCTCGGTGGTTGGAACTTCCTCTGTCCGTCGTACAGCTCAGCTAGGCCGCCATTACCCACACCTCAAAGTCATTGATGTGCGAGGCAACATCGAAACCCGTTTGGCTAAATTAGATGCGGAAGACGGCCCGTTTACGTGCATCATACTCGCAGCTGCAGGTCTACTCAGGACGGGGCACGGAGATCGCATTTCGCAGTACCTAGACTCCAAAAGCGGCCAGATGCTTCATGCGGTGGGCCAGGGGGCGCTTGGAGTTGAAATCCGGGCCGACGACGACAAGATGGCCGACATGCTTCGTGAGATAGGAGACCAGAAGGCGACGTTTGCCTGTCTGGCCGAGAGGAACCTGCTCAGGACGCTCGAGGGTGGATGCAGCGCTCCCCTTGGCGTAGAGACAGAATGGGTACAGGATGCCAGCGGGAAGGAGATGCTAAGGCTCAGATGCATAGTCACCAGCGTGGATGGCAAGGACGCGGTGGAAACTGAAAAGGACGGCGACGTCCAGTCTCCCGAGCAGGCTGAAGCCTTTGGCAGGGCTGTTGCAGACGAGATGGTCGAAAAGGGCGCCGGGAAGATCCTAGAGGTTATTAAGCAGAAGAAGGCCTGGTGATATTCTATGTGTACGATTTTTAATTTGAGATTTGAGCCTAGATACTCGCCGCCGCCAGGGGCGTGGGGGGGATCTATCAAGTCCGAGTAGCACTGCTTCTGTCTCGTTCCCGATCTAGACACGATTAGCCTCGTAATTTGCGCCCGAATAACAAAAGAGCGTAGAACACGCCGTGCCACACAGCGACGGACCGTAGACGGACGATGCAGGCGCTGCACCCGCAGGCATAGGGCCTGGCCTAGAACGAGACATCCCAACCCCGGATGCACACCCGCATCGCGTCCGTCTTCCCGTAGCGGGATCCGTCCTCCTCCTCCTCCTCCCCTGCCCCGCCATATTAAAGAGAGCCAGCGCCGCTGAAGGTCTTGCTGCGATCAACCATACTTGCGAGCTCTACAGCTGACGATGTCGTTTCGGTCGTACTGGCGGAGAGACGGCAGGCCTGAGAAGGTCACGCCTAGTGACTATCCGCGCATCTACTTGTTTGGCGACTCCCTAACCGAAAGAGGCTTCTATGCACAAGACACCGGGTTCGGGTGGCAGCTACAGAAATATTACGATGAGAGGGTGGAGGTTGTCAACGAAGGTAAGCGTTCATCCTACATTTGCATCTAAAATACTAGATTCCAACGGATATAGTCACAGTATACATGGGTGACATCGAGTTGACTTGAGAATAGGGTACTCAGGGTACGTTTTGAGGAGATTCTAATGAATGCAAGAATGTATCAAGAGGATAGTCATCTCACGTAAACAGACAAACGACGAGGACACTCCGGAGACCGTTTAGCGACTCCCTTATGGGTGCTATAAAGACCAGAGGACAGCCGGCACCTCTGTTCATCACCATCTTCCTGGGAGCCAACGACGCCTGCCTGTCCATGGGCAGCACCATAGTCCCGCTTCCAGAGTACGAAGAGCATATCCGCTATTATGTAAACACCATCCTAGACGACCCTGCCACCCAGAGCACCAGGGTGATCCTCATTTCTCCGCCTCCTGTCAATGTCCCAGTTCCAGTCGGAGAACCTCTGCTGGATAACCCTGATGCGGCCAATATCCTGCGCATCGTTGCACTGCAGGGCCGCGGACATCGAACGTGGGAATCAAAGCGAACGTTTGCAAAGAAAATAGTCGAGATCGGTAAAGAGTTTGAAGCCAAAACGGACCGGGTAGCCGTCTTGGATTTTTGGTCCTCAATCACAAAATCCGTCTGTAGGATAGAAGGCGCATCTCAGGACGACGCATTCTATCATCTGGACATTGACAATATGCTTCCGGGGTCAGGAATGCCTGGTGCAAAGTCTTTTGAAAAGGGGTACTTCACGGACGGACTCCATTTTGGAGACAAGGTCAGTACAGCCTGAAAGGTGAAAAAAGTCCTTCTTCAACGAAGACTAACTCGATACTCAAGGCATATAACATTCTTGGCCGCGAGTTGCTCGATCTAGCCTTGACAAAATGGCCAGAGTTGAAAAAGGAAAACTTTCCCCGTCGGGTATGTATCCGTTTTTATATTGTGTTCTGTGAGGAGTAGGGCTAATATTTCGTGCCCCTTGGAACCGCCAGGACTGAGATAAGCACTCCAACGAAAAAGTGTAATATGGAATGGCCTAGCCTCGATTCAGAGTATTGCCAGAACCCTTGGGATTTGCCTCTGTAAACTCATCCCAGGCCCTCGCCTTAATAGTCTCCTCATCAGCTTTTTCAAAATCATCCTCGTCAACTTCCTTTGGAATCCCCGACTGTTCGCCGCCACCTTCTATAATTCCGCCTCTTCTCCTTTCCTCTTCCAGGTATTCATCGATGCTCATCGTGGGAAGGTTGTGGCCCGACCGGAACACGCCCCTTTGAACGTCTGTTCTTCGACTAGTCAGGGTAAACGGTTGAAGCGGCTTCCCGTCTCTGCTTAACAGCACTCCGCTATATTGACCGCGACCCGGCTGCGAACCAATCATATCAAGACGGTCAGAATAACCAGACTCTTTCCCATCCGACAGCCCTGGTTTGCGTTCATCTGTTCTCTGGACCGGAGGTAGCGACTGAGCCGCTTTAAGCATTGATAGCTCCTGCGACAACATATCCAATGACTGAAAAGTTTGGTGTGTATAGAAGTTAATTTCCGCGAGGTATACTTGCCGTACTATGTCTTCATCGTTATGCTGGGAATCTTTGTTTTGTGAAAGGTACTATAGTTTCTCCATTAGCGACCCACAGCCTCCGAGTAATTAATATCTATATAGCTAAACAAACCTCTAATTTTTGCTTTAACTCTTTCTCCTCCCTAAACCTGGTTATTTTCACCTGTCTGCGAGCTGATACGTCGTTAGTGGGAGTAAGACTGAACGAGTCTGGCTGCTCAAGGTACTGCTCGTAGAGCTTTTTGTCCGAAGGCGAAAGTAGGCCATATTGGTCAAGAGACTCCAAATATTTCTCATATTCCTCGCGCGTCTGCTGAAGGGTTTTAATCCTGTCCGCACCATAAGATCGTTGGAGTAATTCGGCGAGAAGATACGGCACTGTCAGAAACCTGGATTGGACAACGGCATCAGCTTACGCTCCAAAACACGTCGAATTAAATTCCATACTGTAAATCTCCGGTAGTCACGTCTTCTAATGATTCATTGGGGCTAAACAATGAGAGCTGCTGGATGAGCTTCTGGCATTGCTCAAAGGCAGATATAGCATTATTGAGCTGTTCCCGGAACGCGGGGCTATTTGTCTCAGCGACCGTTTCCAGGGCCTTTTTTTGCGCCTTTGCGGAGGCAAGGCAGGACTGGAGGTTTTGGGGGGAGCTGCTCATTGTTACACTTGACAGTTCCAAGGTTGTTTAAAGATTATGGCTCCTCTGAAGTAATTGCTAATGAGACCAAAATAATATCGCGATTTAATGCAAGAAACCTTCCACTAACTATTTATATCACATGACCTGGTTCTTGGGCACAAACTCTAAATGGGGGATAACCTCAGAAGTTTTTGATTTAAACGAATGTTCGGATCCAATCCTGTTCTATTTACTTTACTATCCTCATATCCTATAAGCTGTATTTACTGACGGTTGAGGCTGATAGCTTTGTTCCGAAATAACTAAGAAATACCAGTGTGTATGGGCAAAATGGGATGGGATATCTTTTTTGATATGTTTATCTAAACCTCAATACTCCCCCACGTCAACTTCTCTACAACATGGATCTTTGAGCAACGGCCATATTATATGTTTCCCCCTTGATATCTACTCATTTTTGATGCAACATGATATGCTTTATAGAGCTGATGATACAATGAAAGAAAAGTACCACCCAACTTCTTTGTATATGCTTGCTCTTTGCTCTCTGTGAACGTTGTCTTAAATTTAGCAAACTTCAGTATACTCTTCACTACCAGGACTTGAATGAGACGGCATGTTCCAGCAAACACGGGAGTTGCCGTAGAACACGGCTGTTTCTCTCACTTCCTGTGAACTTTAGTGAATTGAACTAACACACCTTTACTACTTGTTGTTTTCGCTATAGGAGATACCCTCACCACCAACAATTTATTGATCACAACTAGCTTTTACAGCTCACCTACTCTCATGCTTTAAAATCCCTGAAGACACTGACGCAATGGTGTGCTATACAGATAATAATGCGGGCATGGCAGATAATGTCAACATTTTGAATGGGGATAGCGTCAAGGTTCCTGAAAATATACGCACCCCTGAACCTGTTGTTGAAAATGGATCTGGCGATTCAGCTAGCTCTGAGATTGAAGATGAAGTCGAGGAGCGGAGTAAAGCTTCCTCAAGCCGTAAACGGCGAGTCCTCGATTGCAAATTCAAGGCCTTGTACGCAATCCTTTACTTAAAAGTCCCTGATATGTTTCTAATTGTTCAATTTAGGTTATCAAAACGCGCTGAAGCTGTTACAGCAGATGATATTAAGGCTGTGATAAAGGCCACAGATGATACACAACTATCAATGACAAATCTAATTGCCAAACAGGACTACGCCTCCATCATTCATGATCCCCGTGAATACCAGCTGGAGCTCTTCGAGAAGGCAAAGGAGAGAAATACGATTGCTGTCCTCGAGACTGGTATGGCTCTAGATATTAAATGTATCGATTCATACTGACTATTGGACAGGGTCTGGCAAAACGCTGATAGCGGTTCTTCTTCTCAAGCATGTACTAGAGCAGGAATTGACAGATCGCAGCATTGGAAGACCGCATCGCATCTCGTTTTTCCTGGTTTGTTTCCTTGAATAAATCCCAAAACTTTGTACGCTAACTCTAGGGCAGGTCGATAGTGTTACACTCGTTTATCAACAGGCGGCAGTGCTGCAAAATAATATACCCCATAAAATAGACAAATTTTGTGGTGCAATGCAGACTGATCTATGGAACAAGGAGACTTGGGAGGGCCATTTCGAGAGAAATATGGTAATTGTATGCACTGCCGAAGTGCTTCATCAATGCCTGTTGCATTCTTTCATCCGAATGGACCAAATCAACCTGTTGATCTTTGACGAGGCTCATCATGCCAAAAAAGAACACCCTTATGCGAGGTACGAGGGTTTAACATTCTCATGCTTAGGCCCATGAAACTAAATGATCTGTATAGGATTATAAAGGATTTTTATATGAGAGGGTCGGGGAAGAGGCCAAAGATATTTGGAATGACAGCATCTCCAGTGGATGCAAAAGTTGACGTTGTGAACGCCGCAAAGTAGGTCGTTACGATTATCTGCAACCATAGGACCGAACTAATGGATAAATCCAGAACCCTCGAGACTATGCTTGATAGCCAGATTGCCACTGCCTCAAACCTTTCACTCCTGCGACATTCTGTGGCGAGACCAAATGAAGAGACTTGGGAGTACGATTGGCTTGAGTCGCCTTTTAAGACACCGCTGCATAGTCAGCTTCGTCAACAGTTTGGTGATATTAAAGCGCTGGAGAAAATATTTAAATTCTCATATGAGACATCCTCTACTTTAGGAAGCTGGTGCTCTGACTGGGTATGGAGCTACTGTTTAAGTGAAGAAACATTGCCAAAGCTAGAAGCCCGATCACGCCGGCCAATATTGCGAAATTTGCCTAGTGATCCCTCTAGCGAGACTATACCTGAGAGAATACGTGCTGCTGGAGCTTTGATTCGCGACCATAAGTTTGGCGACCCAGTTGCCAATCCAGAACTTCTAAGCCATAAGGTTCGGGTACTGCAAGAGGAGTTGCTGCGGCGGTTCAAAGAAAATCCAGATACCAGATGCATTGTGTTTACAGCACAGCGCCATACAGCAAGGGTTCTAAGAGATTTATTTAAGAAAATTGGATCACAGTACATTCGACCAAATCTATTGGTTGGTGTTCGGTCTGGGGGTGACAGATGTGGGTTGGATATCTCCTTCCGTGAACAATTTTTAAATGTGATAGCATTTAGAAAGGGAGAGATTAATCTACTGGTATGTGTCTACCCTGCTATTGATGTTCAACGTCAATGACTCTAACATCACTAGTTTGCTACATCTGTTGCCGAGGAGGGGCTTGATATTCAAGATTGCAATCTCATTGTTCGGTAAGAGTGAATGAGAGTACTTACTAGTACAAATAGCTAATCTCAGTGCTAACCACAATATCAGGTTCGATCTTTACTCTACTCTCATTCAGTATATTCAAAGCAGAGGTAGAGCGAGACATACAGACTCGACAGTGAGAATACTGCTCCTGTTATTATCATAGCCTACGCTAACTTGATATCAGTTTGTGCACATGGTGGAGCGTAATAATTTAATCCATGAATCTGCGGTCGAAGAAGTCCGCCGTGCAGAGGTTTGTAACTGACGCGCTCCTAGATAAGTTACAGAAAGCTAACTCTGAGGTTCTACTCATAGGAAGTCATGGCCCGATTTTGCAGGTCCCTACCAGAGGATAGACTGCTAAAAGGACTCGGAGACGTTTCGATTATGGACAAAGAGCGGCAGCGGAAGACTTACACGATCAAAAGTACAGGCGCCAAGTTAACCTACCCTTCGTCACTCGCCGTACTTGCACACTATGCTAGCACGCTGGTAAGAAGCCAAAACCTCGAGATTTCGCCGATAAAGCTAATAGGAGACAGCAATATGAAAAGGAGCTCTCTGCCCAGGTCAGTTACGTGATTCACCCTAAAGATGGTGCGTTCATCTGCGAGGCCATCCTCCCTGAAAAGTCACCAGTACGCGGATGTACTGGTAAGTCTGCCTCACAGAAGATTCTTGCGAAACAGTCAGCCGCCTTCGAAACATGTCTTGTCCTTCGGAAAAACGGGTTGCTTGATGAGTATTTCATTTCGACATACCATAAACGATTACCAGCAATGAGAAATGCGCGCCTGGCTATCACGTCAAAGAAAAGCAACCAGTATAGAATGAAATCGAAGCCCGCGGCATGGGAGACAGATCGTGGTGTCACTCCAAGCATCTTGTTTGGTACGGTCCTCTCACTCTCAAATTCTGAGAACCTACAGAAAGATTACCATCCGCTTGTGCTCTTAACGAGAGTGCCTATGCCAAATTTCCCCTCCTTTCCTCTATACCTAGAACAAAATAAGGTGTGCGCAGGCAGCAGCATGAGACTCGAACCGGGGCTCAACGCCTCACCCGAGGAGCTAGATCTTCTTACTAAGTTCACATTTCGGATTTTCCAGGATGTCTTTCATAAAATTTATGAAGAGGACTCATCTTTGGTATCTTACTGGCTTGCCCCTGCAAAACGGGATTTTAGAGCACAGCTCCCAAACCCTAACCCTGCCGACATAATTGACTGGCAAATGCTACAATATATCCGGGACACTGAAGAGCTTAAATGGTCACCTGGGATGCCGGACGACTTTCTAGCAAATCGGTTCCTGGTGGATAAATGGGACGGGAGGTATCGCTACTTTTCGTTCGAAGTAGACCCAACCCGACGACCCACAGATCCAATTCCAGAAACCATGGCTTACCGCAGACATAAAGACAATCTCATGAACTACTGTCTTAGTTTGTATAAGAAAACGAGTGTTAAATTTTTAGAAAAGTGCAACTGGGACCAGCCTGTCCTGCATGCAGAACTCGTTAAGCTCCGCCGAAACTTCCTGGATAGGGATGAAAATAAACAAGAACCCCCTGTGGACTATTATGTCTGCCCAGAGCCATTAAAAATTTCTTCGGTATGGGCAATGAATGATATACTGGACATAGAGCTTTGCTGACTTTTTATAGATTCCTGCACCTGTCGCTGCCTTTGCTTTTGTATTCCCAGCGATGATTAGCCGAATAGAATCATTCCTCATTGCACTGGAAGCGTGTGAAAAGCTGCAACTGCAAATAAACCCTGAACTCGCCCTTGAGGCGTTGACCAAGGACTCGGACAACATGGAAGAGCATCGCCTGGAACAAATTCAATTCCAACGAGGAATGGGAAAGAATTATGAACGGCTTGAGTTCCTAGGAGATTGCTTTTTAAAGATGGCAACGTCGATTTCGCTCTTCGCTATGAATCCAGACAATAATGAATATGACTTTCACGTCAAACGAATGCTTCTGATCTGTAACCAGAACCTATTCAACAATGCAATACCCTTGGAAATTTTCAAATTTATCCGCAGCAGATCGTTTTCACGGTAAAATGATACATCTCCTCTTACAACCTTTTGTTTTTTGGTATGCTGACAACCTCTATAGAAGAGCATGGTACCCAGAGGGCCTAACACTCCTTAAAGGCAAAGCTCCAAAAGAGGAACCCTCCGGACCAATGCATGCACTTGCCGATAAAACCATTGCTGATGTTTGTGAAGCTCTAATCGGAGCATCGCTTTTGGCCGGTGGTCCAGTTCACAAATTCGATATGGCCACGAAAGCTGTTACGATCTTTGTTCACAGCGATAATCATTGCGTGGAGAGTTGGGCTGGCTACTCGGCGCTTTACGCTTTGCCGGCTTATCAAACGGCTATTGCAAGTGCTTCTGAGATTGACGTTGCGAATCAGATCGAGACAAAGCTGGGCTATCATTTCAAATACCCAAAACTCTTGCGGTCCGCATTCATGCACTCTTCGTATCCGTCTCAATGGGCGAACGTGCCTTGTTACCAACGCTTGGAGTTTCTGGGCGACTCGTTGCTTGATATGGTCTGCGTAAACCACCTATTTTCACGATACCCAGATAAGGATCCCCAGTGGCTCACGGAGCATAAGGTGATTCCATCTCCCCTTCCTCGACTGCTGTTATGCGGTACTGATATGGTAATTAGATGGCGATGGTATCCAACAAGTTCCTTGGTTCAGTCGCAGTAAGCCTTAATCTTCATGTGCACCTTATCTACTACGATAGCCCGATCCAAGGCCAAATTACCGCGTACGCCGAAGAACTGGAGGCCATGAAGATACGAATGGGGGGCAACCTCGAGGCCTGGACGTATACGAATGAACCACCCAAGGTAAGCTATCTATATGTCCCCTAGGTTTTAATAGCAAAGGCCCTAATATTACGTACCTGGATAGTGTTTGCCGGATATCGTCGAAGCATACCTTGGGGCAATATTCGTGGATTCAAATTTCAACTTTGATGTCGTTGAGGACTTTTTCAAGCGATTTATTCAACATTACTTTGAAGACATGACTGTATACGACACGTTCGCCAACAAACATCCGATTGTGCGTGACCCCTGCTTTCTTGTACCTCTGACATGGCCTCTACCAGGAGGATATAAGGGTAGTTTATCTGAGTTTGGCTGACCTTTTTTAATAGACATTCCTGCACACGAGACTCGCAGTAGATTTTGGGTGCACGTTCTATGCATTGAAAGCAGATGAAATTCCCTCTATTGACGAGTTCACCACACGCGCCCTGGCCGCAGTCTTTGTACACAATGATATTGTTGCTGAAGGACTGGCATCGTCTCCCCGCTACGCCAAACTGAAGGCGAGCCAGAATGCCCTCAAGGTGTTGTCCGAGCTGACCGCGACGGAGTTCCGAGCACAGTACAAATGTGACTGCCGTGAGAAACAGGAACAGGAAGCAGATGAGATCCTTGAGGAGGTAGAAGGCAGACCCTTAGACGTCTAAATCATGTCTCTTCTTATCACTCTTGTTAAGGCCAGGTTCGAGGACGTCCGTCGCCAAGTGCTCACTTTGCCCCTGAGTTGGCAGCAAAAAGTCGGAGCTTCCAAGGTTGAAATTAAGATTGGAAATTACCATGTTTCGCGGCCTGCCCTGGCTTAGTCATCAGTAAAGTTAGCCTGTAATTTACCCCTGACCCCCGGAATCACATGACCCAGTAAACACGCCGCGTCGAGCAAAAAAGTGAAGCTGGACGCTTGCTTTGGAGCCCAAGATAGATGATATCCAGCAAGACCTGGAACCCAAGCTGTTAAGCTCATATTCTCCTCCCCCGCAAGACGACGACACGTCACGACCACCGCATATTAGGTCGATGATTCCTACGAATCCAACCTTCCTACTCCTACCATAAATCTCGATGACAGCGCCAGGTCACGTACTATAAGTTTACGAGCATGGAGGTCGCCTCTCCAGGAGCGTCGAATGGCCTCCCCTCGCCGACGGCCTCGATGACTGTTGACCCAGAGGTTGTGCTTCACTACCTAGCGGACGTCATTCAAGGAACACTCGGGGCTTTGAGAAGGGACCTTGAAAGTACAGGAGGTCTACTATCACAAGCAAAGTACTCCGAGACTCTCCAGAGATGCGGACGCTTCGCCTCTGAGGCACAGATAGCTCTTTATGCACATAAAGATGCTATTGGAACGGAACAGACGAACGGAACAGAGGATGACTGTAAGTGCCGGAATCACAGGAAGAGAAGATGGATACCTGGCAGTTGGCTAACTTGGACGGTGGTGCATAGCTTTAGCGGTACATCATCCTCAATATGTCTACACTCTCAGCTCGGAGTTGTCCATATCGCCGACCACAACGGCGGCCATGGCATTCTTCAAGCCAGGGCAGCCCATCGATCCAGCCATCCCTCTCTACTCTCAGATCCAGGTCCTTACACTTCCAGGATTCTCCTCATTAAACAATTCGACAAACTCACAGGGGCCACCGGTTTCACCGTACGAGATTATATACTCTTTCGTCCACCATGGGCTGTCGCCGTACTACGAAGCATGTACTCGTGGGCATGACGGCACTCAAGGTACAAAAGGTAGAAATGACACCGACTCTAAGACTGGAGAGGTTCGCGCAAAACAGAAGTTTGCAGAGCTGGAGCTTGCTTTGTCACATCTTCAACAGAACATCGAAATACCTGCGCTGAGCCTGCCATTGCACGAGATCGTCCAGGCCGCCTTAGACGAAGCCCAAGCCCGGGGCCTTGAACCTTCAGTCGAACTGGTTCCCCCGACCGTCCTAGACAACCATGTTGTTATCAACAGTATACAAAACAACGTGAATGGGTGGATAAAATCGATTCAAGGTATCACGAAAATGTCCCGAGACCCTGATAGCGGTTCTGCAGTTCAGGAGATAAATTTCTGGCTATCCATGGAGTCTGCCCTCGAGGGTATCGAGACCGCCCTGCGTGACGACGGAGTACTGCTTACTATGGAAGTTCTTCGGCACGCGAAGCGATATTCAACTACGCTCAGTTTTTCGGCAGACACTGGTTTGAAGGAAGCCATGGAAACGGTGCAGAAATACAACCAGCTTCTCCGTGATTTCCCTCTCGATGAACTAGAGTCAGCAACATCAATCCAGAAAGTACAGGAAGCTCTGAACCTCATATTCTCTCACTTGAACAAGAAGCTTCGCATCTGTCCATATCCGATCAAACGTGCCCTATCTCTCGTTGCGGCGATTTCTGGAGACCTGGACCGGACAATCCATAAACTGATTCCTGGGCGAAGCATAATGCACTATGATTATACGGAATTCCACTCGCTCATGCGCGCCGCCCAGATCGTCTGGCGAACCTGGGACGAGAATATCAAAGAGTTTACCAACGTTGCCCGTGATGCTATGAGAAGACGCAATGAGAAGTTTATTCCCATTAAGGTTAAACCAAAACATGCAGAAACCCAGGACCGACTGAAGTTTATCAACACATTCCGCACAAACCACGAACAGCTCCAGCGAACTATTATAAATGTTCTCGGCTCTAAATCGAACCAAGGAGCTGCGTCGCTTTCTGCTGGAGCTGATAATTCGACAGCCCTGGAAGAGTTTGGTGATGTGGATGCCGTGGAACAAGTTACTCAAGCGTATAATGCGCTGAAGGATGTGGACGTTCTCGACGTCAGCCCAGAAGGAACCCAGGCATGGATCCAGGCGGAATCTGCTTACAACGAGCGCACTTCCCGCGTCGAAAATTTGATGATTGCCCGGCTCCGTGACAAACTTGCTACAGCTCAGAATGCAAACGAAAAATTCCGAGTCTTTTCTAAATTTAATGCATTGCTCGTACGGCCGAAGATTAGAAGCGCAATTGGTGAGTATCAGACCAAGCTCATCGACAACGTAAAGCAGGATATCGCGGCATTGCACGAACGATTCAAGCAGCAGTATGGCCACTCAGAAGCCCACGCAATGGCACAGCTTCGAGATCTGCCACCTGTTTCAGGAGCCATTATCTGGGCCCGGCAGATCGAACGACAACTGGATGGCTACATGCGAAAAGTCGAAGACGTCCTTGGTGAAGACTGGGATCTCCATGCAGATGGACAGAAATTGCAAGCTGAAAGTAACATGTTTCGCAAAAAATTGGACACTCGACCGGTATTCCAAGCCTGGGTACAGGACGTTAAACGACGAAACATTGCTATATCTGGCCGATTGTTCATTATCTCTCGCAATCGAGCGGCTGGAAACTCGCTCGAATTAGCAGTTAACTTCGATGCACAAATCATTGCTCTGTTCAAGGAGGTCCGGAATCTCGTTTGGCTTAACTTTCAAATCCCACATGCCATCACTAGCGTATCGAAGGAGGCCAAACGTGTCTATCCGTTTGCGATTAGTTTGATGGAGAGTGTGCGAACTCTCCATCAGACGATCAGAACTATCGCGTCTATGTCACAGTCTGCAATTCTGCTCAACGGTTATAAAAACGACGTCCAGGCGCTGATAGTAAAGGGCCTTCCCCTCCGTTGGGAATCATTCATCCATTCATATGAGATACACGTCAAGCAAGGCCTTGCGAATGGATCAGCGGACCCCTCTGTTGGATCTGGTCGTGGCGAAAGCAAGCATGTTCAATTTGTTCGCGAATTCGCAATCTCTACTTCCGTATTGCAATCGAAGACTGCTACGCTGACGACTATGGATGATGAGATTCAGAAAGCTATCCTCACCCTCAAGACCTGTCCTTATGACGTGGCTGTCTTCCGCGAACGCATTGATAAGATTCAAATCGCCATTGATAAACTCAATCTCGAGAACTATGCGAATCTCGGATACTGGGTTGCGCACCTAAACAACAAAATTGAAACGATTCTCCAAGACCGGCTACGACGTGCACTTAGACGCTGGATTGCATCCTTCCAACACGCCGGGGATGAGCAACCCACCGCTTCCCCCACCACAGAGACTGATGGCACTGGAGAGGAGCTGGATACCTCGTATATCCAGTTCCCGAAATCACTCCACGAGATTTCAATGAAAAACCAAGTCATGCATCTGGACCCACCGCTAGAATATGCTAGAGCTTCGTGGTTCGCGCAATTCGATGAATGGGTTGGCGTTCTCTGTAACTTGGAAAAAATCAAGTCCTCTCGGTATAAGATGTCAATTCATGCTGACAATGGCTCTTATTCAGAGACCCATTTCTCTGCCATCCCTCAATATTGCTCTGAGGAATTGAGTGAAGTGTACTCGCTTGTGGAAACACGATTGGAGGAAATCTCAGAGTACGTAGATAAATGGCTCCAGTTCCAGTCGCTATGGGATCTTCAATCATCCCATGTCTATGACATTCTTGGCGAGGACCTATCTCAGTGGTTGCAACTTCTGCATGAGATTCGCAAAAGCCGTGGAACATTCGATACCTCTGAGGTCCGCCGATCGTTTGGAAATGTTCGCATAGATTACGAGCAAGTCCAGACCAAAGTCAACGCAAAATACGACCAATGGCAAAAAGAGATTCTGCTTAAGTTTGCAGGAAAGCTTGGAACCCGTATGCGGGATGTGCATGCTGAACTTGAGGCTGCACGTCGAGACCTTGAGGGCCAATCGCTAGAAGCCTCTTCTACCGCCCAAGCCGTTTCATTTATCACTATTGTTCAACAATGCAAGCGAAAAGCGAAGCTTTGGGAACCTGAGATCGACCTATTCTTGCAAGGCCAAGCTACCCTCATTCGTCAACGTTACCAGGCTCCTAACGACTGGCTACCCGCCGATCGGGTCTCTGGGGAATGGGATGCTCTAAACGAAATATTAGAACGCCGAAGTAAAACCGTGCAGGACCAGACTGATGCTCTAAGAGCAAAGATATCTGCGGAAGATAGGGTTATCAATGAGAAGATTGCCGAAGCTGTCAACCAGTGGAACGAAGAGAAGCCTGTCTCCGGATCGACGCCTCCAGAGGATGCATCTGCTACACTCAGTTATTTCCAGTCCCGCCTCGAGAAGCTGCAATCGGAATCAGAGATGGTGTCCAAAGCAAAGGAAGCCCTTGACCTTCCTAGCAGCCCCGAAACTGCACTTGCTGCTATACTTGAGGAAGTGCAAGATTTCATGGCTGTATGGGCTGCTCTATCTACAATCTGGAAGAGCTTAAACGAACTACGGGATACGTTGTGGAATAGCATCCAACCGCGTAAACTTCGTCAGTCTCTCGATGGGCTGATCAAGATGACCAAGGAAATGCCCAGCCGAATGCGCCAATACGCTGCTTTCGAACATATCCAGAATGTGCTCCGCGGCTTCCTAAAAGTTAACCCGTTGCTGTCCGACATGAAATCTGAGGCCGTTCGTGAGCGCCATTGGCAAAAGATTTTCAAGGCCCTCAAACCCGGCAAGCGTTTCTCACAGATATCGATGACCCTTGGGGATGTTTGGGATCTACAACTTGGGCCTAGCGAAACCGTAATTCGAGAAATCATTACACAGGCCCAAGGAGAGATGGCATTGGAAGAGTTCTTGCGAAGTGTTCGTGAAACCTGGCAGAGCTACACTTTGGACCTTGTCAACTATCAAAATAAATGTCGCCTGATACGTGGGTTTGACGATTTGTTTGCTAAGTGCAGTGAAAATTTGAACTCTCTTCAGGCTATGAGACACTCTCCCTACTTCAAGGAATTTGAAGAAGAAGCCACAACGTGGGAAGACAAACTCACCAGGGTACACGTCCTCTTCGATGTGTGGATTGACGTCCAGAGACAATGGGTATACCTGGAAGGTGTCTTTACTGGGAACGCAGACATCAAGCATCTCTTGCCCCTTGAATCTGGAAGGTTTCAAAACATCAACTCTGAGTTCTTCGCAGTTATGAAAAAGGTCTATAAATCACCTCTCATTCTAGATGTTCTCGCCATCACGGGTGTTCAGAAGTCGCTTGAAAGGTTAGCCGAGCTACTCCATAAGATTCAAAAGGCGCTGGGTGAATATTTAGAAAAGGAACGTGTATCATTCCCACGTTTCTACTTCGTCGGAGATGAGGATCTTCTTGAAATAATTGGTAATAGCAACGACACTCTCCGAGTTGCGAAGCATTTCAAGAAGATGTTTGCTGGGCTTTCTGGCCTTCTAATTGACGATGATGGAAACATCATCGGAGTCAGTTCGAAAGAGGGAGAGGAAGTCATGCTCAAACGTGAGGTCTCGCTGGTGAAGACGCCAAGAATAAACGACTGGCTTACAGCCTTGGACAACAACATGAAATCGACATTGGCCGAACTACTAACGGAGGCAATTGAACAGTTTGAGCCCATCTATAGCGGCCCAGAAGTTGATCCTACTGCTTTCCAACACTACATCGCCAATTACCCAGCTCAAATAGTAGTGTTGGGTAGCCAGGTAGTCTGGACTAACGCTGTCCAGAAAGTCCTTGAAGCTGGCGGCGATGGACTATCGGCATTATATGATGCTGAAGTGAGAGTCCTTGATCTTCTTGCCCTTACTGTCCTTGGTGATTTAGATCCCATCACACGCAAGAAATGCGAGCATTTGATTACCGAATTTGTTCACCAAAGAGATGCAATCGCAAACCTAATGAAACTTAACGCTTCTTCTCCAACTCATTACCTATGGCTGCTGCAAATGCGATACGTCTACCAGCCGACTGGCGATTTCTTGCAACGTCTCCACGTTCACATGGCGAATGCGAAGTTGAGCTACGGATTTGAATACCTAGGTGTTCCTGAACGCCTCGTCCGAACCCCACTGACGGATCGATGCTTCTTGACCCTTACACAAGCATTATGCCAAAGGTTGGGTGGTTCGCCGTATGGGCCTGCTGGAACTGGTAAAACAGAGTCTGTGAAGGCTCTTGGTTTGCAGCTTGGTCGATTTACTCTTGTGTTCTGTTGTGATGATACATTTGACTTCCAAGCAATGGGTAGGATCTTCCTGGGTATCTGCCAGGTAGGCGCCTGGGGATGTTTCGACGAGTTTAATCGTCTGGAGGAACGAATCCTATCTGCAGTATCACAGCAAATCCAAAATATCCAGATTGGCCTCAAAAATAGTGAAGACGAAACCAAAGCCCAGATTGATCTTGTAGGGCGTCAACTCCGAGTTAACATGAACACTGGAATTTTCATTACCATGAATCCTGGATACGCAGGCCGTTCAAATCTGCCGGATAACTTGAAGAAACTCTTCCGAAGTGTCGCCATGTCCAAACCCGATAAAGAGCTCATTGCAGAAGTTATGCTCTTTTCTCAAGGTTTCAAGCAAGCAAAGCCACTTTCTAGACAGACCGTACCATTTTTCGATCACTGCGCGAGCCGTCTCACAAAACAGGCTCATTACGATTTCGGGCTTCGTGCCCTGAAGAGCGTTCTTGTAAGCTCCGGCGGGTTGAAACGTCTACGTCTTGCAAATTCGAATGGAAATATTGGGCCGGACGAGCACATTGAGCCTCAAATTATTGTTCAGAGTATTCGGGAGACGATTGCACCAAAACTCATTCGAGAAGACGTTGAGACTCTGATGGAAATCCAAGCTAACGATTTCCCTGGCGTTGAATATGTCCCCGCTAATTTCGAGAAACTCACCCAAGCAATTCGGGATATTGCCGCCGAAAATCATTTTGTCGCTTCAGACATCTGGATCGCGAAAATTTTACAACTGTACCAGATCCAGAGCATTCATCATGGTGTGATGATGGTAGGAAGCTCAGGAGCTGGAAAGAGTGCGGCATGGAAGGTTCTCCTGCAAGCTCTGCAGCGCGTCGAAGGCATCGAAGGCATTTCTCACATCATCGACTCCAAGGTCATGTCCAAGGAAGTTCTGTACGGAAATCTTGATAACACCACACGTGAATGGACAGACGGTCTCTTCACTGGTATACTCAGAAAGGTTGTAGATAATCTTCGTGGTGAAGACTCCAAACGCCATTGGATCGTGTTCGATGGTGATGTTGATCCCGAATGGGTCGAGAATCTCAACAGTGTCTTAGACGACAACAAGCTCCTTACCCTACCCAATGGAGAACGACTCAATCTACCTCAAAATGTCAGGGTCATGTTCGAGGTCGAGAATCTCAAGTATGCCACTCTTGCTACTGTCAGTCGTTGTGGTATGGTATGGTTTAATGATGATACTGTTACCTCAACCATGATGATTACAAACTATGTTGAGTCCCTTAAGACGAAGACTTTTGAGGATTTGGATGATGATAGCGTACCAGCCGGGCAGTCGTCCGCAAAAACTCTGGCAACTCAAGGAGCAGTGGCAACTTTCCTTGGGGAACTCCTACTTAGAGACGATGTCATACTCAACGCCCTGCAAGAAGCCAGGAAATACACCCACATAATGCAGTACAGCGATATCCGGGCTCTCGGTACCTTGTTTAGCCTGTTAAACAAAGCTTGTCGAAACATCCTTGAGTACAACATCCAACATGTCGATTTTCCCTTGGACCCCGAACAGGCGGAATCCTATATGTCGAAGAAGCTCCTCCTTGCGCTTGTATGGTCACTAACTGGCGACTGCCCTCTTGGCGAGCGAAAGACTTTTGGAGAATATGTTGTTGCTTTCTCTACCTCAGATACCCCAATGTTGGGTGATTCGGCATCGCTTATAGATTATGATGTGTCCCTACCTAAGGCGGAATGGACCCCTTGGCAGTCTCAGGTTCCCTCAATCGAGATCAATACTCATTCAGTTACACAGACAGATGTTATAATTCCAACGCTGGATACAGTTCGCCACGAGGATGTTCTGTATTCTTGGCTTGCCGAACATAAACCACTGCTTCTCTGCGGCCCACCAGGTTCAGGAAAGACCATGACATTGTTCTCTGCTCTGAGAAAGCTACCGAACATGGAGGTTGTCGGGCTCAACTTTTCAAGTGCTACTACACCAGACTTGCTGGTCAAAACCTTCGAGCAGTACTGTGAATATAAGAAGACGTTGAATGGTGTGGTAATGTCTCCTAGCCAAATCGGTCGTTGGCTGGTTGTCTTCTGTGACGAAATCAATCTTCCTGCACGCGATCAATATGGAACTCAGCGTGCAATTTCGTTCTTAAGACAGCTTGTTGAGCAGAACGGCTTTTGGCGTACCTCGGATAAGACCTGGATCACTCTTGATAGAATCCAATTTGTGGGTGCTTGTAACCCTCCAACGGATGCAGGACGAACGCCATTAGGCGAACGATTCCTTCGACACGCGCCATTAGTTATGGTTGACTATCCTGGAGAGATTTCCTTATTACAGATCTATGGCACATTCAACTCTGCAGTGCTCAAGATTATCCCCATGCTCCGAGGATACTCTGAGGCTCTCACAAAGGCTATGGTGCAATTTTATCTGGAGTCTCAAGCTAGATTCACTACAAAGATTCAGCCGCATTATGTTTACTCCCCCAGAGAACTTACTCGATGGGTTCGTGGTGTGTACGAGGCTATAAAGCCACTCGAAACCTTGTCTATTGAAGGTCTTGTCCGAATTTGGGCTCACGAAGCACTCCGACTATTCCAGGATCGATTGGTGGACGAAAGTGAACAACAGTGGACTGCTGAGTCTGTCAAACGGATTGCTCTGGAACATTTCCCTAATATCGACGATAATGCTGCATTGAGCTCGCCAATTCTCTTCTCTAACTGGCTTTCAAAGAATTATGTTCCAGTGGAACAAGAGCAATTACGAGACTTTGTCAAGGCACGACTACGAACTTTCTGCGAAGAGGAGGTCGATGTTCCGCTCGTGCTTTTCAACGATGTTCTGGAGCACGCTCTCCGCATTGACAGAGTATTCCGCCAACCCCAAGGTCATCTTATATTGATTGGAGTAAGCGGTAGTGGCAAGACTACCTTGTCTAGGTTCGTTGCTTGGATGAACGGTCTTAAGGTCTTCCAAATTAAAGTGCATGGAAAATATTCGGGCGAGGACTTTGACGAAGACCTTAGAAGTGTCCTTCGCAGAGCCGGTTGCAAGGGCGAAAAGATTTGCTTCATCATGGACGAAGCGAACGTATTGGACTCCGGATTCTTGGAACGAATGAATACGCTGCTTGCCAATGCTGAGGTCCCTGGTTTGTTCGAGGGTGACGAATTTGCTTCCCTAATGACCGCATGTAAAGAGGGCGCACAGCGACAAGGACTCCTCCTGGATTCACAAGAAGAGCTTTATAAATGGTTCACTCAACAAATTGTCAACAACCTCCATGTCGTCTTTACGATGAACCCCCCTGAAGATGGCTTATCATCCAAGGCTGCTACAAGTCCTGCGCTCTTCAACCGATGTGTTCTCAACTGGATGGGAGACTGGTCTGACCAAGCTCTGTACCAAGTAGGCTATGAACTTACGCAATCAGTCGACCTTGACAAACCCAGCTTCGTTGCCCCGGATAGCATACCCGTCGCATACCGTGCTCTCTCCCTACCCGCCTCTCACCGTGATACTGTGGTCAACGCTATGGTCTACGTTCATTACTCCCTACACAGGTTCAACCAACGCCTACAAAAGCAGCAAGACAGGTCCACCTTCCTTACTCCACGTCACTACCTTGACTTCGTGGCACACTACGTTAAGCTATTTAATGAAAAGCGTGAAGACTTAGAAGAGCAGCAAAGACATCTTAACGTGGGTCTTGAGAAACTTCGAGACACTGTTGACAAAGTACGAGATTTAAGGGCTAGCTTGGCTCAGAAAAAGAACCAACTTGAAAAGAAGGATGCTGAAGCGAACGAAAAACTTCAGCGAATGGTTGCCGACCAACGTGAAGCTGAACAGCGCAAATCGGCATCTCTCGAGATCCAGACAGCATTGGAGAAACAGGAGAAGGAAGTTGCCAGCCGGAAAGAAATTGTGCTACACGACCTTGCAAATGCCGAACCCGCGGTTCTTGAGGCACAAAAGAGTGTCAGCAACATCAAGAAACAGCATCTTACTGAAGTTAGGTCAATGAGCAACCCTCCAGCAGGTGTCAGACTTGCGTTAGAATCAGTCTGCACCCTTCTTGGACACAAGGTTGAGACCTGGAAAACAATTCAGGGTATTGTTCGCAAGGATGATTTCATTGCCAGCATTGTCAACTATGATAATGAGAGACAAATGACCCGTCACCTCCGGACCAAGATGCTGAACGAGTTTCTTTCTAAGGACGAATTCACATACGAACGAGTTTACCATGCTAGCAAGGCTTGTGGACCATTGGTGCAGTGGGTGCAGGCGCAGGTTAATTACTCTGCGATCCTAGACCGTGTTGGACCTCTTAGGGAGGAAGTGGGCCAGCTGGAGGAGCAAGCATTGCAAACGAAGGCAGAAGCACAGGCCATTGAGAATACCATCAACGATCTGGAAGCTAGTATTGCGTCATACAAGGTGGAATACGCAGCCCTCATTAGCGAAACCCAGGCCATCAAGACCGAAATGTCTAGGGTTGAATTCAAGGTTGACAGAAGCGTCCGTCTCCTCGACAGTCTCTCCTCAGAAAGGTCCCGATGGGAAGAAGGAAGCAAAACATTCGAAACACAGATATCAACTCTTGTTGGTGATGTTCTTATTGCGGCTGCGTTCCTTGCCTATGGTGGTCTCTATGATCAACAATTCAGAAAAGCAATGGTTGACGACTGGATGCATCACTTGTCTCAGTCAAATATTGATCTAAAACCACATAACCCGGTGACAGAGTACCTTTCAAATGCAGACGAGAGGCTGTCGTGGCAAGGAAATTCTCTCCCCGTCGACGATCTGTGCACAGAAAATGCCATAATTCTCAAACGCTTCAACAGATACCCCCTTATCATTGATCCTTCTGGTCGTGTCACGGAATTCTTAGAGAAAGAGAATAGAGACCGGAAACTCACTGTTACTAGTTTCCTAGACGACTCGTTTGTCAAACAGCTTGAAAGTGCTCTCCGCTTCGGAAACCCTATACTTATTCAAGACGCCGAACATTTGGATCCGATTCTCAACCATGTTCTCAACAAAGAATACCAGAAAACCGGTGGTCGTGTGCTCATCCAACTCGGCAAACAGGAAATTGATTTCTCGCCAGCCTTCAAGCTCTTCCTTTCTACTCGAGATCCCTCGGCTTCATTCCCACCAGATATTTGCAGTCGAACAACTTTTGTCAACTTTACTGTCACACAAAGCAGTTTGCAAACGCAGTCTCTTAATGAGGTGCTGAAGTCTGAACGTCCAGATGTTGATGAGCGCCGAACAAACCTTATAAAGGTGCAAGGTGAATTCAAGATCCATCTTCGTCAATTAGAGAAGAAGCTGCTCCAGGCATTGAACGAATCCCGCGGAAATATCCTTGATGATGACAATGTCATTGAAACTCTGGAGACTCTAAAGAAGGAAGCATGGGAAATTTCCAACAAGATGGTCGAGACTGAAGGTGTGATGACAGAAGTCGACAATATCACGCTGCAATACGACATCATCGCAAGATCCTGCAGCGCTGTCTTCGCTGTCCTCGAGCAGCTTCACCACCTTAATCACTTCTATCAATTCTCTCTTCAATATTTCGTGGATATTTTCAACGATGTCCTCCACAACAACAAGAGACTTGCCCAGGAGCGTGACTATGCCGCACGAGTTAACATTATCTTGCGAGACCTCTTTATTGCAGCTTTCCAACGTACTTCGCTCGGATTACTCCAGAAGGACCGTGTCACGTTGGCTGTTCTCCTCGCCCAGGCTTCGCCATACCCTATGGATAAGGGCTTAATAGACATGATACTAGATACTACCGTCGAAGGCTTTGATATATCTACCGATAACAGTCTCAGAGAAACAGCAATGGCAAAGGTCGCCCAGATGTCAGTTTTCAAGTCGACTTTACCAAACATCTCGGCAGAACAATGGGATTCATTCCTTTCCGAAGAATTTGCTGAGAACTTTATCCCTCATGTTTGGGAAGAAGGCACAAGCGCTTTTGATCAACAGCTACGCTCGTTACTCCTTGTCAAACTTCTTCGACTTGACCGCTTCGTTCCTGCAGCTGAACGCTTCGTCGTTACAGTATTCGGCAAAGATTTGCTCGACCACGGCGGTGACCTAAAAGAGGTTGTTGATCAAGTAACGTCAACCACACCAATCGCCCTTAGTTCTAGTCCAGGGTTTGATGCAAGTTACAAGGTGGACGGCCTTGTCGAGAGAACGCACAGGAGCTGCGCCAATATTGCGATGGGTTCAAACGAAGGTCTCGAGAGCGCAGACAAGGCGATTAGCAATGCAGCAGCAACTGGAAACTGGGTACTTGTCAAGAATGTCCATCTTGCCCCATCTTGGCTTCAAAGCCTTGAAAAGCGTCTCGAATCACTCAAGCCCCATAATGACTTCAGACTGTTTTTGTCCATGGAGTCAAGTCCCAAGATACCGGTGAACCTAATTAGAGCATCAAGAGTTTTGATGTATGAACAACCAGCTGGTGTTCGCGCGAACGTGAAGGATTCCCTGTCGTCTCTGAGCCTAAGGGCAACGAGCCCACCTGTCGAAAAGGCTCGTCTCTACCTTCTGCTGTCGTTCCTGCATGCAGTTATTCAAGAAAGGCTTCGGTATGCGCCCAGCCTTGGATGGAAGGGCTTCTGGGAGTTCAATGATAGTGACGTGAGTTCCAACCCCTTTCCATAACTATAACCATTTAAAGGAACATGTCTGACTTTGACTTAGTACGAATGTTCTGCATTCATCATCGATACCTGGGTTGCCTCCATCGCCCAAGGCCGCTCGAACGTCGCCCCACAGAAGATCCCCTGGGACCTAATCCGCACGTTGATCACAGAAACTTACGGCGGCAAGATCGATGATGCCGGGGATTTCGCACTCCTTGCCAAACTCGTCGACACTTTCCTCACCCCTGCTGCCTTCGAAGACGATCACAGGCTGATCCCAGATGTAGAAAACGACGAAGCTCTTATTCTACCAACCTCTACCGGCATCCAGGACTTCCTTGCATGGGTGAACCGACTGCCAGAGCGAGAGCCGCCTACATATCTAGGTCTGCCTGCGAACGCCGAAAAGCTGCTGCTAGTCGGTCACGGCAAATGCATGATCTCAAACCTATCAAAGGTCACCACGCTCCTTGATGAGGGTGAGCAACTGATGGTTGAAACGGCAACCATTTAGACGTACATATCTGCCCCGATCCTTTTTCATTTTTTTTTTCTTACATCCGATGCCATACCCCACATCTTCTATATCCACTATGGGAGTTTTACGGGTCTGGATCTCTGCGTTTATTCCCCAATTTCCCGTGTTCTAGGCGTTGTGGTCTTTGTCTATTCTTTGCCTTTGTGATTCCCTCGTCGGCTGGCTCTCGGCTTACTGTTGCGTTACCTTTCTATCAGCGGTCTGGTCTGGCGGGGGTATTTGTGATGGGAATTATTCGGTCCCGTCAGCCTTTTCCTTGACGTACTAATTGCTCGATACATATCATGTTTTTAATTGCTTCCCTTTCAACACATGTATTACAAGAACATTCCCTACACTTTAGATAATACACATCGTTATAATTATTATTGAATTACCTTCCTGTTAACCGGTAGACCGAGGCCGCCCAAATGGCAGCTAGTCCTATCCACTTATCTTCCATACTTGATAACATCCACATTCACATTCACATTCTAGATCTTGACGGAACCAGCGAAACGAAGCCTGACACGCCGTGTTTGACATCCGCATCCCAAACGACCAGCCTCGAGTGATTGCGCAACCAAGCTTCGACTACGCCGGGCACTTTGAGTTGAAACCAGCGCACTAGCATCAAGCTATGGACTCTGGCTAACCTTCTTCCCGGAGCTTTTGAGGGGCGTAAACGCACCGTATGTCGACTTGTGGCCCCGATTACGCGATGGTGTAGGGGCGATGGTAGAGAAGCCTTAGGACAGCCGATCAGAGCTGCCTCATCCTACGCTGGGGCGGAAGCGTTGCTAATCGCATATCCCTGGACAAAACGCCTTGCCCACTGCAGATTGATAACATATCATATCGACCAGCATCCCGGCCTGCGACCAGCGTTGATCCCCCGCCGTGGGCGAGCCTTTCGTCATCATCTCAAGAACAAGCACATCACAAGCGAGTTTCAAACACGAACAGCTCCTGATCGACTGTTCAGGCCCAAGAGAGGAGAAAGCCAAGATCGTGTTTCAGGCTCTGTGACATGGACGGGCATTTTCTCTTCCCTGTCCTTTTCCTGCTTTCGTTTCTTTTTCTGTGTTCAGGGATGGAGTTACGGAGTACGCCAACAGCTCTCCAACCGTCATCGTTTGACAACTCGCCCGCCCGGCCTCCTCACTCGCCTATCTATCCCGCTAAAGATGGAGAAGGGCGTTATCATAATATGGCTTCGACCTGCGGGATCCCGGCTAAGTGAGCTAACTTGCTAGTCTGGTGGAGGGGTCAAGGGCGAGCAGAGGCTGAAAGACGTATATACCAACCGTCAGTTGCACTCTACCTCATCAGTCGCTTTCTTTTCTTTTTTCTTTCTCTCTTCTCTCTCTCTTCAATCGCTTTTCTTCACTGACCATTTGGTAGATGAAAAATGTGGAAGCCGTCTGCTTTCTGATTTCTTTCTTCTATTCCTTGAGGGAATCTTGCCTTGTACCATTTATATACATATCTTTAATGAATAAACGCTTTTCAACCTGGTTTCATCCGATCTTGTCTGGATGAAAATATCAGCCGGCTATCCCACCTTACACGACCATTTTTCGCCCGTCTAAACATAGCTGCAGCCGGTAGAGAACCGCTCGTCTCGTCCTGAGCACGTCAAAATGAAGCGCCATCCAAGGGCCCGAGAGCTTCGTTGGCCGTCTGTCGCCTCGAGGGATAACCTCTCTTCCATGTTTTCTCGTGTCCCGCTACTGCATGGCGTTTCTGCGGTTGAAGAATCGCTGCAGGCTTTGACAATGGGCGATCATGTCCCGGGGCTGCTTATTCCAATTGGTATGAATAAACATCCCTCGTTTAATTTTTTTTTCCTATTCTAATCCTCCGAACTGTGAGAGCTAACGTGAATATAGCTTTCCTTTCCTCGCTAAGGGCTAATCTGCAAATATCCACCTTCCCTGAGGATGCACTCTATAATCCATACTCGCCCTATGGTTTGTCCATGGCAAACACTCCCGATATCCCATGCACCCCTCTCCATACATCGACCTACGGACGGGAAACATTTCATCTACCCTCGCCGGCGCTTCCACAACCAAGCTTCCAGCCCGCAGAAGCTTTAGATCTCGATTTTTGCCCCCATGGCGCAGCTAAGCCCGCTGGTGCTCGCCTCTCCGTATTCCCCACGCAATCCGATGAAGAAATCGCAACTGCTCTCGGCCTGGTGTCAGACAGTATCGCACAGCAACGACACATGGCTGTCAGAGCTATCATCTCCCACCCTGCAGTGCTTGCAGCTGGCATCCTCTTTTTCCTTTCAAGCAGCAAGACAATTTACTCGGGTTCACCAGTCGACTTTATCCTCATTCTCAGCGTCTGGACGCTGAGTATCTCGATTTCCGTTCTAGTGGTCCGTTTCATGGTCAGGGGCTATCAGGATTCGATCCAGCAATCGAGGGATATAAGCTGGCTTTCGGAAAACTCCGTTCATGGCCTATCACATAGACGTGACGAAGTATTTGTCGCCCGAGACCCTACCGTGAACAACGGTGAAGGCGGTGGAGACATTGTTGGTGTCCTGGTTATGAGAATATGCAAAACAGTTACCGATGCTAGTACGCCGGGCGTACGACCACGATCAGCCAGACGCAAGAGCTCAGCCAGGTGGACGGGCATAATCCGTGCATGGACGGTCAAGCAATCCGCCAGGTCGAGTGGAGTGGGCACCAGACTGTTGGAGGAGGCTATCGCTAATTGTCGACTGCGGACCCTGGATGGTCCAATATTCGCCGACGACCACGCACATTCGAAGCGATTTTTACCAGGGATGTTTAATGTTGGTTTTGACAAGCAAGATATATGGGCCCGGAGCTTCTTGGAACACACCGTTATGAAGGAAATAAATAAATAACTTGACGTATATATATTCATATTTTACTAATTACTTGTTGGGTGAAATGGTGTTCTCTCTGTTTTCACATTTGGTTATTTGTCCGTTGGCATTCTGGTTTCTGCTGATTTCTGTATGTTGGATTTTGTTATGTACCCTCGCTATATACCCTTGCTATAGTTAGACCCTCATTGGTTATTATATGTACAATGCCTGCTATTATGAACTGACTGATTTTACCGTGCCAGCCCCCAAACTCCGTAGCGTACATATGTATGTGACTTGATGTCTATGCTGAACGCGCGTACATATATGCATGCAAGAGTACAAATGCGTCTATCGTGACTCCCTTGTGTTATATCACTGATTCCTTTCTTTATGTGTGTAATTTAGATCGAAAATAGCGTCCTACGATTCTTTTCCCTTATCCTTCTTACCTTGTTGGCTTAGTGGCCCTCTGTTTGTTCCTCCTCACCTTTTCCCCCCTGGCTCTTTTTTTTCGTCTCCGTGATATATACATCTATCTCTGCACGCTGTACGCTGTACTTGACCACCACATACTCGATAACAGGACTAGACAGGGCAAATGCTGAAACAGATCCTTCTCGATCTTTCTTGATCTATATTAAACCGTACTCATCCCATCCGCTCCCATCCACCCAATCAATCAACTATTACATGCTTAAAGGGAGGCCAAAACCGACAACATGACAAAAGATATAGTAGAATTTGGCCATGGCACTAATTCTCAAGTCCAATCTACTCCATCTGAGCCCAATCCAATTCCTAATCCCAACAGTGAAGGAAACAAGTAAAAAAAAACACAAAGGCTGTAAGAAATGGCTCTAATCTCTCTCCCTTATCTCGGATCACGATCATGGAAGCAGTGGTGTATTTATAGGTACAGTTGTTCATCATGATTTTCATACGGAAATGAAAAAACGAATCAGGCAAGGAAAGCAGGCTGGGGTAGAGAAAGGCAGGAGAATTGAAAGGAAACAAAGATGAAAAATTTGGCAAAGTTAACCGTGGAGTAGAAAGTGAACCAGATCCTTGAAAAAGAAAGCAAAGGCCCCTTTAATGTATAGTAGTAGAACGTCCCGATGATCAAAAGAGATACGACATGGATGTATATCAAAAAAAAAAAAAAAAAAAAAAAAAACGCAAAGATGGGGAGGGCACGGATGGGGAAAGGAAACGCCCAATATGAATGATTGGAAAGACGGGGTTTTCAGGTATAGAAAGAAAAAAAAAAATAAGACGTCCGCGCTCCGCATGCTAAGAGAAGATCCAAAGAACAAGCCAATCCTATCACTTCATGAACCGCTGCTCATTGAGCAAGCCGAGAATCACCTCCTGAGTCCGTTGCACTGAATCAATCTTCTCTTCAAGCTGCATGCGGTCTTTCTCTAGCTGCTCGCGGAACTCAGCCCTCAGCTCGGCGCGGAGTTGATCGAATGTCGAAACAGAGACGGACTTCGCGACTGCTGATGCCGTGATATATGCATCTGACAGGTGCCCGTTGACAGTGGGGCCTCCGCTAACGCCGCTGACGGGTACACCGGGGTTAGCTGCGTTGGAGCCGCGAGGGCCAGGGCCCGGGTGAGGATGGTGTTGCTGGAGGGTGTCTGTTAGGGAGACGGAGACCGGGATAGAGGGAGAATTGAACGGGCGACGGGAAGAGGAGTTTTCGGCAGCAGACATGAGCATGGCGGTGGAAGGGGAGAGGTTTGGGTTTCGTGATATGGCTGTTTTGGGGGTATTGTTTAGGCGTGAGAGGGCTTTGAGGGTGGCTGCGGAGACGTTGTTGGGGTCTGTTTGGGGCGAGGAGGAGGATGGGTTGGTGGTTGCGGGCGCGAGGAGGTCGGGAGTTCCAGTGTTGACGGGATGGCTGTGAGCATGTTCTGCACCGTTGTTGGTAGCTGTATTGTTGAACATGGTGCCGAAGCCCATGGGCAGCTGTATTTCGGCTTGCTGTTGCTGGGGGGTATGTTGCTGTGACGGCTGAGCTTGTTGCTGCTGCTGTGCCGTAGCGGGCTGAGGAGCGGGAGTTTGGTGATTTGGAGCATCGAGGTTTGGAGCGTCGACAGCTATTGATTTCCTCTTTCGTCCTCTCTTCCCTTGCTTCGCGCTTATCCGCTCTGTTTCCTGCTGTTGAAACCGCCTCCAGACCGGAACCCAGGCATCTACGGCCGCACTCCAGGCGGCGTCTGCCTGGTCATCTCCGCGTTTCCCACCCATCCCGTTTAGAAACTTGATACGTTGCTGCGTGACGAATTCGACTTTTCGACGGACGCTGTGCCATGAGTACGGATGGCCTTCTATCCGGTTGAATTCCAGTGTGATGGCCATCCACCATTCGCAGAGCTTGTTACGCTCACCAAAGGAGTCGGAATGGCGATTGCATATTTCGAATAACGCGGTTTCTTCACGAGTGGTAAGGCGTTTGCCGTGTTTTCGAGGCGCGGCGCCTTCAACGACCGAGACTTCGGCATCATTGTCCTCTTGCGGGACAGCTGCGGGCACAGGGACTGCTACGGGGCGCTCCCAAGCCGGCTGGGAGGTTGAAGGTTGCTGTGGCTGCGGTTGAGGTTGTTGCGCTGGCTGTTGGGGTGTAGGCTGAGGTTGAGGAGCGGCCGTTTGGGTGTGTTGTTGTGCCTGTGCCTGTGCCTGTGCCTGTTGTTGTGCCTGTTGCTGTGCCTGTGCCTGTGCCTGCTGCTGTTGCTGCTGCTGCTGGTGTTTTCGTTTTTGGTTTTGATGCTGCGCCTGCGCATGTGCATGTTGCTGGAGGGTGTGTTGTGCCTGCTGCTGCTGGTCTTGATGTTGTTGCTGGGGAGTGGGTTGACCCTGTGGCGGTTGGTGGTGTTGCTGCTGCTGAACCTGTTGAGCCTGTTGAACCTGCTGCTGCTGATGTCTCTGGCGTTGATGTTGGTTCTGGAGGTGCTGATGTTGGAGGTGTTGCTGCGGTAGCGAAGGATGTTGAGGGTGCTGCTGAGCCTGCGGTTGCTGATGCTGCTGCTGCGAGAGTGAATGGGTTAACTGATGTGAATGCTGGCGAGGGATGGCCTGTTGTTGATGGTGATGTTGCTGTTGGGCCTGCGGGAGATGATGCTGTTGTTGTTGTTGCTGCTGTTGCTGCTGCTGCTGCCGCCGTCTAGCAGCAGCCTGATGCTGTTGTCCATGACCATCATGCGGCCCCCGAACACTCGATATATGAACCTCCTGCCCGTGCAGCACTACCTTGCCCTCCGCGTCCTGGTCCGTAAACGGGTTCTCTCGTAAACTCGGGCTCTCCGACGTGGCCACCTCGTTCCCCCCCGCGTGCTGCTGATGGCCCTGGTGATGCTGCTGCTGATGGTGCTGTTGCTGCTGCGGCGTAGGCACCGGCTCATGGTGCGGTGTAGGTATGGGATAGTTAACAGTGGCAGGCTGGCGGAGGGTCGAGATAGGCGGCAGCGGCAGCGCGCTGGTCAGCGGCCTCCCTGGCGCCGCGTTCAGCCATTGACTGTGACCCTGCTGCTGCTGCTGCTGCTGCTGCTGCTGTTGCTGCTGGTGATGCTGTTGTTGTTGACGGGACGAGAGAGTCGGACCTGGCGGGGCGGTAGGGTCGACAGCCCAATTGAACATGTATATGGGCGTGTACGAGACGAGCGAGAGCGACGAGGAGCCAGCGGCAGACGGACTGGAGGAAGACGAGGATTAGAGGAGGACGCACGGCGTCTTGTCTGTCGCTGTCGCTGTTCGCCGTCCGATGTTTTTTTTTCCTTCGATGCTGAGACTTCGCGATGGTCTGGCGGCAAAAGGTCAACTAAGCTTATGGAGTCTTTCCCTTATTTTTTTTTTTTTTCAGAACTTGGATGATTTTGGGTTTTGGCTCAGACAACGATCGAAAAATAAGGTAAAAGGGAAAAAATAAGGATGTTCAGCATGAATAATAGCAATAATAATGAAAAAATAAAGGCCCTCGCTCGCCCTTAGCGGTGTTCCTTTTCTTTTTTTTTCCCTCTTTGCTTTTTTGCGCGACGGTGGGTTCTTTGCTTCTGCGAGCCCCCTGCTGGGCCTGGAGAGTCGAGGTCGAGCAAGCAGTGCGGTCGCCGTCTGGTCGTGCTGGTCGTGCGTGTTTCTTGTTATCGTTCGTTCGTGTCGTGTTCGGGCGCGATGTTGTTGGAAGGAGAAGTTCCATGGCGTAATCTTTGGCTCAGCCCGGGCGATAGTAAGCGGCAGGGCGGGTCGGTAATAGTACATGCTTCGCTGCAGATTTACTGTGGCAGCCATGTACCAGTACTTGATATAGATATAGCAGAACAGCAGAACAGTAGAGAGTAGAAGAAGTAAAAGTACAATGCTATGATACTATGATACAGTGTCTAGATCTAACGCCGGCGCAGATACCACGCAAAGGCAGCACTGCCGACAATCTCGCCATAGGGAGTCGGCACCTCTGCCATCCCTGGACGCGCTACGGGATGGCGCAGGTAGACGGCCGCGCAGATGTTGTGGTTGACCTCGAGGTACCGCGGCACGAAGGCGAAGGGGCTCATGTAGTCGCGAGGCCGCCAGGGCGTGGCATACGGCTTCGTGCTGTCGATGGGGTTGTCGTGCAGCTCCTCGAGGGCGCGCTTGAGGGCCCGCAGGTCTGCCGCAGAGGAGTCGTCGAGGTCGGTCTGGGCGAGGGAGTCGGTGAAGTCGGCGAAAGCATTATTATTTTTAAAGGGAGTGGCGGCCATGGGTGGCTGTTCTTGGATGGTGTGGGATTCGGTGCTTGGGATCGATGGTGCGGCGGCCTCTGACTTGCTCGCCTCGCTGGCTGCGGCCTTTTGGGCTGCTTCTGCTGCTGCCTTCTCGGCGGCCTTGTTCTGCTCCTCCATCATGTTCTTCAGTGCAAGGAACTGGGCCTCGAGGTTGTCGGTCATGGTCGTGGTGGTGCTGGACCGTGAGAGCACTTGTTTGACAGAGCGCTGGAAAGCACGAAACTCCTGTCTCCGCTTAGCAGGGAGCACCTTCTTGCCCGTCGCCATGAGCTCCTTGGCCGCGGAGAGCATATCCTTCAGTGACCTTCGTGGGTCCTCTGGCTCTTCTGTCTTCTTGCCGTCTTCCTTCTTCTCCGCGCTCTTTGCACTCTTTGCACCCTCGCCTTCCTCTCCTTCCTCTCCTTCCTTCTTAGGACCCAGACGTCGTCGTATACGGCCTGATCGACGCAGGGAGCCATCTTTGGGTGCCCCCGTAGCGTACATTACTCGTTCAGGCTCGACCTGGAACATGTCTCCCGGATTCAACAAGTATCCCGCATGTTGCATCTAAATCTTGTCAGCTTTTTTATTGTTTTTTTTTCCCTTTCTCTTCGAGCTTTAAGAGAGGTCTACCTTCTTTCCGTTCACTTTAACTGCCCCGTGGATGACAAACTGCCTCGCTTGCCTGGTACTGCTAGCAAACAGTGCCCGGAAGATAGCCACATCCAACCTCCTCTCCAACGGTGCATAGGTCATCTGCGTGTATGGCGTAGCCTTGATTTCGAATGCTGCACGCTTCGGGCCCGTGACCGGAGGCCGCTGGAGCCCCGAACCACGGCCGGCAGACTCACTAGAGCCGTCGTTGCGAGCGAGATAGCGGGCGTTCAGGGACACAACGGCACGGGGACGGCGAGAGAACATGCGCTCCCATTGACTCTCCCGGACCTGTTCGCCGTGGTATGCGCGGGTAATGGATTTGGCTTTCCATTTCTGCTGGAAGGCGGTTCGTGCTGCCGTGAACGGGTTTGTGATTCGGGTCAGGTTGAACAGGTTGTATTTGCTCCAGGACTGGCGGAATTTCTATATCCAATATCAGCATTAGACCAAGCCATTGACAGCAGGGGAAAGGGGGAGAGTAAAGACGGACCGGCCTGCGAAGGTAGTTGGTCGCCTTGTTCCTCATCGCGATGGCTCTGCTTCTTCTTCTACTACTACTACTTTCTCTGTCTGCGTTGTCTTCTCCTTTCCTCTTCTTCTTCGTCACTCTCTTCCATCTTTCCATCTTGAACTTTCCCAAATCTACTTTTTCAGTCACGTGGAGTAATATCACGTGAATTATTATCACGTGGAGTCTTCTGGGATAACTATACTCCGTCTTACTCAGCAAGTATATCGGCCCGGATCAACTTTATCTCTCAGCCAATGAAACCGTCAAGATGAAACCTCGCTTATCCTTAGTCATCCATCACGTGCTGCCTGGCCCTATAAAAACTTCTTCCCCTCGCTCCTTTTCTTAATCTTTTTTTCTTCTTCTTTTCTTTCTTCATACTTACCTTGTTTGGGCTGGCGCGATCAAAAAGGCGCTTCGCCGTGGAAAGGCTCCTACATTGCACAGCGTGGAGAGCCTTGCCACTCAACATCCTTCGGGGTTTTGACAGGCATATTCTTTGGCACCTCTCTGGACTCTGAGTCCTACCTCTTTTCATTGTCTCTGCGCTTCATGCGCTGTTGCAAAGAAGAGATCTTGTCCTGCTTGTCTGGTCTATGTAAAATGCACGGGTTGATGGATGGAAATTTGCGCTGCCCATGAATATATCATCACCATGTTAATGTATCGCCTTCAACCTCTATCCTTTGTGCGGCACTACTCTGCTGTTACAGCCTCTAGAGTGCCGCTGGCCTACAGCCTACACAAGCCTCGAGGCCACCACCATGCCAAATGTCCTCCCATCGTCTTCATGCATGGCCTCTTCGGCTGTAGGAAGAACAACAGGAGCATGAGCAAGTTGGTCTCCGTCAACACTTCTACACACACACCCATATCACTGCTAATGTTCTGTAGAGTGCTGGCTTCTGACCTGGGGGCATCAGTATACGCTGTGGTATGCCTACCAACGATAACGTCGAAAGTTCTCCAAACCTCGCTGACCATGTGTAGGACCTTCGCAACCACGGAGACTCTCCCCATCATCCCAAGCACGACTATACCGAGCTCGCCCTGGACGTAGAAAAGTTCATCCATGACCACGGCCTACGCAATGTCATCCTCATCGGCCACTCTATGTACACTACTATTACCTCTATCCCTCCCATCCCCAGACAGGTAGGTAACTGACGCATGTATAGGGGCGCCAAAACAGCCTTAACCCTCGCCCTACGCTCTCCGTCCTTGATATCCAGCGTCATCGCAATAGACAACGGGCCCATCCGTCTGCCCTTGACCGACGATTTCCCACGCTACATTAAGGGCATGAGACACGTCCAGTCCCAGCCCGCACCCGTCACATCCCTAGCCCAGGCAGACTCGCTCCTCTCACAATACGAGTCAGATCCATCCATCCGTCTGTTCCTACTCACCAACCTAGCCAAGGTACCTGGGCACAACCATCTACATTTCCGTGTACCGCTGGATACACTGTCTTCCTCCTTGGATGCACTAGGCGACTTTCCGTATACTAACCCGCAGGAAACGCGGTTTGAGAAACCTGTGCTGATAATTAGAGCTACAAAGAGCCATTATCTACCTGACGAGTCAAAGCCGTTGATGCATGACTTCTTTCCGAGCCTGACGATGGTGGATTTTGACTGTGGGCATTGGGTCATTACCGAGAAGCCGCATGAGTTTAGACACGGTAGGTTATTTTTTCTATTACTATCAACGATAAATGCTAACAATACTACACAGTCGCCGTCGAGTTTCTACGCCGTGCCATATCGTCGAGTTAAGGGGTACTATATACTTATGCAGGTTTAGCTGATGGGTGGTATCCGTGTATTATGTAGAGTTGTATATCAGCAATCATAGATGCCGCACCTAGATTTCTTTCAGTGGGCATCAAAGGCCATAATCTATTAACCTTCTCGCCCTCATCCCTTATGTTTCCCCAATTTCCCTCGTTGTCTATCTATTCTGCATACACTTCCTTATAAGCCTCCTCATTAGACACCAACCAGCAGATCCAGGATTCAACGATGGTAAAGTTTTCCCCTGAGCCCCGCGGCCCCAACAGAGTGAGCTACAATAGTTTCCACTAGCACTTTAAGATATCTTCAGATGCCACAATATAAAGCATAGTGTCACGTGAATAAGTGGATCATGGCGGCTAGAGAGTTTGCTAGTCGGCGCCAACCTTATCCCCTCAACTCCACAGCTTATTTCAATCCCCTGATCTCCATCAAATAATGAGTGCTTCGTTTCTATCAGGGCCGGATGGATGGGGTAAACATAAATTCGAGGCTTACGCCAAGATTTTACGGCTAAAGAATGGCGGGCAGATTGAAGAAGCCGTGGATTTCACCGAGTTAGCCGATGAGCAGGCAGAGATTCCGGACCTAGAGAGCACCAGCTCTGTTAATGTGGACATACTGTCACGGTTCAACGAGGACAAACTAAATAGAGCTTTTCTTGACAGGCTGTCCGAACTTATTGCCCACCAGAAAGGAGGCTACTATGTCTCATCATCTTTAATGATCGAGTGGCCAGATAGGGTCGATATTCTTGTGGCGAGGAATAACGGGTTCAAGGAAAAGGACCCGAGAGTTCAAATACTTGAGACCATAGCGTCAAGCCTGCGGGACATTTCCCAGCTTAATAGCCAAGGTATGTCCTACCTATCTCTTTTCTTTTACGGAATAAAGAAGTAACAATAGACCCTTGAGAATTTCCGGGTTCTAGTAAATGATATACCGCGCTTATCGACGCAAGATGGCCTTGAGGAAGCAGTCCAAAGCGCCTATGATATTTGCTGCCTTTACAATAAGCAACAATTTGAGAGTATTGCCAACCATGTTTCCAAAGCGAGGTCACTGAGAGACGCTCTTGGCTTTTTAGGCAGGCTAAAGACGTGTTTTAAAACTTTGATCCGAGGTGCAGAAAGGCTTTCAAACTTCCGGGATCTCCGGATTATTCCAGTGGCACCTCCACCCACAAATGGAGCAATGTCAAAAAAGGGAAACCCAGACGGTAACTGGTCGGTAGCGAATACTTTCTCATCGCTAGGCCTCAGCCTAGACGACCAAACCGTGAAATCTGTCTTTGCAGCTGGGAACAAAAGGGGATCCTGGACAAAGCGCAAATTACTCTCAAAATTTGGCGAGCTGAAATCGCCAGTTGCTGAAGTACACGCGGAGGTACAAGTTGTCCTGGCTGCAACCCAGCATGACTGTACGGGAGCATCCATATTCAAATATGTAGGATGTAGCAGGAGAAGCTGTCTTCTATGCTCCAGGTTCATCCATAGGTACGGGCAATTCATGACAAGGGGGTGTCATGGTAAGGTCTACGATCTCTGGACCTTACCCGAGTTTCCATGGCTTGACAAGGGAGAACGCTTGCGCCTTGTTCGGGTTCTTGGAGGTGTCGAGAAGGATATGAAGAATTCTATCCTGAATAAAGAGGCCAAAAAAATCCCCCATGCCCAAGAATCTACCGTTGGAGGCTCGTCGCTTGCATCCATAAGACAGAGTTTTGACAATCCTTATATGATGTCGCTCGTATCGCAACATCTTCAGGCCCAACGCGGAGATATGTTTCGTGGTATTAAAAAGGAAGACAATTATGGAGATCTGAGGTGAGCTATATTACTGCCAATTTATGTTAGCTCTACTGACGGGGGAGTGCCCATGTCTTCAGCAAGGATAGCCACGATACTTCCAGTGGGCAATTTCTCCCAGAGCAAGGGCAGGGTCAATCTCCAGAATTGATGCCGCCATCCATAATGTCGATGTCTATAATAACACGAGACGAATGCCAAATCTGCGGACTAGAAACCCGTCGCCATTGTGGACACTGTAACCAGGGTTGGTTTTGCAGCCAAAGGTGTCAGGATCAAATGTCCCTAAATCATCTTGCAAAGTGTTCTGCTCGCCCGATAACAACGGCAGACATACTCTTTGACGACATTATAAAAGATCAGTTCCCAAAGGATGAAGAAACCCGTGAAGCTTTTGGATTTAGCCGATGTTCCCACTGGAGAGAGGAATCTCACCTCTTAGGCCTTTACGGGGGCTTTCTCTTTCTCCAAGACCCAGAAATTAGCCCAGTCAAAGTGAACGAATGGCAACAACAAGGCTTGCTTGCCCAAAAAATCATCGAGAAATTTTCTGCAATCCCCGAAAAAAGACGAGGGGGTTACTTCCCATGGTTTCTTCGAAATCAACAGGTTCTCGACAACTCAGCGCCAACACTTCAGGTTGGCATCCAAACCAATGCAATTGAACGGGCTATTGGTGCCGCAAGACCTTACCTTAGGCCAGATGATCGTGGCAAAAACTTCCAGGAGCTCGAACCCCTGGCAAAAAAATATTGCTTTATATTCTATGCTCTCGCTCTAGATTGCTCAACCCCTAACCCACACTGGGTGGAGTTTGATTTATGGTACGACTTTGGCTTTGTCCTGTGCAACGATGAGTATCACGAGGGAGCCCTGGGGGTTCTCTATAGCGAGCTTTTCGGTGGTAATAAATATGCTGATGACTACGATAAAAGCCCTGGGTTCGTATCTCATCCCAATGCCAGGCCACCCGCTTCACCTACCTGCTCCTTCGATGAGTTCTGGCAGGCATGGGAAAACAGCACTTTAGCGCAGCTATTCGACAGATACAGCTGTGCTGGGAGTTCTGAATTGAGAGAATTTTTGTCATACCCAGTGGAGAAACACGGGTTACGCCCTTCAGTATGGAGGCTGAAACACTTCCTAGCTCTGGAGGACAATACACCATTAAAGGCCTTTCCAAAAATTGAGGTAGCTGCCCAAGAGTATGGCTTCACGCAGCAACTAGATATAAGGACAATGATGGATTTACGCCTTTTCTATAGACAGTTGCTTACGGTAGGCGATCCGCTTGAAGTCCATAGGGCAAAGGAATGTGGTAAACTGCTAAAGTACGCGGAAAATTTATGCAGAAATATCGACCGTAGAGTGCGAGATGTGTTATGGAAAATAAGTTCAACATAGGGGGTGATGGCTACCGGGGCACCTATCGACTACAGTGCGGAACTTTTGCGATTACATGTGCGAGTTTAGGAGATTGAAGAGAACGTATTGCACTTGGGTTACTGAATTCTTGCTCTCATCATTGACCTGCGTTTGTCAATGTCCTCGCTGTTTTATTCCGACAAAGGGATAAAAGGTAAAGGATGACTGCTTTCAAACTCCGAGTCGACAAGTATATTCAGTCATGTGGGCTGGCGATACCCCTAGAAACAGTAGGTAACTGTTAACCAGACTGGATATAACTGCTAAGGTACTAGCCGTAGGCCGAGTGACGTAGACAAATAGAGTATAGCGGGTACGCTCAATTAAATTTATGTTATTATCATTATAATAGCCCTATAAACCATATCAAGAAGAGTCCAGTAGTGTCGACCGTACCCCAAAGCATGATCCGTATGCGGAACTCACGGCTTTAGAAAAAAAAAACGTATATAAATAGATCACCGTCATCAAAAAGTAGACGTAAGCGGTAAGAATTTCCCTGAATAATCGTCCCACGTTAAAGGCCCTCCCCGATCAGAATCATTGCCGCGATTTTCTCCAGAACTTCCACCATCCACCCCCAAGGTTAAATTTCCCATCCCGCTGATTTATTCGCCAGAAATACACTGGAACTCCAATAACCCAAAAGCCAACCACAGTAAGGGCCTGTAATGGTTCAGCAAATACCGCTCGGCTGAGGAGGAATAAGCTGACGCAGCAGAAAATGATCGGAGTCACTATCCACGTCTTGTAAGGTCGTTCTAATCGTGGTTCACGGATTCGTAGCACGATAAGGCCCAAGACAGTCAAGAAATATAAAGAATACCCAGCCACCCCGTAGAAAGTGACTAGGGTTTTGAATTCGCCCACCAGGATGTAGCATATGCAAAACGCCATGTTCAAAGCCATGGCATATATGGGGGTATATCCGATCCCGATATCGTCACCAAACACTCGAATGATAGCCTTTTTGATAAAGGAACGTCGTTGAAGGCGACCTCCCATGGGATTTGCTGATTCATTGATCCCCAGCCTGCAAAATATCGCTGGCAGGTAGCCTTCTTTGCCAGCGGCATAGACTAGTCTACCGCTCGTAAAAACGGAGGCGTTTATAGCGCCGATGCAGCTTCCGGACACGACAAGTGCAAGAACAGCAGCTCCAATAGGGCCGAACACTTTGGCCCCAAAATGCACCGCGACTGTATTTGTGCCGGATATGGTAGAAGCCGGCAGGACTAAAACGTAGGAGATATTTGCCAGAATGTAGCATATAATCACTAGCGGCATAGCGGTGTGGATTACACGAGGCAGATCGCGGCCCGCGTTTTTAAATTCCCCCGTCACATAGTTTGTCTAGCTTGATGTTAGTATAATCATATCAAGAGTAGCAACAAGGTCGGAACCTGAACGTACATTCTCCCATCCATCGAAGGCCCATAGACCTGAGTACAATGCTACAGCCCAGCTGGAGACACTTGTACTTGTTCCTTCAAACCAGTTTTTCGTTTTCCATTCCTTGTTAGGGTTGCCATCATAGGAGAGCCCAGTAACTGCAACCACAATACCGATAATGGTGACGGCGAGAAGTGCAATAAACTTGAAAAACATGAATATGTTTCCAACGCGCGTACCCAGCTTTGTCGATATGCAGTTTAGCATTGTAACGGTTATAATACCAGCCACGGCCACTCCCTTGGCAATCCAGGGATTAACGGAGTCTACCTTCGTGCCAACGATAGCTTCAACGACATATTCCCCAAATATAATGGATATTATAGCGTTGGAGCCTGGCTTAAGCACAAAAACTGCAGTCCATGTAAAGAGAAAACCGGCCAGTTCACCGAATATCTTCGATAAGTAGACCTGTGCGCCACCATTGAGAGGGATGGCTCCACCCAACTCTGCATAACTAGAAGCACCTGTCCATGCTAGCAGACCAGCAACAACCCATACAATGAGTGAGGCGCCAGGCGAGCCCGCATTGTGGTTTACCTGGCCAGGTGAAGAAAAGATCCCGGAACCAATTATTAACCCAATGATTAACGACAGTCCGTTTAAGTATGTCAACGTCTTGTGCCTCTCCAGCGAGCCATCCGTTATATTGGCATTGTGTTCAAGGGATACCGCTGAAGGAGCACCCAACGGCGCATAGCCGCCCACTGTCTGCGATAGTGGGAAAAGATTGCTTCCGAAGTCGAAGGCAGAGGAGACCGAATATGATCGGCCATGACCTGGTCGCGTAGGTTCGTATATCTCGCCTGATATAGGGTCCTCATTCTCTAGGGACTCTCTGCGGGACGAACCGACGCCGGATTCCGATGAGGATTGTGCTAGCTCATTCTCTGACGAGGCGAGAGATGCTAGCTCGAGGGAGTCTCTCATTGCGCTTATTTAACAGCGCATACAGCGAGGGAATAGGATTTATGTGACTTTGGCTTCGTCGACGAGGAAGACCGCAATGAACGTTCGCGGTATTTCAGGAGTAAAGGGGGTGTGGAGAGCTGCCAGCCATAGTGAGGAGTAACGAGCTGTGGTGGGGGACGGCGAGGTAGACGGATCTGTTTGATGGACAATTGCGTTAACTCATCAACTGCAGTCGCCCGGTATGCTATCTCCTCCAGAAATCAAGGGTGTAAGAAGGCAGAGGTCGACAAACGAGGTTGAAGGTGAAGATCAAGCATATTTCCTCTTCCAGCCATGATATATTGCTTATCGCAGACACGGCCAATCAGGTGACCGTCTCATGGCTGATTAAGCAGATCGATCTACAGATGCACGTGATCCGCCTTCTTTCAGGGCGAGAAAGCTTGAAGAAGCAAGAGAAGTTGAAGAAAGATATCTAAAGAATCGGTTCATTTTTTGGCTGCAATTGCTGCTTTTCATGTTTCCTCGGCCCCTTCGTTTATGTCGGCTTCCGTCTACTCCCCGACGATGTAACCTTACTTCTCAATTGCAACGCCAGCGCCTCCTATGGGCTCGCAACTCGTCTACAGCAGCCCAGCAGCCCAAGCGCCCTGCAAGCAAGCTATGGCTAACTCTTGCCATAGTGACTATTGCAGCCGGCGGGGTTGGTGCTTACGCCAGATTTCGTGGAGATCCGTCTAGCACTACCCTAGACCCCGTCACGTTCACGAATTATCAGCTTATCTCCAAGACTCCCGTGTCGTCGACGTGCAGTATCTTCAGCCTGCGGCCAAAAAGGGAGGGAGGAATAAACGCAGAGGTCTACCAGGATGCATTTGAGACCGGAATTTGGAGTGTAGAGTTCAAGCAACCCCAGCTGCAGGTTGGTCGAGACTACACGCCATTACCGCCATCGGCGCAATCTGCGCAGGGCACCAACACCGTTGAAGAGAATGACACCTCGCTCCAATTCCTTATCCGAAAAGATGGCGAGGTTTCTAGCTATATACACGGCCTCGAACCCGGAAGTGTTGTGGAAATGCGCGGGCCCCAGGTTGGACTTGAATTAACTCCGGATGTCCAAGAGGTTCTATTTATCGTGGGCGGGACTGGGATAGCTCCGGCCCTGCAAGCGGCGCACACGATCCTCAAATGCATGCGGCCGAGGGAAGAGACCAGAATGCATATACTATGGGCCAATAGACGGAGAGAGGATTGTTTAGGCGGACGCAGTGATTCTACTAGCTCTCAACGGAGCTGGTGGTCAAACCTATTTTCTATGGCTAGTACTACAGAGGCACCCAAAGAGACTACAGACCTAGAAGAGAGAAATTACGTCGTGGAACAGTTGGAGGAACTCAAGAGACTCTACCCCAAGAAATTCACGGTCGATTACTTTGTGGATGAAGAGAACACGCTTATCCAGAAGGATTCTATTATGAAATTCATAAACTCGAGAGCACAGCACCCCCTTGTGGGACCAAGAAAGAAGAAGTTAATTCTTATATCGGGGCCAGATGGGTTTATTAGCTACTTAGCTGGCCCCAAAATGTGGCAAAACGGACGAGAGGCCCAAGGACCACTTCGAGGGATCTTGAGAGAGTTGAATATCTCTGGTTGGTCAGTTTGGAAGCTATGAGAACGATATATATACATCCAACTCTTTCCGGACGTGAATCTTGGGCCAAGGTTTAGCGGCCTCCTGCGGAGCCATTATGGCCTGCCATACCCAGAAAAATATGCACTGGCAAAGTCATTCAGGTACTGCACCAGCTTTTCCACATTTTCTAGTGAAACGGCGTTGTAATTGCTGGCTCGGATGCCGCCAACGCTTCGATGACCCTTCAGCCCCTGAAGGAGGCGTTTCTCTGCGCCAGCAATAAATTCCTTCTCTTTCTCGGCGTCTCCTCCGGATACACGGAAGCAGACGTTCATCCTGCTGCGTACGCTTTTGTGGGGAACCACCTGATACACCTTGGGATACTTGTCGAGTGCGCCATAGAGAAGAGCGGTTTTCTTCTCCACAATGTCTTCCTGACCCGCGACTTTAGCCTCGCCGTGAGTTTTGACCAAGGCAGCAATAACTTGACCGGCAATCCAGAGGGTGAAGATTGGAAGCGTGTTGTATAGGGAGTTGTTCTTGGCGGTGATCGCATAGTCCATGACGATGGGCCCTGGAAGCCCGCCAATATTAAGCTGGCGGAGTAGAGACGGGCATGGCGTGGCGGTATGAGGAGGTAGAAGGTCCTTGCGGACGATGATCAGAGTGACCCCTGTAACACCAATATTTTTCTGAGCTCCTCCCTATAGACCCATTGTACATTAGCGATTATTTGAAAGAAATTCCAAGAATTGGCACATATTCTTCACTTACGAATATCACAGCGTACTTCTTCACGTCTATCTTCCTGCTGAGGAAGTTGGAGCTCATATCAGCCACCACTAGCCGTTCATCTTCCTCGTTTATATCCTGCGCATTCTCCAATACCTTTGGGAAGGCAGGAAACTCGACACCATCCACAGTTTCGTTGTCACAAAAGTACACGAATGCCGGTGCACTTTTGCCTCCTTCACTCTTCGTCTTGGTAAGCTTCCATTCCTCCTCAGCCGGAATCGTCCCAAATTTCCCGCCATTCGCTGCTCTCGGATCAACAGCAACGTTAACAAACTTCTCTCCAACCAATCTCTTTGCTTCCTGAGATGCCTTCGAGGACCAGGATCCAGTGACGATATAATCCAGCTTTAACTCCTCGTCAACCTGTCTCTTCAATTCTGCGACGACTTTAGCCTCATCGTCGCCGAATTGAGCTGCGACTTTGCGCCTTCTCCGTTCAACCCAGACGCTGACCAGGTTTTGTACGACCGCGCTGAACTCGCCTGTTCCACCGCCTTGAAGGAACAGTATCTCGTAGTTCTCCGGTATGTCGAGCAGGGTAATTAGGGCTGCCTTGGTATCGGCGAGGATCTGGTTGGCGGCTGGAGATCGGTGGGAGATTTCCCCTAGTCCCAGGCCACTCTCATTGTAGTTGACGAAGGCTTTGGCGCCGGCCTCAACAACAGCAGTTGGAAGAGGGGCAGGACCAGCGCCGAAGTAAGCAATCTCTGATCGCGAAGGCATTGGGGCTGTCGTTACTATGGTTCAGCAGGGTGGTGGGAGTAGATGGCCAAGTTCAGGTTCAGTACAGAGGTACGCAAGGTGGGATGATGCAATGGTGGGATGGGAGTTTCCTGTTAACTATGCCATGCAGGAACTGCACGTCGGCTGGGTTCTTGTTTCTCCGTTGTATAGTTAGACTTGTGTGATCAGGCTGGATGGACGAATATTTATACTACAATCCCCCCAAGGTCCCTTTCATGTGTAAGTGATTCAGGCTTTAGTCTTGGAGGATACTTTTTTCTCTATTGCGATATTTTACACTTTTCAGCCCAACCATCGGAAAAAAATATCTTTCCCAGGGTATTTAGAATCATTCGTCCTCGCAGGGTTCCTGATGAGCATACCCGGTTCTGTGCATTCTACCTTGTTGCTACGTGCATTTACCAGGGACGGATGACAGGGGTCTTGCTATTTCTCCGATTTCTAGATATCCCACCGTTAGTTTCTATACATATCCCAATGTATAGATACAGGTCATTAGACACAATTGGCCCCGTATAATATATAACTACCTAGTGTAAGGGATGTTTAGATTGAATGGGGTCATCTTGCATGTATATTTCATTTTGCCATAGGAGACGGGGTTGTATTATATACTACCACCGACACCAAATGTTTGCAAAGCGGTAGTTAGCCAGTAAGATGCCCGACGTAGATAAGTGTTGGCTTAAAGTGGCAGCGGAAGTTACCATCTGTTGCTGTTAGCCCCAATATAACATCCATACATATCAGATTCCCTCATCCTACTTAAGCTAGCCTCGGCATTAATTTTTTCTGTCCTATCTCCTCGTCCTACCGGCGGATTATATAGCTTACATGCTGCCAAAACTCGTATTTTTACAAAAATCCATATTGGCACCACGGTAGTCAGGTGACTATATTAGTAATAGATTTGTTCATTATGATTGGCTAGAAATGCAGAGAGGAGATGGATTAACTTTTATCCATATAACACGTGATTGTCTCTGGCCCGCGCTTAGCTCAATGCTCGATTTCAGGCTCGATATCAGGCCAATTTGATGCTGATATCCAGCATGATATCGGGCCCGCTGGGTGGTGGATATGTAGTCCGCCATACATTGTTGCGGTATTCGAGTATCAGGAGACAAAGACTGAAGCTCGTCGCTTTGTTTTGAAGGCCATTCTACTCTCTATTTTGACATTGGACTGGACAACATGTTGAAGTAGATACCCAGGAGATGATGCATGTTCGGGTTCGGGCAGCTTCCGCAGGCTCCTCCAGGCTCGGTTTTTGGGCGACGAACAACCATGCACTATGTGGTCATCAATGATGTTAATCTTTAGTCACAATACTGTTGGCTGTAGGATGTTGTTGTTGTCAACCCAGCGTGAGGCTCGGACTTGGCTTAAGCCCGCCTTAACTACCAACATAAAGAGCGCTCCCGCAGCCCGGCCAAACGCTTACAAGAGTGTATCCCCACTCACAGTTGAACAATTTTTATCTACTAGACATTTACACGCTACAATGGCCATCCTTTTTACCGGCGGAACAGGCAAGACTTCCATCCGCCTAGCTCGCTTCCTCCAAAATGCAAATATATCATTCCTCCTCGCCTCCCGCCGTGGTTCGTCCGCAGCCCCAGCAGGCATGCCAGCCGCTAAATTCGACTGGCTCGACAAGGAAACATGGAAAGCATCCTTCGGCGGTAAACCCATCTCCGCTATCTATCTTATGGAACCGCTAGTTGCAGAGCCCTGGAAGCCTATGATCGAGTTTACCAACTATACGCGCAACGTGCATGGCGTTACTCGCTTTGTCCTGGTAGCAGGTACCTCTACCGACTTATCACGGCCTGGTATGGGGGCAGTATCGAAGCATTTTCTGGACACTGGTGTCGACCATTGTGTGCTTCGGCCTAGTTGATTCATGGGTAACTACATCTCACAACCTTATATTTTAATGCCCCAGCTAATTAGATATATAGAGAACCTAACTGATGAGGCTCCCCGCCCTCTTATCCGCGAGCATAGCAAGATATACACGGCCTGTGGTGATGGGAAAATTCCCTTCGTGAGCGCTATTGATATTGCGGCCGTTGCGTTCCGAGCTCTTACAGATCCTAAATCGCATAACTGCGACTACCGCGTATTAGGACCAGAGCTCCTTACCTACGATGAGGTGGCTGAGAAGCTGTCAGCTCACCTAGGCCGACGTATCGGGCATGTCAAGCTATCTGGAGATGAGCGTTATAAGGGTTTGACGGACGCGGGTGTCTCGGACTACTTTGCTCGGTTTCTAACAAGCTTGGAGGTAGCAGCAGCTGGTGGGTTTGAAAGTCGCATGTATAGCACAGTGGAGGAGGTAACAGGAGCCTAGACCACTTTGCGTATGAAAATATACATTTGTGGCAGTAGATATGATTTATACTCGATAATTTAGATTCGTTAAAATCTACATTCATCTTGTGGATATTTATCTCTTGTAGTTATCTGGGAATAGTGATTTCGCAAAATTCTTTAAAGGGGGTCGGAAGGCGGCATTGTAGGCTACTCCGATCAAGTGTTTAGATATTGTTTATAGCACACCGATGTCGTCTTTGCTAGGTTATGTAAGAGGGCATCTAGCCTGGGACCGCTATCGGCTGTGAGAAAGTGGTCAGGTCCTGGTGTCATCTCCCTATTCGTCAGCACGCGGCGTATTCTCTCGGATACCCTGTATAGGTCGCGCACTGCTAGGATATCAGCAACATCCTCAAAGCATGCCAGTGTACCGGGTGATCTGGTCCTGGAGTTTTCTTTTTATTTTCTAGTTCTGGCGATATTTTGGTACTGAAGTAAGGATACTCCGCTTTAGAAAGAACGGGTTAAATTCGTAAGATTTCACCTTTGCGAATATAAACCATTCATTTTGTTGACCTCGATGCCAGTACTATAATCGTGCAGACCCCCAACAGATTCTAAGCAAATTCGATCGAGGAGTTGCCTCCTACTGCGACAGTCTGGAATTCGCCCCTGGTTCGAAACAGCATATCTCTTACCTTGTACCAGTAGTGAAATTTGTTGTATGATTTTCCTGACATGCCCAGTCAAGCTGAACGTAAGACCATTTCCTGGCCACTGGGGTCGCCACGAATTTCCTAAGCTGGAAAGGCATAAGCAGCTATAGATTTGTAGATTGGGAATAGTTCTCCCAGTTTCATCATCCCTATTTCGTTTGACTAGTTAGCGACTGAAAGGATTGACTAGTCCGCTCCTCTGCTATGCTAACGAGTCCTTCAGAAGGCTCACCTAGCGCTAAGGAGCATTCGTGCGAACCTACTGGTCCTCGTCCAACAAGTCAGCCGCCTTGCAAGCCACCCGGCAGGGGGTTGTCAGTAAGCTATACTAGCGAGGCATTGTATTGGTGGAAATGGACGACGTCAATCGCGTAGCGGCCAAGAAACTGTTTCTTTTCATCTTGTTAGGGCTTACCCTGCAGGCCGGGTTTACTTAGTCTCGTTGCCAAACCTCCAACCCTAGCGCTTTTGCTAAGCTCGATATCCAACGATCAGTCGCAGCGAATCTGAAACCGGAGTGGCATCCCGATCTGCACCATTCTTACGAAGAAGAGAATCTCTTCTCGACGTCGTGATAGTTGAGAGGTCCGACCGGCTTTGCCCAGTATTAAAAACCCACTCAAGACGACTCAATAGGAGCAATGTGATCAACATCGATCGCCATTCAAATGAAAAGTGGTTACTATTTAAAGCTTCTTCTTGATCTTTAACCAATGTTCTGGAAGCAAAATTGCTCTGGCCACACCTTTCTTTTTCGAACGGTTCAAACAAGCCGCCGCGCCACAGGGAAACGCTTATGGCGACTCATTCTCTCTTCTCAGCTACGACTGACTGGGTCCACTACGACATTGTCCCTTGCGGGCCCGAGACGAGGAGAGAGAAAAAGCAATGAATACCCAGGCTGAAGGAGCGGAACAGTCCACACTCCGTATTCCGGGCTCGACTTGCAATCCGGGGAGGCCTATGGCTATGGAGTATCGGTACACATCTGTCTCTGCCAGAGCCTTTAACCGCCTTTAACGAGTCCTGCCCCGTTTAGTAGGCTATGTTCAACCCTTTCAATACGGAGTATATCGACATGTCTGCGGAAATTGCGATGTCCGCCCTACGTGTCGATGTGCTTTTGCCAGCCGTGCCGGTGGTAAGGCCATCAGATACTACATATATCCCAATACCATGGCAAACCTCTCCGATGCTGCCAATGATTGGATTGTCAAAAGGCGGAATTATATTGAAAAAGTCTAGCTGTCACGGGCCATGGCCCGTGTGAATGATTCTGCGCCTGCGGATGGTTGATTGATTATTGACTGATCAGCCCAGGGACAACTCTGTCCTGAAAATCGACATCCGTTGAAATATACTACCCCGAGCCCATGGAGGCGATTCCAAGGTGTTAGTGCAGCGCTAGGAACGATCGTCGGTACAGCGAATTCCTAAGCGGCTCGCGAACTTGGATCAGGAGAAATAGTGCGTGGAGTCACAGGGTTGTTTAAACCTTCGTGTCGATTCTCGCGATCCAGGAGAGTTTGAGATACATATACTCATAGGCTTGAAGGGTGCGCTAATACGTAATTTCATACATGGGGTTGTCGCGGGACGTGGACACCGACAGAGACGGCAAGCCTTCCGATCCGCTTGTATATAACAACTCCGCAGTCCAAGTGCATCCCGCCGCAGTTCTTTATGTCGCTGGCGCCCTGAAAGAATGAATTCGTCTCTTTCCCTCTTTGCGGCGTCCCGGCAATGACAATAGCGGCCCTACTGGCACCCTCGACGTGGCATCTAGCGCCATGCAGCTCCCTCCAACCTCTGTGATACTCTCCTGGCCCAAGCCGAACTATGTGAATCCGACAGACGTCCGCCGGGCCCTCATAATTATTATGAACTCGATATTCGCACCCTTGACGCTTGCAGTTGTTATCCTCCGCATATTCAGTCGCATCCATGTATCGAAGAGCTTTGGCTGGGACGATATATTTATAATCATCGCCGTGATACCTGCACTTGGCTGCGGTGTCATTGCTGATCTGGCCTCGGTCAAGTTTGGTTGGAGTCGACATGTCTACGATGTGCCATTCAACCACCTCGTCATAGGGCTAAAGTTTACTATGGCAATAGAGTGCCTTTTCGCTGTCGGCTGCTCATTCACCAAGCTCTCGCTACTATGTTTTACTCGAAAGATCACAGCGGGCATAAATTCGCTCACCCTGTGGTGGCTTATCGTAGCCAATATGGCCATAGTCACGACAGAAATGATAGTCTTTTGTATAGTAGCTGTTTTTACATGCCGGTATGTCGTCTATCTTAATATAAAAAAAAGTCGCTCTATTAACATCTGGTTATAGCCCCGTCTCCGCCTACTGGACACTCTCGACTAAACCTCAAGAGTGCATAAACGAAACTGCACATCTCTTAGGTGCCAGTATACTGAATACCGTCACCGATTTCTGCGTCGTTATGCTGCCACTTCCCACTATCATGACACTTAGGTTACCTACCCAACAACGTGTCATGCTCGCTTTCCTCTTCGGCGCCGGCTTTATAGTCTGCATTGCTGGCTGCTTTAGATCATATTTCCTTCACAAGCTGAATACGTCGTATGATAAAACGTGGGCTGGCTATCCCCTCTGGATTGCCGGAACGATTGAGATGTATCTTGGTGTCGTAAGTTCATGGCCCCCCGCCCTCATTGACTGGCCCAGTCTAACATATACTAGATCGCTGCCTCGCTGGCATCTCTCAAACCGTTTGTCGCGCGCTACTTCCCCAGCATCCTCGGCTCCCAGCGGAGCGGACCCTCCTCCTACTCATTCTTAAACTCTTACGTATTACGACGCAGCGGACGCCGCCCCATGGGCGAAAACAAGCCTGGAGCTGGAATTTTCGACAGCTGCCAAACCGCTACTACCATATCTAGACAAGGCGAGGAAATCGACCTTGGAACCGAGAATTTTGACGGTTGCCATACCGCTGCTACAATATCTAGACAAGGAGAGGATGTGGAGCCTGGAGGACTAGAACCCGCTAGGGTGGCAACCAACTTAGATTGATTTGTTTTGGGAGGAGCATTGCCTTTAATCATATACCTGTTTGTTCTGCATTTTTGTTCTGTTTTTTGGGGTTGAGAGCATCTCTCTTCATTTATAGCGCCCTTGTTATTCCTATTCCTCTATGCATATGTAAATACCCTGACGTTTGTTTTTAAACTCTGATACCATGTTAGTTTTTTGCCTTATATTCGGCCTTTAATTATAAAATGTACCTGCATACTCCGTACTCAGTATCCAAACATCTTCTTTCTTTACTTTACTTCCCTTTAATTTCTTCCAATCTAGATAGAAAAGGCACCTGCTTACATAAGTCCGCGATCGGGGAGAAACTACCGAATTAAGTTTGTTTGTCATGTTTGCACACTTTGAGCCTCGGGATTTTAATTGATGCTCTTTCATTCGACAGGAAAAAGAAGAGGAAGTTGAGATGAATCGAAAACCAGCAGACATCGAATCAAGCAGTCTGTCAGCGAAGAGGTTCCTTGAAGAGCTCCCTTGAAGAGCTCTCATTCTCCACGATGGCTGGCGTCATATCGAGGAGAGCCATGGCAAGCGCCAGCAGGGCGATTGCATTTCCAATTGCCAGAGCACAGAGTCGAAGACTGCCACTACAATGCTACAGACCGATCGCATACAGACAATTCTCTGTAGCTAGCAGACTCTCAGCGGCCGATGTATTCCACACACAGCTTCAAGACCCTTCAGCTGCCGCAATCCACTCCGCGATCCAATCCAATACCCTCGTCCCTCAAACCCTCACCGAGAAAATCGTCCAGAAATATTCCGTTGGTTTGCCAGAGGGCAAATATGTCCGATCAGGCGACTACGTTACCATCTCTCCACATCGAATTATGACCCATGACAACAGCTGGCCCGTTGCGCTGAAGTTTATGTCCATCGGGGCGTCCAAGCTGAACGATTCCAACCAGATCGTCATGACCCTTGACCATGACGTGCAGAACAAGTCAGAGAAGAATTTACAAAAGTACGAGCAAATTGAGCGGTTTGCAAAGAGTCACGGTGTTGACTTTTACCCTGCCGGAAGGGGTATTGGACATCAAATCATGGTTGAGGAAGGATATGCTTGGCCAGGGACCTTGGTGGTAGCTTCAGACAGCCATTCCAACATGTATGGAGGCGTGGGATGCTTGGGAACACCTGTTGTGAGGACTGATGCGGCCAGCATTTGGGCCACAGGAAAGACCTGGTGGCAGATTCCCCCGGTTGCCAGAGTGAATTTTACCGGGGTCCTACCCAAAGGTGTGACCGGAAAGGATGTCATCGTTGCTCTTTGTGGGTTGTTTGACAAGGACGACGTGCTCAACCATGCTATTGAGTTTACTGGATCGGAAGAGACCATGCGCAGCTTGGAGATTGACGACCGATTGACGATAGCCAACATGACCACTGAATGGGGATGCCTCTCAGGTTTGTACTCCTCTGAAATTTATGTTTGATAGAGAGCTTACTGACTTTTACGCCATTAGGCTTATTCCCTGTGGACTCTATGTTGAAGGGATGGCTACGAGCAAAGGCAACCACGGCAGCCATGTGGGGTTCAACAGTTGGCGAACTCCCAAGCACAGCAGCTACTCGATTCAACCATGAAATACTAGAGGAAATGTTTGAGAAGCCTTTGGTTGCCGACAAGGGAGCTCAGTATGCTAAAAAGCTCCACCTTGACCTATCTACCCTTACCCCCTACGTCGCCGGGCCCAACTCAGTCAAGATAGCGACGCCCCTGAATGAGCTTGAAGCACAGGATATCAAGGTTGATAAAGCATACCTGGTGTCCTGTACCAACTCGAGAGCTTCCGATCTCGCGGCTGCGGCGAAGGTGTTCAAGGAAGCTGCTGAGAAGAATGATGGCAGAGTTCCAAAGATCGCCAACGGTGTTAAGTTTTATATTGCCGCTGCATCGATACCAGAGCAACGCGCCGCGGAAGAGGCTGGTGACTGGCAGGTCCTTCTTGATGCTGGTGCTGAGGCCCTACCAGCTGGCTGTGGGCCATGCATTGGTCTTGGAACTGGCTTGTTAGAACCGGGTGAAGTTGGTATTAGTGCATCAAACCGCAACTTCAAGGGACGAATGGGCAGCACGGAAGCGAAAGCCTACCTCGGCAGTCCTGAAATTGTTGCAGCCAGTGCCTTGAGTGGAAAGTTAAGTGGTCCCGGCTGGTATGAGAAACCCGAAGGCTGGACTGGCGTCGTTCGCGGAGAAGGAGAGGGAATCAAGGATGACGACCTATTGACTGCCGAGCAGGCCCTAGAAAAGGTCATCGGGCAGCTTGATGGCCTACTCTTCGATGCTGAGAAGATGTTTGGTGCTGAGGAACCACAAGTACAGCCAGAAGAAACCACTGCACTGACGGAGGTATACCCCGGTTTCCCCGAACGCGTTTCAGGAGAAATCATCTTCTGCGACAGCGACAACATCAACACAGACGGCATTTACCCTGGAAAATACACATACCAGGATAACGTCTCTGTCGAGCAAATGGGCGAATACTGCATGTCCAACTATGATACTGAATTCTCCAAGATCTCTAAAGAAGGAGATATCCTCGTGACAGGATATAACTTCGGCTGTGGAAGTTCTCGCGAGCAAGCAGCTACCGCTATCCTGGCCAGAAAAATCCCGCTCGTCGTTTCGGGCAGTTTCGGCAACATTTTCTCCAGGAACAGTATCAACAATGCGCTTATGGGGTTGGAAGTCCCGCGTCTGGTCAGCAGGCTACGAGAGACATTTGGCGGACAGGGTAAACAGCCAACCAGACGAACTGGCTGGAAATTAACGTGGGATGTACGACGAAGCCAGATTGAGGTTCAAGAAGGACCAGATGGACCGAAGTGGACGCAGAAGGTGGGAGAGCTGCCTCCAAATGTGCAGGAGATCATAGCTCTTGGAGGACTCGAGAAATGGGTGAAGAACTCCATCTCCACCTCTTCTTAGACCGTACCGTTCCCTTGTTTTCCTTCCTCTGTATACTACGATGCGGTTTGTCATGTTTTTGGATATACAAAAGGACGTGAGCACTTACATTGGCGCTTGTTCATTTTTTGTAATACCAGTGCTGTTGTTATTCCCCAGTTTATGATCCTAGATAGCCAACCCTTAAACTATTTAATTTGCCCATTTAGAGTATATACCCACTTCTTAGCTTTAAAAAAATGTTTCTCCATGTTCTCAGGTCATCAATTAATAGAAAGGTGCGAAATTGAAAGTATCGAAAAAAAAAATAAATCTTCTAGCATGTCTTGGTTTCGATCCAAGGTCCTCCGGGTTATGAGCCCGGCGCGCTTCCGCTGCGCCAACATGCTTGTTAATGGAGTGGGACACCAACTTGCGCCACTTAAGCCCTAGCCGCAGAGCTAGCCTGGATCTGGCATAGCGGACCTGCACCCCTGTATATATACACAGAGTAACTTCCACCAGGGCAAGCAGAGGTACGAAATATGGCAAAAGAATATCATAATGAATATCATCTAAGACGGTTGTACAAAGATATATACACTGGATGTGTGGCTCTAGTAACATGATATCCTATCCTCCTGTAATTCCGATTAATCTCCGCAACGCCATGCCATAACTCCGTGGTATGTGAAAGGTTAGAGCTAACTAACACAGTCAGTCCCTCCATTTCACAAAGACTTCATCCGTTCTAAATCTCTGGGTGCATGTAGACTCTTCTAGCTTCGTGCGGAATCCCGTCTGATAAGCCAGCAGCCCAGCCTGGGCAATCATTATACCGTTATCAATGCAGAACCGCTCATCAGTTGCATATACACTTCCACCTCTATCGCGGGCCATAATTCCCATCATCTCCTGGAGACGCTCGTTGCATCCCACTCCGCCGACGATCAAAACTTCCTTCGAGCCTACATGTGCCATCGCACGCTCTGTGATTTCCACAAGCATGGCATACACAGTTTCCTGGAGCGAAAAACAAAGATCTGCGCGTGTGACAACTCCGTCGTCGTTCTCGAGTGGACCAACTGCTTCAACTTTTGCACTTCGAGCCACTTCGTCAGCGGCATCTTTTTTGGCCTGTTCTTCGCCACCCAGCCCGTACGATGTCGCCAATGCATCAACCGTAGCTAATATTCCTGAGAAAGAGCAATCCATCCCTTTCACAGCATAAGGAATCTCAACTAGTCTTTTGCCTTTCTTGGCTAACTGTTCAATATTATATCCCGGTGCGGGGTCGTTGGATATGTGTAACGTTCGAGCGAATCGATCAAGACAGTTTCCCACGGCGATGTCTAGCGTTTCACCAAATATTCTGTACCGTTGCGAACTATAAGCAATTACCTGAGTGTTGCCTCCAGAGACGTAAAGGACAATAGGATTTGTTGCGCCGGTTATATATCGGCCCATTTCAATATCTATAGTTACCACGTTAGTCCAGAGTTTACACGGAGCCGCATATGTATAGGATATAAACCATCCGGAATCAACCAAAAACCAAATAAAAAAGGGGGAGAAATGTATAATACGTACGGCCAACACAGTGATTGACACCGACAAGCTCTTTCCCCCATAATAAACTCAGCATTCTCGCGGCCAATGCCACGCTCTGGAGGGGAGCACCCATCCCTGGGCCTTTGGTATAACATATGCAATCCACATCGGCGACGCCAATTTTGGCATCTTTCAAGGCCTGCTTCACCAGGCTTACAACCCACTTGCGATGATGCCTGGCTGTGTCCTTTGGTAGGAACCCTTCACCTGGCGGGGATACATATGTATGTCGAACATTAGAGAGGACCTGGGGAGGGCCGCCATCGTTAGGATGGAGTATAGCCCCAACCCCCAGTTTGTTTGCGGAACCCTCGAGACCAATAGCAATCATCGTGGCTCCCTTTTATCCTATCCTCGCTGGCTAGCAAGGCATCGAAGAACTATATAAATGTTAGTCGATGGAAGTTGCCTTTTTGGCGAGCAGGAAACTTATCGATACCAGTGGGGCACCACGTGATCTACTCTCTTTTTTTACAGCTTCCGATGGGGGGAAGTTTATCCGTAAGTTTATCCGACAGCACAGACATATTGTTCACACACCCACCATCTTTTGCTCTACGAACCAGCTGGTAATTCATCTCCTGTTCAGACATTGTTTGCTTCTCCGGCCTGAAGGGAAGGGTGGCCAAGTCATTGTCTTGTATCTGTCTGTTTGCAGCGGCCTGGCCCCTCCTCGCAACATGTCCATGTCGATGGACTTAGAAGACCATGACGAGTTCAACCAGCTGTCAGATGACTTCATGCTCTGGCTGCAGCAAAGCAGCCCTCACTTCAAGGTGCACCCCAACATCCGTATCGCTGATCTGAGGTCTACTGGAGCCGGTAGAGGTGTCTGTAAGTAAACTCGCTTGCAGGATTCTCAAGTGATGCCTACCAGCAAACGTCAAAAAAGTCATCGGATTGCTGACCTCTTAGACTAGGCGCCGTGCAAGACATCGCCGAAGATGAAGAGCTCTTTGTCATTCCCGAAGATTTGATACTCAGCGTGCAAAATTCCAAGGCGAGGGAGGTTCTAGGTCTAAATGATAAAGAACTTGGACCCTGGCTGTCGCTAATCATCGCCATGATCTACGAGTACTACCAGGGCCGGCAGTCGAGATGGGCACCATACTTTCTTATCCTCCCCACCAGCTTTGATACGTTGATGTTCTGGACAGATGAGCAACTGCACGAGCTTCAAGGCAGTGCAGTGGTCAATAAAATTGGCAAGGCTGCTGCTGACGAGACGATCCTTCAGAAGGTCGTCCCGTTAATCCTGGCCAACCCCCATCACTTTCCACCCAGGTCGGACATGCCTCCGTTCGACTCTCCTGATAGCAAGCATGCTTTACTGTGTCTTGCTCATCGTATGGGCAGTCTGATAATGGCATATGCATTTGACATAGAGAAGACTGAGGATGCAGATGAGGGCTCGGCTGAAGACGGCTACATGACAGATGATGAAGACGAGCCAGCGAAGGGTATGGTGCCTCTAGCCGATATCTTCAACGCAGACGCACAGAGGAACAACGTAAGTAAAAGAATTTGACCTCACTTAGCTCCTTCTGTATAGCGCTAATTTTGCAACAATAGGCCCGCTTGTTTCAAGAAGAAGGGTCGTTCGTGATGAAGGCTATCAAAAATATACACGCTGGTGAAGAAATTTTCAACGACTATGGTGAACTCCCAAGAGCAGACCTCCTTCGACGATACGGTTATGTTACGGATAATTATGCCCAATACGATGTCGTCGAGTTTTCCTTGGACGGCATCTGCAAAGTTGTTGGATTGCCAGACAGCCGCCCTAGCGCATCTAATCCTCGAGTATGCAGTCAGAATTGGAAATTATATAGTGATAATTTGCTAACTGTATTGCAGCTTGAGTTCCTAGACAACCTTGATATGCTCGAGGACGGATACAGTATCCCTCGAATTTCGGACGGCGAACCATTAAAGGACGCAATTCCAGAAGATTTCCTAATTCTTCTTCGGACCTTGAGCCTACCGGCGGAAGATCTAGACCAGCTTAAGACAAAAAATAAAGCCCCGAAGCCCGTGTTTTCGGGCTCAGAAGCATCCCTTCTCCGGACGTTAGTTACCCATAGACAGACTGAATACCCTACGACAATCCAGGAAGATGAACAGATACTTCGATATCTTGAAGAGCAAGGTGGCCATTTTAACGATGCAAATCTGTGCCGTAAGAAGATGGCAGTGCAGGTTAGAAAGGGAGAAAAGGAAATTCTTGCTCAGGTTTTGAGCTTATTGGATACTTACTTGATGCAACAAGGCCAACAGGGATCTACGAAGCGTGGAACGACGAATGTTGAGAACAGCTCCAAGAGACAAAGACAATTCTGAGTCGACCGACCCTACCATACAACACCCCCCCCCCCCCCCCCCCCCCCCCCCCACACACACACACACACAAACGCATGTCACACACACACAATATTCGAATATAAATGTGGAAGGCCCCGGGATGGCTGAATCTTTCGAATTTTTTTGCATTGATTTGCTGATAAAATAGCTCGTCCCCAGACGTTTCTAATATGTACACAAACGAACAATGAGCACGATGCTCAGTTCAGCTAAGCCTAGCGCGAAGCATCAAAATCAAGGCATGATATGGTGAGAGGTAGGTGTCTGCGTACGGATCACAGAACAGAGAAGGGGTGGGGTATGGGGAGACCGCAAAGCGGGAACATGACAACAGGAGGTATATGTGACGGCTTGAAATAAAGGTGAGTGATTAAGACACAGTGTGCGGACTTTTCTGCGTTGCTATATTTGATGAGTTGAGATTAACGTTATTGTGGCCAGGAGCAGGAGATGCACCCTGCAACCGTCTGCCGTTCAAGGGTTGTTGGCCGTGGGACTGCGCCTGAGCTTGCAATTGAGCTTGACTTATGGCTTGGTCCCTGGCCTTCGCCGACAGATACGCGCGATGCTGCATGATTTGGATATCAAACTCGTCCTTCTCATACACGATGTCCATTTCATCATCATCGCGATCATACTTGAACCTATCGAATTTCATCGGATCGATACCGTCCTTATTACGAAAGGCAAGATTTCTGCGATCAATGAGAACACGACCCCCACGGCCCACACGCCGACGGAAAGATGGAGTCGGTCTATTCGAATCGTCCTCCGACGGGCTCTGCTGCCTGAGTGCTGACCATTGGGTCTCTAACGGTAGAATGCCGTGCACGTCCCGCATGCGTTCAGAGCTCTCTGAAGTTGGAGGTGTAGGCAAGTACTCGTGGGTGATTGCTGGTCGGAATTCAGCATCGAATCCTTGCGGTGTGGTTGGAGTAAGTGGAGCCCGAGTTATATCTACATAACCCTCGTTCCATTTGGCATGCTTTGCGACATTCTGCTTAATTTCTCGCAGGATATCATTCTCCTTATCTGCCTGAACATCTTCAAGCAGTTGCAGGTCTTCGCCAAGCTGGCCACCAGCGCGTGAAGGCACACGCAGCTGTGGAACACTTGGTCGCTGGATAACGGGAACCTCTGTGGGCTTCTTCTTTGGCTGTGCATAAGGGTCAGCGATGATGAAACGGGGATCTATGGCATCGGAACTCGACTTTACCTTTTGGTTGATGAGATCCTCATCATCATCCTTGATGCCAAGTTTCCGTTTCATCTGCTTGACCTCGGAGCGTTGCATGAACAGCTGCCTTTCTGTGGCCAACGCTTCCTTTCGCCCAAGTTCACGTTGCTGGACCATAGCTATCAACTGTCGGGCATCTTCTAGCTCTTTTCTAAGGCGCCTGAGTTTCTCAGCACTCTGTGCGTCTCGACCTCGGGTCTTTCGAGCCAGTCGGACCTCCCTACGGCGGAAACAAACATATGGGTCACCATCGTCGGTGTCTTGCCCGGTTTCAAACTGCAGAGATATAAGCATATGCTGGCGACACGGCTCAATTGGTTTACTCACCTTTAGAGTCGGCTGTAGCGGCCGGTTCCCGGACGCTGTCCTCCTCGATTTCCAACTCTCATAGATCTCTCTCACGAAAGGTCTTAGCTTTTCGTGTATCATACCGTCAAAGCACTCCTCCATCTCTGGATACGATACTACAGGGGGGTTATCGACAGAAGCAAACGGTTGTTTCGCCTGTGCTGTCTCCTCGAAGAAGCTCATCACCTCTTCGAATTGGTCCTCCGTGCATTGTGTCGATGCGTCCCGCTTCTGGTTCATTATCTTCAAGGCGACATCATCTTGTTCCACAAGGTTATACCCGCACCCGCTACAGTCTTCAACCGTCGACGAGAACCGGATATACGTCGCGGGTTGCGAAAATATAGGCTGGTAGAGCGTGTCATACTGGACCGAACTTTGGACAGTTTCCGGCGTCGGGATATGCGTCTGCGCGGTATTCCCAAACGCGGTGGCATTTATCGCAGCTTGCAGATGGAATTCCTATTGAACGCGACCAACGTTAGCCCTCCATCTTCACCTTCCTGATTCGTCGATATAGGTTGGTCCTGTTTGTTCCTTATATCACGTGATATTTCCCAGGCAACCCCTTGAAAATTTCGACTTTGGAGACACTTACGGTTTCTTCGGCCTTTTCCACGCCCGTTTCGATAGATTGTAGTGTAGTTTGCGGATCATCTTCGGTAAGATCAATCTGGTCCTCTCGAAATATCGGTATCGGCTGCTTGGGGGTGAGTTTTTTCGGACGCGTAGCCCTCATCATCCCCCCAAGCCGTGACATGACTCTCGGATGGCGAAAATGGGACCTCTCATGAGCGGAAGGAACCCCAAGACAGGTCTCAAACGGTAGGTCTGGTCATGGACAGTAAAATGAGCGTGGTTTCGTGTAGATCGAGCGTCGTGGGGGGGAGATAATGCTGTCGGGAATGTGGTGGCAAGGCGGTGTTTTGATGAGTTGACGTTGTCCATGACGCTACAAATCGGGCTGTTTGGGCGCAGTTTGGTAGTCTGGGCCAGCGCATGGGCCGCTAGGGCTTCCAGATGCGGCTAGCGCGGCCTGCTCCAATATCAAAATCGCCAGTGACGCTGGCTTGCCCGATCGGGTTAGCGCGACCGCCTGCCCTGAATCGCCCGAATAGGACGTCACCACCACTTTGCTCCTCCTTACACCACCTTCACTTCACGCTTCTATACACACTTCCATACGCACTTCTGTACGCACTCCAGCGCTCGTCGGCGCTCTAGCTGGCAGCGAAAAGGGTCATTGTCTTTAGCTTCACTACTTTCAAAGAATATAGCAACTTTCGCACGGTCAACTTTCTTTCTTGCAGTCACCCCACCCTCTATTTACTCGGTGCGTTATGGCTTCAGAGAGCGCCGCTGGGGAGCCTGGAGCAGACCCCTCTAGCACCCAGGTCCTAGACAAGATTGTGTCAGCGTCAAACTGTATGTTCTGCTTGCTCTTCCTGCCAGTCACTTCACAACTTCGGTCACTAACTGCTCCTTGTGAAGTTGATCGGGATGAGGTTGATAGGCTACGGAAGCGTTTTATGAAGCTAGACAAAGTGAGTGCTCGGCGAACACTTCACGTGGGAAGCAGTCGATAGGAGACCGACCGGTTGAAATGATGGCCTATGTGTGGTCACAGCTCGCTAAATCTCTCTTCACTGGCTCTTTTGTCAAATAGGATAATTCTGGCACGATCGAGCGCGATGAATTCCTTTCTCTACCACAAGTTTCGTCCAACCCATTGGCTACTCGGTACGAACCCCCCCCAAGTCAGCTGGCGCGCAGCTCTCAGAAATATTCAATCGCGCTCGCATACTCTTAAAAGTTCGGACTTATGAGCTAATAATTGCAAACGTGGATTAGAATGATCGCAATCTTTGACGAAGATGGTGGGGGTGATGTGGACTTCCAAGAATTTGTGTCCGGATTGTCGGCGTTCAGCTCCAAGGGGAACAAAGAAGAAAAGCTCCGATTTGCGTTCAAAGTGTACGACATCGATCGCGATGGATACATATCAAACGGCGAATTGTTTATCGTGCTGAAGATGATGGTTGGCAGCAATTTGAAGGATAACCAACTACAACAAATTGTGGATAAAACGATCATGGAAGCTGATCAAGACGGAGACGGGAAAATAAGCTTTGAAGAATTTACCAGGATGGTCGAGAATACGGACATCAGTATGAGTATGACTTTGGGTACGTTTTATGTCTTTCATATCTCACATTGTGATATCTTATGCGGTGAAATTGATATTGTCATCTTCTAACCTCTTGGCAGATCAATTTTAATGATACGACTTGTGTTTATTTTGTTTTTTTGGCGTTGATTTACGACTACTCCTCAGGCGACTTCTACTTCGCTCCGCTTAAAACGATGTTTTGATATGATCCCGCTCTCTGCTACAACATGCGACGACGATTACCTACGATACCACCCAACCAAAATATAGATGTTTATTACGGCTCTATAGAATCCTGGAAAGCAGCTGAGACCAAATTGATCCGACAACCAACACCCAGGTAAACCCACTCCACGGACTTGTACTTAAGAGTTTCAATATCAGAACTGGACTATGCGACCTATATTTCCTCGTGGTGCCCCATTTGGAGATAGCAAATGTGGATAAAATATGTAGCCTGAATGACGAACATCTGATATCCCTGATATTGTCCGATGAGATGGATAGACATCCACCATCTTTTTTTCAACGGGGATCGACCATTAATATGTGAACATTCCCGGCTTATATATATTGTAGTAAGTATCCTTTTCTAGTTAACATAAGATAAGGAGTGGTTCTATTCTTGAGACATTTTCATTTACCATTTGTTCGGTTAAGGTCTGTCCCCCACAACCTTATCTTGAGATGTATCTCCATCCACAGGGACTTTCCACCACCACCCATCACTGAACAATATGAATAGTAGCACTAGGGCCAGCATGAAGCTTCGAGTCCAAGACGACAGCAATCATGACTCGGCCCGCTTGGCATCTTATCGCGTCCCCCTTATACAGGATGCAGATGCCACCAACGACAATGCAATGTCATACACGGCTACCATGAGACACACAAAAAAATATATTGAAGTCGGACAAACAAAGTGGGAAGCAGCCCTCATGTCAGTTTTCGGGGTTCGACTGGCCCATTGCCGTGGTTTAGTACGACCTGAATGCCCGAAGCCTGCACAGCTCGAACCGGAAACTGGTTGCATATATATAACACGACGGGACAGATAACCTCCCTGGCTCAAGCCGCTCTTCTTTAATGACAAGGGATAAAAGCTCGCCTGCTACCCGAGGATGCCATCTTGCTCTTCACCGTTCTAGGTGGGTCGATGAAATTTGGATACCCAGAACACTTTTAGCATACAGTGTTGACATGCAAAATGGGCACGCACCATGCCCATCAGCCAAACGGCATATGTTCCACTCCCGCGCAAGATATTATGCTTTCTCTTTCCATGATAATATGCAGGTCAATATACTTACTTGCATTGCGGTGGAGTCGCAGAGGCTCAAGGAACTTACGTACCCTTGGGGGCCATACTAAGTATGTACGGCGTACGGAGTACACACCGACGACTAGCGTCTAGCGTGAGGCCGTCAATTCCTCGGACATGCTTCAAGAACCTTTTTCTTTCCAACGTCAGGCCGTTTGGCAAAGTTTAAGGGCAAAGGCCGTGCCTGAATCGCCGTCAGGGTTTGCACACTAGGTGTCCAATTTCCAACAGCTTCTACATCAGCCTATCAAAGCTTCGAGCTAGGATGTACCTCGACGAAAAGACATGGACATGGTTGGTAACATCGATCAACTCAACCAGCCAGGGTGGCAAAGAGGGGTCTACTATGATGAGCCCTTATCGGCGGCCCAGATAGGCCGCGCCCTACTCCATACACTCCCGTGAGATACGAATTTTCAAAGCTTGGAGTGAGAAGGCACAGACGGCCGGCCATTCATGCCTTCGAGGAGCGACGTTCCAGGGTTGTCTTCAAGCTCATCAAGCTCATCTGCTGGATAGACTCTGTTCCTGAAACACCTAAGGGACGTTGTCAACCCCAGAACCATGTGCGATCCTAGGGGTTTAACACAACTTGTCCTGGAGGCCAAGCATCGCGTCCATCTCGAAAATGCCTCAGAGTGATTAATATGTGTAGGAATTGTCTCGGAAGCTCTTCCGTTCGGTACCATCAAGAGGCATGAAGATCCGGGGTTTTCCTCCGTATACCACTAACCATCGATCGAAGCACGATATCTGCCCCGGGCTTGAAATTAAACGGAATACAAGGTGGAGATGTGCTTTCAGGGCATTCTGCCAGCTTATTCTTAGCTTGTTGTCTCACTTGCTTTATTAGCATTGGCAGGTAGATATCTGTTTGTACTGCTGAATACGAAAGAAAAAGTATAAAAAATCAAGATCAGATATAAAATTAAATAAAAGAAAGAAAAACATGCATAAACTTGACAGTTGGCAGCGGGGATTAATGAGACGGATTTGAGAACAAGCAGGCTTATTAAATATAGGCTAAGAGATGTTGGAAACAAGGCCGACGTTTCAAAGTAGGGAGGGAAGAAACAGGAGCCACACACAAAAGAAATTATAAATAATACATTAAGTAGGAGGAACCGGAGATACAAGAAGGGAAGCCGAGTAACCAAAATAACGGGCCATATAGCTAAATTCTTAATTTCGTTATGCAGCCATCCGGAAGAAAAAGAAACCAACTCGACGATGACAACAAGAAGAAACGGAGGAATGGATAAGAGAAACAAGGCCCTGTTGTGCAACAAAATAGCAGGGAGAACGAGTTGCTTTGTACGTATACACAGTCCGGGTATAAGCGTACACTGTTTCTCTGCGTGGGTTTTCTTTTCTCTCCCTCTTAAATATGGATAACCATCTGGTGATTCCGACCCATTCCTTGCGCTCCCTAACCCGTCCACATATATAAAAAGGCTTCAGACTCCGTCCCACTCCCATCATCCAATAATCCCACTTTCCCGATATAGAGTAAGTATAATGCAAGGAAGAATAGAATGTAACCCCAATCTAATAATTTGAAAGAAAAGCAAAATGGGTATCTTTTATCACTGCAAGTAAACCAAAACATACCCCAGGTCGAGAAGACAAAGTCGTAAAATTGAAAGAGGATTGAGGTGTCACGGTCGATTGAAAGAGAGAAGGGGAAAGACCAACTGTAGAAACAATGCATAAAATGCATAGAAACGCAGCAAAAAACTCCATGGAAACTGATAAACGCGCAGAGACGGGAGAAAAGGAGGTAGGGGGGCGGGAAGAGCGGTAAAGAGAATTGGATGGAGGCTGCTTTCGAGGCTGCTGCTCCACCATCTATAAAAAAATGTGACCCCCACCACTTTTTGCCCCAAAATTGATCCTAGAAAGTTCTGGTGCCCTGTGGGAGAATTCAGCGAATTTGGCGAGACAGGTCACATAGCGAAGGGCGGAGGGCGTGCATGTAAACGTGTGTCGAACCAAAAAATCCAAAATCCAAAATGCACCGATCGGTCCACCGCTCTATTTCCCTCTAAATCTAGAACGTTGAATGGCTGATGCTTCGTTTGTGAGGACTAGAATGCCAAAACCAAGGAAAAATTAAATAGGAGAGGACGGCCGTCACACGTAGCAAGCGTAGGATTATAAATGTGTGCGATATCGAAATAATTGAATGAAACGCAAAGTCATCCTTCCGTCAGAATCAACCACTGGAGACGTGGAGCATTGCAAATCTAGCCAGGGGATGACGGGTATGAATTCATGCAGGATGCATAACCGGGTGGAACTCAAGTCGGGACGTTTCCGGGCTGCCTTAGCTAACGAGTTTGGTGAAACAAGCTGCGCTGACGTGCAATCCTGAAAATCACATTGCTCCATCTCTCACATTACGTGGTCCAATCGCGACGAGACAATGGTCGATGCGGGCTAAATGATAAATCAAGTTAATGATCAGTCGCTGGAGGTCGGTTCCTGCTGCTCGATGCGCCGGGATCGTCGTGTCCTTCAAGAAGATCCAAGCATTGTCCTAGCACTATATTTTGATTGAATCAGATTATGGCACCTTAGTTATGATTTGCGAAAACGTAGGCACTCACCACATAAAATCTCTTCCTCCCACACCCCCATTTGATAGTCAACTAAGCCGTACTGCTCCATTTTGTCACAGAGTCGGACCAATTCCCTTCCCAATTTTTGCAAGGTGTCTTCACTTAGAAGTTCTGCAGAGCGAACACCCGTATCGAACATCTCCTGTGTGGTATCCTTTTGCTTTTGGCAAATAGCAAGCCAGCACGTATTAAAGTTATTCCACATGTCAATTCGGTCAGCGTGAAGGTCTTCTTGATCACGAATCAGTCCTAGAATCAGCTATTAGCTCGAAAATATATTGTGCACTCAAGGTCCCGCAGAAAACCCAGAGTGCACCATCGATGAGAAGTCATATGCTTACCCAGTTCCACCGCATTTCCAAGTAACCATTCTGACATCTCAAGCATCGAATCACTAGCGCTAGCAAGCCGACCCGCTCGAACATCATAGAATGCTTGTCTTATAGTTTGCTGATACCGATTGTACGCTTCGTCAAGACCAGAGGATCGTGGTTGAGCTGCATCTTGCCTTCCATGGGACTCGGGTCCAGAAGTAGAATTGAATCCCGACATGCTCTCAGCAAACGATGTCGCCACACCAGGCCGACTCACTGGGGGAAGTTGAGGAAAACCAGGTGACTGGTCTTGTGGACTTAAGTACTGTGCTGAAGCACCTGCGCCTGCTGTAGATTCGTCAGGAGGGAAATATTGTGGAACTCCAAATTGAGTTGCTAAGACCTCGATGGCTGCAGAATGCCGCGGCTGGTAGTACGAAGATTGTTGTTGATCATGGGGGTTGATGTTATAAACCATATTGTGGTCATATTGCTGTAGCCGCTGTTGTTGTTGTTGTTGTTGTTGTTGTTGTTCTTGTGGTGTTGACTGCGGTTGTGCTGACTGCGGAGGGTTTCTTGAATTGGAAAATCCTTGTTGATATTGCAACGAGCCGCCTTGTAGTTGTGAAGCATTGTATGGGGTTGATTCGGAGTATTCAAACCCGCCGTAAGGGGGAAGAGGCGCACTTCCATCCTGAGGAGCCACGGCAGTTTCTAGCGGCCCTCTTCTAGCAGATGTCGATTGTTGAGGTTGTCTAAATCGGTCTGCGGAGGTTCCAGGTGTGTCTCGGATTACCCGACCTCCTAGGTAGGAAGGGTCATACTTCTTCTGCGGATGACTGTCGCCGCCATCCATCCCCCTAAATTGATCTATAGCGCTCCCACCCCACGACGGCTCGAGATGTGAGGGTCGACGCGTCGGAGGCGAGATTGGGGGGCTGGCGTAGTATTCCACGTTTCTCGTTCGCGTAGCCAGCTCGACTATCCCTCTGTAGGACTGTTCGTGACTGGGCTGTGAGGGAAGAACCTCGATGCTGCGGCGTAGAATGAACGTAGAATTGATCTAGCTATATCTCGGTCTGGCTCAATGGACTGTATTCTGAAGCCCAGAAGATTCAAATGGGATTGAATCGGCCGAAGGAAGGGATTAGGAGAAATAGCGCTGCATTCCAAACTGAGTGAGGGCCGCTAAAACGCAACAATCAACGAGAGGATCAGTGCGAGAACAAGATAGACGTGGAAGACTTTGCAATGCAGGTGTCAAAGGAATGGCGAGCGTATTAAGTAATCGGCGTTTTTGAGGTCGGGGAAGGATAAATCGTGATATGCTCTCTCGTCATAAATGTTAGAATTCCCAATAGACAATTATATCAGATATGAATTATATAAAAAACACAGTTCAGGTGATAAATGGGTGAGTGGCTGTCTGATAGCGGATATAACGAGCGTGGGCTCGGTGTAAATCACCAAGCAATGTTCAGGTGTAGTGAACCGAGATACCGATGAAGTAGGAGTCAGGGTGAAGGCGATTGTCGTGGGAAGGCGTCAACTGACAGCGGCTGGTGAAGCTAGAAGTCTCCTTCAAAAGAGATTCAGTAGAGGCGGGGTATATACATCGGTTGAGATATTATTTTCAAAAGTCTGGAGGTGGCGTAATAATATATGAACCGCCTAGGATTGCTTTTTACCCAACTTCGGAACTGGTGGACTGTCGATGTGGAGAAACACTGAGCCTTATGAAACTTAGTTTCAACCAGCCGGATGCCCCTATTTCGCATACTCGTTGCGTGGAAAGAATAATGCGAGACGAGCGGAAGTATAAGGAGGTGAAGACGCAAGCTGGCGGTTCATTGAGCGCTTAGAACGCAACTCACGGTAGCCTAAACCCAAACTTATGGGCAAACAAAAAAGTTCCAGGCACGTAGTATGCAACCGGATGTAAGCCCCGTGGCTCGCTCGACTTTTGTTTGTATACTCCGTACTCCGTCTATGGTGCGGCTGGGTGGCCTGGATTAATCAGTTCACTTCCAGACCTATTCTGATCATTTACTTTTTGGGCAATGGATCTGCTCTGACCCAGACTTTCGGCCTGCATATCGGTCTAACATAAAATATGCTGAAAGATAGGACGGATGCGAGGGAGGGTTCGCCCAGGAGTTTAGCGGTCAACATTCGATCCAGTATCGAAGCGGTATCAACGCCACAAAAAAAAAAGAACAAAAGGTTCCGATTTGGCAGGGTATGAATGAGAAGATATCATTCACCATTTTGCAGGTATGACCAGGACGATGATTGGCCAATGCCGATGGCTTAACGGCGATCATTCCTCGATTCAACCCTTGCTAGTGAGCAGCCAATTTTTGCTTTCTGTGCAATTTGCAGTCTAATTTAAAGACGCCTTCTGGAATGTGAGAGGATGGGAGATCAGCCGATCAGGAACTGAGACAGTAGCGTAGATATCGGGATACCGGCATAGTAGAGAGCGAATTGGCGCCTCTCTTGCTCTTCTTAATTTGAATTTGGGGCCACAACATGTCGTGGGATCCGGCCTGGGCAAGCAAGAAAAAAATACGGATTTATTTTTCTTTTGCACGCTGGAGGTGATCGGAGCAGGCATCAAAAGCAGAAATCAGGAACATGTCATAGTGGAGAAACGAATCTGGTCTGATCGCCTGACGTTAGTGCATCGCGGGTTGGGGGTTTCAGGAGCAAAAGGAACGAAGAATGAAAAAAAAAAAGAAAGGCAAAAGTCAAAGCAAGAAATTCCACCAAGCGAAACAGGCGCTGTACCTCCGTACGGAGGATTGGGTTACCTAATTAGTGGAGCATCCAGCAGATGAAGCTGAGTGGAGTGTTTTCATCTCCATGTCCTATGAAGAAACGGTCAACCAGTTTCAGGTACCATTTCGCGGAAGGCACCTTAATTCGTTCGCTGGCAAGCTCAATGAATCTTTCCCAGCCATCTTCTAGTTAGGAGGATCTCCCACGCTACAGGAAACGCGAGAGCTCTGGTCGATACGAGATTCTCCGATGCAGGTCATGCTCTCTCTCCTTCTCTCCTTTTTCTCGTCGTCGTCGTCGTCATCATCATCCTCTGCTTATATGCAGCGTTGCTTCTTCGTAGCAAGTGGCAGGTCTTGTATTTTCTTCTTCCCGAAGGACAGCGTGTAGCTCCCGCCAAGGGCCCATTGCTTTAGCTGTATAGCTCTTTTGTTGAGAGCGATGTGATATCCACAGTGTGCGAGATTTGTCACGTCAATCTCGGATCGAGACAATTTGCTTCCTGATAGCGTTTGTTAGATCAATGCAAGCAGAGGACACGTGGGTAATTTCAATACTCTGTTCTTTTAACACTCACCGTAAATATGACCCAGTCGATCGAAGTGTCAGAATCCGTTGTCCTTTTGAGGAGAAACACCGGCGATTCAGCTACCAATTGATACGCGACATGGGGCCGTGACGAGCTACCGGCTCCCCTGCGATAACGTGCATGCTGCGAGTGCTCGAGAGCCAGCTTGGCCAGTCGACCTGCTGAGCCCTGCGAAACATGATGTCTCTTGCCGAGGTCTGAGGCCCTTTTGAGTGCCTGCTGGAGCTGAGGATGTTGGAGTTGAGCAAAAGCTGCGGAGGTGGATGAGGCTCTTGGGTCGTTTTCCCAGTTGGGAAATGCGACGCTTCGAAGCTCCACCCGCGATTGTCTTTTATTCCAACGTCAACTGTTTCTTTTCCTGCTTCTCCAGCAAACAACCCGCAACCACGCCCGACAACCCACGCCGGTCTCCAGACCCTCCAGCACCAGCAGCACCAGGAAAGGGACAGCGCCTAGCAAGCTTAGACAGATGCCGTGGAATCCACCCCTTAGACTTGAGGGAGCTCCTCCCGGAAGCGATCTCGATGGGCCCATACACGGCGTCCCCCGAGCGGCCTGGTCTGAGAACCTGGGAGTGTAGATGAAACATGGTTCATGGCTATCAAGTCTTAGCAGAAGCATCATACTAAGACATCCTCGCTCCCTCTTGCGGAACAGACGTTTCCGTGGTCCATGGCATTTTAGGCGCCACGTCCACGATCTACGGAGCGTTTCTACGGGCACCTTTAATCTGGTGCAATGCCTAGTTTCGAGATAGCGGTCGCAGCTTCAGCTCTCAGGTAGAGATAGACTACCAAGCAGGCCGAACGAGGCAGTTGGCAGCGCAAGGTTTCATCTATGGACTTTTGCCCACCCAGCCGGTTCGCGGGTAGCCATTCGATTTTCGTGCCGGCCCGTATTTATTTCAAAAATGCCAGTAGCTGCCTCGTATTTTCAAAAGAAAAAGGAAATAAACTGAATTGCCGACATCTTCAGCAACAAGCAACCAGTTTCCCACCCTCTCCCTCTCTTGATCTGCATATTTCCCCTACTCACCCGTATCGACGGAGTACGATTCACTCTACTCATAACCTTGTGAGGAAACTCTTACCACATCCCAAACCCCATTACAACCGGTCAAGGACCCACAGGAGTTTAGCGAACTCGTGAGCACGTCATTATGACAACCTTAACGGAAGCGAACATCGTCAAGAAGTCTGGGGCAGGAGTAACTCCGAAGTCTCCTCTCGCTGTGGTCGGTAAAACGGCGCCCCAAAAGGCTAAATATCCCGGCATTACTGATATGGCCTGAAAAACGAATCACTCTTCTTTCGCAGAGCAGGGTACGGAGAGTCCATACATAGCATCATCCATCTGGTGCTCCCTGGCATCTCAAATTAAACCATAACCGCGGCTACAAGAAAGAACCCTCTTCTGCGGAGTATTCCACACTTTGAACCAAAGGCTCATCGTCGACGAAGTACGGGGTTTACTCAATTCATCAAGCTGCCATACACTGGCCAAATCTATTTGGCTCTGTTTATCGATACCTAACACCCCGGGAACCTTGAAGTCGACCAATCTATGTATATATGCCATACTGAGTGGCGAACACATTGGCATTCAGGTCTTTATTTAGAGCCGAGGATCAGGGCCTCGCTATCGTTGCAGATCACTTTTAGGATGGCAGCTGACTTCAACCTAGAATATCGAGAATACTTCTAGAAGCCTCAATGGCGAATACTAGCGCAGTCGGAAGCTGCCTCACAAACGTACATCAACGGCCTTAATAACGTACCCATCCAACCGGCAAACTTGGATGCAAAGCCCGTTGATATTAATAACAATTTTCCCAGCAGAACATCTCAATATACCAAGGCTATATAAAATTACATAACGTCGCTAATGTTAGCTCCAGAACCCATGGCCAAACCCTGCCCGCTTTTATTGGGCCATTCTAGTATGTATTCCACAGAAATCGGTACCGGAGTACTACTCCGTACTATACGAAGACTTATCGACTACAGCCCCTTTGCATTTGAAGTGAACGTGGCTCAATGCTTCGGCAATCGGTATCCAACCCAGCTGCCTGATCTTTTTGATATCAGGATATTTTGAACGTTGCTAACTTGCTTTCGGGCGATGGCTGGTGCATACACGAACAATGTCTATACTTAGCCTCGCTCTGCGGGGCCAATGGTGATGTTCGGCTACCCCGAATATTCTTACGTACATTTCGGGATGTAGCTTCTTCGTACCTGCATGGAGCTGAGCTCCTGACGTCCTACTGGTCGAGACGGTTGCACCAAGCCACGAACTCTAACATGCATCGGCTTTTGCCCAAGAAGAAAGAAGTCTTTGTAAGATTGATTTCCTCTATTTGGAGATCTCATTTCCCCGTTACCCTCGATTAACTTCTTGATTACTATTCCTCTCTCGATAACGAACTCTCCTTTGAAGTTAGTTATGATGATGGGAAAAAAGAGCTAAGCTGAACTCCGTATATCCGTGTGGAGCGTCGCTTTATTTCCTCCACTTATGTGCTTCTTGCCTGAAAGCCTATGCCTATTTTAGTGCATGGATCAAACCCCTTGTTGGATATACATGTATAAGAATTTGCTAATCAAATGGGCACTAGATTTGAGACTTGGAACCGTGACAGCAACTAAGTATTGTTAACTATTGAATCGTTACACCCCCCATTAACGATGCAACACACAGAAATCCAGCCACGCTTTGTCTAACGGCTGCATCAAACGGAGTACAAACGGAGTACTTACTTTCGAATCTCAAATGAAAATCTAGTCTCATACTAACTCCGCACACCAGTTTTGATATTCCCCCCTGCCCCTCAACTGTTTTGTCCAAGCCTTCTCCTAGTGAATCTTAAGAGTGTTTAAAATTGCACTGATCGCCTCCTAAAAACATGAAGACCTGAAGATGTGAAGTGGCCCAGCGTGATGACTGTTGGCATCTGACGTGCGAGGTACCCCGTACTTCATACGTTAAGCTGAAGACGCAATTGTTTTTCGTGCATCTTAAAAGAATAAAATATAACCGCTGCTATGTGCCGACTACCACCCACTGATATCAAAGAATGGAGAAAAGCAATACTGAGTACTCCGTACTCGGGTGAGATGAAATCTTGTGGTTGGAAATGGTCCCTGCTTGCCTCGCCGTAACAACTATCAGTATCACGCATTAGGCGATGCTACGGGATAATTTTCAAGCCAACCTGCAACTCTAAGTGGGGTCCCCTTTAGATAAGATGAAATTTAGATGTCGTCTCTCTGCGGCTTGCTGATGATACATATGGGGTAAGGCGGCGATTACATCTGAGTGAAAGCTCACTGGAGCGGCGTGAACAAGGGCATTATGGCACGCGCCCTTCACAAGAGTGATACCAATGGGGTGGAGGTTTCAGAGCCAGGATTCCTGAACCGGAAGTATGCTCCGCGGTCGAAAGTGTTATCAAGAAAGGGTCATTGTACAATTTGCTTTTTCCGCGCTTCTGGCTTCTTTTTCAGTTTTCTAGCCTCAATACAACTGGTTCGATTAGGACTCGACATGGGATTTACGCCACATTCTAGGTCGATACGATAGTGTTACGTTGGAGGTGACACCTTTGGCTGAGATCGTCCATCTGCGTCGTTGATCGAAATCGACGGCCGCTGTCTGTCAGGAATATTAAACGCAGCAACCTTGATATCAAAATTGATACTCTGCACGGAGTACTCGGTATACTCCAGAGTATATATACCTAATCGGACACTCAGGTCGCAGAAGAGCAGCCGTCGCATTCGCATATACTAAATAGTATTACGACGATGGCGAGAGCCTCACCAAGCGAAATTAGAGGGAAATGAAATTACAAATGAACCAGACATTTTTGAAGTAGCCTTGACTCAAAGTCCATGTGCCGAAATGAATGGTCTCTTGTTCAGAAGCTCCTCGTACCCCGAACCGACAAACCGACCCTACGGTGAATGGGAGGTGCAAAAAAAACGCCCAAGAATTTAATTAGCGATCCATTGAGCAATTGGTAGCTTCCTGTCGATGCTAAGCCAGTATCCTCCCCCTGGCTTTCTCCTTTCGGGTGAATTACTGACTGGCCCTGCTTCCGCCGTTATTTCGGTTCTGACGAGTCCTCATGCATATACGATGCCCAAATCCATCCCGAGAATTCGGCCATTGGACTTAGCTTCTAAACCGTTGTCGACTCATGGTTGATTTTACAACCTTGCCAGGATTACTCCGTAACCTTATGTGGATTCATTGCTATATGTGGAAATTCCAGATTCTGCATTGCCCTGGTGGTGAATATTTTTGGTTGACTGCATACCATTATATCTACATTATAGGAAAGACGTTGGCAATTACACCTACGAGGCGCTTGCTGTCCATTAACGTGAATACGATACCTTTTCCCCCAGTGTCTATGCCGGACCATATTATTGGTGGTAACCGATTCCCGTATTACGGGCTATCTATATTACATAGAGGATTTTCTCGGGGTATTCATTACTGGTCCAACACGATCCTTCTGCATATCCCAAGTTTAGTATTGGCTTAGAATGCCGAGATGGTACATGGATTTTGTCAGGGGACTAAACTTGTTCTAAGAATGTGGCCGTTAAACGGCCGAAATTAGTTGATATCCTCAGCGCCGTGGCAGGTGATATTAAATATCTGCATCTATACCTTGTTGCTACGGTATTCTGGTTCTCGGACTCCTCGGTGTCCTTATATTTTGATACATAGTTAGCAAGCAAGCCTACGCTTGGCTTGGTATATTCTGCTGCAATATCACCTATCCTTGTGAAGAGTCAAGAGTCCGAAAGGATGAACACGAGGTATAATACTCAACCTGAGGAATATTTAAGATATTACTACCAATAACTCAACAAACGCACCGCCGGAGGGTGGATGACTTATAGCAAGGAAAGGGGAATGATTATTTGGGCCATATGAGGGGTCGAGCGTTTTACGCAAGTAATACATAAGTCGTCATATGAGCACCGTGAGTTAGCATGGTAAGTACTTCCTCACCAAGCCAGAGGTGGTAGGATGAGGGACGAAGAACAATAATTGTGAACAGTAAAGAATCCTATTACCCAAGTCGCCTTTAAAATATACATATATAAAGTACAGTTGCAAATGGCTAGATGGATAAACCTGTGAATAGCCACACAATTGGAGCGAGAAGTAGGACAAAACGGAGACAGGTGGTGAGATCATCGTTTGACCCAGGCGGGCATCTTTCTTGCCTTGATTTTGCCGGGTTTCTTCCTCTCGACTTGACGAGGATCGGTTCTGATAACACCGGCTATATGGAAGAACGAGATTAGCATATGCAAGATAAGACAACAACCGATAAAGGAACGAGATCCTTGATAAACGACCAATAATGAGGGAATGGAGCTCACCTCTTCTCAGAGCAGACTTCAGGCCAGGCTCATGAATAAGAGCCGCCTTTGCGACAGCCAGGGTAACTGCTTCAGCTTGACCAGTGACGCCACCTCCACGAACAACCGCAAATACATTGTACTTATGTAGTCGGTTTGTAGCCTTCAAGGCCCACATAGCACTCTCTCTGTCGTGAATCCTGGGGAATACCTCCGAGATATTTTTCCCGTTGATTATAATTTGGCCATCTCCCTCAACAAGATAGGCCGTGGCATGGGCCGTCTTTCGTCTCCCCATACCCCTAGCTCGGCCATGCTCGTCCGGTGTCCTCTGAGCAAACTCCCAGTTGTAAAGATTCCTCGGCATGGAGAATTCGCCTATAAAGTCTGTGACTTCTTGTGGTACCACTTCCGTTCGAATCTTGTTCAGCATTTTCAAGCCTTTCATCATCCTCACATACCGCGACACGGCTATATCTTCATTGATTTTCTCCAAAAACTGCGGCTTGACGAGCCATGCTACACGCGGCGACTCCCTGGGTCCAAATTTGGGTAAATCTTTATATTTGTCCAGCAGATGCTCTAGTTTCAACTCGTAGTCTGTAAATTTGGGAGATCCGGTGAAATAGGACGGCGAGGCGGGCACTATGCGAGCAGGCCTCAAAAGTAGTTGGCTTAAATCGATGGGAGGAGCCGCATTGTGTGTGTCGTTTGCGGAAGTAGCGTTAGTCGAGAAGGGTTGGTGTCGAGCCTCCAGCTGCCGCAGACACTGGGGGATTCGCAGAGCGCGGACCGCCAGAGCTGGTCTCTGCCAGGCCATGATGGGGGGGGCGAGATGTCGGTCGGTTCAATTGGCGAAGAGGCGTGCAGAATGGTCTCTTCCAGCGATCTCTCGACGTCTTCGAAGCAACAAAAAGTTGAGGTCTCCGGCGAGTGAAAAAAACAGATCACATGACCCATCGGCTGAAATGATATTCCATCTCGGAGAAACTTTCCACAAAAGGGGGAAGAGCAAACAAAAGGGAAACTGATTTTTCTTTTCTCACCCCGCCTCATCTTCTTCACTTCTTCGTCCATCCTCCAACAACCCATTGAACCCAGCACGCATTCTCTTGCAGCCGGTCATCATGTCGTTCGGAAAGATTTACGGTGTCATTGTAAGCTCAATTCCTGCTTGAGCTTCACAGTTGCCTCCCGTGTGTTTTTATTGCAAAGCCCTTTTAACTTGCTGCTGACCCAAAGACCGCATCCAGGACAACCCACGCGTTTCTGCGTGCCGTATCGTAGCAAAGGCCAACGACCTTGACCTTGAGCTCGTCGAGGCCGTCCCTGGTGCTACTACTGCTGAGTTCCAGAAGATCAACCCTCTCGCCAAGGTCCCTGTCTTCATCGGCGCCAATGGCTTCCTCTTAACCGAGTCCACTGCCATTGCTGTCTTCCGTAAGTTCCCCCTCCTTCCACTCAGACCTTGCTGCTTTTATCTGCTTCCCTGCTACTATGATGAGATTTTCAATACTATTTCAGTTATCCCTGGCATAATACATACTGTGTTGACTACCTTTACTCTGATCTTTAACCTTCATTCCCAATTGAGTCATGAAATCATCAATCTTTGGTCCACCGATCCACTGACAGTTTCATAGTTGCCTCTCAGAACGAGAAGACCACCCTTCTCGGAAAGACCAAGCAGGACTATGCCTCTATCCTTCGCTGGATGTGTTTCGCCAACTCTGAGATTGTCCCAAATGTCGGTGCTTGGTTCCGTCCTATCCTCGGCAAGGAGCCTTACAACAAGAAGGCCGTTGAGGACGTCTCCGTCCGCGCCTTGAAGGCATTTGAGGTCCTCGAGAAGCACCTCACTGCCAACACCTTCCTCGTTGGCGAGCGTATCACTCTTGCCGATCTCTTCACTGCCAGTCTCTGCTACCGTGGCTTCCAGTACGTTCTCGGCAAGGAATGGCGTCTGTCTAACCCTGCCACCACCAGATGGTACGAGACCATTGTCAACCAGCCCGTTTACAAGGCTATTGTGCCAGACACACCTTTCGTTGAGGAGGCATTGAAGAATGTTGCCCCAAAGAAGGAGGAGGCTGCTAAGCCTGCTCCTGCTCCAAAGGCTGCTGCTGCCGCTGCCCCCGCCCCCGCTGAGGAGGAGGATAAGCCAGCTCCCAAGGCCAAGCACCCCCTTGAATCCCTTCCAAAGCCATCCATGATCCTCGATGACTGGAAGCGAAAGTACTCCAACGAGGAGACCCGTGAGGTCGCCATGCCATGGTTCTGGGAGAACTACAGTGCCGAGGATTACTCTCTGTGGAAGGTTGACTACAAGTACAACGATGAGCTGAAGATGACCTTCATGTCTAACAACTTGATTGGTGAGTGCTATTATATTCCTTCTTTAGCTTTCTGGACCGCCAAAATTCTAATAGTATGATGATATAGGTGGTTTCTTCGCCCGTCTTGAAGGTTCCCGCAAGTATATCTTCGGTGCCGCCTCCGTCTACGGCAAGACCAACGACTCCGTCATCCAGGGAGCTTTCGTCATCCGTGGCCAAGAGTATGCTCCTGCCTTCGATGTCGCCCCCGACATGGAGAGCTACAACTTCACCAAGCTTGATGCTAGCAAGCCTGAGGATAAGGCATTCGTCGAGGACCAGTGGGCCCAGGACAAGTCCATTACCGTTGACGGTAAGGAGTACGAATGGACCGAGGGTAAGGTTTGCAAGTAAATCGGCCTTTTTGGAACCTTCCACGACATATTAAGAAACAAAAAAATGAGAAACGAAATGATACCAGGTAAAGAAAAAATTATTAGGTGCATATTCATGATTTCATGCCTATGACCTTGAACGCTGCCAAATATTAATGTTCATATGTCTGGCTGTTGATAGTTTATCTGTCTACCCTAATGTGAAATGAATTTACTAAGTCGTTCATGAATCAAAATATCCAATTGACTCATAAGTTATGTTGATGTTCTTCGTAGTCTAGTTATTCTAATATACTGGAGCCGGCTTCACAGTGTTTCATTCTTGCTCACCGGCAACGCAACGCCGCCGCTTGTAGATATATCTGACCCTGAGGATATGCCCGTTGCCGTAGCGCTGCAGCCAAAGTCGTCCAAGAAACCAGCGGATCGGTGACCTGTTCGAGTAGACTGGGATAAGTCCGTTGTAATGTTGATTCCAGTAGCACCCTCGGCCCTGAGCCGAGCTGCAGCTCTTTTTGCAGCTCGTTTCTGGCCTTTAGTCAGTTTTGGTTTAGCATCTCCAGACTCTTTGGGTTCCTGAGTAGATGGTTTCCTTGGCCTCGAGTCCGCAGTAGCCCTATGTTCATCACTCTGTCCATTTTTTGATATATGCAAATCTTTATTGAGTGATTTTCTCGCCGCGCTGACCAATTGTTCAACGTTAAGGAACGGGTAATCGGTAGCTTCGGGAGCCTTCGTTGCGGGTGTATCTGTCTCTTCTGGAGGAGTGGTAGATTCAAGTGCGTGTATATCAAAGGAAGAGAGTACCAGCTCTTTCTCCCAAAAAGTATCAATCCTGGAGCTGTCGTTAGACGCATCCGGCCTTCGTTGATTCCATTCTCTCAGCTTCCGACTAACATCTTTCTGGCGGGATAATATGTCTAGCTGGCGCATGACTGTGGTTAGATTCTTGATCTCGTCCACGTTAGGGTCGTTGGTGAATTCTGGTATCTCGATGATATTATGCGGCTGTCCAGCAGCTTTTAGTCTGCTATCATCAACAAGAATGGTATTTGTTTGGTCCCAGACTTGACCTCCTTCGCCAAGGATCCGCGGAAGTTTTATGCTCTTCTTTTTCTTCCTTGGGATTATGTACTGGGTATTATCATTTGCCGGTAATCGAGGATACTGAGACTGGATGTTTTCGTCCCTCCATACCTTATCAAGGCGCTTATATACCTGAACTTTCTCCTTGTACTGTTTGGGGGTTAAATCGAGGTCCTTACGTGACCACACTCCCACCAACTGTTTCTTCATTTCTGGAGGTAGAAGTTTATCAAGGACATCAGTGACTGTCTGCGGTTGTGAACTTGTCCAGATCATAACCTTGAAGTTATCAAACAGGTAGCGGAGGAATGGGTCTAGGCCGGGGCGTTTCGTGAACCTAGGAGGGAATGTACGGCGTTTACGGTATATCAAGGTTCCATTCATGTCGAGGATAACAAGGAGTGGCTGTTGCACTTGAGAGGGTTCGGGTTGGAGGCTAGCCTGCGCAAGGTATCCTTCCACTGGAATCGGTGCGACTGGTTGCCTAACTGGGGAAGGTGAACGCTGGGCCTGAGTTGAGTACGGCCGAGGGAGTGTGGGCATATTGTTATTGACAGGCGTGGGCCTGATAGGGAGTGGGTTTACCGGCGCAAACGATGGGTGGTTAAATATAGATGAGGATGGAGGATGATATGGCGAGTTGTGATACGACGAAGGGAGGTAGGATGGCTGAGGAAAGTACCTAACATAACAAACGTTAACCAATTGCAAAACGTCTAAACAATAGAGGAGTCTAACTCACGGAGTACCATTGTTCATAAACGTACCATCCTGGCGCGGTAACGGATGTTCATGATGCGGAGTATGAGCATGTGGATTGTAATTGAACCCTTGCGACGGATTTAGATATTGAAGATCTAGAGGCGAGCCACTATAGAACCCGTCTCTAGGCCCGCCCGAGTTCGTATTTGTATCTGGTCTCCCCCACCCAGGAACGTTGTCTGACCCTGATTGCGCATATCTATTTCTTAAACGGGTCGACCGGCGTCGTTGCGACATGATGCGTACTGTTGGGATATAGTACTTCCTCGCGCTATTCGACCAGGAACGAGAGACTATCTGTAAGGCTCTATTAGCGCCCATGGCAACTATAAATGGTTGCGCGGCTCTTGCCACGGAAGAGTAGTTCTCTTACATGGTATTTTAAGCCAGGAGAAGAGCTTGAGTCGAATGAGAGGTGGTCGGGTATACTACGCCAGAACAAACGACGAGTAGCTGACGAAGAGAGACAAACAGAGCGGCCCTTGAGCATGGCCGTGGTCCTGCAGCAACAAAGAGCGTGTGTTGAAGGACGAAGATTCCAAGTCTGCATGAAATGATGAAATGGATAACTTTCCTGCATACGATAATCAGATAAGATCACGTGTTTGGTATACATATTCTTACTGCACGGTAGTAAACTAACACTATTCCTCGTCTCTTATTTATTCTTTCGTTTTATTCATATTCTCTATATCCTGTTAATTTTTCCTTTTTATTGGGTTTATTTTTTTATTCTTTTTATTATTTGCAACTTCTTTTATATGCGCTTTCACCGCCTTGAGTTTCAAGCGGCAGAAAAAGCGGCAGAAACTTTTCTTTGCCTGCGACTTCTCACCGCCTTTGATATAATTCAAGATTAAAAAAGACAAAAAGACGAGGATATCGAAAAATAAATAATAAGCTATAGAGCACCTTGACCCGCTGCTTGGTGATTTTTAGCAGCCAGCAAGCCATGTCGCTTCCAGCCGCACTCAGTAAAAGGGTCACGGCGCATCGTGAAGACGAGGATATACTGGAAGATGAGCTCTCGGGGTCAGAAGACTCGGGCTCCATCAGCGGCGATGGTGACGGGCTTACCGACGAAGACGAGGATGAGTCCGAAGATTCGGATATGGTATGCTCCTCGGTCGGTTTACAGTGATGATAATTGATATTGATAACTAACGTGGTGCTCGTTTAGTCTGATGACACCCCACCTTCTGAGCACAACGGAAATAATGATATCAAATCCACCTTGTCGCAAATTTCATTCGGAGCTCTTGCGAAAGCCCAGCAATCCCTAGGGTCTGTGAAAAGAGGACCAAAGAGGAAACATGGGGAGGATAATGAAGGGGGAGAAGAGGACCTAAATATTAGGTTTAAAAAATCCAAGTCGGACGCCCTGAATGAACTCCGTGAACGAATCCGAAAAGCAAAGGAGGAGAAGGCTTCCAAAGCAGAATCGTCGAAGGATGAGAAAGCTCCAATTAAGAAACCGAGAGAGTCCCGGTCCTCAAAACACGCGCCGGCAGTCCAATCGAGTAAATACGCTGTTACCCGTCGACGAGTTGTTGTTGATGGAGAGAATGTCGCCCAAGTGAAAGCGCGTGATCCACGGTTCGACAGCGCAGTACAAAGCTATAGCCATAATCACAGGGCCGCACCCTCATCGGCTTCTCATCCAGATCCGACCGTGGCTAAGAACTACGCATTCCTAAACGATTACCGGGAGGCCGAGTTGAAAGAGCTTAATGAGCAGCTACGTCGAACTAAGAACGAGGATGAAAACTACCGGCTGAAAAAGGTTATTACTTCCATGCAAGATAGGAAGAGGACATATGAGCACCGAGATAGAGAGAGGGAGGTGCTAGCGAAGCATCGTAGGAAGGAGAGGGAGTTAATTAAGGAGGGAAAGAAGGAGAAGGCATGGTTCTTGAAGAAAGCGGATCTGAAGAAGGAGGTGCTCAAAGAGAAGTATGAAGGTATGGGAGCCAGGGAGAGACAGAAGGGTATTGAAAGGCGGAGGAAGAAGGTGGCTTCTAAGGAGAAGAAGGAAATGCCGAGGAGTAGAAGGGTGGTGGAGGAATGAAGTTGATAACGTGGTGCTCGAGTGTCTTTTTATGATACCCATTTTTATACCAAGGGACATGCCCTGGTCCAGTATCGATGATATCAAAGAATTAAGATCAAAGTTAAAGTTCAACCCAAGCAACATTGTAGTTTATCTCCTTTGTAAGGTTTATCTATGCAAACACAATATTGGTGAAAGATTCTTCGAAAATATTTGAATATGTTGTTGGCTCCTTCATCGTAAATCAGAGCAGATGCATGATATAATTCATATGAGAGGTGAGGAATAACAGGTAAAGGAGAGTCAGAGTCAGGGAGTCAGGGAAAAGTGAGAGATGATATATATGACAGCATTAATCCAAGCCAGCATCCATCTCAACCATGAATATCCAATACTATGCCACACAAAATGTTTAGAGATGAGCTGCGTCAGGAAAGTGAGGTAATGAAGGAAAGGGATCTTAGATGTAAGCGCCAAGATGGTTTTGTAGGAAAGAAAATGGAGTTAAGAGATGTGGTGGGAGGAAACGGTTGGACGTATAGAAGAAGGAAGGTATGAAACGAATGCCGTCAGGCGCATCCACAGTAACCAGCCCGTGAATGGGCGATGAAGGCGTAAGAGATGTAAAAGTTGATAAAAAAAATCCAGAGAGACGACGTGAGCGGGTAAGGAGAGGAAAAGATGGGATGGAAAGAAATAGAGCAAGGTACTCTGTTTAAAGAATGGGAAATCGGTAGTGATACCAGATAAAGTATAATCACATAAAGAGCGTATAGGGCAAGGATGCTATGAATGGAACAGGTCCCATGCTCTAGCACACAGGCCTAAGAACTCTTCCTTTTTCCTTCGTTGCGTATCGGGCGAATCTCGTCCTGCACCGAACGGCCCGTGTGAGGTGGGAGGAGGCCTGTATCGAGAATCAGGGCCGCTTCCAAGAGGTGGGCTACCGTGATCTTGCTCATACTCGTTTCGGGTACGTCGACGAGCGCCCGATGCAGGAAATCCAAGAGATGGCTGGTTGGGGTATTGGCTGCTGGATGGGCCACCGCTGGCATGTTGTGGTTGTTGTTGTTGTTGGTGGTGGGACGAGTGCCCTGCATGGGGTCCGTCGCCGTTACTGCTGCTGTGGATTCCTAGCGGCGATCGGGGGCTGTTAGGCCTGTTTCCGCTGTAATGTACGATTCGTGGAAGAAGTTCTTCTCGACCACCCGCAAGTTCGTGGACAGCTTCCTCTGCAGAGCGGTATTCTCGTGGTCGTTTAGCTGATATTGCGCTGCTGGGTGGGTTTCCCGTGTGGCCGGGAGAAGGAAGCGGACCATGGTTGTTGGATTGCGAGTGTTGGCCAAATCCGTTTCGGCTGTTTCCATCCCTGTCTCTATCTCTGTCTCGTGGAGCTAGTGCGTCAGCGCCGAATACGTCTGAGATTGGTGGCAGGCGGTTATTTGTTTGATTCGCGGGTGTGTGATGGATATGTGGAGAAGAAGCAAAATCTGATGGCGGATTGACGAAATGGCGAGTTAGGGGCTGTGGTTGGCGGCGGCCAGTGAATGTTTGATTAAGTGGTGCAGACTGGATTACTCGTTCGTTGGCGAAAGTGGCAGCAGACGGAGCGACGATGGAGAGGCCAGGGGGCGGCCGTTTTTTGGTAGATGTTTTGGGTCCTGAGGAGCCGAAGAGATTTGATTCAGAGGGCTTTACGGCATCCGGTCCGTCCCCCTTTGCGGATTTCTGTAGACGTGATTCAATTATCGATCGTTGCTGATCTCTGACAGAGATGCTTCGCTGAAGCTGTTCTCTCATGGTAGGGTCCTGGGTCTGGAATCCAGGAGATAGACATGCAAGGCCGACGTCATGCATCACCAGTCCGTCTCGAGCTGTTAGCGGTCCCCGTGCGGTCGCAGGGCCTTGACCGGTTGCGACTGATGAAAGATCTAGTTTCCGTGGACGGTGTCGAGCTGTTCCAGCTTGCATGCTAGGAGACGACGGGGATTCCTTTTTGATAGATATTTTCGGAGCTGGGCCCCCGCTCCGCGACCTGGTATGAAGGATTAGCATCACCTGAATGAGATATATGATAATGCGCATCAACAAGTAAATATGTAGACTCACGAATTGGGTGACCGCTTGTCGTCCGGCGTCGTCTTCTCTCCCGCAGCATAATCATGTGTAGCAGGGCCGCCCCGCGACGGCGTCGAGGCAGACGAGAGCGACGTCGATAGCGGCGCCAGTGTGGGATATGACTTGGGGCTGAGATCTCGGTCTCGGTCGACCATTGGAGGCAACGGTGCTGCTGTTGGGGGTGCAACAGCTGTGGACATATTCACGAAGGGTAGAACGTAGTTCAACGACAGGAGTAGTTGGAGAGTGGTAAGACGAGCACCGCGCACACCCGGTCTCGAGTAACAGTGATTATCTGTATTATATCAACGGAAAGCAGTGAGAGTCGAGCTATGCTCATGCGAGAGCTTCTGTCAGACGCTTCGGATCCCTCTGGGAAAAGAAAGAATGCAGCGAGCGAAGTAGAGGTCGTTTGTGTAGGATGTTTCTCCCTATCTTCATGCGCGATCACATTATTAGCCGCCGAACGAGGAGCAGACGCTGTGAGACGACAGAAGACAGCGACAGATGGAGGATGAAAAAAGTCAAGCCACAGAGAGCAACAAGAAGCACATCGGCGAAAGCCCACTCTTGATCCCTTAATCCCCTGGCATACGAGGTCCGTAGCCGTGGCGGGCGGGAGAGAAGAAGCGATGCAAGGACGAGGGGGTTGCAAAAGCAATAAAAGCAAAGAAAAAACTCGGTATCAGGGGCCTCTATCTGAGACTCTGACAACGATTCAAGAGACAAGACCAGCCTTTACTCCGGTACAGCGGCTAGGGAGTGGGATAGACGAAGCGGTTCTCGGGACTCACCAGATATACGGATATCAAGATCGCAGATGCGCTGGACGATATTCACCACGACACAGATCACAGAGCCACATCCAGCGACATGGCGTCCCAGCGAAGGAGAAGACGAAGGCTAGAGAGGGCGAGGCGAGGACGAGGGGAGTCGACGAGGTGGAAGATGAAGCTGAATAGATGAAATGAAGATGAGACGAGGCCACGGCGGCTAGCTGCAACAGCCTCACGAATCACAGCAAGGACCGCCTATACAGGTACATATATGTACCTCTACGGGGCTACAATATAAAGAGCGAGACAATGGGGTCGCCGGGCCTTTGTCGAAAGCTGAAACAGGAGCAGATCTCGCCTCCAAGACCGACTCCGTGATGCGCATCTCCTACTTACTCGCATGGAGCCCGTCGATATACACTATTGCACTATTTAACGGAGCCTGGCCGTCCTGGCCGATATGTACGGCTACTTACATTGCCCTCATGCATACTGCGGCGTGCTAAGGACAGGCTAGAGACAGGGAGGCCGTCGTACTCGGGACAGGCCAGGCCTCAAAACCGCGATGCTGTTTCACCAGTGTTTCTCCACGGCCCCTGGCTGCATCGTTGGACGCTATCCGCGAAAGGCAGCTCGATGGCATCTGATAGATGACATCCATCTCCGTATATCCGTACGGAGTATGTCAGAGATAGATACGGACAACCCAGAGGGACACACGCAGAGACGGAGAGAGGGAGACGAGGAGACGAGGAGACACGAGAACGAGATATCAATATGCTCCGTGGGAACAAGGAATCTGAGACTTCGACGTCCTCCGTGCAGGGTATGCGCATACTATCCCCGCCGAACTATTGGATTCCAGAATTGATGACTTCCTTGTTGCAGAGGGGCCAAATCCACCTTTGATTGCCTCTCGATATCAATCCCGCCAGCCGCGCGAGCGAATCGAGTTGCCCTTGTCCGCATCTCGCTGTCTCGCTCGGTGGGAAAAAAAAGAAAAACGGCTTACTGTGCCGCTGCCCATTGGCCGCCGCGCATGGCGTCCTTCATGGCCTTTCACCCGCCGTGTCTCTTCTACGGATGCTGTGATTGGAGACATCATGGTCCCAGCCCTTGAGTCCCTTTGAGACGCAGCCTGTGCCCGCTGCTCTGCTGGCCTGCTCCGGGGGCTAGATCGAGCCACAAGCTGCGATTTCATCCACTGCTTGTGCATCTTCCTCTCAGCCAGTCAACCTAAATTGTCGAAACCTAATCCACGGACCATTCCTCGGTTCGTCAGTTGTCGATTTCACGTCCAATAGCTACGGAGTATATCGCGGCTGGGGGGGGTATATATCTCAGCAGAGCACGATCTAAGGCGTTAGCCATTGTTTTCGCAAAGCTCCACAATCTCTGTAGTCGGAGCCGGCGGTGGGAGAAAATACGTGGATATAATCGTCGTTACCTGCCAAACTCCATAAAGCAGTAGCGGAGCCAGCCTCAAACGTTGATCCATTGAAAGTTGAAACGAAGCCTTGAAAGCCCCGAATATAGACTCTCCCCCCATCGTTCAGATAGTGCCTCAAACGCTCACACTCGAGCCCGCTGCTCGGACGAAGGAAGCCTAACCCTTCTCTAATTTGGTTATATCAAGAGTCGTTTTGAAAAATGGACAAGCTCTTCCCGCATCCAGAATACGCCGAGGACCAGCCGCGATACAAAACGATATTAACTCTTCACGTCCTTCGCGCCGGCCTGACAGCAGGCTCTGTCCTCTCCGTCCTATCTGCGACACTGACTACACTTTACAAAGAACCGTCCGCGCTCCTATCGTCGCAACATGGCAAACGGCTCCTCGTCCACGCTAGCCACGGCGGTGTAGCTGGGTTTGTCGTCTCGGGAGTAATGCTTACAGCAAGAATGTGGGGGAAGGAAGATATCGAGTGGCAAGACAGGTCTTGGAGATTGCTAGAGAACAAAGGACAGTGTGAAGCTGATACGTGGATTGCGGGTGGAGGGTTGATTGGAGGCTTGAGCATGGCGATGCTAGGCAAGGGCAGAGCTGCTGCTGCCACCGCCACTGCTTCTGCAGTTAACAAGACGCCTGCCATCGTCGTCAGGCCTCTAGATTCGATCATGGGCGGTATGGCCTAGGAACAGCCTCAGGGGCGGCTGGATGCTTCGCATGGAGACAAGGGGTTCATGGAGGGAAGTACTAGGGTTTCTTCCATAATTCACACTCATCTCAACTCCCGTATCTCTACTCCGTACTCCTTTCTCCTTTCTCCTTACGATCGTGTATACTATGCACTATTACTTGACCAGCCCCAGCCCCAGCTAGTAATCTTCCGCACCTTAGCGAGCTACTAGACATGGACATGGTCATAGAACGCGAACGAGCGCATCGACATCGAGATATCACGTGAAATATATCAGGGGGAAAGCATCTTCCACCGCGCAACTTTATATATCACTTTTACGCGGAGAGATCTTCGGTTATAATCCATAGTACGTTTTGCATTGCAGCCCGAAATATATAAATAAACTAAGTTTCATTTGGCGGGGACAAAATAAGCATGCGTGGGGTTCACTGTTGATCAGCCTCGCGGCAAAAGGAGACGGTGCCAAATGAGTGAGAACAAGTAGATCATTCACCACAACCAAGATATCCTCCCTTCATCCGTCGATTTGCAGTAAGTCGGAAAACTCAGTTAAATCACAAAAATAGTCCTTGCAGATATGGCTTGTACTAGAGTCCTGGCTGGTCGAAACGTTCTAAACACCAATTAGCGTCTGGCGGGTTAAAGTGTGCGTTTTGATCTGGACATGCTCACTCAAACCATAAGGATCGACGTCGTTTACTATCCGCGGCGGTAGCAGTGGCCATCGCTTCCACAGAATTGGGTGCCAGGAGCGCAGCAGGCTCTTGGGCAGCAACCGACGGCTCCCCTAGCACAGCAGAAATTATATCTAGCGCAGTATAGGGGATAGTTGGGTGGGCATCGGGCCTGGTTGGCCAGCATATTGAGGGCACCCTCGGCGTCAGAGGTTTGGAGCATTGGAAGCTCCTTCAACTCTTCAGCGGCAGGTTCGGGGACGGCAATAGCTCCTCCAAGGAGGGAGGTCAGGACAATGAGAGCAGTGAACTTCATTTTCGCAAATAATCCTTTATGTCAGAGCTTGTTAGAGGGGGTTTTCTAGGATAGTGGTGGAGTAGTGGTCGAGGTGGTGCTCACTTGTTTCTTTTGTGATGGTCTTCTTGGTTCTTGGTTCTTGGTTTATTGAGGCCTGGATTTCAGACTTGATATAGGAGATGAAGGCACTTTATATAGCCGTGGGACCAGGCTCTCATCATTCCATCAGTCTCACAGATATTTCCAAAGAGGGAGCCCTCACAAACAAATCCCTGAACTTATCCCTGTAGGATATCTTGACCATGCAGCTGTCCCAATCAATTTCGTGTCACGGTGTAGTTTTCTCTGCCGACGGCTGAGTAGGTGTAAATCATTGCCAACATCGACCATGTAAGCTCCATGGATGTGAATAGGAACTGATAGGCTTTCGTCTTTATTGGTTGACCGGTCGTTCGTATTATCTAGCAATATAGATGGAAAATACGATGCGCCCCGGACAGCAACAGATAGTATATTGTACAACAAAGATACCACCCAGCGTGGCAGCCCGTTCTCGAATCCGTCTTCCGCTGTCTTAGAGCCAAAACAAAACTTGATTGGCCCAAGCTACCTTCGTATTACCCCATGAAGATCCATGGTATCAGCTGAGTGCTTAAAGAGCAGAGCGGAGTTGTGGACAATGCGGCTCAACGAAATAACAGACCACGTTATATCGTAACTTAACCGTCAGGCAATAGGAAGATATGATGTGAAGTAAGGGTAGTACAGAACGTCCGTCCTACGATAGGAGGCTAGACGATAATAGAGGATATAGATATTATTAGCGGGATATATCAGTATAGTTCCTCCGTATGGTATTGCCTTGGTGACCAGCCGGCGTCGACGGACAAGAGTAGGGGTAAGGTGGTAAGACAGACAGACTGCAGCCTCATCTTTAGATTGTGCATACTCAGTAGCGGGCCCGGCTGCAGTGACTATTGGGTAGTCGGCGCTGGCACTCTGTTGGAAACAATGCAAGGAAACTTGGAGAGGGTGCCATTATACATGCCAGTACGACAGGTAGGTCGCAGCTGATGGGAACTCGGGAAACGGTTACCGCAGTCGATCGGTCGTTATTGCCCTTAAACAGACAGCGTCGAAAGGAACGGGGTATATCTTGATAAATCTATTTTAGGCGGTATAGTATCGACTGAATGTGATGTATTCGTCAGTCAAATGCTCTCTTCTGCAAGTAAGCAGCCAAGGGAAGAACACGATATGTTGGACCACTGGGATAAAAGAACCTACCGCCATATTAGTTGTCACGCTGGCTGGAAGTGCGAGTTTAACACAGTGTACCTCTTGGTATAAAAAGCCCAGAGCCAGTGTAGTCGTGGACGTACCCAAGGTGCTAAGCCACTGTCGATCAGAACATCAAACAGACTGAACAACCTCGTATATTTCATTTCATGCCCAATTATCCGTAGATAAAAGAGATAATGTGCCCTCAGTACAGCGGCTGCCGGAGATATGAACCAGCTAGGTTTAATGGGAGATTCATGGAAATTGAGCTGAAGAGCAAGTGAAACCACAATGACTACTCCGTGCTGACTATGATATGGATGAGGGGTTTCTGTGCAACAGCTGGCTTATTCTGACCAATATCAGTCAAGTCCGTATGAAGCTTCCTGGGGCAACGATACACACCTACATTATTTTTGGCTCACCAACCCTTCGTATTCTTTCTTTCTTTTTCGCAGGATGGATGCTTCGGCCCATAGTTACTACGAGAAACTCGAGCACAATAACCCAAGAACGCCACTCCACAAGGGAAAAGCAGGTTGCCAAAGACAAAAAAAACAACGAGCGTAGAGAAAACACCAATATCTTCATTTCTGTTCGTTGATTAAGGTCCCTTCCCTGTCCCGAGGCTACCGTGGTATGCATTATCCGTCCAACCTTCGCCCATCCTCCCTTTGGGTATTTCCATGTTGTGCATCCAATGCCTGGTATCTGCCGGTGAATTAAGAAAATATGCATATACTTGTGTCGTTAAATATTCATGCCAAAAAAATCATCATAGGTCGCTTTCTTCCCGCCAAAGCAAACCTTCTCCTCCATCAGGTACTGAGTAGGTGCAAAGGTGGATCAAACCTAGCCTTGGACCTGTATGTTTTTTTTTATCCAATCTAGGCTCAAAGTAGGAAGGCGTTCTAAAAATAAGTCAAGGGCGATATCACGTTGGCCCTGTCGGTTTGTACAAGATTGTCGTTACATACTATATAATGTCAGTATAAATCCTCGTAGCACAGAAAATCAACGTGTAAGAGCATGGGTGTAAAAAGGAAGGTCGCACTTTTCGCTTGTATCTGGTTGTAACACTGGTTGCTAAGACCCCGTTCTTGATGCTGCTGGTTGCTAGATGGTTTAAAACGGTGTGATTGGGATAGTTAAGCACACTGTTATCATCCTTCATGGGCGTTGTGCTATTTAATATCGACCGAGCTAGGAACAAGGGTAACATGGGCGGCGCTGGTGAATCCCGAATGACATTAGCTGCTTGATGATACCCATGACTATCTTCATCGTGATCGATATCAACCAGGAACTGAGGAATAATATGACGGAAGTCTCCCATTGGGATTTCTTCCTCCGGCTCTTCCTTGTCTGATCCTTCTTGTGAATCAGTCGTATCAATCGGTAAGGATTCTGGAAGGACTTGCGGGGGATATATTCCCGGTGGTATTATGACTTTTGGCGGCTTATCGCTTTCTCTCCGTGGCCGCTCAATTTCATCCGCGCTTATCTCAACATAGTTCACTAGATGGTTAGTGAAGTCCACTGCCGTGGGCAGTTGATCGGACGTTCTCATCGTGCTGTCTACTATAAACTTCAGATGATGCGTGCCAGGTCGTAGCTGAAGCACAGTTGTGAAAACTCCACTTTCAGTATCGCTGTAAATCAATCGGTTAATGAAATATTTCATTTATTTTCTCTCAGGATAGATGGATGGTAAACAACCTTTTGTGTAATTTGAATTTCCTCGCCCAGTTCACGAATGTCCCAGTCACATAAACCTTCTCTCCACCACCTCTCCAGTCGATGGTCGTTGGAACCGACTTGTTAAACCCCGTCGGGACAATGGAGTCTAGTTCATCCTGGACAACGTCGTCTTCGTCAATTGCAGGATCCAACTCTGACTTCTCTGCCAATGCTTCCTGGCCTGCCTTATCGAATGCTATGGCAGCACCTAGCGAGCCGCTTGCAGTGATTGGAGATCCCGGTGCAGTCATGGCATCGCCGATAGGTAGCGGCAGTCGGGGCGGCCGTGTGAGGTGGGAGGGGGCTGCGTAGTATGTGTTGACCGGCCTCGGAGTTGATGCCTCATTCTGATCACGATATGCGGCTGCATGGTCAGGGACCTGTACGGCCGGGGATGGCTGGATAGCCTGTGATTCCTTGGGGTGAACTGGGAGATCATAATGGTCGCCTTCACGATGCTTCCGTGAATTACGACGTTCCAGCCTATCCCCACCACCGCCACTGCTCACGGGTGTTTCGACGGTTCGTGACTGAAGCCGCTGGTGGAAGGGAGGAGGTTGTTTCTGAGTAGCAGGATGCCCGGTAGCGCTCTCTCTCGAGTGTGATGGGTCGGCTGCTGGTGCTTTCGACCCCGACAGCGCCTGTATGGAAGTCCGGCGGTTCACCTTCTTGTCGCCGCCGGCTGTTGCGCCGGGGGTTTTAGACGGGGCGTTCCCCATGGTATCTCGCCCTCAGTCACTCATAAAACGGTTTGATCAGGCTAGCTGGTTCAGCTCGAGGGCGCATCGGTTCAGTTCATTGCACCTCGGAGTCTATGACGGAGGGTATGCGCATCCCCTATCTACATCACGATGTCGTCCAAGAGCAGGCCCATGCTAGGGCTTAGGGCCGAAGTCCCAGAGTAGGCAGGAAGATCGTTCTTCCGCTTCCGGGCCAACTTCGGCCCTTCCTTGGGATATAAACAGGGGGTTCCTTCATACATCACAGCCGGCCACCAGGAGATATTCACGCTGCTGCCTTGTCACTACAGTGTCGATACGTTGAATATGTGAGTGCTGCTCAGATCACATTGTTGACAGCTGCTAGAACCAACTACAGTCAAAATACTACCAAACTACAACCAAACTACAACCAAACCGTCCGATGAAATGCCCTAGTGCAATAGACCCCTGTTAAACCTCGAAAAGGGGCCAATAACTTATTTGGGTCTGTGTCTGGTACTTATAATGTACGACCGGTGGCAGATGGCAACCCATCTGGGTGTTGCCATCTGCGCGATTCTAGCTCTGGGCTTACCTATATACCAACTTGGCATATCCGACCTGCGTCAAATCCATACAATGGGATGGATGGCGATTATTAGGACCCCGAGCTACGCTGTCTACCCAGTCGTCTTCTTCACGACCATATTCATCTCTATACTGGAACTCTTTGCAGCTCCGTTAATCGACCTTTCATCTCACTTGCTGTACATCAGCCTCTTGCCATGGCGCATTTCGACCAAATTTGAGGTGCGTATACTTACTTACATTAGGCGCCTGACACGAGTTTATATTGATGATCCATTGACTCTTTCCTCTTGACCGCTCCTGAAAACATCCTTTGCGAGCTGGATTCGGTCCTGAGCTAACCCTAACCCCCCAATAGCCTTTATTCAAGTTCTTTGGCGTGGCTACAGTGATTGGCATAGTTACTGGCTGGGTTCTTCATCTGACCAGTACCTACATTTTCCATTTACTCAATCTTCGCCCAAGCACTGGGGCCTGTTCGAAGCACTGGCAAATGCGCAAGTCGAGCTGGGAAGGAGGGTCCTCCATCAAGCCAGACTGGGCTACGCAGTTTGTCAATAGTCACGATAGCGAAGCCGGTTCATCGTGGAAGCCCAAACGGGGCTCTACTATCAGTGATCAACCGGGACCGTCAGGCCTTAGGGTTCGTCGGCTAAAATCTACCAAAATGGCTTCATAGTGCCCTTATAGTAGGCCCGGAGCGTTCGGATTGAAGGAGTTGAAACTAGGCGCAGTGCTCATGTTCAAGAATTCTATATCGAACATGTATAGATCCAGATTTCAATGGAAAGTGGAGAATGAGCTTAGAGGAAGGAAGCAAGGGTATTAGAAAACAGCGGGCAACACAAACTCGGGCATCCAACGGGGAGGGCGGTGGCTCTTAACTGCAATAATATCAATAAAGACCCCTATATGCAGGGATGAAACTGTACGTTACGATTAATAGGGACCAAAAGCTTGGGCCGGAACTAAAGCTTAGCAAGGAGAAACAGCGGATCCTATAACAATAGCGGCCGAGGCAGGGAGTCCAACAGGCCAAACTCCTCGACACTTGTCTCCTCGTCTGGTGAATATATATCACCATATCCCGTCGCGATGATGAACAGGGCCTGCGCGGACATGGAAACCCTCGATATTTATCCACGTGACCATATAACTATTTTTCCTGCCCAGATGTTTGGCTTGGCTATTCTTAGCATCCCAGCTCAGCCGTTGGACTTAAGACAAGTCTCCTGGCATCCAGCACGTAGGACGAAGGGCTCAAACTCCCGCCATTCTCTCTTTGTTCGCGAAATGTGAATGATATCGACACTCGCTTATCATTGAGACGTGGGAGGTGACGATCCCTTAGCCGGGCTGAATAGAACAGTAGGTCTTTGCTCCCTCTGTCCCTGACCGGGCATGACATTATGCCTTTGTACCTGCTAGGCTTCCGTATTTATTGTACGCGGTACTGACAGCTAGTTGAACTTCATAGCAGTCTATTTCCTGTCGTTAACCTACAATATATCGACCATGTCACTTCGCACGAGGCTACGGTTGGCCGTGGCTACCGGTTTGATCGTGATAGCGCTACTATACTTGACGAGTAATCGATGGAGCGTCCCAACACTGGGGTATAATAAAAGCCCGGTTCATGCGCCAGCAAAACCCGTCGAGAACAGCCCAGAGCTTCATGCTTCCTTCTGGAGCGCATTCCAGCCCGTTTTAGATCAATATGCTCCTACCTGTGCACCACCGAAACGAGATGGTAAAGCTGAGATGAAGGACATTGGCTTTCTTCCCAACAAAGATGACCAAAAACGGCCGGATCATATGAGAATGGATGTCAAGGACGTTGAGTTAATGAAGAAGTTACATACTGAGTTCGTCGGCGAGGTTAACAGTGGCCGCCATCAACCTTACTACGCCCCGGGGACCCGTGGTTTGGTATCTACGGCCGGAGGTAAATATCTCCCAGTCCTGACTGTCTCCCTTCGTATGCTTCGCAACAGAGGCTGCTCCTTACCAATGGAAGTCTTCCTGGCATCAAACGACGAGTTTGAACCATATATTTGCAACCAAGTGTTCCCGGCCCTACAGGCTAAATGCGTCGTCCTCGAGAATATGCTGAAAGCAGCGCCTAAGAACGTTACAATCTCTCATTATCAGTATAAGATATTTGCCATGCTCTTCTCGTCATTTGAGGAACTCCTCTTCCTCGACGCTGACGCCTTTCCCCTCCACGACCCCAACGAATTGTTCCATAATGAACCGTTCTCCTCCGGAAAGATGGTTCTATTCCCTGACTTTTGGGCCTCAAGTGCATCACACCAATACTATACCATCGCTTCCTCGCAAATCCCGAAAATGAATGCGCGGGCTTCAACTGAATCTGGGGAAATCCTGCTCTCCAAAAAGCATCACGCAAAGACCCTGCTACTTTCAGCATACTACAATGTTTACGGCCCGAATTATTACTATCCGCTTCTCTCCCAAGGTGCAGCGGGAGAAGGGGATAAAGAAACCTTCCTCACTGCAGCCACGGCTGTCGGTGACTCTTTCTATCAGGTTAGCGAGCGCCTGCGTGCAATTGGGCATAATTCACCCGGTGGTATGGCTGGCTCGGCCATGGTTCAGTTCGATCCCACGGAAGATTATAAACTGACCCAAAAGGGACTTTGGCGCGTTATGAATGAGTCCGTCGCTCCACCTCCCAGGCCATTCTTTATCCACGTGAATGTTCCAAAGTTCAACCCTGCTACAATTTTCGACAAGCACCCCATCGACCCCGTTCGAAACCACGAAGGCAAATTTATTCGACCATGGACTGTACCGGAAGAAACTATCAAACTGATCGGAGAAGGCGTTGAGAGGCAATTCTGGACAGAAATGAAGTGGGTTGCCTGCGAGCTCGAGAAGAAATTCAAATCTTGGGAAAAACTTGAGCATGTTTGCGAGAAATTGACGAATTATTGGAATGAGATCTTTGAGAAGAAGCCAAAGCAATAGGTGAAAATGAATTTTCTGTATGTTTTATTTACTTTTTATTTATTTTTCTTACAAGAACTTGAGCAAGCCAGCTTTGACTTTGTCCACAATGATTTGGTGGCATGACTGATACCTGTATATTCGGATTGGGATGTGATGCATTCAATGACCTTTTGTATATAGCCAAATTTCCTTCAATGCTGGGGAATCTCTTCTTTTTTTTTTTTAAACCTTTCAAGTCACGATTATCCTAATACTGATATACAAATTCTATTGTTTATGGTACAATTAAATCACAGGTGTATCATCTCTGCGTTCATGCTTCTCATCCACCCACTCTACCTTCTCCAGCATCGTTTCGAACATCTCTCGGCATTTCACTTTGCTGCCTAGTCGAGCACAAAGCAAGAAGGCACCGCTCAACTTTCGATGCAGACTGTACGTCTCTTCAGGGGGTGGAGATAAGCGCTCACGCAACATAAGCGGGATAAACTCCCGAACCCTATCGGTGATGGTTTGATCACTGAAGTCATATACCTCAGGGGAAGATTTCATAAATGGCTCAGCAATGGTGGTAATAGAAGACACGTGGGCGTTGACCATGGCCTTGGACTCGAAGCCTGTGAGATATCCCAGTTTCTGAGAGAGCTCGCGACATGCCTCGCGGTCATTCCGAGAAGCAGCAGCAAGTAGGCCGACATACGAAGAGATGAAAGCAGCCGGGTAAGCGCGGGATGCCCCAAAGTCAAGAAGCTCGAGACGGTTGGTAGTGGCGTTATAGAGGAAGTTGGTCCAGTTAGGGTCAGTTTGCATGTATCTGAACTCGCCAATTTCCCGAAGGCAAAGCCGCATGATTTGAGTACCGATCCAATCGCGCTGGGGTTGAGTAAATGATTGGATCCTGGTTACAGCAATGCCGTCCAGACGCTCCATTGTGAGAACCTGCTTCCCTGAAGCGTTTGGTATAATTTCAGGTATCGTAAACGTGTCAGTATCATTCCTAAGCAGCTCCTTGAATTTACGGCCACATTCTGCTTCACGAATATAATCACATTCCCACGCAAGCTCGGTCCGAGCGTTCGCAATTGTTTTATCGAGGTATAGCCCTTTGGGTAGCAGCCGGGAAGCGGTGAGAAGGATAGATAAGTTATTCAAGTCCGAATCTATTGAGTCCGCAACCCCAGGGTATTGAACCTTCACAGCAACACGCTGCCCCGTTTCTTTTAGAATAGCTCCATGCACTTGACCAATTGATGCGGCAGCCATTGGAATATCATCAAATGACTCGAATAAATCTCTCCAATTCGGGCCCAGGTTATCTGTGAGAACCTGATCCCTTTGAAACTGCGGCATGTAATTTGCCCGGTCTTGTACACGTTGTAGTACTCGTTGGATTGACTCTGGCAGCATTTTAGAATCTACGGATATGGTCAGCACTACCCTAGGCCGAAGCCAATAACAAACGGAACTGCTCACCTTGGAGACTTAGCATCTGACCTAGCTTCAGAGCCGCTCCTCTCATCTTAGATAATTTGGCAACAAGCCTTTCTATATTGGCAGGGCTAAGTAGCAAGGATCCAGAATCATCGCTCCCTGTGGCACGGCGGAAGCCTTCTCCAACAACACCCATGGCCATAGAAGTTGCTAGTCCCCCATACTCCCATAGCCGCCCAATCCGAGATGACGGGACTCGAGACTGAACCATTTGGTATGTATCTTGCGGTGCAACGACTTTATCCTCCACCACGTGCTCAGAGCTTTCTATATTTTCCTGGCTCTTTATTTTAACATCATCAATCCGCGTATTACTCTCTGTGACTTTCTCAGAGTGTACGGCCAGAGATGGTGGCCCCGTAGTAGAGGCCGATCCCAGGCCATTCTGTCCTGGCTTGTAGGCCTGGTCTCGAAAAAGGGTTCTTGTCACTTTCCGGCTTCTGAACAGCTGTTGCATCATTTCCTCCGGAACCTCGTTATGGTCGGTGACAGCGTCGTCCCCGGTAGTTTCTGAGCTTGGGGCTTCATTACGTGCAGACTTGGCTTTTTCCTCCACACCAACGGTAGCCTGAGATCTCGTAGGTTCTATAGTGATATCACTCTTCGTGAAGCTATCGTTCAGCTTTGTATCTTCTCTTGAACCGTTTGTGTCCCTTCCGCCGTCATGATCGCGATTCGTCGGCCCAGGGCTGGGTGTAGGGTCATCGTCAAGCTTCCTCGCTAGGTCAGAAGCTGCTTGTACCGCAAGACTAATCTGCTGGACCTGGTTCTTCGCAGCCTTGGTCAACGACGACGTTCGAGCATGGTGATCAAGGGCATGTCTCTGGAGCACTATGTGCTTTTTCGCGACATTGCGGGACGCATTGAGGAATGTGATGGCGTCGAGGAGACGGCGCCCGGACATAGCAGAAACAGAAAGTAGTGATAGGTCACTCCCAATCGCATCTTAAACCAAAACCAGCTGGAGAGCGTTTTCTTGTTGTGAGCTTGATTGAAGTACCTTGCATATATAATTTTAGCCAAGACAAGCTTCCCGGAAACGTGACGATAAGAGTCGAGATAAGGAACCTCCGCCCTCCTCGACCTCCTCGACCACCTTCACCATCATGGCATTGACGATATACAATTCCCTCCTCTTGTTTACTAGTCTTCGCTGGTAACTGTCCAATGACGGTCAAAATATCCAAAGATAAGCGCCAGGATGCGCCCACGGGGGTTTCACGGCCAACTTTCAACTCCTCAATTGCGTCCCGCACGACCAGTGCTGAAATGATGAGAGGTTCAATAGTGAATAGAACCCAGGGTAATTTTGTCTTACGTGAAGCATTATAACTTGTGTATGGACGAATTGGACCAGCTAACTATTGCTATTGTTGTCATCTAGCTCCCAGCTTTGATTCGATTCCAATATCCCATTCGCTTCTCCTGCTTTCAGACTCCGCGCTCCCCTTGGGTTCGTTCGCCTACTCAAGCGGGTTGGAGTCTTACATCGCTCATAACAAGCCTCTACCTTCACATGTAACCCCAATTACGTCTTTCAACTGGTTTCTCTCGCTTTCGCTTGCATCCATCGCAAGTACTACCATACCATACCTCCGCCGGGCGCACAGATACCCCGAGGAGCTGGAAAGGTTAGATAATGACCTCGATGCATCTACACCATGTACGGTTGCTAGGAGAGCAAGTGTTGCACAAGGACTTGCCCTGTTGCAGGTGTGGGAGCGTGCACTAAAGCCGTCAGCTATGCAGCGAAGTCGTGATGACCAGAGAGATAGCCAACATCACACCATTCGTGCCATGGCGGCGTTGGACCGGTTCTCAGAATCATTAAAATGTGCTGGCCTTGATGAAGAGCACGACGAGGTTAATGGCATCGTGAACGGGCATTTTGCTCCAGTATGGGGGGTGGTGTGTTTAGCACTGGATGTCGACCTCGAACAAGCGGCGTATGTGTTTATGTTGAACCACGCCAAGGCAGTTCTCAGCGCTGCTGTGAGAGCGTCGGTTATGGGACCCTATCAATCGCAGGGAATGCTTGCTGGCAACGCACTCCAAAAGACCATTGCTCAACTTTTGCAGAAAGAGTGGTTAACTGAGCCTGAGGATGCAGGGCAGGTTGTCCCGATTCTCGATTTATGGATGGGAAGGCATGAGCTGTTATATAGTAGAATATTCAACTCGTGATGGGTTTGTGCATGTGATTGTAGTGCAATTGATGTATATAATAACGAAGCAACGATCAGCAGGAAACATGCGTTAATGCTACTGCTCATTTCATCCGTAAAAAGAGAACCACTGATGCGAATGCATGGTGACCTCAAAATTAGTACATCATAGTACATCATACATGTAAGCGTAGCGCGAAACTAAAAATAGCCTGCTGTCCAGCAGAACCCAGGGACCAAATTTGAACACCCCGGTGAGCTAAAAGAAGAACGAAGGGCACATGAACTCCACATCCGACCAGACCAAAAAAAAGAGAAAAAACATTAAAAGACAAGTAGTCTTCCCTTTAAGCGCCGAATAGCTCCCCAAATACCTCTCACAAGAGACACAACAAGCCTTTCTTTTGGTACCAAAAAGAGAATGCCAGGGGCAAAAGTGGATAAAGGGCGGTTAGCAGCCATAGACGAGGAAGGATAAAATAAAGGCATACTGTACAAGAAATAGAAAGGGGATAGAATGATTTTAAAGGGTGATGTGCATGTGGTCATTGCTTCCGAAAGATTTGCTGCAGTTAGGGCACTTGCGAGACCTGGAGGTCAACCGCTCTTCGACGCATTCTTTACAGAAGACGTGGCCACAGGTCTTGATGACCGTGTTCTTGAAATTTCGTCGACAAACTGTGCAAAGTGCAAGAGACTAAAATTGATTCTGGTTAGCGTAAATGCGTTATATTTTATGAAGAGTTGGAGTCTCACCCTGAGCATCTCATATTCGGAAGTGTTATTTCCCAAGCCACGGCTCTTCCATGACTCCAGGCTCTTCTTGGTATCAGAAAGGGTGACCTTGAGGCCTTCAGTTTCACTCTCTGCTTTTCGGCAGGAATTCATGGCTGTCGTGAGTGATGCATCCTTGGTGGCTAGCTGGTTCTTTAACTCAGCGACTTGTGATTTCAACCCCTGGATAACAATGGTGGCTTCGTTGACTTGGTGTTGGGATGTGCGGTACTGATTCGTCAAAGTATTCAAAGCTTCCTTGGTTTCGCTCAATTGTTTCTCAACATTTGAAACTAGAGACCTAGTCGCCGCCTCAGCCTCCTTAAGTTGGGAAATGATATCCGAACTCTTCATGTTCTGCAGGCGAAGAGACCTTAGCTCTGCATCTCGAGTTTCTTTGCTTTGCATGGCTGCAAAATACTTCTGATCTGCCTTGGATTTTTCAGCCATCAGGCGTTGGACCTTTTCTTCAGCAGCAACCGTATCAGCAATCTTCTGCGAGGCTAGTTTTGACGTCTTTCGGAAAGCCATCTGCATGGACGACAATTCCATATTGAGCATTTCATATTGTTTTTCAAGGGTATCGAACTTGGACCGGAGTTCATCGGAGGACAATTCGCTTGTGCTTGGTTGGGTGTTCTTGACTCCGTCGATTTGCAACTGTACTCTTTGCACTTCCTGTTCCAAAGACGTAATCCGGCTTTCCCTGGCTTCCAACAACTCCTTTAATTGGGTTACAGAGATTCGTTCCTGATCTTCTGTGGCCTTGCGAATCTGTTGGTCTGCCAGTAACTCGTCTCGCGCATTTCGGATTCGGGCTAGATTTGTTTCTGTTTTCGCCAGTTGAGCTTCCTTTTCGCTAATCGCAGTCTGGGCCTCGTTCTCAATTTGAACCCGATATGCTGTCCGTTCGGCTTGTAATTTCTCAGCTTCCTCGCGCAACTGGATATTGGTGGCTTCTAAATGGTTGATTCGTTGAATGACGTCTTCGTGTTGGGATTTTAATTGTTTAAACAAATCGCAATGGGCATAATCTTCATCAGAAAGTTTTGAAAGCTAACATCGTCAGTAACAGCTGGTTGCAAGGGTAAAAGTGGGGCAAATGCATACCTTAACATGGAGCTCGGTTATCTGCGACAGTAGCTTGGAATTGTCCGTTTCTAGCTTTTCAAGCTGTTCTTTTTGCTTGTTGGATACTGCAAGTGTGGTGTTATACAGCATTTCCATTTCAGTCGCCTTTTCCGGGTTATCGGTCGTCCCATTAGTGCTTGACCCTTCCTCTCGTTTTGTAGATGTATCGCCTGATTTATGGGGACCGAGGATGTGTTGTTTCTCAAGTCTTGCAACAGTTAGACTCTTGGCTCGATCTATCTTCTTCTCAGCCACCATATATCTCAGTGATGCAGCCTCCAGTCGTTCCTCAAGTTGTTGTTTTTCCGCGATCGCTTTCTCGATGGCGACATTGATAGTCTTTTCATCTGCGAGTTTCTTCGCCAGTTTGGATTGCAGGTTTGTAATATCTGGAGTCACCTTCACCGTTTGCGAATATAGACGAGATATCGAATCTTTAATTTCGGATGCACGGTCTTGCAGATGCTTCTCGAACAGTTCGTGGCCTGTGAAAAGCAAGGATGTCTGGAATGTGGGGTTGTCTATCGGGGATGAATTAGTCGACAATGAATTGACGTGTATGATACCTTTCTGTAGAGATGTACCTTCAGACGTTTCGTCTACTGAAGACGATATAACTTTGACTTCGTCAATTAACTATCGAACATACTTAGCCGTTGCACATTCAACTCTGGAATTAGGTGGGTCGGAAATACCTGTTTAAGCCATGCATCGAGAACGCTGACATGCTCTTCATTGTACGCCATCTTCTTAGATAGATCCTTTATCCGGGATTCGAGTGTTGTTTTCTCGCGTTTATATTCTTGCATCTGTCTCCAGATGGCGTCCTTTTGGTAGCGCTATTGAAGAGTGAAATTATCAGCACATGTTGGTCAAAAGCATGCAAATTTCGCTCGAACTGAAGGGAACACAGCCATCTCCACACAAATATATCGTTGGAAATCACCAAATAGGGTTGTTCATACCTCAAGATCATCGCGCCATGGCATATCAGTGTCAGGGTGCGACTTCGCTCCACCATTCACTGTGGTAGCCTGTTTCTTCAGCGGAGGGGCCGAGTCACCAGGATCCTGAGTGGCAAGTCGCTTGCGGTCCTCCATTTTGACGACAAGACCGGACTTGGGTAAGGACACCGTAGGGGATTCGAGAGCCGTCATGAGGTTGGACGGGGCTGGGAATATGTGGCCACCAACAGCAGCGAGAGGAGTAATGAGCGTGAGTCAACCGAGCAGTCCAGCAGAATTCTACAGAGAAGGAAAATCTAGCCAGAAGACCACGACAAGGCGGGAATGCTGAGAGGAGACAATGAAAGACGCTGGGACAGATTGCGAGGTTGAAGATCCAGTAAAGGAGGATTTTCCCCGTCCCAGGTTAGTGCTCGTCTTGGCGTTTAATCACGTGATGTCATCGCGATTTTGGTGTATAAAAAAAGAAAAGAGTTTTACACGCGGAGCGGAGGAGAGCGAATATAAGGTAGAGAAAGCGAGTGGTCTATGGCAAAGTAGATTTAAGTAGGGAGATGTTGCGCTTAAGGTGACCACTGCCATTCCTCCCCGCGGAGATGGTATCGGACTGGGCGAGTCTGGGATGGCGACCCCGATAGTAGTTCGTCTGCCCGTTCGTGCGAGCCTTGTTTGCCCTGTAAAACGCCCCGGACGCCTCGAAGCCTTGAGCTGGCAGCCCTGGAACACCCAGGGAGGTCGGCCATTGAGGGGTTTGCATGAAACCGGCGCTGGTCAAACGGCTTTTACTTGCTGTGTTTGTGGGGTTTGAAGATAAGTAAAAAAAGAATTAGCATTTAGCCCAGATAAAAAAGCTTATCGCGTGCTTAGGTAATCATGACTGTCAGCTAATTTATTTGGGCCAGACATCCCACCAACTTCGACTCGACCATACACGCACACGTACAGGAAAGCCCATCTATAAGCTGCTATTAAACACCACGGACGGCATTCAATACAATGGCAGAACCACCAAAGGCCAAGGCAAGCGCTGCGAAGGTGCCGACAAGAGCGATGAAGCGAAAACGGACCGTTGAAGAAGTAGCCTCTGAGGTGGTCGAAGATGCAGTGCGCGAGAAGAAGCCTCGAACGGCCAGGAAGAAGGCGTCCACCCCCGAAAACTCAGAGTCGATAGAAATAGTATCTGCAGTGGTGACGATGTCAGATCTCTGCCGTGACCTGCGCACCGGGAAAACGTCGAAACGCGAAATGGAGCTTCGAACAATGGACTGGGCAGAGATCGCTAGGAAGAAGAAAGAAAGGGAGGAGAGGAGAAAAGGTGGTGATGGAGATCAATCGGCGAAGAGGGATTCTACAGACACGCCGAAACCCGTCGCGAAGACCTCGATGCGTCAGTCGGCCGAAGTCACCGGTCCACAGATGAGGATTGTCAACGGCGAAATTGTGCTGGATGCCTCGTCATTACAGATTGATCGTCACGCAGACGCCGACAGAAATGCAGACGATATGGAGGAAGTCGAGGAAAACCCGCTCACGCGACGCATAAATGCAGCGTCGTTCGGGAAACGGACAAAGCTCGAAACGTGGGACGAGGCGATGACGGATCTATTCTATAAGGGGTTACGCATGTTCGGCACGGATTTCATGATGATTAGCAAGATGTTCCCTGGTCGGACAAGGCGGCATATAAAGCTGAAATTCTCCAATGAAGAACGAAAAGAGCCGGAGCGGATTAAACGGACTTTGCTTGGCCCAAGAGAGCCAGTTGACTTGGAGGCTTATTCTGAGATGACGAATACAGTCTATGACGATCCCAGAGCTATACAACAAGAGCTAGACGAGGAGAGGAGGAGGATTGAGAACGAGCATGCCGAGGAGCAGATGGCGCGTGAGGAACAGCTTCGAAATCCTGGTGGGAAGTCTGGTGATAATGTGCTACCCAGTATCGAGAATGAGTCTCACGATGCTCGGCGGCGGCGGGAGAAGAAGAAAGCGGACAAGGCGAAATTCGGAGGAGGAACAGAGGAGATTCTCGGTTCTATTGATGATTGATATGATATTATATTACTGGGGTGGAGCACCTTGTTTGGGCGCATTTCGGGGTTGGTTTCGTGATCCTTTGAACTACTTCTAGCGGCTCGCTGCGATTCTGTAACATGATATGAGATTTTCGATATATTCCTGCCTAGTACGATATTAATCTAATTTTTATTCCGTATAATGGAACGAAACCCATCTTTCACATACGTTCAATCTCTAACCAGCCATGAATACAATGCTTCGTGAACTAAAGGCCAACAATGGGTCAGCGACGCCTTGTACCACCAAATCCGGTGCTCTCCCTAGTCGAGGCCGAGTAGGATGGTCCCGCAGCGGCATTATTGCTGCCTGACCTAAAGGAGTCATTCCCTCTCCGTGACGTGCCTCGCCCCATGGCATATCCTGCAGCAGTCCCACCTAAGGCACCAGTCCAAAAACCGGGCCTCCAGGATTCATTCTCTTTTGCGAACCTGGGTTGCTGATAGTCGTATGGAGGTGGTGGGCCTGGAGGCCACCATCCACCTCCTCCGCCTCCTCCGCCGCGGCCATTCCTCCCCTGGCCGTGGGTGCCGGTGCAATACTGGAGGAGCTTCACGACGATCATAAACAGGCCGAACCACACAGCCATTCGTGTAAGAGTAGTCCATATCGATTCATCGTAGTTGCCACTATCGTGTGGAATGTGGCCATACCGCTTCTCTCCCATATCTGTAAGTAACATTCTATACTCCACGCCGCAGCTGCCTTTTAGAATCCACGGATCCTCGGAGCTTCGATACCCTTCACAAATCACATCTGTACTCCCGAGCTTAAATTCAGGAGGCAGTTGCGCAGTGCACGTCCATTGCACGTCATTTTCATCATAGTCATACCCTTCATTGGTGCAACGGAGGACATCTGGCTGGTAGAGGGAGCAGATTTCTTTGGATGGTCCAACGCAGTTTAGCTGTGGAATTGCCGAGACTCGACGGTGGGATGTTTTGCGGTTGGAGTGAAGAGTGAGGGTTTGGACATCTGACAAAAGAACCGCATTCCGCGAGGGAGACTTGGTCGTACTGTAGGAAGCCACAGGTTGGAGGAGGGCTGATATCGCGAAGAGACAAGTAGCTAGCGCAAACATTGCTGTCCACGTCGTTAGCTATGAGAAGGTTCAAGCATATGATGTCTTTGGCATTTGACCGGGTTTAAGGACTACTTCATCTGAGAACGCAATAGCCAGGTAGATATATATATAGGTATATATATATCCTCTGTCAGGACAGGTGGCCTTCCCTTTAGGCAGAAACAAACTCGCCAAAAGGATGACGAATGAGGAAGGCCACGCGCCAAGAGATAAGATTGATCTGATAAAGGGCACGGACGGGTTCGAAACCCTCCAACTTGGAACTTCCAACACGGCACTTTTTAAGTGTACACAAACGACTGTCGCAACACCGGGACTCTCCAGCCCCCTTGGACGGTGCAATACGGAAGAAAAATGGATGAGGTGAGCTGGGACTCGTAGTTACAATGTCCAGCCCTCAAAGTCTGTGAGCCCTGAAGGCCCCTTGTCAGTCATTTTCACCCTAGCTAAATATCACCCGCAATTGTTCTAGATGCCACCCTCTGCCCGCCCCAACAGCAGTCGTGAGTTTGCCCTCCCTTGCGTGGTAGAGTTCATGCACTAATTGTATTTAGCAGGCTGTCATTTACGCAGGGCCTGTTGCTGGGCCAACTCTCCGTTGTCCTCCTGATCGGCGCCTTCATCAAATTCTTCATTTTCGGAGAAGCCCCCTCATCGTCCTCCCGCGGTATACCACAACGCACAGCACCCCGCAAACGATCATACTCTGTGAACAGCACCCTATTTAGGGATGCTGCCTCCCGATCATTAAAGGAGTCAGCGTCGTCAAATATCCTACGGCCCGTTCCTTCATCTTCTACAAATACGAAATCCATACTCCGGAAAACATACTACAATGCCATCCCTACCAACTTCCAGAAAGGTGGACGACATCGTCTTCATCACTCAACTCATCAGCCTGAATCCTTGGATTGGTTCAACGTGTTGATCGCCCAATTAATCGCGCAGTACAGAGAGACCGCATACATACTCAAAGATTCGCCGACATCATCGATTCTCGATTCCCTTACTGAAACCCTTAATAATGTGGAAAAGAAGCCATCATGGATTGATAGGATTAATGTTACAGACATATCGATTGGTGAAGAATTCCCTATATTCAGCAACTGTCGTGTCATCGCTGTCGACGATCCGAATTCCGATGGCGGCCGGCTTCAGGCATTGATGGACGTTGATCTAAGCGATGACAACTTATCACTTGCGATCGAAACCAATCTACTTTTAAATTATCCAAAACCAGCTTCTGCAGTCCTACCAGTTGCTCTTTCCGTATCTGTTGTGCGGTTCTCAGGCACATTATGCATATCATTTGTCCCTAGTCCAGGCACAACCTCAGACGCCACTCCTCACCCACCCCACCAAGGGCCCCCAGAAGGCCAGAATGAACCCCAGCCTGGGCAACAGGATACAGGCAGGCCTTCCAGCAAAGATGGTGTTAGATCAGGAATACCGAAAACAAGCCTCGCGTTTTCGTTCCTACCAGACTATCGTCTAGATATTTCCGTTCGGTCCCTCATCGGATCACGGAGCAGATTGCAGGATGTTCCCAAAGTTGCGCAACTCGTCGAAGCACGAGTCCAATCGTGGTTTGAGGACCGTGTCGTGGAGCCCCGAGTCCAGCTGGTTGCTCTGCCAGGCATATGGCCACGGATGGGACGAACTGGTGTTCGAGCACAGGAAGACCCTGATGCTGTCTCCATTGATTCAGATGACTCTGAGGCAAACGCTACACGTAGCAGATTTACTCCTGTTAATACCAATATTAATGAGACACAGGCTTCACGAGACCTCAATATGGACGGGCTGCGGTATCGACGAGGCAATCATCCTACAAGCGAAGCCACAGCAGAAGGATATGATCGTCGAACTCAAAGCAGTGGCCAAATAGGGGCATCCGCTGAGGAACAGTTTAGGATTCCTGGGTCATTGCCAGGTGCACCGGCTGTGGCATAATTATTCAAAACATTGCTTTGGAGGGCTATCGGTGCATATACCAGCTGCTAGATTTTAAAATGCAGAATCTTAAATATATATCATGATGATGAATCTTAAAATACGATATACCATCTCATTCTCAGCAACGCAGTTGGAACTGGGGCATTTGGCTACCATCACTCGCTATCGTACCACATTACTCAAGTGCTAACATTAGAGCAAGATGAAAGTACTTTAGGGCGCGGCCAAAGCTTCAACATATGTCAGTCGGAATGAATTCTTGTCAAGGTTCGGTTCACGGTTTAAGGGCGTCCACTTCGGTTCGTCTTGGAACAGTCGCATCGCTTTGATATACTACATGGAGCGACTGAGTTAATATTGTTGAAATAGCAATAGTCTTAATGAAGCTTGGGACAACCTACATTGCTCTCTCCTGTCGTAAATCGATGGTATATCCCAGCAGGTAGGATAAGGAGGTCTTCCTTCTCGACCAGAATGCGTATCCAGTCATCCCCTGCGCTGCGAACGTCAAAATACCCCTCGCCATCCAAGATGTATCTAATTTCTTCATCTTCATGAAGGTGCTCATGAAAAAAAGTCTTTACTTTCTCTTCGTACACGGCACCCATCTTCTCCGGCGAGACGATGATCTCATCGCGGTTCTTATAACCCCGTTCTGAAGCTAGGGCGTTCACATCGTCAACAGAAGGGCATCGTCGGTATAGAACGCCTATCTTCGAAAGATAATCTGTATCAACGGCGCGGCCGGAGTCATGAGGTGCGCGCTGGTCGCCCTGTTGCGAAAAAGGGTGTTAGCTATGCCGTGAATTAATATATCCCGATGGCGGGGTTTTATTAAGAGATCGAATCGACAGCTGGAGAACGTTACCCTACCTCGACATTATCAAACCAGTAAGCCCTCATTTTGAGTCTAGCAACGATCTCTGGCAGCTCTTAGGATATTAAACCAATAGATTATTTGATGGGCTGGCAGAGTGTTATCCTCAGGATATCTACTTCCGCAGCTCGGCTTTCTCCCGCCAAAAAGCTGACAAGATAGAGTGATCCCGTGATTGGTTGCTATTTAAGGTTTTCTCCACCGTGATGTTTGGCATTTTGACTTTCTTTTCTTCGGAGCAAAATTCATATGAAGACCAAAGGTCCAATGCCAGGATTTTTGTACAGCCTTGCTGTCAACCCAGCGATAGCTTAATATACAGAGTTGTGGGAGCTGCAATGATCAGGGCGCAGGTGCCCAGGGCGTTTTCTCGCCTACACAGGATTTATCCAGTTCACAGACCCTTCCAACGGGGATTCGCGACTGTTGGCGACAGCACTCGGTTTGTTATACACACCCTCTATATTAGGCAGCTCTAAGGACTAATGTCATCTCTTATTAGGCCATACGATGTTATTGTTATTGGTGGCGGCCATGCTGGATCAGAAGCATGTACCGCAGCTGCTCGTTCCGGCGCGAGAACCGCCCTCATAACTCCTTCTCGATCGGACATTGGCGTTTGCTCGTGCAATCCAAGCTTCGGCGGGATAGGAAAAGGGACAATGATCCGTGAAATTGACGCTCTTGATGGAGTAGCTGGCAGGACGGTCGATAAAGCTGGCATCCAATTCCGGGTACTCAACAAATCGAAAGGCCCGGCTGTCTGGGGTCCACGAGCACAGATTGACCGCGCACTCTACAAGAAGTATATGCTGGAGGAATTATCCAATACACCTGGCCTTAGCATCGTGGAAGGAAAGGTGGCAGATATCGTCATATCGAAGGATAATGTGGAAAATCTCAATGGATCTCAGGGCGAGATTGTAGGGGTCAGGCTGGAATCCGGCGAGGTGATACCCACTGGGAAAGTGATAATCACGACCGGCACGTTTCTAGGAGGCGAAATCCATATCGGATTGGACGTCTTCCCATCCGGTCGTATGGGAGAAGCAGCGACTTTTGGGCTGAGCAAGTCGCTTCGTGAAGCAGGTTTCAAGCTCGGCCGTCTCAAGACAGGTACACCCCCAAGATTAGACCGGAAGACCATCGATTTCAGCACACTCGAAGTCCAGCCAGGCGATTCACCTCCAAGTCCCTTTTCGTATCTCAACGACTCAGTGCAGATTGGGAATGAGGGCCAACTAAGCTGCTGGTCAGCCTACACGAACGAAGCGTCTCATGACGTTGTACGAGAGAATCTAGACAGGTCTATTCATATCCGCGAAAGTGTCAACGGCCCACGTTATTGTCCTTCTCTGGAGTCGAAAATCATCAAGTTCAAGGATAAACCCAGGCATATGATTTGGTTAGAACCTGAAGGGCTCGCGCCAAACGATGTGATTTACCCGAACGGAATCTCAATGACCATTCCCGCCGACGCTCAGGAAAAGATGTTACGAACCGTTCGCGGATTGGAGAACGTAACTATGCTTCAACCTGGTTACGGGGTGGAGTATGACTATGTTGACCCACGATCATTACGCCCTACACTCGAAACGAAACTGATTAGTGGGTTGTACCTTGCCGGCCAAATAAACGGCACAACTGGGTATGAAGAAGCTGCGGCGCAAGGTATACTTGCAGGTATTAATGCAGGACTCGCTTCCCAGTCCAAACCACCAATGACCCTCTCGCGCGCGGATGGATTCATTGGAATCATGGTGGATGACCTTATTACCAAGGGAGTCTCCGAGCCCTATCGCATGTTCACGACTCGAAGTGAATATCGTATTTCAACACGCTCAGATAACGCAGACTTACGGCTAACGGCGAAGGGACGTGCTGCTGGCGTTGTATTCGACAAGCGTTGGAGCCATTTCAACGAGACCAAGGAGCAACTATCCTACCTACAGACACTCCTCGAAAACACCAAGTATCCATCCCCGTCCTGGTCACGAAAGGGATTCCCTGTTCGTACAGACTCCACCGTCCGGTCTGCTTTTGAACTCCTCTCACATAACGGAGTTTTACTTGATGACATTATTCCACACATCGACTCCTCACCTGGTGTCCTCCACACTCTTTCTTCGTTTCCCCCCGAAATTAAATCTCGAGTAGCCATTGAAGGCCGCTATGCTCCATACACCAAACGACAGGAGGCGACGGCTCTATCCTTTGAACGAGATGAGAGCCTTTTACTCCCTTCCGACATAGACTATAGCAAAATGCTTGGTTTGAGCACCGAGGAGCGTCATGCTTTGGAGAAAGTGCGCCCAGTAAGCATTGGTATGGCGCGCCGTGTTGAAGGTGTGACCCCTGTGGGTGCCCTGAAACTGCTCATGCATGTTCGCAAGTTAAGGTTGCTAGAACCCGAGAAAGGTGAAGCTGTTTTGGAACAGAATCTACGAGAATAGGAGCATGAACCCACATATACTACCTAAACAGTCAAGTACGCATACAAACTGTCCCGCATGACATCAGCCCTGGAGGCATATTCACAAGAACTTGCCTGGGGGGATGTTTTTTGGCTAAGGGGCCTGAGGATATTAATGTTACGGAAAAACTATAGCCTGCCGAAGTGCTTGCATGAACGAATATTCCTACAGGCAACTAGCTCCCCTATACCCAAGAGATATGCCAAAGAATTACTCCTGCCGCCGCTACGGCGGCAGCAGTGTATATACCAATCTCCAATATCTCCAATGGCACATAAACACCAAGCGCAATGGGAGGCTCGTCTGTCACATATGTAATACATTTGCAAGAATCTTAAACTTGAATATTGTTATGACGACTGTGGCAATTGGATTGTGGCCTTCCATGCTTTTAGAAGACACAGAAATAATTTTCACAACCAATATGGAAATCCCTCTGGATCACATCGAAACATTTTCCATATCGGCGACTCAGCCTATGGGAGGGCAACCGCTCGATTCGACGAGCTTGCTCAGCTCCCGAGTGTATCGTCTCACCACCCAGCCTGTGTCTGTTTATGTCGAAGGAAAACCACCCCCCCCCCCCCCCCCCCCCCCCCAGATCACTGCTGGACTCTGTTTAAATATATCCTCTACTCTACTCTAATATCATAATGTATATAGAACTTCTCATTGGAAGATAGCAGACACTGTAGGCGCCTGGGGCCTCGGAGCTGAGGAGGCAAGCTCGGTTAAAGAACGAGTGGTACCCCGTAGCTATGCTTCTCAACGTCGTCTTTTCCATTCAGTCTTATCGAACTTATTCTATTCTCTTTCTAAACCGTCAAGCTATGTAGAAGGTGGCCCAATTTTAGGGAGATTCAAATAGGCGGTAGATACGGCCTTGTAGGTGAAAGGAAGCGCGGGAAATTGGGATTTAAAGGGGCAAAAGCGCCTCCCTTCGCTAGGTGACCATGCCATCGCGTAGACCCGACAAAAATAGAAATACTTACTCCGTAAAGCGCTTCCACAGGGTATGTAAGGGAATGAAGGTATCTACAGAGTCGGAGAAGGAAGTATTTAGGTGAGGCCAGCAAAAATTAAAGATGCAAAAAAAATGGACTGTCAGGGAATCGAACCCTAGACCACCCCCATGCTAAGGGGGTATTATACTAAAAAATCTATATATAAATCTGAACAGTCAGGTTAATGAACTCTACTGCTCAATATTCGATGTCTCTACTCTGTATATAGATTATACTACTTTTGACTGAGCCTTACTAGGTAATAAAAGACGCTAATAGATAAAATATTAGACTTTATTCTCTATATTAAAATATAAATTGTGATATTAATATATTATATATTGTCATGCCAGACCATGTGACCAGAACCCATGCCCTATCACGTGATCCTGGTTACCCTAATCACGTGATGAGCAACACATAAATAACTCAAAGACACTGACCCCTTTAGGAGGTCAGTGGTTAGCTCATTATCAATCCTACCTACTAGTTCGACATATTCATTACCAATTCCCGCTATCACAGCGTTACTAGCTATTGATCCCCATCGTAGCCTCACATATATATACTTAATTCTACTAAAAAGTAAGGATATTTAGATAAGCTAGCCGAACTAAAGTGCGCCTACTTTCGTGAAAGTCAAGATATAGGAAGAGCAAAAAAAATGGACTGTCAGGGAATCGAACCCTGGACCACCCCCATGCTAAGGGGGTATTATACCACTAAACCAACAGCCCTGGTCGATATTGAAACCTAGATCTATCATGATAATATGGCCGCTTTTTATTCCTGCTTATTCACCCGACTTCCCTTCTAACCCCCACGCCTTTATAGGACTTCACGCGTATTCCACTTCATCTAAACCCATATAAGCGCTTTAACTACTATCAAGTCTACGCGATGGGACAGTTATCTAGTATACCCCTTACCCTATAGATAAGAAGTCCTTCCCCTCTCTTAAATTCCTATTTTTCTCACTTTCCCTTTTTCTCTTTTCTCTTCTTTCTCTATATTCACCTATAGGCCTATATCTGCTATCTATTTGACCCTCCTGGGAAGAGAGGATTCAAATGCAGCCAAATTACTATAATTGCTAGCCTACTAGATAGTCAGAGCATTTGACACGAGCTCCTGTGTGCTGAGCTTACTGATAGCACTTCGAGTGTCATTCTTAGATTACCCGTCTGCAGTGCTGAATGATCAATAGGTAGTCTAGGTTTAAATCACCACCCAACACTGCATATATTCTTCGTTTAACAAATCGGATTGTTTCCGTCTAGATTGACGATTTCGGCCACTCCAAAATTGGGCAGTATTATATAGCCAGTAGTTCTAGTATATCACCGCTCAGTTGGAATCCAATAATCTCGCCATGCACCAGTATCAGCATCTCGAAAGGTATCAATGTCCCCTTCTACACCAGAATCTCCCACGGTCCAAACCCCAGTGTCAACCAGTTCTCGCCATCGGTCGAGTAGTCTCTCTAAGCTTTGTGGATGGTTACCTCCAAAAGGTAGAAAGCCTGGCTGAAATAACTGGAATATAGTTCCAGGGGAAACCATACTACCATCGCTCTTCCGAGCTCCTTGCTCGGGCTGGCCATCTACCCGTAGCTGAAAGGGGAGTAGCAACCAGGTACCGTCCTCATAGGTACCTTCATCTTCCCGGTACACTGCCTCGCTATATAAGCCAGCGGGTATAGAACGGTCTCCCTGCGGGATAACTAACCCTTTATGTTCAAAACGGGTTGAATAATCTCTCGTATCGATATCGATATTGATTGTCTGGCTAGGATCAGCTGGAGCAAAGATAAGGACCGGAGGGATAAAAGGACCCCAGTCGTCTGTGTCAGGCCTGCGCCGCATGGTTGTAAATTTTTGATTGCCAACATAGGATTCGAAACCGGGGTGCCTAACCAATTCAGCCACCCAGCAATGCTTGATGGTAAGTATTATGATATTCCGGATCCGGTATCTGAATATGGCTGCTTTTCTGCCTTGCTTACTCATCTGGACTATGCGTAATTTACTTAAATTCTTGACGTTTTACACGAATACAGGTACGATACAGGGCTTAGCACGTGCTCCACACAGCCCTCGTGTATTCTTTCCCTTTGAAACATCTTTGGAACACCATAACAAGCCATCTTCTCCAGGCCTCGAGCTCGTGTTGAACCTCTCGAACACCGCATTCTATATATATAAAAATGTCGGATATTTCTTTTCGACCACGCTCGCCATACCGAACTCCCTCACATCCAGATCGTAGTATTTGCCAGGTCGAACTCCCTCGTCGAAAGATCTTTATCCAACACCCTGCTTATAAAGATGATTCATACACTCTTATCGCTTTCCTCGGGCTCGACCATTCGACTGGCGGCATCCATCATGAAACTGCTCGGATTGCGTGCGCAATCCTCGCTGGGAATAGATGGGACGGGTTCTTAGCAGAGACGAGAACTGGAGAATGCATTAAGGAGGGTAGTAACTCTATTCTTCAGAAGAGTAAATACTACTTTCGACTGCCAGATATGTCCCCAGATGGTATGTGACTATCCCTAAAATATATTTTGGCTAATAACAGATAATATAGAAAAATTTCCCGTTACTCCCTCTTTCTCGCACTATAGATTCCCAAAAATTTTGCCCTCCTCATGGCGAGACCAGGCTCTTCCTGATCTGCCAGAACGTCGATTACCGCGTCAAAGCAGCTTGGTTCCAGCTCCCGTCACCCGTGATATCTCTTGTCGAGTAACAAACTATACTGAAGGCACCGAACCTGCCTATCTCATACCCCAGAGCGAGCAACAGTGGTATAATCAAAACAGCATGTCCCAGTACGCCAATATACGTCCCGATGCTGAGTGTATACACGATACATCTAATACTATTCTGCTCCGCTCTGACATTCATGCTCTCTTTGATCAAAAGCGGTTTGTAATAGTCCCAAAAGCCGATACTTTCGTCATCCATGTCTTAGCTTCGGGTTCCTCTCTCGAACTCGTTAACTGCTATCACAATGTTACTTTGCAACCTCTAACTGGGGTTGTAACTGAGTACCTCTTTGCTCGGTTCGCTTGGTCCATATTCTCTTATTCTACACCATTCCTTATGGAAGGTAGAACACGGATACTATCGCTTTATATCGATAATGAGGTAAAGGTTGTTGAATACTCTCGTGAAAAATGCAGGCAGTTGATCGCTGGGATTAAATCCGGCAGCCAAAGCCCACGAAAGCGACAGCGGGATAGGATACAACCCCAACCGGAAGATGAGGAGTTCCGCGGGCGGAAAAGGAGGCGTAGCTTTGAACTGTCTTCTCTAGACCACGACGAATCGGAGGCAGAAACTGATCCTGAAATGTGACTCTATTTTAGGTGCATTGCCAATATGTCAAGCGGATGTGGATATTTTGTGATCCACGGGAGCAGGAATGACATGAGAAAAAATACTCATCTAAAAATTAGTGTACACAACACTTGTCTGGAGTAAAAATGAAGATACCAGACCCCAGAGTCCGTGGGAATTATCCAACCACACCGCAGCGTACCTGAGGGAGACCAGAGCCGTTTCCTATACAGAGATTATATATAATCTGATCGACCTTCCGTGACTAGTTAATGATCTAGACATTTCAATTGGGTAGGGACAGACTGGATAGAGAATCATTATATAGTAAAGAAGGAGGAAGTCAACCCCCTTATATATAGCTGACGTTGGTTATTAGGCGTTGGGGCTATAAATCAAATAAAGTAACAACAGGGCCACCCGACGCTTCTCCACGCGTGGGACCTCGCTGGGGCTGTTATTATCTTTTGCATTATCCCTGATCACCCGCTCCGCGAGCCATCTTCTGCCTGCCACTGCCGGTCATTGGGGTAGCTGCGAGTTTGAATGGCCGGCCTCTAAAAGATAGAGCGCGCCACTGACCAGATGTAGACTTCCTGTTACCAAGGCTTGCATGCCGCTGCTCAAATCTCCTATTTCTTTGGCTCGACATAACGTCTCCTCAATTGTTCGTTCGCATGATACTCTTGCAGTTGGATCAAATGTTCTCCAAAACTCTGCATAACTTTCTTGTACCTCTCGAGAGAAGCGGTTGGTGAGATTCCGGTCTGAAGACTAGGTTAGCTTTTATAATACGTTGCTGGTAGACATGCACATACCAATCCGGGTTCGGCCATCCGGTATTTCATCATATGAGCTTATAATAACGTGCTGCACCTGAATGTTATTATCGAGTAAAGAGTTCGCAATATTACGCAGAAGAGCTATTCCATCTCGATTTGAAAAGTGACTAGAAATTAGAATCCGCGTGGGAGTAGGAATACTAATGAGTCAATGCATAGCCCTAGGCTTCGGATTAGGCAGACTCACTTCTGACTCTCCCTAGCTCTCTCTGCAAACCACTCGACCGCGTAATATAGGCTTAACTCAGTGTGTGCTTCGTCAAGAAACCACTGATAATTTTGATCATTGATTTGCTGGTATCGTCCTGGCCAACTAAATTCCTCAATTCCACGAATGATGTCATTGTCAATGTTGCTCCGCTCTGTAGGTATTTTTGCAGACAACCAAGCACGGAACACTGCAAGAGCCAAAGAGCAATTGAGCTTTTGTATTTTTGGTTTCAGAGCCACTGCGCTGGTCGGAAGGCCACTATCAAGGCCAATAAATTTGAGTGATACTTTCTGTTCAGCAGCTCGCTGCTGAAGGACTGTTGCAACCATTGGTTCTTGAAGAGTAGAAAATGCTGGACATCCCGATTTAAATATCCCCGCCTTATGCCACGCAATATTCTCGATCGTTGGTCCAAGTAAGTTAACATGATCCATTGAAATCGATGTAAGAGCTGTTACAATTGGCGCACTAATGACGTTTGTGGCATCAAATTCCCCGCCGAGATGGGTCTCATAGACCGCCACATCAACCTTCTCTTGTATGAAGACGTGGAAAGAGAGAAGTGCTAAAAGCTGGAGATACCGGGGTATATCTAGAGTGTCTGTTGCCTCGCCGGGCAGCTTATCCCAGATCTCGAAGAATCTGACGGCGAAAAGATTCCGTGATATTGGCTCGCCGTTGATACAAACCCTCTCGCGTATGTTGTATATATGCGGTGATGTGTATAGCCCAACCTTTCGTGGGTACCCGGTATTGTTTCTATGCGCTTTAAGGAACGATGCGACAAATGCGCAGGTACTCCCTTTCCCCTTTGTTCCTGCAACATGAATGATATTCAGGCGATTCAGATCTTCGACCTATCTTTCCGTTCAACAAAGTTGCGTGACAAAAGATATATACACGTACTGAGTGTCCGAGAAGCTGTAGCCATTTCGCCATATCATCTGAACCCCGCATGTCGTTTATATTAGTCTTCGCGCGTGCCCGTCGACTATTTAAGCAGCGTACGGCTTCCTATTTCTCTTTAGCATATGGATCCACCGTTGTTAACGAGACTCACCTCATAGTTCTTCATTTTGTTAGCCCTTGAGCTCAATTTTCTTACGAGCGGTTGTCTAAAATAGATTCAAAGATTCGAAATACCGGAATTGCCAAGAGGCGTCAACTAGAGTTAGTGAACTGATGCTTAACTGGATCACCATACTTTTTATGCTCAAGGTTAGGAACGCGGGCCGTGATGGCGGATCCACCGGAAAGTCCACCGGAAAGTTAGCTCCACAAGTTTCAGACATATCTTAGGATAATGTCAAAAGATTCTCTGCTGCCCAACAAGCGCCGTGGCTTTTTGCCTCAATGGGTTTCATTTGACAGTTATGAGCCCCCTTGGCGCATATTTACTACCTCAGGACCCTTGGTTCGAATCTAGCTCTATACAGCCCATTTTTCAATAGGCCATGAGGCCCCGAGGCCAATAAGGGGCACCACCATTATTCATAGGACAAGCCACCAATAGAGTGCTCACCCTGACCAACTCATCGGCCAAATCAACAATCAACTCTACACCCATATTTCAGCCTGCCTCCACACCCTAGTGCCCTATCAGGCTGGGAGTGTGTGTTAAAAGAAAAGCTTCTCTGCTGCCCAACAAGCGGCGTCGCTTTTTGGCTCAATGGTTTTTCATTTGACAAATAGCGATGCTCATGCTGGCCACAAAGTGCTCCATAGTTTTAGAAATAATGCCTATAAGAGAGCTCCCGGCTTCTTGGAGCTTGGACGCCTCTCTGCCATTTACAAACCATACCTTGATGCCTTTGAATTAAGTCTGATAGTTCGCGATCGTCTAAGGAATCTTGAAGATATGCCGCCTCAATCTCTATGCTGTTTTCCTACCTTCCAAAAGCCAATACCAAAGGAGATCCCGGCCGTTGCCTCGGAAAAGGGTTTGATTACAAAACCATATACACCTGAGAGGTCGACAATGTACTGGGATCACTACTTTCAGGAAAAGAATGGCAAGCAGGCTAAAGACACATCCCATACTTATTTCGAGCATTCGCAATGTCCACCAGCGCCACCGCCGAGTCGATGTACGCAGAATTCCGATCGACCCAGCCAAATAAGGAAACCTCAACATATAAGGGAGCGGCATATTTATCCTCTTAGCGTTATCAGAGGTGCGTACGTCATGCCCAGCTGATGTTTATCTCAGGAGACTAATGAGATATAGGTATTCTTAGCCTATATACACTTCAGCCGGTGGAGCCAGAAATGACTCCGGTGGTTGTAGAGTGTTATCGCCCTTTTCCACCTAGCTTATACAAAGCAACTTTCATATTTAAAACCTCGGACAAGAGACGGACCTGTTCCATTGAGGAGATATGTAGGGCCCACGAGTTTAAAGCGGCGGTTATTACCTGGAATCCTGATTATATGGCCAAGTTAAAAATGGTCTGTTCTTAAAACCTCACTAGTCTCTAGTTGTTCTTTGTATTTTAATACGTTTGTTTGATATTTACTCTACAATGTATATTCGCCCCGGACTTTCAATCCTTTTTCCCTGTATATAGCATCCGATCAATGCTCCTGGGTGTTTGCAGGATGATGGTCTGCTAAAATGGCTACGTGTCCTATGACCTGGCAAGGCAAGTTGCAATCGCAGTCATTTCTCATTCTTTCCCCTTTCACCCTCACATTCTTACTGTGTCTACTGTACGCTATGATATTGATTTTCCTATACTATGGTTAAGGGATATTTATAACATTTAGTCTTTTCTCTGTCTCCATCTAAACTTTGAGAGATCGGCAGGGCCTGCAGGGGCGCATAACTAGTGGATCAGCGAGATGCCAAATTTAGATCCAAGTATGTATATGCGAGCTCTTATAGCAAGACTGATTCTACGAAGTACGGAGATATAATGCGACTTTTCTTGCTAATCATTTAGGGCTGTTACTAATATCCTATCCCTCCATCCCCCGAAACCTCGAAGGCCACATGAACAGGCCATGAAAATCTAGTATTAATCAGCAAGGTAAAATCTCAAAGCTGATTGGGGACGTGCAAATATGGCGTCATGGTAAGAAAACGAATGTTTGGACCTCTTGTAAGCAAAAGGCTGCCGTTTATATCTTAATATAACCGTTAGTCAGTTAAGGAATTTCCGCGACACCGTCCGCCGTCCGCAGAGGCTACTGCGTCTCTCCTATACACCTGAGTATCTGCAAAGGCTAAGTTATGCGCGTCGCCGCGGGTTTTCCGCGGTATAAGGTTAGAGTTAACTACGGGACCCACTGTTAAAAAGCCAGATCTGAGAACTATATCGCCATTACTTAGTTATGGGTGTTCTTGTTAGGGATTTTGCTCATTATATCTACCACGTAACCTCACCATGTATAGCCTGCCAGCCGCCAGATCGTACGGAATGCAATCGCTTCACTCCCACTTATCTCACTGTGCTCCCCTCTTTGGCAGCTTAGCCCCCGTTTGAGACGTGCCCCTCCAATTTTGCCTCTATTACTATGACTGACGAGGGGAAGCCATCAAAAACCTGTGACAACAAATTGGTCACTCACTCCGGTCCCGAAACCACCGATTTCAAGCGCTTATCAGTAGAAGAAAAGTTAGATGACGCAGTCCTGGATCCCGACGTGGTCGACTTTGATGGACCCAATGACCCGAAAAACCCCATGAACTGGTCTTCAGGCAAGAAGGCAGCCGCCATTACAATGGTGACAATGGTGACGCTGCTCTCGTATGTTTCCATATGCTATCCTTCGTCTCCGGCCGATTTGTACAGAGCACTGGCTTATCACCCTCTTATGCAGACCCATCGGTTCAACAATTAGCTCCTCTGCTGCGGGCGATATCATGGTGTATTTCAACACTACCAACGAGACACTCCTGGCATTTGCGACCACAATATATCTGTTAGGTTACGCGTTCGGTCCCATCATGATTGCCCCCCTATCTGAGATGTACGGACGCGCAAGTCTGTACAAGATTTGCATCGTCCTGTTCCTCATCTTCAACGTGGCTTGCGCCGTGGCTAATAACCTCTCGTCACTAACTGTGTTTTGACTCTTTGCCGGTGTTGCGGGCTCATGCCCCGTCACACTCAGAACGGGCTCTATAGCCGATATGGTGCCGCGGGAGAAACGTGCGGGAGCCATGGCAGCCTATGTGATCGGTGCTGTTCTTGGACCGTCCGTGGGGCCCATCGTCGGCGGCTACCTGACGCCCGCGGTGGGATAGCGCTGGGCCTTCTGGGTAATGGCGATTGCCACTGCAGTTCTTGCTATAGTGGTGGTGTTCTTCATGCAGGAGTCATATCCCTTTGTGTTGATCAAGCGTAAGACGGAGCGCTTGCGCAGAGAAACAGGCAATATGAATATTCGCTCGGCCCTCGACACGGGCAAAACGTCACCCCAGCTCTTTGCCTTCTCCATTTTGCGTCCCCCGAGGATGCTTCTCTTACCCATCGTCCTCTCTTTGTCACTGTACGCCGCCATTGTTTACAGCTATCTGTACTTATGCTTTACCACCTTTCCACGAGCCTTCGGTAATCAGTATGGCTTCGGCAGCGGCGCGTCGGGCCTGGCGACATTGGAGGAATTTTCGTGCCCATCGGGCTGTTCTGGTACGCCTGGACGGCTGAGGGCAAGCTGTACTGGATCGTTCCCATCATCGGAACCGGCTTCATCAGTGGCGGTATGGTTATTACATACGTAGGTCTACCTCTCGTCGTCAATATTTCTGCATCTCTAACACCAAATCAGATGACCAGCACCTTGTATCTTGTCGACGCATACACCGTCTATGTTGCCTCAGTGACAGCTTCGAGCACCATTTTCCACTGTCTTTTTGCAACATTTCTGCGCCTAGCAGGCCCTGCTATGTATGGCAAGCTGGGGATTGGTTGGGGAACTTCGATCCTTGGATTCATTGCTGTTGCATTTATTCCACTTCCTTTCATCTTTTATATTTATGGCCAGCGATTGCGTGAGTTGAAGCACTTTAGGATTGATTTCTGAACTTTATAAAAGTTTGGCTGCAACTTGGTCCTTCACACATGAGCACTTTTATCTCAAATTGTCCTAGTAATACAACCCCAAATTACAACCACCCACCATTAGACGTAACAGCCTAGACGCTATATAGAAAACTAGTCTCATTCTTAGGCAGTGTATAAGAACCTAACTACTGAGTCGCCTTGATTAAATTGAAATCATGTCCACATATGTAGCAAGAAGAACAATGACAACCCTTCTCCCAGCGCCCTGCTAAGATATGGGAAGCTACATAATTAGTTTACAACATATCAATTTGAGATCATTTTCATTAAAACGAACGATAATAAAGTTGAACTATCTAGGTATAGCTACTTTTTGTATAGCAAGAGCTAGGATTGTTATAAATATACTTATTAAAGGGGGAAAAAAGGGAAAATAATAGAATAACTAGATATTGATAGTTGATGGTAGAAAGTTCAGCCTTTCCACCCCTACTAGTCGCGCCCTTCTATCAAGGCTGAAAACTACCTGTTCACGTGTTCAGGTCTGCTCTCCAATAGTTTCTTCCGTTGTGATGAACTTATAGTTGGTTTGTACTATAGAGCAGTAGAGAAAAGGAGCAGTATCTATATAACCAATTCCCGTACAACGCTTACCACACTATATTATACCCGAAGCATTCCCTAAACACACGATGCCAGCATCAGACGATAGGATGCGTCCCCATCGTAAGGTTTACTACTCATGCAACTTCTGCCGCTCGCGTAAGATCCGCTGTGATAGACCGTTGCCTTGCACTAACTGCAAGTCTCGGGGCATAAGGTGTCTTTTTGGGTCCACCGCTGGCGAAGACTTAGAACAGAACCAGCTTGAGAATCGACGGCAAGCAACCTCTGTCGCCATACCCTCACCACTACCAGTATCACTTCCACAGCCCGCTGTGGCTACCACGGGCCAAGGAGATTTGCTGGCTCAGATACAGAACCTTCGAAAGCTGGCAGAGGACCTGGAAAAGCGAGTTACGGACCAGACCACCACCGCTTCCCTCCAGCAGCATAGAAATGGCTCCAATTTCTCCTTGCCGGAGTCACCTTCTAGCTTCGCCTCGCTGCGGGTGGATACAGGCGCGCCTGTATCGTCTGGGTTTGGCCCGGTGAGCGAGGAGTTGGTCGCTCGTCTCAAATGCATATCCATAGGCCAGGGCTCCTATGTGTGTTTCACCCATCCCGTTCTGTTGCAATCCTCTTGCTCACTCTGCCGGACAGGAGCCCGTCGATGTCGACGACTTGGTGTTCAGGGTCGATCACATCCGGGCTATTCCCCTGGAACGCAGCCTTATGATGCAGCCTGGCAGATCCAGTGGATGTGTATTGCTGCCGCAACATGACGAGGCCAGAGTGCTTGTTGACAAATTTATCAACAGCGCGAGCTACATCCATCATGTTGTCCATCACCCTTCGCTGCCTGGAGTAATCGACGAGCTGTACCGGCAGATCGCCCGTCAAGAGCCCGTTAAACTTGGTCACGTCGTCCTGCTTTTCAGCATTGTTGCCAGCGTAACGCATGTATGGGGGCCACATGATGATATCGGCTATGAGGATTTTCTCTTCTCGTCTTCGGCCCAGGCTAATGCGCAAACTGCTTTCTGGATCAAGGAGACGTATGATATACTCAATGGCGGAAGTAACGGTCCGCCTATTGCGCAGGAGACCATCCAGGGGATTATTATTCTATCTTTCCTACTCTGCAATCTCGAAGGCGTCTCGCTGCGATATCGTTCCTTAATTTCCACAGGGCTATTGCTGGGTCGTGAGATGGGTCTTCAACGCACCGACCATAAGTCAAATGTGACCGTTCCGAATACTATATCGGTCGAGATAGGCCGTCGGGTGTGGTGGTTCATGGCGAAGGCGATATTGAAACCGTGCGAATTCTTGTAAAGGCGTCGGAAGTAGAAGAAATTCAAGTGAATCAGCAGGAGGGAAAGCGGCCATGTTCATAAACCATTTCCGAAGAGGATGATAAAGATCGAGCTCGCCTGCCAGGTGGTTGATATTGAAATCACATGACAAAGTCGAGGGTTGAAGCTATCTAGACACCAGGCATCATCAAAAGTCGCCTACGCGTTTAGATCTGGCCATGCGGTTGCTTAGCCATAGCTCAACAGCAGCTTGGAGCCAGCATCTCCCATGAAAGCGATAACCTGAGCCTTTCTCCCAGCTATTTTAAACATTTACCTATCGCCATGGATGTCTTCTCTGCGGTCTCGGGTTACATCTCCAAGATGGTGACCACGGGAGATACAGCCACCGCGAGCTCCTCGTCCAAAATGAAGATATTGCTGCTTGATAGTGAGACCGTGGGAGACGCGACCTTCTTTTCTCTCAAGCTCTAGTCTAACCGACTCCATAGTTACCCATCGTGTCAACTGCAATGACCCAGTCCGCTCTCCTTAACCACGAAGTATACCTCATCGATCGTCTCGATAACCAGTCCCGCGAGCGCATGAGGCATCTCAGGTGTCTATGCTTTGTCCGCCCTTCTCCGGACTCGATACAATTCCTCATCGACGAGCTACGAGCGCCGAAATACGGCGAATACTATGTTTATTTTAGCAACGTTGTTCGCAAGTCGTCACTCGAAAGGCTGGCCGAAGCGGATGACCACGAAGTTGTTAAATCCTTGCAAGAGCATTTCGCCGATTTCCTGGTAATAAACCCGGACTTTTGCCATTTCAACATTGGTTTCCCCAGACAGCGGATCTGGAGCCACTCGCCAGATCTTTGGAATACGGATGCGTTACAGCGGACCACAGAAGGTGTAATTGCGCTATTACTATCCTTGAAAAAGAATCCGTTGATACGATATGAGAAAAACAGTTTAATGGCTAAGAAGCTTGCTACCGAGGTCAGGTACCAGCTCACCCAGGAGGAACAACTGTTCAATTTCAGAAAACCCGACACACCTCCGATTCTACTTATCCTTGACCGACGCGACGATCCTATAACTCCTTTGTTAACCCAATGGACATACCAGGCGATGGTGCATGAGGTGCTAGGAATTACAAATGGCCGGGTTGACCTAAGTGAGGTCCCAGATATCCGACCTGAACTTAGAGAAATCGTTATCGCCCAAGACCAAGATCCATTCTTCAAGAAGAACATGTATCAGAATTTCGGCGACCTTGGTGGGAATATCAAGGAATACGTTGAACAATACCAGTCCAGGACGAAAACTAACATGAGCATCGAATCTATCTCCGACATGAAACGATTCGTCGAGGATTATCCTGAGTTTCGAAAGCTTTCTGGAAATGTTAGCAAGCATGTTGCCCTCGTGGGGGAGCTCAGTAGAAATGTTGGAGAGCATGACCTGTTGAACGTGAGCGAGCTGGAACAAAGCTTAGCCTGCAACGATAATCATGCGAATGACCTCAAGGTTAGTAGTCGAGCTCGTTCTCTTGTCCCATTACATAATGTCTACGGCTGCTTACTCCCTTATACCAGTCTCTCCAAAGATTCATCCAATCCCCTACTGTGACGGTGGAAAACAAACTGCGTCTCGTTGCCCTTTATGCCATCCGTTACGAAAAACAACCTTCAAACACGCTCCCTGTCCTCATCGACCTCCTCACAGCAGCTGGCAATGTTCCACCACATAAAATAAGTATAATCCCGAAACTTCTGGCGTACCATCATTCTCTACAGGCACCCCCAGTTGCCGGCGGGTTTTCAGATCTCTTCGAATCAGCCTCCTTTCTAACTGGAGCGCGTGATCGGTTCAAGGGTCTCAAGGGTGTAGAAAACGTCTACACCCAGCACTCTCCTCGTCTAGAAGCTACTCTTCAAAACCTGATAAAAGGCAGACTAAAGGAGCTCCAATATCCGTTCTTGGAGGGCGGTGGACACACTCGAGACAAGCCGCAGGATATCATCATCTTCATGGTCGGAGGAGTAACGTATGAGGAAGCAAAGATGGTAGCGCAGGTCAATGCTAGCTCTCCTGGCATCCGTGTTGTCCTAGGCGGGACCTGCGTTCACAATAGCAGTACTTTCTTAGACGAAGTGGAAGATGCTGTAGGGAATTGGCCGGAGCCCCCCGCAACGACTGCGGCTGGGCGATTGCGATCAGAAATTAATCGATAGCTTGCTTTACTTTATTTGATGATTCTTAACTGCTTTTATGACGGGTGTGGCCCAACGGTTTATGGCGTACTTTATATAGGCAAAATATATCCATTTATCCATAATTGCTTGCTTTGAGGCCTAGATATCTCCTTTTGCCCCAGAAGTGATGCCAAGAAGTCCTAAAAGCTTGACCGGAACAGACTATCACATCATCATGCAGTTGTGAAGCCAGCAAACCGTCCATGTCTGACGTTACTCTGTACACCTGATCCTAGCCTCCAAATATCGAGCACCATACTGCTTACCTTTCTATCAAATGGATACGCAAACCCATACATCGCCTGGCGTGACAACGCGGGACACAGGACTGCGGCTCCCAGCCACCACGAACCCCCCAGGACCCCAGAATCCTGCAAAGCAACTCGTATGGCTGGTATGTAACCCCCCGGAATATCCAGTATACATCCTTGCGTAGCTCTAGTTAGCTAGGTTGATGCCTCCCTGTATATTTCTTACTTTTCAATAACATCTGGTGTCTAGGTCTTTGGGTCGACAGGCCATATTGGCCGATCGCTTGTGAAATCAGCCCTGGGCCACAACGATCTCGTTGCCGCAGTTGGGCGCACATTCGAAACGACCCCTGAGAGCATGGATCGTCTTCAGGAAGAAAATAAGAATTGTCTCGGTTTATTATGCGATGTTCGTACAAGAGAGACTGTGAAAGCGGCTATTGACCGTACGATTGCCCACTGGGGGCGAATAGACATTGTCGCCAACTGTTCGGGCTACGGAGTGATCGGGGCGTGCGAGGACCAAGAAGAATACGATATTCGGAATCAGTTCGAAACCAATTTCATGGGCACGCTGAATATCGTGCAACTTGCTCTTCCGCATTTCCGTGAGCGTGGTGCTGGGAGATATATCATTTTCAGTTCCACCTCTGGCGCACTTGGAGTTCCGGGGTTGGGACCATACTGCGCATCTAAATATGCGGTTGAAGGGCTGATTGAAAGCATGCTTTACGAAGTCGATTGCTTTAACATCAAATGCACGCTCGTTTTACCGGGCCATATCCGCCGTGATGATTATGACACGATACCAGGCATGCCAGACCACGAAGACTATCTTACCTCGCCATTGCCGGCTTTTGGACATTTCCTGATAAAGCCAGCCAGCGAACCGTACAGCGGAGTCACAGCACCGGCGGCGCATGCGAGACGCATTTTACAATGGCTAGGCGATAAGCCTCCCACAAGCGCTGTGAAGTCTGCCGAGCTCGTGTGGCAGCTAGGCCACTGTTCCTATCCACCATTGAGGCTACTACTTGGTACCTATGCAGTGGAGAGCATCAGAGACAGGCTAAAATGCGTCACTGAGGAAATAGAAGACTGGAAACATCTGAACTTTCCATCGAGCGATCAACCGCCACAGGCTGGTGCCTCCATCAAGACAGAAGGTGACTCCGGGCGAAACGAAGCAGAGGATCAATTGGCCACCAATGATATACAAGTAACGGATTAAATACAGAACGCCTTTCCTTTGCATTGTTCAGTCGCCTACAGAGACGACATTTATCCGGATTAATAATAATAAGAGTCGTGCTGCCCCCATGGACATATGCGGTACCCGCCATACTCCTTCCAACACCACCCTAACCGTGGCCAAACGATTAAAAATATATACAATGCCACCCCATCAGCCATAAAGCGTCCGATTTACCGCGCCGTGAAATCTAATTCCCTGTTTATCCCACACTTGCCCTCCGCGTCTATTCTTTAATTTATCATTATTGGGTGTCTGCCACCGAAACATGGATTTTCACTTTCTCCTAAACCGTATTCCGTGAGACAAGTTGAGAAAGTAGGCGAACACTCTATCAGCAACGTCGTCAATTTTGTCATACCTGGCCCCCAGGCGATATGCAGCTGCCGTACCGGAAATAACAGCGACCTCGTGCAGATTCTGCGAATGATACCCTCATTAGCGGTCGCCTCGAAAACACTAAGCTTGTTAAGAAAGTTATAGACTTACCGTATATGTCCAGGAACCGGCATAGATGGTGTTATTATTCCCGTTTATAAACTTCATGGTCGGCACCAACCTCGCAAAATGCTGCCACCTATGAGATAGCTGGTGCCACCACTTCTGCTCAATGACTTTGTCATTATCGATGAGGTCGACCGTCCACACATCTTTCAAGTTCTCGTCTATGAAGTGACTTTGAAATATATGGTTTTCGAACGGCGGCAAACGCGCAGAACTTCCAGGCGGGTTCCGGAATTGGTATTGGAAGCGCGTACAGTCATAACCCACCTCCATCTTCTCTGGCCGCGTATGGTAGGAAAAAGTGCAATATGACGGTTGAAATCCGGACTCGACACCTGCCTCTCCCTTGGCAACTTCAATATGCTGTCTATCCTCATCGGTTTTGGGATCACTGCAGATCTCATCTCTATAACGCACCTCGAACTTTCTCTGAAAGTAGGCATGATCGGAATGCGTCACAGTTAAATCCTTATGCCACTTTGTCGTCCCTAGCACAAAGCTCTCCCGCCACGAAGCCAATTTCCCCAGAAGTTGCTTTGCCTGGTCGCCTGGTATACAGAAAACGATTTTGTCGTATGGTTTTGACAGAGTTCTGAAATGGGCGCCGTCTCCAATTCTTTGATCTGCGTCAATCCGACGAGTTTCTACCACGATGCCTCGTTTATTCCTCTGGACAACCTTCATTACCTGGGTGTTGAAATAGATCTCCACCCCCTTGGCGCGGAGTCCTTCTGTCCAGTCCAGATAAAACTGGCTCATGTTCGGGTATGCATATACGCGATGATCGTACGGCACAAGTGATTTCATATCATAGGGGCAAAATTTTATGTCCGGATCCTCGAACAGTCCCTGAAATAGACCACATGGCACATCACGACCCTGATTCCCCATGCCAAAGAATATAGAAGTCGCCGGGTAGACGATCTTGTTGCCGAACTCCGTGGAGAAGCCGTAAAGACGGAGGAATGCCTTCAACGGAAGATGCCAGAGCAGAGGATACTTTCGAATCGTGCTGAGCAGTTCTCCAAACCTCCGAATCTCAGCTGCATGGTCGTCCACGAGCGATGTTGGAAACGCGCTTGTCCAGAAGTTCTCTTTTCCCTTGCCAAACGCGAACTGGAGGGTCGTTTCTTGCGGCTCATGCCCATATTCGCGGAAGAAGCTGTACGTGTGTCTGCATATTCCTGGACCGCCCTGAGCCCCGATGTTTACCCAGTCTGCTCCGAATTTCTCCTTGTCGATGGCGATCGACTTTGCCTGTCCGCCGGGTACGTGGTCCCTCTCGAGTAATGTCACTTCGAACTTGTCCGGTTCTTTCGCTAGGGTTGCGGCGCACGACTATATAGCCCTTGTTATTCACATGTTCTTACATCTTCTCCTACTTACAGTGGATGTAGCCGCCACTCCCGTAGAGCGGGCAGGCGACCAAAACCACTGTCAACAGTAGAAGAAAAAGGTGGAAGGGAAACAAAAAGCAGAGGGGCGTACCATTCCAGCGGCGCCAGCGCCTATCACCAGCACCTTTATCCGGCGATCCTCCTTCGAGGAGGCTTTCGAGGCCATGGTGAGTGACTTGTTCACGGAGTGGGAGCCAGTTCAGGTGTCATGAACTGGTGGCAGATGGCGTCTGTCATTGAATTCGGGTGAATGTCCCCGGGGCTACGAGTTAAATGATAACATGTCACGTTCTACCTGAGAGCTCGTACAGATAAGCTGGCTCGAAGCCTAACCCATGGCCCTCTCCTCCAACCAGTCCAACCAGTCCGTCCTGTCCGTCCTGTCCATCCTGTAGATCTCGCATAGGGAAGTATATCACCGAGCAAAGCGGCTGTAACTTCCCAGTTCTTGATAGCGTAATATATGTATGCGACGTATCAGTTCCTGTAATTTTAACATCACGTGATACAGTCCCTTGCCCTTTGATGCTTTTTCTCTGTCTGACAAGGAGAAGAAGACGAAGCATATCAAAGGACAAGCATCTGGATCTTGAGACTGTCTGTTTTCCTGCCGAAAGCCTCAGTGGATGTCGCCGTTACTGCGCGGTGCTTTTGCTGAGAGTGTGCCGAATATTCTGAGGGCTCGAGCAATATCCACCCGCTCCAGTCAATATCGCCCCAGTCTATTGAATGCTAGGATCGAGAAAGCTAGTTACTGGGAGTCTAGAGTTCCACAGACAGTGGCACTGATACCTCGATCTGGATACGGATACAATCTCGGGGCGTTAGTGTCGCGTGCGGCTTATCCAGCAACCTGGTTCCAGGGTCCAGCTATGGACGATGACCTGCGCGCGGTGATAGCTGCGTCACTGAAGGAGGCTGAAAGATCGCAGTCAAGTCTACAGAAGGGCAACTCTTCTGTTGTCGACCTTACGGAGGATTCTGATGGAAGCGCGTCACCCCAGATGAAGAATGTGCAGCATGTTTTGGATGATGATTCGGACGCTGAGCTGGAGCGAGCCATCCAGCTGTCCCTGCAGAGTCAGGAATGTCTTCCAAGCCATGTGAGAGGGTGTGATGAACCTCTGGCAGGAAACGACATGGCCGCAGAGTCGAAGTCGAAGTCGAAGGCGGAAGCGAAAGCTACAGAGTCAGGGTTCGGGATATTAGGCATTGACCGTAAGAAGCAGGAAGAGGAACGACTTGCAAGACTGGCAAAGAAGAGAAAGGCCGGAGACGACAGTCCTGCGTCAACGGCAAGGCCCTTCAAACATTCGAAACAGGAGCAGTCATCGCAGACCGCGCCAACGGGTACGTCGGGAAGCTCTGTGCCAGGTCTTCAGTTCCCTGAAGGCGCAGTGAAGAAAACATGGGCATCAGGCTGCGAACGGTCCAACGACATCAAGATCGAAGAAGTCTTTCAGCCATCGGACGTGGAGCTGGCTGTTCTCAGCTCCTTTATGTGGGACATGGACTGGCTTCTGATGAAGTTCAGCAACCCCAAGACGAGGTTTCTCTTCATCATGGGCGCAAAGGGAGAGGAGAAGGTAGGGCGAAACTTCTACCGTTGGGTGTCGACGTGCTGACGGTCTGGTAGAAAGCACAGCTGCTGGAAGAGACGGCGTTGATGCCTAGGATACGGTTGTGTTTCCCGTCGATGGAAGGGGAGATCAACTGCATGCACTCGAAGCTGATGCTACTCTTCCATCCGACGTATCTCCGCATCGTCGTCCCGACTGCGAACCTGGACCCGTATGACTGGGGAGAGAGGGGCGGGCTGCTGGAAAATGTGTGCCTTCTACTCTGTATTGTGGTGGATGTGATGCTGACGGCGACATAGATGCTCTTCCTTATCGACCTCCCTCGCAAAGCCGACGGCGAGTCAGATGGCCAGACTCACTTCAGAGACGAGCTGGTGTACTTTCTCAAGGCGTCGAACATGAACGAGAAGATCATCGACAAGATGTGCCAGTTTGATTTCAGCAAGACGGCAAAATACGCCTTTGTCCATACAATGTGCGTCTCCATTTACTATTAACTTAAATTACTCCTTATCCTTACTGTTAACTTACCCTAACTTACTGTTAACTGACATTATGTCTATAGTGGCGGCTCACATATAACCTCCCGCGAACGTACCGGCCACTGCGGCCTCGGGAGAGCAGTCACATCTCTCGGCCTCCAGGCCTCGCAGCCCTTGAAGCTGGACTACGTGGTACGTTGCACCGTTACCGCGTCTAGTCGCATCCACCCACTCACACCTTATCTAAACAGACTTCGTCCATCGGCTCTCTATCCTCTAATTTCATGCGAAGCTTATACTTCGCGGCCCAAGGTAACCCTCCCGACCTGCCTGACGATTCTGCAGACACTAACGAACGGGTCGGGTTCTAGGCGACGATGGCTCAAAGCAACTGTCTACGCGTGTGGGGAAGGCGTCGAAAGGCAGAGCTGACGTCGACGTTGACGGAGGCACGGACAGTGAGGAGTGGCGAGAGCGCATGAAGGTGTACTTTCCGACGAGAGAGACTGTTCGGCATTCTCGAGGGGGAGAGTCGGGCGCCGGTACGCTCTGCTTTATGGCGAAGTGGTATAACGCTGCCACGTTCCCGAGACATGTCATGCGAGATAATCGCAGTGTGCGAGAGGGCGTCTTGATGCATACTAAGGTACACTACTACTGCTCTACTACTGCTACTGCTACGATGACTACTGACAACGACTAGGTACTCTTCGTCCGGCCCGAAGTCGGCACGATCAAGCGAGCAGACGGGACTGGATGTCGCGGGTGGGCCTATGTCGGGAGTGCGAATCTGTCAGAGAGCGCCTGGTATGTCTCTCTCTTGTATCTTGCTGTATCTTGCTGTACGGGTATGCTAACTGGATAGGGGCCGCCTGGTGATGGATCGCAGGAGCAAGCAGGCCAAGCTCAATTGCCGGAACTGGGAGTGTGGTGTGCTGGTGCCTGTGGATGGTGACAGTGAGGGCGACGACGGCGACCTGGCCGCCGTCTTTGGCGACACCGTCCCTGTGCCGATGAAGCCGTCTCACGATGCCTACGGAGAGCCGTGGTTCTACACTGATCCCCTACACTGATACTCATCCTCTGTACTATACTCCGTATCTCGACGCTAGCCATGCAGCCTACACCGCATCGTCAGTAAAACGCTTTTCCACGGTTATTTCACATGATATTCCAAGCGCCTTGCCTGCTGATCGTCCAGACTACTACGAGCCATGTATGCACGCCATGTATACTGCGTCGTATATGCCTGTCCGCCAGGAACGTCTCTCTCCTACTCTACACTACACTATCTGTCTGTCTGTCTGTCTGTCTCTAGCATCTCTTGTCCGTCTCTTGTCCGTCTCTTGTCGTATCTCATACGTAGAGTACGTAGAGTAGATGCACGTCCGACCGCCTCTGTCGTCCATCCATCTTGGCCGAAAAAGCAAGCAGGGAAGAGGAAAAAGAAAGGCCAGGTTCAAGCCCATCCTCGTATTCCGGTTCCACTCGACCTCTTCCTCCTCGACCTCGACCTCCTCGTCAACTGTCTCTCCCTTCTCTCTCTCTCTCTCTCTCTCTCTCTCTCTCTCTCTCTCTCTCTCTCTCTCTCTCTCTCTCTCTCTCTCTCTCTCTCATCTTCCTTCTCTCTCTCTCATATCATCTCTGTCATCTCTCTCATCTCTCTCTCTCTCATCTTATCCTTCTTCTTCGCTATATTCTCTCTCATCTCTCATCTCTCATGTCGTCTTCTCAGCACGGGTACAGGCGGCCAGATCCCTGAAAGGGGCGAGGGCGAGGGGAACTCATGGCTGGCTCGTTTCTTTTGCCTGTGATGCGTAATGGCCGGGTGTGGGGGTTCAGACAATTAATATCGCACGCGAAGGGCCTATCACGGCGCTGCATAAGCGGTCTCTGCCCAAGGTCGCTCCCTGCCCGTCCGTCGTAGTTAGTCGTAGTAGTGAAAAGTAGTGTAAGAGAATAAGTAGGTGTCCAGGCTGCCGGATCCTCTTAACTTCGCAATCCTCCCACCGCATCCCCAATCAATGGGACTGAAGTCAAACCGGACAGGTGAAAGTGTATATTCATGCTTAATTTTACGTTTCTTGGAGCCGCTGCTGATCTACCTTGATACACTGGAACTGAGGGCATCTTGACTTACTGAACTTGACTGGACTTGATCTTGGACGACAGGATAGAAGATAGAGACAGCTTGAGGATAGACGACGAGGTTGGAGACGCCACCGCCACGAGACAGACAGGAGGAAGACAGGAAGACGACGGCTAGCGTACAAGCGAGATCCTAGTCCTCTTTACGAGTCTCTCTCTCTCTCTCTCTCTCTCTCTCTCTCTCTCTCTCTCTTCTCTTCTTGCTCTTCCTCTTCTTCCTCTTCTTCCTCTCTCTCAACTTCTCCTCGTCTCTCCTGGTTGGTCGGCTGCTTACTGTGCCGCCACTCCGTCATCTCCTTCCGCCCGTCTCCCTCTCTCTCTCTCTCTCTTCCTGTGTCTTCTCTTCCTCTCTTCCCTTCTTCTCTCTCCCCTTCTTCTCTCTTCCTCCTGTGTCCTCTCTGTGTCTGTGTCTGTCGATCGTGCAGGGTTCTAAACTTCTACTTCAACCTTGCCCTCCCCAACCTTCACCTTCACCCTAACTCTCCCTCGTATACACTCTAACCTTATACCTCTTCTCTTCCTCATCTTCTTCCTCACCTCTTCAATCCCATCACCCTCACCTCGTCGGCATGGGCAACGGCACCGCGGCCGTGCTGGAGCCCACGTACAACGGCTACGTGGCTTCCACCCACGACGCCCTCATCCTCTTCGAAGCATGTCTCACCGGAGTCCTCCACCACGTCCCCCGCCGCCCGCACGACCGTGAGCGCTCCCAGCTCGTCCGCTCCGGCAGCGTCTTCATCTACGAGGAGAACGCCTCGGGCATCAAGCGCTGGACCGACGGCGTCACTTGGAGTCCCAGTCGCATCCTGGGCAACTTTCTCGTCTACCGCGAGCTCGACAAGCCCTTCCCGCCAGGCGAGAAGAAGCGCGCCGTCAAGAAGGGCAGCAGACGGCCGACCCAGTCCGCCAGAGCCGGCGAGCCCTATCCGCGACTCCAGGACAATGGCAACGGCAATCCAGCTGGCGGTTACTCGCCCACCGCGCCCTCGCCCGCCGCTGTTGGGCCTGGCTTCCCCGAGCGAGGCCAGCAGTCGGAGCTCGAACGCGCCCTCGTCGGCTCCCTCGTCGACTCGTACGGCTTCAAGGACTCGGGACTGGTCAAGAAGACCATGAGCGTCACCGTCTCCGGCGTCACCCACCACCTCGTCTCCTACTATAGCGTCGACGATGTCATGCGCGGCGCCCTCAGCCCGCCCAGCATGGTCGAGTCTCTACGCTACATCCGCCCTCGCCAGGAACTCACCACAAAACAGAGCTTCCGCGCTCCCATCGAGGACCCCGACCAGCCAGGACTCGACGACGGTGACCCTTCCCAGTCTCTCTACGGCTACCGTCCCAATCCCGCCGCCGCAGCCATGGTACCCCAGTATGGCATGCCCCCGCAGAGCACAAACTACTACGCTCTGCCTCCACAGCCTTCCTACGCGACACACTCGTCCCAGCAGCAGCAGCAGCAGCAACAGCAACAGCAGCAGCACCAACAACAGGCGCAACAGCAACCCCCGCCCCCGTCCGTGCCCGGCTACGGCGTCGCGCCACCGCAGCAGAACCCTTATCTCCAGAGCCCGGCCGCTGCGACCTCAGACGTCCCCACAAAGACAGAGGAATACACTTCCTACCGTGGGCCGTCCGGCTACGCCACGGCCTTCCAGCCATCCTCTTCACACCCTACCCACCCGGCTCCTCCTTCCCACTCGCATCTCTATAGGACTCCCAGCATACCGACCAGGCCCTCGGCCTCTGATATCCCCACCTCCATGGACCCCGCAGCCTCGCCAAGTGCCAGTGCCTACTCCAGAGCAAGCTTCAGCTTAGACTCCAACAAGCAGCAGCAGCAGATGGACCAGCGCACGACTTATCCCGGTCCCGCTCCTGCCAGACGCGAGTCATCCTACTACGACCAAGCTCAGGCCCAGGCCCAGGCTCAGGCCGCTCACCAGCGTCGCGCATCCATCCAGCAGCAGCCTCCCCAGCAGCAGCCCCAGCCCACCCAGCAGTCCTACTACTCAAACACCGCTGCCACCGGCCAGAGCTCGTATCAGGGTGCCCCGCCGATGTCAACCTGGGGTACCACCCATGGTCAGGCCATATAGGCTCGAGGGATGGATGTAATAAAAAAAAAAAACGAAGGAGACGACCCGAAAAAGCAGATGCCGAAAGGAAAACGGAAAACGCCGACCTGAAAAAGAATGAAAAAAGAATGAAATACTTGAAAAAAAGAATGAAAATGGGCATAATATACGCACACGCACGTACGCACGTTTGTTCGCACGCCTGCTTTTACCTGCACATATCCAGCACACGCACACACAAATGATGAACGAGTTTTGTTTTACTTCCTTTCCTTGTCCTCGATGTTTTTTTCCCCCGGTGACTTGAGTGGATCTCTTTGCTTTCCTCTGCAGTGCACATTACTACTCGACGTACTTACTTCCTATCAATATTTGACACTGACCTGACTTGAATCTCTTCCCCTTCTTTCCTACTTTCTTTCTACGTAGGTGGCGGTGGCGTGGCAATGGCGTGGCATTCTTTCCTTTGGCTTCTCCCCTTTTCATCCCGCCTTCGCCTCTCTCTCTCCTCTCTTCTCTTCTACCTTCCGCTCGCTTGTGCATGCATACCAACCACAGCCTCCAACCACCACCCACAACCTCAACCTGAAACCAACCTCCCTCAACTTCCAACTCAATGATACTATGCACGCGCCCTCAGGGTCCGTTGGAGATCGCCCGGTCCGTGGGGGGTGGCGCACGCAACTACACTCTCCGCGATGTATGCGGCAGCCGCAGTGGAATGGTTTGATCTGAGCGGTTCGGTTTTGATCTGGGCGGTTTGATTTGCTCTTTTGCTCTGTTGATCGATCTGCTGGTAGGTAGGCATGATGCACGGCATGAGTGTTTTCTTTTTTTTTTTCCTTTTTTCCCTTTTGCTGTGATTTTGATTTGTTGCTTTTGCTTTTACCTTTGATTTCGAATTGAGTTTATCTCTCGTTTCGTTGATTATTGAGTTTGACTTTGTCCCTGTATTTAGTTTTTCTGTTGGAAATAGTTTGGTCAATGAACATATACGTCTATGCTGTTCTATCTTATGTAGAGTATAGTAGAGTCTGATATTGTATACTGTAGTTATCTGTAGTAGAGAAGAGAGTAGTTACTGTATAGTGTATTGTATAGGAAGAGGGGAAGTGGGGCGATCATCACGCTTACTCAGCATAACCCACTTACTAAGTACGTATTACATAATCAGATAGTCGCGTGCTTCCGGCGCTTGTTCTGACCAATCGCAAGCAAGAGATGATTTTTCTCTCCTTCTGCAACTCCAAGCATCAAAAGAAGCCCCCTACACCCGTACATCTACTACCTTCTTCGACTACAATTGACCCTCGCACATACCCGACGGAGTTCTCCGTACCTCTCACATCCTGATATGCTTTGACCGTTTCCCCCCCCTTCAACCAGGCAAACATACTCTCCTCCAAGCGAGAAAACTTGGAAACCGAAGCCCGAACCAGAACTAGGTTACTTCGCTTTTAACCCTTCCTTTACTCCCTATTTGCCTTGTCTGGCCTGGCCTTACCTTGCATTTTCATTGCCTGGTTATCTGTCTGTTTTTTATTTGCTTATTATGGCGAGATACCCGAACCTAGGCTCGTTTCAGGGCTCGTGGATGTCAAGATGTAGCATGTTACAGGCTCGTGCGGGAACCTGTCATGGTCATGCTCATGGTCACGCTGCTTTTGTTCGGCGAGCTGTCGTCTCGGTACAGGGGGGACAGAGGTTTTATTCCAGGCTGTCGGTGGGAGGGGCATGTGTGTCTGCATCGGCATCGGCATCGGGGTGTGTGGGTGCCGTGACGAAGGGTGTGACGCGGAACGTCTGGTCGGGTCACCTCTTCTGGGGGCCGGGCCTGTCGTGTCGGGCGAGGAGGTAGGATTGTTCATGCTTGTTTCTACGTCTGTGATACGTCTGTTGACGGGTTGATAGTGTTTTCTTAACTGGTCAGCGGAGGTTTATCGGTGGACAGATACCAAGGGACCAGGAGAAGGCTATTGCAAGGTGAGTGAATTACGAAGATATAGCCGTGTAGGATGTCCAAGCCCCAAGTACCAGTACCAGCTAACAGGCAACAGCCAACCATCGGCCAAGAAGGCAGTCATCTCACATGAAAACATCTACACCATACCCAACATCCTCACCGCCTCTCGATTCGTCGTAGCTCCTATAATCGGCTACTGCATTCTAAACGGTGACCACACCCTAGCCTTATCCCTCTTCACCTACGCCGCAGTCACCGACCTGGTGGACGGCTACATCGCGCGAAAATGGAACCAGCAAACAGTCGTCGGCACAGTCATAGATCCCATGGCAGACAAGTTCCTAATGACCATCGGCGTCGTCTGTTTGGCCATGAAGGCCGCTATACCAAGTAAGCACAGCCCAACCATCCACATCCACCCCTTTATAAGAAACGTAATTAATGCCCGATAGTGTGGTTGGCCGGCCTCATACTCGCTCGTGACGTCGGGCTGGCTTTCTCAGCCATATACTATCGGTGGATATCCCTCCCTCCACCAAAGACGATGACGCGGTACTGGGACTTTTCTCTACCTTCGGCTGAAGTGAAGCCTACGGAGGTGTCGAAGGTCAATACCGCGCTACAATTGGCTCTTCTTGGATCAGCTATGGCTATGCCCGTGCTACCGGAGGCGATGATGACGGCCTGGTATCTTCAGGAAGGGATGATTGGATTACAGTAAGTCTGCTTCTCCTTTTACCCTTGCCCTTCCCCTCCTTGATTTTTGCTTTGGGGGCCGATGCAACATGTGTCCCCGCTATATACCCACTCCCCCCTAGAGTCCAGTACATACGACCACAGGAAGTGGAAAACAGAGCTTCCCGTCCGCTCAGCTGTACTTAAGCCACTTGCCGGTCGGTTAGTAGTTGGGTGGGTGACCACCAGCGAATCCCGACTGTCGTATGTTTTTGACTCTTTTTTTTTTCCCCTCTGCTTCCCGCTCTCCTTTTCGCTACCATTTTCTACCTTTTCCATCGACGTTAGGCGTGTTGCTTCGTTTTTACACCCCTGTTGGCGCGTTGGATATGTTTCTTGGCGTTCTTCAAGCTAACGATGCCACAACAGGTACTTGGTCGCTTTAACCACCTCATGGTCTGGTCTGCAGTACATCTTTAACAAAGACGTTGTTCGAATCCTGCACGATAACAAGGGCAAGGACGGGGACTCAAAGGGAAACTAGAAGGCGTGTGTGTATTATATTCGTCGTTGGAAGCGTGGCATTTTCAATGTATCGTTCTACTGTTCTTTTTCTACATCTTTCTCCTTGGATTACATATCTCTGGATCGTGATATGCCTGTAAATGTATCATAGACTAGCCAATAGCTTCAAGTTCACGGCTTTCCTATAGTTAAGTGTCCTCTAAAGATTTGCTCGCGAAATAATTAGTTATTGTGTACTCTGTAAATGATCGGCTTTATATGGGAGTTCCGGCGTGTACACCTTGTGCCTGAGAAGTGCTTGTAGACTTCCGCGAATGTAGTAGCGGCCAGCGGAAGTAGAAATAACCAATTTTGGATTTGCGATAGCTGCACTATAATAACGTTACCGTTGCCGGAAAGTTCGGATAATCGGTTCTAAGCCAAACAAAGCCTATGAGTGAGCGGTTGGCGTTCTATCTAGAGAGGTTTATCACGTCTAAATAATGCTAAGTTTAAATCAATAAAAAACAAAATCATAGCAAGATTGTATTTAAAGTAATTGCTAAGAGATTAATACAAAGCCAGTCTAATTTGAATTAACATATTGGCTTTAAACTGTTCAGTTAATGAACCGTTCATAGAGTTGATGAGGCTCAAGTGTACTATGGATATACTCTATATAGTTGAGTTAAACACATGTCCTAGATGGCCTTATTATCTACAAAGTTCTCCTGCAAATTTAGCACAAAGAGGTTTAGATAAACTCCACGGTGAATCTTTGATGGAGAGAATTAGCCCAAAGCTTGCAGGGCTTGTCGGCATACCGCCTAAGTGATACGAGAATAGTAAGTGGCTGGCGGCCGAGATATTCCCAGCTCCATTTACAATCCATTAAACTAAACGGCACCAAAATGATAGATGATATGCCGGGAGTTGACTGAATTATGATAACGATTCCTGGAAACGCCGGATGCAAGATATCAAGACCTTATGACGTCAAAGTGCAATGTTAACGGTTATAAAAAACGGTGGCCAGTTAGAATTTAACAACTGCGCTAAGCACACGGTTCACTCGGTTTACACGGTCAATGAGCCGCAATCGACGGGTAGATAGAAGAATTCCATGTCCGAGTTTCACTGATATTGTGCACTTTGTCAATGGTAGAACGACACGCTTTCATAGGGTATGTATGCATGAAGTCGACGGGCCTTTGTAAAGCGGTGTTTGCTGGACAGGGCAAGGAACAAGGGACAAGGGCCGGTCGGCGGATATTAAATACAGCTTAAGAAAAATATTCTCTCTTCGATAGCCCAACTTGAGAACGGCGTCAGAATAATAAGTAAAAAGTGGTATAGGTTGGAACCCTGGAAAGGATCAACGTTTGTCCGCCAGAAATGTTGAAGCTCAACATTTGGGGACAAATTATCCTGATGTAGATCTACTTTCGACATCTTCCTATCCATCCTCCATCCTCCCTTTCTTATTTGTGCGATGAGTAGCTTTATTTTTAGCTACCTTTGATCCTCCAAGCTGCCGCAGGTTGCCAAGGATAGCTGGTTGGCCTTGGTGCAAGATGCTGCCCTATATTAATACTCGTTCGTATCCCCGCCATATTTTATTCACTGGCACAGGTTATTGACAATTCTACCACAGCTTTCGCCGCAGCCGGACAGCTCATCGGTGCTTCCGCTGACGAATGTACGTTTTACAGCTACTCATGTTTAATCCCAAAACTTCCATTCCGGTATTATTGCTTCGTTGCTCTCGGATAGCTAGCTAATTGCAGCGTACAGTGAAACTTATAACCTCCTTCCTCCTTTCGTACCCACTCGCCGGTATACTAAAAAGGATTCCGGACTCTCAACCCTGGAAGAAGAATGCTTTCATAATCGCCGTTTCGTTATTCTACCTAGTAGGCTTATTCGACCTCTGGGATGGAGTGCGGACGCTGCTATACTGTTCCGCTGGGGCCTATGCGATCGCATACTACGTGGATGGTTCCATAATGCCCTGGATTGGATTCGCATACCTAATTGGCTACATGTCAGTCAGCCATATAATACGACAGATAATCAACGATCCATCCACTATCGATGTTACTGGTGCTCAAATGGTGTTGGTTATGAAGCTGAGCGCATTCTGCTGGAACGTACACGACGGCCGTCTACCCGAAAGCCAACTGTCTGATGCCCAGAAACATGCAGCCATCAAGAAAATGCCTGGTCTCCTCGATTTTGCCGGATATGTTCTTTTCTTTCCGTCCCTACTCGCTGGTCCGGCGTTTGACTATGTTGAATATAGACGATGGATCGAGACCACCATGTTTGATCTGCCACCAGGAGTAGACCCATCAAAGGCGCCTCCAACCCGCAAGAAGCGCAAAATCCCAAGGAGTGGACGCCCTGCTATGTGGAAAGCAGCCATGGGACTAGCTTTCGTTGGAGCCTTCGTCGTCTTTGCACCTATATATACCACTAATCTATTGTTGAGCGATGAGTACGCCGGATATGGGTTCTTGAGAAGAGTTTGGGTTTTGTATGTGTTTGGGTTTGCCGCTCGGTTGAAGTACTACGGTGTCTGGGCTTTGGCTGAAGGCGCCTGTATCCTTTCTGGAATGGGATACAATGGCGTCGACCGGAACACTGGCCAAGTGTACTGGAATAAGCTAGAGAACGTCAACTCGTGGGGACTGGAAACCGCCCAGAACCCTCATGCGTTCCTTGCGAACTGGAATAAGAACACGAACCACTGGCTGCGAAACTACGTTTACCTTCGAGTCACTCCAAAGGGAAAGAAGCCGGGATTCCGAGCGAGTCTGGCAACGTTTGCAACAAGCGCTGTTTGGCACGGCTTTTACCCTGGTTATTACCTAACATTTATACTCGGCTCTTTTGTTCAAACAAGCGCCAAACGTATGTACACCAATGAACCCTTTGACTTAAACCATTCTATGTTTGAATGCTAATATTGCTTCTAGATTTCCGCCGCCACGTCCGCCCCTTTTTCCTATCCGCTGACGGCACAACTCCAACCCCTTATAAGAAATACTACGACGTCGTGAGCTGGCTCGCTACACAACTCACCATGAGCTTTGTCGTCGCACCATTCATTCTCCTCGACTTCGCCGACTGTATCACCCTCTGGGGCCGCCTCTATTTCTATACAATTATAGGCATAATTGCCACCCTTGTCTTCTTCAACAGCCCAGCTAAAGCTCAACTAACCAGAATGCTGAACCAACGCAACAAGAAAGCATCAGGAACAGCGGTGACTGGGAAACCCTCTGAAAGAGAAGCAGCAAATGAGGCTGCTGCCGCTAAAGCGAGAGCCAAAGCTCAGGCCGATGCTAAGGAATTACGCGCTGGAGAAACTCCATACACGGAACAGCCTCTCGGTTTACCTAATGATTTGGCACAGGATGTTGAAGATGCCGTGCATGAGATGAAGAAGGAGATTGAAACAAGGAGACGACGAGGAAGTCTGGTTACCATGCCTACGGGTGCAGAGCTAAGGATTGCGCTTGAGCAGAAGCTTGGGAAGGCACTTTCAGACATGCAATAATGAGATACGAAAGAGGTGGAACGAATTTCGAAGTACGGGTATTCAGAACGGGGTATATATTATCATTGTCATGGTAATGGTATTTGGAGCTAGCAAATGACCTTGACTTTAATGATACCAGGCCTACTCTATACTTATAATCAGCAAGCAGGTGGAGGTTGATTCCTAATTTTCCTTTCCTAGATTCCAGCAAAATAATATATATACATATATAGTTAGTGGTCTATGACACATGATTAAAAAAATTGGAGATTTCTCGACAGGTTTCAACTTTAATTCTATATTTACAATACAAACCAAATCTTCTACAGATATACCATAAGTTCTTCGTTATGATTGGAAGGATATGATAGATACTAAGATATAATTCCGCAGATTTACAAGCCTTCGTCATATATACATCACTCATTCAAAAATAATCAACAGCTCACTCAAATAATCAATTTATTTTAAGCTAAGTATCGTTTGTGGGGTGATGTCAAAAGCAAAGGTTGTGATAAAGAACAAATGGTAAAACATGGTGCTGAAAGTGTTGTTAACAATATTGTCAAATATTAACCTTTTTTACATGTATCTTCAGCAAAAGTCGTGTCAAATCCTCTGGAAATATTGTGGGGGAAAAATAAGGTCGCAATTTTATAAGCATAGCGCATATAGAAAAAAGCAGGTTGCAATTTGAGTGCAGAATAGAGAAGAAAAGTAATGATGGTATAAAGACGAAGAAGATCAAATTAGGTTGAAGAACCAGAAACGTGTGTTTCGACGAATGAAAAGGGTAGGAGCATGGTAAGTTGGTGAGAGATGTGGATAAATAGGTGTAAATAAGGTATAAATAGTAAAGTAGGGGCTCAAGTTAAGTTGGTGTTTGCATTGTCGTAACGCAGCCGAAAAGATCCGAAAGGAAGGAAAATAAGTGGAAGCTGAAATTTCACGCTTTCGTTAAATCATGGGAGAAGCTGGGCGCAAAGTGAATATAAAAAGCCAAACCATCATAGAAAACGTGGGACCATAAACGACGGGATATATATAGATATATCGGTTGTCGTGTTAGAAGCGTAAGGGCGTAAGTAATAATTAATGTTGTTTTACAACATGAAATCAAAAACGAGGTCATGTATCATAGTGCGTTTCGTGATCCGAGAACGGATAGTGTGATCTAGTTAAAATGTTAGGGGACGCCAAAAAAATATACCAGCGCTGTATCAGGGATGGACATACAACTATTACAATGATTGACAAGCCAACTGGCGTCATGCAGCGGTTCAAATTCCGCCACCATCGGGCATTTTCAAAACGTAAATTATCAACCAGCGCTGCTCGGTGGGCAGTTGCTTTCTCAACATCCGGTTGCTTGCCTGACGTTTTGTCATCAAAACACGGTGGTTTAATCGGCAATGGGAGAAATGAAGCGATCAACCAGGCTATAGGTGTAACGTCAGTATGAGCAAAACTCTATCAAGGGGGTCGGAGAGGATAGACTAACCTAATGGAAAGATAAAACCTATACAAAAACTAATGACTTGCATATTTCGTCTACTCCATATATATTCACCAGATTCGTCGTATGGAGGGGCTCTCCAGATTGTCCTATCGGTCGCACGAAAGCGTTTATCGGTGTATAAGTGCGGTGACCAGACGGTTCTTGGAGTCTCCTCGCGTGAATTTTGAGGCGTGACCTCATCTTCACCAACGATACCAGCCCAGTGTGTCCTTGGATCGCGGGAGTCTCGACGGGTGTCCCTGGGCTTAGCCTGTGGTTGTGCCTGGGCCTGAGCCTCAGGTTCTAGCTCAGGCTCTGGCTCATGCTCTGGCTGTGGCTGCGGTCGCGGCTGCGGCTGAGGCTGAGTCTGTCGTTGCATAGGTTGGCTCTCTCGGCGAGGCCGTGTTCGTGGACGGGAGATATTTGTCGGCGGCACCCGAACCACGGCTTGATTTGAGTGTTCATCCAAGGGCTCGGAATAGGACAGAGGTTCAGAGTAGGAAACATGAGTCACAGTGTGCATTTCGCGAGGGGTATTTGGCCGGCTGACATCCACAAGAGAGATTGCAGATAGGAAGGCAAGACTTCCGCCCTGGTAGTAGATCTTTGCCCATTGGGGGATGTTGGTAAGGATCCCACTTGCGGTTGAACCAGATCGGCTAAGAGAACCGTGCCTCGAGATTGATGATCGATAGCTCAACGTGGCGGATGTTTTGTGTTTCAGAACACGTAGTGCATGAAGATGCGTAATGCGGTCACTGACTTCATCCATTTCGGATGCATCCATCACTGAGTGATCTACCATATCGGTTGATTGATTCGCCGAGCTCCAGGAGTGATCGGATCCGCCTCCCTGCTGAGACCTATCTGCCGGGTTGCCATCGAGGGATAGAGAGGGAAGGTTGTGTCGTTCCTCCATTGACATTGATAATTCGGATGATACGGTTGACAAATGTGGGTTCCAGCGTCTGGTTGGAGGTCGGTTTAGGACCAAGGGTTCAGGGATAGACACCATAGAAGTCTCTGCAAATGAACTAGACGATGAGGGTGGCCGTAGAGTTGGGTATTGTACAGGCGTTCCACTGTTCATGACTGCCCGGATATCAGAGTCGGATGGCATGCTGGGCAATGACACATTTCCTTGGCTACCGTTGTCTGACCGAGGGGCAAGTTCAAGGGTAGATGTCGACTGGTAAGATCTTAGCACAGGCACTGGGGGGCTCGATGATATAGATGGTGTCTTGGAGTCGTATCGATTCACGGAGGCTGATTCCGAAGCACTGTTTGGCTCTCTTCGGTTGCGGATATACCTTATAGCTGTGCCAAATGAGTTTGCCGAGAACAAGGAGGATTCCGAAACCCTGGTCCTTATAACGTTCGGAGAGGTACCAATAGGGAGCACATTAGGCGACGAGCTATTCAATGGGACTAGGTTTGGACTAGATGTGTATCCGATTCGGGCTACATTTGAGGACCCATTGGAAGAGGATGAATGACCCCTGGTGATGGAACATCCAATTATGAGCGAGCCATCGGAAGGAGGGGTTCTGAGGCGCGATGGTTCTCCTTGGTTAACCAGCTTGATGGTGGCTGCAGGTTTTGGAAGAGCAGTTACGCTGCTTCGGTCGGAGGATTTGTCCTGGTCGTCATCGTTCCCGCTATCACCGCTGTCAAACGCATGTGGGGTAACCGAGCGAGCGATCGTGGTGTTGCTTGACTTCGGATCCTGGCCCCATATCGCGCTCGAGGTGTTTCCCATATAAGTAGAGAGGTCTGAGGCGCTGGCAGAGGGCTGTCCCCTGGGACTGGGAGGCTCTAATTGTGGAGAAAGACTGGTTCTGGAACACCAGTTGTCCGAAACCATGGTTGAAGGGCTGCCACTTCTAGATATGCGACCTCTGGCAGCAGAACCCGGCGGTAATAGCACATGGGATGGCTTGGTAGGATATGGATTGGCGGAGTACACATCAACATCGTCTGGAATGCTGAAATTATCGTCCTCAGAGTCATCGTGGCATCGGTTTGATACTAGTCGAAGGGTCGGGGAGACTGGACGGATGACGTTATTTTGGGATTTCGTTCGTTCATGGAGCGGATGGCGCTTCGGTGTGGACCTTCGGGACGAAGGCGAGGGCGAAGGAGACAAAGACATTATGTATTATCGTAGGCACGGAATCCGCAAACTTCTCATCGCATTGTTCGGCGGGCCGGGATATTATGTTCCTTCTTCCAAACGGATTTCGACGGTGCAATATGTACTCCGTAAGTAAATAGAATATGTATATAAGCGCAGAAAAAAATATGAATGTAATAATTGATTTGAAGAAAGGAAGAATGAGAGGAAGAGTTGGTAGTGGAATCGAAAGGTGAGGGATCCGAAAATAAGTCCGAAAAACCGATGTAGAAATGGTCTCGTAGAGAGCGTCGATGAATGAATGAACGATTTGCAAGGCGTCTATGGCATAAGCTCGTAAGGAACTGGACCGGGGGCTGCTGTGAGCGACTGATGCTGGAAGTGTTTCAAAAGCGGTTAAATTTAGAGCGAGTGTGGTGTGCTAACTGGGTGGCACAAAAAAGCTTATTAAATGGGTAGTAATTATGGGTGAATTATATATCTAAAAGAGTGACTGAGGAAAGGAAAGGCGCGCAAAAACAATTGCAAAAGACACGATAGAATTGAACGAGAGGAGGGTTGGAGATGAAGTCGGAGGAGTTGCAGGTTGATTTTGACTGCGGAAAGGAAAAGGAGCAAGGCAGTCACGGGATCTTAGTCAGCAACGGTACCTGGAGGGCGGTGAGCGGGCCGCCTCTTCGGGACCCGCTTGGCAGAATTGATAAGATCGAGATAAGATCAATTAATAGTGACAATTACGACAATAAGAGGAGGTGATAGAGGATAGAAGAGGCGGTAGAAGATGACAATCAGAGAAGGGAGATACTACTGATGGCGAGAATATACGGAGTACAGGATAGGAGTCGAGATACACAGAGGTCGAGAGGCCGCCCGGCTAAGTTACTGGTGCGCGTCGTACGGAGCCCATAGAACGGCCCTGATGTGCTCCATACCTGGCGTATCGTGTTTCCCCAGGCCTAGTTATATATAGGATTTCACGGCGCTACATGCTGGATGTCGGCAGGGAGTCCTGGATGCTGTAATGCAAGGACAACACAACCTGGTCTGTCCCAGAACCATAACCATAAAGAACCGCTGCTAACTCTTACCCCGTGCAGAACACTCCGTACACGCACTCCCCATTGTTATCCGCTGCTTCAGTGCTCAACAGTGACTCCAAACCAAACGATTTACTCCTGCATCGCCAACGAATACTCCATACTCGGTTAACCAAGTCGTGGTGGAGTGGGCGGGTGTTTAACTAAGGGGGGCTTAGGTTTATCGGCGCAAGGTGGACCCTTTAACCAAAAAAACCTCGTTTCAGCCTTCAGCCAGCAACTGCTGGCCAACTGCTAAGGCGGTATCCGCGGATTTCAAAACGCGACAGCTCCATCTTGCATGCGCTGTGGCACTGGCAGCATGTATAAGTGGTGATCCGGCGAATGAAAAGTCTGCCGAGACGATGTTTTCTCAGCGTAACTTACTCCCTGGGCCGGAAACTCGTCTACAAGGTCTCGCCGTGATAAGTGGTGGAGTGCCTGGTTGCCAATCATTTTCTGAGTTTTCTTGGAATAACCAATAACAAAAATTCAATGCAGTGCCATGTATGCAGGAGAAACTCGTCACCTCAAGGGACGAATCCGGCTCCTGGCGGTGCTCCAGGACCTGCAGTAGGGGAAAGGATTTCAACGGGGCGTCCGGAAGCGTTATCGGAGGCTGCAGGAAAGCGCATGCAAATGCTTAAAGCTATCTGACTTCTTTCCCCGAGCGAGGAGTGCTCCATACGCCTATTTCCCAGGCACCTTGCTACACTAATTAGTTACACGAACGCCTTTCTTGCATACTTCAAGCAGGGCCTCGAGGATGGATGTAGTCCGTCGTCCATACGGAGGACTCCGTACCTGCACAGAAGCAGAAGAACCTTGGAACGTTCATATTTTCTCGCGTGGAGTTTGAAGGCTCGGCTAATGATTTGCTTTCTTGTCCGAACTACTCCTGCTAGATAGGTGTGTACTCCGGTACGGTCCTCCGTCCTCATCGAGTTCCGCGCCGTTATCCCGTCCACATTTTGCTTAGGTAGCCATCGGTGGAGATGATGGGGTCAAACTTGTAGTCGGGAATGCCTGCATAGCCGCCTTTAATTTAACGGGAATTCTTCTAATTCGGAGCCGCCGAGGATGAGCCTTAGAAGCGATCGGTTTAGTACCATGGAGCTAACGGATCTCGGCTCAGAATGGTTAATTAAGAGTATGGTGACGGAGTCCTCTGTCTATAACTCTACCTTTGTCTTTAGGTAGGTCTTCCATAATGGCGTTATGGTATCGCCGATATCACTGTCCCTTCTTCGACTCAGCCATTAGGTAGGTCCATGGTACTCCGTCAGTGAAGCTCCAATTTCCACCGAACATGCTAAGGAGTCCGCGAGTACGGAGTACGTATCTTCTTGAAAGTGAGGCAAGCTGGCGCATGGCTTGCGTATGGGGATGTTACTTTCCAGCCTTCCATCGTTTATCAATATTTATCATCAACTTCTTATTACTTTTTTTCCCAGAGTTGGAGCTATCATGAAACCCATATTTTTGAGGAGCTCCGTACTTGACCCCCCGAGGAGCTGCTAGGCTGATATGAACGTTGCTTTGTTCGTGGCTTGTCTTTGTCTCTGACGCTGGCTTTGGCGGATGGCCCAGACCAGGGGCACATGACCAGCACTTCAACCTCAAATCCACCGCAAAACATCCTCGATCTTCAGGCATCAACCCCTTGTGGCTGCACATTTGTTTCTCAAGTGCGCCTTGCTGGTTCCTGGGCCTGGCTATACTAGAAATCTCGTGTTGTCTTACTTGGTGAAAGTAGGATCCATGGCTTCCGGAATCTTTGAGCGACTGAAGCATTTTTACCATGCAGACAAAGGTATGTCTGACAGCAGATGTTCGGCTCGATACGTTTGGCAACGTTTCTGATTGTAGAATTCAAGAACCTCAACCCCTTATTTCAGTGACTACTGCAGTCTGGTGCTCGGTATGTACGCCAAATATCCCAAATATAGTCATTGTGAGCTGTATCTTCAGCAATCTCAGTACTTTGATAATACGGAGTTGCGCAACTTCCATGTTTGCGACAGGGGAAGACTGGTGCTGACTCCAAGGGCCAGATATTATGCACTGTCCTATATGTTGTGCCATTGTATACCTCTAAGGCGACCAGGCCCGCCCCGACATTGAGTCGTGATGCACCGTCACTCATCAAAGCTCGCATTCGCGCCGTTATGGTGTCATGCTTTTGCTGTAGCTTGGCCACGTTCTCTCTAATTGTTTACAGTGGAAGGAGTAAACCTGTGGAAGCGCTCCAGCTCCTGGGATGGTGGCCGATCGGGTTTCCGGAAATCGGAAAGAGTCTACTACTTACAGCCCTGTTGTTCCTGGGTCCACTGTTTGAAATGGGGATTGCAGAAGGAAGATGGAGGAACTGGGTAAGAGGTAAAGGTCTTATCGAATCTCTTCGAACCTGGGTAGGATGGAGGAACTTTGTCGCTGTCAGTTAGCCCTCCTTTTATATTTATGAGAGCGGCATCATTTGGTGTTTTGCGTCGTATGATCTAACAGTGTCCTAGGGCCCAATAACGGAGGAAATAATCTTTCGATCAATCATCATTACTATCAATCTGATGGCAGGGATGTCCCCGAGCCGAATTGTGTTTCTGACACCTCTATATTTCGGCATTGCCCATGTTAACCATTTTTACGAAACCAAACTCGCCCAGCCAACCATCGCTCTGGCACCAGTTCTTGTTCGCTCTCTATTCCAGTTCACTTATACCACAATATTTGGGTGGTATGCTACCTTTATCTACCTGAGAACCGGGTCCCTCCCCGCAGTCATTCTGGTGCATGCATTCTGCAATTACTGTGGCCTGCCTCGTCTCTGGGGGCGTGTCGAGACGTCCCTGCCCATTGAGAGCACTCTGCTAAGAGCTGCTAAAGGCGACGAGGACGGGGACCTATATGACGGAACTAACGAGGCCACTGGAATTGGTTGGACTGTGGCGTATTATATCATTTTGCTTGCAGGAGTGGTACTATTCCATTCTCAATTTTGGCCATTGACGGAGTCTTCAAAGGCACTGGCGTTATTCTCAACCAAAAAACATTAAGCGAGTTATCTAGAGGAAAAAAAAGCGACTGCGACTGGGGCATTTTGAGCGTTAGTCTATAGGGATGCGTGTTATTAGCTTGTAATATATTTATCCCACCTGCCATTCCATCCTTCAAACATCTCCATATAATCCAGCTTCCAGTTCTCTTGTTTTCAAGGCCGAAAACTCCGATAGCTCCGATTGGTCCGGAGCTAGCTTTCATAAGCTCCTTGAGATTTCATCGCGGCGATCGAGCTTTTATTAGTATTTGCGCTCTGGACGCCAGCCTTTGTTTCCAAGTCAATTCTTCATTTAATGATATATACGTGAATATCAATTCTTATCCAGTCCTTACCAACGACGAAAAGGCTACAATACCAATGTGGCGGACACACAACCATGTTTTCAGAATCCGGCAAATTGGTTGCAAGCAGTATTCAACGTCTAGACGGCTTGCTATCCCTATCCCTCCCCCGTTCCCTGTCGTCCAGTCCTGCCCTGAGCCAACATGTTCCTGTGCCGCAACGCCCACCGGTCTTGATATCGACCACGATGCTACCCTTAATGGTAGCATAGGGCGCTACTCTGAACATGTCCTCATTTGTACGGGACAGCGGGATTGGCCAAGTCGGATTCACCAACATTGGTCAGATCAGAGCTGGGGGATATTTGGTGGGAAACTGAGGGACGCGATGATGAAAAAGGGGAAATTTCGCGATGTGAGTTTGTCTCTCCCTTTCTCAAACACGTCTACACCCTGGGCCATTGATTCTAATCTACATTTTCGGAATGCGAAGCCGTACCATAATGTTCTTATTACGTACTCCTCATTTATGCCTCCAACCGATCCGTCAAATAAACATTTCGCGTCTGCTTTGCTATTCCCAAGCTTCCGATACATCCCTAAAATCCCATCCTACGATCCGGAATATCTAGAGCTATTTATTCGTGGGTTCCTGCTCCCGTCAAGGCTACATAGTGCGCATAACCACCTATCGGCGCCTGAACGGGACGCCATGATAAGAATACCGGATCTACAAGCAAACTTCAGCCCTGTGACGAGACTCAAGCAATCGCCTACAATCCTAATATGCGGTCACGGAAGTCGAGACATACGATGCGGAGTTATGGGGCCACTGCTTGAATCTGAATTCAGCAAAGTTCTCAAGGAGGAAGGATATACCGTAGGCAACACCCCGAAAGAAATGGCGAATCATGCAAATCTTGGCTTGGTAAGTCATATCGGCAGCCATAAATTCGCGGGTAACGTTATTATATGTTTACCTCCATCGATAAAATCCAAGTCAGGGGATACCAACGAATTAGCCGGAAAATCTATTTGGTATGGCCGGGTAGAACCAAAACATGTGCAAGGGATTGTACGGGAGACGATATTGAACGGTCGCGTTATCAAGGATCATTTCCGTGGAGGCATAGATATAAATGGTAGGCAGTTACGGCTGTAGATAATCGTTAGACTTCTAGGTTGGGTTTATATGTAAGATATTTACGGCCGTGTAAGTAGTGGATAGATAGAATGGAGTGCAGATTCTTCTTTTTATATATGGGATCTGTGAACAAGATGCAGATTTCATCCTCGTATCAAAGTTGTTATCAATCTGATAAGATCTTGATCTAGCACATAATAGGAATGGTGTAGCAGCGAGCCAAAACCTCAGGACTTTCCATCTCGCATCTTTGCTCCCTTGTTCCCTTAACTGAAGATAAACCGGGGGGAGCTCAAAGGACAATGAGCAAGGAGTGCGATGTGGGTATCCTGTGTTTATCGAGGACATGTCCGACCCGGCGGACCGCCTATGGTCTCGCGCCAATTGCTGCATAGCTTTCGGTACCTTCGATTTCGCAGCGCTAGCACCCATGCCGATGCCAATCATGCGGTTAAGAAGCTAGACCTTTTAGCTATTGACAAGAGGTGGAAAGAGAGATGGAGGGAAAGCGGCTCCTCAACTCAACCGCCCGGCAATGGCAAGGAAAAGGCCTACGTGCTGCCCATGTTCCCTTATCCATCGGGGACCTTGCATATGGGACATGTCCGAGTATACACCATATCCGACGTTCTAGCTCGGTTCAAGGAGATGAAGGGCTACGATGTTTTGCACCCAATGGGATGGGATGCATTCGGGCTTCCTGCGGAGAATGCGGCGATGGAGCGTGGGATTCATCCAGAAGGTTGGACAAAGCAGAATATAGCTAACATGAAGGATCAATTGAAAGACTTGGGGATAAGATTTGACTGGGATACGGTATGGATGCGTATAAAGTCCCTTTTATAATGCACCCTCGCCTTGGTATGACATTTTTCTGAAATTGAAGCTGATCGAGATCTCTTGTTTGTCTGCAGGAAATCATGACTTGCGCTCCCGAATTCTACAAACACACACAGCAATTATTCCTAATGCTCCAGAAAAGGGGTCTCGCATACCAGGCAGAGGCATTGGTGAATTATGATCCTGTTGACAAAACCGTTTTGGCGAACGAACAGGTAGATGCCAATGGATGCTCGTGGAGGTCTGGTGCAAAAGTCGAGAAGAGAGAATTAAAACAGTGGTTTTTCCGGATTACTGCTTTCAAAGAAGAATTGCTTAAAGACCTGGATTCTTTATCCGGGAACTGGCCAGACAGGATCCTCACAATGCAAAGGCACTGGCTTGGAAAGTCGCGAGGTGCTCTTGTTCCGTTTAAGATATCTGCCCTGGAAGAATCTCTTGATATTGAAGTGTTTACCACCCGTCCTGACACGCTTCACGGCGTCCAGTATATTGCCTTGTCTACCAGCCATCCGATAGTAAAGAAGCTAGCAGCAACCACGCCTGAACTTCGACAATTCATCGACTCTTCAGGATCATTGCTACCAGAGACAAAAGCAGGGTTCCGGCTACCTGGTGTCAATGCCACCAACCCAATTTACAGCCTAGAAGACAACCCACATTTACCATCTTCTATTCCAGTTTATGTTGCCCCTTACGTTCTAGCGGATTACGGAGAAGGAGCCGTCATGGGTGTTCCTGGCCATGATTCTCGGGACTTTGGGTTTTGGAGAGAGAATGCCCCGTCCAAGCCCATTGTTTCTGTGGTTATTCCAACCAAGGGAGGCTTGGATGCCGAGGATAAATCTGGTGCTAATGCGCCATTCTCAGGCCATGGGAAGACAGCCAACATATGTGGATCTTATAGTGGAATGCCTTCTAAAGCTGCCGGGGAAAAGATAATAAACGACTTGAAAGAAAAAGGAAACCATGCAAGATTTGCTGAGAGTTGGAGGCTCCGCGACTGGTTAATAAGCCGACAACGATATTGGGGCGCTCCTATCCCAATCATTCATTGCGACAGCTGTGGGGCTGTGCCAGTTCCTGTAGACCAGCTGCCAGTTGAACTACCCGATATTCCAGGTTCCCAGATGAAAGATAAAACTGGAAACCCTCTTGAGGCTGCGAAAGAGTGGTTACACACAGAATGTCCAAGCTGTGGGAAACCAGCAATAAGAGACACTGATACTATGGACACTTTCGTGGATTCATCGTGGTATTTCTTGCGATTTCTGGACCCAAAAAATAAAGAGCTACCGTTCTCGCCTGGGAAATCTCGTCCTGTTGACATATACATCGGTGGAATCGAACATGCTATTCTCCATCTACTTTATTCTCGTTTCATTTTCAAGTTTCTTGCCAACGAAGGCGTGATTGAAAATGCACGGAACCCACCAGAACCATTCCTAACACTCTTATCTCAAGGTATGGTTCATGGTAAGACTTACTCAGACCCTGAAACCGGCCGATTCTTACGCCCGGGTGAGGTCGACCTTTCTATCCGAGGTTCGCCCATGCTCACCGGAACCCAAACCCAAGCCAATGTTTCCTTTGAGAAAATGTCAAAGAGCAAGTACAATGGAGTAGATCCGAATACTTGTATTGAAAAATACGGCGCGGATGCTACTCGCGCGCATGTTCTCTTCTCCGCACCAGTCAGTGAAATCCTAGAATGGGATGAAACCAAGATCGTGGGAATTCAGCGCTGGTTTAGTCGTGTTTGGAAAATCGTCGAGGATACAAGTGGCTCCCTCAAGGGAGCGAATTTCGCATCTACTACGGAGAGCTTAGCAAACTTGAATGGCATGGCATTGCCGTCTCTAGACAAACTCTCGGAAACCGAGAGCAACCTCCTTCTTAGCGCACACAACACTATATCATCAATATCGTACTGTCTGGAGAAAAACCAATACGGCCTCAACACAGTTATTTCCGACCTGATAAAACTTACCAATGCGCTTGCAACGGCTCCTTTGCCTGCTGGGGCTTCAGATGTATCATCAACACAATCCGTTACACCCTCGCACGTAACAATGTATATAGCACTCAACACTCTCCTCCGACTGCTGGCGCCAATTGCCCCCGCATTCGCTTCGGAATGTTGGGAGGTTCTACACAGGCCTATTCTTGAAGGCGTTGACCTGCAGGCACCTTCAGCCGTCCCGTCGATTTTCTCTTCTCCGTGGCCTACCGAGCTGTTGTCAGAGGCTGAGATCAAACAAATACGCTCTCGCGGAGCCAAGACAGTGGCTGTCCAAGTCAATGGGAAGCTCCGTTTTAAGGCATCTATACCACACTTTTCCGCAGTGAGTGCTACAGAGTCAAATCATAAGGAACTAGAGCAGGAGTGGATACTATCCCACATTCTCAAGACAGACGAAGGAAAGGTCTGGCTTCAAGAAAAGAACGATTGGGAAAATCGGAAACGGGTTGTGGTTGTGGGTGGCGGCAAGGTGGTTAATGTTGTATTCTAGCGCACAATTTACAAAGCAAGCTTGTATATTATGTATAATATTTGGATTAGTTTCATTATTGACGTCTTGGAGTTAGTAAAGGAAAAATACACTCGATTCTCATAATATTCTGAAATATTCCCGGAAGACGTAGAATACCAGTTTGATATTTTATCGTAATAGCTTTCATTTTATGTGATATTCCTATTTCGTAATAAAGACCGTGTCATTTCATATCGCTCGCGCGAGGAGCGTCCTGATACAATTGAGACAACGCCAAAGTAAACTTGAAAGAATAGAATGAAGGTGAGCCAGCCAACAGGGTAAATTAAATGGCATAAACGAATGAAAAACAGATCTATCTGTCCGAATGCCCCAGGCAATACAAAATGAGTGGCCAACATGTCAAATGCAGTTGATAAAATAGTGAAAATGAACAGAATAGCAGCCAGCGCCAACAATGGAATAGACGTAGGTGACCGTGCCCGTGACCCCGAACCAAAGGAGATATTATGTCAATCGGACTAGACGAAGAACTCAGTCCCATGAATTGGAAAATTTATGAGATGTTTTGTATGAGACCTGCATATAAAATTTTAGTGAGTGAAGCCCCGATCACTACTTTTCGAGTTCGAGCCTCATATCCAAGGTGAGGATTGATATGTGTTGGGAAGTGGAGATAGATGATCCTTGTGTTGCCATGCTGCTGAAGTAGCGCTAGCTTTGCTATCTCTTAGCCGCATCGCCGCTTCGATAAGTGCCTGTTGAGGGTCTTGTGGCGGAATTGGAGGAAGCATTTTATCAACCATTGGCCGAGGCGTGCTCGGCGCAAATGAAGTAGTAGAAGGCTTTGGAGAAGCGGCATATGGGTGCAGGTAGACCTGTCCAGGTGGTGCAGGGTACGCTGGGATGGCTTCGAACCTATATCCGTCATTGAAATGACAATAAGGGTTACGCCTCGGGTATAGGGGCTTCAATAAAGCAGAGTCTAAAGATCTCCGAAGGCTGCCTGGTCTATTAAGTGTTGGCGTTGATGGCATAGTTGGGATTTTTTGGGAAGGATTGAAGCCGACTAGAGCCGGAGTTGACAGATTTAACCGAGGATTAATTGGGTACACTCCGTAACTATCTGGGTGCAACTCAATTGGCATAGCAGCCGGGCTAAATTTCGGAGAATAGTGAAGCGATGGGTTAAATAGCCGCGGTGTTGGTGGTATTGGTGTTTCCGGGCCGTATGCATTATGTGCGAGGTCGTTACTCTGGTAAGAAGCATTGCTAGACATTAATGCCTCCTTCATATAGCTAGATCTCATGTCTGACGCGGGCGCTTGAGGCGTTCGAGGGCCAACAGAACTGATTTTTGAATTCTTTCTAGGTGAGAACTCCCCCTTATTCGGTTGCGGGGTTCCAGATACGCCTATGTTGGGCGTGGGAGGAGGCGCAAGATTCTCTTTCGGGATAGTTTTCTGAAGTGGAATACTGCTAATCGATTTTTCTAACCGATCTGGCCGGTATACTTCAACTATACCAGAATCTGCAGCGCCAAAGCTACTCCATGTGCTTCGTTTATCCCATAACGGGCTCTCCGCTGAAGTCAAGGGGACTTCCCTTAAGCCGCGTAGAATCAAGAACAAGATGGAGTTGGCGAAGCCAAAAATATGGATTGCGATCGAAGCCACAAGCCCGGTAGATTGAGATCCACGGCGAAGTTGTGCCGATATGAAAAATGGTAGCGTAGAGAACTGTTTAATGATTAGCACTCGAGGGGCTCAAATAAGGAAGACTGGGAGAATGCTAACATATAATACGGTACCAAGCACTAGATGAGAGATAATATGTCTCATGACAGTTCTTCGATCTCGGCTTAGGCGCCTTGACTTCCGGAGGCGGAATATCAGAATTAAAATTGTTGCAATATAGACTGCCATCAACAGTATGTTCAATCCAGTAGCAACATCAGCCCATCCTTTCAACCACTGAGACGACTCTGCAGCGCATTTATTACTCGTATTCGGTTTAATCGCGGATGGTATCCATGTTAGTATAAGTAGGAGGAATATAGCAATCCCACAACTCAATGCGAGCCATATCCCCTTCGGAAATCTTTTGGACGATATGACGCCTCGCAGAATGAAAGTCAGACATAGAGCGAGAAGCATATATGCATTAATCCACGAGGCTGAGACGATTGGTGATGATTAGCGTTGATGGACATCTTTTTTTTTTTTAGCTCGAGCGCACTTACTAGTCCAGACAACCTGAGCTGAGGTCTTGCATGTAACGCCGCCGATTGGTCGATACCCACTCGATTGGGAGGTGATAAATACCGCTTCTTGGATGACCGAGGTTATTGAAAGCGCGTAAGGGACAACATAAGTGTTTGGTATATGAAGTAGTATCGCAAGAGGAGTTCTATATGTGGAAGCAGTGAGTAACAAAATAGTTATTGGCGGTGGTGATGGTGATGATGATGGTAATGGAAAGAGGGAGGTATACCTATCTAGAGGAATAGATTTTCGTTTTATCTTCCAGTTATCAAATAATACCACGGCGAAACTGATAAACGATGCAATGAGGCTGAATGATGCGGTAGCAATGATAAACATTCGACGCTCGAAATCCTCGACATTGGAAATATTATACTCGCTGTTCACCATGCGAGTATAGTTATTCATATTCCGTGCTTGCAAGTTTCGAGCGTTCATAAAATGAACTATGCATAGACCTCCGGAAGATCAAGATAGAGCGAGTCTCGGACTCGACATCGAGAGATGGGCCTTGCTCTTTCTGTACGGCCTACTGGCAGAACGGCTGTGCAGGGAGAGACGGCGAGGGATTTTTTTGGGAAGCGAAAAGAAAAAGAGTCTGAAAAAGTGTTTATCAAGGAAGGAAGAGGACAATGCTGGCAAGAAATATCAGGGCCGATGGTCTTCGAAGCGAAGACTTGAGAGTTCCAGCCGGATATAAAGTTTTGGGTCTCGTTGAATAAGCTTGAGATAAACGTAGGCCGTAGATGATGCATCACCATGCAATATGCACCATGAACTATGCAGTTGCAGAGTCAGCCGTTGCTGGATGTCCCGATGATAGGTCAAAATAACACTGCCTCCACGCTGTCCGCGTAGGAAAAAAGCTGACAGGCCACGATCTCCTGCCCTAGATGCTTGCATACATAGTAAGCTTGCACGTCGTTTATCAAGCATGGATACGACAACCCCAAGGCCGGAGCTCCCGCAGCGGCTGCAGTGTAATGTGCCATGAGCATGCATACACTAGGCGCTTGATATGCATATTTGTCCGGCGTCGAGGCAATTTAGTGGCCTGCATATTCATAATCAGAGATGGTTTGGGTCCATATTATGAATCTAGCTGCGTTTTAAATCGCCTCTGACGGACAGCCGGTTGACACATAGTCGGCCATATCTGAATGGTTTCCCAGGCAAAAGAAAAGAAACCGAAGTCGACACCCCGCCACGAGAGTGACAGCCGCCCCATGAGAACTCAACATGTCACAGAGAGGGTAGACAACATCCTCTGCCGGCTGCTTCTTCGTTGACGTGGGGAGGACGAGGACGAGGACGAGATGCGATGTGATGTGCGTATATGCAGGGCCCTAAGTAAGCAGGCCTTAGTCATCTCCACCCCTACCTAAACTTCAGCCCTCCACGGCTAACAACCACGCCCTTCAACCCGAGCATCTTTCGCTATTCTGGCCGCTGAGATCTCGAGCTTCACCACCCTCCATGTCCAGAGCCTGCAGAAAACGGTCCCTAGTTCATGCAGTGAGCAACTTGGCTGTTCGGTCGCGTGATATTCATCGACCCATTCAACCACCGCGAAATGACCTGCGGAAGAAGGATCATGGCTCCTTAACGATCCAACCTGCTAAGCCTTCCTGGCCCCAAAACGCCGGGTACCCCCTACTTTGATATGTCGCAGCTGATGTTGACGAAGCGGATATACATATAGTGTAACGTAGCATTTACGTTGTCAGGAACCGCCACTGTGGCCAACAAGCGCATGGGATTGAAAATTTGGCTGTATAACATCCGGCTGCCGTTGGGAATTGCGTGCAGCGTTGTTTCAACTCTATATATGCGTCTCCTTGATAAGCTATCTTGTTTTTTTTTTCTCTCCGGGCTGTCTCGGATAGCAAGATATTACCCAGACTCTGGACCGTGCAGGTATTTGTATCACTTACCCAGTTTGCCTTGGGGATTTCGTGACCACCTGTGTACAGAGTACATTCTAGGTGTCAAGCTATGTCCGTTACGCTGGTGTCAAACACTACAGCTACCTCTCCTACTTTCACAACTGCATGTGCGGACCTTTGTGATTGTGGTGAGCCAACGGATATGACTTAATTGGTCTATTCCATTCCCACAACGACAGTCAGCATAGGGAGTTTCCATATGCCTCGTTAGAATCTGATAGAGTCACAATGACAATAAGTCTCTCAGACAGGAGCATTATACCAACCTCGATAACCCCCGAGAATGATTGGTTGGCTTCCCGACAAACGGTAGCTATGCCCTCGTACGGACTTGCACTAAGCCCGATCGCTAAAGGTTCCTTAAAACCCACCACTTAGGAATGCATAGAGGATCGTGGGCCTGGAATCTGCCCCCCGGAGATAACTGGAATATATGAAAGGGAGGGTGCATTGCATGCATTGAATTTCTCTACGTGCATATTCTTGATGGCGCGTCTCTGCAAGGTCATAGGATCACTCTATTACTAATGAGCGTTTTTCTATAATTATACCCAGTGAAATTTCTTGAATCAGATACAAGTTGACCGGTTCCTTTCAGGAGCGAGGCATGTTGGTAAGTTGGAGAACCACGCGGCACGGTGAATGTATTTCTACGCTGGCAGTGGTCTAGAGAGAGGCGGACGCGGCCTTGGGTTTTATCAGGGGTGCGCGAGAACGTGGTATTTGGATCGAGGTATAACGTTGCTTCTGGTATGAATTTTTTTTTTACCAACGGCCGTTGCAATCATGTCAACTAACGTTAAATTGGGATACTAAAAGCAAAAATTTTTAATTACTACTACTAGAACTATGAGGTTATGACGGTTTCAATTTCGTAGGCCATGGTGGAAAATCAAGATCCAACATCAAGAGCCAGCTGATGCCGGGAACGAAGGGAAAGCCCCAGGCCACAGACACACGTCTTGCACGACCTGCCTATTAGGAGAAGATTTACTTTCTCTCGCCATATGCCTTGGTGGCATAGTCGCCCGCGTGGACGATGAGGTCTTCGGGCTTATAGTCGAATTTGCCCGAGAAGTACGACTCGAGTATAGACTTGGTGCCTTCGGCATATCGGATTTGAGCATTAATTGTCGATCCAGACATATGCGGGACCATGGCGTTACCACCGCCCCATGGGCCCTGAACATATCGGAGAGGGTGATCCTTTGGAGCAGGCTGGGGGAACCAAACGTCGCCTCCATATCCGCGGAGGTGGCCCGATTTCACAGCCTCGGCCACGTCTTCTTTGACAACAATTGCGCCACGGGCAGTGTTGATGAGCCATGAACCTAGGGTGAGTTAGTATGGATAGCTCAAAACAAGCCAGGCTTGAAGATGTATAGCGTTAACAGACGTACCCTTCTTCATCTTGGAGATCAATTCCTTGTTGAAGAGGCCTCGCGTCTTCTCATGCAGTGGGCAGTTGATGGTGACGACGTCACACTGGCCAAGCATCTCCTCGAGAGATTCAACTCGACGGCAGCCGATCTCTTTCTCAACCTCTGGCTTCAGTGGCTGGTAGTCATAGTAAAGCAGCTCCTTGCAGTCGAATGGCTTCAGTCGACGGAGGACACGCTCTCCAATACGGCCGACAGCAACGGTTCCAACAACCTTGTTCTCAAGGTCATACGAGTTTTTAGCGACAGCAGCAACGTCCCACTCACCGCCGGAGACCTGCTGGTATGCGGGGACGAAGTTACGGACAAGGATGAGGATAGTCATGACAACATGTTCTGCAACAGATACAACATTGCATCCAGTTACCTCCGCGACGGTGATACCGCCGTTGGTCTTGTTGGCGGCATCCAGGTCAACGTGGTCGGATCCTACGCCGGCGGTGATGGCCAGCTTGAGCTTCTTTGCCTTGTCGAGACGCTCCTTGGTGAGGTATCCAGGGTGGAAGCTAGGATAAGCTGGGTTAGCTAGGACCTGGGAAGACGATCTCTGGGCACATACGGGGTAGTGATGATGATTTCTGAGTCGACTAGCTCACGCTCGAAAACGGAATTCTCGCCCTCCTTATCAGAGGTGGTGATCAAGGTATGGCCCTTGTCTTCGAGGTACTTTCTGAGGCCCAGCTCGTTTTCTGTCGTTCCGAGCAGACCAGGTTGGTCTACGGCATGTTTACCACCCTTATGAACAGTTAGCCATGACCATCAATGGAAATGTTATCCGGGGATAACTTACGTCGTATAACACAAGGAGAACCTTGACCTATATTTCGACAGCGCAGTCAGCATCTACATATCGATGGGAGAGGGGACATTGCAATGCAGGCTGGAGATAGTTTCATCCAAGAGGGATATGTGGATGAATTGAGGAACGGAATGGAGAAATTACCATTGTGGTTGAGGTATTATATATATCTTTCTAGTTCTTATTGAGCAGTTGACAGCAGTTTCTTCAGAGTCGAGGTGTTAATCAAGTTGTCCTATGATGAGCAGCAAAGGATATGCATTGCTGGTGCCAGAGAGATGCAACGGGGTTATATTGTGTGTATATCACTTACCTATGATGTTTACTCTGTATCAAGGGGAAGCACGGTTTATGGGGAAGGAAGAAGAAAAAGGGGACGATACGACTACGAGGCGGGAGGGAGCCCAGCTATATAGTGCAGGAAGCACCATTTCTATCTACTCTTCCTAGTCTTTGGCTATCCCTTGGAGTAACATCGGTCCAGATGCTCACTTACGCCGCCGTCTTGCCCGTCTTGCCCGTCTTGCCCGTCACTGGCTCACTGTCTATGGCTCGAGGACAAGAAGCCGAAGTTTCCAGCGTAGCACGGCAAGGAGCAGGCGTAGTTTGTGCGGGGTGTGCAGGAGAGATGCATGAGCGAGGGTTTTCCCACAGTCCGAACAGGTTTTGATCCCTTGACCCGCATGCCTTTGCACCTCTTCAACACGAAGTATCTCTCCCCTTTCATCCCACCATCTTCATATCTTCATCCCTGCGGATGTTTTACATAGACGATGGGGACCCCGCATGCTCGCGTGAGGGGAAGATGATGTAATGCGGGGTAGTCGTGGTTTTACCCCAAAAGTTTCTCCAAGGCCAAAAAGACAAACAGAAAAAGAAGTTGGCCGAGGATGCGCTTGTTGAGTATACGCAGTTTGGTCGGTATCTTGCCAGTACACTGTGTAGGTAGAGCTCTTGTTAACCTGTTGACGGCTTCCAGATCAGTTCTCTATCGCCAGGGGTCAGGGACAAGCTGCCCGCTGAGATCCACTTAGTGTCCGCACCAAGGATCCAGGAACCAGGCACCATTATCTACAGACATGCGTTTAGACGCTGAGGGAGGGAAGAAATACCGTACTGCTACTTCTATGGCTCTTGAGATGGTGCTAATAACATAAGCTGGTGCGGTCAGAGTGAAAAACTAACGCCATGAGAAGCGAGTGAACCAGATATCCCAAGTATATCAACCAAGGACGCCCAAAATTACGCTCGATATATCATCCCTTCCCACAAGCTTGTCGTGGTGGTGATCGAAAACCCCGTTCATCGACAGATGCATTCTAGATCCGGTGACTCTGGTACAACCATTAGCAGATATTCTATCGTTCAGCTTTGAGAATCACTCACTCAATGTTCGGTAAAGGAAAGCGAAACGGTGTCCATCTCCAAAGGGGCGAGGGGCAGGGATAACTTGTTCTTCTACCACGGGGGCTGCAACGAGCTCGACAGCAATAGGGCTACAGGATCATCGTTAGTCGGTATAGTGTAAAACGGGAACCTCGTTCTCTTTTTCATGGAGGATATAGCCTTACACCATGGCGAAGGGAGCAAGTCCGGAGATCAAATATTGTGACTGAAAAGTAGCCGGATCTGAAGTCACAGTAGCATAACGGCGGGGTGTGCGGTGATGAGTGACTTTGACGAGAGTAACATCGATAAGCCCGTCTAAGGGTTGCGTGATATCAGCAAGGTCGAGGTCGAGTGCAGTCAGAGGTGTTGGTCCTTTTCTCTCAGCTATAGGTTAGTTGATCTATACCTGAAATAATAAGTTAAACAGCCAGGGCAAAACGTACTATCGGTCGTGCCAAACGCAAAGAGCACATTCTTATGGCCGCTCTCGGTGCGCTGGATGGCACTGCGGATAGTGACACAGAGACGGTTCTGATCATCTCTCTCAAATTCTGTGAACTTGATAGAGTAGTAATGGTTGATAATGTCTCCTTCACCGACCTTGAGTGAAATGTGAATTCCATCAGCGCCTCCAGCCTTGGTCTCCTCCTCAATCATGCGGATAAAGATCTCAAAGAGCTGTCCTTCAACCCCATTTATGTACTGGCATATTGTCTGGCTGTCAACAGCCCAGGGGAGTGGTGGGTAAATAGGGTTTGGGAGGAGGTACTCTAGCAGGATCCGCTGGGGGCTAGAGAGCTTGACAAAAACTTCAATCCCGTCGATAATGGCCATTATAAAGGTTGGGTGGTAGGGTTGTTGGAGGTGAAAATGGGCAGATTGATTCTGACAGGCTCTTCCGGGCTGTGTAGGAGATGTGGATGGGAGATAGTGACGCTGTCAGGCGAGCGTTGTTACCTTTTTATGTGCTTGTATAGAAGGCAGGGAGCAGGTGAAATTAAGCTGGGTGACTTGTGTTGCTATTGTGTTGCTGCACTGAGAGCTGAGGTATCAAAAGTCCTAGGGTATAGAAGCTAGAGTGAGGCATGTTTAGTGCTCCAAGTGAGAACAGCATTATACCCAAGAGAGGTATCAGAGAAATATATGCAATAATGCTCATAATAGTATACAATAAACTTAAAAAGGGTATAAGAAAGAAATCCAAACTGGAAATAATCTCTATCGGGAGCAAAAAAGCGCGTGCATTAGCACAGTTAGAAAGACCTTCAAACGTCATGATGCACATGTCTATATGGATACTTCAAGAAAGTAGGTTGGTCATATCCTCCTAGTGCCTGGTGTGTCTTCCTCATCGCTATCAGGTATGAAGCCATCCTCCAGCTCCCGGGTGAGTCTTGCCTCTCTCCTCTCCTGCTCGAGTGCCTCTCTCCTAGACTCGTTGAGCTCATAGCCGTCTTCCCCATCATCGTCAAACAAGCTGTCTTCGTCCTGCTCATGAGCTAGCGACCTGTGTCTCCATGATGAGGGAAGGGTGAGGTTCATGATAGCATCGAATGCTCGCTCCCTCAGGGACGTGGTGTGGGCTGATATTGTGTGTAGTGGGAGATACTGTGAATACCGCTGCCGGTGTTGTCGGACAAATGGAACAATAACGAAAGAGAGTGCCAGATAGATGACCAGAGATATCAGCGCAGGAATGAAGAGTGTCTAGACCAGGTACGTTAGCACAGGATATTGGTATTTAGGCAGAGATATAGACCTTTATGACACCGGAAGCTCCTCCCATTGTAGTGGCCTTGTATCAGAACATCCTGGTGCGGCGTTGACTCGACCGCAGCTAGCTCGACAGGCTTATCCCACTTCCTTCTATCTTCTCGTTCTTCGTCTTTCTTCTCGTCGTCTTCTCCTCGTCGTTTCTTCTTCTCTTCTTTCTTTTCTTCTTCTTGTCTTCCTATCTCCAGCTGTTGGGCTGAGGCTTGCGTGTGTCAACCACGTGATCTCCTAGCCGCTTCTGGATGCGCCTGCCACCCCCCTGAAGGCGCTTGGAAGGTCGCTTGTTCTTGTGGATTGAGACATACAGAAGTGCCCGATGGACCTGGAATATCAGACCCTGGATATAGGACCTGGAGCCTGCCGAACTGCCTGTCTGCGCATCTAACCCCGAGACGCCCGCCATAACTGCAGATTTTAGAGGCCTGCATCGCCATCACAAACACTACAGCCGACTATTTACATATCACATGAAGGAGGATGACCGGCCGCGTCTGGAGGAGGACACAGTGACCGCCTAACTATTCGTCGATATCGCTGTGAGAGACAGCTCGCTTCATGCGCCGCGGGCGTGAAACGGCGGCAGGAGCTTACATCTTGAAGGATACAGTCAAGTCACTTTTGAAGATATATACTACACGGACGGCACCCACGGGCCCCTCTCCCTCACACAAAGCCAACTCACACGATCAATCCCACACGCTTGACCATTTCGCATACGCACAGGTGCAGTTCGCATAGCAGAAGCACAGCTACTCTGGCAAGCCGGTAGGCTAGGCCAGCTTAATGCTTCCCCGGAAACGCCGTCATGACATCGTCGGATAAATCGTCAACAAAGTCGTTTTTCGGGAGAAAACTGCACAAGGAACGCCCTACCGACCTGCGCGCAGAGACTCCAGAGCCGTCTGGAACAGCCAGCAGCGGGTCAGGGTCGCGGTCGTCGAGATACTCGAAGCGAGAGTCGGCAGTGTCGGTGGATTTGACTGGCGACAACGAGTACCTGTCCGGGGTCATAACGTCAGTTCCGTATGACAGTATACCTGCGCGAAAGGAACCAACCCCTTCAAAAATGGGGAAACCGAGCGATTACCACCAGTATCCCCAGTTTCAGGCTCCCCAGCCCGCAAACGGTTCAATGCATCCTTCGGGGCCCAGACCCCCACCAGGATCCTCTGGCACTACCGCTTCCTATAACTCTCAAAACGACAAAGGAGCTAAATACCAAGCATGGAACGGCCATAACTCGAATATTCCCACATACTTTACCCCAGAGTCATCTAACTCTCGAACTTCGCTAGACCAAAACAGCATTTATTCTGCCGTATCCTCTGCCCCTCGAGCTTCAACACAAACCAACGCGGATAGCAACCCCCGATATCATTACCCCAGCAGCCACCCTCACGACCCCCGTGTTCAAGCCGCCAGCTCTTCCGGAAGCCGCCCTTCCACATCGTCGCGATCTGACTGGCATCCCCAACAGTTACCTATCGTATTTGGCCCAACCCTGCCAATCTCGCCAGATGGAACAATACAAAGACCGAAAGACGACGCAGTCGTCGACCAGATGTTCTACGAACTCATGATAAAACGAGGATGGCAGAATCTACCAGAGCAGGCCAAGAGACAGATGTTGGCCTACCCGACATCAAAGAAATGGACGTTGGTCCATCAGGATCGCTTAACTCAATGGCAGGGGGAGCAAAAGCGTCGACAACAAAATAGGCAAACTTATGGCTCCGCAGATGGTGGTAGGGGTGTACTTGGACGGGCCGACGAAGAAGGGAGCCCGGAGTGGTATGTCAAAAAGGTTATGGACGATTCAATAACAGCAAAGGAACTTGGGAGTCTAAGCGTAAGCTTACGAACACAACCTATAAGGTAAGTGGTAGCTCTATACTATACAAACTACACTATACTAATCATGGTATTTTTTTTATAGCTGGGTCAAGTCGTTTGTTGAAGCGCAAGGACAGATTGCCTTGACGAGTGTTCTTCTCAAAATAAACAGAAGGAAGGCTTCCGGACCCGTTCCCGTAACCAATTCTGGAGGGGATAAGGACTTAGATCGGGAATACGATATAGCAAAATGTTTAAAGGCCCTGATGAACAACAAATATGGCGCCGACGATGCCCTCGCTCACCAGCAGATTATCGTGGCCCTATCCAGTTCTCTTATATCACCTAGATTGACGACTAGGAAGCTCGTCAGCGAAATTCTCACCTTCTTGTGTGACTGGGCACATGGTCAAGGGCATCAAAAGGTATTGCAGGCGATGGACCATGTCAAGAATATGCAAGGAGAAACCGGCAGATTTGATGCTTGGATGCGTGTGGTGGAAGTGAGCATTGACGGGCGAGGCAAGATGGGCAGTCTCGTCGGTGCCAGCGAAGAGTTCCGAAGCGGTGGGATAGGAATGGAGAATCTTCTCATGGAATACGCCCTGGCTACTATGTTTTTGATCAACATGTTTGTCGACGCCGCGGAAGATGACTTGCAGCTCCGATGCCACATCAGGGCCCAATTCACTGCTTGTGGGATCAAACGGTTACTGGTCAAAATGGAAGGTTTCCAGTATGAAGCCATCGATAGACAGGTTGATCGGTATAGGGAAAATGAGGGGATTGACTACGAAGATCTACTTCAACGGGAAAATAGCAGCATGAAGGATAGTATTGAAGGGGAAGTCAGCGACATGAACGACCCTGTTCAAATCACCAATGCTATCATAAGTAGACTGCGAGGGGACCGTTCCCAAGACTTCTTCGTCTCCGCCATGCAACATATGCTTCTCATTAGAGAGAACTCCGGTGAAGATAGCCACAGAATGTTCCAGCTGGTGGATGCAATGCTTAGCTATGTTGCCATGGACCGGAGGCTGCCAGACATGGACCTGAAGCAGAGTCTAAACTTCACCGTCCAAAGTCTCCTCGATAAATTGCACACCGATGCCGAAGCCAGGAGTGCATTCGATGAATCTCTGGAGGCTCGGCAAATTGCAGAGGCGGCAATTGCAGAGAGAGATGAAATGAAAGCGCAGATCGAACTTGGCGCAGATGGTCTAGTCAAGAAACTCCAGAAACAGATTGAAGAACAAGAAGGGGTAATCAATCTCCAGGCTCGCCAAAATGAATCGCTAAAAAGTGATTTAGCCGAAGTCCAAAGGATACGGGGACAGGAATTGCAGCGAAACGAGCTTGAGACTCGAGAACTGTACCTGATGCTCCGAGACGCGCAGGACGTTGCAGCGTCCAAATCTAAAATGGCCGGCGGCACCGATGATTTGGGTACAATGGACCCTGCCCAGATGAATGGTATCCTTGACCGAGAGAAACTCATGGGACGTCTGGAGCGCCAGCTGGATCGGGCAAAGACCCAATTTAAACTTGAAGGGAAAGTTTGGCCTCAAAACAGCCCATCGGATAGGCTCAGGGAACTACGGGAGCAAATGGAAGGCGACTTCTCCCATGATTCTGAGGTCGATGAAGAAACCAAGCGCAACTTCACCCATAGTACGTTTGGTACCGTTTCACGGAAACGTAGCCAGGCACTTAAGCCCAATAACACTTCCACTGATCACGATACCACGGATGGTGACCTCGAAGATCTAGATGAAGATGGTGAAGAGGAGGCAGTATTTGAGAGAGGGCGATTGGTCGAGATCAGAAGACCGAAGCTGGATCCTGAACGTGCCACTGCGCTCCTGGGCGAGATTGCTTCCAAGGCCGGAGAAAAGGCACGTAAGGAAGAGTCACCAACACCCGAACCCGCTGAAAACGGGGAAGCAGAGGATGCCAAATCGACTGGAGGTCTAAGCGACTTCAACGGACCTCCGCCTCCTCCCCCGCCTCCTCTCCCAGGATTCGCAGGTGGTGCACCGCCGCCTCCTCCCCCTCCGCTCCCTGGGTTTGCTGGCGGTGCTCCTCCTCCACCACCCCCTCCGATGCCTGGCTTCGGAAGTGGTGCACCACCTCCGCCTCCTCCGCCTATGCCTGGTTCAGGAATGCCACCACCACCTCCACCTCCAATGCCCGGCGGTTGGCAAAAGAGCTACCTTCCAGCTGGACAAGTTTCACAGGTGCCTACTGTCAGCTTACCGTTTATTCGCCCTAAGAAAAAGCTCAAGGCGCTACATTGGGACAAAGTTGATACTCCTCAAGTGACCGTTTGGGCTGCCCACGCTCCAACGCACGAGGCTAAGGAGCAGAAATACACAGATCTTGCAAAGAAGGGAGTCCTCGATGAGGTTGAAAGGCTGTTCATGGCAAAAGAAACGAAGGTGATAGGACGTTCTGCGAAGAAAACCGATAAGAAACAAATCATTAGCAGCGAGTTGATGCGCAAATTCGAGATCTCATTCGCCAAATTTTCACAAGTGTCTGCCGACGAGCTTGTTCGCAAAATCATCCATTGTAACGCTGATATCTTAAACAATACAGTGGTGATGGAATTCCTACAAAGAGATGAACTATGCCACATTCCCGAGAATACTTCCAAACTAATGGCTCCATACAGTAAGGATTGGACCGGGCCTGGAGCTGCCACAACGGAGAGAGAACAAGATCCAACTGAGCTCACACGCCAAGATCAAATTTATTTACAGACGGCCTTCGAACTCAATCATTATTGGAAGTCAAGAATGAGAGCTCTTCAATTGACCCTTTCGTTCGAGCAGGAATACGATCATATTTCTTCGCGCCTTCGAGAAGTCGGGCATGTTTGCGAGTCGTTACGCGATTCCGTCTCCTTGATGAACGTCCTCGGTCTCATTCTTGACATTGGTAACTTCATGAACGACTCTAATAAGCAAGCAGCCGGTTTCAAGCTCAGTTCCCTAGCTCGACTTGGCATGGTTAAGGACGACAAGAATGAGTCGACATTTGCAGACCTTGTCGAACGTATTGTTCGAAACCAATACCCAGAATGGGAAGGATTCATCGACGACATTGATGGAGTTGTTCAAATCCAGAAAGTAAACGTCGATCAACTACAGCAGGACGCAAAGAAATATATTGACAACATCAAAAACGTCCAGTCAAGTTTGGATTCTGGTAACTTGAGCGACCCCAAGAAATTCCATCCTCAAGATAGGGTAAACTCGGTCGTCCAGAGGTGCATGAAAGACGCTAGGAGGAAAGCAGAGCAATTGCAGCTTTACCTAGACGAGACAAGCCAGACATACGACGATATCATGGTATTCTATGGTGAAGACAATACCGATGAAAATGCTAGGAGGGACTTCTTTTCTAAACTTGCAACCTTCTTGCAAGAGTGGCGCGTACGTTTCCACCATTCTCTGCCTTTTCAATTGTTTCGATCATTTTATTATCTATGTTTGATTCAGGATGTCACGCTAACTTTCTTCGCTAGAAATCAAAGGAAAAGAACATCTCCTGGGAGGAGAGCAGACGTCGTACAGAAGCTTCGCTCGCCCGAAAACGGGCCAAGCCAGCACTTACGAATGGAATCGATGGCGGATCACCATCATCGCCCACATCCAATGGTGCTATGGATTCATTATTAGAGAAATTGCGGGCCGCCGCTCCTCAGGCTAGGGACCAACGCGATAGACGGCGTCGTGCACGACTAAAGGAGAAACATCAAGTAAGACTGGCCTCTGGGCAACACGTACCAGGCATAACGGTAGATGGGGCCCAAAAGGAAGACGCTGCGAATGTCGAGCCAACCAACACCCCCAAGGAGGATGCCCCACAAAATTCCAAGCTGTCTGAGAGCGACGTCGCGGATCGCGCTGCCAGCATACTTCAAGGTCTTAGAGGCGATAAAGATTCTGAAGGTAGTCGCGCTAGGCGACGCGATAGCGCAGAGGAAGCCCGGCGAAGCAGGCGAATGCGACGGCGTACACCTGCGACTACGTCCAACACTAAAGAATCAAGCGATAGCACGACCCCACTTCCCGCTCTTCCAGTGCCCGAAGATGGAGGGAACAGAGAATCCTTGGGGAGCAATGCTTCCGTCGTGATCGCAGACACTCCCGAGGAACCCGAAACATCACCACGACCTTTACCAGCCACCCCTGCTGGGACAGATTCTAACCCTATCACGATATCCGATTAATACATTCTTTAGAAAGCCTCCATACACTCACCTCCTTTTACTATTGTTTAACGTCATTCTGTTGAATTTAGCGCTCTGTTCCCCTTTACTATCAATATTCACTCTTAATCTGCATTCCTTGCCACAGCATCATCTCTTATTTCTACACCCATTTTTCTATATACGCAATTTTCTTCCTTTGTTAGAGCTTGTTTCCCCGTCCATCCAGTTCCTGCTACTACGATCCAGTGTATGAGATTTCTAGTGTATCATTTTTCATTTCTTGCATGCATCAGTACTCGCGTTACAGGATTTTTTTTCTCTGGTTACTTCTTTGGACCCACGCCGGATCATTTTTATACTACAACTCGTTTTCCTTCTCTACTTCTCCAAAGAATATCTATCTCTTCCATCCTAATTTTCTCCCGGGATGATTGGTGTTAACTAAATATCGAGTGGTCGGAACTCCTACATGGCTTCTAATACTATTCTCAGCATTTTCAGCAATTTCCAATCATCGGGCTACTTTTGCCAGGCACACCCTGATTTTATTATACCCAAAATCTCACAACCAACTGATGAATTATGGTTCGTCTTGCGATAGGATGGCATAAACAAAGTATCGGTCTCAGATATTGCGATCCCGGCCGAGGAGCGACTAAACAACATCTCATCTATGCTGAGCAAAAGAAGCAATAACCATATTTTGGATTCATTACCTGCATGAAGATCTTAGCTATAGCCAACACTTTCCGTCGTTGCGCGATTCAAAGTAGAACTGGGGCGTAAACAAGCCCGTTATCTTGTTTATATCTCCGTCCATCTCCTTTTTATTGTACCCTTAAATTTACCATATACACTCTTTCTTAAAAAATAACGAAAAGAAAAGGATAAGAAATATCTCCTAACCTGCTTGTGAAATGCGACTTGATATCCTTGGCCTACTCTGGCTTTCCATCTCTCTCCAACTCGGCGTGAGTGACGCAGGAGGAATACCTCCTCCAAAAGCGAGATTTAACGCAGGAATATATGGATGCGATGCCGAAGAGTAACCATGATAAACGCTGCGTTAAATGACGTTAATGAAGCAGTCAGTTTGACCTCCTTTCTTAAGCCCCAATAACTCGTACCAGTGATCTTAATACCCATCGAGTAGACTGGTCATGCAATCGGCCGACTGGTAAGGCTAGTATCGATTCTCGAAAATAAGCCCGACGAAAAAACCGTGATCCTGGGATACGACCGAGTCACTTTATGGACTTTTGAAGCCATCTACGGAAAAGTATACTGGGGGCCGGCGGGTATGAAGATATATAACGATCAAGGGCTAGACTATGTTAAAAAGTATCTCGGTTAGAGGACATTCAAGCTACATCATATTCCATTCTCGCTTTTATGATGCTAATATCGTTTCTTTTAGAGATACTTCGATCAATGAGGGTGAAATTTCTGGGCTCTGACATTGACCTTGAAATATGGTGCGGTGATGCGTTTTATCTCAAACAGCTGCCAGAGGGCTCATCGGACGAAGACCGTACGTTTCACGATGATATCCAGAATAGCTGCGGTTGAACTCTTTTAACATGGCTACTTTTTTGTTTGTTTCCTTAGGAAATAACCCTAGGATACGGTGGGATTCGCGGCCTGAATTCAGAGGTGGGCAAGTGTTAGTTGATGCCGTTTATTGCGACCATGATAAAGACACGGCGGCGTACGAGCTAGATTATTTACACGGCTGGGACCGAAGATTGATTATGGTTATGCTCTGCCCAGATGCATTGAACGAACTGGTGGAACAAGGGGGGGGGGATTTCAATCGCCCCCTATCAGAACTCCGCCAGTTGACTCGTCCATATGACAACGACAAAGATGCGATAAAACTAGACTCGGTACCGTGGTCTATCGGCGCGCTCTTGCTTCATGAATTCTCCCACTCACTCTACGTTCATCCTACCACGAGCCTTGAGCACAAGGGAACAGGTATGTATGGTCGCCTGCCATGAACAGTAACAGTCCGACTAACGCGACCAACTGGAACGATAGACGATTATGCGTATGGCTGGAAAAATGTTGTTGCTCTCAAGGGATCACGGATGGGCTGGGAGAACGCAGGTACGTTTATACATCATGTCGTGGACTTGGTCTCGTTATAGTTGCTTATCATGTTTTTACAACAATTAGATAGCTTTATGTTCTTCGTTAACGTATCTCACCACTCGGTGACCGCCACCACTCGATGACCACCCATCAAAATAAACACCGATATCACCACCCCCCCCTACATGTATTAATATATCCACAACAACGCGAATAACAAATTAAATTAGATATTAAATAACGATAGTAGAGCTCTAGTTTACATATTAATTAGTTAGATTAGGAAAACAAACGAGTGTTGGGCTTGATAGTTCGGCCAGAACGTGTTTCTCTGCCATGGGATAAGAAATTGAGTAATGAAGGGACAGGATCGATTGGAGCCACCTTTGTGGGTGACTTCTTCTTCTTTCCTAATTTGGAAGGTGAGATAGGGCTCGGGGCGTTGATTTGGGCCTTTTTGGCCTTCTTAGCCATTCGCTGGGCTTCCTGTTCACCGGCCTTACGCTTCCTTTCCAGCGCTGCTTGCTCGCGCTGAGCAGCTGCCTCTATTTGGGCCTTCTCACGGGCCTCCTTCCGTTCCTGCTGCTCTTTAAGCCTTTGGGCCTTCTTCTCTGCAGCCTCTTGAGCCTTTGTATCGCGATTTATCAATCGCTGAAGCTTTAACTCTTCGGCCTGAGCTATCTGGGCCTGTTTTTCTTGCTCGATATCCAGAGCTCTCTTCCTTGCTGCATCAACTTTGGAAGGAGAAAAGAACTGGGCCTGGCCGGCTTTCTCTTTATCAAAAAGGCCCAATCCTTTGCCTCTCTTCCTTCGTTGCTTCTCAATAATCAAAGCACCGCTAAGAGCTTGATTTTCATGCCGCAAAATATCATTATTAAAGACAAGTTGCTCACTGGCTCGAATTATCTTTTGGATATAGTCTCTTTCTGCAAGAGACTGGCGGAGATACACCTTTTTGCTTATCCGGCGGAGGCCTCGTATCGTAATAGGAGTAGAAGGCTCTGCAGCTGCATTTACTGGAGTAATTGGCCGTTCTTGCTGGAAATATTGCAGCTGTCTCTGTGGCTCAAGAGGATAGATACCCGTTGCTCTAAAGCTAGACTTGATATTCTCCTCTGTAAGAGCTTTACACCATGCAGTATAAAAGAGCTTCCAAAAGTCTCTCTTCCTAATTGAGAGATATCCGAGGCCTCCCCGTATTAGGTTGTTGACTTCTTGGGAATATGCACTGGCTAGTGGCCCAAATATCCCAACATCTAACGGCTGGAGACGGTGAGTTGAATGGGGAGGAAGGATGGCAAGAAAGATACGGTTTCGATCAGCGTAGTCAATAAATCGCATATTAATATGAGAAGAGTGCCCATCAAGGATGAGGAGCCTCCTTGCCCTGCTGGCCTTTATCTTTGTATGTTTATCGAAGACTTTCTCTAACCACTCTAGGCCATAATTATCAGAGCTCTAACCGTTTGGTGATGCTGCAAAATATGCAGTTTGTTCCTCCGGGGAGTAGTTATCTAACCAGGTGTCTTGTAGATCTCCTTCTCCCTTATAAATAAGTGTAGGAGGAATCCTTTCCCCATCTGCAGAGATAGCAGCAAGTAGAGAGATAAATTCCCTATTTCTATCATGAACGGTAGTTATCCTCTTATTCTTTAGCGAATAGATAGGGACTACGCGTTTTACTGCATGTCCAAGCCCAATTAGGAAGCCTTTCTCATCAAAGTTATAGATATTACTAGGAGTAATATTATATTTATCAACCACCTTCCCTAGCTAAAGAAGAGGGTATTAGTAACGAGATATCTAATAAATAATAAATATTTAAGCACTTGCAAGATCGTAGAAATGCTCAAAATGGGTAGAGTTATCCGCAATATGCCTATATTGATCGATCGTTCGAAGATATCTTGATGTTATCCGGGCCTGATGCCTCTTGCAAAATCGAGATACCCAATTGATGCCAACTGGCTGTTTGGTGAGCTCTAGAACGAGATTTGCAATGATTTGAGGTGTAGGAGATAGGCCTCTATTCGATAAACGTTCGATATACTGCAAAAGGACTTCCTCTTGAGTATCTGTTAACTTTTTGCGATGAGTTGAGGTGGCTTCCTTATTGGACACTGTTTTGCCTGAATATCGACGCGCAAGAGTCCTCCGATCGATTTTCCACTTTCTGGCTGTTTGTGCGTAATTAGGGACGTCCTGCAATCTCAAATCTTCAATCGCACAAGCAATTGCTTCTTCATTAGGCATGTTGTGGGTGGTTAAAGATAGGTGGTTGTCGAGATGAACATTTTTGTTGGGGTGGTCATCGAGTGGTGGCGGTCATCGAGTGGTGAGATACGTTACAGGTGAGAAGCCCCGCGCCCAACGCAGAGCACCTTGCTCAACTAACGATCTTGAAGCAATGTATCTCGACAGGAACGACTGGTCTACTGGACTAGCCAAGCCGATCCCTCAGAATAGCAACGGAGTGGTAATTTCGCGGTAGTAGGAACAATAACCACTCGAAGCATGTAGAAACATCTATATTGTGGATTTTGATTAGTAGATGGTTTTCTTCTTCGTTCTCCTTCTATTCTCCCTCTCGTAATAGGAGCTGAATAACTGTATGATAGATAATATGGCTAAGGATCTTCTAGACCTCTCTCCGTCCATCATACATCGTCATAATTACTGCGTAGGGCTGAACGTTGGTTTCCTAGCAGAGACCAGCTGCATGGTAGTCAACTCGTCGGAGTTCGGAGATGGATACATGCACATGGAGATGGACACCTGAGTCACTGTCTATCTCTCTCAGCGTATATGCAGCCTGTACGACTGATTTATGCCTCGCGACACCTGAAGGAGCTGAGCAAGGTTACATCATGGCGCAAGGCGGGCTGCCTGGTGGATGATAAACTCCTACCTAAGCCCTACCGGCTCCATCACCCTTCAGCCCTAAATCGTAGTTAGTGAGAGAGCTGGAAACAGGCGCCAGATATTGGCCTGGGGGAGGCCTGAGGGACCCTCTTTCCCAGCCATAATATGAACCAGCCACACACGGCCGGGCCAGCACAAGGCTAGAATGGGACCCTCGAATCCCAAAAAATTCAAACGCTCAAAGCTCGTGGCTAGCCCCCAAACTCACTGATCCACGCTATTCCTCGTGGCATGGCTAGGATGACAAGGATGATCGAAGGGCCAAGGCAAGGGGGGAGACGGAAGAGAAATCCGATTTATCAGCTCCTACTCGCTGGCTGCGGCGAATGCGAGGGATCGAGGGGGAACGTACTCCGTCGATGATCGCATGTTTCAAGATATATTATTAATATTGACGTGTGGGTGACAAATGGTGTAAGTCCTGGACGCAGCGTAGTATAGACGCTTTCACGACCCCGCGGGCCATGCCATGCATGAATCAACGGGCGAACACAAAGATTGCAGAATGAATCCGTCCAATACTCTGCCGTCTCCTTGTTCTCTCCATACTGGGTTTCGCTGCAAATGAATGCTGTGTCTGCACAAGCCGAGAAAGAGCCACGGCGAAGTGGACAAGGTAGCTAAATTTAGGAGCTGTAGTAGCCTGTACGGAATATTTGCCGAGTCAATATTAATTCCTTACTCAAATTGACGTCGTTTATGCTGTAAGTCTGCGAGCCTGCGATGTAACTGCAAACGTTTGTCGGACAAGTTGAGAAATTTCCGAGCCCTCTCTGTCTCTACGCAGACGCAGCGTCGTCCTGTAGTTCCGTTCGCTGCAATTTCCCTTTCAGACATGCAAGCCAGGAACTCCGTACGTCCATTGAAGAAAGCAAACCGGAGCAGGTTTCCATCCCTCCCGTCCTTGCAGGAACAAAGGAGCGGTTCCCTCTCGAGAGGTAGAGAGACAAACATGAAGTAGAGGGATCTGCCGGTGGGATGTTCCAGTGTAACGGTCTTTGAACGTGATCTTCCTTCCTTTCCTTTTTCTTCTTTCTTTTTTTTCATTCTTTATTTTTAGGGTGTCTGGCCTGGGGCACGCGAATATACATACGTACTGGCCGGAACGTCGGGTCAGACAATCTGAAATTCTGAATCTGATAGCGTCATAAACGAGCCCACGAACCCGAACCCATGCATGCAATCTGATGGAAGCGATCCCTGTGTCGTCTAGAACCGTGACGCTCTCTGCTCTGCCTCCTCCGTGCGACTGTTCAGGCCGACTGGAAGAGCGCAACGGTCGGAGAATAGGCCAAATTCAGTAATTGGTTTTTTTTGACCAGCCATCCGGGCGATCATGCAGGAGGCCAGCGAGATAGAGAGACTGCGTGCAACCCATCCAGGATCAATAATAACGTCTTGTACTTCTGTAACTGCTCCGTGTCCAGGCAAGCCTCTTCGCTAACGGCGACGCTACAGGCTGTCTGGCGATTCGACAAGTCGCTGTGCCCGACGCTTGTCAGTATACCAATGCATCAGATTAGCGATCACTTGCAGGGGGGCTTCCGTTTATACTTGGGGGTGGATGAGAAATCTAAATTTATCTATCCCGACGCAGTGTCCGTCCTGCAAGTCATCTTTGCGATACGCTGATAAGTCATCGATCTCGCCGGTCTCGTCTCTTTTCTCAGCTCGTACATCTCACGTCCGGCATCGTCGTTGCCCATGCCATCGCCATCTCATCACCGGCTCCCGACACAGCCGCCGTAGAGTAGCAGTGCTGGTGAGTCAGGTCGAGGCTGATCGAGGCTGCTGGATGGCCAGTAGAGTACGAGGTTTGACGTTATATGGCCCCGACGAGGCCTGCGAGGCCTGCCAGGGGTTCCCTTGAAGCCTCCTGATGCCTGTCCGATGCTGTTTCCATGCCAAAGGGCCGCCATCCCACGCGCAAAAGCCCACGTTACGCCGACCCCCCCTGGCACCGCAGATGGGGCTCGAAGGAACAGACGATGAAGCAGAAGAGAGGAGAGAGAAAGGATAAAAAAGAAACAGAACGAATTAGAGGCCAGAAGAAGGTGTTTGCTTAGACTTTCAGGTCTAAGCCTTGCTCGCCCTTCTCAACTCTTACTCAGCTATCGATGCGATGTCTCTCCCTCTGCCTGCCAACGGCCTGTCCTCTGCCTCCTTTCAGGCCCAAAGACACGGCGGCCGTTAGCATGGCCTGTTAATTTTAAACTCGGACATGCAGAAGGTTGCAAAAAAAGAAGGGAGCAGTGATTCATCATGCTTCCGAAACTGAAAACGAGACAGAGGCTGATGGATTCTGGTTGTCAGATAGATACAAAGGGTAGATGGATATATAAAACGCCCGCCCTTCGCTTTCTTTCTTTTCTACTCCCTTCCATTGTTTATCAGCAAGCATTCTACATATATTTATAATATCTTTCCAGCATACTCCGGCGTTTCATAAAGCCTCTTTTCTAGCGACGCATCTATCTCCCTGCTTCTTTCAACACGAATTCAACTGAACCACCTTTTTCGCTTTCGGCATCACTGCTACGCCTTCAAGGAGATCCAGATTATATCTATCCTCTTCATCTCGCTGCTGGTTTATACCCATTTCTGTCGAGAGAGCATTCATACAACCACGCATCCTTCAACCGACAGCCTGATACCCCAAGGCAGAACCATTTCACAAAACACACCAACTCTATACACCACCACACAAGCAAAGATGGGTCGAGGCGGTTACAACGGTCCCAGCAGACAGCCGGTCAACCAGCAAGGGAGAGGCGGCTATAACAGCCCTCACGACGGAGACGGCGACGATGAATCCTAAACGGGATGTTTTGATATTCCCCCTTCCTCATCCAAACCAGGATTGATTGATGCCGGCCATGAATCTAGCGAGGGGATGGGCTGTAACGATACTGGGCGACCACTTTCTTCTGCTTTCTTCTGCGCTCTTCTCTTTCTCTTCGACCGTCTTCTTCGTCTTCTTCTTCGTCCGGATCGGAAACCGACCTGGCAGATTTGGCCTTTGAGCTCATTTACCAACACAGAATCTGCATCCGGGACCTGCATTAGTATGGGAATTTTAATCTGGAACGACACGGGACGACGAGACGGGTACCAACTTTTCAAACACCACTCCCAACACACTCTCAACATCACCCCCTTCACCACGGCCGGTGATCGTTGCAAGGGATTCGGCTGCAAACCGCAAGTGTTCGGCGGCCGTCACGATGTCGATTTCTTTCTCCGCTTGTTCTACTATCATTTTATTAATATTGTCGTTGGCATTATCGGGCGTTATCGGGCCATTATTGGTTTGGGATAGAAAGTCGTTTAGGTGCTGCGCACATATCTGTAGATTAGAGCTTTGTCGATGCGTTACTCCCAATGAGTCTTCCCAATATGATTTATCAAATTGTTGATTCATTTTCTCTCCATTTTCCGTTTCCGAGTGTAGACCGGCAGGTGTAGAGATAGCTTCGAACGTACGGATCAGGCCACCCAGCAATGCTTGGATGCCGCCTGGATCGCTCGTAGTCGTGTTTTGTGCCTCCTGGCACGAGATCGGGAATATCAGATTGGGATCGACGCCCTTGAAAACCGTAGCCATCTGGGCCTTATACTTGGACATGATATAGTCTTCTCGGCCCGTAGTTAGCTTATCTGTCTTGTTGATCGTCACTATGACCTTTTTGTCCAGCTCAAGACAGTTGTTAACCGCGCTAACAACCTCCGGCTCTAAACTCAATTCCTGTTCTCTCGATCCTTCGACCGAGAGAACTACTACCACAACGTCTGACTCGAGAGCCCGAGCTTTAGCCCGTCGAATACCCTCCTTCTCCACCTTACCGATCGTTGGAATATCCTGTCCCTGCATCGCGAACTGACTTTTTGATAGGTCGGATCGCAGCCCTGCCATGTCTCCAAATTTACATAGCCACCCTCCGAGATCAACTCCAACGTCGACGATATCTCTAGTGGTCCCTTCCTCACTACTCACGATAGCAGCTTCTCGTCCAACGACCTGATTCAGAAGTGAACTCTTCCCGGCATTTGGCGCGCCGAGAAGAGCAATCTTAATACCACTTCGTAGAAGTTCTCCCTTTGACGCATTTTCGATATGCAGGTCAATCTGGCGCAGCAATTTGTGAACCTGCTCGGTAACAGAGGATATAAAATCTTCCACGGATTCGTCAAAGTGCTGGTCTTCAGAAAAGTCTATTAGAGCTTCAAGCTCTCCCCTGGCATACAGAAGCTGCTGTCTCCATTGTTCGTAGCGCGTAGATAGAGCATCATTTGTACCTCTAATGGCAAGTCGGCGTTGTTGTTCTGTATCCGCTGCCAGTGTATTACCAAGCGCTTCAATCTGGGGCAAATCTAGGCGATCGTTAAGGAACGCTCTGCGGGTAAATTCTCCAGGTTCGGCGTATCGAATTGACGTTGACGGGGGGTCTCCGGTTATTGTGCATTTCGGAATCGCGTTAAGAATAGATCGTATCACCGCAGGACTGCCGTGGACGTGTAATTCAAGGACATCCTCTCCTGTAACCGTGTTTGGCCCTGGGAAATGGAAAACGAGTGCGCCAGAATCCAAAATGTTGTCACCCAATGTTGGTTTACCGGGTTCGTATAACGTACGTAGGGCGGCAAACCGAGGTTTTGGAAGCTTCCGATTGGGACAGAGAGCTTTATATATCTAGATTTCCCTATCGTTAGCTTTTCATTCGACTTCCATTCAATGGGTTGCCCTGATGAGAAGATATTCACGCACTGCGACACAGTCAGGCCCCGAAATCCTAATTATGGCGATTGCAGCTCTACCAGGAGCTGTTGAAAGCGCATATATTGTCGTCGGTCTCTCATCCTGGAGAAATGACGCCCATCTCCTCTGAGGAATGGACCTCAAAGGTAGTTTGGGGGTATGTTGAATAAAGGGCGGAGCTCGATCAAAACAGTTCTGAGGGCGAATACGGCTCCATACTAAGAAAATGGGCCGCACCCTGCTGCGACCTTCGATTGGTATCCTCCACATACAAAGAGTGATTAAGGGAGATGGTATAGATAGCTGTTGATGGGATGTAGCAAGCTTCCATATTCCTCCTCTCCATAGAGTTATCACGTGATGTTAGATAAAAGTTGAGCTCCCTCTGGATATCAAAAAATCAAGATAGCGATAGCTAGCAGCGCAATCCACCAAAGTAAGTAATATTTTTCTTTTCTGGCCGCCCAGGCTATATACCCTTTACGAGCGCAAACTTATCTCTTCTTAAACTATCCCAAAATGCCTGGCAAGATTCCTGAGGATGAGTCGATGCTCGATGCCCAACCGCTAGCCGATCAAGAAGCCGATCCAGAACAACAGGAGGAAATGGAAGAAGAGGAAGAAGAAGATGAGGAGGCAGAATTTATTGCAAATGACCACCAGAGGATAACTATTGTGAGTTTTGCCGTATCATCGAATCTGCGCTGAATTCACCTAGTATGAACCGAATCACTAACGTATGCTTTCTATATAGCTTCCCGGTGCCGTCGAAACAGCTGCTTCATTCCAGTTTGAAGGAGAGGATCACACACTTGGGAATGCGCTGCGATATGTTATAATGAAAAAGTATGGTGGGCCGTCTTTTACAATTTCCCTTGCAAGGGGAATGCGAGGCTTTGTGCATTTTGAGAACGCCTGCTGATATTTTTATGACAGTCCCGATGTGGAATTCTGCGGATACACCATGCCTCACCCTTCGGAACCCAAGATGAATTTAAGAATCCAGACATACGGTGAGTCCTCGTTGTGTAGCGCTACAATGAGCCTATATATATATTGAAGATTCATGGGAAACAATGACTAATTTTTCTACCATGTCAAGACTCGACCAACGTCTTTACAGTATTAGAGAAAGGGCTCGATGATTTGATGGATCTGTGTGATGTTGTTACCGAGAAGTTTACGATATCAAGGGATAACTTTGAAGCTAGCAAGATGCAATAATGAAGCGGAATATAAAAATGGAGCGGGGTTGATTATGATGACGACATGCATCTCTTTATTACGGTGCCGGTATAGGTGCAAAGGTTGTATATAGTATTAGATGGTTTGTTCAAAGAATTTTTTTTTCTCATAAAAATTGGAATATTGATATGGTCTTCTAGTTGGGAACGGCTGGCAAAGAAATATAAAAGGATTGAGGCTAGCATATATACATTTTACTGCCTTTATTGGAACTCCCTACCCCCACAATAGTACATATTAAGAAGCTTAGTTCCGACCCTAGAATACGATTAGTCAATTGCAATGGTGTTAAAATGGTGGTTGAAGCGGCTAGCTCGACCTACCTCCATGAAACCGGACATGAAGTTCTTGGGCAGCTTAGCCGATGGGTCTTCCTCTGCTCTGAAGTATTTCATCAATTGCGATAATTGTTTCCAGAAGTTCATGGTTTCCTGCAAGAAAAGTCGAATCAGCATTTCCGAAGGTGGGAGTACATATCGATGCCGAAACAAGCGGTGCATAGCCGCCTTGCCCGGCATATCATTTTGGCGGCGGCTATATGCAAATCAAGCCGCCTTGAAAGAAAACACTAGACATTCCAAAATCAAGGTCGTACCTGGAACTCGCTATGGCTTTGAAACAATAGAACATCGACGACCGGCAATTGGTTTACGTATCGATGACGCTCGAATTCTTGTCTAATTTTGGTTCGGATGGCGGAGACTGGGAGCTGGAGGGCGTACATAGTTTGGATCTCAGGAGACTATATATATGTGATTAGCATTTCGACCTCTTTCATGTGCAGGCTATTCGTCGTCCGTTACTCGAGTGATGCTGAGGCCGCACTTCCAGAGACATCGTGGAAGCGGCGCATCACGGGGTATTCGGTATCGAGACTAAAGACAGTGGGAGAGACCAACCGCACGAAGCCATTCCCGGTATGACTTTGTCACTCGTCTCTGCGCATCCTTCCAATTGACGGCTACCAGTCCCCCGACGGCGTTAGAATCCAGTCCACAAAGCGAGGGAATTGGCGAACGGGCACAGAGCTAAACTCACAGGACCGCGTCCGCTGGGCCAGGTAGGTCGGATTCAAGACCATGATGGGCTGCGGTTATGTAGTATCTTGCTATACACACAGCTGCGAGGAGGAGCTGGAAGTCGGCTTGAGATGCTGTTGTCTTTGCTCGCTTTCACGATCACCTGCGAAGAGCTTGGCGTTGATGACTAAGCGATATACAGAACTGCTGGCTGAGTATACGCCTTATACAGTACCAGAATGTCCTGATATATGTTTTCTTGGTGCGTATTAGTACTATAACGAGTAGGTAGAGAGACATACATAAGTTACCACAGTTATTCTAAAAATGGACAGAAATAAGGTGTATGAGCCAAGTTCTGCGGTCATGCTGGTATATGACTGCAATAATAGTAGAATACTTTCAGTCGTCTGGATATCAATCTGACTCTCCTTCTCACCTTGCTTCCTATAATGTTTCTTCATACAATACTGCTAATATCAACTTTGAAAGCTCAAAATGGGCGCGCTTCTACTTCAACCTCCGCCAGGTCTTGGCATCTGCTGTGAGCTAAGGAAACTTTAATCGCCCAGTATATTTTTTTTTTCGAGTCTCCAGCATCGAGATAATTGCAGTAGCGATCGCATTTCACGCACGATACACGCCACGATAAGTCACAATGGCGCCTACCAGACCAAGCGGCGCGTCGAAGTCGTCGAATAGCAAATCCTCGAAATCGAAGCCAACTTCCGGCGGCAAGTCCTCCACACGTCGAGTTTCAAAGCCAAAGTCAGGCGGAAAGTCGGGCGCAAAGCCCAAACCAACAGAAGTCAAAGCAAAGTCTCGTGCGGCTCCGGAAGTACTGAAAAAGAAGAAAAAGAGAGTATATACGGAGAAGGAATTGAACCTACCTACGTTGAATAAGATCACGCCTGTTGGTGTTCAAAAACCACGAGGCAAGAAGAAGGGCAAGGTGTTTGTCGATGACCAGGTATTTTGGCTAATTGCTGGAAACACGAAGACGTAATGGCCGGCGTGTACCTTTAAGATCTTAGTCTTAGCTGGTATGTTTCGGAATATATATACTAACTGTGTCTTTTACAGGAGAGCATGATGACTATCCTTGCGATGGTTAATGCGGAAAAAGAAGGCCAAATAGAATCTAGAATGATCAAGGCCCGTCATATGGAGGAGATACGTGAAGCTAGAAGGGCAGAGGCGGAAGTAAGGAAGGAGCATAAGAATGCAAAACTAGTAAGTAATTTTGTTATAGCTGCCCGAACCCTCCATGGCCTGCCTACTAACACATTTACAGGAGGAAACCAAGGATTCACTTCGAAAGTCGCGCAAGTCGAAAGACAAGAAAGATAGCAAGGCCAGCGAACAAAAGAATGACACCGAATCGAAGAAATCAGGAAAATCTAAACGAGTTGCGTTTGCTTAGGGAGATTCTAAAAATTTCGAACAAAAAAGGATGGTCTCTCGTTATGATATATACCCAGAGAAATGAATTTATGACCAACTTCTATATGATGCGCGATTTATCTAGCTGAAAAGATACAAGAAAGGACGGTCGTGAATCATAGGGGAACCTTTTGTCCTGCGGGTGGGCCAGGACTTTTACCACGATGGAACCCCGGAACCCAGCAGGGAGGAGGCAGACGTCGGGTTCAGAATATAGCATACCGCTATTCCTCGCCGTTAGCGATTGGCATATGCAATTTCCGCCTCATGGGCTTAAAGTCTGGGTGCGGCCCGTCGGCCTTTCCTGAAGCTGGGATAAGGACTGGATCACTTTCTAGTGGATCTTCCACAACCGTGACAGGGGCATCAAGGTCGATATCAGACACCATTTTATTGAGGAAGTTAACAACCTATGTATCAATCCATGGGTTAATAAAAGGTCTCTTTGCATGCCAAGAGGCATTTGTGGAAGTGTTGATAATGAAGAGCTTTGGAGTGAATAAAGTCTACGAATGGAAGACATTGCTTTCAAAACTTACAGGTTTAGTGAACCACCTGCCTCCTCCGTACTCAAACCAACTGAGATGACCGCCCCAGGAAGTAGTGCACATAACTGCGTATGGGGTTTTTGTCATCTCGAGATATGGTAATGCTTCCTTTGAGGATATCTAATGCACAATGTTAGTATTTTTCAAGCCTTTCAGGGTGGGGTTCGGGCTTACGGCGTCATCTTCTGCTTGGACAGCAAATAGGGGAATCTTGACACCGAAGAGGGAATCTATAGATGAAGCATCACGATAGTAAGCGGTCTCTGTGGGGTAACCCCAAACAGGAGCTTGCAACTCTCTAAGCAAACGTTAATAGGGGCTCCCTTGTAAGTGTACATGTTGAATGAGTGGTTTTACCTATCGAACTCGTGGAGGTAAGTGGTATTTCGAACTCTTTCGACATTGACGCGTGGATGCTCCTGTAGCTTGTCGACATGCCTTTTTTTAAGGTTAATAGTTAGGTGGATGTTATGTGTAGCCTCTCCTGTTATCTCAGGTAATACGTACTGTTCAAAGAGCCTCTTCATGCTTGCGCCCATAGTCCTTGAATAAACCTGTGTCCCGACCCAGGTTCGCTGTAGGGCCAGAGAGCTAACTTCGAGATTCCAGGGATTGGAACAGATGACTGCAGCTTTTAGTTGGCAGTCATCACCTTCTTCTCCAACGTACTGGCCCGAGGACATACATTAGTAACTGCCAGATTGGATATAGAAGTATTAACGGTATGTAGTAAGGTACTAACGTTGGTCATGATATTTGCACCCAAGGAGAACCCAATTCCGAAAAGAGGGCGAGACGGAAAATTCTTGCGTAACCAGCGTACCATCTGTCGAACATCCCATGTTGCGCGTGCATTGTACAATATAGAGCTTGTCACCTTGGAGTTTGCACAACCACGGAAATTGACGACACATACTTCCCAGCCCTGCTTATGTAGCGGATCGACTATATTTCGCAGATAAGGCTCATGTGATCCGCCAGATAGACCGTGTAAAACGACAAGCATAGGCTTCTTATCATCCGAGGGGAGCGCCGAGAACTCCTCCTCTGTGAAAAAGCTGGTGCGAGGGGACGGATGTTCTGGGTCTGCGGACGGAGTGGAAGACTCGAATGTACCGTTCTCTAACTCTGTAGCCTTGCCACCGTTGCCGGCCTTTTTGACATCGTATGGGTCGACAACAAAGTCCACTTCGAAGCTTCCGCGATAATCAGGGCTATCTCCCTCGAACCGCCATCGTTTGTAGTAGACAGGAACATCGTCTGTTCTCATAAGCGTCCACGCTGTTTGTAGATGTCCATTAAACAAGAATGGATTCAACTGGCAGTCTGCGGGAGTAGCAGATTTGCAAAGGTCGGCCAGAGAAATGTATTTTGACTCGTCAGCTCCGGAGCTCTTGTTCGGTAGCTTCCGCTTTAACAAGATCGATTTCTGCGCATGGTGGAAAGATATTCTCCCGTTCGGGAGAAGCCAGGAGAGAAGACCCATTTGCTGTTTCGTAGGTATAATATCTCCCTGCCTTTAATAATAATTCTGTTATCCTTTGCTGTCCGTTTGTTGCCTTGGACTGGGAGGGGTATTTATGGGATTCTTCAACCTATTTGACGTTCTTTGTCGAGCTCAAGCTTCCTAAGCCACGCTAAAGCAGGAAGCAACTAACTAGTTAATGAACTGGGAAATGGTCCGGCCTTGCTTTTGGAACTACTCGCCAGCAGCAAGAGGTATTCAAAATACGAGAAGAGCCGGAGGAAGCAAAAGTAGTGTCCACCAGACTCTGCAATATATATAAGGAACCCCGGCTTATCTTATCGCATCAAAGCTCTTTTTGTGCCGAGGCTCATTATTTTGTGCCTAAATATACATAAACCCTAAACAAAGTTGTATACCTGTTATGCAACTTTCCTTTTGGGCTTTTTTTCCCTGTTTCCTCGGTCACATCCGACGGGGTTACCATTGGCGGAAGAACTTGTTTATTTCTGCGCTAGAAGAGAATATGGGGGAGTATGTCGAAAGACTGTCATAATCGTGATCTACGGTCCTCGTGTAGTCCTGTATCTCGTGAAATGAACAAAAGGAAAAAACGACAAAAACGTAACAAATGGGGGCTCATATAGAAGGGGGAAAAGGGGAAAGGGGAAAGGGGAATGGTGGAATGGGGCATCATATCTAACAAAGATAGCTGAAAACATTAGATAAGGCTCTCTCGCGCTGATATTATACAAGGTAACCGAGAATGCCATCTGCGCCTCTGTCGCGGAGCACCAGTATCGAACGATTGTTGGTAGCTGTCATGATGGTAGGTATATTTGTCGGACGATGTTGCAGTTCTCTCTTCGGAGCTGGTTGCGAGCGTGTTTGCTGCTCTGACTTCCTCCACAGTAGCTCTAACCTCATACTCGCCAGCACAATGAATTGTGATGCCAAGGTTTATCTTCCTGTGTTCCTTCGGCTCTAGAACAGGGAGGGCTCTCTGGAGCATGCCTGTGCAGGAGAGACGCCTTGATAGCTCTAAGGCAACGGTATATGGCTGGTTGCGTAGAGTCGGTTGTATCCGAATAAGAGGGTGAATTGGTTTTGGCGAACGGTTATAGATGGTAGTTTGGAGGTTGAAGAATGTATTTGTTAAGGCGGAGAATCTCGACTGGCCTGTTTGTATGATGAATGGATGCTGGGAGTCATAGACAACGCTATCATCGGTTGCACCCAGTGGAATCAATTTGAAACTCGACTCAAGGTCATCCACCCGAAGCGCATTTATCATACGACTATTCAAAATAATCGCACGAAAGTCAATCAGTCCTTCCCGGCCAGTCGTTTCGTCCTTCCAAGTCCCCTGGAGATGCTCAAACATCTTCTCACGAAGCCAGAATGCCTCTCTTTTTGCAGTTTCCGCCTCATAACTGAGCTTGTTGGCACTAACCACGAATTGTCGCCGGTTTGCAGCATTGAGAGCAGGAATTTTCTGGTGGGGATCGTCGAGGTATATCCGTGGGATGGCTAGAGCGAAGCGAGAAAGGTGACCGGGTTGCAGTATATCGGACACTTCTTGTAGATGTGGAATAAGGTTGCTAGACTCCGAGTTATCAATTGTTTCCTCGATGGATTCAATTGCTTTAAGCGACGCAGATATTGGATTTGGCCATGAATTCCGCAAGTCTATGAGAAGGAGGCAGTAGTCAGACCCTGTGTATTTTGAACCGAGTTGAGAGATGACAGGCGATATCTGGGGGTCTCTTTGGACCCGGGAAGAAATCGACGAGGAGTCCAATGTGGGTTTGTTCGGTCTAGACTGCCCTCTAGATTCGTTGTTGGAAGGCGCATCACTGACCCATCCAAGGTGGCCGTTGAATGGCAGAATCTCGCATCTTGCAATATTTAAGCTTGCATTGACAGTGACAGTCAGGGGTATGCTGATCTGCCTTGTATAAAAGGAATCCGGGAGTTCGGACGGGGATGCTCCAATGCATGCATAGTCAACTAATACTGTCGCAGTTCGAAGGCCCGGTTTGCCTAATATCTCGATCGTAAAGGTCTTTGATTCGCCTGGCCCGAGTGATGGTATATCTTTCCCTGAACCAGCAGGTCGTAATCGTAACGGGGGCCTTTTCAACATTTGAAACTCCAATTCGTATATCTCAGTTGGCAGGTTGTCTTTATTATTCAGTGCGGCCTGTAAGTGGGTTGTTGTCGAATCTTGGAAGGTAAAGAGAAGGAGGTCAGCTGAACAATGAGAGGAATTGTACAGTGTTATGTCGAATGAGCTAGTCTCTCCCTCTAACATCATAATTGCAGACTGTAAAAGCGATGAACTTTGCACTTCAATCATTGGCTGCGCTTTGATGACATTGGCTGATAACGATACAGCCTCAGGCGGTGTCTTTGAGGGTAAAGATCTTTGGGAAGTGTTGGAACCCCATGATATAGGGCGCGATAACAACGATTCCTTCGCGGCCAGTCCGGTTCGTTTGAGTTTAGGCTCTGCAACTGTCTTCCATAGCTTCTTGAATATGGGGAAGCGCCTTTCTCGGCAGAATTTCACTTTAACAGTGCATCCTGTAATTTTAAGCACTCCTTCCTCAGTAGCCAACAAAGTAACTCTTATTTCCTGGAGAGAAAACGGAGTAAGGAGTAAATTTGAAGCACTAGCTTTGAATGCACTACCTTCGCCCTCTAGCCTTAAATGATCAATCTCAACTTCGAAGTCGAATGGATTCTGTAACACAACCGTCGCAGTTGCAGGCTCGCCTGCAATAAGTGGTGATTCCGACGTTGGCTGTGAAGGTTTAGAAAATGCATTATAAATAAACGGCCCTGCTTCTCCATGTTTCTCAGAGACAACAGTGACCCCAAACTCCTGCTTCGATCGCCGGACAGGGCGCTCTGCACTAGAGGATTGAATCACAATATCTCGAACCAAAAAGTCGTCCCAATATTCTGCTTCTAACGTCGGTACCCCGAGCTTGTATGCAACACTAACCGTCCGTTTGACGGTATTGTATAAGCGTATTTGTTCGTCATGGCTCAAAATTGGCCTTCCTTTTTGGGAGTCAGTTGTAACCATATATGTGCCTTTAACTGCCTGGAGAAGTGCAACGGTAAAGTTCAAAACGCCCTGAAAATCGGGTAAGGCCTCACAGAAATTAATGCAAGATTTGAGGATTTCGATGTTCAAACCCAGATCTCCGTATGTGTCGAGTGCAGAGTTTCGAAATGTACGCTCGATGGTCGCCTCAACCGAATCATATTCAAAATCATAGTCGTCATCATGTCGTTCACTTGAATAGTTTAATTGACCATAAGTGAGTTTTGCACCATAAACCCCCCCAACTAGAGCTAGAACGGATCTCAGGCCGGCTTCCATATTTGCGGGCCCAATATCCAAAGCATTAATATCAAAAGAGGCGTTGTTGAGGGCTGACAATCCTGCCGCCGGGTGAATGCCAATTTCCGCGGCGCCAATCTTCCTAGCTTGTACTAGGCCAGGGATAAGAATTGAGAAGAGCTCTTTTAGGACAAATGCTCGCTTTCTTTCCAGTCCTAATGGTGATAAAACAGCAGCTACACCAATAAATATTTGCACAGCATCTGTTACTGGAACATCTGAAGATAATGAGGGAGGGAGGGCGCGGAATAAGAAAGAGGATATCTCTGTTTTGCGTAGTGTGGCTGATCTCCTAGGCTGGTCGAGCCGAGGAGCACGCTCTAACGGCTTATTCAAGACTATGTGCTGCAAACCTTCAGTATCAAGAGAGCCGTCACGTATTTGCACAGTTGTTAATAGCTTTGCAAGCCGTATCACTGTTTCCGAAAACACCAACTGGGGAAGTGGTTCATCTGTGATATTGATCGCCCTGTTATAGAGGCTTAATATGTAGTTCGAGATGTCAGGAAGGATATTCGCTAGATTTTGGAGAGCCAAAACCCTGGCTTCAGGGTCCGACTTTCCATGTGACTCATTACCAAGCGGTGGCATAGCCTTTGTCGCGGTTCTATCACTGTTGGGGAAGCATATGAGCGGAATCTAGAAAGGTATTATCTTAGCTTTAGTGCCGTCATAGCTAGGGACTAGCAAAAAAAAAAAAAATAGGGGCTGCGTACCTGGAAATTTGCACCCACCCACCCAAACATAAGCAAACAGATAAGTATCCCTTCCAATGCCTTCGCATGCCATATATAGTCGCTCCCTGACCTGGCAATGGCGGCACCTTCTACAAGGTCTTTAAGGGCTTCCGGCCATATACCTCCCTGAAGATATAGCATACCAGCGAGAACGTGTAGACGGCCTTGAAAACGAGCCTTTGCCCGTTCATTTGAAGCAATGCCAGCAATGCCTGTCGCTGATGACCGATCTTGGTTATGCTCTTTTGACCTAGGCTTCGAACTAGAATTGAGTGCTGACGTTGCTTTGTTTGCGATCTGGATTGAGCGAGTGATTTCATCAAACGTGGTAGGTGATTCATGCCCCACACTTGAGGACGATTCGTGTCCTTCTAAGGAAAGCTCGTTTGGTCGTGACGGTAGTTGTGCAGGCATTGTCATCCGGTGGGCAAGTTTTTCGGATGGCCGAGAATCAAGGGTCCGACGTGGGCCCCATGAGGAGACTTTGGGGGATTCGATACTTTGCCAATGTAGCACCGATTCCGAAAACATTTGTAGCCCTCCAAGAACTCGAGCTGATATGTCGCACATCACCGTCTTCATAGTTGTCGGACGTGATGCCTCCTGGCTGGGAATCCAAATCACTTGCTCAGGCCCAGAGACTATGTTATCTAGTCCATCGAAATCAAAAATTAACAGCTGTTGGACTACGGACTTTGGGTAGTCTGTATTTATTCCATCCAGCTCTTGAACAAGTAAATCGAGGCCTTCTAGGTTGGGATGCTTCGCGGAATCTGCTCCGTTGGATCTCTCCTTGACATGGCCGCCTTGGCCTGGGCCTCCGTTCACTGAGATTTCCGCGCCATCGGCAATTGCTAAAATAACAAGTGGCTCTCGGAAGAGCTCAAACGGGAATACTTCAAGATGAGAAAGAGGAGGTACGGATATAGATAAATCGTATATGATCATTCCCAACGGGTATGCGAGCGGGGAGAACGTATCTACAATCGATGGAGTTAGCTATCGATCAATTGAACAATATATCGGCGCAAACCGTATAAGAATATGTAAATGATCCTGCATACTCTTGCTCGTGCGCCCCTCAGGGCTCACATCCCCCAGGCGAACTACATTGTGCGCTCGGAGACGTTCAGCGAAGCTTAGAAACCTGGACCGCCGGATTCTACCAACGGGAAGCAATAGGACCCGTAAGCGCGCCGGCGCGATAGGTGAAAGGGGGTCAACTGTCATCGTAACATCGGTATTAGAGGTGGTGATAAATATTCACAGCTGTTCTAAGTTGCGCGCGGAGTTGCGTTTGAGCATTGCAGGGGTAACCTCAGGCTAGCTGCTTGAAGAAGAGCAGCGCACGCTGGATCGTGAAGAAGTAGAGATATGAAATGTTCGTTAAAGAGGCCGTTTCATCGCATGAGTCTGCTACCCCTAAAGGTGAGTGTTCCGTCAACCAGCAGGGCAGGTTGTTCGTGTTGACATTCACCAAAAGTTGGTACGGTTTGGGGACATCACATGAGCTTCGTCCGTTGAGCTGCCATCTCCATCTCCATCGACACGATAACTTCTACGACAACAGCCCCCATTAACCAGCAGGTTCTCTCTTGCGGTTGGTCGCCCGAATACGGTGGGAGGCTTAGGGGTGATCAGTCGTATTTGATAGTTTTCATTTGGCATATTCGAACAGGCGCCCAGGGCGAAGCAGAACCCGATACGTCATACCTTCTGGAGCCTGGTGTCCAGTTACTGCCTGCGAAAAGGGGATGGACAAGGCCGCCGGAAGACCTTTAATAGACCATTTACCAGTCTGGATAGACAGATAATGCTATAGACTCGGCTTATGATGGCAAACAATATTGATTTCAGCTCCCTGAAGGCTAGGGCTATCGGTTCTGGTCTTGACGAAGAGGCTGTTACGGTTAACACTCGAGCTCTGATTGATAAAGTGCTGGCTCGATACTCTGGAGAATGGTGATTATTTATCCTGCTTCATGCCTCCCGGATGTCCGGACTCCGTTCTGACTTTTTACAATAGGACTGTGCTACGAGAACTGCTTCAGAATGCTGCCGATGCCTCTGCCACTCGCGTGGTCATTAAGCTGGAAACTACGCCGTCTACGACAGTGCCTGCGCCGATTTCCACAGATGATAACACTCTTATAAAACATGTCATATCACATCACACCATAAAACGGCTCACGCTACGAAATAATGGAACTCCATTCAACGCTAATGACTGGGCTCGGCTGAAGCGGATCGCGGAGGGAAACCCAGACGAGACAAAGATAGGAGCTTTTGGCGTTGGATTTTACAGTGTATTCTCTGATTGTGAAGAACCCTTTGTTTCCTCGGGCAAGGAGGCGATCGCATTTTACTGGAAAGAGAACGCGCTCTTCACCCGTCGCTTAAAGCTAGACGAGAGAGACTGCAGCCCAGATACGGTCTTTGTGCTTGACTATAGAAATACCAGCTCGCCGGTACCTGGGCTCATGTCACTCTGCCAGTTCCTTGCAAGTAGTCTCACGTTTGTTGGACTAGAAGCTATAGAACTTTGGCTCGATAATTGGAACTTGTTAAAATTGTCAAAGAAGCTTGCCCCGAGTGTTCTGGTAACGATACCCAGAGACATAGCAACTAAGACTCCAGATGGAATAATGAGGATAGCCGATATTACGCGAGAGGTCGCGCAGCTAGATGCGGCTTGCATGAAAGCCGTTGGCTGGAAATCTCCGTCCAACTCGTCCAGATACGAGGGAAACCGGGTGCATGACACCACGGCATCACTAAGGAGCTTTTTCTCTCGACTTACTGGCTCATCTACAGGCGATGACAAACTGACTAAATCTGAGAGATCCGGCCGAAACGGCGCTGAGGAAGCCCTCGTTTCTTACAATACATCGTCAGTATTTCTGCAAATTACCACTGGCCATATAAAAACTTCAGTTACCTCGTCGTTTAGCCGTGAGCTGGAACGTGCAACGAAGAAACCTCCTCCAAAAACCACGAAGCTTGCGATACTTACCTCGTCATACACGGCATCTCCCTCCTCAGAAGCGCCGGAGGGTCAGGATATCTTTAGCAGTGTCATCCCATCACGTTCCGGAAGAATTTATATTGGTTTCCCGACCCATCAGACAACAGGTTTAAACGCTCACGTTTCTGCGCCTTCCTTGATTCCAACTGTGGAGCGTGAGAGCATTGACTTGAATGCTCGATGGGTTCGCACATGGAATCTTGAGCTTTTAAAGGCTGTTGGAATCGTATGCAGAATTGCTTGGTCTGCTGAGATGTCATCCTTGAAGGATCAACTTCTGTTCAGGCTTAAGCAGGCTGGAAAAGCTACTCTTCAGATTGAAGATATTAATGCAGTCCTTTCGGAGGCCATTCATATATCTAATCAGTTTGTCTTTCGGGAGTCAACTCCCACTTCCCAGGTAGGGCAGGCGGTTGAAGATTCGTTTTGGACATGTAGCCAAAATGCTTACCTGGAGATACTATCCACTCGTGGTATTCTTCCAAGCCACCAGGTCCGGACTGCGCCAAAGGACCTTAGTTTTATGGACGGAATCCCTGTCCTCCCCGAGAGGCTGGTGCTTGAAGCTAAAGGGTTCATCGGGAGATTAATCGAATTTGGGTTAATCACTGAAGTTACAATATCTGATATGAAGACTGAGCTAGAAAATAAGGCCTTGACCTCATCGCAGCTTCATGAATTTATCTCTTGGATCAGCCGAAAATCCGTTAGTGGAGAAATTAATCAATCTACCGTCAAAGCTCTTCTTGGAGTTGCCGTGGCCAACAATGACGAAGGCGACAGCGGCCCGGCGCTGCTTGTGTTAAGAGACATTAGCTGCTTTGCTAACTTAAGTCGGATACCCTTGGAAATGCCATTGCCTCCATTTGTTTTACCGCCCAAATACTCCAAAACCCTGTCACCAAATGGCTTAACTTCAATTGGCTGGCAGGAATTGCAAGTTGATGCCTGGGTGCAATGGTTGGTACATAACGCTTCTAACCGCGCTCTTCTATCAGCGGAGCAGGATATCACACGCTCACAAAGCTTCTCTGCCCGTGTTCTTCCGGTCATCTCGAAACAATGGGACATCCTGTCACCTACCTCGAAAATGGGACTTATTGATGTTCTGCGGCAACATACAATTATTCCTACAAAGGGAGGGATGCGAAAACCCCAGGAAGCATATTTCCCATCCGTCCGAATTTTCGACGACCTTCCAATTGTCACGGGCTTAAACAGCGTCAAGGAGAAATTTCTCGTTTCTCTGGGTGTGCGGAAAACTGTAGACATCAGCATTATCTTTGAGCGTCTCTTAAGCGGCCCTGAAAACGGGACAGACGCAAGTGAAGGAAGCCAGGGGAAATGGAGTCATGTCGAATTAATCAAGTACTTGGCGTCTGTCCGTCAGGACATACCCCCGGAAGATACGATAAAACTCCGCAAGGCTAGAATATGTTCTGCTGAGGTGAGAGGGGAAGAGAAACCTTCCCGTCAGCGTTACCAAGTCTCGCAACTATTCGAGCCGAATGATGCTCTAAGGGACTTGGGCTTCCCACTCTTGTATTGGCCAGGGAAATACGTTCCATTAAGCCCTGAAGGCAGATTCTTATTATCCCTAGGTCTAAAGAGCGTACCAACTGCCCCAGAAATGATCAAGGTCATGGCGGATGCTGCAGCTGCAAATGACATGAAACTACGAGACAAAGCTATGGGTTATTTTATTACCCATCACGTATCCAACAATTATGCCAGCTTCGACTATAGTCAATCAACTGCCCCCTTTCTTCCTATTGAGGGCGGAGGTCTAAGCAATCCTTCCAATTGCTTTACTGCTGAAGGGGCTGCGTTATTTGGGTTCGATATTCTTCGAAGGGATTTGCACCCCCATGCTTTAAAATTTGGTGTTAATCAACACCCTTCCATTAACGAATGTATAACCATTCTTATCCGAAAACGTCCAGAATCAAAACCTCAAGCGAAAGCCTTGTTTAAATATATGGCAAGCCGTGTTGCGGAGATAAATCCAGCATCCGCCGCCCGCCTTGGGCAAGCTCCAATCGTTCCCATATATCGGAAATCCCTAACCGAAAAGGGCACTACAACGATACATTATGTCGCGCCCCGTGACTGCTATCTTGGTGACTCTGAGGACTACGGCGATATTTTTGAATTTGTGGACTTCGGTTCTGAAGGAAACTTGTTTCTCCTTTCGTGTGGCTCCAAGCGACAGCCAACACACTGCGAATTGGCGTCTATTTTGGTCAAAGAACCTACGAGGATATCTTCTAAACTTCAAAGCTCTGAGAAATACCTAAGACTGCTACGAGGGATTGCGGAGAACCTTTCCACCATCAAGAAAGATAAAAGCCTTTTTGCGGAAATGAAAAAAGCACCGTTTCTATTCGCTAGTAAAGAAATTCCTCGCACGCCAACGGCAAAGAAGTCACTCTTAGATACCGGAGAATTCAGCGATGAGGAGGATGAAGATCAAGCCATCAAAGAGTGGCATTTGACGAAGGCAGCTGATGCTGTTATTGTGGATGATTACTCCAGCTTTAGTCTGTTCAAAGAGAAGCTGCTTGCGGCTCCACAAGAAGAGTTACTCGAAGATATGTATTCCACTCTGGGCTCTCCAAATTTGAGTAGCTTGGTCGACGAACAGGCCCAATGCGGCCGACTCAGTTCAGATCAGCGCAGCGCATGGAAGCTACAAAGGCACATCTACGAACGGTCGAGGCTTTTCTTGCATGATCTTCCACGCGATACGATACGACATGACACCCGATGGTTAGAAAAAAACCTAAGCGTGCAAATGGTACAGGGAATAAAGCTGCGGCGCTCTCTACGAGGTTGGGGGATGTCGCATGTGGAAGACCGTAGTGCGGTGATGATACAGAAACCCAATAGTATTGTCCTTTCAATTTCGGAGGGACGACCCGATTTATATCAGGTCAGCCAGGCCCTTGTAAGTACGATACTATTGAGGCCTAAACTGCACTCTACTCTCACCCTGGAGATGCTGTTGAAGACAGATCTCCTCGAGCTCCGCGCAAGGGGGTATAATGTTGAAAGAATTCTTCGGCAGAAGGCAGCAGAGGCAAGAATTGCTGAGCAGCAGCGACAGGACCAGCATGAAAAGGAGAGGCAACAAATGCAGCAGATGCAAGAAATGGAACAAAAGAGAATGCAAGAACTTGAGGAATCGCAGCGGCAAGCTGTTCAACAACAACACGAAGCAGCTATGCCTGGATTTTTCCCGGGCTCCCCAACAAATTCTCTAACCAGACGTCAACCTCCGCCTGTGCCTGCAGCTTCAGGCGAAAACCATCCGCCACCAGGTCTCTTTTCAGATTTCGCGAAGCGATTTGGTCTGAATGACTATATCCAGAAGAAGCCACTTGAGACCGCGCAGAACCTAAAAAAGCGCCTGTCTGACAAATTTACTCCCAGTGATGAAGGTACCAAGGATCCTAATCAGCTTGTCACTACCTCCCCAGAAGCATTACAGTCACAATTGCTATCCGCCATCAATGCTTCACGGCCATTCACATCGAATGAAATGCGTAGCCAGGGTCAGCAAAAAGAGATTGAAGAAAAGAAAACATATTGTGATGAACGCCCTGCTCATGATTTGAAATTCCTCTGTGTCGTAGGAGGAGTGAAGGCATTCATTGGAAAGGAGTTCAATGACCCAGACAGCTTTCTTCGCGCTAATCACGCTAATATGGTGATATTTACGGCAATACTCATAGACTGTGCTAAGATATTCAATCTTCGTCTCGAGACTCTCAGCATATTTTATGAGAATAGCGGTAAGACCATTGCTTTCAACTCAAGCGGCAGCTTGTTCTGCAACTATGCATATTTCGAGCGCCTCCACCTCGAGAAAGTGGCTCGGGGTGACCGGAAAGAAGGACTGGTGTATTGGTTTGTGATTCTCTGCCATGAACTTGCCCATAATATTGTGGCCGATCATGGGCCAGAACATGGTTTTTATACGTAAGTTGTTACCCTTCTAGGCCCTATTTGAAACGACATACTGACGGAGCAACGGCCTTGATTTAGCGAAAGCCTCGTTACCCAATATTTTGGCAAATGCATTCAAGCTCTAGTCTAGCGACGAGATAACGAGATTACATACCGCCTAACTAGATGAGGTTATGCGCATCTTTATAGGTTGATATCAATTTTGCTCCAGGTGCTAATTTTACTACATCCACCCTTGTATTAGGAAGACCCTACTCGTCTAGTTTTCTCTGATTTAGTGGAGGTGGCATACCTACCACCCAAGTGCATTGAGGTAGCTAATGGCGTTGGTTGGATAGAAGGGCTCTCGACCCGATCTATTGATTATTGCATATGAGACACTAGATTATTAGATGACGTTTTGCTGTATGTGTACCAAAATACAATCCCCTTCATTTATTATAAACAAACGCCTCTTTGCATAGGTTTATGTTTACATCCAGACATGGTTTTTTCCTTTTAGAAAGGACCAGCTAAAAAGCGCAGTATCACTAGGACAGAAAAAAAAGATGGTTCATATAACATGTCTACAAAGTTTTATCTATATTCCGTAATACATCAAAATTTCTCGATAGATATCATTCATATATAGATAAACGAGGCTCCTGCTGGTGCCTTAAAATAGGAGGGCCAACTTGGAGAGTTTCTCAAAGTTTGGAGTTCCCAGCCCAGTAACTGGATCCCAACCGCGGGTGGCATTCCAGCTAGCGCCTGGGACGAATGGGGTAGGAAGATGGCTGTACTGGTCAGTTCCAGTGCAGCCGTCGGATCCACCGTGGACAATGTCGGTGAATCCGCCACGGCCGACAGTGTAAAGCCATGGGTTCAAGAAGCCGAGTTTTGGCTTGTTGTGGGCGAGACGGACGGAGTTGAGGATAGAGACGACACCAGCAAAGAGAGGAGCGGAGGCACTGCAAGTTAAAGTTAGTTATGGAACGGAAAGGTGCGTTGTTTCGCTATAAATTACGAGTTGGGTAGAAGCTTACCTAGTTCCAGAGACACCAATAGTCCTTCCGTGGTCGCGGGTAGCGAACTTGTATGACTGAGCAGAGACATCAGGGAAACCACGTCCCTGGGGGTTGTACATGCCCTGCCACTTTCCAGGGGCGAGCTCCTTGTGGAGATAGTTTCTAACATCGTACTCCTGGTACCAAGGGCGAGCAAAACGTTCAGAGAAGCCACCAGATGAGAAGTGAATGGCGACTTCAGGGTTGATCTGGTGGGTACCACCTACGGAGGTCACCCATGGGCAAGCAGCGGGGAAAATGGGGTTGAACTTGGTGGTCTTCTTGCCATCGTTGCTCTGGCAAGCGCTGCCGACACCAGTGTCACCACTGCTGAAGATAACGGAGACACCTCGGGCACCGAGACGGGCAAACAAGTGGCAGGCAGAATCGGTGTATTTCTTGGGAACACTCTGCTCGTTCTCGCCGTAGGAGGTGGACAGAACGGCTGGGAGATCCTCATCAGAGAGTTCGAGCAGGTAGTGGAGCTGGTCGAGGTAGGGCTCGTTGTTGTTGTCGGTGGCATTGGGTTGGTCGAGATCTGGGATCAGCTGTCCTCGTCCGGCGGTGCCATAGTAGGTGGAGAGAGCACCGGACAAACCGATAGCGTAGTCGACATCCAAACTCGCCTCAACGCTGTCAAGGGAAGAGTTTTGTGGGTTTTGTCCGCCATTGATGGACTTGAAGTCGAAGGTAGTTCCCTTCAAGGAAGGAACGAACATATCAATGAAGGTGCTGAAGTCCTCGAGTCTGCCGTACTGCTCGAGGTATCCAGAAATACCAAGTCTGTTTCGTGGGTCTGGCTTAGCAAAAGTCTTGCCCATCTTGTAAAGGTCTCGGATACAGTCTGGGGTAATGGTGACATTGCAGTCGACATCTTGAGCGGAGGTGATTTTGAGCTCAGAGGTGAAAACGCTGCTCAACTCTGGGCGAGGAGCACTGAACTTGGTGGTTGGCTGGATCATGTGGATGTATGGAGCGACGGAGTCGGAGACGGAATACTGCAGAGTACGGATCACTTGGCTGCCATCGACGGTGTTCTTGAATTTGTAGAAGCGGGTATTCAACATCTTCTCGGCTTTCTCGACGGTGGTGGTGAAGGTGAACCAGTCGGTGTTGACCTTGACGGAGGGCTTGGAGATACCCTCAGCAGCCAACCAGCTGTAAACGGCGTCAGTCATATGGGCTGGGGGCTGGAGGAAAGCGTCGACCTCAGCGCGAGTCATGTGTTTGCCGTAACGAGCATGCTTGGGGTTGGAGATGTCCATGACATGCTGTTCGAAGTCGGAAGCCTTATCCTGCTGGAGGGCAAGCTTGAACTTCAGGGGGGTGGTGGGAGCTGGAGCGACACCCTGAACCCATCCCTGAGGAACTTCATGGAGCTGTTCAACGACCTGGAAGCTGCCGGCGACGTGTGAGGTCGGAGCAGCGGTGATCAAAGCTGGAAGACCAACCAGGCAGGCACCAATGGCCCGTAGAGTGAAAGAAACCATGATTGGGAAAGGCAAAGGAGAGCTGTTCCCGTTGCCGATGTCTTCTGCAGCTGCGACTGTCACTCTCAGGTTTGCGAGGGATACTGCACCAGTAAATATATATATATGCTCGATGTACGGCGTAGCTCAATAATTTCCCGGTGCTGCCCGCTGCGTGACGAGAAGGGAAGCTCGTTTAGCAGGTAGCTTCTGTTCTAGAACTAATTGTGAAAGTGGAGGAGAGCAACACGATGTGCATGGGGTCAAATCCTTGCACATATAAGTATTTCCCCGGGTGTTGCGGGTCCTGGAGAAGCGTATCGTAAGTTGACAACGGGCTGACCCTGGCAAGATATATGTACTTTCCGGAGCAAAGTCCCTCATTCGAAGGAACAGATGACCAGGATCGTAGCAGGGCCCGCAGAACAGGTCCTGGCGCGCAGAACCAATCGACAATTGGCCTCATCTTGTTGCCGAGGGAGAACAGGCAAGATTCAGGGGCTAGGGATGATCGACACGGCGGAAATTTTGGGAGAGACGCCTCCATTGGAATAGCTTGGAGTAGCTTGGAGTAGCGGCGATCTGCCAGCAGTTGTTGTATCGTGCATGATTGGTAGATCGCGCGGTGACATGGGCACCTCAACCGATGACGTGAAAGACACATCTGGTGTGCTGGCTCCAACCTGGTCGCCATGGAGACCGACGCTGGGGTCGGTGGCAAAGCTCTCGAGGGTTTACGGAGTCGTGAGCTGTGCCGTATGTGAGCGACGTATAATTGCATGGACCATGGGAGCGAGCCCGGGATGGAGATAAGTATACGGACCAAGCCCCCTGTCACGGTTGCATCCCCGTCGCGAGATAGCGAGATTGGTCAAGCATTGCTGCCAAATAGCTTGGTGCTAACAAGCAATTACAAGCTCGTGTTCTCCACCCATATCCAAGATGTCTCAACCGCAATGTAACTCGAGCAGAGCCCGGATATAGAGAGAAGACAGGACCGAGTGGAAGTTTTATCGCGGGCGTCGAATTAACCTCAGCCGGTTCCTGGCACGTGAACAGCGGTGTTTCTGGAGCCGAGGAGGGCCAACCAAACGCAATATCCGGAGAATCAACCAGCAGAGAGTTATACTGCGTCGAGATATCCCATATCCCTGCGAGATGACGGGCATTTCTCCACCATCACGAACTCAATAATAATAACGCTTGCTAGAAGACCGATCGTGGGGTTAATCAAACTCATTCTCCGGGGTGCTTTCGCTTGCTTGATGCCTGTCATTTCGCTGCGAGCATCTGCAGGATCCATCTGCACCTTGTGGACGACGAATGGACATGCCATATAGTTACCAGGATCGAGCAACCCACCGGCTCGAGGGCGAGAACACCCCGGGTACGCTGTATGTACTTATGTTGATGGCTGGTGCGGAGAATATACCCTGCTCTGGTTGCATGCCCCGTTGGATATCTTACGGTCTCCATTAACCGCCCTCATATATAGGCCAGGCCACCCCTCAGTTGGCATGCCATTTGTCTTCCGGATGCATGGCAATATTTTTTTTCCGAGAGTTTTCTGTCTTTCTGTTCACCGGAGAGGCCCCAGCTCGACTGCTCAAACAAGGTCCAGGGTCGATAGCTCGACGGGATTATAATTTATCTTGCCCTTGTCGACGAAGGCGTAAGGTTTGCTTAGTCTCATTAGCTAGGCACTCTACGGTCAGCGTCGACCCAGGTCTCCTCAGCAGTCCGAAAAGTTCCTTCACCTTCCATGGGCGGAGCGAGTTCTTTTTTTCTGCGCTAGAATCATGCGGAGAAGCGGAGATTTAGAGTTGAAGAAACGCTCTGGATACTCTTCAACGCTCAATCTATTACGGTTTATTCCACTCTTCGTTTAAAGAATCACGCAATTCGCAGAAGCGTCACGTCGACTGTGGAGGCTGCACACATTCCTGCCATGACGCCCTATACAGGTCCGTAATGGTGCAACAGATAGCTCGCAGCCCTGTCCGAGGAGATATGTGCATGATGAACATGGCTTGCACCGGCTGACTTCATACGGAGAAATTCATATTAGTACGATGCTACTATGTATAGATGTGGCTTAACGCGCTGGCTTGGCCTTTACTATGCCTGGATGGGAAATACCAGCCTGAACCTATAGTATTTCGGACCTCCACTCCTTAAAACCGAGGGAATTGATGAGATAGTAGAAAAATTTGATTGCTATACCTGGACACCTCACTTGGGTATGGGAAAATCTAGGCCATCACTTGTTTGAGCGAATTCAGAGACGGCCTGGATAGTCCGGAAGAGAGTACCAAATTCTTTTTTTGGCCAGCGTGAGGCCAGAGACGGGTTGTACTGACCACGGGTCACCAAGAGTAGATCAAGTCTGATTTTACGGATTCCCCTTAGCCAAAGGTGATCTTTTGACCAAAGTCTTGAGGATCTATTTTGCTATTTTACCAAGATGATACTGTTATCTTGTAGGTCTGACTAGACATGTTTGAATCTATCATGTTTGAGGAGTGACCACACTGATATAATGTAAGACAGAGGCAAAGGCGGCATTATCTGCCTTGTCTTCAGTATTGAAGTGACAAAACCGCCATAACCAGTGAAAGATACACACTTCTTCAACATGTGTTACTATCAGTGTTATGCATGGTTGGATTCGATCAGGTCTCTCACTCCGCTACCATATGTATCCCACGCGGGACTCACCCATAAATCCAGAGGGCGTAAAGGTTACAAGCCCGCTTCATTGCAACTCAACGCGTTACTAGACGTCAATTTTTACCCTATGGCGTCTGGGAATAATCGCGTCGAAAAGGAACGAATGACCAGGTACTGATATCAGGCTTTTTGACATGCGTTTATGATAATTGCTAAAAAAAAAAGGTGGCTAGCTTTAATGGAAAGACGATTGAGATTGACGTTGGAGAGGATTCATTCGTTGTCCACCAAGACTTAATCAAGAAGTCTTCACGATTTTTTCGTTCGATGCTTGATACCGATAAGGGTCGGGAGATTGCTGCCTTTAAATTCGCAGAGGAGGATAACGAGGTTGTTCAGCTTTACTTGAATTGGGTCTATAAACGGGCTATATCCCCCTGCACCGACGAAGAACAAGCCAACGGCCACGAATCAAGGCTGTTGGTGAGAGCGTATACAGGAGATATATTCGACGATCGTGACTTTCAGGACGCCATCGTTGACCGAGTGTTACAAAGGGGGCACTCGACGGTGATTGCCTGCCAGGCGCGAAAGCAATTCTTTATCTCTACCAACCTGAGCCGAGACATTCTAAGCTCAAGCTTCTCATAGTCGACCTATACGCATCGCGTGTCTTACGTGGCACCTTTATCAAACCGGAAGGGGGTGACTATCCTAGAGCTTTTCTTATGGACGTTCTGTCGGCCGTGGCTGCTCTGCAACGTGGTGAAAGAAAGAAGCTGACAAAAGGAGGTAGAAACCCTGATCTCTGCAATTTCTACCATAACCATGAGTTAGAATCAGAATGCTACAAAAATAGTACCTGAGGCATACCGCAGAGTGAAGTTACAATTGTGGTCTTAGGGAGGCTTCCACGGGGTCCATGAGTGCTGGCTGGACGGGAGATCCAGGCTCCAGAATAATAACCCGTCGATGAATAGAATAAGAGACTGCTTAAGATCACCTGAATATCTCTACTTCAGCCGGCTATGAATATTGGCTGATAACAGCATCCTGTTCTATGTAGTAAGAAATTTGGTGTAGGTGGAATGTTCCCAAGAGCAGTTCGAAGTTAGAGTTGCCTTTATAGTCTCACTGCCGCGCTGGAAACGGGAAATTCCATCCTACGACCACACTCCTCCATCTACAGGCACAAAGAAAGAACACCATGCACATTCACTGATCTTCTTTTTCCTTTTTCTTACATCCCACTTCTTAGCTTGCATTCTATCTGATACATCTACCAATATCTAGGGAGCTGCGATATCTTTGGCAATACCAACCTATCCCAGTCATTAGCTGGTCGACAATGCGTGCTGGTCTGGAGATAAGTTGATAACACGATGTGCTGGAGGCAGTGAAGGGGAATTCTCGAGCCCACTGGTCTCTGATTAACAGTCTACATCGCCAGGGACTATCAAGCATCCAGTTTGTCCCTGCTACAAGTGAGATTTCATTCCACTCAGCCGTTCCTTGACAATTCTCCAAGGCTGCAGCACCCCGCCTCACCCTTGACATTTCATACAACCAAGCCCGATTTATTCAACACGGCTTATACGCACTAGCCGCTTAATCCACAGCTAGTTAATGATGGAGATCTTCTGCCGCGGCATCCCCGAGCAGGTTTCGGAGAAACACTTGAGGAAAGAGCTCAAACCTATCCTAGAGCGCTTTCAGATATCTGTCTACGATTGCCAAAAAGTGGGCAGGAAGAATGCCAGAATTACAGTCGCAGACGTGCAAAAGGGCCAGCGCGTACTCGATGCATACGAATACCGGGGAAAGGCTACGCATGGTGCATCCAAGCCATTTTATCCTAACGTCACTCTCAAGTTGTTCGGTTTCCCTATCCAAGTGTCGAAAAGTTATAATACACCCCACCAGTTGCTTGTACAGTCTCTGTTGGAAGAAGAGGAATCGAATCGTGCGGCACGGTTCACGGCCGCTCCAAGATCGATTACAGGGGAAGTTCATAGGGTTAGACGATTCCTTGTCACTATGATGTCGTGCGGGTCGTGGGACTACCGCCAAAATCGGCCAGTCTTTGTTGAATATTTTCGGCTGCCATACCGCGGGTCCATCACCCTTGGGAAGACGATGTTCGATGCCACTTTTACAGATATTCAGACTTCAACGCATTTCTCCGTTGAGATCCCATATAGGAATATTGTTGACTCTATTTATGTGGGAGCATTTGGGACACCGTCTGTTACAATTACGACCTACGTGGCTCCTAGATTCTACATTTCCGATCCTATAGAGCAAATGAAAGTGCAAATGGCGATGCTATTCAAGAGAAATGGGCGACCACCACCTGCTAAAAGAAGAGTCGGGTTTCTTTTAGACGGACACGAGAGAGTTTCTGCTAGGTTTTTTACCTATCGATTCGTCCTTCAAGACCCTCGGGATACCGGTGTGGTGCGCAACCTAGGAAATGATCGGAGTATGCCCAAGATGAATACGTGGTCTGATTTATGTGTCTCTCCCCGAACATCTTACGCTGTTCTAGAAAAGGAACTCGAGAGATACCTAGGGAGGATGCCCTTCGGGTATCGTGTCAAATTTCAATTACAGAGGCTAGTATGGAACGGAGTGCTTTCGCTAGACCGGGCATCACTCCTGTTCCCCGTAGTCCATCGACTTCACCTACAACATGATCCTAATACCATCGTTCAAGCACTTACGCGCCTGAGCCGAGACTTGCCGTTCCCTGCTCCCGGTGTACTGCCGAGTGAAGTTGGGATTGAAGCAATTACTGAAGCATTGGAAGACACTATCGACTCCATTTTACACAACGGAAGTGATTCGGATTTTAATCTCATACACCGAAATAATGTTTCAGTACATCGAGCAATGGTTACTCCCTGCGGAGTTTATCTCTTTGGACCGTATGCAGAAGCGAAGAACAGAATCTTGCGCAAATACGCTGACAACATTGATCACTTCCTACGTGTTGAATTCCTGGATGAAACCGGTGATCCTGTGTTTTTTGATCCAAATGCGAATCTCGAGTCGATCTTCCATAACAGATTTGCTGGCGTTATGAAACGTGGAATTGAGATTGCTGGCCGTAATTTCAAATTCCTCGGATTCTCGCACTCTTCTTTGCGGTCACAGACATGCTGGTTTGCTGCACCATTTACTACAGCGGAAGGAGAGTATCTCGATGCTACTACTATAATCAGCAACCTGGGCCACTTTGATCATATACGTTCTCCTTCAAAACAGGCGGCTAGAATTGGACAAGCATTCTCTGATACTCTTACCTCCATTTCAGTCTCTAAGGATGCCGTATGGATGAGAGCGCCAGATGTGACAAGGAATGGACGCGTTTTTAGCGACGGGGTTGGAGTGATCTCCCGTGAGCTGATGTACAAGATTTGGGATGAATATGCTCTTCGAGAAAAGGTGAAGCCGACAGTTTTCCAGATAAGAATTGCCGGTTAGTCCCCAACCTCCCCTTATATTAATACGGTATTCTTGTACATCGCGATCTATAAAAATTAAATGTAGCACCGTTGTTACAGTGGTAGACTTACTGACTTTTTCTTCAGGGGCTAAAGGGATGGTTTCACTCGACACCACAAAGCAAGGAGAATTCCTGATGCTGAGAGAATCTATGGTAAAATTTCCCACAGACGATTCATATAACATTGAAATCTGTGGAGCTGGTATTAGGGCACTGCCATTTTACCTCAACAGCCAGATTATCAAAATCTTAGAGGACCTAGGGGTCCCGTTTGCTGCTTTCCGCCAACTGCAGAAGGACGAAATAGACTCACTCTATTCGACATTCGAATCTACAGAAAAAGCAGCACAATTCCTTGAAGAGTCACCTGTGCCAAAATCACTTCGGTTGCCATGGCTACTGGCCATTTTAAAGGGGCTGGGAATACGCTATACTCATGACCCTTTTTTGCATCGGGTAATGGAATTGACAACTCTACTAAAACTTCGTGACCTGAAGTATCGCGCTAGAATTCGTGTTCCCAATGCTATCACGCTTTACGGAATCATGGATGAAACAGGATATCTAGGGAAAAATGAGATCTATTGTGCATATCTAGCAGAAAATGGCCGCCGGGAGATTCTTGTTCGTAATAATATAGTTATTACGCGATCACCAGCACTGCACCCCGGCGATATCCAGCTTGTGAATGCTGTCGACGTTCCAGCCAATTCGCCACTTCGCAAGTTGCATAACTGTGTTGCATTTAGCCAGCATGGAGCTCGTGATCTTCCCAGTATGTTAAGCGGTGGAGATCTCGACGGTGACCTTTACAACATTATTTATGATAGCAGCTTGATCCCTCGGGGAACTTGCTCACCGGCCGACTATCCGCTAGTCAAAGCCAGAGAATTGGATAGAAAGGTCGAAAGCAATGATATCATCGATTTCTTTGTGACTTTTATGCAGCAGGATCAATTAGGCCGCATTGCAACTGCCCACCAAGCTATTGCGGATCAGTCACAACTCGGGACTAGAGACAAAGATTGCTTAAAGCTCTCTGAATTGCATTCTGTTGCGGTTGATTACTCTAAGAGTGGAATACCAGTACGTCTACATAAACCCCTACATTTCTCTCTATCATATCCGCTCATATAGTACACAGGTCAATGTCCAGAGCATTCCCAGGGCCCCAAGATATCGTCCAGATTTTATGGCTCCCAGCCCACGGTTTCATATATCTGACAGCATTGAAGATATCATAACCGCTTCAGAGAAAATTCTCGAGGACGACGATGACAACGACCGCCCAAGAACCCTATACTACAAGAGCCATAATATTCTTGGCCAACTCTATCGTTCTATTGATGAGCAGAGCTTCCTCCGAAAGCTACGAGATGTAGGGACTGTCGACAATAGCAATCGTAAGAGCGCACTGCAGATGGTTTGGAAATACGTACAGAAGGAAATGGATGGGTTTTTCTGGAGCCATCTCACAGGAATCTGCAAGGACATAAAAGAAATGTACGAATTGCCCCGTCCTTTCTCTCTCTCATTATTATATTCATGGTTAACCACTGCTGACCTGTTGTAACTGTCCCGGTAGTTACGAGGATCAACTTAGAGAGCTAATGCGGCAATACTCAGCGACTCCATGGAAGAGCTCTATCACGGAGTATGAAATCTTTGTTGGCACAATTCTTGGCCACGGACACAAGCAGCGCCGGAGAGATAAGGAAATTTCAAAGGAGATGCGAGACAGTTGGTACCCCCCGAACGCTGAAAATAACATAAATGCTAACTCTTTCTTCCTTATCAGCATACAATCGTCTCGTCGATTTCACTCTGTCCAGGATCCGAGATACGGAATCTGGCGGGACAGAGGCTCTCGAGCGCTCGATTGCATGTTTTTGGGTATCCATAAATGAAAACAGCTTATCGCAGAAGCCAGGAATCCAGACCTCAAACCAAGATAAGCTGCTCAGTTTTCCGTGGATAGCTGCCATGGCGTGCCTGAACGAGGTTGACAAGTTCCAAAGATCTACTCCATTTTAAACTCTCACAGGCTATGTGTCAAATATTTTCTTTTAATATTTCCTTTTTCCCTCCACTTCTCTACGACACATTTCTTATCTCTTGTATGATTAACGACTTAGCTGGGACAGGGCAAATTGGAATACAGGTCGTAATATTAATATGGGAACACGGCTGGGAAAAAGGACAAGTTCCGGCGACTACAATACGGCGGTGAATGCGAATCATGGGTGTATTTAAACACTATTTTCTTCTTTCAAGACTTTTCTCATAAGTAGACGAGCTTAAGGATTTTTGCTTGAGGCTCAAAATGGCAGTCAAGAAAAGTGACATCATGATGCAAACAGTGCAAACAAAGGGCAACTTTAGCCAAAGTAATGTTAATTAGCCATCTCCAAGCTTCATGATAACAAACCTGTGTCCTCTTGCTCAGCACGTCAGCTTACTCTCTCGGCCTCCGTGTGAAGGGGTTGGTGGATGATGCATGACGCTTGGCTCCCTTCCAAGTCATCACAATGGATAGCTCATCCGATGTTGTTTTGGAGGAAATAACATGGCGGTCTCCTCAGCACGTCCAGTTGATGGGCGGTTTCATCCACTCCAATAACAGTAAGAATTAGTCTCTATACAGGCGCTATTTATACATATACCAGTGGCCTAGATCAAGCCTAACTAACAATATGCCCTTGATGCTTGTAGTTTTGTTTTACTTTGCCGAATCTCCCTTCTTCGACTCCACCTCGAATAATGCTACACTCACGTTGCAAGCAATGCATAATGAGAACTTTCGGCAATTTATCGAGACTCGCGAAGCATTTGAAGGGAGACTCAAGTCTATGCAAGGGTTGGAGTTTATAGTAGCTCACGATCCGATACAAGAAGCCGCGGCGGCAGTAGCGGCGGGAAATGCGCCCCAAGAACCGTCGAACATATGGGTAATTAGGAAGCAGAATAGACGTAGGCTACCAGGAATGCAGGAGGAAGTCCAAATATTGGCTACGTACTTTGTTGTGGGGGATTTCGTTTACATGGCGCCGTCCTTGATAAGCGTAGTGGGACGGAGAATGGTATCTTTCGCACTCTATCCAGCTTTCCAAGAGAGAAGTCTCCTGGCAGAAGTTTCAATTCCTTGCTGACAGCTCTAACTAGCTCTCGACGGTTACATCTCTCACAAAATTGCTACCTGTTGCATCACGACAGTTACTCTTCACGCCATCCCATGGCCACACATACACTCCGCCTATCCCAAAACACACCGAAGCAAGTCAAGCTGGTGTTCCCCAATCTGCACAATCTGGAAAAGAAACTACCCCTGTGCCGGGGACCCAGAACACATCGACTTCAGCATCGCCTTCCAAACTAGGCTCAGGTGCAACGCATGATATGAGGAACCTTTCAGACGCGCTTAATCTTCTTTCCCGATATGGCGATGAATATATGGACGAGATGCCGCTTGTTGGTGAACCAGGCTCCTTTATCATCTCAAAGAACGCTGGAAATGCTAGCAATAACTCCCTGACGGTTCCGGCCGCCGAACACTCTGTAGGCGGTGGCACGACAGCCAAATCCGCTGGACGATCGCCGTCAGGGACTCCAGGTCCAAGACCAGGAGGGCCAGATACGCCTGGGGCTTCACCTGCTCTGGGAGGCGCTTCTGACTCTAACCAGGCTGGAGCAGGGAAGGGCAGGAAAAGGGTTATCACCAATATTCTGTGAACCATCACCGCGCTTCCACGCAGCAATCTATCGCTTTGGGGGCGGGGATACAACCTGCGGCCGTCCGGATTCTTGCTGCTACGGCAGCTCTCGACGATTGATGATATACTCCGGCTCCATAGAGAGTTGAGCATGAATCTTCTGAATACCACTGAGGCATCACCCCCTTGTAAGATTCTAGTCTACCGGAAGGCCGCAAGCACGATGACAGGCCCTGCGATCGCCACGAATACGATGCGCTCGCTGCATCGTAGAAAGGGATGACTCAATATATTAGTCACCAAGTTCGATACAACCTCCTTGAAGAGTCTCTCTTTGTTATTTTAGCCATGATCAGTGTCTTGTTGGGTAGAGGGAACCTTAGAAATATACTTCATCTTCGGCCATTCTAAGCTGTGGCCTTGTCAACGTATTTAAACAAGTTAACTACACCCCGCCACCATCAATATGTCTGAAGCTTCAAAGGAAACACGACCAGTTGTCTGCGTCTTGTACGTATACTAGATGGCTTCCCCCTCTCTCTAGAATGCTGTCTATATTTATCCTTCTACGGTATAATGACAAGCTCGTACTTACTGGTGTAATAGCTGCGGTTCAGCCGCTGGGAAATCCCCCGCCCATACCGAAGCTGCTCGCGCCCTCGCCCACCTTTTCCATAAAGAAGGCGTCAAGCTCGTCTATGGAGGAGGCACCAGTGGCCTTATGGGCGAGATTGCTCGAACGCTTGTCTCGCTCTCAGGCCCCGATTCAGTTCACGGCATTATCCCCTCAGCTCTCGTGAAGATCGAGAATGGCCACCGCTCCACGCTGACTGCTGCATCAACGAATCCTCTCGCTCAACCATTGCCCGGACAACCCGGGGTGGCTGCAGATGAAGAAGTGGCGGGTAAACTACCTGAGCGGACTGAAACTACAGAGGCAAACGGGGTTGGGCCCGCAGACAAGAAGAGCTTTGTGAATGCGGAATATGGTGTTACTACCATCGTTCCAGATATGCATACCCGCAAGCGCATGATGGCTGGAGAAGTTATTTCCGGCGGACCTGGTAGCGGATTCCTCGTGCTCCCTGGTGGGTTTGGCACAATTGAGGAAGCTATGGAGATGGTTACGTGGAACCAGCTGGGCATTCACCATCGAGGCATCGTCCTGTTGAACATCGAAGGGTACTGGGATGGGGTTCTCTCGTGGGTTGAGAAGAGTGTCGAGCAAGGATTTGTGAGCACTATGAACAAAGATATTTTGGTTGAGTGTAAGGATGTAGAGCATGCTCTCGAGGCGCTGAGAAGCTATAAACTAAGTCAGGGACGGTTTGGGCTAAGTTGGGAGGTCGAGCTAGGAAATGGCAAGTAATAGACGGGCTTAGACTGGTGTATTTATGGCTGTGATTCAGTTACTAAAATCTTCGATCATAGAATAGAATTACACGGGAGTTCGCCATCTAGCAAAAGCAGTGCTTTAACGTAGAAGAGTTCATTGTAGTAGAGTTCATTGTAAGATGGATAAGCGCTTCAAATAAAAGAGCAAAAGGGAATTACCCCCAAGGGCAAAAGTCACCATGTCTATTGAGGGTCCATTAGCATCACGAGTCTACCTCCATTGCCTCTGCTGATGGTTGGGTTTCTGCCGGTGCAGCGCTCGCCTCTTCATGAGCACTCTCCAGGAACGCCGTGACATCAGGCCCGTCGTATAATTTAAAGGTATCAATCTTTCCATTGGTAGCCGCACTCGGCACGCCAGCAATGCCCACGGTCGTATTATCAATGGTCAATTCCCGGTCTTGCGACAAGCTCTCCTTCAATGCCTTCAATGCATGGTTGATCAAGGCCTCACGTCCACAGTCAGCAAACGAATCCAAGTTCCTTTCTAAATATGTCCTGGCCATCTGGCTCCTGGCTCCAATTGCACACGCAACCATCTCCTGTGTCATGCCGGAGGGCTGAAATTCGAAGAGATGGGGTCCTGCCTCGTCGACACCGGCAACCAGTAAACCGACACCGTAAGGTCTCTTTCCGTACTGCTGTGTGTTCGTCTGTGCACGTTCTCCGATTCGGCTGACGATACGCTCTACTTGGAGCGGGCGGCCGTACGTCATCTTAGAAGCTAGGGATTGTTGTTTCATAAAGTTGGACAGGACACGGGCATCAGAGGCAAGACCGGCAATGGCAATTCCCATATGGGAGTCAATAGCAATGACCTTCTTTTGGTATGAAGATAGCTCCTCCGCATTTCGCTATATCACTTGCATGTTAGATGATGCCCGTGTGAGAAGGAGAAACGGTATATCCCACCTTGAGGGCAGCGAGGACGGCGTGTGTCTTGCTGACTATGCCCACTACCACCGAACCCTGCTTTACAGCCTCCTGTGCATATTCCACCTGAAATATCCGGCCTTGGGGCGAGCTGGTCCAGCACCGTCAGCAAACACATCTCTTAGATCAGCCAAGCGGTGTCAAACTCACAAGGTCACGGAGTCGTTGTCGTAGTTATTTCTAAACATGGCTGCTGGCGGAGTTCACGGGCAGCGAGGAGACGTATGCCGAAGAAGCAGCGCGGGAGTGCAGTACCGTCAGCGTGTCTAGAAGATGCTGTATGTATGATGCTTCTCTTGTTCGTCTTTGCTCCAAGGCAACATGAAAGGACGCGGTAGCTCGCAGCCCCTTTCGGGTTAGCGCCAGAGCTTGGGGTTGGCTGGATTATGTAAGCGCCTGCATCGTCATTTTGGAGCTGGGAAGAGGACGAAGATGAAGACGCAGACGCAGAGGACAATTCCGCCAGACATTCAACTTCTCCCCGTCGAGGTCTACGCTGCCGACGTCTAGCTGATGCGACGGTGATACGACGGCCTGTTTTCTATCCCAAGCTTGTGCCCTGCCGCCGCACCCGGAGCCAACCCCCTCATCCTCTCTATCACTCTCTGCCTAGCCATGATGCCTGGCCTCAAGACCATCATCGCCCTCTCCTTTGTAAGGCCTTCTCGAAATTTACATTTGGTACTCCGTTATGAATGAACTTCTCTTGCTAACCCGCCGTCCAGGTTCTCGCTATCGGCTTCCTGCTTGTCATTCTCTCCGCAGCGCTATGGCACAACTACCTACCGCTCCTCGTGGTTGCGACATACGTCATTGCGCCAATACCGAACTGGATATGTAGCCGGTGTGCAAGCTCAGATGACTTTATGGAAAGCTCCAGCAGTGGGGTGGTGGACTTTGGGCGATGGTTCACTGGCTTCTTGGTGGTGATGGGAATCGGTACGCTTCTAATGCCCAGACTACTTACAACGCACCTGTTCCAAATTCTATTGCAACATCTCTTTATATACTAATTATATTTCTTGTGGTAATAGCCCTCCCAGCGGTATTAGCCCATAGCGGCGCAATCCAGGTTCCAGCAATGATCATGTCAATCTTGGGCGGCTTGTTAATATACGGAACCATCATCAGCTTTTCGATGTTCTTCCAAGAAACAGAAGAGTTTTAGCATGCTAGAATGAGATGAGATGGTGATACCCTGTTTCGCTTATGAGCCGCTTTCTTCGTTGAGCATCCTGCAATCAAGCCTACGTAGATTGTCGTCTCTGTCCGTGGCTGTATATCCGTGGGTCATTGCTAGCATTTGGCCGCTGCCCTTTATGTTCTCGGCGAATCCTTGCGGAGCTTGGGTCTGGAAGTCGCCTTTATATGCCTTATACGCCTTTATACGGTCTCGGGGCGGAGATATAAACCACCTTTTGCTTTTACCTCCCGCGTTTATGATTTCCCTGGGCGTTTTTACGTTTTGATTTTGGCTGTATGATAACTAATTTTGATATGTCCTATTGAGCACTTCTAACATCTCCCTCCTACATCTCCTTTCACTTCACTTTCTCCTGCATGTCGGCCTGGACATCCATTTTCATATCAGGTGATCACGTGCCTACACGCGCTTTCGAAGTCGCGATAATCTCCCATCCATGCTCGGCATTTATGATAAGCAGCAAGCCACTTAAACTCGAAAAGCCCTTCTCACGGGTTTATTTAAATTGATACACTATCGTTATGCTGTAACCTCATGCTCCTGCATATTATAGCTCCGTATAGTTTAAATGGAGGTATGGTCTGGTCCCATCGACTCTGGCTCGACCACGCCGCTCACAGGTAGGCAAATGGCTTAAACGTTCAAGCAGCACCGTGAATTCCACTGACTCTGCTGCAGGTATACGTCTAATCGACCCTAATTCCACCAGCCAGAGCGGCCTATCTAAGAATGCAAAACTATCATTTCGCGCCTATGTCAACCCAAATCGAATCCCAATATTCTGCTTCACTGGTCCTTGCCTTGAGGTTCATAGCTCCGAGCACAGGACGATAGGCTGGATTAAACATAAACTACTACGGACATATCAGACGGAAGAAACAGATTACGAAGCGTTCACTTCTGTCCAGCAATGCCCTGTGGGGATTCTCATTCGCGTCGAACAGCAACCATCCTCCAACGAGGTAAATATCAGCTCGTCACAATATGCTATATCAGATATCCTTATATTCGGTGCCTTATCAGCGTCTGGTTCACAACATATCCGTCCGCCAACCCCACAACCATCCTCAGCTGCTGCTGGGGATAGACTATGCGAAGATGGGGGGGCTACACACGAGCTAAGAGTGTATGCAATTCCCCTCTGCTCGGATATAATCACTAAGGCCAGGGCACTCGCTACTCCGCCGTTTAGCCCTCAATACAACCCAGCTGGAGCATCAGAGAATGAACCGTCAGGCGAATTTCTTCCGGATTTTTTCCGCTCCCCGAGCCCGAAGAGGAAAAGGGTTGCAACTCTGTTTGAAGCTGCAGCTGAATATCATAAGAAAGTTAGAAGGAAGGGAGCGGCCGCAATGTCTGATTTTATCACGAGGGACAAATCGGTCACACCACAGTTTCCGCAGCTTCCATCCTGCATTAAAATCAAACGGGAAAATGAGAATAATGCAACGTTGAGCGGCAGTTTTGGTGATATAAGTCTAGCTCGAAGGCGCGCTACTTCGATCGCAAGAGACGCCAGAGCAGGTTCGAGGAGACCGTCGCTATCTCGGCCTAGCTCCTCGATGTCTCAGGCTTTAAGTACATCAAGTCATAAAGACCTACCAAGCTCTAGAGCTGGCGACCTAAATCACCCACCAGAGCGACATCAGAAGCCTGGGAGCCCAGATCTTATTTCCCTGGAAGATATCACTGCTGCTAATAAGGCATTGTTGACCCGTACAATCCTTACATGTATGCGCCTTTATGGATTTCGTCGGACAAATACACGAACCACTTCGTGCCTACCATCCTCCATGCCTGCTATGCGCGATCAGTCATCACTACCAATCTCCGATGATACGCTCTCTAAACACGATGCAGACGAACCCAACGAAGGCCGCAGCCATGATAACTCTGAGTATACAACTCTTCGTCAGCCTGGTGGCCTGAGAAAAAGAGATGCGCCTATTGCAGGCGATGTCTTTGATGGGAGAGAACTTACCAAAGCAGAAGCGGAGGGGGAGGATGATACGGGGTTTAAAGACATGTACCATGCTACATATCGTGCTTCAGCATTTGCGCTGAGGCGATTCTTCAAACCCTCAACTCCGGCTATCAGGGTACCAGGGGATGCATCTGCATCTCATACTTATCATTTACCAACATTAAAAAAAGACAAGGCGATGGATACTGTGGATTCTGTATTGAAGCTGTTCTGCGAATTGTCAGACGCAGAATAATTGGAATGTTAGATATGAATAATGACATAGTAATGAATAATGATTAATTTCATGATTATATATATATATATATATCTATGTGTGTGTATGTAAGTCCCATATAGAACTAGTAACTAATATATTATATATACTTCTCAATGTCTTCTTGCTTGATATCCTTGGGCAATAATCTTATTATTCCAATCTTTACCTATCCTAAATAGGACTATGGTGAGGTCCATTAGGATTAAATTGTTATTCTTTCTATAATGTTATTTTAATAATTAGTAATAGAACAACTGGATTCTAGGACTTAGCACAATTGGTACTCACTAATAATCAACCAACTATGGTAGTATTGCTTAAGGTGGTTTGAAGGCGAGCCACGCTCTGGTCTGATAGAGTATGACACCAGGTGAGCCATTCCATGCTGTAATGGAATATAAAACCAAATGCACCATCCCATGGCGTGATAGAATATGAGGCCAAGTGGGTAATTTCTATGACCCTGTTAGATTAGTTAGACTTCTATGTACTAAACAAGTTGGAAAACTAGGGTGTAAATACCAGTTAATTTCTAACCAGACGCGCACACACACATGATGTTCGCGACTTGAGGTAGACCCCCTGTATTAGAGGGTCTACCTCAAAAAACAATATATACCAAGTGAGAGGTGAGCCTAGGGTATAAGGAAATTACAATGTTAGTAAGAGAACAAGAATATATCTGTAATAATCAAAACCAAAGGGAAAGGTCAGTCTTACATATCACCTCCCACTTTGGTGCCGTCTCTACTCTAGACGGATGCGGGCGGAGAGTGCATCTGTTCCAGGGACTGGAAATGCAAGCCTGTGAAGCTTTAAAAGCGTCACAGAATCTTGTAGCATGATAGCCACATGATGGGGGCTCAAAAATTTGAGACAACTCTCTGGGCTTCTTAGTGTGCCAAAAAATGGCACACTATCTTTTTTGAAGCCCAGAGACTCCAGCCAGTATGACTGGAGTCGAGTCTGTGTATTTGACCAGTTCCTAAGGAACCCCAGGAACATCTAAAGGTTTCTATAGAGTATAGAGACTGGCTCTTTATGATTGCCTTTATAAAGGGAGCAAATCAAGTTGACATGAGAGCCAGCCAACAACAAGCATAGAGAATAGTTTAGTGCCCTGGTATACCATGGGGAAGTCATCTGGTGTGAGGAAGGGAAGGAAAGGGAAGGGAAAGAGAGAGAGAGAGAATCAGAAACAGGCTGAGCTCAAGAGATATTTATACTGGTGTCCTCGCGCTAACTAAGGCACTAGAGCTAAGCGAGAATTCGCATGAGATACTATATTGAATCTAGCCACCCTCCATAAACACGTTAGGGAATAGTGAATATAGCCTTGTATAGAGGGGCGGCCAGTGTTAGTTGCTACACATGTAGCAGTGTGTGACAGTATTAAGTACACTATCACCCTTCTTTGTACTTAGAACTTAGAAACATGGCCTTGTTAATGCATAGTGAAGGAAGCCAGATCACTATTCACATGTAAAAGCTGTATCTAGTAATATAAAAGATATTTGATTCCTAAGAGCTATGTATCAGACAGAGTAGGTCCAGGTCAAGAGGAATTTTGGGAACTCCATGCTGAATGGTATTTCTGGACAGACCCGGCAAAGACACAAGGATATTCATACATGGATGATCACCAAGTGAGTATAGATTATGATCGAAGCCCGTTAGCAGCATCTAACTATCACGAATCCAAGAAGCGTGGGCTATCTCGAAGGGCTTGGCACGAGGACTCCTGATCAACCGACATATCATCTAGAGATACTAGAACTGGGGGTAATTCTAGAATGAATTTCCGCTCTTCGATATGTAGGCAGCCAGGAGAGCCAGACTCCTTCAGTTTTCATATGAATCTCAGCTTGGTATCAAGAGGGGAAACATGAGATGCTGAATATACAGTCATGTAATCCGGGATATAGGGCAGTGAGATATGATCACACTCCAAAATCATACATCCTCGTTTTAGTATCACAGTATCAGTTTATTCAACAACTACAGATATCCGTCCTCAAAAAAACAATTGATGCTCCCTTACAGCGCAAATGTGAAGGTTGAAATCTAGTTCCTAGAAGCTTGGACCACATATACAGTCACGTGAATGTATTATATAAGCCCGGTGACGTTTTTGGCTTCAGGCGCCCGAGATGTGCTTGCGCGAGGTCGACGAGCAGGATATACAGCCACCAACATCGACGTTGAGTAGCTATTCCGGACGGCACAACATCTAGAAGTGATTTGAAAGCCGGCAGATATTCAAATCAAGGTTTGGAAGTTTGACTCTCCACGGTTCACGACAATAATACCCCATCATGGACGAATCAGACAATCGTCTATTCCGGTTTACGAAGTGGTTTAATAGCGCCAACGCCCGAACGTCTGGCATATATTCCTCTGGTGCTCTGGTATGAAGCTGTTTTGCCCTCTATACACCCTCACTTCCGTGCTGCATCTTCCCTTTTGTGCAGAGGCAGTCTATTTCGGCACTCCTACCCTAAAAAGCTTTCGGGCACGGCACCAGGCTAACCATGCGTATCTCTCGACCTAGTTCGCCATCGGCCTATTCTTTCTCATCGATGCAGCTTCGTTCTCCCATAGCTCCAAAAATGGCTCAACAGTCCACATCAAGTTCGTCGACTGGATCCCCGGCATCTGCTCTGCGCTAGGGATGCTGGTCATCAACTCCATCGAGAAGTCGCGGCTGAGCGCGGATAGCTTTAGCTATTCTGGAGATAGCGTGGCGTGGAAAGCGAGATTCGTTTTGTTCTTGGGCTTTGCGCTGTTGGCCGGTGGATTGGCTGGGAGTGTCGTATGTCGGCCCTTTTCGTTTATTATCTGGCGCGGTCAATTGGTTATTTCAGCCTAGACCGTATTGAAGATATGAAGGATGTGGTGATTTACAGAGTGATACGCTAACGCCTATTTTTCTACTTAGACGGTCATGGTTTTGAAGTATATTATCCACGGATACCCTCTTCAAACACTCTACTTTGGTATTGCGAATGTGATCGCGAATGCAATGGTGATGATGAGGTGAGTTTCCACTTAACGGTATTTGGTAAACTCTTATTTCGTACCGCTAATCGAATGATGATGTAGTTCCGCCGTCCTATGGATTTCGCAGAACATGGAAGATGACTATACCTATACACTTGCTCTATGATCGCATAATCCATCGTCTAAGCCCCTTCGCTCGGTTTTCTCTAAGCTCACGTTATCCATGTTTACCTCTGTTTCGTTTCTTGTCAGTCCTCTGTAGAATAGTTTCAGCAATAGTATAGTTATAACCTGTTGTTCACCCAAGTGCTCTTGAATATTTCTTCTCTACATACCCCGAGCAAAGTTCTTTGTTTCTATGCTCTACCCAGAATTTGAAGTTTTGCTATTATTATATATGACACGCATTGTGACGAACGGTACTTGCTACTTCGACTTATGGTATCTTTGATAATTAAAAATATTCAAACAGATTGAGTGTTGTCTCTCAGGCTTCTCACTATATGTATACTAGCTATAGATTTGGTTGGCAGCATCTCCCTGGGCGCGGGGATTCGAATTGGCGTTTAGCTATTCGTGGAATGCCTAAAGGCTCCGATTGTCTTTTAGTTAGTACCAAAGGAGCTCATCTCGCTCTTTGAGCTAGACTGACACGAGCCTCTGATTTGCGGGGAATAGTTGTCCATCAACATCGTCGATTAATGCTATTTCCGCATGCGACCCGGCCAAGGGAAGCCATCCTCGGTCCTCCTCTCCCCTAACTTCTAAAACAGAGTGCCACCTGTTCCAAAGTATACTTTTCACGCCTAACTCGTCGTCTGTTGACAGGTCACGGCAAAGTTGGTCCGAAATATCTGCGCCTTCATGCTTGCCTAAGATGGGCGATAATCACATCTATCTTATCCATATCACCGGCATCGATTTTCTCGTCAGCACCGACAACCTCGGCGGGTAGGTGCCCCACCAACTGGTCGAGAGCAGGTTGATAGTTCCGTACGCACGAAGATACGGCGTAGACAGCTTTCCGACGTACGGTAGCATCAGTATCTTCCTTGGCGACTCGAATTAATTCGGGAATAGCTTTGGCTTCCAATGCCTATAGAAGGGTCATTAGTTAATTAAAACGACAAGCGCGGGGTCCGGACAAAAACGTGAGGGCCGCATACCTTCTCCTGAGACTTTTCGTTATTCTGTACCGCTGTACCGACACACCAAGCAGCCATTTTTCGTATTTCCGCCTCTTCATGTTTTAGGGTTTCAACCAACGGAGCCCAGAGGCCCAACGGATCCATATTATTCGCGTTATCTAGGTTCTCAACCAACTGCTCAAAATTGTCGAATGCGATGAGTTTGTTCTCTAATGTCGCTTCCGAAGAGCGGACAACTTCCATTGCGGTTTTCATGAGCTCTGCGTCTGAAGGGGTATTTGCTAGCAGACGCTGCAATGCTTCTGCGTCAATAGAGCGGCTGGCGGCTGGGGTTTCGTTTCCGTTTGTCTGACCGCTGGGAATGGTATTCTCGATGCCCCATTTCAGGAGGCTGTTCATTGAGGGGTCCATGGCGGTGGTACCTTTGGCTTTGAGGTTTGAACTTGAGTCCGAGAAGATGTTCACGCGTTCAGATCAAGGGTTATGAAGTTGACAGTTTGCGAAATTGACGAGGGATGTTATCTTTTCAAGGCAAAAAATTGGTTTGATATGCGGGATGTGGGCAAGTTCTCGAAGCGCCCGCGATGTTCGATAAGCTTCGGGGCTCTACTTTATTACATAATCATATCTTCTATCTACCCGACGTTGACGCAGGGTTCCTACCAAAAGTCCTCAGGGACTCGAAGTGTTCACCGTTAAGCCTATTATCTAGGCTGTCCTTAGGCTTGCCCCTTACCTAACCCTTTGACTTGCGCTTAGAGTTAACCTTAGGCTTATCGTTCCCCCTGATAACAAGGATAGGCTTAAGTATTGTGATATGATGTCTGGGTATTCATAAATTAAAATATAGACTCCTTTAGAATTTTCGTAGAAACCTCTATAGCATGATAACCTGACATGAGAAATAATTCCCCGAAAACCTGGAGAAAAAGAGACAAAACCTCGAAAATTAACCTGGAGAAACAGAGACAAAAACCCGAAACATGAAAGTAGTTAACTGACGCCTCCTTTCTTCCAATTACTCTCCTTGCCTTCCAATCTTCTCTTCAGCTTTCTTCATTTTCCCACCTTGCCTCTGCCCCTGCCCTTGCCCTTGCCCTTGCCTCCGCGTTTTCCTCTCTTCCCCCCCCCCTTTTCTTACTGCCAGTGCCACGTTCCTGTGGCACTTGTTGCTCCGGCGACTCGGCATCCTCCATAGAAACGTCATCTGAAGGGGTAGTCGATTCAGGGAGGTCATCACTTTCCTCATCGCTTTCGTTATACTTCGCGTTGCACCAATCCCCCTCAATCATAGGGTTATCTGCTCTGCTATCCCCGGATGCTACCGTTGTGGCAAGATGTAAGAGACATGCTCTCAGGGTGATCCCATCTTTCCATTCAGTACTATGCTTTATAACCGGGGATCTCTTCAATACCCATTTAGTTCTTTTTTTGGGGTCCGGATGTTTCTCTTGTTTCAAAAAGATAGTCTCTTCGTAATTAGTAAAGAAACCGTACTTTACTTTTGCGTGGTACATATATTTTGCTATTTGTCCTATATTTAGATCTGGTTAGATAGAGCTTCTCGCATAAGTTTATGGTTTATTAACCCACCAAACATGTTGTGAACCTGTCGTCGACTTCCACTGAGCAATGTATCTTCAAAGTCATGCCTCCAGGGGGTTTTGGCTTCTCCGACAACTAACAGCTCCCCCGGTTCGGTCATCATAACAATATCTGGAACGGCTGTTCCCAGCGTTGAATCGATGCATGCCTTGGCATCTGCAAAGCAGATATCTTTACCCAAGCTAGCCAATACACAACTGACTACCGCACCAGCGTTTTGCCCAAATCGGGCCAAAACGGAGTGTTCGTCCCCGCACCGTAGTCGCTCCTGCGACATGTTATGTTTTGGGAGTTTTTTTGCCGAAAAGTCAAGAGTTTCCTGGGTCCATGGTAGGGACTCGAAGGTGTCCTTCACCTCCTTTTCAAAGCCGGTCCACTCCCCGAGTCTGGACACAAAGTACGTAGCATGTGTGGATTTATGTTTCGTACATCCGGGTCCGTAGACTAAATCCGGCATTCTGGCCTCAATAAGACCTTTACCAGTCACCCCGTAGGGCTGCGTGTCCATATCCAGTTGAATTTGGGCCATTGAAAACGTGTTGGGCGATGTGAGCTATCAGAGGGGCCAAGGGCAAAGAATGAGGGTGAACTAAGGACAAATTTCGAGGGAGAACTAAGGGCGAAGTTCAAGGGGAACACAAACGTTGAATCGGGTAAGAAAGGGTCAAAGAGGAAGATGAGCTGTGAATTTAGAGGGAAAGTGGGAGGGAAAGTGGGAGGGAAAGCAGGAGGGGAAGCGAGATGTTTATATGCTTTGGGTAAGCGGTGTGTTCTGTTACTTGGTTTCCTTTTCATGCAAGACAACAAACAAAAGAGCCACGTCCTTCGGAATAACACACCAGCAATTAGGCTGTAGCTATCCAAAGCGCCAGAAGGCATATGCTGTGATATCTTGTGTGTATCATCTCGGGTCCTTAATGCAAGTCTCACCAATTACTCCATAGTTTACCTTTGAGGTAAGGGGACAGTTTTAAATTGACCTGCAATGATATTCTAAAAGGAAGACAAAAAGGATAAAAATTTCTACCCAGGTATCGGATAGGCCCCATGTTTTATTAAGGGGCTAGACAAGAGATACTCTGCCCTTTATAGGAGTAGGCCTAGGCAGGTATAATACTGTTATAAGCTTTGATTTGAGGACGAAATCAAGGGTTGGTAACTATCAGATATAAGGAAGGGGATATTATCAACTCTCATGATAATGTTGCGGCCAGTATAGTGACTAGAGAGGTCTCTGGCCATTGTGGAGGTCGGCTTCTAGCACACTATCCCTAGCTGCTTTGCTTGATCACTGTAATAATAGGGGATCCTATTCTTGACATCAGATACTAGCAAAGCAATATATCGGATGAATACATTATTAGTGCATGCAAGAGCTGATGTCTTGGAACTAGGCATTATAATGGCCCGGTAGTGGGCTTTGAGCTCATTACACACACTAATATTTAGCATACTATCCTCCATCTTTGTTGGTTCCCTATGAAAGCAGAGATCCCATCATTTATTGGAAACTAGAAATTCAATATATCGGGTAGGAGCAGCGTCTGTACGGAGTATACACACCGACATCTCTGTTCATTCAGACTTGGGTATCCATTCAGATAGGATGCAGGGCTGGATGTGCAAGAAAAGTTTTTTGCTAGTCGGGAGTTGTTAGTTAATCACGTGACCATCAGGATCCCCTATGACTGCATAACTAGAGCCCAAGGTAAGAAGAGCTGGAATTCCTTCTAGATGACCATCGCCAACATAACTAAATATTATATTTTGCTTCTTGCTGTCACAAATCGATACTTATACTTACTTAAAAGGCGCGATGGGTCGCTACGAGTCAGGTATAAAGTGGTTCAGAAAACGAGACTACATAGGCACCGAAGTTGAATTCCAAGATCCGCCTTCTCGCTGGAGGATTGAAGAGAAGATCTGCGAGCATGAGTACTGCGAATATTCGCCTACAGCTCGAGCGGTTTTTGTCTGTAGTAACCTTGAAGGTAGCAAGTTCAGGGAAGCCATATTGAAGATCAGAAAACAGTTGGTCCTTCCCCTTTCCTTCTCCTCTTTCCTTCGCGACATCCCATTTAGAGTACACTATAGCTTACTTTCGAGATAGGATACCTGAAATCAATACATATCATGATCCGCCATCAGAGAGGGCAAAACAGGCGAAATCTGAAGATGAAGATGGCGCTGCAGTTAGAGAGGTCATGGCTCTTCGACATCTAACAGATAAGGAATGCTCATGTACTCCAGCCCTGATATCTTGGAAAGTCACTCAGCAGCAAGGGGATCGGGCATCTGTTCCCGGAGGGTTCATTTACCATATTTTGATGGAGAAGCTTCCGGGGGTCGATATCGAGGTCAACTTCTACCGCCTAGATCGGTCTCAGCGTGATGAAATTCGAGAGAAGTTTAAAGAATCGTGGTTGTATGTTCTCCCAACATTCTTAATTCCACTTAATATTAATCTAAAGCTTACGTGAATTCTAGAGAGGTTACTAAATGTGGCATCATCAATGAAGATAGTGCTATTCGGAATCTTCTCTGGGACAGAGACGGGAAGAAATGGTCAGTTCCCCTTTTCTTTTGTGCCTACAGGATACTGACCGCTTTATCCATAGTTACATTCTAGACTTTGAGGTGTGGAGAAAAGCGAGGATGGACACAAAGTCGAAAAGGAAACGACGCGATAGCTGGCATAACATGGAATATGTTCGGTGGAATCTTGCAATACGGCGGGGAGGTGATTTTGAGGATATGTCAACATGGGTGTTATGAGTTCTGCATACTACGCAACAGCACGGTGTACCTAGGAGCATATTTTTTTTTTCGGGCATCTTTTGAATACAGTTCATCTACCTTGACCCTTGGCCTCCCCATTTACTTGGTCTCGGCATGTCAGACAGCAAATTACGAGGAGTAAAATGCTGCATTCTTGTCTCCTGGCTCCCAGCTGTACCTTCACGTGACCTATATAGCTGAAAGACGAGGGTGAACGGGGAGATATCAGCTTTTGCCATCTAGGGGCCCTTCCGGTCAAGTAATTACGTAGTGCCCTACGCGTATAGGCAGGATGGTACCGGTGATGCTGGGCGCCAGGGAGATTGCAGACAAGCGCCGTCAAGGAAGGCCCTGAATGCAAGGAGAAAAGGGGCAGCATCCAGCAGACAGTACTCCGTAGGCAGTACTTCGTAGGCAGTAGGCAGTAGGCAGCAAGATTCTCCTTCCATACTGACACAGGCGATATACGCCATGTAAATTCATCTACCCTAGTTGACTGTTGGCTGGCTGTGTGAAGTGGCAGCGTAACGGAGGCAGCCATATTCTTCGGTATAGCATGACGACGACGGCGGCAGGCAGCAACTTGTGAAAGCACAGTTAAAAGAGTATGGAAGAGCCATCTATCACCGTCCATCACCGTCCACCACCGTCCATCGCCATCGAGAACTGCCTGCCATCGTCGAGAGAGATCGCAGTGAAGGAGGCTGCGTTTCCCCCAACGAGCCAACCAGGTGTGGTCTTGTTTCCCACACTAAGCCCGCTTCGCCCTCCACCACCGACCGACCTTCCATCCTGCAACCTCCAACCTCTCACCCTTCTTCCTCTCCCTCTTCCTCTTCTTCTTCTTCTTCTCACTCAACCGTCTACTCCCACCACCTGCATCGCGCGCAGGTCCTTCGTCTCTCACCTCTGCCCACCACCCTTTCGCTTCCCGTCTTCCTTGTATCGCTGTCACCATGGAGGGTACGTTGCGAACCCCCCAAAGCTCAGGCCCCCTACCGCAACATCGCCATCCCATCATCCCCGTCCTGCTACCGTGATGCTGGCTAACTCGTTGTCTGTTCTTTCGTACGTACAGAGGAAGTCGCTGCCCTCGTCATTGACAATGGGTAAGTCCTGTCTCTCGGCGATCCCGCCGTCTCCTGTTTCTTGCGATGCCTGTTTAGTTGGTGGTGTTGTCTTCGCTGTTGTCTTCGCCACGCACGCAACGCACACAACAAACAGCAAACCAGTACCCCACGTCGCATTTCAGTCAACATAACGAGGACTTACGAGGACTGGGGGATCATGGATTCGACTGTCTCGACATGTCTGGACGTGTGCTGACTTTTTGATTTTGTTTATAGCTCTGGAATGTGCAAAGCCGGTTTCGCCGGTGATGATGCCCCACGAGCCGTTTTCCGTAAGTTCTTATACTCCTCCACGCCAAAGCTCGCCCCGAGTCCATCATCAGTTTCGAGCTTGACGGGCTAACTCATCTTTTTAGCATCCATTGTCGGTCGTCCTCGCCATCATGGGTAGGTCCTATCATTGTCACGTACGCTTTCTAGGGGCGGGGCCTCCCAACTGACTCTGCAAACTAGTATCATGATCGGTATGGGTCAAAAGGACTCTTATGTTGGTGATGAAGCACAGTCGAAACGTGGTATCCTAACTCTGCGATACCCCATCGAGCACGGTGTCGTCACAAACTGGGATGACATGGAGAAGATATGGCATCACACCTTCTACAACGAACTGCGTGTCGCTCCCGAGGAGCACCCCGTTCTCTTGACTGAGGCCCCCATCAACCCCAAGTCCAACCGTGAAAAGATGACCCAGATCGTTTTCGAGACTTTCAACGCCCCAGCCTTCTACGTCTCCATTCAAGCTGTGCTCTCCCTCTACGCCTCTGGTCGCACCACTGGTATCGTCCTTGACTCCGGAGACGGTGTCACTCACGTTGTCCCAATTTATGAAGGTTTCGCTCTGCCACACGCCATCTCCCGAATTGACATGGCTGGCCGTGACTTGACCGACTACCTGATGAAGATCTTGGCCGAGCGTGGTTACAGCTTCTCCACCACCGCCGAACGTGAAATCGTCCGCGACATCAAGGAGAAACTCTGCTACGTTGCCTTGGACTTCCAGCAGGAGATCCAGACTGCTTCGCAGAGCTCCAGCCTCGAGAAGTCCTACGAGCTTCCTGATGGCCAGGTCATCACTATTGGAAACGAGCGATTCCGTGCTCCTGAGGCTCTCTTCCAGCCCAGCGTCCTCGGTCTTGAGCCAGGCGGTATCCACGTCACCACCTACAACGCCATCATGAAGTGTGACGTCGACGTGCGAAAGGATCTCTACGGCAACATTGTCATGGTAAGCTCTCAAAAATTCGTAATCTCTCTACCTCTCCTTCGACAATTGCTGACTGTGTCTCTTAGTCTGGTGGTACCACCATGTACCCCGGTATCTCTGACCGTATGCAGAAGGAGATCACTGCCCTCGCCCCCTCATCGATGAAGGTCAAGATCATCGCTCCCCCAGAGCGTAAATACTCTGTCTGGATTGGTGGTTCTATTCTCGCCTCCCTTTCCACCTTCCAGCAGATGTGGATCTCCAAGCAAGAATACGACGAGTCCGGCCCATCCATCGTCCACCGAAAGTGCTTCTAAGGTGGGTAGCACTCTACCTTCTTTACTCACTTGTTTGTTTCAACTCCTACCTTGTCTTGCCGGTGTGATAGCAACGATAGCTACTTGGAATTGAACCATGTTATGTTAATACGGACTACGTTGATTTTAGCCTGACGTCGGAATAATTGATAGATAGAGAGAGCGAACACAACACAAAAAGAAAAGAGAGAACCAAAAATTCATACTCGGTGCTGCCTTTGTTGTCACGCCCCTTAACTCCGTATCGTACTCGCAATCAACAAACCTTTTTATCTATCTTTTTTTCTTTTCCAAACTCCGTTCGTCGTCCATAGTATCAAATTCAATTAAATTTTTTTTTTTTGCTTTTCTTTTCTTTTTGCCCAACGTGCTGTATATCTGCCCCCCGCTTCCTGCCCCTCCCTTCGATCCCTCCGCGTCCCGTGACCTTCAACGAGCGCCAAAAAAAAAAAACTCCCTTCTCTTGCCTTCACTGTCTACGCCTAATTATCCATTGATCACTCTACTTGCGATACTATATGCCGCGATGACGGTAGCCAAAATACCCCAGAATGGATACTCTTAAAGTAATTGCTGAACCAGTATCCAGTATCCCCTCTTTGCTCCTTGTTTTCTGGGGTGAACACATCATCAGCTTAGTCATGGGTATGAATTAGGTAATCGTTCTTAGTCATGTTTGTCTTATATAAGCATTACTCTTGTTAGTCAGCACTTAGCTTATCTTATCTACAACCACAATTACGGAAGAAGAAGTAGGGTCATGTATGTGTTCGTCTCATAAATCAAACGAGGGTCTAGTTTATACATGTAATGGCAAGCAGGCTAAAGAAAGGTCCAACCCGAAGCGCCCAAGCGAATGGTTATAAAGGTGAATCCAGCACCTAATAACGAGGGTATATTGTAAGAGGATGCGCGCACACTTGTGCGGCAGACGAAGAAAGGTAGAGGACTGAAAAGTAGAAAGAAACGGAAAAGAAGCAGGGTAAAAAAAAGAAGAAAAGGAAGAGAAGAAGAAAAAGAAGAGTTGGAAGAAGAGTGAAAAAGTGAGAGATCATCATCATGGGTATATGTGTGTAGAAAGAATGGTGAGCGATGTTATCGCGTGTTAGGGACCTGCCTCCTCAGCTCAACTCAAGAGGAGCTTAGACCGGACTCGCAGTCTATACTTGGTTGGTTTTGATGTTATCATATTGCGATTGTGGGTAATTCAATTGGTTCTGGCTCTTGTCCATCTTCTCTTTGCCTCCAAGGTGATTGATGGCCTGTTTACCAATACGTTAGTATGGCCGTTCATAAATGTCTTGCCATAAAAAGGGGGAGGAAAGGGGATTACTTACGGTTTCGACGAGACTTCCTTGACCTACTGGCTTGTCGCTGCTGGTTTCCCACCACATAGTTCCGCCTAGTCCCATCTGCTTGATATAGTTGGCCTTCATTCCTGCGATTTTAGGAGTGTCAAAGCTGATGAAAAGCTTCTTGACGGGGTCGTAGCTGTAACTGGCAACTTCCTTTTCGCACTCGACCACCTGGGCGCCCTCCTGAGGTAGAGTCTTGTAGTCGTACACTCCCTTCTCCCAGGTTCCTTCACCGACGCCGTTGAATTGTGATCCTGGCTTTCCTTCGGTCTGGGCGAATGCACGGCCGTAAAGGGGCATGCCCATGACGATTTTCTCAGGTTTGATGCCGGCTTTTCCGTAGGCAATGAGGGCGTCCTGGGTGTTGAATTTGGTTGACTCAGGGTCTGAGGTGGAGCGGAAGATGTTGGCGCTGTGTCCTGATTTGCCGTCCCAGCTGCCAGAGTAGTCGTAGGCCATCAAGTTCCAGAAGTCGAGGTGTTGGTCCATTTCACCGAGTTTCATCTTGCCATAGTGCTGCTCGCCTATTAATTGGTTAGTAACTTCTCATACACTGAGATGAGGAACGTTAGAACATACCAGCGGGAGATGCTACGGTGAGGAGGTACTTGTAGCCATCTCCAATGGAATCGGAGTACTCCTTCAGTGCCTTTGATAATCGTTAGCTAGCCATTAAAAAAACCCCCCATTTCCAAGTGCCTCTATACTTACTTTCTTGATTTCAGCCAGTAGTAAGACCATGTCTCCAGCCTCCTGTTCATTCTGGGGGTACTATTCCTCTCAATTAGCTTCCACGGCCAGTCTGATTTGTACTAGCCTGATAACACTTACCTCCCAGTCAATGTCAATTCCATCAAACCCATAATCCTTCAGCATCTTAACGGACGACTTGGCAAACATCTGCCTTCCAGCATCAGTGCTGGCTGGGCCTCGGAAGTTATCCTTGTAGCTCCAGCCTCCGATGGAGAGAAGGGTCTTCAGGTGGCGGTTCTTTTTCTTCATCATGTACATTTGCTTGAGAGCGCCACGGAGGTTGTTGCCTTGTGCACTTGGCGAGTCACCGGCGAAGGATTTCTCCAGGTTCGAATAGGTGTCGACAAATTTGACTTCTCCAGAAGGGGCAATGTCGGCGAACGAGTAAAGTATGTGCGTGTACTGGCTTGCATCCAAATCCGTTGGGTCGAACTTGCGATCATAGGTGGCCTTGCATATCACTTAGTAGGAGTTTCTTTATACGGTTTCTATAGAGGCAGGCACTGAAACTGATATCCAATGTTCAGACATACCCAATTGACATAATATCCAACTGACTTATAGCCACCATTTGGAGGAGCGCTGTCAGTTCCTCCATTGGGAGTAGGTCTACCGAAAACGCCAACATTGGTGAGGCAAGCCAGGCCTAGAGCTAGAGCAGATGAGAAGCGCATGTTGAATAACAAAAAAAAGGAATGTAGAAAGGAAACCAAGACCTGCTTGTTAGACGAGAATGATCTGGAGAGGAGGTTGATTTGGTCGATCCAGAGGGCTGCCGGCACAATTATTTATATTCAGCAGGACGGCACAGCGGACATGGTATAGATCGACCGGGTAGAAGGTAATGAAACCCTCGGCTCACACCGAAGATGCCGCGTGCATTTTTGGTAGTATTTCCTCGTTAAGTTAAGCCGTTGTCTGCTTATATCCATGCGTATATGCACGCGGATGACAGTGGACCTTCCTCTGCGCCCTCCAACCTGGGGGGGTGTGGTTTGCGGGTGGCATTGATTAGTATACAGGGCACATTTTTGCGCCGCAGTTGTGGGTATAGTTAGATGACAAGGATTGACAAGTTTAATTCGCCGCGGACCCAGCATCTAGGTAATAAGTATATGAATGCTTACGAGCCAGGGGCCTAGCATGCCCCTCGGTTTCAAGCGAAGGGCACAGAGCAAATTTGACTCCAACGCCATATGTCGCGAGAGCGACGTTGGGCGTTATCCTATCACGAAATCGAGCGAAGACAGGTTGGCTAGTCTGATTCCTTCACTCCAATTGCTGCAAGGCGGATAAAAATGGGACGAGAGCCTCGAGCATATCCGCCCCGAAGAGTCGTACGTCACGTCCCCAGGATATCGATATCGGCTAACCATGATGTATACGTTCCTGGCCCTGAGGGTTTGGGCGCATAAGCTTCGACCTTCCAGAATCCTGGTGGAATTTGCCCTTGGCACCGAGTACTCTTCTCTCTCTCTGGCGGGGGGGCCACGACGCCGGCTGACGGTGTTGGGATAGTTAAACAATAGGGTTGATGAAGCCCTGTAGCGAGAGGAGTAAGCCCCAGGGCCGCCCCCGGACTGGAGGACGTCACTGGCCCGAACTACTCTGTCCGGGCAAGGCGCAATTAAAGGGCCAGGGGGCCAAGCACTATACATAGCGACCGAGGCCCTAGAAACCCTGCAGGCTGCACTGCACACCGACTTGGGCTTCGCCATCAGCGGCCCTTTTGGAGATGCAACATCGCTAAGCTGCTTTACTTAGTGACCTTCACGCTGCAGCGCTAGAGCTGTTCAGAGCCCGCCGCGGGCTTGGGATGTCGAAATGCCGCCATGGGGGAAGAGTCGACGTGCTGCTCGTCCTCGTTTATTTGCCTTTTTTTGGCTCGTCCCATTTTCCATTTCACCCACTAGATATGTATATTAAATTGAGGGACGGCTTCACGAATTGCACAGTATAGGACCGATATTCCGCGTTTCACCTTTCGCCCGAGGGAGAGATCCGTCCCGCCCTCGCTCTGGCCAGATGGGAGCTGTGTGGTAGGCAGTCAAGAACGTCGTTATACTCCGTCTTTGCATATCAACTCGTACTGCAGGTACCAAGCCATTTGAAAGCCGTTGCTGGTTGGCTCGTTCGTATCAGCAATATTCGTGATAGGCTGGATAACGTTGTATCGCAGATCAAAAGGAACAGCATCCTTGTTTCGCCGAGGATATTTGAGGGATTTCGATCAGCAGGATCAAGAAGTTGATACGTTTCGTTCCTCGGCCTTCCTCTCTTGATATGGCATTTAATTATATGCCAGGCCCGCTAACGCCAGGCATCCCGGGGTAATCTAGCAGAAATAGTATACCCCACGATGGTCTGTGAGATACCGGAAATCGAGATTAAAGCCCCCTGTGGCATTGGCTCGTGTTAGAGGATGTCGCAGAGACGATGCTTCATGAGCATTCTACTCATGTTGAGATAACTCCAACAAGATAACCAGTAATGGTCTTTCCATCACGAGTTACACGTTCAAGTGCCTGGATGTCGAGTTAGTGTTGATAGTAAGCACAGTGGTCTTATTTGGTATGACAAACAGTGCATATGCTTAGTCCGTAGAGAAGGCTGAGCTGAGAATCTCATTTCACTGGCTGTGATGAAGATCAGTCATCTGATCGATGATTATAAAGAGAATAAAGAGAGACATTTTGCATCATATTTATTCTTGCGAGGTTAAAGGGTTGTCACATCACAGTTGTCTCCTTGAAAATGTCTTATTAGGCCTCCAGATATAGTATCAAGAGAAGGAAGTGTGGGATGGTTCATCGAGGCAGGCGTCTGCCTACTCCCGTCCTGTGGTTAAACGTATGTATGAATTTCTTTTAGCCCTTTAATCGAGGAAGAATCCAATCGCCATGGCCCAGGTATAATGATCACCACAATAAACTAGTAACAGAAACGCTTTTACTCATCCCAGGTCTGCAAATTTTTGATCACACATCCCTCCTCTTTCTCATCTGCCTTTGCAGCCAAACTTCCAACGACGAAGACGGTCTCGTTCAGCTCTTCAAGATATTTCTTGATGCTCGCAGATTCAGCCTCGTCAACAACCACGAGCATTCCGATTCCATTGTTGAATGCCCTCGCCATCTCCGCGCCGGTCACATTTCCAGTCCTTTTCAACCATTTAAATACATCAGGAAGCGGCCAAGAAGAGGCATCGACATCGGCACGGAGGTGCTTGGGGAGAACTCGAGGTACGTTCTCAACCAGACCACCGCCCGTAATGTGTGCCATGCCCTTGATCGCGCCCTGTGGGAACTTGGCGAGGGCGGCAAGCAGGGATTTGACGTAAATGCGGGTTGGGGTGAGGAGAGCTGTGCCCAGGTTAGGATTCGATTTGTTCATCTTGAACGGTGCTGGGTCATGGTATGACAGTCCAGATCGTTCGACGATCTTTCTAATGAGCGAGAAGCCGTTTGAATGTGGTCCGCTACTAGCAATACCAAGCAACACATCGCCGGCTTTCATTCCATCTGTATCCGGGAGTATACATCTTGTGGACGTGTCAATAGCTCCAATGGCCGCTCCGGCGGCGTCATAGCTGTTGTCAATGAAGAGTCCAGGCATTTCGGCCGTTTCTCCACCAACCAAAGCACAGGCTGATTCCACGCAACCGTCGGCCACACCGGCAACAAAAGCAGCCGCGACTTCAACGTCGAGTTTACCACAGCTATAGCAATCAAGGAACATCAGGGGTTCTGCACCTTGAACGACCAGATCGTTGACGTTCATAGCAACAAGATCGATGCCCACGGTGTTATGAATTCCCATTTCATGCGCGATCTTGAGCTTGGTACCGACTCCATCGATAGCTCCAATCAGAGTTGGAGAGGAAGAGTGAAAGCCAGACTCGCATGTTGACAGCGAGAAAGCACCTCCAAATCCACCGATGATTGCATCGGATCCGGGGCGGCGGGTTCGTGCAACGTTGGCTTTGATTTGGTTCACAAGTTCGTTGCCAGCGTCTATAGAGACACCTGCCGATGCATATGTGAGAGATTCCTGAGTCGTAGATGGCTTCGAGGCATTGAACGCGCGGTGAGCAATATCCTTTCGGTAGTGCATACCATCAAAGTGAATTGTGGAAATGCCAGAATATGAGGCCTTCACGGCTTCTTCTAGAGTGCTTGCTGTGGCAGTGGAAGCGATCACACGACCACCAGACGTCTTGAGCTTACCATCGGCAAGCGCGGTCCCTGCGTGGAAGATCAAGATGTCATCGGGAGTCTTCTCAAGTGTAATTTCTCTACCTTTGGCGTAAGATCCTGGATAACCTTCGGCTACTACAATCACAGTGGCAGCAGATTTTGGCTCGACCTTGAGAGTTACTCCGTCAAGCCAATGCTCTGTGCAAGCAACCATGATTTCGGCTAGATCAGTATCGTCGCTGAGAAGCGGTAGTAATGTTTGGGTCTCTGGATCTCCACCCCTAACGTTGTATTCAAGTACTTTGGGTCCGTTTTTGGTCATCATTAGCCCCGTGAATAGTATTCCAACAAACGGGGTACCTAGAAGCCTTTAGCTATTGATATAGATTAGCGGAAGCGTAGGGGTGGCTGTACCTTCTTTCCTCATTCCATCGATGGTGGGCTGAACAATGGTTCTATCAATAGCGTCGATCACAGACTTGGAAGCGATTCGGGTTGGCGCATAGCAGCCCATCCCCCCGGTGTTTGGGCCCTGATCACCTTCGAAGATCCTCTTGTGGTCTTGTGCAGGAGGAAGAGACCTGATGGTGTAACCATCCGAGAAGGTCAGGATGCTTAATTCATCGCCCTCGAGGAATTCCTCGATCACGACCTCGTCACCCGCCTCCCCGAACTGGTGGTCCACCATGATTTCCTTTAGGGCCTTGTGTGCTTCTTCTCTACTCTGAGGGATGATCACCCCTTTACCAGCAGCGAGCCCGCTCGCTTTGATAACAACTCCGTGGTCTGCAGAGTCAAGATACTGGCAGGCGCTCTTATAATCAGTGAAATTTCCATACCGAGCTGTTGGAATGCTGTGGCGCTTCATGAAATCTTTGGAAAAAGCTTTAGAGCCCTCCATGCGGGCGGCAGCTTTAGTAGGTCCAAAACATCTGATGCCGACTGAAAAGTGAAAACATCAGCTCCTGCCATAGCCCAAGAACTGCCCGTAGATATGTCCTTACCTGCCTGGAAGTATCCTTGAATACCATCGACGAGAGGAGCCTCGGGCCCTGGGACAACAAGGTTGACTCCATTTTCCTTGGAGAAGGCTACCAGACCAGGATAATCATCTCCCTTGACTGAGATGTTTGATATTTTAGAGTGGTCACCCCCATCCGTGCCGCCGTTTCCAGGTGCACAGTAGACCTTCTCTACCAGGGGAGAGTGGCTCAGTTTCCATGCATACGCATGCTCGCGACCGCCACTCCCAACAACAAGGACACGGAGTCTTTCCTGGAGCATCTTAGGCTCTTTCGAATTCAGGGAAGCTATACGGCGTCAGTAAATAGAATCATAACTAAAATCGAACACAAACTGTGGCTAAATATTATGTAGGGCATATTGGTGGTATTCCGGGCATGGCCATGCCAGAATTAGTAAACTTCGAGGCATCACATCCATATCGAGCACTCGATTATACAATAAAGTGCGAGAATGTAAGTGCGAGAATGGATCAATACCCAAACTTGCATTACATCGTGCTTTTTGGCGCGTCCAATGGCTCCGACAATTATATCATTATATCGAGAACCGCGGGGCATGGAGGGGTATGATGCGGGATGAAGCACCGCAGAAAACGCAGGCAGAGCAGCAATTCGATAGATAATAAGACAGCCACTTACAATTCGTTCTAAATAAAAGGGTCTCCCTCGCAAGTTGACCTCTTGCTGGCGGCAGATGCTGGATGTGAATATGTGCGATGTCCCGCCCGTTTTCGACTTTTGGAGTTGCAAAGTTTTCGCGCCTTTTTCAGTTAAGGTTTGTAGCTACAGTTGATATATTCAACCGGGGCTTACTATAGAGTGAACAGCGATGTATATACAATGAGAAGTTCAGACACTATAACTTCGAATAGAGTATGTGATTCTATGGTGGGCTCGCAGATGTCCCTTTGGACCTCCTTTCTAAGGGGGCTGTTGCTCAATAGGTCTCATTCGACGTTGAATATTGATATTGGCTGGTCCCGTATATTCCAGCTGCCATCTCGCTTCTTCATACAACTTCTACCCGGGTAGCTGGAGGATACACGACGATAACCAAGCCAGCAGAAGACTCCCATCGCCGTCTCGTCTCAGGCTGATCAACTTCGCATGTTTTCTTTTTTGCGTTCGACTTTTTTTGGTGCAAGGGGACAAGTCAGTGCAAACAGTGCAAACAAAAGTTTTCCAGCTCGAAGTTTTCTCTTGGGAACTTTTGAAAGCCGCAACAATAACAGCTTCCAACATCTTTCACCGTTCGACGGGCCCAATTCTCTTCTATTTGTTTTAATAGGTTATAGTTGTGGGGTTTTCTTTCGTTGTCGTTAATGTTTCCTCTTTCACGGCGCCTTGTTTTTGGGTTATATCCTCTTGTTTTATCCTGCTCCGTCCTCTTTTCATATACTATCCGCGTCCCATATACGACACTCCCTTTCGCTTGAAATGCTTTCCAAGTCGATAACGAGGCCGATTTGCGCATACGTTTGCCAGTCATGCATGTCCAATGGCATTGCCCCGTCGTATATCGTGGCCCGCCGCCGCAACCATACCTTTTCCTCGGCGCAGTCCGACTCTGCTTCACCATCGCCCTCTCACCTCAGCAGTGTTAATACAAAGCCTACCAAGAATAAAAAGCATACAGCTCATCAGAAGGATGCGCAGCCTGCTGATGTCAAACATAAGGGGGAGACGGACACAGCCGCTACGACCAAGGTACATGACGACCTGTCGCACCCCGCAGATATCCCTCCCGGACTGAACCGATCTAATTGACCTCTCTTTTACAATTTTAGATAAGAAAAGTCAAAGGAACACAAGACAAGACGGTAAAGGTACGGAGAGGACGTGCTAATAGACGACTAGCCGCAAAACTTACTGCTTCTGTGGCCCCCAGCCAGAAATCGAAACCCGGGAAGGTAGCGACGGACTTGAAAAGCATTCCTACTCATAATACGGAAGAGACCATAAGGAACATAGCGTTCATCCAGAAGGAATCGAGCCTGGGTTTGAAAAAGGTATGTACTCTGCGGTCGTGCGTTTCGATAGGCTGTATCTGATTATATGTCTACCACTTTAGATTCGACCGAGCAAAGTCATAGCCGCCCTGAGCCTGGCGCCACAAGTGCTGAAAAAAACAGCGCGAAAGCCGACAGCGGAAGTACCGACAGCAGAGACACCAAAACCAAGTAAACTTAAGGCGGGGTCAGGCGGCTTCGCGCCTGTAAGGTTAGCAACTACAAAATTACAGGACGAGGCTACACTAAAGGACATTGAAATACTGCGTACGTTGACTACGCTGTCGAGCACACCCAGTCTATATCACGGATTTCTAACTCTACTATATCTTTTTAGCGTTAAACACTGAGTCCGACGAGGTTCCTGGTCTATCATACGGATTGGATAGGGTACTCTTCAAGTACGTTATGCCCTATTAAACCATAAAATACACCAGCTAACCAGAAGTAGCCCGGGTGTTTATCAATTGCAAGACAATAGGACGATGGTCTATAACTTTGATCCTTACTTAGCCGACATCATGCCTGTCTCGCAATTTGATTTTAAAGCGTTGAACGACTACATCACCTCCTCTAAAGACGAGGTTCTCAAGAACAAAGCGATAGAAGCTGGCAAAAAATATATCGGATCGTCATCTAGTATGACTGGTGTACTTTCACACTTCCACTTTCTCCTGTCAGAATGGCGAGAGATCGATACGTCGCATTTAACCCAAGGATTCCCGCCTACATTGAAATCATTCACCAAGCTATCGCGACTCCCAGCGGTCGTCTTTCTGAGATATAACGATGGCGTATATGCTATTGACGCTGATAAAGAATGGGATAACTCCAACATATTAATGGGGCTAGGAAAATCAATGGAGAAGTTACTAACCATGCCGACGGACCAATTTGAACGCTACCGAAGGAGCAACCCCGACAAGATATTGAAGGAAGATTCCCCTCCTGAAGTCTACCACTACTCGACATGTGGAGATTTCTTGATGAGATCTCAGCTTGATGCGTACGACCCTCGCCTTCCAGGAACAGGCATGTTTGATTTGAAAACCCGTGCAGTAGTGTCTATTCGTATGGACGCTAGAGAACCATGGGATGCCATGGGTTACCAGATAAAGTCGCGCCTTGGGGAGTTTGAATCGTTTGAGCGCGAGTATTATGATATGATGCGCTCAGCTTTCCTGAAATATCACCTTCAAGTTCGTGTTGGTCGAATGGACGGTATCTTTGTTGCATTCCATAACATCAAACGAATCTTCGGCTTCCAGTACATCAGCTTACCCGAGATGGATAAATGCATTCACGGTCAAGAGAATACCGCTCTCGGCGACGCTGAATTCAAACTCAGCATTAACCTTTGGAACAGGGTCCTTGACATGGCCACCGAGAAGTACCCAAAACAATCGTTAAGATTCCACTTCGAGACCCGTGAATCGCAGAATCCATTCATGTACATCTTCGCCGAGCCCGTAACTGATGAAGAGATAACGAAGATTCAAGAGCGGAACATTGACGAGATCCAAGCTTATGAAAAGAGGGTCTTCTACCCTGAGTTGCTCGAAACTACCGAACCGAAGGCCGCCAGTAGTGAAGAGGGCAACTCGGCCGTGCAAGCATCAGAGTCAACGGAACACAGCTCCGACTGTGCATCAGAGGATGAACTAGGTGATAAAGTGAACGCCGAAACTACCGAGCTGGCTCCCCGTCGGCTCTTACTGGCAATGGCCCTATCGATCCGGAATTTTGTCAATGGCAAAGAAGTCGAGCGACCCACCGAGTTCACCTCCCGGGATGAGTGGACTGTCAAATATCAGATTAGCAGTTTTACTGAGGAACGAGGATGGGCTCTATATGAAGCATGCAAGCAACGAAGGTCCCGGGCCCTTTCAAATACCGAGGATGACGATGCTCCCAACAGCCGTTTCCTTGAGCAATTGAAAGCGATCAGCAAAAACGGACAGAAGTGGAGAGACAGGATGGATAAAATCGAGAAAAAGAACGGTATCATCCGATACTAGGGTTATATTCTATCCTTAACCTTCGCCCACATCTGAATATCTATACCCTCCAAGTTCAACTCTGTATCAATATGTACCTTGCCATTTTTTCTTCTTCTATCTTCAGCGATGAGCAATAGCCGCCCTTCTGTAATTTACACCCGCTCCTATATCCGGCTAATCTTGTCTTTTTGTCCTTTGCCTCTTGTTCCTTGGGGGCTAGTGCCTCTTCATCCCTTTCTTCCCTAACCCTTGCACCCATGGCGTTTAGGGAGCTGTTTTAGATCATTTGAAGTGACACGAAAATATTTGTATTATATTAGACCGCAGCAATGAGCCCATTCAGGAATTCGATATCATATCTTTATGCATGTTTTTGTCCTTGAACCGAGCCTGTATCACACATTGATATCACAAACTAAGGAAATTTCAATGAAAAAAAAGATATATCCGAGATATTTTTCATTGCATCCATCCTCTCTGCCTTCTTCCTGTTGTCCCAAGAACAACGGTGCCTATAGCAGGCATTGGGCCGCTCTGAACTGGCCTACCAGATCCCAGAGCGATCTGAAATACATCTTCCTACCAGATTACCACAGAAACATGGGCTGGTGCAGCCTGTCTTGCAGCTGCCAGCACAACCTTGTTGGTTTTTATGGAAAAGCTCATTGGAACGTTTATTAGGGGATTTTTCCGCATCAAGGGCGTCTTCAGAAAGTGGCAGTGGCCCAGCGATGACAGTCGGCAAGATTGGTGCCAGGAAGGCGGCTACGGCGATGAACTGAAGCTTCATGGTGCTGAGCAGGAATCTATTGCAATAAGGGTATGTTAAATTCTTTGTCTGAGAGAGGGCACAGGACGATGGAAGGTGAACAGGACGGCCCCATACGTTATGATTCGGTTCAGAGAGTATCTACTACTTGGTCACCTATAGGAATTTCTTGCAGAATAGACAATGTTTTGTTTACTGCTTTATTCATTACGGATCAGCTTGATATATATACTCCATTAACTACTTGCCATTACTCATCGCGAACCCTCATGCGCGAAGCTGCGAAGATATCACTAACCCTCGACAGTTGAGACTTCTGTGCCGGCTGTTCTTTGTTGCCAGACTGCAGATATAGCTGTTGCTACGGTTAGTGAACCCAACCTCAAGTAACTACCAAAAAAACATGCTAGCTAGGCATCCAGTAGGAGTGGCAAGGAATGCTGGAACTGCAGGTTATTTCAATGCAGACTGACTGTGGTGCAAGTTACAATATCCAGTAACAAAAGCCATGACCACCAAGTTGGCCAGTCCATCCGTATAAGTGATATGACGTGTAATAACAAAAGGACGGGCATAAGTTCGAAGCTATGGCCTCGGCCCGGAAGACCCATAACAATATGCACAGTGTGTATCCGTTGACTATCCACCATGTATCAGGTTGCATGCCGTATGGAGGAAGGATAGTTTATACAGTTTCCCATATGCCCCTAGCTACGGTTCGTGGATGGTTGAAATGTTGATAGAACATTATTTTATTAAAGGTGCTATTCTATCAACTATTTCTCAACATCTCAACGTAAATCTCAATTTGCCACCCACTCATCTTCCTACATTTGCTCGGGATTGGGGAGCGTAGTCGAAGCACGCTCTATCTAGGGTGCCGTTTGTTCCTACTTCCTAGATTAGCTATCAGCTACAGAATAGTAATACTGGCCAAGGACAAGCCTAACTTACCTAGAAGAAAAGAACTAAACATTTTTCCAGCCAACGCAGCTTCCACGGACTCTGTGGCAGGAACAATCCTTTGGACAGTCACCATTTGCTCCGCATGGACCGTTGCACTCCGGGCGGGGGACGAGACGTCGAGCAGCAAGAAAACGGCCGTTTGGCGATTGCTCGATGTCGGCGGTGTCATATGCAGGCACTGGTTCTGCAATGGTGACCGGCAAGACTGCTGCCAGGAGTGCGGTTGAGAGGAAGTATAGGAACTTCATGGTGACAGAGGTTTGTATTGATATCTGAGTATAAGTGTTAGCTATATGCGTACAGTCCCACAGAGAATATGCATACACAAGGTAAATGGTCTGAGCTTGTTGTAGTAGTTTGGAAGCTGTTGAATGAATACCTTGAAGAAATATATGTAGAATGCTGGTGATGAGAGTGCTCTTTATATATCCTCTCCCAGCTTCGTATAAATCTGCTCCATAGCTAGATCAACAGCATCGCAACATGAAGCCAATGGATAGTGTAGTGTGCCAACAAGTGTATGTACATCTGATCAAACAATAGGTGATCATCTGTATCTGCCTCTAAGCTCCTGTCGCTGTCGGGCGACGAGTAAGGGTTTATTGAATTCTACTCAAGCGAAGACATCGTCGGGCGACAGTCGGGTGAAGCAATATGTTCGTGACCGCAGCCTCCATGAATGCACTGGGAATTATACGCCGGGACGACGAGCTTTGGTCAGGTATTCCGCAGCTATCTAGCCAAGTCAGGCGATGTATATGCCCGCCTGGCGTTGCTGAATATGTTGCATTCTGTGTCACAATTCGTACTCTCATCGCCAACAACTCAACGTTGCGTTAGGTGAGGTTTGCATTGCAGCAACGAGTGCACTGTATCAGATCCCCAGGACGCGTTCGCGTTAATTGATACCCGCGAGTCGATGTCCAATTCATGGCAATGCTAAGCTAGGATAGCTCATTAAACCGTGAAAAACGCCGATATATTTTGGTATCAAGGGTATCGTGGATGACTTCAGCGATCTCGCTTCTTCCCTGTGCACTCTGAGATTGCACCCCTCAACCATTAGTGTTAGTGCAATGCTAGGGACTCAATTTCGTTTCGTTTCTTTTTTTTTTTTTCCCCGATATCCCCTTGGAGAGAGATTTTCATTGTTAGGACGGTATCAAGCGAGGCGCTGACATACTTGATCATATCATCACATTTATAGATGACACAGTCTTCCTGAATTGGACAGACTCCAGCCCCTTATTGAGCAGTTTTTGAGGACGACCAAGAAGCATGCTCGGAGTATTCGTTCTGCTTTGGCCAAAAAATAACGCCAAAAGCTAATGTGAAGGCCCCAGATGCTAGTTGGAACCTGCTTCCCTGTCTATAAGTGCCTATGCTAAGTCCCAGACAAACCAGTATCTTTTCCTCCTCATTTCCACAAGCGGAGAAAAGCAGAGACAATAACTTCGTGTGGGAAACAGCCGCCTTGGTAATTAAACCGTGGCAAGGGATCGCTCGCGTCTCTTTCCGTCGCTACTCCGGGAAGCACTCCGTACTCTGTCGAGCGATATCTACTCCGTGAACTGGCGACAACAAGCTTTTCCCCTCCAAAGAGATTTGGTAATATCACTCAAGGATTACTGATATTTGCCAGGGGAACAGGGAGCAACCCCACAATCCATTTAACTCCACAAATCGCCCACTATAATATCGGCTATCCGCAGGCACGAGAAGGGTAATTAGCCGGAGATCCAAGCTGGTGCGATATACAGCCCCCAGCGGCAAACCTAAGGGTCCGGGGACGTGGCCGATTTCAGCCCTATACACCGAAGGAACCTACCCAAGGAGAACCTAAGGGCTTCACGGCGACAACAAAGGGCGGTTTCTGAAGGACGACGATGAATCTGCCTCCCTTTAACATTCCCATGTCGCCAGTTTTGATCGATAAAGAAAAAGAAATTCCTCGAGGGTACGGCCATTAAAATTGTTTAACACCTCAATCATACCTTTCTCCACCGGACGAGTTTTGACCGAGAACAAAACAAACGGCGCCATGCCGGTTCAGTCTGATGATGGCTTGTAGGCAGTTTTAGTTCCGAACCCGTGGACATCTTGTTTCAGGAAGCAAGGGGTTCCTTAATATATATATTAAAGGGGGAAGGACGAATTCCAATTTGCCACGACAACGGCCAAGAGAGAAAATGTTGCCTGGGTTAAGTCGCTAACATCGTATTGATCACTCCATAAAATGGGTAAACCTTATCCTCCATAGGTACGACGAGCCTGTCATCTGGGGATGCTATAGACACCCATAGGCACTGGGGGTGTCTCCTTATAAGTTGCAGGCGAGTCCTTCTGGGTGATTTTCCGCACAATTTCAATTGGCATGTTACCTATGCACATATTCGCCCTTTGTCGCAGTCGTACTCTTTTCTCGTCTAGCTGGTCAACCTGCAGTTTCCGCTTAAATATTCCCATGGCATGGTCGCTTGTTACGTATTTAAAGGACGACATCGTCTTTTTGCTAGCACTCGGTGGGGTTAACTCTATGGTAACAAAGGGTGCCATATAGTCGAAGTGGATGGGCTCAAGATAACTTACAATGATGAATTGCAGGATTTGAAGATGATACTCACCTACGTCACTTCGTCGGGTCAACTAAGGTCGGAAGGGCGCTTAACATTGCGTGGGGTAAGCGACTGCTTGCGATCAACGAACTTGTCATTTTATTTATAAGGCGGATCGGGTAAATACATATAATCAAGGACTCCCTGGATCGCAGACAAAAGCGCGGTGCGCCAGTATTTATTCGGGCTATTATGAACGATGGCCTAGACTTGGTGGCCTTTCAGTTCTTAAATGAAAAGGCTAAGATAGTGCCTGGAAAACAAGGGACATACTTCTCGAGCAAGGATAAGACCGATATGTACTTCTTAGCTATGCAGCGACATGACTCGTATTACGCCAATCGAGTCCATGAGTACAACCAGGCCATTGGGGTCTTTCTTGCGCGGGGGCCAGCCATTGAGAAGAAGACGGGGGTTGTGGCTTTACCATTTTACCATGTCACAATACTCTAAGATAATTACTCCGTACTTGAATTTAAATCAATTGTTTCTTTCCTTTCTCTCCTCCCAGTGCTCCCAGGTTACGGCTCACCTGACTAGGTAAAAGGTCAACCTCTAACTTACTACCAAACCATAACTCTTTATGTGACCCCCCCTGAAATTACTATGGAGTACTCTAGGGAAGACGACTGAACGACATCTGTAGCCATGGTACGATGGGCTAAGCATTTGGGGTCTTTGGAATGGAACCAACCATGTGTGTTCGGCGAAGTGGCCTGGAGTAGCTTTGACATAAAACGACGCAGTAGTTCACGGGGGAGGGGGAAGAAACGCCATCCTGGTATGATGACACGCTCCTACCAGTTCAAGCAGCGATCGAATTCCGATCCCGCCTAGCTGTAGATGCGCAGCACTCTCGCAGTTTCTCACGGTTGATATTGGCCTGGCAGCATGAGAAGACTGTTCCGTAGGAGCAATAGCGTCGAAGGGCTATATCACGGCACTGATATCGATACTTCCCCGATACCCAGAGCGCCCACGGACGAGGAGATCAAACTCAATTGCCCTTCCTAGCGGGAGATACTAGCTGGATCGGAGTGAGATCGCGGATTGTTGTCCCGTATGTCCCGTACTTGGGATCGCATGCATGAAATTGGGCCTTGGCCGCGAGTTCCGGATCTCGCATCTGAAGCTCCTCGCCGCTGGGATTGGCCGTGGTCTCTGTTCTCGGCTGGATCTCGCTGCTGCTTGTTGGTCTGAATGCCTGCTGCTTGCCTGCTGCTTGCTACCGGCACCAGCCATGTCAGGTGGAGAAGTCGCTAACTCTGTTGTCTTTTTTATTTTTTTACTCTGGAGCTGGCGTGGCTGAATCAGTGCGTGGATGGAGCTTTGAGACATGCCCCCGTAGGCTTCATGTTTTCCCTTTTCCTCGTCCCTTTTCATTCTACCTGCGTTTGTCGAGTTCTTCTCTCACTTGCTCTTGCGTCCTCGTATGCTTGTTCTTTTTCCTGTTCCGTCTGCAGGGGCCTCGTATATCTCCTATCAGAGCCATCTCTCCAGCAACAAAACATCCGAACGTACTCTCTGTACCCTGTCGAATTAGTAGCGGATGGCGTGGCTGTTTTCACCGCCATGCTTGTACGTTCTGTAGACCTGTTGATCTGTTGATCCTGCTTTCCCGTCTCCAGCTCGAAGCAAAAGGAGGCCGGTAGGGAAAGACGTTTGAACGGGTTGGAGGAGCTCGCTCGCTCTCAGACAGACGCCCCTTCGACGCGCTGCCATCGTCCTCTCGCTCGTATCTTCACTGTGATGGTGATGAGCTCCTAAATCTCCGCTGGCGAAGATCGATCCGAACCAGACTGCCTTTTCTTCTTTTTCTTCTTCTTTTTCCTTTTTCCTTTTTTTAGTTGCTTTTCTTCCTTTTTTAAACTCCGCCCTGACGACCGCGAAGCAAAAAAAAACCTGCATAAAAACATAACGCGAGCCATGGCTGAACGTTCGAAGAAGCAAAGAAGAAAAAGTTTTGGCGTCTTCGGGTCCACTGGGCTATTGTCTCTGGATTCCGCCTCACCCGTCGTCGTATCTCGATCTCGCGCCGGCGATCGATATTCGTGCGATGCGTTGACCCTGGCGAGATATTACAGCGGGCGTAACGGACAAGTCGATGCGTTTGGCTCTGCAGTGGTCGACGACGACGATATACAACAACCACCACCAGCATGGCACAGCAGTAAGGAGGAACTGAAGCCACGCACCAGGAAACAACGTTCGGGAAGCAAATCTTCTCTGCTGAGCATGGCGTTTGTCAGGTCTCGTCCGCCCAGCGTCGGCGAGGTGAAGACGCAGAAACGGGCGGTGGATGGCAAACAGCAGCAGCAGCACAAACAGTCTCCCAGGCCGTTATCATACTCACCACAGCTGCCCTTCCATGATGACGACCTCTACCTGCCGAACTTCTCTCTCTCGCACTCTGCCACCGAGCCGAACATTCGCTCCCGATCGAAATCCGTGAACCGTCCCTTGGCCAGAAGCTCGGTATTTGGGTCCCTGAGATCCTTCAAATCTATGGACGAAGACCAGCACTCGACGAGATCGCGCTCTAGGTCGACGTCGAGCAACGAAGATGACCTGCCTATCATGCGGGAGTCGGCCAATTCTCGCGTCCACAAGTTCCAGCAGCAGCAGCAGAGCCATCACCAACAGCCGCTGCATTGGAATTTTGGCACAAAGGTGTTGCATCACGGCGAAGTGCAGACGGCGGGGGCTATGTGGAGGAAGAGGAGCCATTATCTCGTCCTGACCGAGTCTCATATCGTTCGTTTCAAGAGCCAAAACAAAGCAGCAGAGGTTTTCCCATCCATACCTGCATCCTGGGGCCGAAATGCCGGCGCAGCGGCATCGAATCGACTCTCTATGGTATCTCTCGCATCTCTACACGAAAACCAGCTCGCAGGAGGAACGGGAGTCGGAGTGAGCGGCGAGGGAGGAATAGGAATCGCCCTGAATACCATAATCGCGGTCCATCGGTTAGACGACGGGAAACCCTACTTCTCAATTGAAGTGTGCTACGCAGACGAGAAGAACTACCGGGGCTCGGCTATACACATTCAACTCAGCGACCCGCAAGAAGCGCAACTATGGCTGATGGGCATTCGCGCGGCTGCGGAGGGTGCAATCTCCATTGAACCTCCCGTCTTTGACGCCGACACTGTTAATTATGTAACCAATATCTTGGAACAGGAGCGTGATTATGATCCAGATTGCTTTGGGCTATATAGAATCGTGCATCGCATGTCTACCAAGCAAGGTAATCGTTCATCTACTGATGATATCACTAAGCTTGCATCCAATGCCTGTTTCCTAGCCATTGGTGTCCATAAGATACATATTTTGCCCGCCCATACAAAGTCTTCCAATAGGGCTTCCATGGCATCCTTGGTAGAGCTGGACTTGGACGCCTGTCTGGGAATCATGGCCTTGTCGTCTATCTTGGTGCAACCTAGTGACGATACCTTTCAGTTGATCTTCCGGTAAATATATCCTCAAATTTCAACACCTAAATTTACAGCTATGCGCCAATAGCACATTCTTGCAGCTCAAGCTAATGCCGAACCCTCTTAGAATACCGTTCAAAAGCCCATCGATCGTTAACCTCTCCTCGAGCTCTTCCGGTGAAATCGCACTACTCCTTCGGCAACGCGCAGAATACCTACGTCCCGAATGGATTCACCAACCTTTCTCGTTCAACGTTCCTAAACATGTTCAGGCTCAGGTTATGCCTCCGGTGACGTTCGAAGAGGACCACGGCTGCTTTGACCGGACGCTTATCGCTTATTGCGCCGCTTACGATGTCGATACCTCGAAGATCCGTTATATGGTGGACTATCATTGCGACGACGCACCGGCCTTTCAACTCCTCCCACGCGAAGGCTGCCCAGATGGTGGAGGATATCTCCTCCTGGAGCTTCTAGCAGTCTTCCGCGCATTACGGTATAACGAATCATTTAACTCGATCTCGTTTGCGCGCATTAACTTGGACATCCTGCAGCAATTCCGCGACTCGTATGGACCAGATTTTGATGCAATGCGAACCAGGTCAAATGTAGCGGTCAATATTCCCGGGCAGGATGAGGTAGCCGCCTTAACCCAAGAGGTGCGGGCACTCGCTCTGAAAAGTAGGACACTCCGAAGGATGGAATTTTCATACTGTCTGACCCGCTCTGCAAAGGCGACTGGGAGCGAACGTGATCCTGGATGTGGCATTCCAGAAGCTGTTTTCCCGCTCTGTCGACGGAGCTTGACAGGGGTGGATTGGCTTGCACTCAACGGCATAGAGCTGGGTGATTCGGACCTGGATTACCTGGTCGATGCAGCCTCCCAGAAGACTTCGGGACTCCGCGCTCTCGAGGTGAGTAACTGCAGTATGCAGATCCACGATTTGGACCTGATTCTGTCGACCCTCCGAGTTCAGAGAGACACCCTTCAATGTTTGCGAATCTCCAATATTGTTGGCCGATTAAGCCCGGACCAGTTCCAGCAGCAAGCCGGATGCTTCCGCAACATTCGAAAGCTTGAGCTTTCTCAAGTTCTGCGGACTTCCAGGAACGAGCCTCTCATTTCAGCTGAAACACTGCTGAACTGGGAACTGGAAGAACTCTGTCTGAACAATACAACGGTTAATGAGCAGACGGTAGAATCCATCGCCATGTATCTTGCGAGCCCGCAATCGAAGAACCTCCGCGAGATGCGCCTCAACCAGTGCGGTATCACTGGCGGAGACGTTGCAACCCTGCTATATTTCATGGTTGATGAGGATCTGAAAGCTCGAGACATTCACTTGCACGTAAACGACAACCGGCTGGCTATCGACTGCGATGTTTTGTTCGCCTCTATCGCACAAAATCGAACGCCTACCCATCTCACGATGAGAAACATTGAGTTTCAACGCGACGAAGACTTCAGGAGCCTGGTAGAAGCGCTAATTCAGAACACCACCTTGCGATACCTTGACATCTCCAGGCTATCACTCCCGCACGACGCTAGTGCTGAGACATCGAAAGCATTGCAGAGAATGTTTGAACAAAACACCACCATCGAAGAATTGGATATCAGCAGTGAACAAGCCCATCTTGATGTGAGTAGGTTTGGAATTGGGTTGAATCTTGCCCTGACTGGGTTGAAAAGAAATACTACACTCAAAGTACTGAAGATTGAGCATCAGAAGCTGGGGGTTCAGGGCGCAAACACCCTTGCGTCCGTAATTGAGGAAAACAACTCATTAGTTGAAATATACTGTGAGAATAACGAAATCAATCTGCAGGCGTTCACCATCTTAGTCAATGCATTACAAAGAAATCAGACCGTGTTACACATCCCAGCGATGAGGAACGATTGCAAACGGTCCCTAGCCCGAGTTCAGCGGGAGATGGAAGCCGATGCAAAGGACACCGGAATTCGGTCCACTTTGTCTACCGCATCTTCAATTCGTCGCTCTGTTCGTGCTGCATTTACGGGCTCTTACAGCAGCAGTAATAAGTTGGTGAAATCGCATCCCCCCGTTGCACAAGTTGGTGCTTCACCAGGCGTTCGTCGCGCGTCCTCCGCGGTACTCGCAGCACCAAATGGCACACAGCCTAGTATGACGGTATCTGCGACCCTGCCGCAGTTCACCCGGCCGGAGATCAAATTCGCTATTGAAGCGCTTCAAACTAAGTGGAATAGCCAAGAAGCTCGTCTACAACGCTATCTTTACCGCAACTTCAGTGTCCTACATGGCTATGAGAGTGAGAAAGTCGGTGACGATACGATCAGTGAAGGGCGACCAGCTACAGCAGCTAGTTTGGCAACATTCCTCAACCAGCTCTCCCTCACACCGATTGAAGACATGAGCCAACGGGATGGTAGCTCTGTAATCGAAACACCGTCTAGTGATGCTTCGGGACTCAGCCGATCTACGAGTTTTAGAACCGCGAACAACTTTCCTGAAGAAGATGCAGCTTTAGACGAAACTGGCGCTGTCGATTTCAACCTCGACTGGTCATTCTCACAATCATGTTCGAAGCAGAGTGCCCTTATTGATCGTGTCCTCCCAGGCTCGTCGTTTATGTCACCCATAAATTCTCAAACGGACGAGCTCGCCTCACCTATCTCCTCCCAGCCTCGACCAGCGCTCGTTCGAGCAACCAGCAGTGTACGCAGTAGTAAGTCTACTAGCACTGTCAGCGTCAGCACAAATACCAGCACGACCATGGATAGACCTCCTATCAGCGGCCGAAAATTTGGTACGACGAGGACACCTTCGCTGCGTGGCTTGCTAACTGCTCGAGCTGCGGCAGCAGCAAGCAAAAGAAAAATGCAAAATGATGCCGACCTTCTTGGTTCTTCTAACGCGCCTCCGCAGCTCGATTGGAATCTTCCTGAGCTAAATCTTCTTTAATAAAACCCACCACTACTGCCTATCGACACTACATACTCCACTTCATCCTCATCGCCCTTCACATTCGCCTTGATTCTCTACAGCCGTGGCTTGGCTATCTATTTTACATTGTGCCTAAAGAGCCTTTTTACCCCCGAAACTTCATGACTTATCACCAAACCTATTTTCTTTCAACTCGATACCCATATTTTTTTTATTTTCTTCATGAACTCATGTGCTTTAAGAAAGCCTACAAAGCCTGTCCTGGATCGACGGAATGATATGAACATGACCTCCAGTACATACCCCTACCCATCCTTACCCTTACACACTTGCATATGCTACATACCACATTTCCCATTCACGTACAGTTTCATCGGGAATGAGCACCACTACACTACCTAATTCTTTTCTTCTTCCTCTTCTTTTTCCTCTCTGCTTTTCCATTATGTATCTTCGTACCGTTTTTTTTTTAAATGGCTTGTTTGGTGTTCTTGGTCGGCTTTTACTTTGCCTTGGGAGGATATTTTCGTTTTTTGCACTTGCTCTATAAGAGCTAATAATTATGTTCGAATACACATCGCTTAATGCGTCAAGAATATAATCTCTGTCCAACTTCTCACTATCAACGTATCCTTATCATAAAATCGTAATTGTAAATAAAGTCCCCGTATAGTAAGTGGTCAAGTGACGTCAAAATAAGACGGCCAAACGTAAATCCAACCACACGCCATTTCAATTTCACCAAAACTCCTTCTCCAAACACATCACTGAACCATTGCTTTATCAATTGCAATTAACCGATTAACTGGACAATTCCAAAAAGAGCAACTCACCAGACCAGTCAATGCCAACCTAAACACCCGGAACGTCACAAGAATGCCACCTCCATCCAACCAGCGAGCGGACATCGAGCCGCCTCCGCAAGTCTCGAAAGAAGCGACCATGGGCTTCATTACAGGCGCTATTCGTGTACGTTATCCTTTTCCTTCTATTCAACTGTCCCTACCGGGACCTTGTTTCTAGCCAGCTTCATCGTGACTCGTTCCCGAAGCTCCGGCAGACCGCACGCCTCGATATACATGCGTAGAACAAAAACTTTATATAAACCCTTGAAGGATCCAGTATAGTTAATGAAATATATAACAACACAGTTCGGCTCCCTCTCGATCCTAGCCCATTTGATCCTCTCCCTTCCGCATCCAATGCACTTCACATCGACCTCCACATCGTCGCCGCCGACATCAGCGAACGCGCCAAACGGCCGTCAACCACCACCATCATCGACACGACCGAAGGCGCCACGCATATATAGGCCTCTAATATCGTTTTCGAACTCGATAGCACCCATGTCGCAGGTTTACCGTGGTTTGACACCGCAGTTTAAACTGTTTATACAAATGAGCATTATGACGCTTGGTGGGTGTATATGGGCCGAGAAGAGAGTGGGTGAATATCTTGACCATGTAAGGAAGGTGAAAAGAGCCGAGAGAAGAGCTAGAGGGGAGTAGCTTTGGCCTCCTTTTGCTTTCTGCTTCTTTGGCAGGCTAAGTTGTGTCAGGCCAGGCACGGCATCATGGGTTATTGGTTGGATTGCATATTAGGCGTTTGGTTGGATTGTATCTCTACTCTAGTCTTCTCTTGTATATACATTTACGGAACTTACCATAAGTCTTGATGTGATATGTAACAATATTTTCACTGCTCTATTATTAATAATATTAAAGAGCCCTCCGACTCTGCCGGGGGGTAGTGAAAAAAATGAATAAAGAATACAGATGTGATGCCAACAGAACGCTGCAGTGCTATCAACTCAGGCCAAGCCAACTTGGATAACCAACTGTGAGCTGAAACCAAAAAAATGATGGGGGAAAGGGTAGACGTATCAACAGGTGCAATACATCCAATGCGTTGCGGCTGTCTGCCGGTATGTGAGGCGTCGAATGGGCCATAATAATAGGCGGGGTAGGGAGGGTGACTCTAACGTGTTCGAACAAATTGGAAATATTAACATTATCCTGGTCCTGTGATCGAGTCCTAGACGTGGTGTGGAAGGGTATTAAAACAGCGTATATGGTCCGTATATATCAAAACAAATGGGCGCAATATTTTCACAGAATAAGGGGGTTTCTCCCTTTTCAGAGAGTCAGGTGGCAGCCGGGTTGTGCAGCTATGACTGTCGATTACTCAATTCGTACAGAGAGTCTGGCGCAATCTCTTCGTCTTCCTTCTTAACATGCGACCGTTGGAAGAAGAGTGGGAGAATGCGCATCTTTCGGCGGGAGGGCGAGATGGATCGGCGAGGTGATGAGGTGCCTGATGCAAGAGGTGTATAGCGGACGTGCTTGGAGCCTATGGATAGCGCGCGGCGATATATTCGCCAAAGGGCTAGACCGATGATACCTGCGGCCAAGAAACCGGAGAAGGTAATAAGCATCCAGTGTCCGCCCATCTAGAATTTGTTAGAGACATTATCGTTTTTGTGCAAGCTAAGGACGCGGGACATACCCAGAAAATCAACTGTGCATCCTCGCCATGCCAGCTGCTGCCCGGGTGATGGGTGAAGAAACTCCAGGAGTGACGATTATATGCATCCTGGAGCAGGACACGCACGCGGTTTACACCATCGGGGTCGGTGTTCTTGTATTCCTTCCAAATGACGGAGAGGAAGAGCGGTCCAGTCGAGTACATGACCGTGATGTAAGGGAGGACCCAGGCGCGGTCATATGCCTGCAGCGATTTAATGACACGCAAGAAGAATGGGTGGTTGGGTACAGAGCCCATGGCGTCGTTGGAGATGCCTGTAGGGGCGGTACGGCGTACCCAGGCTGGATAAGAGAGCAGCGGGTCAAGGCGTCGATTACAACCCTGTATACAGCGTTAGTGCTTTCTGCTAAAGCTAGGTAGGTAGAGGAGGAGGGGTACGAACATCATCAAGGTCGATATATGTGCCACCATAATGGGCGAGGATGAAGTAACGAATCGCATCGGCTCGTTGGATGGGAAATGGGTAGCCGTCGAAAGTCGTGAGAAACCAAGGGTAGTGTTCGGAGATGAAGTCCCTGGACTTGTCGTCCGTCCATAGCTAGGGCGTGTGTCAGCTAGTATTCCCACCGAGAGAACAAGCCCACCAAAGTCGACAGACGGGTCAAGGAAATCTCACCATATACTCGTAGTCAGGGTGCATTTCTATGCAGCCATTTCGAGGGCCGACCCATATCTGAGGTATGCTTTCGTTCTTGTAGGTCTGGTGGATGATCTTTGGGATCAATTGCGGGCGGTAGCTGATGGTGCTGGAGTTGACGCCGGGTAGCTCGACGTTTTGGATAGCATCGTCGGTGGCATCCTCGACGAGGAGGGTGAGGAGGGTAAAGACGCTCCGGACGAGGAAGAGGATGATGAGTGTGTTTATGAGGAGGAAGATGAAGAGGCCGCGCCGCATAGTGATGGCGGTGGTGAGTTGGCCGCCGTTTGTGCGTGTTTTACTGGCTGGTACTCGTTATCGGCGGTGATCAGGGGACGAAGCGCTACCTCGATCAGTGAAGAGACCATTCAGGCTGAGATAACGGCGGTAGTTCAGCGATATCCAGGGCAATCGATGCTCGCATCCAGACGAGACGAGCAGAGAGAGCAGTAGCAGAATATGAAGTTGTTGAGAAACCCCCTTGAAATTTCGCAATCGTTCAATAAAAGGCCCGGGATGCAGATTAGTGCTATAATTATGATTTTAAGGAACGGAAAGGCGCAAGGATAGGGCCCCTGGCTCGTATCGTTAGCGGATCAGCCACATGGAATCGCCAACTCGACTAGCAGAAACGACGAACATACATGGCAAGCAGAGGAGATTGAGTGCTGGAGGGAGACGCAACGGGGACAAGGACGATGACCGAGCAGGGCTACGATACCTGTAACGAGCTATGCACGAAGAAGGGTGGCCGATATGCGAGATGACGATGGAGGAGGTCACAGCCACAGCACAGGGGGCAAAAGGCTGTGACGATGACGGATAAGCCAAGAGAAAACAACAAGAGTACGTGGAAGAAGCAAAGAGCGACTAGTTGACGTATATATGAGTATCCAAGACAATGGTGAAGTCGAAGTTGAGGTGAAGGTGAAGTTAAGAATCGAAGTTGAAGTTGAACTTTTTCTCAAAAGGGCCGAGGGACAAACTTTTCCTCGGTACGGCGAGTAAGAACAGTCAGCCAGCAGAAGAGGCTCGTATCGCCTATGTTACTGTTCAGAGTGAAGCTATCATTCCTCTCCTCGCAGCCTGAACATCTGCTTCCCTTCCCCTTCGTATATATAATGCGATATGCGATGTCTTCTAGTGGCGGAGTGAATGCGTGGCTTATGTCAGCCCTCAGCCTCATCCTCCTTTTTATATACACAAAACATCAGCCAGTAACAACTATCATGGAGGATGAACAGCGGACGGTCAGGCTATCTTTAAGCTTATGCTCTCTAGCCAGCGCCGCATCGCACCCACCGTGGCCTCGGGGTCTTCCTCCGGCACGAAATGGCCGATTCCCTCGCCTGTCTGCACCACGGTGAGAAGCTGCTCCCTTTCGACCCAGTCCTTCCATGCGGCCTGTACATCAAACCGCGCTCCCATTCCCTGTGAATGCAGTACGAGCACTGGCACTGCCATCTTCCTGCCCTCGTCCTGGTCGCGTTTCTGCTCCTGCACGTCCTGTCCGCTCCCAGCCTCGTAGTCTGCACACGAACTCTGCACGACGCTCTCCATCTGCCTGAACGGCCGCGAATATATCTCCATGGCGTCGTCAGCTTCGAACCGTGCGTTCCCCGCCTCGCTAGTCCCGCGCCAACGCTTCATCATCTGCCGCACGAAGGTGTCGGCTCCCATGGCGCGTATCATCGTGCTGGCGAGCTCGACGTTCGCTAGGAACGGCCAATGGAATGACCTGCTGGCCTCGGCTGGGTCAGCCAGGGCGGCCCACTGCACGGTCGTGGGCACGATATCAATCAATGCCGTGGCTAGAATGGTAAACGTAGATGCATATTTGGCTGCGTCGACCGTGAGGCGGTGGCAGATGCGTGCACCCCGATCATGGCCGACCAGGACGATGCGGCACGGTGGACCGTCGGACGTCTTGTTTGAGACCGTCAGAAGCGTCGAGAGGGCCTCCAGTATGGCCGTTCCGGTAGTAGATTTGTCGTTGGCCCGCGCTGGCGAGCTAGTGCCATACCCTGGGATATCGGGGATGAACAGCCGCGTGTCGCTTGGAAGCAACTTGACAACCTAGTATTACGATGCTTTAGTAAATGCTGGACGAGGACAGAAATCTGCGTAGACTTACATGGCGCCACCTACACCGTTGATATGTCGGTCCATTAGTATCCCATGCATGGCATTTACGTCATTTAATGCACGCCGTTTACTCACATAAAGTGTCTGTCACGAATCTAGAGTCAGCACTGCGAATGGGGCCAAGAGTAGGCAGGTGTCAGACTTACGTCTGCGGATATCCATGTATTAGCACCAGTACCGGCTTCTCTGCATCCGCACCTGCACCAGTAGCAATGCCTCTCGAGAGACCCCGGATCGTCGAGCCAGAGCCAGAATCATCGCAGACTTCGAAGGTGGCGAGGTTATGCTCTGCGAGGCACTGTGGAACGCCGAGTACAACCATGTTGGGAGCTCTTGGCTGTCCGATATCTATGCCGATGGGCGTATTGAATAGCTTGATAGATGGAGTTGGGTTGTATAGTTATATATACGCAATATGATTATAAATCTGGACGTGCGGGGATCATGACAGGAAGTTTAGGGAAACTATGATTCTATTAATAGTGGATGACATGTGGGCTATCCAGATCAACCTGTAATAGTTATATGGTGCTCATGGTTGTACGGTAAATTATATAGCTATATGTGTTGTAGATATAAACGACACAAGGTATAATAACTATGCGGGTGCCACGCCCGTCGTTGCAGCTGATGGTCAGGTGCTGGGCTGAATAATGTACGATGGCATCACGAAACCCCATACACTCAAGAAGCTGATAATGCATATATCTGCTAAACATTGGTAGCGACTTTTGAAATCGGCTGACTGCCGTAGGATGGTGGTAATTAGGTCTAGCCCAGCCATTCTGAAGAAATCAAACTAAAATCTCCGGATGAAGTGATTTAACGGTGATCGATCATAAATCAAGACACAGAGTCGCACTTTTCCGTCGTCGTTGTCGTCATCGTTGTCGAATTTTGCTCTCGAGAGCAGGAGAAATGTCAGAGTAATAAAAATCTTTAAGCTGCTTAGTATTGGTGGTTATGGCCATAGCCATAATGGCGACGGAGTAGGAGTTGATATTTAGAGACTCGCCTGGGCTGTCCTCGTCTTAAGTGGGTCATTGCTAATGCGAATGATGCGTGATTCCAACCTCGTGTCTATGAGATCATCTACTATCGGGGCAATGTGCCCGTGCGAGAAGCCGCGAGGTCAACTGTTGTAGGTTATAACTGATGGCGAGTGAGACGCATAAAACGGGCCGTTTGCGCGAGCCACTTCTTGATTATCATTAACTGTGTCATCCAATATGGTATTGATGGATAAGTGAGTGTGTTTCAGGTCGGATTTAGTTGACCTCCCCCAATCTAACACAACGACAAGAGGTGTCCCTTTACCGTTTGGGACTCAACCTCTACCATTGACCTTAGCCTCGCGAGCCCTGTTTTACTCGGCTTGAGACATAGTATCGGCATGAGAAGAACGCAGGTTCGATAAGGATAACGAGACACAAGAAGACCCAGACACTGATATGTTATATCACCAGTAACTTAGGTATCAGTGCGTACGTCACAAAGAGGATAAGTGGCTCAACAAGTGGCAGCATTCGAGATGTTGACAATGTTGTCAAAGTTGCTAAAATTTGATGCACAGAAGACCACTATAGATATCGCTGGTCGGGCTTAGAACCACGATCTAACATGATGTAATGACGTGTTCCCCATTACCTTCGCTCCCAACTCCTCCAGGGGTAGCCCAAGACAGCTCTATTTAAAATAGAGGCAAGCCTAATAGCAGTGAAGCTCTGCCGAGTTATGGAAGCAAGATATGTCACCGTTCCAGCACGGCATGGCGAAAGGGCTGGCCATTTAAGGGTCATGAACTGGTCATGAGGGCATAGCATTAAATAGATAGTCCCTGGATGGGATCAAGTTTAAGTAAGTATGAAGGTATATGGAGTTTGAGGAGAGTAAAGGAAAGGGAGGAAAAGAAGTGAACTGGGCATAGGTAGGGTATATATAGAAGGTTAGATGATAAGATATCACAGTCACCGTCCGTGCTATATCAATATGAAAGGCATAAAGATATAACAGATGACCAACGGCCCTTGGATAAGATCCACTGGAGCAAACAAAGACAGATGCTGCATCGTTTTCTTTGCTGGGAGTTGGAGATGGGATAATGTATCCTCCTTGTCTATTATTTAGGATGCGGTCAAGACAAAGTATCACGTGACATCACCAGATATCCCACGTGGCAGAAGCTTGGCATAACTTTATCCCCTCTATGATTTCGTCGAATGGTCGAACTAGGAAATACGGGGCGTTTTTGCATTGCTTTGCTTTCGATATGGATGGCTTGGCAGAGTTATAGAGCAAGACAGTCACAATCGAAGACGTCCTACCGTTGTCCCTAAATATTTTTTTAGTGACGTGTATCATTTGATATAGTGGTGGGGTTAAACGTATATCCCTAAATATTGTATCATCCACAACGCTGTCACCCGTATTTCAGTCCAAGTTTATCCATGACATGTTGATCATAGCCGCGTAGCCGTAGAGCTTGCAGTGAGGTTGTACACGTTTCGCACGAGACATTACGATAGGGTTGTGACACAGAACCGCGGGTCCTGAGCCTAGATCATTACCGGCATCAGCATATCACGACCCGGGGGTTTAACAAGAGATCCGTGCAGCTCTTCCGATGACGGTCGCTTGAATAAACCTACTAGCCGGTCTGAAGACATCGTCCAAGGCCAATGGGCGTCATCACATGGGAGGTCGTGTGCCTCAGCTGTGGTCTTCTGCGACCTCTGCATGAATATACACTCTCTGTATTTGAAATCCAAACATAACCCCAACTTCCTCATTGAAGCCACGTTAGCGAGGGCGGAGATCGTGGTCCGGGGTTGGTCTAGACGGCGCCTATCTCTATCTCTTCGGTACCAAACACTACATCCCGAATCGCCGAATCAACAGCCAGCACCGATGGTCATTTCCCCGACCGGTCCTTGGCAGCCTTCACATTACCAATGCGGTTTGAGGGCAGTTAAGAAACAACACGAGCTTTCTGCAGTCCGGAGATATATATGCCTCGGGCGGCAGGGCGGAGAAGAGAGAAACGGTTTGACTGTGGGGAAGATACGGCTTGAGAAGAGTCATTTCGTGTTGGCGGTTGTTGATTTGGCAGCAAGAGGGCGTGTTTCCGCTTTCATACCTCGTATACTCCCGTACACTATACCAAGCAGAGTCATTGATACCCTCTTTTGTCTCCAAAGTCAACAGTTTCAGAGCAAGCAAGATCAACTCAACCTTCAAACCTCTGGAAAGGAAAGAAAGTGTTGATTAGTAATGTTGATCAGATAAGCAGTGTATTACTCAGCAAAGCATGTCCTAAAAACAGCGTCAAGGCCGTCCCAAAGAAGGAAAGTCCAAGCCAGTGGTCCAAGCTTCCCACGCCCTTTTTCCTTTTTTTTTTATTTTTATTTTTTTATAGATCTTGCTGCGTCATAGTTACCGAAGTGTACGTACAGAGCGTCGGCCGACTACCCGGCTGGGCATGCAGCAGAGACATCAGATGGCCGTGGTAGAACGGGCCTCTCGATGTTTGAAGCTAGCAGCTCTCGGTGCCCGCCACTTGGAATGCGCAACTGCTGTGAAAATCGATGTTGGATCCTCATGCACGCCCTTCAATTGAGAGCTCTGTGTCGCGCCGGAGATGGCTAGAAAGCCTTGCCCGGCACTCTGTTTCATGCTGATATCGTACGGTGGCCCTGTGCCAGCTCGCGATTGGAGCGCGGGAAATCAGATCACTCCATTTCCACCGGATTTACAGCTCGAGAACATGATGTGACGACCCACCACGAGGCGAGATGCTACAAGATCCAACGAGAAAAAAATCTCTTCCATGCAACCTGACGGCAAAAAACTGCTTGTTTACAGCTCCACCTTGTGCCGGCCAGGCTGACGGCGAACGGTGCCGGTGGCTCGAAGGAAGAGAACGAAAGAAAGAAGAAGAAAAAAAAAACTCTGCTGGTGGAGATCGCAGAGGGAACGACTAGGTTTTTGATAGCACCGGCCAGAACCGCGCTGGGTTGGCGGACCTGGCCCGCTAAAGCAGCGCGACGAGTCGGTACTTCGTGCCTGCGCTGTCGATGGGCCGGAGACGGGGTCACTATCCCAAAGCCTGGCTTGCTGGATTAACGCTGGCAGGGGTGACTCAAGGGCGGTTTTCGGTCATCGCAGGGCGGGAAGTCAAGTCACCTTGGTGGCCCGCGGACTTTGAAATAATGGCAGGTATACGGTACCGTGCTGCTGGACCGCCACTCCCCTGTCGCCGAAGTATATATACAAACAGCTATCTCGTGAGCCCGGCCAGTGGAACGGGAATTATGGTTGCGTCAACTCGGCCTCTTCTCACCCTTTTTCAAAACTGAATAACTATATAACCCCCCGCGTCCCCCTGCCAGCTGCGCTAAAACTCATAACACATCGCCTTATTCATCGCCTTGTTCACCGTGCAGGAGGACCTCTCGCAGCTCACCCAGATACAACTTGCCTGTTGATAACCACCAGGACGACACTGCCTGCGCAACCTTTGTGGCCCCCCGCACTCTATCCTATCCTTCTTGTCTGCTTTCTCGGCGTTTTATTTACCCTCTGGCTGCATCGCAATACTAGTCTAGGATAGCTGAGCAAGAGAACATATCAGGATGTCGGCGTCTCTGGCGTCACGGAGCGCCGCCTTTGAGACGTGGGGGAAACGCTCAGCGCCACGGGTTGAAATCAATCTGAAAGACCAGCCGGCGTCTGGAATCTGCTCTTACACTACCCTTGATACTATCGAGGGCGAAGCAACCTTTGTTTCCGACGTTGATACCCGTTTCGAGCAGATCTCCATCACTTTTTTAGGTGTGTATATCAACAAAGTTTATATAATAAAAAGCAGCCAACTGATTACGCTCCGATATAGGCACATCGAGGACTCTTATTGAGAGACCTGGGGCCGCTGGCCCGGCTGTTGGTCGTTCTTCTGCATTCCACACATTCCTCAGGCTGGTTCAGCCTATCGATGAGTCGGACTATCCGCAGCCCCGCATCCTGGAGGCTGGTCGCAAATATACGTTCCCCTTCACATTTGTCGTGCCAGAGAGACTCCTTCCGCAGTCATGTACACATCGGACCAACCATCCGCAAGTGCAACATGCACACACCAACCTGCCTCCGTCTGCTGGAGACCCTATGTTAGCCGGGGACGGGAACACGCTACTCGATGACTTGATACCACAGATGGTTCAGATTCAGTATACCATCAGGGCTAAGTTGATGAAACATAACCCCAGCTCAGATACCCTTCGCACCGTCGTTGATCAAGGTAAAAAAGTCCGTATCATCCCGGCTACCGATGTCGAACCACCGCTCGACGTTTCTGAAGACAGTGTCGACTACTGCCTTCGAACCGAAAAATCCGTCAGGAGAGGTGCACTACGCGGGAAGTTGGGTCGCATCGCAATGGCTGCTGAGCAGCCAAAGCCATTCCATCTCCCCCCTATCCAGCGCCCAGGTAGCGAAGGAACCGCGACATCTGAGGAGCAAGAGACCCCGAGTACAATGGTGAAAGTCCACGTTCGCTTCGATCCTGCTGATGAAAATCAGAAACCACCTCGTCTCAACACCCTTTGGACAAAGCTCAAGGTATTCACGTACTTTGCTTCAGAGCCATGGAAGGACTTTGCAGCCCGCGAAAGCATGCCCAATTGGTCTCTCAACCATGGCGCATACCCCGAAACTGTCCCTCTTGCAACCCGCTGTATCGCTTCCGTGCCGTGGACAAAACACTCCGGAGATGCCAACTCTACCTTCTGCTCTCCCGCATCATCGACAACCAACCTCTCTATCAACACCCCCATGTCTTCTGCCCCCACTTCCCGTCGTGGCTCTGTTCAGTCCACTTCCTCCATCGATACCTCCCGCACCGGCCCTACAGCTGCCTACGCTGGTAGCACATATTACACCTGTACCATCCTAGCGCCCATCACCTTGCCGAAAACCAAGGCCTTTATACCAACCTTCCACTCCTGTTTGACCTCCCGTACATACGCGCTAGATATGAGCATCTCCGTCCTCACGCCCAACACGAGCTTGACGGTGCCACAGCTCTCTATCCGTGTACCAGTACAAGTCGCAGCCGCTGAAAGCTTGGCTCAGGCTGTATCCCTTCGCGGTGACAATGTGCAGAGTACAGATGCCTTCTTTACACCCAGAAACATCTCACCGCCCCCTGTCGAATATATGGGCCGTGCATCGCTCGGAGCAGGCAGTAGACAACGTTCTGGGACATTGGAGTCGATAGGAAGTACGATGACGGCCACAACAGTGCGGCCTCCACCAGAGTACTCTCATGCACCCTTTGGCCGACAGCTGTCGAACAGAACAGTCGTGAGGTCTGCGTGCTGAGCACGTCCTTACAAAAAAAAAACATACTCATTCCCATTTTCCTGCTTAATGATTGCATGTTTCAATATGTTTTTCTATATATATTTTTTATCGCCAAGGATGCTCAACCTTTTTGGCTCACGTTATTATACGATATACCCGTCTAACCTGTTTGGACATGTTTATTTCCCCTCTTGTATGAATTACGGTCTTACCCTACCTTGTTTTGCTTTTTTAATGCTCTACTATGCTATGATTTTTGGCGAATTAATTAATTAGTCTCTGAGTTGGTTGGAAGCTTCAACAGTGCTTATTTGGAATCCAAAAACTGGTGGCTGTCTTTTGCGTTCTGTTCAAATCATATGTTTGCATGTCTATTACGAATTAAATATTTAGCTTGATGCCTATTACTGTTAATATAACTAATATATAACCACCTTCGAATATCCTATACGTGTTTCAAAAATGTCACCACCGCGTTCCTCCCATCTCCTCGAAAGGTGGCTTCTGTGTGCAGGGCGCCTCGAACCCTTGTACGACATACATCCATCCCACAACCAACACATAATTCTTCTATAACATTAGCTTGTTCGAGAGGGACCAGCTCGTCCTTATCTGCTGATATGACCAAGGCTTTTCTTTTCTCCACGCCCTTCGCCTGTGAAGCTGATATAGAACGAATAGCAGCCTCTGAATCCCACCAGTTTCGAAGGAAAGGGCCCAGATATCGATATGGCAACCACCGCTGTGGGTAGAGAGTCAGTAGCATGGACTGTATGCTTACGAACGGCGTCTCTAGAATCAAGGACGGCGGCTGACACTCTGACCTTGGCCGCACAGAAGAGGACTGTCGCTGGTGGTCTGCGGCTGCTAGAAAGGTAGCTACCCCTGCGCCTATACTTTGGCCCCAGAGGACGATGTGAGTGTTTGGATCGGTATGTGTTTGCCGGGCCCAGTCCAAGGCAGCGATAGCATCACGTTCAATCCCACGCTGGGATGCTCGGCCGCGAGAAGTCCAGTATCCCCTATACGAGACCGCAACGATGGTATATGATCTATCTTCCAACGACTTCAACACGGCTGATAACTGGGGCAAACGGGGTGGAATCGAAGACCCATTTCTATACAATCTATTATTAACTCGTTCGTCAATTAAGCTAGAGATCAAGCTAACTAACCCCTGGAAATACAATATCACCACTTCCCCTTTCTTCCTTCTCGTCTCTTTATCATCCACCGTCCGTACTACATTACGTCCAACACATATCGCAATCTCCACCCCATCCAGGGACCGTATCCTCCCTTCCTTCCAAAGTATTGGTTGACAAGCTTGCTCGTAGTCAACTATCTTCTCTCGTCGCGAGAACGGTGGCATGGACGGCATGTAGATTATCTTGTTCTGAAAGATTATCATCATTGCGCATTTATATACCCAGAGTGTGACTGTTAGACCGACAAGGACAACAGGAGGGACGAGAATAGGTGGAAGAGCTGAGAGGAGCGAGAGGTTGCGGGCGTAGGGGGCGGTTCTGTATACATTCTTGGTCGTGGGTCTGTCGGACCGTAGGAATGGAGCTATACGGCTAGAACTATAGTGGTGTGGCTGACAGGTCTGTCTCGAATGAAGAAACCGTACAGCTCCATGGTGTTGTGGAAGTACAGCTGGCCGCCGTAGGACCATGCTGCCTGGATGCTTGTCTGTCTTTTCTCTATTCTTTTGCTTGAAGCTATCTTGACGTCCCAGTTTTTGTCACTGCTTATGTAAACATATGACCTCACATCCATATATCTCGGCCTGAGCAAGCACATTTTTTTTTCATCTCTACATAGATAGACACTCCAGCGGGTGGCCTCTAGTACTCCAAGTACGATATGATTAGAGTGCCTAAAGTATCGACCAATGATCTTATCTCCATCTATAACTGTTCTCTTCATGTCGGCATATTTTATAAACGGTAAACCGTTCAGGGCAACGACTCTCGCTTTGCCCCTGGAAGTTGAATATGAAACCTCCCACGTTTATTCTTTAACGTATCATTAATTAAAAAATCGTCAAGTTCTTCTCCTCAAGCTTCCACTACCTTCTCAGCTCATATCGGCACTAGCGACGTAAAAATACGATGCGGGTCGTCGCTGCGGATGCGCTTGCAATATCAGCCCAGATTAGCACCAGCTTCCTAGCTTCTTGTCGTATTTTCGGTAGAGTCCTACCGCCGCGTGTCCCACAGTGAGGGATCTTGAAAAACTACCCTCGTAAAAGAGAATATGTAGAACATTCAATGATTAGCTAAAGGGCAATCAAAGAAGTTCAACTTCTTGATTCATCTGAAACAGAGGCTTTACAGGGGGGTCGGCATGTATTCTGGAATAAGAATATATTCCACTTGGCAGAGGGGTTCTTGAAGCGATATTGTTCGAGGACGGGAACATCTACCTCGTGATTGTATCAACATGCTGGCATTGCTGGCCTTGGTCCTTAGCTAGCTTTCTCTTCGGACGCTATGGTCGTATTATCCAAAGGGCTAGACGGCTGGGCTGACGGGATTAACCACCAGCTGGAGCAAAAATGCAAGTCGATCTACCGCGTGGCGCCTCCCTTTGGCTACTTGCCACGCAGAAGGTTCGTGGCTTCCGTGTCCCTGTAAGCCACGATTAGTATCACTCCCTGAGAATTCCTTGGTATGCCGAGATGTATGATGGCGAAAGAGGTCAGATGGTAACAAGGGACAGGAGACAGGCGGCATTCTCGAAGGCAAGATCATTCTAGAACACCTTCTATACGACGAATCGAGTTTTTGATACGACATGCACGGAGTGTATAGATGTATATAGACACCTTTCCGCCCAGATGGCCAAACTAAACAGGTAGGTTAGAACTGGGCCATGCGGCGCAACTCACACCCAATTGGTTGTGTCTGGGTTCTGCTAGCTGGCGGTTGTCAATTTGTTTGCCCTTAAGCTTGATCGCGCCGTCAAGGACCATGCTTCGCTCGTCCAGTCGTGTTGCAGGGCGTAGCCTTATATTTCCGTAGAGAGGGCCGTTAAAGGGAATCTGTGACTGGCCGAGTTCTTGGCCGTAATTAGCTTACTATATTCCATGAGAAATATTTAGACCAAGCCTGAAAATTTTCGATGTATAGCATCTCTTCCATGCACCCGATCTCCAGATCTGCGATGCCAAAACCCAAGGGTTCCTTGCTGTAACAACGGCGTGTTAGGAAAGCATCAATCCATGATAACCGTCGTGCTTCAGAACTCGGACTAATCACACCATCTTTTCTTTGATCATGTTGTAGTTATGGTCATAGTTTGTATAGGTGGGAGTGATGACGGTCGATAACTTCCGATTTACAGGGCAGGGTTTGCGACTTTTGGTTCGGTTTAGACTTTTCTTCCGCAAATTCACCATCGTGCCCAGCCGAGTTTCCTCAATGCCGTGAGCAAGCCGGGATTATCCCTGGCCACCTGAAGCCTTCTAGAAAAATGGCCTTCGAGAATGTCACCACGCAGGCTCTCCCATAGGACTGAACAAGATGCAGCCTATGGATGCCTCAGAGTCTAGGTGGACAACTGGACCCCAGCGCAAAATTGGGTTCTAATAACGGAATCTTTTTGCTAGAGGAACTCAGGACCCTGTGGGCTCGTCTCCCAAGATGCCAAACATTGATACCCACATTTCGGGATCAGGAATCTTTCGCTTATGATCGTATCTTTAATAAGAATCATGATTTGGAGTCACTGCAAATTTCTTCTGCCTCTGGGCTGGTGTTGCCAAATCGTTGGCGCCGTTGGAGCTGGAGCAAAAGTTGACTGCATTATTCCACCGTAGGCATCTTTAGGTAGGATTGACGAATTGAAACCTTTCCTTTGCACACTCGACTTATCTTGGGGAAAGAGGCAAAGGAGGACGTCTTCCCAGCCAGGATCTCCTGAAAAAAAAAAGCTATCTGGGGACTCGATCTGACTTTGATATAGTTATAGCTAGGATCTCCAATATCATCCCGCTTTTAGGACCCTGCATGCTCTGGATGCCCCAGCTCCTGACCATTTAACCCATGGACCGTCCCTTGATGCGGCTGTATTTATATTCTCCATTGCCATCCACCATCTGAGCAATTTCTTGGGGTCGTCATCTGGCACAAAATACATTCTCCGTGTCTGGCAGTTCATCACCACACGCCGCCGGTATGAAAAAGTCCGAGAAGGAGCCAGAGCTCGCGATAGGCAATGGTGGTGGTAGTAGTGAAAAGGCCGGCTATGGAAAAACCGAAGATGATATCATATCAGACAGTTCGTTGGAGTCCTCGCCGCCGCTGGGATTTTGGACTCGCATGGGCTGCACCCCAGAGTCCTTCAAGCGACGCACGCTTGCCGATAAACACAACCAACTTAACCAGACATTGAAGTCTCGACATCTGCATATGATTGCCATTGGAGGCAGCATAGGTGCCGGTTTGTTCGTTGGTTCGGGTTCGGCGTTGAGAGCAGGTGGCCCAGGGGCTCTCCTAATCGACTTCGCCATTGCTGGAATGGTCAGTAACTAGTTACTCCCCAGCTTCAAAGGCCAAACTCGTCATGACAGGCACTAACCACCAACCTGTTCATATAGATGATGTTCAATGTGGTTTACGCCCTAGGCGAACTTGCTGTCTTATTCCCCATCTCCGGCGGGTTTTATACCTATTCGACTCGTTTTATCGACCCCTCCTGGGGCTTTGCGATGGGCTGGAACTATATATTCCAATGGGCGATCATCCTACCGCTTGAGCTCACAGTTGCCGCCTTGACGATAGGATACTGGCAAGTTAATGTCAGCGTAGCGGTATGGATCACTATGTTCATTATCGCAATCATCTTGATAAATATCTTTGGGGTCTTGGGTTATGGAGAGGAAGAGTTTTGGGCCAGCAGTCTGAAACTCGTGGCTATTGTAATATTCATGATCATGGCCCTGGTATGTGTCCTTGGTGGTGGCCCGTCGCATGGCAAATATACCGAGTATTGGGGTGCTAGGTTGTGGCACGATCCAGGATCGTTTGCCAATGGCTTCAAAGGTGAATTAAGGCTCCTTATGCTGTATCTCGAGGAGGAGGAGGTATCTCTATGCTAACACCTGCTAGGTGTTTGCGCCGTGTTCGTCACTGCAGCCTTTGCTTTCTCTGGCACCGAACTGGTTGGATTGGCGGCAGCAGAGTCGAAAACCCCCCTTAAGTCTCTCCCATCAGCAATAAAGCAGGTGTTTTGGCGTATCACTCTGTTTTATATCCTTGCTCTTGCCTTCATCGGCTTGCTGGTGCCTTACACCGATAAACGCCTTCTCGGCAGTGGCAGCCTTATTGACGTTACTGCCTCCCCCTTTGTCATTGTTGCCAAAGATGCCGGTCTGGTAGGCTTTGATAGCTTCCTGAACGTTGTGATCTTGGTCTCCGTGCTCTCTATCGGGAATTCAGGCGTATACGGTGGCTCTAGGACGTTGACTGCGCTGGCTGAGCAGGGCTACGCCCCTAGAATCTTCAACTATGTTGATCGAGCTGGCCGCCCTCTCGTTTCCACCGTAGCCATGATACTTGTGAGCTTCCTTGCATACATCAACATATCTGCAAGCGGTGAAGAGATATTCGCCTGGCTGCTTGCTCTCTCGGGACTTGCCTCCCTTTTCACCTGGGGAAGTGTATGTGTTGCCCTTTCTTGTAGCATTGCGCTCGTTCACTCATAAGTCTCCATCTTTGATTCTAATGTGACGTCTAGATCTGCCTGGCACATATTCGATTTCGCGCTGCATGGAAATACCATGGTCATTCTTTGGATGAAATACCCTTCAAGGCTGCATTCGGCGTCTGGGGATCGTGGTTCGGCCTTATCTTCGTTGGTCTTGTTTTCATCGCTCAGGTATGCACTTTGATCTTTCGACCCTTTTACATTAGCCGTGGACATGTAGCTGCAGTGGCTAACAGGATATGACACAGTTTTACACCGCCGTCTGGCCACTTGGTGGAGGTGTGAATGCCAATGGCACTAACGATGCCAAAGGATTCTTCAAAACTTATCTGGCTGTGCCTGTTGTTCTCCTGTTCTGGGCGTGCGCATATTTTTGGAAAGGAAATGGGTGGTTGAAACTTCGCGATATTGATGTCGACGCTGGACGCCGAGAGATTGACTGGGAGGAACATAATCGTGTTATGGAGGAAAGAAAAAGGGCGTCGGCTTTTATGAGAGTTGTGTATTTCCTCTTCTAGGCATAAATGTGATTTAAGGGGTTATTCTACCTGAACTAAAGAATGTACCTCCATGTCTGGCATACATATATATCTGGGTGGTGATCAGATGCTAACTAGGTGTATAGCTAAGATTAATGATTCGATATTAACTATGGTTTTATTTAACTGTCATTTTTCTCTCCTCCCCTTTAATTAATTAATCAACGCAAAGCTTGCACCGCCCTCCCTGAAAATAACATCAACGTATAGAATCGTATATGAAAATATGGTGTATTTGATGGCTGGTAACAACTTGACTGTAGCAAGAGTATTCACCTAGTTTTTCAAGCCAAAGAATGAAAGAGGCACGTATTTCAATTCGCCCTATAGGTTAATTAGCCTCAAAATGGATTATTATAGCCCTGCTCAACCAAGAGACGACCATGCTTAGTTCGATTAGCCTTGAGAAGGGTGAATAACTTACACCATTATATCGGGAATCGAGGAGTACTAAATGTAATGTCTTCGCAAGAGATTTATATCCTCCCAGTAACCATTCCAACTGTTCGGCAGAGGCTGCGTACAATGTTTCACCTGTTATGGTAGAGTATTCTAGTTCCTTATGGATCCTCTTCGAGATCTTGTCGTCCTGGACAGTATTCAATACCCATATGTGTAAGAACTCATACACCTTGTCCGGGCTAGCTGTGGGCTTAGGGTACTTGAGGTACATCAACTCTATGTAACTTGTTAGCCAGCCGTTAGAGAGAGTGTGTAACACGATTCAATGTCAATAACTGCCTATAACTAACCTAGGTCGGAATATTCGAAGGGAAAGATCGAGATCTCATCATCGCCCGAGTTTTCTATAGTAGAGACCGTAGGCTGAGCCTCGGATGTTTCTTCCGGATCAAAGTTTGTGAAGTACTGGTCACTGTATGCTTCGTCTGGGAGAGAGTCCGTAGAGTACGGGATATCAGGTATATCTCCAGGATCAGGGGCTGTGCAGCACCAGCACCCAGCTTTTACGCCTGGATCGGAGGCAATAGAAAACCAAGAAGAGACAAGGTCTTCGTAATCAGGAAGTGTAGTGCACCAAGGATCAGGCATAGCATCTGTATCAGAGGATGTAGACCGCCAAGGGCAACAGCCTTCTTCTGGGGAAGAGGCCATAGTTGAAGACATTTTTCGATATGAATAAACGTTTGAGCTCGTTTTACAAAGTAAGGTATACAGTCTATGCGGACAAGTGACAGATATTCTAGAGAAGAGATGACACGGGGAAGCGTGAGGAAAGCAGGCTCATAGACGGTTATATATGTGATATTTCTCATAGTCTATGATGCAATAACGTTTTGGGATAGGAAGAGGAGAAAAAAAAAATAGAAAGCACGTCCATGACGATATGCGACGACTGGATAGAACCATGAATGTGTAGTAAATCCTATCCATGGATCCATGGTCGAGCACTGACTGATCGAATACCATGGCAGGCAGATATAGATTAACTTTGACGTGACGAGTATGAACAAGCTACCCGGCTACTGAAAGCTGAGCATTAAAACACTTCTCACAAGGTAATAATACGATCCATGTTCCGTGGATCGATAGAGAGATCAAACTTTATGCCTCTCATGCCATACAAAGTGAGCGAGCTACGCTCTCCATGCCCACTTGCGCTTCTCCAGGGCGTCAAAACCTCGCACGCCGACTACACAAAATGATGAAGCCAAGAGGAGGGCCCCATCATACCAGATGAGGTTTCGGTAGTCGCGTAGCAAAGCGGACGTGTCCTGGCCTGGAGAGGGGACCCGGGAATCTCCCAGAATCAGGCCAGCAACGGGGGAGCCGAAAAGCGCTCCAAGTCCCCTGACGAAGTAGAGAAAGCCATTCACAGAGGCGTAGGCGTGTACGCCAAAGATTTCTGTGATAGTTGTTGGGAAGAGTGCATTGAATGCTAAGTTCCAAACCACGACGACACGTTTCTACGTTAGCACAAGGCATACTAAGAGTAGAACATAGTAATCAACGGGGGGATAATCTGCTCTTACCACCTATCATATCCGTTAGCAGCCATATGGGCCATAGGGAAACATCATCAAGGGATTACGGCACCACTCACCTGCCAGTATTCCATACACAATGACAAATGATAGCCACGGCGCTTTTCCCCCGCTGGCAGCAGCAGCGAGCCAGAGACTCCACACGCTTACAGCGCTTCCGACCACGCCTAGGACCAGAGTATTTTGTCTCCCTAACCTATCTGCGGTGAAACCCATCAGAACTCGTGATACAGCATTAATGCCATTATTGACAGCAAGTAATGTTGCACCGAAGGAAACGGAGTATCCAAACAGCTGAAAATTCCGGGAGAAACGTCATTGGCACAAAATTCCCGCTTGCCTGCAGTAAGGCTGCAAGCGACTGTAGGATAAATGCCGGTTTTTTTGCAAGTCTGACATTGACCAGCGTCGGCCTCTTGGTCATGCTGCGGCTTGGAGGCGCAGATAGAGCAACGGGCAGGGTTATGGCGAGGTTTGCAAGGGCCATCGCTCTTAGTGTCCAGCGAGCGCCAATGATGTCGAGAAGTGCCCGGACAAGTGGTGACAGTATTAAGCCGCCGATGCTCGCACCGCTCAAGATGAACCCCATGGCCGCTCCCCGGTGACGATCGAAATACTCTGGTGCAACGCTAAGGATTGGGAAATACACCATGGAACTGCCAATTCCGTATAATAGACCCTGGGTCAACAGGAGATGCCATAGCTGCATATTTAGAGTCAATCGTTGTTCTTACAGTAGGTTCATTTCGACGGGGGCACATAGCTGATATAGAAATAGTAAGGAGGTTCACTCACCCTCTGGGATGAGCCAGCAAGTGCAAAGGCAGCACTCATTAGACAACAACCCACGGTTGCAATTTTCCGGTTTGCGTTCCCCTTAACCCTGCCCATAAGAGGGTTGATCACAATAGAACCGCTCCAGGTCAGTCCGGCGCCTAGAGTACCGACCAGGGCCACGGCAGCTCTGTTCTTCGCTTCAGCCGGGGGCAGGATGCTATCGCTGCCTGCAACGTAGTAGTCCTGGAAGACGCCGTACGAGAAGTTTGGCCCAATAGTCATTGCAACAGCCAAGAAGCTGCATATCAACACTGCAACCTGACGCTTCCGAGTGGTAGGGGCAAACTCCTGTTGACTGGCAGCTCCCGGAGGCGCCAGGTTGTCAGTATCAGGCCCGTATCTCTGGTCTCTGGGCTCACGGCTGCGGAGTGGGATAGGAGTCCCAGAGGGCTGGTTAGACGCCATCACCGTTTACACATACACAACAGCAGGGAGAATAATGCATCTCCTGCTGTGCATGATACATATAGCTGTGTCTAGCGGCATTGCCGAGGGAGTCGGAGTGAGTCGGCTTGTCTGCAGGTTGACGTGGTTGCTCGTATTTTTCTTTTCATGTCAAACGGGCGATCAGTCCAGCCGGCCGTTGAGAATGCAGCAGCCTTAACCTTCGTCGATGTCGCCGTCACTTCGCTGTACCTCTGCGTGGGATTGTACAGACGCTGATGTAGTTATTACTTCTCCGGAACAAGGCAAGGGCCACTCGGTGAATTATATTTCCCGACTCGAAAGCCTAATTGCCGGTGGAGTTTTTATCTTTACTCCAACGGTGTTGAACATTATACGACTTCACTTCGCCGGTGGACGGCCCAGGAAGAAGAAATACTGCATATCGGCCATGTACAACGAACAAAGGACTCTTCAGCAGTCTCCTGCAGGAGGGAGAAGCATAAACAGTGATCGTCCCCTCTACTCCCATAGTTCGAGAGGTTTGAGCGTGCTAACCAGTCTGTGCAGATAAAGATAAATCGAAACTGGGTGTGAAGGACCTCGCCATAACGGAGCCCTCTCTCTTTGTTCCACCACATAAAAGATAGGGTGGATTTCGTCAATAACTCGGACTTCGCTTCTTGTGTGGATTCTGTGCTATGGCGCAGGCTTCCACTTCCATGTTTGGTTGAAAACAGGGCCGGGGAGTTTTGCCCCCTTCGGCTTCATCTCTTGTGCTCTCGTATCCGAATTCACAGGACGATGGATGGCCTTTCCTTGCAATATTCCTTTGTTTTTTTTTTTTTTTTTTTTCGATACAGGGCCGGGACGACCTTGTGTTTCCTTGCTATTTTCAGATGACTCAGGCGTACGGAGTACAAGAGTACAAACCGCGGCTCTGCATATGCAGGGAAGTTATCTCGGTGTCTTCTCGGCATGACAATATCTACCTGCTACACACGGATGAACGGCGTCTGATCCTGGCTGGCAACCGTTGCAGAGTTCGTACATTGGACATCATCCTTATCGGCCGGCCCCGTCTACGGTGTCCAAGCAAGGCGGAATCCATCCGCTGTGATGTGACAACCCTACAAGGCTGCTAAACGACTCAATCCTGGAACGATCTAGAACTAAACGTTACTACGGAGTACATGTTTTTGCCCATGGCCTCCGCTATGACCGTCCCCTACCCAGAGCTGAGATTTGAACCTCAGCTCTGTATTGCACCGTATGTCACCGGATATGCATCCTTCGCATCTGCTGACGGGGTATCACTAGTATGAACCAGTCTATCTGACTTGTCTCCTGGTCAGTCTACCAACGTGCGCGTAACGAACGTTCGATACGACGTGCCGGGGACGCCTTATGCACCCTTTTGAGAGGGTTGCATGCCACAACAGCGCTTCTTGCGCAAAGATCGATAGTTGATCTCCGACCCTGACCTCCCCGGAGGAACAACCCCCAGTAGCCTGTCGGATATCACCTCCGTCATCTAGCTCGGCGCTATAATACTGCACGCGGGTTACCGTGTGTGTTTCACTCTGTTCAGACAAGGGACAAGTAGTGACAATCGATACTCACATGCAACGATTGGATTTGCTTCGTCTCGACAAGCGAGCGTATCGTATAACGTCCTGTTAGACCAGAAGAAAGAAGGCTGATATCGCTTGACCACTGCCCAAACTAGAGGAGGCAAGATTCGGAGTACATATCTGTAAAAGGGCTGGCCATCGGCCGGCTTCTTTCGTCCGGGGTAGGCGTGCTATCATTGGCGCCCGATTGCCGGGTAGGGTGAGCCAGAGTGTGTTTACGTGGCCTATCAGTGTATTCGGTAGGATGTCAAATGAGGTTGATTGGCCGGTCGTGAATAATGACGAACCAGAAGATCCCCATGTCTCGGGGTTTGCAGCATGCATGAACATGCAATGTCAGCTTTACAGAAGGCTGGGTATCTGTACATGATAGCCCTTCATTGGAACCGGCTCAACGAATATTGCTTTTCCTGTCCTACCAGCACCGCTTATTTTCCTGTCCGAATCAAAATCTGGTTCATATACACGCGCCATGCAGCCATTTACTCCAGGCGCAGGGATAGCCGTACATGCCATTGGTTTTTCCTTCCCAGCACTCCGGCTCACCTACGAGGGCGGATGCAGGTAACAATGATCCCCGAGGATATTCCTTCCAATCCCACCACGTAGATCCCAGCAATATGGACATATTACCAGCCAATTTTTGATAAACGCCACCAGAACCAGTAGGCATTATAAAATAAGCCGGTGAGATTTCTGAGCGGCCAATCCAGTCACCGCGACGATCCTTTGGCGTCTAGGCTAAGCTTACCTTGATGCCAAACCACCCCGGCCCAGTCCTGCACCAAAGAGAGGAGAACGGGAGAGGGGGGGGGGAGGGGGGGGAGGAGGAGGAGGAGGAGGGGGAGGGAGGGAGGGCAACGTATCCTGATATCTCGGCGCTTTGCCTGGTCAATTTCTCGGGGGGGCGTAGATCCCCGGATACCGTCATCTGCTCTCAGGATATTTACCACCATCCCTAGTACCGTCTTAGCTCCGGGCTCCATAGGCATGCAGGGCTTTATAGCCTTGACCTCCCGCAACTCAAATTTCTCCATACGGAAGCAAGGATAATGGCTGTTCGGGCGTTAGTGGAGATGTTAATAGCCGTCCATGCGTAGCTTCCACTTTGTTTGTTGTAGACTAATGTATATCAACCCCGGGTCCGTTTGAGATGAATGGTTATTTATAAGCCATGGATCGGAGCGGCCAGCGTCAAAGAACACACAGGGGGCCGGGTGCACCAGCAGCGTATCGAGCTCTGGGATAGACGAAGGATCGTCTATTTTAGAAACATCCACAGATGTCTGGCCGCTGCAAAAAAATCACATGCGGCCATGGCCCGAGACGTCATAGTCCCTCCCTCCCTCTCGTGGTCGAAATTCAATGTAGACATCGCTCTTTATTGCAAAAAGAAAGTAAGGCAGAGAAGAAAGAGGAAAAAGAAAGCCCCCCCTCGGAGTGAAGCCATGGGTCTCATGCAGCATTTAGACGCGCCTCTTGCCTTCACGGCGGAGCGAGACCCGGCTTTTACCTGCCGTACCTCATGTTTCCAGGGACTTGCCGCCTCCATTGACTCCGCAGTTGGCTGCGCTGGCTTGGAGTGAACGGTCGTGGGATCGTGGTGGTTTATAAAGAGGACTCGACCCTGGCCTCGTTGTCAACGAAACCCAAGTCTCTTTCAAATGCCTGGCCTCCGCACCAGTTAGCAATACTGAAAAGATATCAAGATGGACTTCCACTCGCCTTTGCTTCTTCCCCTCCTTGCGGTCATCGCCATTACATCGCTTGCGTGCGTTGTCGTCGATGCGGCATATCAAGTGTGGTTCTCTCCGCTGTCGAGATTCCCAGGCCCCAAGATCGCCGCAATAACTTATTTGTATGAATTTTACTATGATGCGATTCTCAAGGGCCGATATATCTTCAAGGTCAAGGAGCTGCATAAAAAATATGGTATGCATATATCCATACATCCAAAAAATATATTAATGAGACAAAGGCGATGCTGAACATTCGCCCCGCTAGGTCCTATTATTCGCATCAGTCCTCAAGAGTTACATATTAATGATCCTCACTTCTACGGCGTTCTATACTCACATAGCAACCCCCGAGATAAGAATTATTATTATTTGAAGCCCTTCGACTTCCCCCTTTCTGCGTTTGGGACAGTCAGCCATCACGTCCATCGGCTGAGGCGTGGCGCTATGAATCCGTTCTTCTCGAGAGGCAAAGTCCTCCAGCAGGAGAGCCTGATCCAGGGCCTTGTTCAAAAGCTCTGCAGCCGGATCGTGCAGTTCGGCGCCATGGAAAGCATCGTCCCTCTGTCCCTGGGCTATACATGCCTTACCACAGACCTGATCACGACTTTCACCATGGATCGATGCTACGGCTACCTCGACGCTCCGGATTGGTATCCTAACTGGGGTCAAGTCCTTAGAGACGCTTCAGAGATGTCTATGGTGTCCAGACAGGTGACGTGGGTACTGTCACTGCTGAAACTACTTCCCAAATCTATCACCATGTCCCTAAATCCAGGTCTCAAATTGTTCTATACCTTGGCCGGACGATGCCGTGAACGCATAGATGAGGTCCAATACGAGCGTTTGAGAGCAAACAAATGTGCCGAGGAGATGGTCGGACGCAAGAAGACGCTGTTTGACCAAATATACGACTCCAGGCTCAGCAATGAAGAGAAGCGGCCCGACAGGCTGACCCAGGAGGTCCGCTCCATCATCGGTGCGGGAACGGAAACGACCTCAAACTGTCTCTCCGTGATATCGTATCACCTTCTCACAAATCCAGAGAAACTCCAGCGACTTAGGGATGAGCTCCAGAACCTCGAGTCGGATCCAACTGCAGAGGTGAAACTCTGCCTTCTCGAACAACTCCCGTACCTTGTGAGTTGGGTTGTCCCCCTTGATAGACCGATGTCAGGACCAAAGCTAATTAAAACCATCAGTCGTCGGTTATCCTTGAAGGTTTACGGTAAGAAAAACGTGGTCACCCGTCCGTCCAAGCTTCCAGAACAATGTGTTGCTAAAACACAGTTATCGGCAATAGGCTTTCATACGGCGTCAGCACGCGGTTGCAACGGAAATCCCCCGACCAGGCCATCGAGTATAAGGGACTTGCTATTCCACCAGGCGTGAGTATAAGTGACAACTCGATATATCCGGTCTAGATAGCTGACAATCTAATCGACACAAAATAGACACCTGTGGGAATGTCATCAGTCATAGTCCACCATGATGAGGACGTATTCCCTGATTCACATAATTTCGTTCCCGAACGGTGGCTGGATCTCGAAGAACGAAAGCATCTTGAAAAGTACATGGTCTCCTTTAGTTCCGGCTCCAGGAGATGTATCGGAATGAAGTGAGTCGATTCTCCCCCCCCTCAAGGGATCGGGACATAGCCATCCAGTCGGCATATGTATACTAGACAAAGAATGTCGATCAGAGCTAATCTCCTTGTCCTTGGTTAGTTTGGCAAAAGCAGAGATTTTTATCGCAGTCAGCACAATATTCCGGCGGTTTGACTTCGAACTATGCAACACCACGTTAGACGATATCCAGGTCCATCACGACCTCTTTATTCCACGACCAAAGAACCTAAGAACAATCGGCGTCCAGGCCACACTAAAGAATAGTAGGAGCCATAACGACTATTGAATTCATCAACATGACTCGAGAAATGGTAAACTCAGCCTTATCGTTTCACCTTTTTCCTTTGTTTGTTTCCTCGTGGCTTTTTATCGTTTTGTTTTCTTTTTTCTTGCATAAACGGGAATATGAGGGCGTGGGGGGGCGTGTAGGCGTCGGTCGGCATTGCATTGGATAGCATAGCCGATAGTTGGAAGTTTGGCATTTCTAGCTTCCCAGAGACGGGAAAGGAGGTAGGTCCTTCTCTCTTCGCGTGGCTCTTCGGAAAACTTCTTTGTTCTGAGAATAGTATATTTTAATATGAAAAAGGCAAATTTATGGCAGCGGAAGCAGACGTACACTTGTCAATGCCACTTTAACCTTCGAACTATTTCCCCTTGTTCCAAGCCTTATCAACTAACTACAAAGATCGTATCCAGATCCGTTTCTGATCAGCTATTGCTACTCCACGATTGAGGTGATATCTCGGTGTTGTTTCACTTTGCGCGCTGTTTTGGCGCCGCCTTCCAGTCCCCGTAGGATCGGGATTATTGTTCGAGATGAAAGGAAATAGCTTTTGCTAATTTGCCACTTGTATTCTATATCTTTAGGTTTTGCTATGTCAAAAGAGTGGTCCTGCTAAAGGTAGAGTCGGATATTATTCAATGAAAAACATCCGGCTTTAAAGATTAGTGCGTTCTAGCATTTTGCATGCCACTTTTATTCGAGAGGTAAGGTCATCGAGCTGGAGGCGTTGAGGTGTAACTTGTTAACAATATGTTTCAGGCCGACTGGAATGGGGATTTTGAGCTTACATATTCGTCAGAAAAGATATTGAAGTGATGACCAGGGATCTCGAGAACTGCCGTTATAAAGTCGTATCCATACTGATCCCAGCCTAGCTTTTGTATGTCGCGAGCCACGTCCACTCGACATATTGCAGTTGTATCTTCTGGCGTCGAAACCGGAACGCTCTCGTTGCAACGGAGAAGAACCGTCTGTGGCAACAGGGGGAGCTCTCCAATCGGCGTTGTATCGTACTCCTCCGTCTGATCATCTGGATGTTTTGCTTTCATCTTCTCTGACAGCTCCTTTTCAATGGCAACCCGACGAGTATACATTTCTTCGTCAGTGCAGCCTTTCCAGGCCGGTAAAGTCCAGTTATGCACCATAGCAAGTGCCTCGGCCATGCAGTTGCCAGAGAGCCGCTGTGTCTCTTCCTTTGTATATTTCCCGAACTGTAGCTTATGCGGAACAATCGTCCGAGACGGCGGTTTTGGGACAAACGGATAGACGCTATCGATCATCACGATGCCCATGACCTGCAGACTCGAAGACTTCCTAGAAAATATACTAGCAATTTCTAGCGAGAGCATGCCTCCTAGAGACCATCCTGCTCGGTCCCAAAGCCATGAATCAGTATTCGCGACGGCCGCTGTTCGCACATCATGGGCGAAATCTCACCTCCGAGCAAGATCGGCCCTGATGGGATATGGGCGCGTATCATTCGCGCATAGGTTACGCCCATTTCAGGCATGCCATCCTCCCATTTCTCGCCGGAGTAGAAGTTGGGGTTCTGAATAGCGTAGACCGCGCGGTCAAGGGAATATAGGTAGTAGTAGCTGACACTTGTCCCACCACCGTCGTGAATCAGGACCAGCGGAGCGGCCGCCTCGAAGCCCTCGGGTGCTGGCTGAACCAAAGTGAAGCATAGATCTAGATCCATCCTGGTATAAATAACCAGACAGACGGGGTTAAATGAATAATATCTGCCTGCACCGGTTAACTGAGTGGCGAAGTAAAAGGTCGGGGATGTTTTACGGAGTGTTTCTTCCGCTTATTTAGCATTCTAATATAGGCCCCACATCCTCACGAAGCTGCGGCTTCTTATATCTGGATCTTTGTATCTCTAGGATATGTTTTTGATGTCTGGTTTTTGTACTTCTAGCGATCCACGTCTACGTTTGATCTTCATTTTCGCTGGATCTCATGGAAAGTAAGACTTCGCTGTAGTGGTCGGTGTATGTAGACGGTGATTTCGCACCTCTTGAATTGTACGAACGAATCAGTATCTAAACTAGAAGTTTACTACTTTTACTTGGTAGGTGGAAGGAAACATAGGTAGACCATCAACTGTACACTAACATACACTTCGACATACAATTCACCTGCCAAACTCGCCCTTCTCATGTAATCTCTTCAGTCCCCCTGGCTTGATGTTGCTTTCAACGACCCAAGTAAATGCTGTGTTCCCATGGCCCCGTTTATTCAGATTATCTGATGCTCCTATCATTAGGATAAGTTTAACGTCTAAACATATTATTCCCAGATTGCCCTTGGAGTGACTTAAGGTTGCGTCTTGCCGACCTATTTGGCGTTGGTTGCGCGTTGGAGCCGTTGCTTATTCTAGGTGAAGCCCACATGGACATAGGCGCAGGCTGAGAGAATGTGGTGAACTCGGATTTTCCAAATTTATCCTCGGCGAGGGGAGAGCTCGCGGGGTTGTTTTTCTTCCTGGAAGCCGGGCCTGACCCTATCGACGTGCGAATGGGTTTATGTAGAGGCGTCTGTGACCTCTTTAAAATATGCGCCTTCTTTGGCGGTGCAACGCCTGATCTTTTGGGTTGGCTTGAGATTGAAGCTCGTAAGGGGGAGTCGTTGTCAGATTCGATTTTCTTACTAGGAATGTCTGATCCCTCCGATGTAACGGAAGAGTCGGAATCGGAGTTGTCTTCGAAGACAGTGACTTGTCCATTCTTCAAAGGAGGCCTTTCCAATGGCTTGACAACCTTTGCCACATTGTTGCTTTCCTCTTCTGAGTTGGACTCTTCGCTGGAACTAGACTCTGATTCCTGTGATATACTATCAACCTTAGCGATTTTGTCGTTATCCTCGCCTCCATCCCCTTCAGACGACGTACTGGATTCTTCTTCCTGCGTTCCCGCAGGTCTAACATCCGTGATTCCCTCAGATGCCGGTGCGGCTTGTAACTCTGATTTCTCGCCTGGCTTTTCGACAGACTCTGATTTATTCGATCGTGACGGGGTGGATGAGGACTGACGAGATGCGTCCCGGAGGCCGGCCGTTGCACGAGGGGTGGCCTGTTCATCTTCGCTTACACTCTCACCGTCACTCTCGCTATCACTGCCAGCGTTTTCAGGCTCAGGCTCAGGTTCAAGTTCAGGGGCCTCAGATCCAGATAACGACACTGAATAGACTGATGACGACTTAGCACGGGTTAATTTTTTAGAGGATCCCCGAGGCCTCCTAGCTGATGTTTCACTGGTGACATCTGAGAGTGAAGGAGATGCGCGTTCTCGCATTTCAACGTCGTCATCCTCGTCTGTAGCCTCTTCCTCTTCTACTTCCACTTCTTCACGTTCATCATCCTCTTCCTCCTCCTCTTCTTCTTCATTCTCGTCTTCGCTCTCTTTCTCGTCTTCTAGCTCTATCGTTGGCTCGTCATCCACCGCTTCGTGGTTGCTCTCAGAGGGCAAATATGGTGCTTTGGCTTCGATTTCCCCGTCAACTTCGTCACCGGATTCTTCATCTGCTGAAGATGATTCGGGTGGGCCATAAACCATATCTGAATCTTCATCTTCGTCACCATCTATGGGCGTTTCCCAATCAAGCGTAGGTTCTTCGAGGGTAGCAAGGCTATCCTTTGCCCGCCTCGCTCGTTTGCGTATCGCTGACCTTTCCTGGGAGGGTCCGCCTTTATTGTAAGAATCTTGGAGCAGGACGATTTCACTAAGGAGCTTTTCCATTTTCGGTATCTGATGTTGAGTTGCATCGGCGCGTTTTGCTGCATAAATGGTGTTTTCCAACTCAGGGATCATTCGATCAAAATCGCAACCAGGCTGTAAAGCGTCAAATTGATCGGCCCACGTCTCGCCCTGGTTCTCGTTGATACTCTTCCTTCCTGCCTCGCGTTCGGTTCCTCTAGGTGGTTTAGCTGCTTTCTTTGAATCAGACTTTCTGTTCGGTTTTATCTTCCTATCTAGCTTCGCAGAGGGCGGCGCAAAGGGTATGTCACGGAAGCCTTCGGTGCTTGCTCGACTCATGGGGCTATCCATCGATTGTCGATGGATAGCTGCTATACGCGGACGGTTAAGACGGCGTGGGGTCTTGGGGGTCAGAGAGGTATCGGTGTTGTCTTTTCGGATATCTAATTTGTCAACTGTGCGCTTCTTAGGGGGGCTGGCGGTGATGCCTAAGCCTATCTGATTTGATTTCGGCTTACTATTCGTTTCCCCTGCTGTAGATTGTGTACCTGTTAAATCAATAACTGCTGGCATTGCCGTTGAACTTGGCCTAACCATATCTATTATGCTCATTCGTGCGTTGCCCTTCACTGCTTTATTTTCACTCGCATTTTCTTTTTCAACATGTCGGTCAGCTTGAACTTGTTTCTCTATGTTAGTGTCGGTAGGCTGGACGTCAGCCATCTTGTCGTCCTCTGGCTCTGGAACTGACGTCTCGGCAACCTTTTGTCGTTTAGCACGTTTCGAACGAGTCTGCTTAGTTGTAGATGCTGCAGGTTGATCTGATGGTTCGTCACTATCGGTAGCTCGTGGCCTCTTCGCATAGTGTTCCCCGGAGCGAGTAAGATGTCCAGAGGGACGGCTTTCGACAGCCGACGTGGAAGTTTTGGTCTCAACCGGGTTCAGAATAGCAGCTTGCTCTGTCAAGCCGTAGAGGTCAGTAAAGCTGATTGCGCTGGTGTATGTCATAAATAGGTACTCACGAGAATTCAGGGAAGTGCGAATTTCGGCAGCAAGGGTGCCATCGAGAGCATTGTCATCTTTCTGAGATTGTTTCGATAGGTTGTACCTGGAGATTCGTGCTGAGCCCGGTAAGGCGTCCAAAGGCGAGGATCGTGGTTTCGAAACGGTGGTATCTGCAGTATCTTGGGTGGGTTCCCATTCCCCTAGAGCTGGAGATGGTTCTATCCGTCGATTTGTGTCTGTATTGGATGGTTCTTCTTCGATAGAGCATAGTGGGTGGATCGATTCGGCAACCTCAAATGGATCCCCGTTGACACCTGGAGCGTGAGATTTCGCAGGTGAAGCTTGATCGAGTCCGTTCGCTGCTGAGAATGGTGGAAATCGCCGTTTCGAGGCTCGCGCGGCCGTACGAGAGTAGTGGTCTGTAATAGTATCCCAGTCCTGGACAACGGAGCCGTAGCGAGTTGACCGTGTGCTTGTAGGGACCTGGAGGACTCGTAGGACGCCGCGTTGGTCCAGTCCGTCTGCGTATGCCTTGCCATTGTCGATAAACACGTCTGCCACGCTCAAATCCGCGTCCAATTCGTCGCTATCGTGGTTATCGTCTAGGAGCTTCTTGATCTTAAGTGGTCTGCCAAAAGATTCGCGTCAGCGAGCTAGTTTTGTCACGTCAGGGAAGCAGGAGAGAAATACTCAGCCTCTGGCCGTAGCTTCTTCCACTGCTCTGTGACCTTCCAGCCCAATTCTCCCAGGCTCATCATCTCCGGCCGGTGTATCACCATGAGGAAGCTGGTGCATTTGGGCAAGTCATCGCCCTTCTCCTCGCCTTCGAGCGTGCGGGGGGCGACCTTGACGGTCAGACGGAGCAGCACCATCCTATCAAGAAGGCGTCTGCACTCTGTAGTCCTATAAATCCTCGATCTCTGATAGCTTGTTGGGGGTAGTTTATCTCATGGCCCGAAATGTCGTGGTTGTCGACGTCGACCTCAAGATACCCCAAAAAGGGAAATTTATTCACCTTCACCTCGGTCACTACACACGAAGCAACACTCCAAGGCGCAAAGACAACACAAATCAACAGCAACAACGACTCCTCCTCCAGCTCACTTAATCACGGTGTTGCTCGCTGTGTTGCCGCTGTGATCTGTCTCAACGGGCCAAGAAAAAGTAAGGATGTATCCCGGTCCGCGGTCCAACGCTGAAACTGAAACTGCGGCCCCCATGGCCAGGCCAACTAAATAACCTGAACTAACGCTTCAACTAGGAACAAACCCTCGACCGTTCCTCTGTGTGTTTCCCTCGCTTTCTCTCGACTTCGCCCTCTCGCCCTCACCGTCTCGATATCCTCGCAGCTGCACGACGGGAGGACTGCATACCACCCGTTTCCTCCGCCCGTTTGCGCTCCCTGATGGCCCCCAGAGCGCCGCTGGATGCTGTCGTATATGTGTCGTCTACTCCCTGTGTCTCCGTCCGCGCCTCTCGAGCCCGTCCGCCGTCAGAGTCACCACTGGCCGTGAAGACCGTCTGATGCTGGCATCCTGACCCTTCGATTCCAATCTTTGTTGGAGCACTCCATAAAGGCCTTATCGTCGCCGGGATAGAAGGGCCTCTCCGCAATGATTTGGCGGCTACGAGGATCTCGCGCATCGATCCCCGCGAGCCTCACCATTCTCCTCCCGCTCCTAGCAGCTCAGCAGCAGTTGCTTCTCTCCCAGGCTGGCAATGTGCCTGTCGCAGCCTCCTCTCCGCGCGGCGCTGCCGATGCCCGCCTCCCATTACCAAACCACATAGCCGATCCCGTCCATCCGTCCGTGAGGTCTGATGAGAGCGCCCTCGAAACACTGGCTCTGGCGGCCTCTGGCTCCGCCGTTCGAGCACCTCCTGTCCAGATAAGCAGTCGGAACGATCCGACTCCGCAGCTTCAAGCGCGATCTCTACAGGACTGGGAAGTGGAGGACTTTGTCCTCTTGGCGACCGTCGATGGAACGATACACGCAAGAGACCGGAAAACTGGTGCTCCTCGATGGGCACTGGAAGTGCCCAGCAGCCCCATGGTCGAGACCGTCTACCATAGAGCAAACCGCTCAGACCCGTCCAAGGACGCCCAGATCGAGGACGACTTTCTCTGGATAGTCGAGCCTAGCCGTGATGGCAACTTGTACATCTACAATAAGGGCCAGAACGGTGGTCTGCAGCGGCTGGGACTGACTGTTAAGATGTTAGTCGACGAGACTCCATATTCCGGCATGGACCCCCCGGTTACATATACCGCTAGAAAAGAGACTACTCTATACACCGTTGACGCCAGGACAGGCTCAATTCTTCGCATGTTCAGTTCTCGCGGGCTTGTGGACCCAGAGCAAACCTGCCGACGACTCAATGACTTCGAACCCGCGGGGGATGAATGCAAGTCCGGCGGTAAGTTGACCCTCGGACGCATTGAGTACACCGTCTCCATCCAAAACACAAACACCGGTCAGCCCATCTGCACAATAAAATATGCCGAATGGACTCCAAACAATCGTGATGTAGACCTCCAAGGTCAGTATTTCAAAACCATGGATGAACGTCACATTTACAGCATGCACGATGGGGTCATATTCGGTTTCGACCACTCTAAAATAGACGGACGTCGTTATACTCAACGGTTTTCTTCGCCGGTTGCCCGTGTTTTCGATGTTGCCCGTCCCCTATATGCCGACGAGCCCGACACACCACTTGCAATACTCGCCCAGCCGCCGTCTACAAGTGATTACGGCTCCGCTGGCCTCGACAACAGAGAGTCCCGTGTGTTCATCAACTGTACAGATGCCGGTGGCTGGTATGCCATGTCGGAGCTAACTTACCCGCTTGTCACCGGTCGAGCGCGCATAGCAGATTGTTACGATAGAGAATTCATGTCACAGGAAAGGCCACTCATGTCCCTCGACCTTCCACAACAAAGAGCTGCCCTGGTCGGTGTTCATTCTCTTGCTGAGCCGTCCGCAAACTTCCATCACAACCTTCCCAGCATCTCTGGCCCACCTGCAGAGTCATCGAATGACACTCCGAAAGACGTTTCTAGAGACCCGGAGAAGTTACCCGCTCCAGCCGGCCCAGGTCGAAACAGCGTTATCATACGCAAGGGCTGGGACAATTTATTAGATATATTCGTTACCCTCGTTTTATTATTTATTGGTACATTCATTTACTACAACACACAGAACATTCAGGAGTTGATCAAGCATCGACTGGACCTGAAGAATATCATTTCTATCCCCGACAGCTCAGTCACAACTTCGAAATCAATTGAGCAGAGGAGCACTGGCGAACAAACAGACTATCCTGCACTTGTCATTCACCCGCCGCCCCCAGAACAAGAGCCAAAGGAGTCAAACGATACCGTCGTTGAATCCAAGGATGACGCAGCGACAGTAGATGCAACAGCGAGCTTACTCCCTTCCGACCAAAACAATGAATCGCCCTCCAAGGACACGGAAACCATAACTGGAGAGGAAGCCGCCGATGTTGAAGACCCCGCTGTGAAATCTCCGCGCAAGAAAGCCCGCCGCGGGAGAAGAGGTGGCCAGGCACATAAGCGTGGCAAGAAAAACACCCAAGAAAATACCGAGCTAGACAACACCCCTAGTCAATCAGGAGGATCCAATGGTGCTCGCGCTAGACTCACTTCGCAGTCCGATTTACAGCTCGCGAGAACCATATCAAATACTGAAGTAATTGACGCCGACGGCGCAATTCGCATTGGCCAGCTTAAAGTGTATACCGATAAGGTTCTCGGGCATGGCAGCCATGGTACAGTTGTTTATAAAGGCAGTTTTGATGGAAGACATGTCGCAGTGAAACGTCTGTTGGTCGAATTTTACGATATCGCGGCCCATGAAGTCGGCCTACTTCAGGAGAGTGACGATCACAATAACGTTATCCGATATTTCTGCAGGGAACAAACGGCAGGATTTCTTTATATTGCTTTGGAACTGTGCCCAGCTTCGTTACAGGATATAGTCGAACGGCCACACAACTATCCCGACCTTCTCCGTAATGGCTTGGTTCTACCTGACATTCTACGCCAGATTACAGCGGGTGTCCGCTATCTCCACTCCCTTAAGATCGTCCATCGAGATCTGAAGCCACAGAATATACTCGTTGCTGCGCAGAAATCTGCAAGGGGGGTGAATAACCTACGTCTCCTCATATCTGACTTTGGTCTGTGTAAGAAGTTGGAAGACAACCAAAGCTCTTTCAGAGCAACAACAGCGCATGCTGCCGGGACGTCTGGGTGGCGTGCCCCTGAGCTTCTTGTCGACGATGACCAGACCACTGTCAACTCAGCGTCGTGGGCTAATAACGGCACCCTTGACTCGTCCGAACCAGCCGTGGTTGATCCACAGACCAACCGCAGAGCAACAAGAGCTATTGATATCTTCTCCCTCGGTTGCGTGTTTTACTATGTCTTGACGCATGGAAGCCATCCCTTTGACAAGGACGGTAAATTTATGCGCGAAGCCAATATCGTGAAGGGCCACTACAACCTCGACGAACTCCAACGACTTGGTAATTATGCTTTCGAGGCTGAAGACCTAATCAGCCGCATGTTATCCGTAGAACCACGCCTGAGGTAAGTTACCCATTCCTAGAACTATACAAAACACACGCTTAACAACATCTAGACCCGACGCAACATCCGTAATGATCCATCCATTCTTCTGGTCCCCGGCCGAACGCCTCAGCTTCCTCTGTGATGTATCTGACCATTTCGAGTTCGAGCCCCGGGACCCGCCTTCGCCAGCCTTGCAATGCTTAGAATCCGTTGGCCCCAGCGTCATGTATCCTGACATGGATTTCCTCAAGCTACTCCCCAAGGACTTCAAAGACAGCCTTGGGAAGCAACGCAAATACACTGGCTCGAAAATGCTCGACTTGCTGCGCGCTCTGCGAAATAAGCGCAACCATTACAATGACATGTCTGAGCACCTCAAGGCCCATATTGGCGGACTTCCGGACGGATACCTGAATTTTTGGACGGTCCGCTTTCCAAGCTTGTTGATTAACTGCCATTGGGTTGTTAGGAGACTTGGCTTGGTAGATTTGGAGAGGTTCAAGCGATACTTCACTCCACCATAGATGCCGTGGCTGGATGTTTTTTTCATTACCAGATATTGATTCATGGGCTGAAACCAGGATGTATTTGTAGTTGGCTTGTGGACTTTTGATTGAATGAATGTGATATAAAATCCCTATTTTATTTACTTAGTAACGACCCTTATGAAGCGTGTTTTCGGTTTTATAAATATCTTCCAAGCTATGTCAAGTTGCATAATTTTCAAGGGTGTGTACATGCATAAAATTGTAGAGATAGTGCCTAGCTAATGCTGATGCTAACAATCTTTACATCTTCTTCCGGTTTTTCCTTGTGTGTCTTGACATTCTCAATCTTATGCACCACATCCAGGCCCTTCACCGCTCGGCCAAAGATAGTATGATGTCCATCTAACCATCCTGCCTTTTCTGTGGTTATAAAGAACTGACTTGCATTTGTATTTGGGCCCGCATTGGCCATAGACAAGGTATATGGCTTGTCGTGTTTAAGAGATGAGAACTCATCCTCGAATTCACCTCCCCAGATAGATTCTCCTCCGGTGCCATCGCCCAGAGGATCACCGGCTTGAATCATAAATTTGCGGATAACACGGTGGAAGATAGTGTTATTGTAATACCCATTTCTCGAGTGAGTTACAAAGTTCTCGACCGTCTTGGGTGCAACAGAAGGGAAAAGCCGGAGGTGAATATCCCCAAGCGTTGTGTGTAGGACTGCCGACGTCCCGGTTTCCGCAGGCTTTGCGGCGGCTGCTGCGTCCACGGCGTCCCGGTCGTGGACCGGTTTCTCATTTTGAACGTCTCGGGTTGATTTTGATATATCTGTTTCGTTAGTAAAGAGATAGAATCGGACTTTTGCGAATCCAGTGCTTATCAAGATCGGGTCACGTTCCTCAGCCTCCTGTAGAAGTGGATTAGAACTAGCAGCCATGGACAACGTCACGACCCCCTTCTTCTGCGGTTGGCCTTGATATATCGCAAGGTTCAGAGCTCTGAATGGCTCATCCTTTCCAAAGACCTTTACAACTCGGTTTGTAAATGTGTTTATACATTTGACACCTAGTATAGACCCATATAATATAAAATGACCAGACTCATCGAATATAACATTAACTTTCGGGGCGGTGGCAGGGCTCCCAAGTTCGCGCTCTGTAGCTAATCGACGGCCAAATTCGACTTCTTCTAGTTTCTGCAGGGCAGTACCAGCCTGCTGCATCTCTGTCACGGTTTGAAGGGATTCATCGTACGAACGATATAGTTTCCCAGAGGCGAAATCGAAGACCCGGACTTGTCTGTCGGGAAAAGAAAATGTAGCGAATTGGTGGCCAGACGGCGAGATCGAGATTGATGATGGTAATGACTTGGACTTTTTGAATATGAAGAGGTCTGTGGAGGATTTCAAGTCGAAAACGCCTTCCGGTTTATCGAATGGGTCATCCGGGCGCCAGTATTCAACCATGCCTTTACTGTCAACTGATATTACACAATTATATGCATCGTTAAAGGCCATGGAAGTCACTGGTGCCCTGTGTATCGAACTTAATTTGTGAAGAGGTGTCGTCTTTTCGCAGCGTCCGTCGAATATCAAAATAGTACTGTCTCCTTCGCTCGATACTGCCAACAGGGGTAAAGATGCGCCTCGCTGATGCACCCAGCACACGCAGCTAGGGATAAACTCGAGGTTAAGGACTGCGAGGAGGTCTGCATCGCAACGTTAGTCAAGTCCTTACGAATCAGGGATGCAAAAAGCGGCGCCTTACCAAAAGTTATCACATCGAACACTTTTATAGTCTTGTCCGCCCCAACAGTTGCAAAACTTCGCCCGTCTGAAGTCACACTGACTCCCTTGACCTCCCCGATGTGGGCGCGGAACTCCTTCACGAACTCCATTCCAACGGCCATTTTCTTCCAGAATTTGACCACGCCATCTATCGAGCTAGTTATGACAAAGTCCGTATGTGGGGTTACAGTCACATAGGCGAGCTGGTCGCGGTGCATCAAGGATTTAGAGTATCGCGGAGATGCTGGTAAGGCCTTGACATAGAGCTTCTCGTATGGTAACTCCCTTCTTTTCTTCTTCTTCAGGGGTCCAGAGGGGAGGGCGGGACCGTAGTCATCTTCTGACGAAGAACTCCCACCTAGTAACAGTCAGCTCAGAGTATGGCATCCAATTCAGGGTCATGTATACTAACCATCCGCTCGTTCATCCTCCTCCACCTGTGAGTGCAGTCTCACATTCGCCGACTTTTCCGAAGATACTGCTGTTCCAGTCATGGTCTCCAGCTGCAGACGGCGCCTATATACTTCGTAAATCGATTGAACCTGATTGATATGCTCTCGTCACCATTTAAAAAGGAAAAAAAAAAAGAATTGCTCGCGACTTCAACCTCCCAAGCTTCGAAAGCTTCATATCACGTGATATCCACAACAACGAGGGCTTATCGCCTGATAAACTAATATATATATTTTGGAGGCACAAGTGCTTTCTATAAAACCAACCAGCTCCATTACATCCCGCGCCGCTGCTGGAAATCCTACTCATCCTTGTATTACTCCGGAATTTTGTCATCTATCAGTCACCATGGTATGGCCCCTAATATCTACCCCTTATGCCACTGCGTATGCTAACCCCACCAGGCGAATTCTTTCAACAACCCGACGCAGATCTTCGGTGAGGATGTTACTGAAGAAAAGGGTGAAAACGCGCGATTGTCAGCCTTTGTTGGCGCCATTGCCGTTGGCGACCTGGTTAAGAGTACCTTAGGGCCAAAGGGAATGGACAAGATTATGCAATCTGCGTGAGTTGAAATTTAGGCAGAGCTCTAGGGGAGAAACAAGGGGCTAACTATACAAATAGCTCGACAGGAGAGATCATGGTTACAAACGACGGAGCTACGATCCTTAAGGCTATTGCGCTTGATAATGCCGCTGCCAAAGTTTTAGTCAATATTTCGAAGGTTCAAGACGACGTGGTGGGGGATGGAACTACATCAGTTACAGTGTTGGCCGCGGAGCTTCTACGTGAAGCCGAGAAACTTGTTGAGAAGAAGATTCACCCTCAGGTCATCATCGACGGATACCGGATAGCTAGCCGTGCTGCCCTGGCAGCCTTGGAAGCATCTGCAGTAGACAATAGCGCCGACCCTGTTGCCTTCCGAAAAGACCTACAAGCCATCGCACGAACGACCCTTAGCTCCAAAGTTTTAAGCCAGGACCGAGACCAGTTTGCCAGCCTTGCCTGCGATGCAGTGCTAAGATTAAAGGGATCTACCGATCTCAGTCATATACAGATCATTAAGAAAGCTGGTGGAAAACTCTCTGATTCTTATCTCGATGAGGGGTTCATTTTGGATAAGAGCATCGGAGTCAACCAACCTAAGAGACTTGAGAATGCGAAGATTCTAGTCGCCAACACCGGTATGGACACTGATAAGGTCAAGATCTTTGGTGCCAGAGTCAAAGTCGACTCCACCGGAAAGTTGGCTGAGCTCGAGAAGGCGGAGAAGGAGAAGATGCGGGCAAAGGTCGAAAGAATCAAGGCTCACGGAATTAACTGCTTCGTCAACCGCCAGCTTATCTACAACTGGCCCGAACAGCTTTTCACAGATGCTGGCATAGTTTCAATTGAGCATGCCGATTTCGATGGTATCGAGCGTCTTGCCTTGGTGACTGGCGGCGAGATCGCGTCCACCTTCGACCACCCTGACCAGGTTAAACTTGGCCATTGCGATTTGATCGAAGAGGTGATTATTGGAGAGGATACCCTGATCAAGTTCTCCGGCGTCGCTGCTGGCCAAGCTTGCACCATCGTTCTCCGGGGCGCTACCGGACAACTCCTCGACGAAGCCGACAGATCTCTACACGATGCCCTGGCTGTCTTATCCCAGACTGTTCGAGAACCCAAGGTCACCCTTGGCGGCGGATGTGCGGAAATGGTTATGGCTAAGGCCGTTGAGCATACCGCACAGAACACCACTGGAAAGAAACAGCTTGCTGTCGACGCATTTGCTCAAGCATTGAAACAGCTCCCCACCATCCTTGCTGACAACGCAGGTCTTGACTCCAGCGATCTTGTCACCAGACTTAGACAAGCCATCAACAAGGGTTTGACCAGCTCAGGTCTAGACCTACTCACCCCCGGTGGAGGTATCGCTAACATGCGCGAGATTGGCGTTGTGGAAAGTTACAAGCTCAAGCACGCCGTTGTCTCATCGGCTTCGGAGGCTGCTGAGGTGAGTCCACCTTCTTTCTCTCATATATAAATTACTTATTTCTGACCTTGCATTATTTTTAGCTACTTCTACGAGTTGACAACATTATTCGCAGCGCCCCACGAAGGAGAGACCGAGCTTAGGTGGCTATGATTTAAGAAAAGCAATTTTTTGACTCCAATGCAATGAAAAATCGTCGTTCCATAGAATACAGATGATTGGCCTGGAATACATAGGCAGCGATTAAAGTATTAGCAATTGAAAACTAATGCAAATATTTAATACGATCAAGCTTCAAGGCGAGTAGTTTATAGTAGCATTGCACCACAGCACTCAACACTTGAACCTCTACTCTCAGGGGTAAATAATTGCATATTCCTAGAAAGCATCAGAAATATTAAAATAGAAGAGTTCTTAGATGAACAGATTAACACTACATAGCTAACTCAACAAGTGCATACCGAAGTGATGTTAAACCATGTCTCAGTAGCGCACAATTTCATTCCACAAACCATTCACTAACTAGCCTTGCTACTCTAATATATCAACGATGAACTCATCCCTCAGTCATAACGAGCAGTAAAGAGCAAGGCCATACATGCCCTCGATGAACTCTCGTCGCTCCATTGCATCAACCGTCTTCAAAGCGCTCGCTACGGACTCTCGACCATGGCACCTTACCCGAAAGCTCAGGAGCGACAACCACCTCGACATGCAGGGAGAGTTGAAGGGGATCGCTACATTTAAACCAGCACACTATGGAACATCCGATGATGCGAGTGACCTTGTATATGAGGAGCGAGGCGAGATGCCTGATCCGTCTGGCCGTAATATGGCTGTGATGAGCTGGTCACGCAAATATCTGTGGCGTTTATCAGATTCCAATCTGAGTGTTTGGTTCGTTAAGGTCAACACGAAGGCCGAGAAGGAGACGCAAAATGGCCAGACTGAGGACTTGCCAGACTATCTTTTCCATCAGCTACGGTTTACGAGTGAGGGTGAGGGTGAGGCGCTGAGCGAAGATAGCTCTGCGATATCAGATCTCGTTCCGCCGCCAGCAGCTTCAGGCGAAGAGACGACGGTGCTTTTCGCCAGTGGAAGTCATCTTTGCATCAACGATAACTACGAGACTACGTATGCCTTTCGAATTACGGAGCATGGCACCAACCGAGTTCATAGCTGGACCAGTAGCCATTTGGTGCAAGGCCCGAAGAAGAATCAGCGAATCGTGAATCTGTATACCAGGACAACCCAAGCCTGAAAGTGAGCCGACATCCTGGCCGTTGATATACCCATTTACACTCGTAAAAACTAGAAAAGATTATATCTTGGTGTGATGCATATAAAAGAGGCTCGGTCGGTGGAACCTCGCTTGATTTATGCATTTTTATATCTATATCGGCATAACTACTAGGCGTGGGTAGATATCAACCGGACCTGGAGTTTCCCTCTTCTTCTTATATCTTGCGCCTAGATCATATGCAATTGAGAAGATATTTAGCGCAACATTGGCTGGAAGTTGAATAGGCTGAGGGGGCTGGGTTACGTTCCTTTCAACAGTGTGTTCCCGCCTCCTTTTTTTCCTTGCTGACCTGGGCTTCACCTTTCTCCTTGCCTCCCCTCCTTCCTTGATCTCTTTCATCTCACACAAATCTCAGCTCTCGCTCAGATATCAGCTAGCTTTTCTTTTCCCAGTGGCCGTTCAGCAGCTTGGTGAATTCAGATCAGATACCAAATCGGCATGATGATGTGGAAGCCGAGCTTGTTTGACGACTCGGACGGCGAAGTCACTCCAGTGTGCAGCGACGAGTCCTCGCCTTACCTCCTTGATGACCTGGACGTCTTTGAATCATGCCTGAGCAGCATGAGCAGCATAGACAGCGGAAAAGGGAATCCCGTTACGCCTCTCACTCCTGTTACTGTCAAGTCGTCATTCGACGTCAATGAAACCCTGGTTGATGGCGTAGGCTCGATTGGAGATCTCATCCATCATCGTGGGGGAGGGAACAGCTCGAACCTCACTGATACTGATGATGATGAAGTATGTGATGTCTCCTAAGCATCGACAATGGGACTTGAGGCTAATAGTGGCTGCAGTATTTCACCTCAAGCTCTTCGCCTTCGAGAACGCCGTTAAAAGCTCAGCCATGGGATGGGTGTATCTCTTGGAAACACACGTCAATGAAAAAAAGCAATGGTAAATGTGAAGGGAGCCCATTCTTATCCCGGCCTGGCCACAGTTCGGACTTCCTGACACATGGGCTCGTATACGTTCCGCGAATTGATGATAGGGATGCATACCGAACTGTTTATCTCACCCATCTCCCTCTTGACGTGGATATGAAAACTCTTCTGTCTGCCATCCGAGGAGGGATAGTGTACTCAGCCCATATCATGAACATGGAAGAGGCTGCAGGGTATCACATGGGAGTTGTTACCTTTGTTCGAGGCCAGGATGCCGCAGCCTACGTCAACTTTGCCGCCATGCACGGCGTATACTTCAATGACGACAGGGTCAATGTCAGCCTTTCTAAGACGCCAACGTACCCAATATCCAAAATGATGCAGCAGAACATTTTCGACCAGCTCTACACTCGTTGCCTGGTTATTTGCGGGGACCGGGACCCAAGACGCTACACATATATTGCATGGCACCTAAAGGCCAAGATGCCAACTGATTTTGGAATGGGGGATAGGATGACTGAGAACAATGCGGAAACGGAAATTAATATCCGCTTTAGCTCAATCAGGGCGGCCGATTGTGCGTATGAGATTCTTCGTGGACTGCTGAGGGACTGTACCAATAGGTTTGCTCTGGATCCTTGTGCCCAGCCTCTTCCGAGCGTTGAAGGAGAGAAGAAGGCAAAGGAGTTTGTGCCTACTATAGAATTGGCCTGCAGTGGTCCTTGGATGTGAGGCAGCGAAGGATGGCAGGAAAACGTTTAATTTCTTCGAAGGTTAATGGATGGGCCATCCCAAAGCTATTTTAATATTAGGTGAGATAGGTTTTTATGATAATTAGATACGGCGTGTTTACTACGGTTGATTCCTTTGAAAATATGACGTGATGGGACCACTCAAGGTGAAAAAGAATGGAGTTATTCTCATGGAATAGTGTAGAGCAGGGAATTCGCCGACACGCAAAGATTATACAGGTTCTGTCCGCCCTCACTGGCGCAGGTCGACAATGAACAAACACTGAATCCCAAATACAAAATAAAGACAAAAGAGAAACACCACTAAGGTATCAAGTGAGATCGTAAGGAAAGACCGCGCAGGCCAATTATAGCCATCGAGGCTGTCTAGACAAAACTCCGCTTTTTACGGTTATACGCCCGCTGGTCCTTCAGCCATTGTCGGTATCCCTTGACACTCCCAATCTTCTCGCCATAGTAGTCTGGTACCGGATTGGCGAATGAATTGGCTGAAGGGTCAACTCGGAAGCGTTTTATTCTGTTATAAAATTCTTTCTCTTTCTATTTTTCACATTAGCAAATGCATCATTAGTAACACAATAGAAGAAGTGTTATAGATTAGCCACTTACAATAGCAACCGCAGCTCTATACTTCCTATACACTAGGCCCCAGAGCCCGTTGCCCAAGAATGGACCGGCCAACCAGCCCAATGCACCCGAGGCCGCAGTGGCCAACCCGAGAACGATCAGCGGGTCGAAGCCCATGATCTGTGCACCAAGGTTCTCCAGGTTCTGCGTGGCTAGGATCTGACCTCCGGCGGCGGTGGTCGAGACAGCGGCAAGAATAGAAGAAACAAGAGAGTATTTCCGGCGAGAAGCACGGAGCTGGAAAAAGGAGTTCCAATCCAGCTTGACGGGGGTATCGCCGGAGCTAGTGGTGGCATTGGTACCATGGCTGCTGGGTGAGGCAGATTGAGCAGAGGTTGATGCACTGCGGTGCGAACCAGTGGAGTGTGAGTATCGGATAATTGAGAGGAGGGTGGAGACGGAGACAGATGGTGAGCTGGAAGCTGCTCTACATGTCGCAGAAGACGGAGCAAGAGGGCGCATTGGCGATTTGCATGTTGTAGCACTGCTGGCAGCTCGTCTAGGTTCCTGCTTGAACGGCGATGTCGTCAAGCCTGAACGATGGCATGGTTGGTGGTGACGACTTGGGATCGAGGTGCTAGTACCACTGGCCAGCGGTGACCAGGCACAGGTGAACCTGCCGCTGAGAACAGCGGTGCGGATTGGAGTATTCATGGCCGTGAGATGGTTCATTGTGTATTGCGGTGATGTGGTGCTCACGGCGTTCTTGATATCTTTCTGCTTTCTTTGCCCAAAAGCGCATTTCGACCTTGCCAAGATTTCGCTTAGGTAAGTAGAGAGTTATAGCCCATATTATTGGTCACATGGCACAGAGCAAAAAGAATATAAGTCCAATGACTAGAACTTAGTGACTAAGCAAATCTATTTCCTGATCAGGTAATTTAGAGCTAACTTACAGATGACCTAGCCAATTACGAGACCAATTGAAATATATCATGTTTAGACCAATAATACTGTAATTTATAATACACACTAGTAACGGAAGTAAGCTAATATAATTCCGGGTGCTTATTACTAATATTTGCAAACAGTACAAACAGGGGGAGCAATGACAAATCCACGTCACATGATATCAACATTGGCCCGAGAATAACTTCGCGCAGTTGGAGAATTAAAGAGACAAACAGCAATCCATCAACCCGGACCTGTGTCCAGCTGTAGTTGAGGATATCTCAACTCATATCTGACAAATTCATTGTCTAATCACTCGCCAGGCTCAAACCGAGCGCTGATGCTAAATCAGCTCACTGCCATAGCCGCTGGTGTACTGCGCCAGGCCCCTCCAACCTCGTACCTGGACTAGGACCCCTACGTATACTGGGCCTAGTCAGCCGGCCAGAAGGGAACAAATCAACTTGCGCGCCGCTGCAAGGAGCTTGCATTGTGTTGGATTGTTCGCTAAGCATATACCTGCCTCACTCAAGTCAATCAATCCCCGCCAGGACAGGCAATGAAGCGCCTCAGATCGCATCCGTTTGCTCACACTGGGCGGAGAGACGCGATTCCGTGAGAAGTCAATGGCATAGCTACACAATCATAAGAGACAAAGAGAGATACACCTATACATACGGACACACGGGTGTTGAGTGTTTTACTTTAGTGAGGGGTACGGGAACTAAAAGAAAATGCCTCGACCAAAACGGCCAGGTGCTCCGGAGCCAAAGAAGAGAAGCAGGAACGGCTGCTGGTATGTTGTGCCTTGGGAGTGATTCCATGGTTCTAATTCTGGGATATAGTAAAGATAGCATCTAATCAGCTTAGAGATAGGCCATGCAAGGCTCGGAAAGTGAAATGGTACGTTCACGCCCCACGGTCACCTATTTCGAAGTGCGACCCTCAATATTAGTTCTGTCACCTCATTTATCTGCAATGTGAAGTGATACCGTATACAGGATATACAGAATGCTGACTGTATAACATAGCGGGGAAGAGAAACCATCCTGCCTCAACTGCCAACGCCAGGGTGAGAAGTGTGATTACAGCATCAGGCTGAACTGGGAGGGCCGGTCGAGAAAGCGAGTCGCGACCGAGCAAGTCCACTTTGATAGAGACTCGATTTCCACTCCCTTATCACCATCAACTCCCAATTCTTTGAGGGAGGGGGGAGGGGGTTCCCCTATATCCGCTATGCAGCATGTATTCATGCCTATACAGCAGTACCAAGGCCATAATCAAGGCCGTAGACAAAGCCAAGATCAACAACATGCGCTGGCAGAGCCATTTGTAGGTCCAATGACTACAACTAGCCGGAGTCCACGTTCCCCCCCTCATCAGACTAGAGATCGCGCGGCGGCAACGGGGGTAGACCAAAAGTGGCTTCCTTATACGGTGAATTCTAGCACACATGTCGCCCAGGGGCATGCGAACCCCTTGCCAAACCATCAAAACTCTGCGCAGAGAGATAACGATCAATCCACCCAGCCCAGGTCTGCTAATCGCACCGAGCATGGCGACCTTCAAACACTATCGGGAATTACAAGCACAGCTAATCGCCGATCTATATCCAACACACCTATATTTCTTCCTCCAGGAGCTGCCGCTAGGGAGTCACCAGAGTCCTCCTCTACATCAGAAGAAATATTTCAGCAGTTTTCGCCAGTCTCCACGACAGATGGCGTCAATACGCCTTCTGACCTGCACCGTGTTTCTGTGAAATCTCTCCTATCTCACTCCATCCCACCTGGCCCTGGTCCGGACGATGTAAGGAACTACGGACTAGACTGCGGCCAACCCGATTTAGATATGCATAGAGATGTCGAATTTCTAGCCAGCCTACACGATACATCATCTCTGGGGAACGCCTATAGCAGCCGTATCGCACCTTACTCCGCGCGTGCTAGCGATACTGGTACTCCATCCTCTTCGCCAGAGGATATCACGATTGATACTCGCCGGAGTGTGACCACTGTCTTCTCAAAGGGAGGTTACTACGCCAAACCCGTTCCGATATATATATCACGCTTTCTATCCCCATTACCACCTGCATTGCTTGATAGCCCAATAAATTTGTTATATTTTCACCATTTCATAAACCATACGGCGAGAATCTTAGTGCCACATGATTGCTCTAAAAACCCTTTTGCGACGGTGCTTCCCGCGAGTGAGTTGGACCACCCATAAGAATCCCAATCATTTTAACTGAGGATAGCGCTAACATGCACGCAGTGGCCATCGAGGACGAGAATATTTTAAACCTACTGCTAGCGTATTCTGCAAGCCACCGGGCGCGGCTCTTAGGCCATGCAGAGCCTTACACACGTATCGCTCACTGGACTAGTGGCGTGTTCCCGTCGCTTCGCCATGCTCTAAGCGACCCAAGCAAGAAGACATCTGCGGCAACTCTTGCGACAGCAATTATGTTAGTATCCCTTAAAGTAATATCGCCGACCACGTTTGAGGTTCCTATCCGATGGGAAAGCCATCTAATGACGGCACGCGAGATATTTCTTGCGCGCCAAAAGGCAGATCTTGATAATTTCACCGGGCCTGTCAACTCCTTTCTCCACCGTTGGCTTGGTTACCTGGATATCTTCGGTAGCCTTTCGTCCAGACGAACGGAACCGCCTTTATTCGATGGTGCGTATTGGTCTCTCGAAAATTCCGGGGAAGAAGGCCAAAGCTCGGTTGTCGACAAGGAGTTCGAAATCGACTGCTTCACGGGCTTTACCCCCCGGTGCTGCTCGTTTCTGGCACGACTAGGTGAGTTGACACATCAGTGCGATAATGTACGCGTAGACCCGGCGGGACGACTGTTTACAAGCTGGAACCCGCCCGCAACCGTCATCGGCAGAGCAGAGCAGCTACTGCATGACATGCAGGAAGCAAGTCCTGACCGCACACCGGGACGCAGAACCCACCATCAGAAACCGGTAGAGCCGAATATGGCTGCAGTGGACGAGGCGTATCGACTTGCTGGCATGATCCACCTTCATAGAAGGGTGTTTGGACGCGAGACCTCGGATCCGGTTGTCAGAGATCTAGTGGATGCTCTAGTTGATGCGCTTAACCAGGTCTCTCGTGGCGGGCAGGAGGAGGTATGTGTTTTATTCCCGCTGTTCACCGCGGGATGTGAGAGCCAGAATGCGAGCCAGCGACAGCAGGCCAGCAAGAGGGTGCAGGGCTTCGAGAGCGTCGGCATGAAGCAGGTCAGTACTCCTCCTCGCGCCGTGTACTCATTACTTTTCCTAACTTTTGTGTAGATACGAAGGGCAAGAAAGCTCATGCAGCGGTCCTGGCAGGAAGGACTGCCGTGGAATGTGCTTGCTGACGGCGAGTTTCTAGGGTGACCTGTAAATTATACATACATACATATATACACATACACTACATACACATACATATGACCGCCATAAGCCGTCATAGAGCACCTGCATTTAGCCGCCGCCTGTGGTGCAGCCAGTTGATGTACGATCGGGCTATTATTAGATCCGGCGGCTGATGCTGCAGCGCATCTCGCGTCTTTCGCCCCGCCAGCCGCGCTAAATAAAGGCTTCTCCGGCCGCCATCCATACTTCCCTCTCCATACCTCCGTACTCTCTCTTCACCGTTTCTCCGCACAGCGCTTACCCGCCTCATTTTGCTTTGTCTGCATTCCCATAGATACCTTGCTTGCCTTTTCTTATTTGCTACAGGACCGGTCTCTCAATGAGCGCCGTCATGATGGAATGTGAGAGCTCTTTCTCTCACCCTCTGCTCCCGGTTGAAAGGCCCTATGAACTGACGCTTTGCCTATCGCCCCCATACAGTGTCGCCAGATGCTAGAGCTTCATATACGGCCATAATTGATTCCATCCTGGCCAGTAGCGATCTCACAACTATTTCCGAAAAGCGAATTCGCAGAGGTCTACAGGAAACCACCGGTGATGACCTAGCTCCGTACAAGGTTGGCACCCAGCCTTATTACCCCCTACGCTTACTACTGTGAGATCTGTGCTAATATCGTTGATTACATAGTCTGCGGTCAAGGAATTGATCATGGAGCGCTTCGATATGTTTGCCGAACAGTCAAACGTCGCGACAGCCGAGCCGGAACCATCAAAACCGGTCGCGAACGGCCATGGTTGCTCATCACCATCCCCACCACAGAAACGCAGCGCGGACCCAGAAGGCGTGCCGGAGATAACGGACTCCTCTCCGCCTCCTGTGAAGAAACGGAAAGATGACGTCGTGGATTCAGATGCTGCTTTTGCCGCGAAGCTACAAGCGGAGGAGAATCTACGGGCCCGGACAACACGCGGCGCCAACTCGAGGAAGACCGGAGTAACCAAGAAAAAGCGGAAGAGCACGTCAAAGACTGCGAAGAGAGTGAAGGCATCCGACGATTCAGACGTCGATGGATCGGGTGTGGAGAATAAGAAGGAAGTAAACCGCACAGGCGGATTCCACGTATGGCAGTCTCCTATCATCGCTATGCTATCTTTTTTGGCCAAAGCAGAAATATTGACATTTTCCAGAAACCGATGGCGCTGTCACCTGCACTCTCTACGCTATTAGGCGGTCAAGTGACTGTGAGTTATATGTTACGCGCGCGCGGATCCTTACCTATTACTAACCTAGTTATAGCTTTCGCGACCTCAGACAGTGAAGAAAGTCTGGGAATACATCCGTGAAAACGAGCTCCAGGACCCAGCCGATCGGCGTCAGATCCGCTGCGACGGGCTCATGCGTCCTGTTTTCAAGCAGGACCGTATACACATGTTTACAATGACCAAGATTCTCAATCAGAACCTCTACGACCCGGAGGAGTGACCTTCAACTCTCGGGGACGTATCGGTTAGGTTGACAGGCCTATTTCCTCCTATGTGATTCCCTCTTACGATCATGACCATGTCATTTCTCTTGGGGTTGTTTCTTCCTTCTTCGCATTACAAGACTAGCGATGGCTCATTCAATTTGCGAAACGGCGTCTCTTGTCTTTTATATTCGTTGCCGTCTTAACTTGGGCGTCACTGGTGCATTCATTGGGGATCCTTTCTTATCTAGCCTGGAGTTTGCTGTAGGCTGAAATCAATTGGCGTACCTCAGCCTGCTGTACGATCTTCTAGCTATCTTAACTGCGATATTAGCTCTAAATCTATCATCAATCTTTATCCTAACACTTCATCTTTCATGTCTCGATGTTTTCTCTCGTTGTTTTTATATCGAGGTTCCGCGCTAGCCCGATGCGGAATGGCCCACACAACGCCTTGCACTTTTTTCCACATACAAAATTTGATTTCTCTCCTCCACCACATTTACAGATTTGCCCGTAACTTGTCCCGCCGTCGCTCGCTTCCACGCCAGAGTTGCTCCTCAGAGACCTCTGCCTGCCACGATGTCGACGTTTGATACTCTGACCGAGCAGGACCTGCAGCAGGATGAGGTCGAGATCGATTTCTCTGGCATGCCACCCTGGAACTCAGCGTTGAAATGGCCCGCCAGCTAACAGCCCTGCTACGTATAGATTTAAAAGCCGAATTCGAAGTCCGACTGGAGGAAGGGCTCGATACATTTGTCGTTTTCGATGGACTCCCAATCGTCTCCGAAGAGAATAAGGCCAAGTTGATTAAATTCTTGTTAAAGAAGATTAAGAAGGGAGGGGATGGCCCCGCCTCAGGAAACGTCGACCCGAACCGCCAGATCTTTTTGCCAATGAACGAAAATGGAATGTCTGAAGGGTAAGACTGGTGTGATGCCTACGGTTGATACAAGTAGTGTGTATACTAATCCTATTCGCAGTTTCGCGTTCGTTGAATATGACACCCCCGAAGAGGCCTTTGCCGCCATAAAGAGTCTCCACGGAACACCTTTGGATAAGAAGCACACCCTGGCTGTGAATAAGCTCACCGATATAGACCGCTACGGACGCGAAGGCCGAATAGACGATGACTATAAACCCCCAAAAATTGAACCATTTCAAGAAAAAGAACATCTTCGATCATGGCTGGGCGACCCCAACGCCCGCGACCAGTTTGCCATGTTCCGCGGCGACAAAGTTGGTGTATTTTGGAATATGAAGAAGGACCCTGCAGAGAATATCGTTGATCGAGATCACTGGACGCAATTATTCGTACAATGGTCTCCAATGGGTACATATCTCGCCTCTGTCCACCCACAGGGTATCCAGCTCTGGGGCGGCCCTCAATTCAGCAAACAAAAACAATTCCCTCATCCTTTCGTTCAGCTTGTCGAATTCTCACCCGGAGAAAACTACATCACCACCTGGTCCAGCCGTCCGATACAGATAGAGGGTGCGCCGGGCGTTTTAACATATGATGAGGACGGCAAGAATATAATCATTTGGGATATTACCACTGGAAAGCCTCTCCGATCCTTCGTCAGCCACGACCTATCTGTTCCCACTCCCGCTGCCGCTGATGGTGATGCCGCTGCACCAAAGAAGAAAGTCCAGTGGCCCGCGTTTAAATGGTCGGCAGACGAGAAGTACGTCGCCCGAATGCTACAACATCAGTCCATCTCCATCTACGAGCTACCCCGCATGAACCTCCTAGACAAGACAGTGGTCAAGGTCGAAGGCGTTATGGATTTCGAATGGGCACCAGCAACCGTCCAGCGAGAGGGAATTAAAAATTACGAACAGCTACTCAGTTTCTGGACTCCTGAAATCGGAAGTAACCCAGCCAAGGTCGGCCTGATGAGCATACCTTCAAAGGAGATTGTTCGTACACGAAACCTTTTCAACGTCTCCGATGTTAAATTACACTGGCAGTCTCAGGGTGCCTATGTCTGCGTCAAGGTTGACAGGCACTCCAAGTCCAAGAAATCCATGGCCACCAATCTTGAAATTTTCAGAGTAAAAGAAAAGGGTGTCCCAGTCGAAGTTGTCGACTCGCTGAAGGACACTGTCATAAATTTCGCCTGGGAGCCTAAGGGTGATCGATTCGTCCTTATTACCACCGGTGAAGTTCCCACCGGCTCAGCGGTTGCCCCTAAGACCGCCGTTTCGTTCTTCTGCCCCGAGAAAGTCAAGGGTGGTGGTATTGGTAACTTCAAGCTCATCCGCACCATCGAGAAGAAAACAAGTAACGGAATCTACTGGTCCCCCAAGGGCCGATTTGTTGTCGTGGCCACCGTCCATTCGCAGCAGAATTTCGACCTTGATTTCTGGGACTTGGACTTCGAAGGTGAGAAGCCAGAGAGTGAAAAGGATCTGTCAGCCAATCTTCAGCTTATGAAGACCGCCGACCACTTCGGCGTAACTGATGTCGACTGGGATCCCACTGGTCGGTATGTTGTTTCCAGTGCCAGCGCCTGGACTCACTCGGTACGTATATCCTTCAACTTTTCCGTTTTACCTTGGAGTGATAACTAACCTATATGTAGATGGAAAACGGCTATAACATTCACACATTCTCTGGCACTACCCTATCCGAACACCCCACTGAAAAATTCAAGCAGCTTCTCTGGCGCCCACGACCTCCAACTCTCCTCACCAAGGAAGAGCAGAAACAAGTCCGCAAGAACCTCCGCGAGTACTCTCGCGAATTTGACGAAGAAGATAAATACGCCGTCGACATTGCCAACACTGCCATCGTCGAGATGAGAAAGAGAGCCCTCAGCGAATGGACTGCCTGGCTCAGAAAGGAGAAGCAAATGATTCTTGAGGAGAGGGAAGATTTGGGTCTATCTCCAGATCCAGAAGACGATATCATAGGGAAACCTGCTGATTCATCCGCCGAGGGTGATACAGTGGTGGAAGAAATTGTGGAGGAGATCATCGAGGAGACCGAAGAAATCATTACTTAATTGCATTTTATTTTTTAATTTTTTTTTCTGTTCTCATTTCGACCCTAATCCTTTTCTATCATATCATGTCATGTTATGTCTTTTTGTATGGTTACGTCGAAATGAGAGGCGCAGGAAGGACAGAAAAGGGCGGAATACCTCCGAAGGTTTCTGATATTTTTTTTTATTCATCCAAATAAACCCATGGTTGCAATGAATTATCATAGAGGTTTCATTTTCGCTCTCTTGTCGGTCGGAATTAGATATAAGGATGGACAAGGCGGCACTCCAAGCAATAAGATTGCTTGGAATCTAGAGTCCAGTTAACCATGTAATTGATAATCGACCTATAAGTATAGCAACCTAAGCAGATCAATTACTTTTCAAAGCCATGCCAATCTCGGGCGTTTGGTCTGGTTGCGAAATTAGATATTCGTTTCAGTATGGAAGTAGAGAACCGCATGATGTCAAAGACCCCTAGGTGAATTTAACCAAGGATTTTTTCGAGGATCTATTATTGGTCGATTTGGTGACGAGAGTCTATCAAAAACGATTAACATTTCCCCCTGTCAGCGGGATTTCCGACTAACCCGTTCATAACTAGTTAACTACGTGGCGAGACTCCCTATATGACCATATAAGGACCCTCAAACGAAGAAAGAGGTATGAGACATGGAAGCCACAAAACATCTACACGCGATGTTAATCGACTATCCCAAGCAAGAATTCTCACAGATATTGACCGAACCAGGCCAACGCCTGAGCCAATGCCTGTTCTTTTGCGAACATAATATCTGGGTTAGACAAGTCACCACGAACAGCGAACCCGTGTGATACTCCCCCATACAGGGTCAATTGGTAGGGCAGGCCGACCTTTGCCAGAATCTCTTCGGACTCGTGGCGTAGGGCCGTGGTTAAGATCTCGTCAACCTCTACTCGGCCAAACAGGAGCTGGTTAACTAGAGTCCTCATGTAGACATGCGAGGAAATGACATACCAGCAGCAGAAATAGATAGGGGCCCCTGGATAGTAGATAGCTCCTCGCGTGAGATGAACGATGGGTGTGCCGTGTAGCCAACATTTATCTTGCCATCTTTCAAGAAACGACATACATACTAAAGAAATGGTCAGGAACGATGCCGTCCTAGAAATTCATGGTTAGGAATAAGCCCATACCTTGCCGCCGAAACAGTATCCCACGCCTCCGATTTTATCAATTTTGTATTCCTCGCGGAGCAACTTCACAGTCGACTCAATGACAGGATCAACCACGTCGGTCGGATGCTTCGCCAGCCATTCTTGGAGGTTGAATCCGGAGCCAGGTTTGAAACTGTCGGGCGTCAGACCGTCGCCGTGGAACAAGTCCGGCATCACCGTGAGATAGCCACAGGCTGCAAGGTAGTCCGCAATTAACTGCGAGTTGATGCGGATACCCATCACATCTGAGAGGATGAGAACCGCCTTGCCAGCCTTCTTGTTAGACTCCTTGGGGTACGAGAAGTAGATGTTGGCTACGGCCTGGTCAGCCATGTTCCATGTCATAGTGGGTGGTTGATGGTATACTCACTGCCCCCTATCTTCTTGGTTTCGCCCTTAGCGGTGCCTTCGTGGATGAAGCCCCTAACACAACATTCTGCTGGTGGATTGGAAGCCATTTTTCAATGAGTTGATCTATAGTTCGTAGGGATTGCTAGATATCAAAGAGATATTGTATGGATATATATTTCGCAGCCTCGGCTTATATAGACCCCGCGGCACAGGTTTAGGCGACCATGGTTGCGCGTAAGGTCAACGGCACAGTTAGCCGTCATGGAATACGATGGAAATGCAGAGGATGCATCATCCTCGACTTTAGGGACAAGGGGCCGTGGTTGATCGTATACTCCATCTTTAGTTCCTCCGACTCGGCAACTTTTGGCATCCACCTATCCAGGATAGTTAACTAGTTAGCGCCCCGCGGCTCGTCCAGATCCTCGAATATTGCTTAATGTCTCCGAACTTGATATACATGTCTCCAGTCATGGATGAACTGTTAAGCCTGCTACGGCGACATTCTGCATAGTTTGCATAATCACGATCCCATGGTGGCCTATAACCTGCTCTGGTCAATATGGTGGCAATGGATATAAATGATGCCATGTCCATCGAGAGGAAGCTATCATCCAGCATTGATCACATTTTTAACCATCACTACAGTTAACATCACCATTCTAACCTCATCGGTATCGTGAAGCATGGGAAACCCGATCAAATATCTTGTGACAGGTGCATCCAGCGGCCTGGGCGGATCTGTCCTTGCAACATTATACAACAACGTCTCGGATCATTCACAAATCGCTGCGGCCTCCTCAAGACCTGAAGTTGGCTTTCAGCTGCAGCAAAGCTATCCTGGAATCCAATTCCGGAAGCTAGACTACAACGATCCGAGCTCGCTTGTAGAAGCGTTGCAAAGGGTTGAGCGTTTGTTCTTCGTCTCTAGCCCCCTGGTGGACACCGAGAAACGGAACAAACAGCATGAGCAAGTGGTAATCGCTGCTGTAGAGGCAGGAGTCGGCCATGTAGGTGCTCAGTTTTAGAAAGGAAATTCTATGCCTATCGATTAACTAAATGGTGTATAGGTGTATTACTCCAGCCTTGCCTTCGGGGGATACGGGTCAGAGTCAACAGCTTCCGTTCAGCAAGCTCATCTTGTGACCGAGAAGCTCTTGGAGAAGTATGTGACATTCTTCATTTCCTATTAATGAAACCATTTTTTAACTATCCTGTAGTTCTGGGTTATCTTACACCTCCGTTCGTGAGGGTGTATACACCGATGCCTTCCCCGTCTTTCTTTTCTGGTACCCAAACACAACAACCATTTACCTTTCCGGTGATGGCCCTGTCGCATTCGCATCCCGCGACGAATTGGGCGAAGCTACCGCGAAACTCATGCTCCGTGACCCAGCAAGCTTGAGGCTAAAAAACCACATTGCCCTGCTTACGGGTTCCCGTACTTACACGCTAACGGACGTGGTGAATGCTGTATCTGACGCCACAGGCAAGAAACTTGAGATCAAGAGGGTACCAAAGGAGGAGTTCCCTCGTATTATGTCCGTGGAAGATGCACTGGAGGGCCGAGGAGGAAAGTCAGAAGCCTTCTTTGCGAGCTGGCAGAGTTTAGTAGAGTCAATGGAAAAAGGAGATGCCGCAATGGTAGACCCCCTGATGGGAGAGTTGCTGGGGAGGGAACCGCGAGATGCTATAGAGTATGTGAAGGAGCTGGTGAAAGAAGGGGCAGATAAAGGGGGCTATACATGGCATCAAAATTATAGCTAAACCAGACAGGGGGCTTCTCGACTATTTGATTTTGATACTCTGAAGACTACATTTCTAACTTGTCAATCTAAGTTATTTAAATACTCGATCCCTAAAATATCACACGGTAAACATAAGTATATATGCAAACTATATCTTATTTAATGTTATACTATATACAGGAAGAGATCAAGGCCGTATTATGCATCCATGAAGCATAAGGTGCCAAGTTTGAAAATTTAAAATAGCAGACCCAATATTGCGTGCATAGCTCTATTTGGTCCACTCTCCACCGATCCAGCGGTTGAAGAAGTCCAAGGAGCTTTCAGGCTGATCGTATGGGACCAAGTGGCCAGCACCGTATAGACGGAAGAAAGCGAAACCTCCATGGTTCTTGACTTGACCGATAGCTTTTCCGTTTACACTACTCTTAACCTCAGTGAGATTCTTGGGTTGGAACTGAGCTTGACCGGGCCACTCGAGAGCGTCGGACCAAGCATGGTTACCGAGCCAGTTGCAGATAAAGTCAGCGTCGCCAGCGTAGATGACAGCAGGAATCTTGGCTAGGACTTCTGGCACCTTGCGGTGGTAGGGTTGGTTCCAGTCTCCCTGGTTGAAGAAGCCACGGTTGACGTCGTTGTTGCAGGAAGCAAAGGTGTGGGTTTCGGTACCAACAGCGCTGATGACCTCGGGCTTGTTTAGATATTTGGTAATCCATCCGATGATAGGGTAACAGAGGTTCGCAGGATCTTCACAGGGGGAGCGGACATCGTAGACATTGCGGCCCGTTTGCTGGTAGGGAGAGAGGAAAGCTTCGTCGCAGGCTTGAGCGCCGTCCACACATGCCTTAATGTCCTTGGGGTTGTCGTAACAAGCCTTCACACGTTTCTGACAATCTGGAATAGCGACTTTCATAGCGCTACAGGAAGACTCGTCCAAAACAGCTTCATAGCCGCCCTTGCCGCAGCCCATGGGTTCATAGTAGGCGTCTTGGGTAAATGGATCGGTGAGACCGTTTCCGATAAGGATCGACTTCAGGTTGATGTTGGATTCTTGAGCAAGAATATCTGCCGCGTAGACTGGAATGTAGTGCCCAGCATAGGATTCTCCAGCAATGTGGAAATCCTGCTTAGCATATTGAGGGAATTGCTTGAAGAACATGGTCAGGAATGCATAGACGTCCTTTGAGGCGGCGGCCGTGTTGTACACGCCACTGGCACCGTAGGAGAATCCAACGTTAACAGGCTGATCCAAGAAGACCATGGAAGCATTGTTGATCCACGAATGGGGGTTGTGGACGATCTTGATGTTTTCGTCTATTCTGGCAGGACCCATTTCCATGAAGAGTCCGGTCATGGAAGAACATCCTGGGCCACCGCTGAGCCATAGGACAACCGGGTCGTTCTTTGGGTCATTCCGCGACTCGAAGAACCCTGGAAAATATATGTCTTAGCACAAGGATTTATAGAGATATAGGAGTAATGATGGATATTCATCGACACATACAGAAGAACAGATGCTTATCTTCGGCACTGTTGTCAAGATATCCGCTGTACTGTTTTACCTTGTCGACACCCAACTTGCTTGGGTCGACAGTCTTGATTCTCATGCCGTATTCGCTGATATCCGAAGGATCCTCGCCCTTGTTCTGAACCCAGGATCCCCCGGTACTCTTTCCAGAAACAATATGATCCCAGTGGTGGTCCGGTCGGCGACTGGCTGGCTTTGGTGGGTTAGAGAATTGAGTCATCTTGGCCTCTGGCATGGCAGACTTGATATTCCCCCAAAGCTCTTTGCCATTGCTATCAAGCATATCCTCGCTGAAAAAGCCAGGGTCATGGGGAGCCGCCAGAACGTTGGCAGCTCCAACAACGAGCATGGAGAGAAGACTCTTCATGATTATCGATGCAGATAGGCCGAGGAGGAGAAAAGAAATGAATAAGTAATTGTGTAAACTACACAATGAACTTCTGGATTCCAAGAGAAAACAAGACTTTGTCTAGAGGGGACGGGCCGTTCTTGTACCCTGAGGGGAGGCCTGCCAGTCTGTCTGTACAGCGTATGGAGTACCTTCTGAGCCCACCCCAACAGCCATATCCACAGCTGAGAGGTCCGTACGAAGTGGAGGTAGTCCTGTCGATCTGAGTGTAATTCGGACGAATCCCTTTAACCGAAGAGGAGATTGGGAAAGGTGACGTGCGTGGCCATGATCTCCCCCGAAGCAAAATACGAGACTAGTTCCGTGTATAAAATATGGTCGTCTGATGGCATCCATGGACGATGACATTGCTGATAGGCCACCATGGGCCCCGTAGTAGCATCCGACGGAAACTCCTGCCAAACAGGGTTGATAGAGGATCCAAACGGAGTATGGAGTATGGCGTTACGGAGTATTCGGAGACTCCTACACTCTCTTCCACAACTTTGAAAGCAAACCCCGTTAAGAGCGTCAGGTTGGAATGGCGCGGTCTCACCAAGGCGTCACCAAGGGCGCTAAAACGATGCTTTGCGGTAGCCGAAAAGCTTCGATCATCCTCGGCCCACAACCGCGAGCTTGATGTGACTTTGTTTTTCCACAAAATAGTCTAGAGTCAGAGTTAGTTTGTGGTGGTCCGCATAAACGGAGGCTTCTCTCACGATGATACGGGTTTGTAACGTAGCGTCGTCTAAGGAAACTTCCCGTCAAGCTTGGTGTAAAGGCGATGTTCAGTCACGCACCAGACGTCGGACATAACTACCTAGGTAGTTATTGCTCGCCGGACTTTATCCCTGGATCCCGTACGAGCAGTAGCGAGTGCCGGCGATCTGATGGAGCGACCGTTGTATTGGATTTGGGCCCGTCATGCAGGTCTTAACAACGATCTTATAACTACAACAGAGCTAATTGCGCCATAGTTGCCTAGTACAGCATCACTGAATCATGCATGTGCGCAGCATAATGTTATCCGGTGTCATTTTTGGGGCTTCTGGAAGATAATGGCAAGAATAAGTAGAGGATGATGTTGTTGTCGTAGTTAAATAGTAGCAGGGATTATGTCATCCCTATAATATTTAACCACCAAATAATGTGTATGACCTCGAATTGACATGCAGAATACAGGTTTATCATATTTGCGCTATGTTAACAGTTATACGTCTTGTAAGTACATTCCGAGCAATAGCATGGCTCTTCTAATCAAGATCAGAGAGTAGTATAATCATCACATGCCTCAGTCAGTTTGCTGCGGGTTCCGGGTTCCTGAGATCTATATGTTAGCATTCTATAGCCCTCTCAGTCAATTTCGGTTACTTACCATAGCACTGTGTCCGGCATCTGCAATCCAGAACAGCCGAGATTCAGGGAATGCCTTGTGAAGTTCGTAGGCAGTCTGAGGTGGGCATACAATGTCGTAGCGCCCTTGAACGATAGTCGCTGGAAGAGGGTCAGTTTCCGAGAAGAAATAACTGCTCCGAGACACCGAAATGGGACTTACTGGGGATATGTCGGATCAGGTCGATCTTCTCTTTTTTCAACATTGATCCAGGTTCAATCCAAGCGTCGTGTACAGCGTAGTGAAGTTCCATCGTGGCATGCGCCAGTGTCCAATCTTCATCATCCAGCTTTCCCAAGCTCTGTGGGTTTTGTCGAAGTTCGCTGATGGACAATTCCCATTTGTTCCATGCTCTTGAGGCGGTAAACCGCGTCTGTCTGTCGTCAGACTGTATAAGCTTGTAGTATGCTGCTACGAGATCTTCTCTGTCCTTCTCTGGTAAGAAGTTGATAAATTCTTCGTACGCATCGGGGTACAAGCGGCCAGCCACAATGTGTCGAGACCATTCAAGCTCTTCCTTTCGGAAGGTAAAGATACCACGAAGGACAAGGGAACCGACAGCTTCCGGATGGGCTTGCGCGTATACCAATGATAGTGTTGATCCCCAGGATCCGCCAAATACCATGTGCCATTTTTCGATTCCTAGGTGTTTACGGATAGCTTCGATATCTTCGACGAGATGATGGGTCGTGTTTTCGCGCATCTCCGAGTTGGGAAGAGACTTTCCGGCACCGCGCTGGTCGAAAAGGACGACGCGGTAAACATCCGGGTTGAAGAAGGTCGTATTTCCCTTAGTACAGTTTCCGCCAGGCCCGCCGTGGAGGAAGATAACTGATGGTATAACATGAGCGAGGAACATAAAACCGTAGGCATAAGATTGGCTCGCTCACTCACCTGGTTTGCCATCTTTCTTGCCATATTGCTCGTAATGGATCTTATGGATAGATCCCACTGCGAGGAAGCCTTCGTCAAAGGCGTCCTGGTGGGAGTATCCGGGGTGGAGGTCTTGCGAGCTCATGTTGCAGGATGCTATTTGGATACGAACTGATGATTATTCGAGTCTTTCGTCGCAGAGTATGGGCTAATTGACGGTATTATGGTACAATCCTCGTAGCAGGTCGAGAAGCAGTGGAAGTATTTCACGACTCAAACAGCCGAAAGATGCGACTTCCCCGCCCCCGCACTCGTATTCAGAGCAGGGGTTCGACGGCCAGTCAAGGGTATTTACATAAATAAGCAGCCATTTATTGAGAGTGTTCACCCCTTGAAAGTGGTAATCCAACGAGACAGCTTGAAAAAGAAAGCAGTTTATATGCCCGGATGCATACTAAGAGGCGCAAGTAGTGAGATTAAGCTCCTGTCAACCAGCAACCTTCTTTTTTAACTCGAGGGTCTTTATGCTTAACTCGCTAGCTTTATGCAAAGAATAGCTGACACGCAGTCTTAAGATGGAGTGTGGCCAAAATTAAAGAAGACATCTTGTATTTTTTTTGTGACAATAGATGGTTGCCCTTGTTGGCAGTTGGGGGCAGTATCTTTATTTAGGACATGACTTCAAACAACAAAGCAACATGTTGACAGTAATAGTCCATTTCCAGCTCCCTGCCCTATTTATCCCCATTCCTATGCACATTCATTGTCTCCTGTTTCTCCTTTAGGCCCCGTATCTCGCAGCATGATGCACACTTTAAGTGGCAGGGAAGAATGATTTTTGTGACTTCGTTGCATTTCGGTTTATGGCATGGAAGAAGATTGGAAACCCCATGATGTCCACAGACATATATCAGACTGGTGTTTCTACACATTCTGAGTGCATTGAAGTATGGTATTATTTATTTAATAACTTGTTGTGAGACCTAAATATATTCTTCTCAAGAGCTTATGGAGTTAGTACCGCGTTAAACTAGTATAAATAGAAGGGGGAGATATCTCACCTGTCTAATAGGCTCAAAGCACTGTCGTCACAAGGCTGGCAGCTTGATGCGTGATAGAGAGGAATGTATTTTTTGGATGTGGGTAGTTTGTTCATTTGTGTGCAAATGAGGGTGTAAAGGTTAGGAAATAGGTAAAAGACTAAAGTCCTTGCAATAAATATTGGCTCATAAGTAGATATTTAAGCTAGCAACACAACTCCAAGGTGACTCCAGAGTATAGACATAATCATGCTGACATAAATGGATATAAATAAATAGGTATAAATAGCAATAACACAATATAAAATGTTATACTGTCATCATCTTGACATAGACAAGAAAGGAGTCCCCTTCTTGGGTATCATATATATAGCGTATCTAATAGTACATTTCTCTGGCAATGACATGAGCCGTAATATAATGCGGAATACTCGAGGGCTGATGTTAGTCTCCTAGGTCTCATATACACCTTTATCAAGGTGTCATTCCCTGGGATTCTGTAGAAGAACGCTTCCTCTTCTATAGTTTAGTCCTTCTCTCTCAACTAAAGAGGTCAAGATTCTCGCTGCCTCATGTGCTATATCAATACTAAGTTAGCCACATATATAATGACGAGCTGAGTACTGGTGAAATGAACTTACATATCTCCCATGAGCTGGCCGATAGTCGATCACTAACAGTACTTATCAACTCCCTTAGCTCACTCTTCAACACTTGCACTTCGACCGAGGCAGCAGAAAACTGTGCCTGTTCCCGGTGGTGCATATTGGCCAGAATGGTTGCAGCAGTTGGCGGGACCAGCCGGGGAGAAAACTGCCGAAGTCCAACCTTAGAGGCAACACGGGATTGTTCTTTATTTTCTAACCCTAGGGCACGCGCCCATAGGACGAGCAGCCCGAGGAAGGCACAGTATGTCTGCCATAGCGGCCGGGGTTGTGATAAGGGCGTCCCGAGTCCGCCGTTGCCACTTGTATCTTCAAGGCATAAGCCGACCACTTCAAGGGCGTGTAGATAGGAATCGTGACAGACAGGATTCGTGGAGACTAGACGCGTGTATGCCGCTTGTGCTACCTGCGGCGTAACTGTCCGCCCTGAGGAAAATGCACTTCCCGCTGCCATCTGAATGTCGGACAAATTGTTACGTAGTAACACGGCGGCGAAGTCGTACATGACCAGGGCACACCACGATAACTGACGCCGCTGATCCGGACCAGGGAGCTGGTCGAATTGGTCTCGCCAATAGGCCAGGGCACTATCGAACTCCAGTCTTTGTAGTTCTCGAATTACCAGGCTGCTGGAGGACGATACGGATCGGTACTTCGCATCGCCTATCGCTGAAGCGATCCCGTGGATGAGAAGTTGTAAAGACAGGGGGCTAGGGGAGCTGTGCCAATGCACGATTTCGCGCATATGCTCTGCGTCTTTGATTGACAAGATCGACTGGACAACAGAGTCCAAGCTAAAGTACCGTGATCGGTTTGTTTTCTTTAGCTGACGCATTTCCTCTTCCCATTTCGTAGCGGTGGGTGCATCCCAGAGTGGCTGCCGACTTGGAAGGGGTATCTTCATCATGCCCACTGAGAGTAAGGCATGATGCGAAAAATAAACCATGTACTGCACGTCATTGACGAATATAGTGTGCGCTATCCTACGCAGTGTAAGTATGCGGGTTTGCATCAAGTTATGTCGCATTCATACCTGATAACTGATTCCCGCTGTGCCCATTCCCTCCACTTTACATCTAGGGCCTGCCTCGCGCCGCCTTCTCGACTAGGGCTCTCCGTCATGAGGTTGTTACGCCGTGCAAGCTTATAATTAGGTTAGTTTCAAGCATATGGTGATAGCGCGGGACCAGTTGCTAGATTGAGCCTACCGTGACAATAATCCCGTGCACGATCTCTGACATCTCGTGTTCGTGGCGGGCCATGGCGTATGTACATATATGCTCAAGGACAACCCTAAATGACAGGTTAACATTCTAGGCTAGATATCGTTCCAAAGGGATGAAAGGGTGAAAACCAACAGTGTTTGAAGGAAAGGCATTTCGACCCTTGCACTCATGAGAGGTTTCTATTCGTAGCCGGTTTATGAGCTTAGATTGAATATAATAACACTTCTAGCGAGAATACCCTACCTCGACCGTCAAAGCCCATATCTGTTTATGGAGCAATTTCCCCAACTCGTAAAATTCATGGGTTTTGCTTAGAAAGGCACCTAGACTGCATAAAGCGAGGAGTAACACAGAAGGTAGCCGCGAGACATTGAGTGTCGGTCGGTGGAAGAAGGGCATGTATATGTCGCAGTAATCTAGCGCTAAACGGAGAATATGGTTCGTCTTTATAGGGTCCTTTAACGGCGAGTTCACAAGGTCCTAATGTGATATTAGAAGTGGTCCGCCAGCAGCTGAGATTGATCGAGTAACCCTAGCATTCTTCTTCTCTACATACAGAGCAATGGTTTAGGAGCCTCTCATGGTCGAAGGAGGTAATCTGGGGAGCCTCATATCGGGGAGATTGCGAATCGACGGACGGAAGGTATATGTCCTGGCCCATTGAATGAATGTTTAGTAACGAAGTCTCTTCATACCAGTATGACTATTCGTAGGACAACATACTGGTGGTGACGTATGATCTGTCGTGTCGCCAAAATGGAGGTTGAGATAATCGTCTGAAGGCAGATCGAAGAGACTAGTGCTGTGGAAGAGCCATGGATAGTCGTCGAACGGTGCCGGGATCGCGAGGAAAGGCTGGGACTGCTGCTGGCTTATAAGCTGGGGTAAATGGTTGACCGGAGGCATTGAGCCATGGGGAGTATGAACGGTTGACGTTGGCTGTGCGTTTGTCGACGTATGATTGAATATATGGCTAATAGGATCCGTTCGAGGCGTAGGAAGCGTGAGAGGCGCCATTGCTGGAAAATGGGTTACGGCTGGACGGGCAAGATCGTTGTAGGTCGTAGGAGGCTGGCCTACAGGCCCATCGAAGCGGTTCTGGTCGAGATGCCATTCCGCTGTTGCAGACGAAGACTTCGACTCTGACGGAGAGCTACTCGCGATTGCAAGGCTTGCTGACGGAGACGGAGACGGAGACGTGAGAACAGGCGTCTGAACAGAAGGAGTAGCATCCGAAGCACCAGGCGGTTGCTCTACGCCCTCTGCCGTAGATTTGCGCTTCTCGTGGCGCCGCAGATGGGCATTTAGGAGATCACTGCACAATTGACAATTGTCGACATATCAGCTTCAGCTTCAGCTTCAAGATTCAGATTCAGGTTCAGATTCAGGTTCAGGTCCGGATCTCGTTTCATTCTGTTGCAGGTCAGACATTGCCTTACTTTCGAGTGAACCTCCTCTGGCATAAATAGCAGAGAAAAGCTCCCTTTTTATCTGTTTTCATCCGTTAGACATCTGAGGTCGCGAACGAACGAACAACTTCCACGAAATGGGCTCACACACGAATCAATGCATGGCGATTCAGATGCTCGCTTCTCAGATACGAGCGGTTGCAGCCTGCGAACTGGCAATGGAATTTGGCTCCCTTCTGCTCTTGATTCTGTTGCTTTTGCTGTTGTGGTCGCTGCTGCTCCATCTTTTGGGCGGACAAAAGGAACCAGGGTCAGCTATCTCCAGACATCGTTCAGCCGCCCAAGCCATCGAATACGAGATGAGATGTCGCTCTGCCAGGGCTGCGATAGCGAGGTTGATAAAATGCTGGCCAAGCTCTGCGACGAGAAACGATGAAAACACGGCGTTTCGCTAGCTTTTTTTCCACCTCTTGCCGCAGCGGGGTACGCGAAAAAAAAACATCGCTTCATTCTCGATGCAGCTGGAGAGAGAAAGTTGATATGGGCTTCAAGCGACGGCAGCGAGCCTAGCATCATCGCATCGACGGCTTCAGCGTCTATAAAGGGAGCTCTTTATCTTACGTCATTGCGATCCGGCCAGCGTTTCCAGAGACGACCTTTCTTACATCTACGAAGATGATCTTTCAACATCTACCAGCGCATTTTGTCGATTAATCATGTCGATATGGATGCTTGCATGAGCTGAAGATCCAGATATTCAGGACTACTGCTGTGCAACGAGCTGCGTACGCGGTTTCTCCAGCGTTGTTTTGTGGTTCAACCATTCGCTTCCTCCCGCATGAACCAGAGACCGGGCTCTGCTGTCTATCCATCCGAGAGTTCGCCGGCAATGAATGTGAGAGGTAGCAAGGTCGATATACCTCGTCGTCGCGTCGTCACATCCGCTATGAGAGGTGGGTGTGAGAACCGAGAGAGTCTATCCGGGCATGTACTCCGTATAGACGCCGTAATATAATATCAACCAGGCCAAAGACCCTGGGCGAAAAAAACATAACTATATTATATGATTTGAGATCCCTACACACAAGACGGGCTGCAGAACGGCCGGTGCTCGCGATTCGCTCGGATATCAGGTTTCAACCCCCACGGTCAACTTAAGGCTCACATCGATGCATCCACTACCATTTTGGTCGAGGCTTCTGCTTCCCTGGTTTTCATCGAACGGACTTCCGCTCCACCAGTTCTCCCCTTAAACTAGCTGCTGTTTGCCACCGGAGGCCGCTGGTCGAAGCATGTCCGCCGAACGCTGCTGGTGTAAGGGAGACCAATCGTGTGGACATCGGAACTTCTGTCCCACAGTGCTTATTATTTGGCTTTCTCGTTTCTTTTTCCCGACGCAACGCCATGGAGAAGTCGAATGCGTTTTCATTCGTTCCCGCTCATCGACTGAGGCTTGAGCATTGCCTATCACCCAATAAGGAGCCCCTTCACCCTGGCAATTTTCCCTCGTCGTGCTCTTCTATCGATAAAATAGCTTGACAGTCAAAGCGAGCTAATTATTTATGACACCTCATAGCCCGGGGTCAAACTTCCTTATCTCAAACATCGTTGAATGACCCCTAAGTATCCTCCAAAAGTCACGACACAGGGCGATAGCCGTCCCTCTTTACCCGTATCGAACATCCCACGGATACTTTTCTTTACTTGATGACAGTAAGAAGTCTAATCAGACAGATATGAGCCTGGGGGCGTGGACCAGAGAATGCGCAGTATTTTGAACATTTTGCAGCTTCACATCCGCAATTGAAAATGGAGATGATGCCAGAAGACCTGGTCGCAATGACCCAGCTAATAGCTCGGGGTGTGCTGGTATGTATTCCTGACCTCGCCGCCAAAGCTCAAGCTAATCGATTATCAAGGACTCCTCAAACGATCCGAATATTGGGTCGGCGCGGGGGGATAACAAATCCTCAACTTCAGACGCACTTAGCGCCCTGGGAGTGTCAGCATCAACATCTGGAATGGCATTGCTTTCTACTTTCCTTCCCGCGTTTATCTTGGCCATCGTTTGTTTCCTGATCTTTCTTGTTTGTCGTCGCACACAGCGCCGGTTTTACGCTCCGAGATCATTTCTGGGCCATCTGCATGACCAGTATGTTCTCCTTCCCTAATATATTCCTAGGCGTGCACATTTAACGCAAAAATTGCGCAGTGAGCGAAGCCCAGAACTTCCCCAAGGGTTTATCAACTGGATAGGGGAGTTCGTCCGTCTCCCGGACAGCCATGTGCTCCGTCACTCGTCCTTGGATGGATATTTCTTCCTTCGGTTCCTCAAGAAGATGTCCCTGCTAAGTGTTGTCGGATGCTGTATTACCTGGCCTATCTTGATGCCAATCCATATTACGGGAGGCGCGGGCAATTCTCAACTAGACCTCCTGACTTTCAGCAATGTGGTCAACCCGAATCGGTACTACGCACATACCTTTGTATCTTGGATATTCTTCGGCAAGTTAACCATGCCTCGATGATATCACTGTTGCGAATATTATTGCTAACGCATACTAGCATTCATATTCCTCATGGTATGTCGAGAAAGTATCTTCTATGCGGCTCTTCGCCAGGCATATCTACTTTCCCCGCTGTATGCCGATCGGATCTCATCCCGAACCGTTCTCTTCATGTCTGTCCCGACGTCTTATCAAAATAAGACAAAGCTCTCGAAAATTTTCGGCGAGTCGGTTAAACGGGTTTGGGTGAGCGAGGATGCCTCAAAGTTGGATAGACTCGTCAAGGAACGTGACAATCTTGCGTATCGTCTGGAAGGGGCTGAAACAACGTTTGTCAAAAACGCACATGCAGCCCGCTTGAAGGCATTGAAAGCACAAGGCCGGGAACCCGAAATTTCACTAGAGGCGGCCGCTGTCACTCAAAGTAATGATACCGACCTCAAGCAGGCTACTTGGCTATTAAACGCCAAGCGCCCTTTCCGCCTATCCCATTATCTTTTTGGGAAGAAAATTGATACCATTGACTGCCTTCGCAGTCGCCTCGCCACGCTAATCCCAAAGGTCGAGACTCTACAGGAAAAACACCGAGCCTGCGAACCGAGAGCTGTTGGCGGTGTATTTGTTGAATTCACCACCCAACGTGAGGCCCAGATTGCATATCAAACCCTCTCACACCATCATCCATCTCAGATGACACCGCGATTTATTGGAATACCACCTCACCAGGTGCTGTGGCCTGCGTTGCGGTATTCCTGGTACCAAAGAATCGTCAGAAAATTTGCCGTTCAGGGCTTCATCGCCGTCTTAATCATTTTTTGGTCTGTGCCATCAGCTTTTATCGGATCAATCTCCAATATCGCCTACCTCACCAACCTCCTTAAATTTTTAAGCTTCGTGAATGAACTACCTCCTTTCCTTAAGGGAGTAATAAGTGGATTGCTCCCAGCAGCCGGTTTAGCGATATTGATGTCTGCCGTTCCCTGGATTATGAGATGTAAGTCCATCTTTCTAGCCCTTTACAAAAACCTCCATCCTAACATGAGTGGCATGACAGGGTGTGGGAGACAGTCGGGTGTCCCATCAGCAGCAAAAGCAGAATTGTTTACGCAGAACGCGCACTTTTGCTTTCAGGTAGTGCAGGTGTTCCTTGTAACTACCTTAACATCGGCAGCTTCAGCAGCAACAAGCCAAATTATCAAAGACCCGCTCTCGACCAAAGACCTTTTAGCAAAAAACCTTCCCAAGGCGACAAATTTCTACATCTCATATTTCCTTTTCCAAGGCCTCATGCTGAGTTCTGGAGCTGTGGTGCAGGTGATTGCCTTTCTTGTTTTTAAGTTCCTCCGAGCCTTCTTTGATACTACTCCGCGAAAGCTATACTCACGATGGGCTGCGCTTACGGGTGTATGGTGGGGGACTGTCTTCCCCGTTTTTACGAATATGACCGTTATCGGTACGTGAAGCATCCTTCCAATTACACATTTAACAAAAGTTAACGTCGAAAATAGCAATTACGTATAGCTGCATCGCTCCCCTTGTCCTAGGCTTTTCGGCTCTTGGCCTATATTTGGTATACCAGGCGTATCGATACAATCTTTTGTTCGTCTATGAACCTGTTGTCGACACGAAGGGCCTAGTATATCCCCGAGCACTTCAGCAAGTTTTGACCGGTGTTTACCTAGCAGAAGTATGCATGTTCGGGCTCTTCGCAATCCGCGGAGCAGCGGGCCCCATGGTTTTAATGGGACTTTTTACTGCTTTCACAGCACTCTCTCATATCTCTCTGAATGAAGCGTTGTCGCCATTGCTTTCAGCTTTACCGCATACATTGAACAACGAAGACGATTGGACGTGTACAACCCCTGTTGACCTGGACAAACCAGCATTCCTATCCAGAACTATGACGAGCGGCAAGGAATTTCTACCTCGTCGCCAGAGCACATTGACTCTAGCGGAGATTACCACCGCGCCGGATTCCTTCTGGGACAAGCTCAAAAAGATTCGCTGGTGGCTGTTTCACCCCAGCATATATGCCAACTATGCAGCATTGCGCGAGAAAATACGGCAAGACCCATCGATTCCATACGACGAACACGTTTCTGATAATGCGTATTTCCCTACTTGCGTCTACAGCCAGCCGCCTCTTCTTTGGATCCCGCGAGATGCTGGAGGCGTGAGCCGGCAAGAGGTTGAGCTTACAAACCCGATTATACCGATGACGGATGACCAAGCCCATCTTGATGAGAAGAACAAGGTGGTATGGGACAAGGTCGGGATGAAACCGCCGATATGGGAAGAAAAGGTATTTTACTAGACGGACCCAAAAATTCACGGAGAGAGGCTTCTTCCTCCGCGAACATTTTACTTTTACATATTATCATTTATTGCAAGAAGCGTCTTGTTTGTATATTCAGCCAACGTTGCCCGTTTACCTGGCTTTTTCCTCATTAACGAAACTCATGAACCCACCACCCTTGATGTATTCGGGTTTCGGCCAGCATTTCACCCTTGCTCGATGCAAGGTAGAATGTCTTTCTATTTTCTACGGTTTCGTGCTGTACTTAGATGCCAGTCACCAGTAGCAGGCAACAACAAGACAACGAATCACCTTATTTTTACTCATACTCTCACTATTCCTTTTTAGCCCTATATCTCTCCCTTCCCCTGACTCTAAAAACTGCAAAGAGTCACAGTGAATCATCGCTTTTTTCTTTTTATGTCGGAGTTAACCAGTTACGAGATGATGAGTCAGCGGCAAGTCCCCTGCAAACAACGACGTCTTCTGGACAAGAAATAAATAAATTGTACAATACTTAAAAGAAAACATCGCGCTTCTCTCGTTGATTTTAATTAAAGTGCCTATTGATAGAATTAACTCCCCTGTTTCCGACCTCATACCATATCCTTCATAACCATGGCAGAACAAGCCCCAGCAAATCAGCAAAACGCCCCTCAATCTAGAGACTCCGCCAGAGGTAGAGGACGGGGCAGCAGAGGCAACCGACGAGGAGGAGGTGGTGGTACCGGCGGAGGTGATCCTTCTTCAACAGACACGAACCAGCAGTCGCGTCGGCATAACCAGGGAGGTGGTGGCAGAGGTCGACAAGGTAGAGGGGGTGGCACACACAATGAGGGACGCGGCGGGAGGAATGCGAGACGGTCAGGTAATCGACCACTAGATGGAGATAGCAGACATGACGGGGGCGGAGAACCACCGGGAGCTGGCGCTGAGGGCGCTGGCACCTCCGGTGTTCGCCTGACCGGAGATGCCAAACGTCCCCAGGGCGAGGAGGGACCGGTGCTGAAAGCAGAAACGTCTGTTGCCGAAGGAGAAGAAGAAGAAGTCGATGAGAATGATATCTGCTTCATCTGTGCTTCGAAGGTCGACCACGTTTCTATCGCGCCTTGCAACCACAGGACTTGTCATATCTGTGCCCTCCGATTGAGGGCGTTGTACAAAACCAAGGCCTGTGCCCATTGTCGAGTAAGTCTGGCCATCCGGTTTTGATATAGATACGGAGTATTAACAACGGCTCTTAATTAGACCGAGTCCGATTTTGTTATCTTTACCAACGATCGCACCAAGAGATATGAAGAGTTTACTAATTCTGACTTCGATCGCTCCGACGATAACCTGGGGATAAAATATGAGAACTTCGACATATTTGAAGATACCGTGTTGTTGCTTCGATATAATTGCCCGGATGGCGATTGCGATGTTGCATGTCTCGGATGGCCAGATTTGCATCGCCATGTCAAAAGCAAGCACGCAAAGGTTATGTGGTATGTTGCTTCATCCATCCATGTAAACAATATATGAAAATGGATGCACTGACAGCCCCCGATAGTGATCTCTGTACGCGTAATAAAAAGGTCTTTACGCACGAACATGAATTATTCACTGTTGCGCTTTTACGGAAACACGAGAGATACGGCGATGATAACCCTGGCGCCATTGACCAAAGCGGCTTCAAGGGACATCCGGAATGTGGATTCTGTCGTCAACGTTTCTACGGAGATGATGAGCTTTACGCACATTGCAGAGATAAGCACGAAAGATGCCATATTTGCGATCGCAGATCTGGTGGTAACAAACCACAATATTATATCAACTATGATGCACTCGAGAGCCACTTTAGCAAAGATCACTTTTTGTGTCTAGACAAGGAATGTCTGGAGAAGAAGTTCGTTGTTTTCGATTCTCAAATGGACCTCAAGGCCCACCAGCTTGAAACTCATCCTGCTGGCCTGTCAAAGGACGCAAGGAGGGATGCCAGACTTGTGGATATGTCAACTTTCGACTTTAGGTCCCCTTATCAACAAACTCGCTCGCGTCGAGATGGCCGAGAGGGTCGGGATGGTCGAGGAGCTGGCAGAGGTCGTGACCCAAATTCAGAACCGATTCCACAGTCTAGTGCTCAACCCTTGAGGAGGGATGAACTTGCCTACCAACGACAGATGGCGATCCAGAGTGCTCAGTCGGTCTCCACCAGAACGTTTGGCGGACAACTTACCTCAACACGGCCAGCAGCAACTTCATCGGCCCCAGCCACCCAGAGGTCGACACCCGCAGCTACACCCGCAGCAAGGGCCGCACCAAACACTGGCTTACTCGCTATAGAAGCTCTTGATCTTGGACAGTCAACCACCCCGACCAGTCAGCAGGAACAAGCTAGGCAGCTAGCACACTCTACAGTCATGGATCGCGCATGCTCCCTTCTCCGAAATGACCAAAGGAAAATTAGTGACTTCCGAGGGAAGGTTTCACAATATCGAAGCACCGCTATCGGGGCAAACGAACTCATCGAGGCATTTTTTTCCCTTTTTGACACCTCGTCGACTGAATTGGGTAAATTAATAAAAGAACTCGCCCATATCTACGAAGATGAAAACAAACGTACCGCGCTCCTGAAGGCATGGAACGACTGGCGTGCAATTAATGAAGACTATCCCGCTCTCCCAGGGCCCAGCGGAACGACACCATATACGGGGACAGGAAGTGGATTTGGTTCCGGTAAAAGAGTACTGCGCCTGAAATCATCTACGACCCAATCATCGCGATCGGCCACAGGTCACAATAACAGACTGTCCGGGATTCTACCATCCAACTACTCCTCTAACCCATTTCCTCCACTTGCTAGTACTAACACCACCCGGAAAGCAAAACAGGGAGGAAATGTATGGGGTACTACTCCGGCTGCGCCAGCTGCACCAACTCACTCTGGATCCCGAGCCCCAGCGCCTGCCTCAAGGCCAAAGGTTACCAAAGACACTACTGCCTTCCCCGCTCTCCCCGCCGCTCCTAAGCCGAATACACTTATGGCTGGGCTTACTCGCGGGACCGTGAGGTGGGAGGACCGGCCTGGCTCGGGTGCGGCGAGCGCAAGACCCTCCGCCTGGGGTTCATCGAATGACCCAACCCCGGCTGAATCAGATCCCGCCGCTTCGGACAAGAAAGGCAAAGGAAAAAAAGGAAAACAGGTTTTGTACCACTTTGGATAAGTAATCCAATTGGATAATATTCCTTACAAGCCCGTGAATTGTATTCTTGCTCCCGATGATATTGTTATTCAGCGTAGCGAATAGGGGAAAAGGGGGTGTTTTGTGACCTTTTAAGCATGTAATATGAATTACCTTTGTGATAAGTACTATATTAGACCTTCATTAAAAACCTCCGTACCGTCTGGTTAAACGTTTCAATTAAAAGAAAAGGTGTAAATTATATTCCCTCGGGAATTATAAAACGTTTGCGACGGTTAAAAATAACCCCTATCGAATGCAAACCCGAACAGCACCATATAGCAAATCTCTTCGAAGTGCTTGCCTCTTGAACTAGTTAACCGTAAAGGGTCACTTTTCAGTTTAGTGAATAGACGAGGTTGTGATTTCAACCCATAATCACACAGAAACATAGACTACTCGTCTGAAGAACATGTAGACATAACATCTGATCGACGTTCAACTTCGCTATAAAAAAGCAAGTCACTATTCCCCGAGGATTGTCCGACACACGCAGATCCAAGACGTCTACGGTTAATAGTCGGATTTGTAGGGAGAGATGGGCTGGTGCCATGAGGCGATATACCCTCCATTATTGGATCGAACTCTCCTGAAACTTCAATTTGTTCACATTGGGGCGTGGCGTCTTTACCTCCCGCAGTAGCGGCTTGCGCTTCCGCTTCTGCTTCAATATCCATCATTCGTAAAGTAAATTCCCCCTGGAGTCGAAGGAGCCATTGTCTGAGCTCTTCGCTTTCCATGACCCCATCGCGGGCTTGTAGCAGCTGTTCTCGCAAAGTTAGCAGAAGTCGACGTCGCTTAGCTAGTGAAATAGCTGCAGAGGATATGATTCGGTCCCGGGCAACAAGAGTAAGTTGAGTCGATACTTTCTCAGCAACCGCTATAAGGTAAGGAGGTAGACAAAAGATCCTGGCGAGCGCCAGACCATAATGTTGTTCTTGTACGTAGCCATCAACAATCTTGTAGAGCATCGTTATTTTGGACCTTGGATCAGACATATCGACAGCAAGATGCAGATTGATAACTCCGGTGCGGTGCTCCATGATACGCGGCAAATCGTGAAAGTGAGTAGTAAACCAGACTAGGGCATGAGTTTCCACGAGAGCTTCAGCTATGGCAATAGAAATAGCAAGTCCATCAGCAGAAGCAGTCCCGCGACCTAGTTCGTCTATAATAACCATACTTTTTGCATCGATATTCCGCAAAATAAACGCCATTTCTCTCATCTCGGTTGAGAAAGTCGACACATTGGTAACTTGGTTATCGTCCGTTGAGACGCGAGCGAATAGTTGATGCACAATAGGAAATGAGGCATACTGAGCAGGGACTGAACTCCCAATTTGTGCCATTACCGTCATCAGAGCGAGCGATCGAATATACGTGCTTTTCCCGCTCATATTACAGCCAGTTATAATCTGAAACCGGGACTGTTGGGAAGCATAAACATCATTGGGGATATATTTTGTTGAATGGATTTTCTCTCGGATAGGATGCCTCCCAGCCTTGATGGCTACCGTGTCAGTTAGTTCAGGGCGTACATAATCTTGCATGTTTTGGAGGTAAGCGAAAGCTGCCATCATATCAAGCATAGCAATCGCTTCGCTAATACGAAACAAGCTGGAAATTTGCGATCGAACGTCATCTATTAGCTCTTGGATGCTTCGATCGCTCATGCTGATAACTTCATTATGGGAGTCGGTTATCTTTTGATTCATCTTAAGAAGGTCAAGTGTTTGGAATTCCACGTATGCCTTCCTTCGATACACATTGATGAAGACGTCAGGTAATGGGGTATCCTGGAGACTGGAAGATCGCACACGAAAGTAATAATGGCGAGCAGATTCGAATCTCAAATCTAATGGGATATCATGCTCCTCTGTACATCTTAGTGTCCGGATTAATTAAAGGGTAAGAAGAACTTACCAGTAAGGCGTGCGGATAGTTCTGCTACATCATCATTGGCTTCTTTGTAGGTTTGTCTCGCAACGTCGAGGAGGTTGTTTACTCCGGCCTAAGTGATCAGAATCATAAGACGAATTCGAAAAAATGCAAATACATACCTTGACTGCATAGGTTCTGTGGTTACGTAGATCCAGAGCACTGGACTGATACCTCACATCGTCATTGAGAGTTTCTTTGAGAAGTAATTCAACGGGCTCATAGCAGCTTGGTGAGCATAGCTGGTTTCTAATCGGTTAATCCATGAGGAATCGAGTTATATAGTTCAATAGAGCTAGTCCACTTGCATTACGTATTGTCTCCAGAAGACTGCTTCTCGCACCAGCCAAAGCATCATATACAGGTCTTATCGAAGACACAAATGTCTTCAACATTATCACATTGTTGATGGATTGCTCGGCAAACGAGAAGCTTGGCTTGGTTGGTACAACAGTCAACTAAATTCAGGTTAGCAATAATCTATATTGGGGTTTCAAAGACGTTACCCACAGCCGTAAGTACTCTGTCTGAATCAACAAAGGATTTAAGGGCTGAAAATTATCCCTTAGCTTCCTAAATCAAGAGGTTGGCTTGGTGGCAAGACAAACCTTGTCTGATAGCAAAGAACATCCCCTCATTAGTTGATAACTCTTCGACGGCATCATATCTAGTGATCAGTTTAGCGCGCTCCGTAGAAGGCTGTAACACATTGCTTCGCAGCAATCTAGAGCCCATTGGGGTGTGCGTTTCGTTGAGGAGCCCAAATAGGCAATCCCTGGACTTTGAGTTTTGTAGATTTTGAATAAGTTCTAGCGAGACAATAGTAGCTAAGTCTATCATCATAGATCCTTCTGACGGCTCGTATCTTAGACGAAGAGAATGGGAAGTGAAAGTCATCGAGAGTTCAAGCTCGATGTAAGTCAGGGCCTTGAAGATAGGTTAGTTAAAACTGCTTGTAGGGAGAGGTGTATTAGCTTGGCCTACAGCTGCAAAGCAACAGGCGGAAAAGTAACTGCCTTCTAAAGCCATTTTGATGGATTCTATGTCTTCTTTAAAGGCCAGCCGCTCAACATAATCATGGCCGTTTTGCTCAGACCAGTACTTCCTCTCGATGGCAGTGATCCGGATATGTGGAAGATTTTCCTCCACAATTGCATATAGTTTTGAGAGGGATTCCTTTGCCGTTTTCATAAACAGCACTTCAGTGGGCTCAAATACAGCCAGTTTATGCACCGTCCTGGCATAGGTCTGGCTGTCACAGATTTGAGAAAGAACGGCTTCTGAAGTAGAGAGGTTGACAAAGGCTAACCCAACAGCCGGAGAGATACCCCTAGATTCACTTATTGCACAAATGATTTCCTGGGATGGCACACTTGTAGCTGCCGTTACTGGCCGAGTTCCTCGATGCCCCCCAGCGACAGTTCTGCCTGTGGTTGGACGTGTTGACCTGGTTTCCGAGGTATCGGGGTAAAGGGAAGTAGATGGGGTGCGGTATGACATTTTCAGCAGAGAGAAATGATTGTATCGCGAAGTTCATCTGCAAGCCGCAATTTCCATCCGTTTCATCTACTGACACAAACTCCAACTCGCGAGCAATGCTGGTCTCTTGTCGTTGTCGTTGATGCCGTGAACGTCGCTTTCGCCGTATTGGGACCGGCTTATATAACCACATCTTATCTCCACGTGATTTATGTAGATAAGATAAACTCAAAATAGTTTTAGTGGGAGCATTTTTTCTGTAAAGTTATTCAGAGGCCTTGTTTATAGAGCTCTTTGATCGGATTGCTATCAGAGAGAAGGGTTAGCAGCACCCGAAAAAAAAAAATGGCGACAGTACTACCCCCACCTAGCAAACGCCAGCGACGCGAGATTGACGAGAAAGCCCGGGAACAGCAGGAGGTTGATTCAATCCCAGAGAACCTGGGAAGCGTCCGAGTTCAATTTTTTGACCAGTCTACTGGAAGTGCCTCTGGGCCGGCTGTAGCTGTTCCGTTAGGTGATGCCACAGTGAGGAATTTGGAAATACTGCTGAATACCCTTCAGGGCAATGTAGGTACATCTTATGGGCGTTTTGATTATGCTTCGCAACTGACGCTATGACAGGATGACGATGAAAGGATCCCTTATCGATTTGCGTATAAGGAAGACGATAAGGATGGCAATCTAGTTGATATCTCATCTGACTTGTACCATTCTCTACTCCAACCTGGTATAAAGACCACTGAAGACATTATACACCTACAATATACACCGCAGGCTGTGTTCCGTGTCAAGGCTGCATCCCGATGCTCGGCATCAATAGTAGGACATGGAGAAGCTATATTAGCGACATCTTTTGCTTCATCCTCATCTTCACGAATGGTATCGGGAAGTGGCGATTCAACAGCACGTATATGGGACTGTGATACTGGGACACCGTTGCACACTCTTAAAGGACATTCCAGCTGGGTTCTGGCTGTGAGTTGGTCACCCAACGATAAGATAATAGCCACTGGAAGTATGGATAATACCGTCAGACTATGGGATCCTCAAACTGGCCAAGCGTTAGGAGGCCCCATGAAAGGACATTCAAAATGGATCATGAGCCTTGCATGGGAACCGTATCACCTACAGAGCCCTGGGAAACCCAGACTAGCATCAGCATCAAAAGATTCGACTGTTAGAATATGGGATACGGTGTCTAGACGAATTGAGAGCGTATTAACCGGACATAAGGGTTCCGTATCCTGCGTTCGATGGGGTGGCCTTGGTAAGATTTATACCTCCTCCCACGATAAGACCATCAAAATATGGCACCCAGAGGATGGAAGTTTGATACAAACGCTATCCTCTCATACTCACCGGATCAACCATCTGGCTCTATCCACCGATTTCGTTCTCCGTACCTCATACAACGAGCACAATCAAAAAGCACCCGAGAAGGAAGAAGACAAAGTGAAGTTAGCAAAGGAGAGATTCGAAAAAGCTGCCACCGTCAATAACAAGGTATCTGAAAGGTTAGTCTCTGCTAGTGACGATTTCACAATGTTTCTATGGGATCCAGCTTCCTCAAATAAGCCTGTGGCCCGAATGCTTGGACATCAAAAAGAAGTCAACCACGTCACCTTCTCTCCGGACGGTGCATATATCGCTTCTGCTAGTTTTGATAATCATGTTAAACTGTGGAATGCTCGAGATGGAAAGTACGTATTCCCTCTCTATATCTATATTACCCTATGTATGATACTGTTCTAACGCTCTACCCTCAAGATTTATATTTTCCCTTCGTGGCCATGTTGGCCCCGTATACCAATGTTGCTTTTCTGCAGACTCTAGACTTCTTGTTTCGTCTTCCAAGGACACAACTCTGAAAATATGGGATATTCGAACCGGGAAAATGAAAATGGATTTACCCGGCCATCAAGATGAGGTATATGCAGTCGACTGGAGCCCTGATGGTGAAAAGGTGGGAAGTGGGGGAAGGGATAAGGTGGTCCGTATCTGGCGACATTAATATTTTTCACGATCACCTATACCTTTCATGTCCGTTGGTTGTTTACAATTACTCCAGCGTAGGTTTAAATGTTTCAATTCTTTGGTTACTCAGTTTATACAGAATAGAATATCCCCTTCAGTTTATGAATGTAACGACAATGGTTCTGATCATACATAATCATAACGTTATATTTAGTCCAATAAGCGTTGCAAATAACATTATAACCAAATATAAAACCTCGGATCTCCGAATATGTCTCGCTTTACTTACATGAATGGTAGGCTGAACATTCGCTCGAAAGAAATCACCATCCGTTGACACCACATTCCCAGGAGGCCAGTATTCACAGACAATATACCAGCCATTAACCTCCTCGTCTTTCCTCTTATTACCGACTCTAGGATTGCATTTGACTCTTCCACATCCCACACTTATGGTACCTTTCCATACGAGCTGCGTAAAATGACCAGTCTTCTTCGAAAATCCAGTCGGCTTTCTGAAGTTGTAGATGTCTCGTTCATCGCCCCATGCTTTTACAGCAGATGAGGCATTCGCATACCCATATGCTAAGTTTTCGCCTAGACCTGATCCCTATAATATGATAAGCCCCGTGTCGTCTTAGATATGAAGTATGGAAAGGGTAATGCATACGGAATGTTTCCATCGACATTTCTTTGCCCAGTCTGATGCGGTTTGTGCCAGGGTATTGTTCCATCGCAAATCAATAGCATTGTGCTCCGATCGATACCGATTAGAAGTCTTTAGTACGTTTTCTCGAAATTGGATATCCGAGACATCTGACGGGGGTATCGGTGGCGACGAGGGCTTTACATAGATTGTGATAACAGTAGGGCTTATGGCAGAAATTGTTTGCAAAAATAGTAGTAAACCCATGTATTTAGCTACCATTGTAGTAGGAATAGCTCAGGGTGTTATTGATGATATCACCGTTATGTCGCGTGGGATGAAGGGGAAATCTAACGTTGATAGATTTAAATATCTTCAGTATAGCTCTATTCAAATATATACGTTCTATAATTATCTTCAATGCAAAAAAGCCGAGGAAAACTCGCCTTGCTGGCTTTGCACAGACGGGGCGGCTTAGCTTCTTAGGCATTTTTTTTTTTGGCCACTTTATGGTGGGTGTCAGAGAGGGATATCCAAACAATGCGGTCTTTAATCACCTATATGATACCATGCGGGCGGCAGTTGAAACGATTCATTCGTTTTAAGTGTGGGAAGGTTTGAGCTAGGCGGCAAGCCTGCTCACGGGTAGGAGTCGTTATTATGTAAACTCTGAGTGTGTTGTCACATAGATAGAAAGAGTGCGATATATAGTTAGTATCGCCAATGATATGGTTATCATTGTCCCGGACTTTGGTTGCACTGGGGGCTTGGGTATGACCATCTTCCAAAACCCCAAATAGAGGCACAATAATCGATGATTTGATGAAAGACTAACAACTGAGTTACATCACGGTGCATCCTACGCCATACATGGCCTTCTCGACGCTGTTTTTGACTTGATACCAATCGGCTCGTCGTTCAGCAAATTCGTAAGCCTCCTCAGCGCGGAAGATCCCATGGAAACGACTAGCATCGGAGATAATAGAGGCCATCTCCTTTGAGTCTGCAGTGTCAATCAGGTAAACTTGGGATAGCTCTCTCAAGGCTTTAAAATAAAGTGGGAGTTCCGCGTTTCTCATCGACTGTATAAGCCCAAAATAGTGATTCATATCACTATTCACCGGTGTTAGTGTTACGTTCTTTGGTACTAGATGGGATCAGGGATCATGTCATACCTTATGAGCTTGATGGAGCCTTCTATACTAATTCGATGGCGCTTGATATGTTTACAAAGCGCGGTAAAAAGGCGGAGGCCAATCTCCTGGTTGAACACATCCAATGTGCTCTTATCTGTTCCACCAACCAACATTCTCGTGTGGGAGGAGATAACTTGAACAACTGCTTTAGCTGCATCACTGGGGCCGATATCTGAAGTTCTCTGGGCTGGATCGACTAATTCAGGGTGGAAATCCCCCACCGATTGTTTGGTAGCTAATAGATATTCCACCTCGTCCATTAGTACGCCGATTCCTTTATTAAGTCCTGCGGCAACCCGTTCATCAAGCTTCTGTTCGAATTTCCTTTTCTCCTTGACGGCAGGGTCAAGGAAGTCGCTTCGATCCGTTAAGCCAGCTGCAATCAGTTCCTGTTCGTAGAACACATCCACCATCTGTAGAATTAAGTCGCCCACATTAACTAGCTCGAGGAACGTAACGAGGGGCTCAACACCCGACTTCTCCTGTTCGGCTTGCTGACGAGGGCGATACTCAGAAAGGTGGTTGACTGCTCGGTCAAAGCCAGCAATGACATGGCGATGACCAAGACTGTCTAGCAAGGAGACAAAAATGGCTTCACATTGTGCCTGTGCAGATTTTCCTAGTTCCCCCTTTAGGCCCACAAATTGTGCCGTCCTCTCCAGGCTTGACTTAGCAGCATGAACCAGGTTAAGTGCGACTTCGATGCTAAATAGACTGCGGATTCCCTCGAATTTGGAATTCATAATTGCAGCCTTAGCTGCAAATTCTGTGGTAGGAAGTTCTGTTGGTGTGACGGGAGTGGGAGGCGAAAGGAGAGTGGATGAACGATTCGAAGGTTGTGTGCTCTTAGCTGATAATTTTTCTGTTCCGTCCTTCTTAGCTTCCGGTGCTTTATAAAAGCTTGGAATCATATTCACTGGGGCCATGATCACTTTCGTAAATGAGCTTAGAAAGTCCCTCTTATCAGCCTGCCTATTGTGAATGTTAGACATGTATAGTGACTCCGTGGTGGCAGCTTGCTCGGATAACTGTCTATCCCAATCTCCTACAATGGAGTCAGAATGTGATCGGAACTGATCCAATTCTTCAGCGAGATACAAGTCGACATGTGGTTCGAAGGTCCGCTCAATAGCTTGTCGAGCTAGCTCCTCGAATTGATCCTTGGAGACTTGGATTGGGTTCAGCTCGCGAATGAAGTTGAGCGATTGGGCAAAAGTCCCCGGTAATGTCTGGATATAGGCTGCCTTATTCGTAGACTGGAGGAGGTCGAGCAGCGGAATAAAATATGGCGATAATATATCTTTACACATCCGCTCCAGGAAAAGGGATGATACGTTTGGACCGTTTGCAAAACATCGATTTATACAGGAGGCCTCTTCATTGAATGCCACACTGAGCCTGGTTAAGAAAGCATGAGTGTGATCAAGAGACACAGTGCCTGAATCTGCATCAAAACCATCCATTGGACTCCCAAAATCCGATTTCCGTGTGATTATATGATTTTGATGGATGAGTAATTCAACGGCAGCTCCGCCACCGTTGAGAGTCGTCAAGACATGGGCATATCGCTGCATTAAATTATCAACGTCTCCGTTTTCATATCCCTGCTTAAACTCGCGTAAAGCAGCCTTTTCAAAGACAGATACAATATCAGCCAACTTTTGCCTGCGTATCCCGGATCCGAGGCCTATATCAGCATTTGAGAAATGTTGTAGCTGTGATAGCAATAGAGCTTGCTGTTCAGGTTTATCATAAGACTTGAAAACTAAAGAATCGGTGGAACCTTCGGTTTTGACAATGTCTTGATAGAAAGGGTTTAGGGACTCATGGATTTTACCGTATTCTTCTCTTGCTCTTCCTCGAATAGAGCGAGCGTCTCGGAGAGCTGCAAGTGGACCGGTGATTTCAGCTTCCACCTCCGCATTAAACTCAACGACATCAAATCCACTAGAATCCGTTATATGTCCGTTAGATTTATGGATCTCCTCTTTAGCCGTTGAAGGCCTGGACTGTGGTCTTCTACTAGGCGGGCGATCAGCGTCCTTCTCTGAGCCTTCCGCGGAACTTCTTGCTTCCACCTCATTCCAGCAGCCTATTTGTCTCAGGAGCCTGACCCATCTTGTGTCATCGTATACCATCTCATGCATACGTTTTGACGTCTTCGCCACACTTATAAGGTCTAGAGGAGGGAGGTAGTCAAGGATTGAGGCCATAATTTCTATTCTACGTTAGTATCAGAGATACCAGAGGAAGATATGCGGGTAGTTGGCATTGCCTACCAGCAGGAAGCACAGGTTTCAGCACTTCAATCTGCGCCAGCTTTAACGGTGCGAGAACATCCTTGCGGGGTGCGCGAGGCGGCGCCTTGGAAGACGGCCTCTGCTTGATCGAGCTTGCCATGCTGGTCCTCGGATAATATGATCATGTAGATTCGTTGGCGGAAAAGATACGGATAAAGTTATCTCATTCAGTTGCACCCCATTTGTTGAAATAGCGAGCATAAGAAGCAGGCGTCGTTTAGAGGCTGTCGGCAGCAAACCCCCGGTTAAACGAGCAATCGTGTTAAGAGGATCAGTTGGAGGCTAGAGGCTCAGGCAGCCATGTTATCCGGATGATGCGAGGCTCCCACAGCTTCTGAACAACGCTCAAACTCCCCCAATCCACTCGATGTTGGTAGTGGTGTTGGTCCCTTGTCGCTCGAATAGGCGTTCATATGATACGGAGTGCTCGCTGATACAAATCGTTATCGCGATCCTTTTATCCGAGTTAGCTCACGTGATGAGTTTGTTTCCAGGAGCGTCCTATATGCAAGGGAAACAGGTAGGATATCTAGAGTGAATCTTATAGTTATAGCTAATGAGAATTTTATTATTTTGTTCTCGAATTATATAGACGTATTCCTCTGGTATATTTGTATATGTAGTAGTACAATCGACATACTGAAAGCGGTGACCAAAACGGTATTCTGCCTGAACCTTTGGAATGTATCAAAAAGTCGTGATTCTTCCTTTACATCGTGTATTAATTGAGGCTGTACATCATATTCACCCTCAACACGCATACCGTAATACAGTTTTCTCTTGTTCTATGGGCCGTTGCCCACAGACGTTTGACCAGGCAGTAAAATGGGACGTTCAGTACAAGTAAAGACAGTCAACACACCGGTGCTCCACGTTGAAGCAAGGATGAGTAGCGTGGACGGCGGAATCATCTTGAGAACTGATATTGTATGCAGCTTTCAGCTTGATATACCAGGGCCTCGCTTGCTAACCCAGACACCCGTGCGGCCATAGGTTCGAGACGAAGTAACGAAGTGGCTTAGTGACAACTTTGCCGTGCTGAGCCTGGGGCAGGAAATAAAGACCTTCGGTGAGGATATCCCTCCTCACTACCTCTTAAGCCGTATTCTGGAGAAGCTAATGTATGACCTACCTACAGATGGCTTCAGTGGTGCTCACTCCACGTACCTTGATTCGATCAAGGTGATAGAGTGTTCTGGCCAACAAGGCGAAAGCGAAGCCTTTCAATTAGACTGTGTTAATCTTGACGTCCAAGCATACCAGCTTCGTTCAAACGAACCTGATACAAACCCGTTACAGGATCAAGGCAGTGAGAAACAAGAAGAAGATTCACCCCAAGCACGCATAATATCGCTGCCAAACAAGGAGTTAGATGGTATTTGGGAATCGTAAGATACACCAGAGGCTCGGTTGTATTCCTGTATTAACTCTCTAGACTTCTATTTGACCAGCCGATCCCGTCAAACTTGCTCCATGCAATTAGTCGTATGCGTTAGTACCCCGCCCAGCTGTATTAATAGTTGATGTAAACTAACAGCCAGCTACAAGTTGGGTTTTCGTGGCGTAAGCTTGGCCCTTGGACCATCAGCTGGAACCGCCTTATTCTCCTCTATGGGCCTCCGGGGACAGGAAAGACAAGTCTCTGGTATGTTCTAATCACGACTTATCAAGGAGGGATGAATTATCGTTAACCATATTTAGCCGCTCACTGGCCCAAAAACTGGCAATCCGCCTGGGGAGGCAGTTTCCGCAAAGCAAATTGGTCGAAATCAACGCTCATTCCCTGGGAAGTAAATTTTTTAGTGAAAGTGGAAAGCTAGTGGCCAAAATGTTTAGCAATATCGAAAGCATGCTAGAGGACGAGCCCGATACACTCGTCTGTGTCTTCATTGACGAGGTGGAGACTATGACTGCCAGAAGAGAGCAAACGTTGAGTGGGAATGACCCGCTAGATGCGATGAGGGCCGTCAATTCGCTTCTTACGGCATTAGATCGGCTGAGACACCACTCTAATGTAGTTGTACTTTGCACAAGCAACCTTCTCACTGCGCTGGTAGGCAAGCCCCCCCCCCCCCCCCCCCCCCCCCCCCCCCATGTATAATGCAACGAAGCTCCCATCTAACATGTTATCATATATCATGCCAGGACTCGGCATTCCTTGATCGGGTTGATATCAAGCAATTTGTCCCACGACCATCTGCAAGTGGGATATATGAAATATTCAGGAGTTGCCTTGAGAGCCTGAGTATCTGTGGCCTGATCGAGGGATCAACATTTGATGTCGTCCCGGTTGATCCAAACGACCCAACAACACCGCTCAAATACATTACCGAGCCAGCTGACTCTCTTATACTGCCCAGCTATGGCGGGATGCAGTTATGGTATCAAATGTTTCCAGAATCCGTTCCGAAGCAGCTTGCCGATATCGCGCATATGAGCACTGTAAGTTACACCATATGTTACTTTTGGCATCGCCAGGCGTAAGCTAATCGCTTCCAGGGCTTGAGCGGCCGATCACTTCGGCGGATTCCAGCATTGTCGCTCGTCCTCCACACTAATCATGATGTCTGCACCGCTGACCAGGCACTGGCAGCGTTAAGGCGTGGAGTGGAGGAGGAACTGAGAGCAAAACATGAGGCCGGGCGGGAGACAAGACAGGAGACAGGACAGGAGACAAAACAGGAGACAAGACAGGAGACAAGACAGGAGAAGACAAGAGCATCTGGCCTAGGAAAAGAGTAGTAAATGAATTTTATATCAAATTCTCCATGTGCCCGTCGGAACAACGAGGAAAGGACAGCATCACATGACCACGATGGACCAATGAGGACGCGGCTGATTCGACCCGACGCCGCGAGCCAATCACGGGACCGCTCACCAAAGTTGTTTCGAAAGACCAGGAAGAAAGTCTGACCTGCCTTCAAGAGCGAACCGCACTCCCATATATCGGATTCATCGCAACTCCTCACCCCATCTACTCTCACCGTTTCGTCCATCGGGGTACATCTCCTTCCCTCAGGATGTTGGCCCGATCTGTCTTGCGGAGTGTGCCGTCGAAGGCCATCTCTAAACAATGCTTCCGACAGGTTGCAAAGGTACACCACCTCCGTTCCTCCAGCGAGCCATTGCGCGGGCCGTTGCGAGCATGCAGCCCTATCTATGATGGTTTACACTCGGCAATGAATGGACTGCTGCTGACGCTTCGTTCCAGAGATCCTCGTCCACAGCTTCTGGCTCGCAAACACAATCTCCGTTCTACCTCACCTTAACCGCATCGGCTGCCACGGCCACCGCCATTGGCTCCATGGCCTGGTACTATCACCTCTATGGAGATGAAGCATTCGCCATGACTCCAGCTGAGGAAGGGTAGGTTACAATATCTCGTCAATTGCCATCGCAATGGTATAATTTTGGGCTGCAATTGCTAACAGTGTGATATCAAAGTCTCCATGCTACCCAGTATCCTTGGGAACACACCAAGTTCCTCAAGACCTTTGATCATGCCGCGTAAGTTTATTCAATACTTATATCCCTCTGTCGTGTCATTTGGACTCAGTTAATGTGATTATTTTAATTGAATAGCCTTCGTCGTGGTTTCCTCGTTTACCGTGAAGTCTGTGCCCAGTGCCATTCTCTCACCCGTGTCCCATGGCGATCGTTCGTTGGTGTCATGCATACCGTCGATGAGATGAAGGCGATGGCTGAGGAGCATGAGTACGATACCGAACCTAACGACCAGGGTGAAATTGAGAAGCGCCCAGGAAAGCTGTCCGACTACATTCCAGCTCCATACAAGAACGATGAGGCTGCCAGAGCCGCCAACAACGGTGCCTTGCCCCCAGATCTCAGTCTTATTGTCAAGGCTAGACATGGAGGCTGCGACTACATCTTCAGTCTCTTGACTGGTTATCCTGATGAGCCCCCAGCGGGTGCCGCTGTCCAAGATGGATTGAACTTCAATCCCTACTTCCCCGGTACAGGTACGTACATCAATTGAACGCCAACATTGGTCTCAATATACTTACATGGAAACCACACAGGTATTGCTATGGCTCGTGTTCTGTTCGACGGTATTGTCGAATACGAGGACGGCACTCCCGCTACTACCTCCCAAATGGCCAAGGATGTTACTGAATTCCTCAACTGGACCGCCGAACCCGAGATGGACGAGCGAAAGAAGATGGGTATGAAGGCTGTTGTGATTCTCAGTGCCCTATTTGCCGTCAGTGTCTGGGTCAAGCGATACAAGTGGGCCACCATAAAAACGAGAAAGATTGTCTACCACCCACCAGTTGGCGGCAAGCGATGAATGAAGAAACCCCCACAATCCAGAGCTATCTCCATCACCGAAGCCGCCCACCTCTGAGTCTTTTTGTGATTGTACCCTAACTCCTCGTGCCACACATGCCTGATACATTTCTCAATTTTCTGCTTCGTCGTTTTTTAGAGAGTGGGAGGACAGGGGAGTGACCATAAAAATCAGGGCTAAGTTTTGTGAAATTACCTATCTTATGTATTTATAAACTGTGCTCTTCCTTTTTTTTCCACGTCTAGAACCACAACTTTTCCCTTTGTCATTCTCAATGCTCCTCTCAGTCCTCGGCACTAGAAGTGTTCATTCAAATATATATAGTATTGCCGACAATTGCTACCCGTCCCCTATCAATGTATCCCAACCTCCCAACTACGGGAACTCGGGAGATATTATGCTCCATCTACAACCCTTCGGTAGACGTTGGGAAATATATATGGTAATTCTCTATTTAGGTCTCACCTCACCTCAAGAAGCATTATTATTTAATATATATACATAGCAGTGACACGTAGCACCACTAAAAACGCCTATCTCTAATCTATTGACAGTCCCTCAAAAATAACCACATCATCAATCACTCCAACTTGGCCATGGAAGCGCGAGTATGGATGGTGCGTTCGCCATCTCCGAATATGTACTTGAAAAAAGAGTCATATGACATCCACGATGCTGCAAACAAAGTACGCTGGAATGCGGCCAGCCATCCTGGCGTTTTACCGTCCTTATTAGCAAACAATGCATTTAACCTAAGGCTAAGCAGAAGAGGTGGAATCCACATTACGCCGAATGTAGCTTGGCCGATTCGCTGCATGATGGATGTGGGCCGATAAGGCTCGACAGAAGAGAGGTATTTGCGATATTCGGAGGGGAGGTCATGCTCCTGCGCGCCTGTGATAAGAAGGTTCATATATCGTGGTGAAGGTCGTGCGTAGTCGGGGTGCGGACGACTTCTGTTAAAACCAGGGTTCAATTGGGCAGGTTTCTTGACATCTTCTGGTTCATGACAATGGCCGGGGCTCTGTCCTGCCGTGGCTGGCGAGAGAAGGGTATGCGCCATGAACGGTTCCGTATCTGGCATATCAGGTACTGGCCCATCTGGGTCATAGTTTTCAGGAAACGGATGGCAGTCGACGACAACATCCACGTATGAAGAGCCACCACCCTCTGTAGCTATTATGCGTGCGTAATCTTTCATTGTAACCTCATATACAACTCCAACGAGGGGTTTAAGCCATCGGCCTTCCTTTCCGATTGGGACTTGTTGCGCAGGCTTGCCTGGGTAAATCGGCATCCCCGTTTTCTGGTCGCGATATTGTGTTCCCGCAAAACATGGCTCGAGGTATGCAACTCCAGGCAGGTCGAAGGTGAGGCAAAGATTAGGTACGTAGACGTTCGCTTGTGAAAGAGGTGTGACTTTGCGAGTCTTGCGGAATGTTTGGGCACACATGTTCGAGCCGTAGGCTAGGTAAAGGATTGTTTTCTTCTCTTCCTCTTCTTCCAACAAGGCCTCCTTCTCCGGCTCTTCAGCAATAACCTTTCTCTCTGCCTCTAGGGCAGCGATGCTAATGGCTTCGTCGTGAGCTGCTGCATGCTGTCTATCCGACGACGTATGAGGAATTGGAAGTGAGGGTTCAGGCTGGCTGAACGACAGCCGCCGTTTGATAGCAGACGAATCCCATGCTGCATCAATTGAAGCTTGGGTTTCAAGCTCGGCGCGCATGCCCTCTGGGGCTTCCTTCATTGTCATGGTGTTGGCGGTCCTTTTGCTGAAACGAGAAAGTTGTCATATAGGTATAGTTAACTGCAGTGCTGGCGAATTAGTTATATATATATATATATATATATATATATTTCCGCCGCTCTCGCATCTAGGGCGACGTATTAAGAGGCAAGGCATCTTTTAAACTCGTCAGCCCCAAGTGTAGATTTATTTATAAGCCAATATTCGTCCGAAATCCTCCCCGATTCCTCCGGGATGAAGGTTGGCCACCGGCTTCGGGTTAACTCTTGAATACGGTAACTAGGTTAGCGTCTTGGCGATGTAGCTAGCTATCCAGGCCCGAATCCCAGCTTGAAGTGACCACAGTGTTGTCAGCGTTATTATTTGGTCCGCCCGACCGTGGAGGCGATATTGCCAAAAGTTGGGCTAAGGTACTCCGTAATAACATCTGAGGAATGGGAATCTTCCACATGTATTGTTATTGTTCAACCACAGAATCTCATGCATAGTGTCATGCATAACTGGTTAACTAATTAGCAGCTGTTGTACCATGCAGGCCTGTTACACCCACAGTGGCACAGATCTGTCGGCTGGCTGAAGCGGTCCACAGATTGGGAAGCTTGAAAGGCGCGTTATTCGGCTAATTTCGACTAACTGAAAGAGTCAGTCCGATAGCCTTGAATAGCAAAACATGGGATTGGGGAGGATTGTATAGCTTAGCCTGGGGCTTGGGCTATACACGAGTTCTTGTCTTTCTCTTCATTCTTGCCCTCGATATCACTCCTACAAATAAAGAGACAGGTGAAATAGGCAGACTTTCTCATTGCCATATTGGCATACGTTGCTATCTGTGTCAAGGAAAGGACGTATGATTATTCCTGATGAAGCATTGCGAGATGATGTTGCAAGTCCAGCCATTTCTCCTGATATATGAACATGAGGTGGACTGGACACCGCCTTACGCTTTGGGAACCCTGTGATGGTATTCTGCCCAGCGAGTTTTGCACTGCGACATGCCACGGAGCGTAAACATATGTCTCTTTACCCATCAAATAGATTATATTTTCAATCTATGGCCATATTTTGTTCCATTTCGCTTTGAGTGCCGTGATATAACCATTGCAACATGATAGACACGCGCTTGTCAAAGCAGCCGCCAGTTATCCAGAGGCTGATAACGTATCTTCAACCTGCAGTCAAGCGTGCAACTAAGAGAGATCTCTTGATGTCAGTTCATACGAGTGTTTCTTGCAAGGTGTGCTACTTGAAAAAGACTAACGACGTCTGTAGAATTCCTCTCGATATCGTGAATGATATCCTCCAGTTCACCCCTTCTCTAAACGATCATGGCCAGTCCACTCTCATTCAGTTACTCAACGAGCATCCAAACGGGAGACACTGCTCTAGCCTTGATGTCGTATCCTTCCAATGCGTACTCTTTCTCTTTCTGAACGCCCAAGCATGCTTAGAGCGGGAGAAGGGCCTTTATCTACTCCTGGTAAATACCCAGTCATACGATCCACCCAAGTTATTCAGAGGCCAAGGCAGTTTCTAATCACTCTCGTAGGATTCTATGAAGGAGTTGTCGGAAATTTTACAGCAGGCCTTGAGCCAAGAGGTTACTTCTGCCGCAAACCAGCGCAAGGCTATTTTGGGCCAAAAGAGTTGCGCTCGCCTAGTACAGTGCTTTGCGTCCGCAGATACTAGCGCCCCCCGAAGATGGGTATATATATTACCTAAGCGATTATAAAAAAAAAAAGATAATTCTAATGGAATATAGAGTGGCCAATTTATTTTAGAATTGATCCGTGGGTCTCACGGGAATAAGAAGCTCCTTGTTTCTGTTCGAGACGGGGTTCGGTAATATACATCTACTAACCAGCAATGACTACTCATTTCCAGAAGTACTAACACTTGAACTAGGAATATTCTTGATGTACTATTCAAAGATCGCGATCCATGTCTTAGAATTATAGCTGCTGCTATAATAATGGAGTTAACTACAAGCCAATCTAAGCTGCCAGCACTACGCACGATTGACGCACGAATTGAGAAGTTTAACAATCACGTAGGCTTCTCTTTGCGAGCATCTACCAGCCAGTGGGTCAAGAAATTCATCTCTATGATATCCCCTGCCGTTTACCAGTACCAATGCGCTTTTTGCTGCACAATAAATTCAGTGTATGGTGTGGAGGAATTGATCGATGCTTCAGGCGGCTTGGCCGCAGTGTTTGCTCATGATAGGCTCACCCTCTTGGGGATACATGACAGTCGGTTCCAATGGGTCGATATATCTTTGGACTTGATAGACAGTGTGAAAGCTGAAGGCAATCGCATAGATATCTGCTTCAAACACGACAGTAACTACACCACAAATGGGACCAAACGGCACATGGGCGATATTTCTTTGGAAATGGAAGGGCCAGATAAAGTAGAAATAGTGTTAAAGGCAACCAGATATCTCAAAGGTGCGTATGTATATGCATGTTGTGGTATATATAGCTATGTGCTAACAAAATAGTAGACACGGGCTTGACTCCCAAAGATATGGATACGACAAATCCATTTAAAGGACCAAAAAATGGAGCTTTCGCGATCATTCCCTTCGAGGACTGTGGGGTCAGTGAACTGCACGGGGCATTAGTCCTCCCAGAACCGGGCAATTCTAGCAACGACGATGACACAGCGTTGTGGAGGAGTAGTCATAGACCGCCATCGTCCGCAATAATAGAACTTCCACCTAGTGAGGAGGTTCAATACGAGTCACAGCTATTCATAAGTTCCAGTAATCCAGCAATCTCGCAACAGCATTTGCTAGGTGGAACGGAGCAAGTACTTGAGCAACATATGTTGAATCAAGAGCCACATCCAAAGGACAAGCCTGCAGCTGACGATGTAGACACTATAAACCATCAGCATTCATCCTCAGCGGAGCCCGACTCACCAGCAATCCCCTTGATCCAAGCATCTCCGCGTGTAGAATCCCCTGTGAAGGAAGATGAAGCCGCAATTTCACCAAGTCCAAAGACCGAGGTGGGATGGATGGACCGTGCGGCGGGGGAGTTGGGAGACTTGCCTAATTTGGCAAAACAGGCACTTTTACTTCAACCTCAGCTCTCAAACTCGAACTCGCCAACAACACCCAAAACGACGGGTATCAAAGAACCAGAATGTCCCAAAGCAATGTCAGTTGCTGATGAGACTGTGGCGCTTGTCCCTGACTCGCAATCTGCAGGAGATCCAACATCTATCATGATAGGCTCTAGTTCTTACAAGTCACCTCAGGAAGCTAGTAAAACTGCTGGGACTAGCAGCGGGATACCAGAACCCAGCTCCCTCAATAACTCCCGGTTAAAACGTCCTATGCATAAACTATGTGGTTCTTCCACGAAGAAAGCAGACTTTGACTGGGATGAAGACCTTCGTGTGAACGCTGAAAAGACCCAGACACAGGCCCAGGCCCTAGCGATTTCAAAGATTCCCAGACAGACCCCAAAAGCCAGTGAGCTAGCCAGCGTACCTAAGGGAAAAAAGAAGCCCAATTCGACGGCAAAGAAAAACACCAAAACACTGAAATTGGCACCACAGTCTGGCGACAATTCAGCGAAGCAAAAGAAACAGATAGCCCGCCAGGTTACGAAAACCTTGACTTCAGGCCGCCAACCTCGAGGTGCTGCCGAGGCAGCTAATAAAAAAATGGCCCTAGCGGTAGAGCGGGAGAATGCGACGTATGACCTTGATGACCCCATCGAGTCAAGTTACCCAGGTTCGACAAGCCTAGAAGATCTTGCCACCCATATTCAGTTTAACGAGGAGGATGCAAAGGCTGCTGCTGGCGAGGTGCTACCGAAGAAATGTGCAAACACCGAAGATATGGTATCTAGTAAAGATCTAGGTGAAGTCTCAAGTGAATTGGCTATTGATCGTGAACAGGTGACAGCGGTTGAAAAATGCGGTCTAAATGTCTCTTTGCAGCCTGAGACAACACAGAACGCATCAACACGCCAGCTAGAAGCTGCTAAGCCCGTCAGCGATGAAGATACTGTGATAAATTTGTGCAGCGATAGCTTCATAGGAGAAGATAGCCACGAAAAGAAGCAGAACGTGGTCAGCCATATACCGATAGCAGCGGCATCAAGGCAAACAATGAGCTGCCCCTCAAAAATAACAGCCTCAAACAAGCCACAGACGATAGCGAAGAAGCTTGCAACCGCTTTGGAGAGCATGGGGATTGCATCTGCCAGACAGGATGCCAGACAAGAAACAAACATCACAGAGATTATGGGTAATCAAAAGAGAGTCTCGAACCCCATAGGCGAGAAAAAACGGATGGCTGAAAATGCCTCTCAGGTCTCTAAAAATGTCTCCCAGTTTATGTCTCGAAAGCTAGCGTCGGCTGAAAAGCCAGTGCCTGTGCCATACGACCTCAATGCAGAGCCTACCCTTGGTACAGGCCAGGCAAGCAATCGAAACGGGCCCAATCGAAGGCCATCAAAGGACGACTCTGATAACTGCGCGATACTGGTTGGGGAAAGGCCAACTGAGGCTGCAGTTGAAGAAATACCTCGTAGCGTCACGGATGGAGGCGAACAGCAGAAGCCAACGAGGTCAGTCAAATTTGACATAGCTGAGGACTACATCCACACTTCAACGAGCCACTCGCCTGACAACAGCTCAGCCGATGACAGCACTTCCCCGGCCCAGGATACTAACACTGAAGCTGATAAGGGAGCGGCATATCCAGCTATGGAAGATGCAGACAGTTCTTCGCTGTCAGGAGAGTATAATCATGCGGAATCTTTTGACTCAGAAAGTAGCGAGGATGAGAATGAAGAACCGTCATCTAGTTTTGTTCGTGAATCGGCAAAAGATAGTCCAGTACGGTCAATGCCGATTGGTTGGCTATCCCAAACAGTTGACGAAAATGGGAGCCCAAAACCACGACTGCAGGTCAATCGTAATATTCACGACAAACGCTATCTTGAAGCTCCAGGAGAGCCAAAGACACAAAGAGAGCATATATATATGAACCCACGCCCCTCGGTTTTGTTCTCGCAGCAGCTTAAAGGGCGGGAGGCTGGCACACGCAGTTTTCTGGCCAGCAATCGTTCGACGAAGGACCTCAATGGCAGTGAAGTAACCAAGGATGACGATAATATCCTAAGCAACCTGAACGCGAGACAAGAGCGCAGCTGGCAGCATAATAGGCCTATCAAGACAACTGACATCGTTCGCCCCCAAGGAACATTCCATGAAACGGAATCATCTAACCCAGCGACGTTGACTCAAAATAAATCTTTCAAGTTAATGCCACGGCTAAAAGCTCATCAAACCAACCCAATTCCACGTCGTGCGGTCAAGAAACGCCCCATGATAGATGTTAAGAGTTCACGACAGTTCGAAAGCATAGACCATGGTGGAGACGGTGCGGACACCGAAGTGGATACAGACAATGAGGTTTCACTACGGGAATGCCCGGAGCCCGTGAGATACAACCAGCCAGAATGGGAAAGTCGCTTCCCGGAGAGCTATAGAGGGAGCAGGGACATGCTGTTTGATACAGGCAACGTAAGCATTGAATTTCATCCAAGTTACCCAATCCTTCGAGACCAGATAGAATTATATGCTAACCAGCAGACAGCGCCTTACTCGGGAGCTCTGGGCAAGCGAGGATAGGATGTTCCGTTCCGTAGACGTTTACCGAGCAGGGTGTGACAGGATGATCGATCAACTTGAAGGAATCCATTCCGAAAAATTCGACCAGTGTGAACATACCCTCAGACCAATCAAGAAAAGGTTCCTTGGGATGTTCGAGAATTTCTCCAAGAGGCTGGACAATGACCTTGAGTCTATCAAGGCGGCATCTGCGAATTTCCCTAGCATATCTAAGGACCAAAGGAGAATCACCAGTAAGATCGACACAGCAATTGAGGAATATGGCGCGAAATTGTCCGAGATGTCAAATACAGCTTGAGTCGCTTATCTCTCTTCGCAAGGGGCATTGTGCGGTCTCATAAATCGAAGTTCACGATGGGAAGGAAGAATAGAGTTGCCGATTATTGTTAGCTCGTCGTCGTACAGAGATTCAGCTCGATTTAGCGGGCCGATGATCGGGGGCCAGTTGTTCGATGGAGAAGATCCCTGAAATAAAGTTCACCTCGTGAAAGACCACAAAGGGGTGTATCGTTGTGAAGGTCGCGATGTTTCAACACAAAGAACCAATTGAATGAGCTCAGAAGGGTGATGGGAACACTGATAATTTATATAGTTATTGGGTGAATATTCTTACTGTGAAGAAGGAACTGTGAACTCATGTGGTGGGTGGCATTATGACGTTCAAAGTATTTAAATATTTATTTAGCTCGAGAAACTCGGCTTCCGCTTTTCTCTTGACACCAAAGCTTCATATACAGCGGACAACCTCGGTGTGCCTTTAGTTATAACTGAGAGTTTTTTTGTCACTAGCTGCTCAGGTCTTTAAATCCTCGTGCAGAGAACATTCCTGCCTTCTCACCTTCTCGTCCACTTCATCCCCTGAATATCTCATCGAGATACCTGCGATGTCGGTGAGTCATCCCACTATGGCGGGCAACTTCGCCAATTGTCGAGATTTATATGAGCTGACCGTATACAGTCCCAGTGGTACATAGAAAACCCAAACGTTGGGAAGAAGAACCAAGTCGAGGACTGGAGAGGTCAGTAAAACGAGAAGCAGCTTGTCTTTTTCTCGGTTGCTAGATATTGAAGCTCACTGCCATCTCGGCTATAAAGTTCTTGGATATAATCCTCTCACACCTCCAAACCTCCTACAACATGAAATCTCCCAAACCAACGAATCGAAGAACACCGTTGTTACTTCTAGAGAAGAAGCAGCAGCCATTGTTAGGGGCGAAGATGCGAAGGGTCGTCTCCTCGTCATCATCGGGCCATGCTCTATCCATGACCCCCAAGCTGCACTCGATTACTGCGATCGCCTTGTTAGAATGAGAGAGAAATATAATGACCAGCTCATGATTGTTATGCGCTCCTATCTTGAGAAACCACGAACTACCGTCGGTTGGAAAGGGTTGATCAATGACCCAGATATTGATAACTCTTTCCAGATCAACAAGGGCCTCAGGACTGCACGTCGTTTGTTCGTCGATTTGACCGAGAAAGGCATGCCGCTTGCTAGTGAGATGCTAGACACTATCTCGCCTCAGTTCCTGGCAGACTTGCTATCAGTGGGTGCCATTGGTGCTAGAACTACTGAATCGCAACTCCACCGCGAATTGGCCAGTGGTCTCTCGTTCCCTGTTGGATTCAAGAATGGCACTGATGGCTCTCTTGACGTTGCTGTTGATGCAATTGGCGCCGTTAAGCACCCCCATCACTTTCTTTCTGTGACAAAACCGGGCGTAGTCTCGATCGTCGGAACCGTGGGCAACGAGGACTGCTTTGTTATTCTCCGTGGAGGCAAGAAGGGAACCAACTTCGACGCAAAGAGCATAGCAGAAGCTAAAGAAAAGCTGTCGGCGAAGGGCTTATCTCAACGTTTAATGGTTGACTGCAGCCACGGAAATTCGGAGAAGAACCACAAGAACCAACCCAAGGTTGCTGCTGTTCTTGCCGAACAGATAGCTGCTGGTGAAGAAGGAATTATGGGCGTTATGATTGAGAGTAATATCAATGAAGGTACGTTGTGAAGATGCAAATATCTGTCTCATATTCCCTCTTCAAAGATGTGTTTCACTAATCTTCCCCTCTCTCTATCTAGGAAACCAGAAGGTGCCCCCTGAAGGGAAGGCCGGTCTCAAATACGGAGTCAGCATTACCGATGCATGCATTAACTGGGAGGACTCTGAATCAGTTCTCGAAATGCTTGCAAATGCCGTTAAACAGAGACAGGCGCGACTTCAAGCCAACGGCGCTGAATAAATTGGATATCTTGCTGCCTCCTGTCAACCTCGTCGATATGATTCCCTCTTTGCTCTTATGCGTTTGACGTTTCGGCATAACAAAAGAAATTGACTTCTGGTTACATTGTGCTAGAAAAAGGGTCAAGAAAAGGTGCTACGCTTTGTTGATAATTATCTAGTCGCGATTCCTACAAGCCTATGAATGGCCGGTGGATAGGAGTAGATGGTTTGGAATACGGGCGGAGTGACGGGTGAGGTCATATTTAGTGAATCCCGCAGCTATTGAATAAAAAAAATATAATTAGATATTTCTCTTCGATCAATGTTGTTACTCTCGTCGGTTACTACATATACCAAGGTCAGATATCTAATATATTGGTAGCCACGAACAATGCCTCCCTCCTTCCCCTTTTCCCACACTCAGTAATTCTCACTGGTGAAGCTTTTCATAAGAGACTGAGTAGTAGAGCAACTATTACTTCTACATTTCACCCGCACATCAACACAAGTCTGAGCAACGCATGTCAGCTCAGAGACGTACCGTACCACCTGTTTATATCTGTGTTTATTCTCCCTAGATTCTTGTTTCGGTTCCCATCCTTGACCATAGGGCAGCCACCTCCTTGCAAAATTCTCGCAACACTGAATACTCTGAGATAGATTAACACAAAACAACCAGACTCATCAACCAGGACACATAGTAACGACAAGTGCTAAATTTCATATAACCCCCTTCAAAATGGCGGTTTACAGGAGGACGCTCAGAGCTGCCACTTGGACGAACGTTAGGTTGAAGCAGGATATCCCAGACATTCGTCATGTAATGAAGCTCGTCCACGAGGAGCTCGGTATGGCACCAAACGGCCGCCTACTAAATGAAGAGGGGAACACTGTTATTTCGAAGGAGAACGAACCTAAATGGGAATCGTACACCTCTGCATTAAAGGGCTGCAAAACTGAGTTCAACGAAATCGAAGCTGAGCTACGACGTTCCGAAGTTGTATTAAAAAAGGTCAACTCTGGCATAAAAGAAAACGCTACCAAAGCCAGGGCGGTCATAGCAGAGCTGAATTCAACAATAGGGGAATATACAGCTAAGTCGGTGAACTCTGAAACACTGACTGAGGAGGCTCAGACTAGATTAAGGGAATTCAATGTTTTATTGGAAAGAGCTCAGGGTATACTCGAGGACAATGAGGCTACATTGTTATCTACAGAAACGTTACTCGAGGCTATAAAGATTGGGTTGGAGGGAATTGGATATGCGGATATCGAAATTAAACCCATTAAAAACCAGGTAAACATCCTGACACTATATCCATGAAAACCAGTTGAACTAAGTCAACCAGCCCGTGAAGCAGATGTCAACACCAAGCTTCGTAACAAATGGTTACCTGTATCTTCAGGCTCTGTTCAACAAGTGCTGTCAAATTGCCAGCCAAGTGAGAAACGGAGAATACATACAAGACGACTATAAGTCCAAAGATATCAATGGCATCATAGGCGACCTTGAGTGCATAAAATACATCGAAGAATCGGGGTGGCCGGGTATCTCCGAACACAAAAAGGATTTCTTTGGACTATACGGAATTTCCTTTGACGAGGCTTCCAAGGGACTATTAAAATTTCCTCCAGAGGCTTTGAAGACATTCAATATGCTCGCCTCGGTTCGTGCATTGCCCTTTTGGAGGCCACCTGGACCGCAGACTCGGCAAGTTATCGAAGACCTGGCGACTGGGATAATCGACGACCTGTTGTCTGCTCAACAGGACGACCTGTCCACGGTTTTTAAAGAAGGAATCACCGCAAAAAAATTCAGTCAATTGACATCAACATTTGAAGGTGCCAATTGGGGCGAGATAAATGTTTTGAGTGTAGTAGTATATTTGAGGCGTTTCGCTATTGCTATTGCCTGCCTGGTGGTCTATGTAGGGGCGTTTCATTTCTTTGCCTGTCGCTGATAATCCATAACACCATGAGTGTTTATGTTTGACGAGCTATAACCAGTTGAAATTAGCAGTCCATTGAACTGTCTTTATGAGGATCGATTGTTTGTGTTTTCAGAATTGAGGTTTCAAGGGAGGCTAGTTAAATCTTTCTTTTTACTTTTCTTTTTTTACTTTTTTTTTAAAGCTAGGTTTGGGCGGCTCAGCGGACTATTTATATTAGGGGCATGTCAATTCTTCTCTATCCCACTTACCATATCCTAGCCTTGAAATGAATGCCTACGACTCCCACTCCTCCATGGGTACGATTACTCATGGTGCGCCTTTAACCGAACCCGCCTCTGGAGGATTTTGGTCTTCTAACTAACTAGTTAACATCTAGCTAGTTCAACGAAGAACCCTGCAGTTACTTGATTAACTATGAACCCTTCCGAAGGACTAACTTAACTATTAATGCACGGTTAGGCGGCTCGATCCATTTCAGCACTTCCAATGCACCAACATAAACAGTGAGCAATCCGCCAATAAATAGGTCAAGGCACTGTTGAGCCTCAAGACTGCTCAATAATCATCAGGGATAAACCGGAGAGGACTAGAGTTATATAGCTAGTTATTAAGTACTCCGTATAGTCTCACATCACGACGGCCCCTTCGGCATGGACGAACATACCAGGCTACTCCAAGCCTCAGGGAACAGCGGGCCTACATCTGCCAATGCATCTACTGGAAACGATAACGATGATGCCAGAAGATCAGGCCAAGCATGGTACCTCAAGTTCCACGATACCAACTGGCTAGCAGAGGTGTATAGTGTATGGAAAGTTCCCATCCTCGTCTATGCGTTTGCGTTACTCGTGGACATTGCGGACACAGTGCGAGTAACTCCAAAGACGCAGCTATTCGAAACGATTATATGCTACGGATACTGCCCTCCACACGGCCTGAATAGTACAAGCTTGGACATATCAGAAGATCCGTGCAAGAGTAGTGAGGTGCAGGGAGATCTCGTCGCTATAAAGGCACGCTTGAAGGTCATTGAGAACATATTTGGTAGGAACCCTCCTAACCCCATCTCCCCCCAATATCGTAATATAAAATGCTAAGTTTCAATCTCAGCATTGATGCTTGCAATCCCATTTGGGAACCTAGCGAATAAAAGAGGTCGAGTTTTTGTTCTCGTACTGGGGACCATTGGCCAGATTCTTTCCGAGATATGGATTTTGATAGTGAGTTTGATGGGGGGTGGCTGGCTTCCTTTTAATTCGATATACCTTTCATCGATATTGAAATCAGCCGGCGGTGGAGGGATGGTGCTATCGGCCATTGGATATACCATTCTCTCTGACGTTCTTCCGTCCGACCGGAGGGCACAGGCATTCTTCTATATGGCGTCGGTTCAGCTCATCACCGAAGTCATTGCTCCTGTTCTTGGATCTGTTCTTATGCAAGCCTGGAGCGTGTATGCACCTCTGGTAGCTGGATTGGTATTCGAGCTAGTTGGGTTTGTGGTTCTTTCCATGATTCCTGATACTTCGAAACTGGCCACCCAGGAGGGAGATATATCAGACGATGACGAAACGATCCGTGAACATGGTGACCTCAAACCTGAGAAGTATAGCATATTGGCAAGCATAAAGACGGGAATCAAGCATGCTCTCGCTCCATTTGTTCTTGTCTGGACTATAGTCAGTGGAAGCCTCGATATCTTCTTCGTGACCATTTCATTCCTTGTGGCAACTCTCGGGCGCGAAATCCTAGAATTTTTGATCCAGTATACTTCTAAACGATTCAGTTGGAGCCTTGCAGAGGTATGTAAATATGGCAAGCCCTTTCAGTCACAACACGGAGAGAGTTTACTGATTGAATGGATAGGCAAACTATCTCATATCATTCAGAGCGGCCGTCAACCTCGTTCTCTTCCTTATCGTACTCCCAGCCCTGACCAGGTTTCTGAGCCATTATCAGCGTATGGCGCCAGCACAAACGGACTTATGGATTGCTCGAGGAAGTTCGATATTCGGCATTATAGGGCCCTTGATGATGGGTCTTTCTCCTTCGCCTGGATTGATGATCTTGTGTTGGTTTTCACCCACGTCCAATTCAATATGACGTGCAATACCTAGCTAACATCAAATCTGTTTAGCTCTTCTCTTATTTACCTTCTCCTTCGGATTTTACCCTGCTATCAAGTCATACGGGAACTCCCTTGTCCTACCAAGGGACGTGGCAACACTTTATTCATCGTTCGCCGTTATTACCATCATAGGAGCACTGGCTGCTTCGCCTCTTATCGCCACAACATTTAGATGGGGTTTGAAAATTGGTGGTGCTGGTCTGGGATTGCCTTTTTTTGTATCAGCGGTGTTGTTTATAATCTGCGCGATAAGCGCTTTTTGTGCCCGGATGCCAGGGAGGCATATAGGATTATAGATTGTAATCAACTCCATGTCTTTGGGCTCTACAGAGTGAGCAGATCCGCTGAAAAGAATAATTCAAGAAGGTTCCATAGGATATGAAAAAAAGCCTAAGATTAATTGGTCATTGAGCAGTGGTTGTGTCGCTTCGAAAGTATTAAAAGTATCGTAAGGGTATCAAGTAAATTTAGACACTAATTAAGAATTAATTGCCTTAAACCGACCCCCACTCAGCTGCTGAAATCCCATTGTGTGGAAAGAGGCTGTATTCGTTGTTGTGATCCCCTGGCTGCCCCGGAATCCATGCCGGGTCGAGAGGAATGACTAGATTTGGGTTAACATATTTCTTCAGTCTAGGAGCCACGTCACGGCCTCGTAGTCGAAGAGGTATGGAGTCCCTATCCCACTGTGAAGGGGGAGAAAAGGTTGAAGTGGGCGTTGGCGATTCGTCGCTGTCAGTCGTACGGCCACGATCGATGCTTCGGAGAGCGATGAAATTCATCAGCGGGTCATATGTGCGAGAGAAAAAGTATGAAAACCAGACTGTTGCACACAGCAATGGGATTATCATGATGGACCGTGTGATGGCCGATCGAAGAGCAAGACTCCCGATCATTGTCAACTGGAACACCACCAAGCCAAGTATGATTCGGCTACAGATCATTGGCCATGCTCGGCCAGTGGAGTGCTGCTGATGATCCATGGCGTATAGAAGTTGGTATTTGTATATGAATTGGCCAATGTTGAAGTATATCAGTCCAAAGAGGCAAACGAGCCATGAGCTTGGGAAAACGCTGTACACAAGGCAGACAATGAAAATAAAAATGGTAGGTGGCAGTGCGAAACCGTAGCAAAAGATCGGAGGCTTTCTTAGATCAGCATAATCGCGAGGAGTGACTGCGCACATCCGTTGGAAAGGATATAAGAACACACTTCCAAATTCCAACAGGCGGAAAGGAAATAAACCTAGACCTTGTAGAACTATTAGGTTAGTATAGAAGGGCGCAAGCTTCTCAAGGGAGCGAGCTAGCGCGAAGGCTATGGTTGTTGTATCTTTGAAGACATCACGGAGATTTTCCCAAAGACGATAGAAATTCGAGGCTGTCGCAAAGACTGTAAAGACAAGGAAAAGATTAAAGAATGTAAAGAAGAAATTCTTTGAGATGACAGATAGCTCCACATCTCCCTGGGAGGTCATGCCTTGCACGTTGGCCAACCCTAAAACGAATCCAATGGTTAGTTTACCGTTTCTTGATGCACATGCTGGGTATCGAGGATGGAGTGCTTACAGTCGTATATATATGGAACTGCCAATGCGAGCAAAGAGAGTGTCAAAGTTGGAAGACCAGTTTGCATCAGGGACCTGAGCAACGGGTGTTCAGCCAACGTCTCGGCGAGCCGTGGAATTACCTTCTCAAGGGTCTCCAAATTAAGCAGGTAGGCCAGTGGAATCAAAAAAAGAGACCAGAAAACGGTAAGGACACAAATGATAGTAGAAATAGTCCAGCCTCGTATCATTCTTTCAGCCCGGGATAGATAGGTGTGTTGCCAGACTACGTCTGCTGGGGCGGGTGCTAAATTGGCGACAAGTTGCATCGGCCAAGGGTCGAGGATAGCTTGAACCGCCATTTGACAGGCAGCAATAGATTCCATTGTGACAAATGCCAAAGCCCCGGGTGGGCATTCCTTTTGACGAGCGACCTCGATATTTTCGTCCAGCCGACGCAGTTTTTCTTCGTAGTAGTCGATAGCATCGATGGATTTAAACCGGAGCTTCAGAGGACCAAACCATAACCTAGTCTTGGGTCGAGCTTGTGAGCATTCCGAGACATGGGCTGCCTCTATATTATGGCTATCGGATAGCAGCCGAGCATCCTCTGCTGCGTCATCCGCGTCAACTGCTGACGGTATCCGAGCAGCTCTGTTAGTCTGCACACCTAGTTTACCTCCTCGGTACCGAAGGTATTTCGCCCATGCCTTTTCAAGACGCTGAAGGGTGCGTTTCCGTTCTTCCATCAATCTATCCAGCTCCCTCCAGTCACGGCATAGCATAACACTTTCGACCTTTCCAATTTCCAATCCCTCGATGAAAGCTTGAATTTTCTCCTCGGACTGCATTTCAACGGGAATCCCAGAAAGCCGAATTGTTCTATCTGCCATAGAGGTTTGTCCTCCCAGATACTTTTGTCGTATTTGTATGATTCGATTCGTGTAGCGGATAAGGAGGTGGGCCGCCACTGCGGTAAATACGTAAGAAAACACAACATACAGCCAGAGAAACGTTGGGTCGGTTTTTGGCTTCTTGTCTGAATCATCGGGATCTTCTCCTTTGTCACCATCCCATGGATATCCTGTCTCTCCGGTGTACGAATAACGCACTGGGAGAATAACGACGACGGAAAAGAAAAAGACGATCGAAAGGAAGTGGATGGAGTATTTGTAAAATAGCAGAAACTATCATTCCATAGTATAATAAACCAATGTCAGCTCCAAAAATCCGCTCCAAATATCGGTCATGCGAAAAAGGGGGCATACCACATATGCATCTAGTCCTCCTGAAGCTAGAACTTCCTCATCACTGATCTTGTATAACACCGGAATCCATCCAAACATTGAATCCGGGAGGTCAGGCAGCCTCGACGCAGCACTCCTCATCTTCCGCCGCGCTGCATAAAGAGCACTCCATTTGGGCCGTAGAATCTGCGTAAATAAAGAGCTGTGAGCCATGCTGATCAGCGCGTTCAGTAGGAGCTAAAAGGATATACATACACAGAAGGTGATGAAGGCACTGAATCCGAATGTGACGCTGATCACAATCTGAGTGACTAAATCACGCTGACCTCGCGCCTGGTCCTGATATCTAGGCTCATCCGGCTCCCCAGGCGCAGCTGTCGCGAACGAGTGCACCAAGCCGCTTGTTGCGGTGGCTGCTGTGGCTGCGAGCGAATACAGAGCCTGGGACGTCATCGCGGGGGATGTCCGCAGCAAGGAAAACGTAGGTACACGTCCTTGCTAGCCACCAAGAGAACGCGTTATTGTCTTCCACCTCAATGCGGCTGCCTACGTGCTTAAATATGATATGTTTTCCTGCCCGAATATTTGTGTAAAGGGAGAGGATGGTCATGTGATCCGCTCCTTGATCTCCACGATGACGTAGAGATTTGCAGCTTGCTTGCTTGTTTTTTTCTTGATGACAACTTTTTCACGCCTTCGACCGTCAAGTTCGCTATCATTGTTATGCTAAATAACTCCGTGATACCCCCTACTTATGTCTCCAGCTCCCTGAGTTTAGATGCATCATAATACAGGTCAATTAAGCAGGATGCCGACCACGCTTGGGATGGGGACTATAATGCCGTTAGTTTACATCTAGTCGAGGGACGCTACGGGCTGACGCTACGGGGTTAGATTGCAACTTACAGAGTCTGCACATATTTCCCCATTCTTATTTGTCAGCTCGGTTAGACCTCTCCATGGGCTTGTACGGAGAGCCCGTTTACACTGTCCAAGTCGGTTTGTGAGCTGCTGGAATATGTCTGTCCGGTCTTGCGGGCTATCACTTCGCATGAGCACAAATTTCATCAAGGCTCGCAGGAAATACCCCGTTGGCCACAGCCACTCTGGTCCTTGGTGGTAGTTCCTCCCTTTCGACGTTGCAAAATTGGTGGAATCCTCGGAGTTCACGTAATAAGGGTGGTAATTGTGATCCTTAGGGTCCAAAGTCGCCATACCCATCGGTCCACGGAGGATCGTATCAGCGAGTTCGAGGGTATGAAGCGCCTTTTCCAGGGCAAATAGTTCAGGTGCGACGGTCATGGCAACAGCGAAGTTTGGCCGGAACTGATAGTCCTCGTATGGTTTGCCTGATCGATATAGGTCCTTATAGATGCCACGTCGATGGACTATCTTGCTATCAATGTCGTATTTACCATCATCTGCTGGATTCTGGGGGATATAATAGCACCTCTCAAAGTTGGACTTGATTTTTGCAGCCCAGTCCGCATAGGTGATTGAACTTTCGGAGCCAATGTTCACCTTCTTGAAGGGGAATTTCCCCTGATCCGCCAGTGTTGAAATCCAGGCGAAGGAGCTATAAAGCAGTCCAGTGATTTCGATTGCAGCACCGTCCCTTGGAGTTCCAGGATGCCCCTTATTTCCGCTCTTGGTACTCTCACCCATCTTATCCATCCACGTACCACAGTTCCATTGGTTACCCCCAAATACTAGGCCCGTTTCCCAGTCGACGTGCACATCGACCTGGAATCCTTCATCCTTCATCTGCATATCGAGGTCAGGCCCCGCATTATGTTCACGGAATGAAATGCCAGACGCGTGTCGCTGTAATATTTCTTGGATGATTTCGGCTATCGTGGATGTCTCACGGTATGCGCGTTCATCGTCGAAGGGAAACCATGTGTCATCGTACGGCAAGAATCGACGAGGAACCTTCTCACTTAATATCGTGATCCCGTCAGGCACAATCTTGGTATAGTCCTGAACAGCTTGTAGGAAGAACCATACTGCGTCCCGAGCGTTGTATCGCGGAGACTTCCCATCAGAGAGCAAGTTGGGCATGAGACCGTGTTTCAAAACACTCCCAAATGCAAGAATATGCTCTTTAGCTTCGTCGAACCTCCTAGTGCATAGCAGTAGGCCACGCAAGGAGATAAAAACGTCTCGTCCCCAACACCGCGCCCAGCCTGTTGAAAAATGTGGCAGTCCAGCCGCAAGGCAAGGTATTCTCTTAGTTGGGTAAAGGGACGCTGAGCTGACAAATCCGACTTGCTGTATGCTCACCATCGCAAGTTCATGGACAATGTCCTTCCCGTGCTCGATGGTCACACCAAGGAGTTGGATCCCACGCGCCAACGCTGCTTGATATGCGGTTTTTATGACTATGGCGAAATAACGCGGTAACAAAAACGGAGGAAGCTTTCGAATAGCGTCAAATCGTCCCTGGAACCATTCAGCTGGCACACTCAATCGCTTATACCCTTCATCGGAAGCGGCTTTCCTCATTCTCCCAACTATATAATCGAGAGCCCATTGTCCGTTCCGAAGGTGGTCACAAATAGGATGGCCCACGTCATTGTTCTTGATAATCTCCTCAAGAACACTCCACCATCCCTGTAGCCCGGCATAAACCAATGGGCCAAAGTTTGGAACATCGTATACTCCGTTTGAGCCACCGCTAATGTCATGTTCTTCGGCATTACATTTGTAAAGAACAAAGTTAAGGTCGACTGGATCTAGGGACTTGAACGCGTCTTCTGCATCCGATGTAATGAAGGTGCTTAAATCCTGGAGTAGATTCGTTTCTGGTATCCAGGTGTCCAAAAGAGCAATAGACCCAGGAGGGAACTCTGCTTGCACACGGACAACAGTGCCATTACCCTCGTCGTCGATGTTGACCCCTTCAACATCAGAGACCTTGCTACGAAGGCCCGTAAGATACCCTTCCTGGGAGTTTGCATCACCCTTCGTACCATCCACCTCCAACTTCCAAGCGCCAATCATTTTCGCTTTTGTTCCTGAGAGGATTATCGGGTCTAATTCATGGGTGTCTTTGGAACCAGAGAAAGCAGTGTGTGCAATTAGCAACACGCCCTTTCTCGAGTTTGGTTGTACCCGATGAACAGTTATGTATTGGCCTTCGTGATGGATATGAGTTTCATCAAAGCATCCAACAGCCATGCTGGTGTGAAGTTCGTTAAGTAGTTTTTTAATCCCACCAATACCCCCTTCCCCTGTCTTGGATTTGACCCCATCCTCAGATGATGGGGAGGAATACAGGCGCGTCTCGTTGACCAAGTTAACTTGTTCGGGGTAGATCTCATCATATCCCATGACACTGCCAATGGCAGAAGAGCACATGGCAACTAGAGCAGCATTTGGAAGTGTATCTCTGGCTTCACGCTTTTGAGCAGGGGTTTCATTGTCATGTGTGCAGTCCATGAAAAGTGCATGGAAAGGGGTATATTGCAACTGCCGGACAATCTGGTTGGACTCTAGATGATCACCATGGGACAGGAGATCCATCTCGAAACTGCCGATAGGACGACCTCCATGGCGATGGACAAGACGACTGAGCTCGCCGGCACTCCACGATTGCATGGCTTCGCGAATCAATCCTGTCAAGCCGAGCCTTTTCGCAAAGGCGTAGTCTGTTTGCTCGGAACCTGTAAATAGCTCTGCAAAAACGACCAAATCAGGCCGTACCATTCGGGCTTCGTCGAGTAGATATTCAGCCACAGGAATGGGCGTTGAGTGGCAGTTATCTATGCGGAATCCCACAAAGTATTTAGCCATAAGCTTGGAATAATCTGCCATGTGGTCCCATAGGAAAGGATTATCGTCGCGGGATCCTCCATAATTCAGCTTGACACAGTCTCCCCAGACGATGACTTCTCGTAGTAAGTAGGCGCGCGAGTCAGGGCCAGCATTGTCTCTCATAGCATCTGCATTCCATACCCACCCATTGTTTGCCAAAGCAAGTGACTTTGAATCGTGCTTGTCCGTTGTTCCATTGGATTCAAGGCGGGTAAAATATGTCTCGATCAAGGGACTGTCCTTTGTAACGGGCCCCATCTGCGGCCCATGATCATCAATTCGGAGATACTTTATACGACCAAATAGCTGATCAAGGATAGAGGCAACGTCTTTATCAAACTCTTTGAATAGAGGTAAGTTGATGGCGTCAAGAAGCTTTCGAAATTCCGCCGTAACCTTCGAAATATCCTCCTTAGCCTCGTCATGTCTTCCATATACAGCAATGAGAAGGGCAGCCCCTATCTTAGGATCAACTTTCCGGCAATACCTTCCTAGAATCCGGTTGATATTTATTATCCCTTTCTCTAGGAGGAACTTGACTTTCGTCTCCATGGGCCACTCGCGGATTTCCGATAGACTGCCAATCCCGGAACCTCCAAACCCACCTTTTGGAAAGGTAAAATCGTTTGATTTCCAGGCCTCGATTGCAGCCGCAACATCCCTCTCTTTATCAATAACGTAGAACTCCCAGAGTTTGATCTTATCAATAACATGGACCCTCATTTTGTCCATGACAGCAGAAATATCATCTTCTGTCTTGAACTCAGTGGGCAGCCCCAAACTTTCGAGGTCGTGACCATATTGTAATAAGGCGGTATCTAATTCCAGGGCGGCCTCCAGCCAGGGGGCGTTCTTGATATTATATCCTATTTCAGGGTGTTCTTCCAGAAGCTTGCTGTTATGAGCGATATGGTTCCAAACGACGTCCGTCAGGGCCAGAAGTCCGTACTCGTTCTCCATAGTTGACGTCATCTCGACCACATCCTTCTCTCCGTTGGCAAAACATTCATCAAACTCCATTTGGTCGTAGATACTATACGGCGAATTCGACGCACCCCGCTTCATAAGAGGGGTGAAATGGACCACATTGTATCCTCGTTCTCCAATCCCGCGTAAATGTTTATTCCAGTCCTTGGGATATTCGCCCATAAACTTCGATACGAGGGAAAAGATAGATAGAGACTCGAGTGGTAGGGTTTCGCCCTTCAATGTAATGGCCGGGCGGACATTGACATAGTACGTATCAGACCGAGTCTCCTTTCCGGACTTGGGACCTGACTCTGAGCCAGACAGTTCTGGAAGCTGGCGGTATGTGAAGTAGAAGCTGAAAGCGCCCGAAACGGTAATAGGAATATCAACATGGATGTCTCGGTTGAAGTCTGGCTCCAGTCTAGAATCCCCGTCTCATCAGCAGTATACAATCCCCTCCAGGGCTTCTCCCGTAACTTACTTGTGCTCACAGTACTTGTCTCTCCGAAACTTCTCACCGGCACAGGGGATGTTCACACACAGGCTTCCATGTCGACATACCCGGCTGCTCCCTTCAAACTGAAACCGGAGGACGTACGGAGGCTTCGTCGGCGGTGGCAGGTTGATATAGTCGTGGTGGGCATCTGGAGCCCCATTGTCGTTCAGACGGACGGCATACACCAGTTCCTGGGCATTCGGATCCATGGTGGGCATCGTGCTGGGTGCGGCCGTCTATGCGAGCTGCATGCTGAAGATATCAGGCCTTGACCGGTGACACGGCCGCAGAGTGTTTTATATACGCGGTATTCCACGCCGGTTGGACAAGAAGCCTGCGCGGAGAACGTAGATGTTGGTCCCGACCCTGCCATGCACGCTGATGTCATTACTTTTCTTTTGCCTTATCTGGGTGGGGCGGTAGCCAAGATCGCAGCTGATATCTCTATCCAGGATCAAGGTTGGGAGGATGATATATATATTAGGTAGTATTATTTTACCGACGATGTCATTTCTTTAACCAGATAGTAACGAGATAATAACTGCACGCCATGCCACGCCGCCACGCCACGCCACGCCACTCCAGGGCCCAGGCTCCCACCAGCATGCAAAATGGGGTATGATAGTTATATAGAGCGTGCTTCAAACGCATTCCTTGCATCCGCGATAAAAGAGAAAGAAAGGGTCATGTTCTTGGAGTGGAGTTAAAAAGGCAGTAGAGGTTAAAATGCTAAGTCAAAACCGCGCTTCGTGGATGAAGGAGCATGCCGTGTATCTACTTTGGCTCGATGAGACTGGGGATATCTTCCACCTTGGCCTCTCCCTTGAGAATACCTATTCCATGAGTCAGTAACTAAATCTTTTTAAAAGGTAAGTTGACGGTACTTACGATCAACGGCAGTAAAGAGAGGGTATTCATGCTCAAGCCCCTGTTTCCTGAGGAAGTTGTTGACTTCCACGGCAGTCAAGGTACCCTGTAGCTTCTGTCCGTTCAACTCCTGCTTCTCTACCTCTTCAATAGGCAGTTTGCGTTCAACGCTATACTTGGCACATCGGTAGTTACGTCCTCCGCTGCAAGAGGTGATCAGATCCGCAACACCGGCAGATTCAACGGTGAAGGTCTCCGCGTTGACGGAACCGCCGAAGAAAGCAGTGCCGAATTTCACCATCTCTAAGAGGCCAACTCTCATCACTGCAGCTTTAGCATTGTCTCCCCAGCCTAGACCGTCGACGTATCCAGCTGCGAGGGCGACTATGTTCTTCAATGCACCACCAAGGGAGACACCGGCAACATCATCAACGACACGAACATGGAAGTAAGGACGGTGGAAGAGTGTCTTAAGAAAAGCGTGGTCGACGGGGGGGAATTCGGCGGGTATGGGTCGTAGTTTCACTTTGGAGAGGTTCCCTGAGCTATCGGTGTGCTTGAACTCTGAGAGATTGACATTGGATGATGATGGGGACCCGTTCTGCGGCGTGGGTGCCTTGGAGTCCATATGGGGAGGGTGATAGGCGACTGTGGTCTCGGAGTAGAGCTCCTTCGCGACCTCTGAAGCGATGTTGGCGCCGGACAGGGCACCGCAGTAGATACCCAGTTCCTTGCCAATGGTCTCGGAAAATAGACTGACTCCCTCCTCGTCGACATGGACACCCTTTATGCAGGATATTCCACGGGCGTAGGGAAGAATGTGGCCCTTCAGGCTCTTGCAGATGCCGCCGATGAACTGATGGGGCACATTGAAGACTAATATCGACGAATCCTTGACCGCATCGACCAGGGAAGGGTTTGCGTGCAGGTTTTCTGGTAGAGCGATATCTGGCAGGTACTTGATGTTCTCGTGGACTTGGTTGATGATATCCGTCAAGTTCTGCTCGCCTTTGCACAGCGGCGAGGATTCCTTGTAGTGCTTCGAGGACTTTGGAATCTCGATCTTCTCCTCGTACACCCACATGTTCACCTCCTTTTCAAAGATATCAGGGTTCGCGGCCGTGTTTTCGGCGACCATCTTCGAGATCGAGGAACCCCTAGAAACGACACGGTCAGTTCAGGGCACACACGCACAATTAAGAACACGGTAGACACGCACCAATTCCCCGACCCGATGACGGTCACCTTGTGCTTCTTCGAGTATGGAGAGAGTCCTGCCATGGTGTATCTGCGTGTGAATGATGCTGGTATCGCGGGCTTGAATGTGTTTGCTGGAAGAGCGACTCGGGGGCGGTGGTGGGGGCTTAAGAACCTCCCGTTAGTGACGATGCACCGCAAGATGCACGTCATCGGGCAGAGGCAAGATAGAGAATTACTGCTGCAGCGACCTCGGCCTCTCCCTGCGCTCCAGGGCCTGGCTTCTCGCTGGAGCCGGGGCTTAGGGGCCGCTAAAAAAAATGTACCTCTCTTGGAAGTTTAGGTAGCAAGGGTTAGGCCAGGCACAAGATAGGCACAAGATAGGCACGAAGTACCTGAAATCTTCCCTGTCGAACGTCATTTGTGGCGGCCTCTACGCAGGGATTCGAAGGATCGAGGCTCGAACGGCCACATGATTTTATCGATGTAGCTCGGTCAGTTTACGGTGTTATGAAGTGCAGATTTTGCAGTTATCGGTATTCATATATATATAGCACGGAGTACACCGGGGTATGGCAGATCTACACAGCCTGTCTTATTCAATGTGAACCGATGCAGCCGCATCCTCGGTATGGTCGTAATCGTCGTAGATAGGGTATGATCTTTGCCAGTCACTCGGCAAGACAGTGATCCCTCAGGTATTCGCTAACACTTCTCGCAGCATTTCATCTCGGCTGCCGCTTCCGGCCTGTTTTACTGATTTTGACTTCCCCTGCCAGCCGGATCAGTCTCGTCTTTCACGGACAATCATGGTTTTTCACCGTAAACCCGTCGTCGTGTATGTTCTGCAAGCCCAGGTAACAGCATTCGCGTCGGTCACTATGATTTGACGCCCTTGAACTCTGGGTTCTGGTCCATCGTCTGGGAGATAAAGCTTCGCAGCGCGGCCCAGCGAGCGGAAGTTGACTCTCCACCAGTAGAAGCATTAACACCATTTACAGCCTGCATACCTGTCGATGTATCTGCAGTAGTATCCATGTCCGCCTTGATTCCCGCAGCCAGCTGTCCCATATTCTTCGCAAACCGGTCTCGCTCTATCCGATCCAGCTTCTCCTTCCTCTTCATAGCACCGGGCCTATGCTTCAAGCTCTTATGCTTAATCACATTAACCTGTGTGTTGCCGTCGATATTGTGCGTCGAGACGCCATCGTCATCACCATCTCCGGCGTCAGGCAGGGCATTCGCGAGCGAGTCAAGGTTGGCGATTAATTTCTTAGAAGGTCGTCGTCGCTTCAGCGGTTTCTTGCGAGACTTTTCGATCTTCGAGATGAATGAGGAGTGTTTTATTAGCCGTTTGTCCTTTTTGGAGTTGTGAAATTCAGAGCTTAGAGAGTTGGACTTGTCCGCCGTCGGTTTTGCCTTTGCGATAGCTGGATGGGATTTGGCCTTGACGGCCCTTCCGGCCTTGGAATTGGGGCGTAACGGAGCCTGGCAGATGTTAACATGTTAGTAGACACTTGTATAAGTAGGAGCAACGTCTAGGATTCGTACCATGATGTGCTATAATATTTGTTAAATTCAGAGCTGCTTTCGCTATCTTTTTTTTTTCATCAATATAGTGTGAATGTTTGCTCTGTTTGCATCTCGATGTGGGATGTTCTTTTGGCCGTTTTTTATATGCGAATGGACGGATCATTATTCACATTACCTCTGTATGTCTAGTTAGATTTGCTATATTCTAGCGATGGGGGATAAGGAGCAGTTGCGCAAGCAGCTGGAAGACCAGATAGCTGCCACAGAGCTACGGCTCGGCCAGCTGAAGCAGGAACTTGCAGACCTCGACGCGCAGCAGCCCACTTCACATACCAACACCGAGTCGGCCATTGGGTCAACTGAATGGCCACTGCTTCAAGATGAATATAGAAGATACGGAAGACAGATGATCGTTGAACAGATCGGACTGGCAGGTATATTCAAGATCCTTGCGTAGTGTTGCTAAATAGACTGGCTCTAACACTGATATATATAGGCCAGCTTAAGCTACGGAATTCAGCAGTGCTTATCGTTGGGGCTGGCGGGTTAGGATGTCCGGCAGCATTATATCTCGCCGGTGCTGGAGTCGGCAGGCTAGGAATCGTCGACGGCGATGAGGTCGAGAGCTCAAACCTGCATAGGCAAGTCCTGCATCGTACGAAGAACACGGGCAAATACAAGGTGGATAGTGCAATCCAGTATCTACAAGAGTAAGGGAATCAATAAACCAGCTTTCCTTGCAGGACCATATCTGACGTATTCTGCTCTTTTCTTTGCTCGATCTAGGCTGAACCCTCATCCCACCTACATCCCTTTCAGAACACAACTCTCGTCGCAAAACGCTCCCGAGATATTCGCCGACTTTGATATAATACTAGACTGCACCGATAACCCTGCAACGAGATACCTTATTTCAGATACTGCAGTTATACTCGGAAAACCGATCGTGTCTGCCTCCGCACTGAGGACAGAAGGACAACTGATGATCCTCAACTACCCGCCACGGCCACCAGGCGATAAATCAGGAGGCCCGTGTTACCGGTGCGTCTTCCCCAAGCCACCTCCAGCAGATAGCGTCACGAGCTGTGCGGATGGTGGAATAATAGGTCCTGTGGTGGGCATGATGGGTGTGATGCAGACGTTGGAGACTATACGGGTTATAACGATGGTTATCGAAGAAGGGGTTGCGTCAGTGAATAAGTCTGGGAATAGCAGGATTGTTCCGTCTCTGCATCTGTTCTCGGCTTATTCCATGCCTCCGTTCCGTTCTATTCGGTTACGGCCACGACGACAAAACTGTAGCGCATGCGGCACGGAGCCATCGATATCCATTGAAACCCTCAGAAATGGGTCGATGGATTATGTGCAGTTCTGTGGCTCGCTCAACCCTGTCTCTGACTTGACACCGGACGAACGACTAAGTGCGGCGGATTACAAGTCGAAACTTGATACTCCTAGCAGTGACGACAAGGGTGTACTCCTTGACGTGCGTGAACGAGTTCAGTATGACATTTGCGCATTGCCAGATAGCATTAGCGTTCCCATATCAGAGGTACTGAGGTCATCTTCTGGCTCCTCTGAGGTGACGATTGAGAAGAGTCCAGAATGGCTTCCGATGAATATTATTGACCTCAGTTCGACAACGCCTATCCACGTTATTTGTCGTCAAGGTAACGATTCTCAGGTTGTGGTGAAGAAACTAAAGCAGCTTGGGCTAGACCAGGGCGGTAAACGCTTTATCGGCGATATAAAGGGCGGCTTGGACGCGTGGAGGAGAGACGTTGATCCGCAATTTCCTGATTATTAGCAAAGAGAAATCGAACCAGCTCGAATCGACGATCAAAACGGCGATAGTCATTATACTATGGGTTCACCGGCGCTTTATTAAGCCAGGCCCACTCGACATCGACTCTGCCCTCGGCACTGAGCGCAAGCTGTTCGAATACAGAGATTGACACGTCGATGTCTGTTGGTTTGCATGCAGTACCTACGGGTAGTTCGTCAGCAATTCCGCCGTTCTAGTTTATGCGGATGAGATTATTAGACTCACATCTATCGACAACCGTCACATCCACAGACTTGTTATTCCGTCTTAGACGAAGCTTCAGGCCGCACAGCGGGTTGGCGTTCGGGTTGGGCCCAACACTGGCCGCATCATACAGTTTCTCGGATACGGCGCAAACAGCCTGCGAGTCAGAGCTGGTTATACCGCACGCACCCAACCCCGTTCCATAGAATGTAAGGTCACCCTTGTAGGGACCGCCATTGTTCGTCGGTAGTGGGAGGTTGGCCGTCCTTTGAAGAAGATATTAGAACTATTACCTTCAAACAGAATTATACGCGCCCAACGAACCTGTGTGTCGATAACCCAACCGCCAGCCCAATAATCAACCCCAGTAGCAGAACTGCTACTACAGCAGCAATGATAATCACTCTCTTCCTCCTGTATATCCAGAAATATTTCAATTTCTCCTTTATCCCACCACGAGGCGCTTGTGGAGCTTCGACATGCGGCTCTGGCAGATCGACGATCGCATCCTTTGGCGGCGGAACAGGTTTGCGCCTTGGCACTTCGACGATGGAGAGGCGCGTGCCGGGGGCTTTGGGGAGGACATTCGACTCAATGGTTTTATCGGACAGGTCTGGTAGGCTGTCTAGCTCGTAGCGCTTGAGGCTGGAGGGGGATGGCGGCGAAGAGGATTGGGAGATAGGCGAGATAGGCGAGACCGGGTGGGAAGGGATGTATGATGGGTCCATATTGTTCTATCTTACTTGCAGCCTTCGTTAAGGCGCGTGAAGGCGTAAAGAGCGTATTCGGTGAGAAAGTAATGAGCGAATGAGTGAACGAGTGAATGAATGAATGAATACACTGCCAGTAAAGAAAGACTGAGCGAGGATGAAGCTGAAACAAACATCGCGGGTGAGCATCCTGGCCTTTGCCCCTTTTATCTGCCAAGGCGGCTCACTCCACCAGAAAGTCCGGGGTAGCTCGCGGCTACTGCACAGCATATATATACGGAGTAGAAGATCGGGGGAGTAAGAAGCCATCAATTCTCCTCTGGGCTTGCTGCTCTCGTTATCTACAGGCTTCTGCGCCGGTACATCCTGTCCTCCGGTATAACCATAACTTCATACCCCCCATTCAAGACAAAACCAACTGCGTATCCAAGCATAAACACAATCTAGAAAAATCATCGCATAGTCATCAGAGAAAAACGAGAACGGAAAACTAGACAGCCGCCTTGGCCCGGTTTCCGGACATCCATGGACTTGTTTATAGCCACTGCTGCTGTTCTAACTGGAGTTGGGCTCGGGTATCGGACTTGATCATGCATCTACTTGGCTGGAGCGGCGGCTTTGCGTCGTTGGTATCTGCGGTAGAGCATCAGAGACGTCACGCCGACTGCGATGACGAAGATGATGCAGAAGACCAGAACGACGCCTGATTCTCTAGCGGCCCAGTTCTTGCGCTTGACCAGCTGGTGGCCTGCGGCGTTGACGTCCCTTAGAGAGATGATGGCGGCCATTGTGGATGTATGTTTGCTATATCTAATGCTCTAGAGACTGATAAGACTGCCATGTCAGTGATTATGCACGAATCTAGGCCAACTTGCGCGGGGGATGTCAGGCCGGTACTTACCGGGCTGGGCTTGCGATTGGGAGACGACTGGTCCACGAGTGGCTCTATACTGCCTATATAAATTATAAGAATGTCTGTGTCAAGCGTCAGATCATCTGTGTGTATCTGAAGGAGTGAAATGGGCAAGAGTAATTTAATCGCAAGACGAAAGATGGAGGTTTCTCTCCCGCGGGACCTGGCGGCTTGTTGGTTGAAGTACAGGAGCGGGCAGGTTACCTACTTCCACTAGCTACCTCGACGCAGACCAAGCAGGCAGACGATAGCTTCAGACGAGAGCAAGGGAGGTGAGAGACAAGAAGACGAGCATGAAGAGGAAGAAGGAAGAAGAGAAGGAGAGAAGGAGAGAAGAAGAGGAGAAAGTGACTATGTAAGTGTACTTTTGTGTACTTTCAACCCGGATTTACCGCCGCACTTTCCCTTTTCGGACAAGCCTTGGCTGGCGTCAGGCCACATGCTCACGTGAACTCGCCAGCATCGATATAGATACTGTATATACAGTATATACATATATGTAGAATAGATATAGATGTGAAGGCAGAAGGTATAGAGAGAGGTAGGTGTAGATGTAGAGAGAGGTAGAGAGTACTTGGGGTACCGACCTTGCTGACCTAGCTCTTGTGCTCCCAACAGGAACGCAATACAAGCATCCAGGAAAGCAGACAAGAAGCTGGGGAAACACAAGCAAAAGCCTGCGGAGCATCGAAAAGCTTAGCTTGCACTCTAGTTGACGCCACCAGCTCTACTCTGTCCACTGGCGTCTCGAGTCGATAGGCAAGCACAGCAACATCTTGCACACCGGCATGGATGTAGGCGGACAGATCTGCTCAATAACGGCCGATCATCAAGCCCTCGCAACCAGAAACACCTGCAAGCCCACGTCAGCCCATGGCGACGAAGCTGAAGTCGAAGAAGAAAACTCCGAGTTTACTCCTTGTCTTTTTCTCCTTCACTTGTCCAAGGTTCGGAAGGTATCAGCTTATATAAGCAGCTATTGCTTATGTAAGTAGATCATTTTTCACGTGATAGTAAATAAGGTAATCACGTTTATGGAATAAATATAATCCGATAAGGGCACCACGTGACTCGGTGAAATGCCGAGGTCCCATTGAGAGTTCCAAATTAGGAAATAGTAAAGAAAGATACCAAGATGCGAGGCTTCATACATACATGAAAAAACATCGTCACCTTCAGTCTCTTAAGAAGGTCAACGGTAGACGGAAGAGTTCCTGGCTCATGTCGGATATACCTGGATCACGCGCAGACATCTTGCATCGGCCTTTCCTCCACCGGCACTTCCCGTCGGGATGGCGCCGGTCACCTTGTACCCACCCTTCTTACTCCGATGGAGCCAGCGCAAGCTCACACGATAGACATCGCGGCCAAAAGGCCGATTCAGCAAGGCCGATTCAGATACTTCAATCAGCGATGATGGAGTATTTTCTCAGTTATCGTGTTCCTCTTCCTTTCAAGCCGCCTTGAGTCTTGGTTTGTCCTTCACCCACGATACCCATTAGTTACAACATCGACATTTTTGCTATACCATCTCAAATAATACCCCTATATCTACAATGGCCATCACCCCAAAGCCTACCATCGGGTTCGTTGGCCTTGGAGCCATGGGCTTCGGCATGGCAACCCATCTCATCAAGCGAGGCTTCTCTGTCAAGGGGTTCGATGCCTGGGCCCCGACGTTGGAGCGGTTCAAGGAAGCTGGTGGTATAGTGGCATCATGCTTGGAGGACTCGGCCAGAGGATGCATGTATTATGTATGCATGGTAGCTTCAGCACCGCAGGTTCAATCTGCTTTATTCGATGACGCCAAACCCATTCTCAACGGTAGGTTCGCGGGATAGTTACCAACTTCCCTATAGAGGACTATCGTTAATCCCGGTATATAGCACTCCCGCAAGGAGCAGTACTTATTCTATGCTCAACCGTACCAGCCGCATATGCCCAGTCTGTACGTGACCAGTTAACGTCTCGCGGCAGGGATGACATTTCCTTCATCGATGCACCGGTCTCTGGTGGCGCCATACGTGCTGCCAATGGCACTCTATCGATTATGGCTGGAGGGTCAGATGCGGCGTTGGAAAGAGGTAAATTCTTGCTTGCTGAAATGTCAGATGAAGCCAAGCTATATCTGGTCCCTGGTGGCGTCGGAGCCGGAAGCAATATGAAGATGGTGCACCAGGTGCTGGCTGGCATACACATACTTGCTGCCAGTGAGGCGATGGGGTTTGCAGCTCGATTAGGGTTGAATGCGGAGGAAGTTCGCGCTACAGTCATCTCATCCAATGCATGGAGTTGGATGCATGAGAATCGTTCACCAAGAATGTTGCAGGAAGATTATTTTCCTGGCGTCAGTGCCCTGACTATTATTCTCAAGGATGTCGTAAGTCACCCTACTACGTTCTATCCTAGTGCTTGTTTCTTATCTAATTACATCTAGAGCATCATCACCAACTCCGCTCGCCAGTATCAATTCCCAGTCCCACTCTCCTCTACCGCTGAGCAGGTTTATGTCTCCGGCCTATCTCATGGCTACGGGGCCCACGACGACGCAGGCATGGTCCGCATGTACTACCCTGACCCTATTGGCAAAGTAGTCACTCCCACCACCATGACCCCCATATCCAAGGCCAAGGCCACAAATCTCGTCGTCTCCCTCCTTCGAAACATTCACCTCTGCGCGGCCGCTGAAGCAGTTGCTTTTGCACGTTACCTTAAAGTTGACATGGATCAATTCTATGAACTAGTCAATGCGGCTGCAGGTGGTAGCTCGATGTTCAAATCCAAGGGTGCAGAGATGATAGGTGGTGTCAAGCAGGCCGGCGTACAGGTAGATAGGTCTTTAAGCGAAGCTATCAGCGAACTCTCAGCCGTCGTACAGGAGGCCAGGGATTTGAATTGTCCCATGTATCTAGGAGCTGCGGCTCTAGGGATATTGCACCAGGCAAAACAGAGCGGATGGGGCAAGTGTTCGGATGCGAGTGTCATCAAGGTATGGGAGAAGTAGAGCATGCATAGAATATTGTTAGGTAGCGTCACTGCATACGATGAATGATTTTTGAATATTTTGTTGTTTAAATCCTCATTATTATGATTATCATTATTAGCATTAGATTCGTAATTTCGTTATACGTTGTATATGGTCCGTAGCCGTCTAGTTTTATATAACCCATCTCAAATATATAGGCAAAGCTCTAATTCCGCCGTACTCTAAGGTATGCTGTGAACAACATCGACGGAGAAAGGAGCGGGAGGCAAATGCTACTCGCACTCGGCCGTCCGACCATATATTCCACGCCTTCTCCGAGTGTAGATCTTGGAGATTCTACGCACCGGAGCTATCCCGATGACCTCCCGGACCAAATCCCACGCTTCTATGCAGCTCGGCCAGGACCAGAATCATACATTAACCACTCTTCTCCCCCAGCTAACAATGTGATCCTTATAATAAACCCATCAGTTCGATATCCTACAGCTTCTCGGCCTTCATTCTACATCTATCTCCCTCTCATAAAATCTACATCATGCCCCACGCATCTCTAAAAAACAACCGGGCGCTGCCCCTCCTCGATGAAGCTGTGGCCGGCAAATATGCTGTACCAGGAATGTGCTGCTACAACCTCGAGGGCGTTCTAGCTACTGTTCGCGCTGCAGAAGCCAAACGGTCACCGGCCATGGTTCTCCTCTTCCCGTGGGCCATCGAGTACGCTGACGGCCTCCTCGTACAAGCCGCCGCGACAGCATGCCGTAACGCCTCGGTGCCAGTGACCCTACACATGGACCACGCTCAGAGTCCCGAAATCATCAAGCGAGCGGCCGACATGTCTCCTACCTTCGACAGCATCATGCTCGACATGTCTCATTTTGAAAAGGCCGAGAACCTTGCCCTCACGCGCGAGCTGGTGGAATACTGTAATGCTCGCGGCATCGCTACGGAGGCAGAACCAGGCCGTATCGAAGGTGGAGAGGACGGTGTGGCTGATACGGCTGACCTAGAAGGGATGTTGACTACGCCGGAGGAGAGTCAAGAGTTCGTTGATACGGGAATTGATTGGTTAGCTCCTGCATTTGGAAATGTGCATGGAGAGTATGGGCCTAGAGGTATACGGTTGGAGTACGATCGGTTGCAGAGGATTAATGAGGCGGTAGGGAAGCAGACGAAATTGGTCCTTCATGGCGCGGACCCGATGACGAAGGAAATCTTTGATAAGTGCATCGAGTGTGGTGTGTCGAAGGTGAATATCAATAAGGTCATGAATAATGAGTATATGAAGGTGCAGAGGGAGAACGCGGGTCGGGTCCCTATTACGAAACTGCATGAGATGGCGACGGATGCAATGCAAAAGGCCGTGGAGAACTCGATGGATCTCCTGGGCTCGACGGGGAAGGCTGCTTGAGTGAAAGTAGTGAACTATATATAAAATAGACTTGATATCTGATCTTCGTTCGATTTTATATATGTACAGGGGAGTGGCCAGCATTTCCTCCTCGTTGCGTTCACATCAACAAGGCAAGAGAGGACGACGATGAAATTTGTAACGGAGAAAACTGTGAACAGAGGAAATAATATTGGTAATGCTAGATGGAAGACAATGTCAAGTAGAAAGCTATGAGATACAGTGGTAAGTGAAATCAGGACAGCAGGGCCAGGTAAGGAGGTGCAATAACCAGGTGGTAGCCAAATGAGATCAACGTCTAGTTGAAGGACATCATCTTCTTGATTTCAGCAATGGCCTTTCCAGGGTTCAATCCCTTGGGGCAGGTTCTCGAGCAGTTGAGGATGGTATGGCATCTGTACACGCTCATGCTGTTGTCGAGAGCAGCCTTACGCTGTTCAGTTCGCTCGTCTCGCGAGTCGATGAGCCATCGGTAAGATTGGAGCAGAAGGGCCGGGCCAAGGTATTCCTCGCTGTTCCACCAGTAGGAAGGACACGATGTCGAGCAGCACGCGCACAGGATACATTCGTACAGTCCGTCAAGTTTCTTTCTGTCAGCGGGGGATTGGCGGTTCTCGCGGCCCTATACCAGACATGTTAAGATCGTCCAGAGAAGGATATAGAGCAGAACTCGTAACTTACATCAGGGGATGGAGTGTCGCGTTGCAGATAAGGCTGGATGGACTTGTATTGTTTGTAGAATTGAGTCATGTCAGGAACGAGATCCTTGACAACATATGTGTGTGGCAGAGGATAGATGCGAGTCTCTTTGGTGGTATCGGTAGGAGTACGGCCTAATTAACCTGTGTAAGTTTCCACCGCGCACCACACTGCATACCATCCTGCTCGAATTGACGGAATCGAACTTACAAAGGCAAGCAAGAGTGTTCACGCCATCAATGTTCATCGCACAGCTACCACAGATACCCTCTCTGCAACTCCTCCTAAACGTCAAGGTTGGGTCATCCTCGTTCTTGATCCTGATCAAAGCATCCAAAACCATAGGTCCCGTCTTGTTAAGGTCGATGGTATATGTCTGCATGCGAGGTTTGGCGGTAGGCTCATCGGGGTTCCATCGATAGATCTTGAAGGTCTTCATCTTTGGAGCTGGCGCGCTGGTGGTCGCGGCTGGCGCCTCGGTGGGCTTTGCGGGGGTCTCGACAGTGGCATACGATCGAGAGGCCATGACAGGGCGCATGAAAGCGCTGGAACCCCGGAGGAGACGAGAGGTTGAGCGGAGAGATGCCATGGTGGACGGAGTGAAGTTTCGTTTGTTTCAACGACGATTGTGCGTGTACAGGCGAACCAGAGCCTGGGAATAGGGTAGCTGGCCTCTAGTTACCCTAGAGCTTAGCAATTGACACAGGACAGACCGTGAAGCTCGCGCTGTCTTGTTATCTCGTCGTCGCTGTCGTCGATGTCGATGTCGATGTCGAACTTGATGTCTTCTTGCAACCTCGGGATGAGCTACGGGGAAAGCCGGTTATGTCAGCGCCCACCGGCCAATCAGCGTCCATCCATTACCAGCATCACGAAAACACCAGGAAAGCGATCTCTGGATGTTCAACTTCACCCTCAACTTCAACTTCATGTTCATGTCTACTCGGTGTCCTTCGTGATGATGGTTTGCTCGTGGGTTGGACAGAGTTGTGGGTTGAGGCAAAAGTTAGATGGCACTAACAAAGACTTTCCAACGTCGTGACGGGAGTGCGAGACTGATAGAGGGCTAACCATCTCGATAGCAGGCTGCATACTTCCTTACTTAAGGGCAGATGGATTACTACAGTCATCAAGCCGACTTATCGATACAATAGATGTGGTTAGGATCCATGGGGCTAGACGCATCTACTCCCGTTATACTATGCTCCATATCCTGAAGGAGCTTTACCTTCAGTTGAGTACAATCGCCTGGACTTGCTGACATCGAAGCACATATATAAAGGACCAAGTCTGCCCACTCACGCGATCGTCTATCCAACTTGGCGCGTTTGCGTGAGAAAGCCGAAAAGGGCTGCTGCTGGTGATGACTCAAGAGTTTGACCTAGATAGGCTGGTGATTCGCCAAAGTCTCATCCTCCATTCAGTTCCCAGTAGGCAACATTTACTCAATCACACAGTCTTGGGCATCGAGAAGGCATCTCAAAGCCAAGATGAAACGAAGGATTTCATCCCAGAATGCCGCGTAACTCGCTGCATCTTTGGTTCGCAGAGAGAGCCTGAAACGGTTACAGAGTAGTCGGCTAAACCAGATAGAATTTTATGTCAACACGAACTTATCTCCGTCTCGCTAAAATCAGCTCTGGCTAAAATCCGCGAATGTGTGCATCGTAACTGGAATGCTGCGCCGTCGGACGGAGAGAAGCATCTTGCCGTTTAGTTTACGCACTTAAGAAGAAGCAATATGGGACTTGGCAGAGTCTGCTACGCCAAACAGCCCTGCAGCCTGAAGCATCTGGCCGGCTCAGGCTGAAGGAGCTTCCATGCAGATGATCGTCAGCGAAAAGAAGATAGCGAGACGGTGCTTTACAGTGAGAAACAGCAAATGAGGAGGACGAAGTTGCCCTCGCCGTTACCGTTTATCAGATTTTCCGTCGTGGCACCGGCAAAACTGCCATCAATTGCAGGCAGATCTCAGGGGGATATGCGAATTATACCACTCTGGGCAATCGCAACTCTCCTTGAATTATTGGCCCGGACTCCGTGTGGCCAAGATATGGAATACGTATGTCTATTGTGATATCTATTGTGTGTTGCACTGCCTGAAGCTCTGACAGGTAACCTGCCACGAGGTTATGCATGGTCTATTGGGCCACGCGAAGAGTTAAATTCTTAAACGCTGGCTGGCTCTGGATCAGCCACTCTTACTGCCTCTCTTAGGGGGTGCCGGGCAGATAAGAATAGGTGCTCCATTCCAGCCAGTTCGGACGTAAGATAAACATCTTCCTAGCCTTTGCACCAAAGGACGATCCTCCTCGTGGCTGACGCCTGGTTTGGCTTTGCGGATGCACGGTACATCCTGGTCGACCCTAGTCATATTTCGCCGGGGTTTCTAAACTTTAGTCGCAAATGGAGATAAGGATTGAGAGAGTGAGTGGAGGTGGGTATGGCGTGGGTGGCCTCCGTCTGGACCTGGAGGTTCTATTCTCGTGCCATGGCCTTTGTCTCCAAGGCTGAGCGGAACCATCTCATATATAAGGATGGCGGCTCCTCGTCAGTCATACTCCTACATCAAGGAACAAGAATCAGGATTACCAAAGTCCAGCTATACTAATAGCCTCCCACTCTCCTCGAAATATCCTTCAAGCAACCCTTTCTCAATCGATCAGGGGTCCATATTGAATAGTTTTCTTTCGGCCACATCTATATACAAATCGCAATGGACTGCACATTAGCAACCTGCCCCGTATCGGAGAGCATCTACCAATACAAACCATCGCTTGCTGGCAATGCTGCACTCCTCGCCATCTTCGCTGCCTCTGGCATCGTTCACTCGCTGCAGTACTTCTTCTGGCGAAATGCATCATTCTCCATCCCCATGATCCTGGGATGCTTGACAGAAGTTATCGGTTACGTCGGCCGTGTTTTGCTCGCCGATGACCCATTCAGCCAAATCGGTTTCCTCATCCAGATCTGCTGTCTCACGCTCGCTCCTGCTTTCTTCTCCGCCTCGATCTACTTCTGTCTCGCCGATATCGTCCGTCTCTTCGGCGAGGAAGCTTCCTGGGTAAAGGCCAAGCACTATGCCTGGATCTTCATCCCTTGCGATCTCGTCAGCTTGATTCTCCAGGGTACTGGTGGTGGTTTGGCCTCTGTCGCCGCTGATAAGAACACCGACCAGGCTCCCGGAACCAACACTATGATTGCCGGGTTAGCTTTCCAGGTCATCACCCTCGTTGTCTTCATGACCCTCACCGGTGGCTTTATCTTCCGCACTATGAAGGCCCGATCTATTCAGGAGAAGGAGATGGGTGCCCCACCAAAGCTCCCAATTAGCCGTGAGCGACTGGCCACATTCGCCATCCCATTCGCTTTGGCCATCATCACCATCTTCACCCGATGCGTCTACCGTGTTGCTGAGCTTAGTGAAGGTTGGGAAGGAGATCTCATCCACGACGAGGTCACCTTCGTTATCCTCGAGGGAGTGTAAGTTTTTTTCTCCGCATAACCCTATTTAACTATCACTAGCTCGTCAACTAACAATATATCGCATAGAATGATTGCCATTGCCGTCATCTGCCTAAACATTGGCCACCCCAAGCTACTGAACCAGAAATAGGCTATCTGCACTGTGTCGATTTCCCTTTCCCAGCATTAATACCCTGTCTATAGACCATTTTCTTACACCCAACTCCTTGATTTTATCTCATTTATGCACATAGTCCCGAATATACCTCTTCCCATTTGTTTGTTTCCCTTTTGTCTACTTTGCGTTGTTTTGTTCTCCCTATGCTGTGCCTGAGGAGAGTAGAATTTCTGGACCTTACTAAAAAGAATGACTTTGGCTATCACACTTTACATTCGCGGAGGGAGGAAAATACAAAAATATGACCCTTTCTCGATATATATAATGACTCGGCAATTAAAATTATTGCATATCGCTCTTTTTACTCCTTCTACCTATCCATAGATGGTCTCTCGCGTCCTCCCGGCCAGTTGTTCAAGATCTTAGTCATCAATATCGATTAACTAGGTAACGTAAGCCACCACCGAATGACCGCTACCACCCAATGACCGCCCCAACAAAGATTCATGCGTATCAACAACAACCACTCGCAACAGCCGTAATATGGTTAATGAAGCTGCAATTGCTTTAGCAATTGCAGATTTAAAGGCCCAAGAAGCCCCTAATTATACCCAGACTGCAAAAAGATACGGAATCGATCGAAAAACGCTCACACGGCGGTTTCAAGGAGTCACTACCTCAAGAAGTGAAGCAATATCCCAACATCACAAGAAGCTTACAACTGCTCAAGAAAAAGAGCTTTTAAAGCATATAAATCGCCTATCTCTACGTGGCCTATCTCCTACACCTCAAATACTCCGGAATTTGGTATATGAGATAACAAAAGAGCCTGTTGGGTTGAACTGGGTGGCGCGGTTCTGCGAGAGATATCATAACCAGATAAAGAGCCTTTATTTAAAGACTATCGATCAAAAACGCAAGGTTGCTGATAACTCCTCTTATTTTGCGCATTACTTTGAGCATGTTAGTGATCAAATCGATATCAATATCTTTAAATACTGACCTCTTCCTAGCTTGAATTGATGATTTCAAAATATAATATTACTCCAGAAAACACCTATAATTTCGATGAAAAAGGGTTCCTTATTGGCCTAGGTCAGGCAGTCAAACGTATCGTCCCTATTGAGCAGCTTAAACGAAAGCAGATAGGTGCTATTCATGATGGAAATCGCGAGTTTATTTCTCTTCTTGCTGCCATCTCTGCAGATGGTGAAAGGATTCCTCCTACACTGATTTATAAGGGAGAAGGAGATCTACAAGATACATGGCTTGATGATTTCAACCCTCATGAGCAAACAGCCTATTTTGCAGCCTCACCCAACGGCTGGAGCAGTGATGACTACGGGCTTAGCTGGCTGGAGATATTTAATAAGCATACGAAGGCAAAGGCTGATAGAGGAAGAAGGCTTCTTATTGTTGATGGCCACTCCTCTCATATCAATATGCGCTTTATCGACTACGCAGATAAAAACCGTATCCTTCTTGCAATCCTTCCTCCGCATTCAACTCATCGATTACAACCATTAGATGTTGGAGTTTTTGGGCCACTGGCTAAGGCATACTCCCAAGAGATCGATACCCTTCTCCGTTGCAGCTATGGGTATTCATCAATGAGGAAGAGAGATTTCTGGAGGCTCTTTTATACAGCATGGTGTAAAGCAGTAACACCTGAGAACGTTAAGGCTGCATTTCAAACAACGGGTATCTACCCCTTCATGCCTGAACAGATATTAAAATATTTCAAACGAAGACCAATTACCCCTCCAGACCTGGTTGCTCCTCCTACCCCTACTACTGTTCGAGGCCTCCGCCGTCAAATTAAGAAGGTTTACCGCAGGCAATCGCGCCTCTCAATCAATATTCAAAAGGTCATTCATGCTAGTGAAAGACTGGTCTTCCAGAATGAGATATTAGCCCATGAAAACAGGTCTCTTCATGCAGTAATACAAATGGAGAAGAAGCAAAGGAAGAGAGGTAAAGCAATGGGCTTGTTTGATAAGGAACGGGCTGGCCAGGCGCAGTTCTTCTCTCCGTCTAAAGTTGAAGCAGCCAGGCAACGGGCTCTTAATATAGAGCATGAAAAACAAGATAAGATAGCGCAGGCTGAACAATCAAAGCTTCAGCGTACAATTCAGAAGGATGTTAAAGCCCAGGAAGCAGCAGAAAAGAGAGCTCAAAGGTTGATAGAGCAACAGCAGCGAAAGGAAGCCCATGAGGAGGCTCGTAAAGAGGCTGCAGCGCAGCGCGCAGAGGCTGCGATTGAACGGAAGCGTAAAGCGGGTGAACAAGCAGCGGAACGGATGGCCAAGAAGGCCAGGAAGGCTGAAAAGAACGCCTTAAGCCCTATCTCACCTTCCCGATTAGGAAAGAAGAAGACTTCACCTACGAAGGTGGCTCCAATCGATCCTATTCCTTCAATACCACCCTTCCTATCCCAACCCCGGGCAAGCCGTTCCGGGCGAGTTATCAAGCCCAACACTCGTTTATTTTCTTAACCTTACTAATTTATATGTAATTTGGAACCCTACTATCGTTATTTAATAGCTAATTTAATTCGTTATTTACGTTGTGTTGAAATAGGTTGATATTTAATATATGCAGCGATTTGGATGGGGTGGCCAAAGCGCCGGTCATTAGGTGGTGGCGGTCATTCGGTGGTGAACCACGTTAACGTAATCCACAGGCGAGCGAGCCACCCAAGCGAGCGAGCCACCAAATTCAAACGCGTACTCTTTTTAACTAATTAACAACTTCTACACACGATAATGCCACCAATTCGCAATAAAAATAATAGAAACTCTATAGAAATAGAGGGAAAGATTAAACTTGCAATTTCTGCTTTAAAAAATAAGGAAATTACCTCTATTTGTAAAGCTACACGTTAATTTAGTATACCAAGATCTATACTCACTTATTAAATCAATGGCTACTCTTCCTATACAGATTTACGCGTAAATTCATATAAATTAACAAATACTAAAGAGGAAATGCTTATTTAATGGATTCTAGATCTAGATAAACGAGGATTACCACCCCAGCCTACCTTTATTAAGAATATGGCTAACCATCTTCTTACCGTATAAAATCCTGTATCTTTACCTCCATAAGTTAGCAAGAACTAGGTCTTAAACCTAGTAAACCGCCGTACAGAGCTCCAAAGTCAATACTTAAGGCATTATAACCATAAATAGGCCAAATATAAAGATATTAAGGTTATTTAAGAGTAGTTTAATTAACTAAATACTACCTTTACTATATACGGAATTTAACAAGAAGATATCTATAATTTTAATAAGACTAGATTTATAATAGGACTCTATATAACTATAAAAGTTATTTCTAGTTCTAAGAAATATGGCTGTATAAAGCTCCTATAGCCTAGAAATTAAGAATAAGTTATAGTTATTGAATTAGTGAACTGTCACAAGCTGACGGCGCTCCTTGATTATCTAAAAGTGATCAGAGGTTCACACCTGCTGTAAGACAGAAGGTACAAAGGTCTTAGGGAAAGCTTAGGTTGGAAGTGAGTTGTTATAGGAGATAGCTTAGTACCAAGGCGAGATAGAATACTATAGTAAGACTATCCCTTAGTTCTAAGTGTAGCTTCAGTCAGTGCCTAGGTCAGATGAAGGCTAAAGGTCCTTATAAGTAGTAAAGACAAAGTTGACCTACGTTAATGGGCAAAGGGGTATTCAGTGAATATAGTATAAGATAACTAGAATGGTGCTTTGTATTAAGCAGTATAGTAAAACTATAGTTGGTTTAATCGCGAGTATAAGACTCTTAATCCTGAGGAAATGAGCGTCTTTATATATATAGTATATCCAGTCCCTTCCTCCTGATTCTCCTCAGGTCCTGTTGTGGATCTGATATCCCGGTCCCTTCGTGGACCTTTCATGTTTGGTCCCATAGGGACCTGTCCCTGGTCTTGGCATCTGGGACCTGTCCTTATGGTCACGTGATGTGTAGTTATTCCGTCCCAGAATCTTGTTGTCCAATGAGTGTATATCCTGGGGCTGCGCCGCAGATGGTCTATAATATTATCCCCTCCTTTCTCATTAAGTCGTCTCAACGAGTGTATAAGTAGTGAGTATATTTCCCTCCTTTTTATTAGGTAAGTCTCCTTTCTTCCTTTATCATGGCTTCCTATTCTATTATAAAGAAATCTTCCTGTCTTCCCTATAACTGGGCTACTAAGCGTATGATTCTGGCAGTAGCTATTAATTATTCTAGTTCCTTATCACGTTCTTATTATAATAACTATTTTTGGTCTCTTTAGCCTTGTATTGTGATAGATTCCCACAACAAACGTTGTTCCTCTTGTGTTTATAAGGATTGTCCTTACGTCGGCCATCTTATGGATAACTCTCCTTGGGCTAAAGAATTGGCCTGGCTTCCTTACCGTCTTAGTAATTCTAATATAGATGTTACTAGCAATATCCAAATAGTCCATTAGGCTCAGGAAAAGCTCACTAAGGCTTAAGACAAGCTTTTAGTTATAATAGCTCATAATCTTAAGCTCCGTCGGCATTAGGTTGAGTTGTCTAATAAAGCCGCTTCTTTTAATACTACTAGTGAACTCCTTATCAGTCCTCCGTCCTCTAGTAGCGTTTCTATTGATTAACTCCTCGAAGCGTCTTCTCCTACTTCTAAACCTTCTAGTAAAAGTCTTTAACTAGTCCTGGCAAGTTCTTAAGATATCATGCTGGCTTATAAGTATTTTCTGAAAAGTTATATCCCTTCTATTTAACCAAGTAGTAGGTTTATCTATTAATCACTTTCTTGTTTAGGATCTTTTCAACTTTATATTCTTTTTCTTAATTTTCTGGTTATATTTCTGGTTCGTATGGTTTGGCGCTCTAGGGTGCTTTTTCAATTAATAAGATATGAAATGTTAGGTATATTTGCATATGTTCTAGGAGTTAGAGCTTATAATTGAGTTGTCCAATCTTTTCCAAGATCTTAAATGGTCCTAGTTTCTTGTGGTCCAACTTATCACTTGGTCTCAGTGTTTTAATATTTTATTAGAGTAG